CGTCTGGAGGAACCCGTAAGTGTCCAGAAGCAGGCCTCACAATCCTTTCTAACATGTCCTTCTTCTAGTCTCCCGAATTTTACGTGATCCAGCAGCGCGCTTTGGAGGAACTGGGCACCGAGCTCCACTACCGTCGCATTGACGTGCGTGACACAGAACTGTTGAACACAGCAATTGAAGCCATTGCCGATACTGAAGGTCGCCTGGATGGTTTGGTGGCGGCGGCTGGTATCCAACAAGAGACCCCTGCGCTGGAGTACACGGCTCAGGACTCCAACACCATGTTCGAGGTGAACGTCACGGGGGTGTTCATGACCGCTCAGGCAGTTGCCAAGCAGATGATTCGCTTCGGAGATGGAGGCAGCATCGCACTAATTGCGAGCATGAGTGGCACCGTTGCCAATCGGGTATGACCCTGTCACCTAGCCCTACTGGCTTCCCCGCTTTACTCGGTTCTGTCCTTGTACAACAACTGACTCATCGCCCAGGGTCTCATCTGCCCCGCATACAATGCTAGTAAGGCTGCAGTGCTCCAGCTTGGTCGCAACCTTGCCATGGAGTGGGGACAGTACAACATCCGGGTCAACACCATCTCGCCAGGCTACATCGTGACCGCGATGGTCGAGAAGCTATTCGTGCAGTACCCCGAGCGCCGGGACGAGTGGCCCAAACAGAACATGCTCGGCCGGCTATCCACCCCTAATGAATACCGCGGTGCGGCTGTGTTCCTCCTGAGCGACGCCAGCAGCTTCATGACTGGCAGCGACCTTCGCATGGATGGTGGCCACGCCGCATGGTGATGAACTCTCCCTATGTGCCTTGATTCGGCCACTCCGTGGTCTGCATTACATCATTTCTCATCCATATTATACTAACAGCACCTGATATCGCATGGCGTTGGGAGCAAGCCTCATCTTATTGGTTTATCATGACGTCTGCCACCTGGAGGCGAAGTTTTATTTCTTAGCGTTTTGGTGTCTGGGGAACGATTGGGTTGATCACTACCTAGAGCTACTACTGTACTTAGTATCCTATCTACATATACCTCTTCCAACCTAATCAATACCATCAACCAACCCCACCATCACCATCCCAACAACCAATAACCCTCCCCTCCATAAACAAAGTTACCCAAGTGTACCACTTAGCGCGCAGATCCGACACACCCAGCCACCACATCGGATCACACATGACCCCACCAACTTCACCATCCCCAACCAACCAAAGCTATCCTACACACACACCAACCAAGACAACATTACGCACCAACCCTAATACAGCTACCTACCACCAAAGATATTAATAGTTGGAATATTCGTATCGAGAACTACGCCAAGCCCACAACCCGGGGAAATCGCCTACCCCACTTAAATAGATGATGATCAACCCCGCATTCATCAACCAGGGTTGCGGGTGGACGAACGTGACATCGAGGGTGGAGTTCTCCATGGTTGGGGAAAGTTAAAGACAGGATTATAGTACGAGTTCAACTACGATCGAGTATTTAGCTGGATTATCTGTAAATGTAGATTAGGATTTGATTTGGAAGTAGGTAGTTGAGAAGGTTGAAGTTCGCTCGGCCGGAGAAGTAACGCTGGGGTTGTTGTCTTGTTATATGGAGATTGAAGGGATAGTTAGGATGATTGGGATGGATTAGGTTTGACGCACATGAGTCGGGATTTTCTCTCTGGGTGGTTAGTAGCTAGTAAGAGTAAGCAGGCCAAATAGGTAGATATTAAATTTAGTATGGAGGATCTAAGTTGTATCTGCTGACAATGATCCGGGGAAATCAAGTGACTGCGGGCTATAGATCATCTGGGGATTTATACTCTAGTAATCAATGTCAACCGTCTATATTACTAGAAGTAAGATCCGATCCCAACCGAGCATCTCACCTAAGACACCACTAACATCCAAACCCACACACAGATGAGATTGATCTCACCAACCCCACAAATTAAACATCACGGGCCTACCACGTGAACCCCCAAACTAAACTCTAGATCCCATAGTCGAATCATAACCCACACTCGGCGTCATAGATCGAGCCACGAGGCGAGTATCTAGATTAGGCATCAAGATGTGTGTATCGTCTTCTGGATGGGGTAAAATATTATCACGAGATAGGTTAACAAAATATTTCGTCTAGATTGGTAGATTGTATTTGATTGAGGTTGTTCGCACGGGTATTCGGCATACTTACCTATACCTACATACTTACTTACCGGATAATGTGTTAGTGATGTCTTGTGATATATCTCATGTCTTGTTAGCTAGAGATCTGTAGAAGACCAAATAGGCAATTCCGTCTAATGGCTTGGTGTCTGTGGCATAAATACTTGCGTGGAGTAATCTGGTGAATTGTGGCTGGGATGTGGCTACAGCTCTGTGAATGGCCTATGGAGTCGGATATAAGAATGGGTCTGAGGAATGTTCTGAGACATGCCATCAGATAATTATGTTCATATCACTATTCTGGTCTACCTACTATTTAATATACAATCGGAGATACTGTTTAGATCCAATGTCTTGTTCTCAAATCGGTCTATGAGATCTGCCTTTTCATATTTCTATCATCAGATAGTAACTTTTCGAGGTTATAGCATCCGGATTATCAATAACATATTCGTTATGGATTAGAATACTCTTCATTGCTGTCATCTATCTCTTAGATTAGATCAATAAAAGTACCCAGGCTAATACTCTTAGTACAGATTAGCCTCTCCTATTGATTGGGCAGCACGAAGGATTGCTTCCACGACGATGGTGTCAGCCTTGGCGTGCACGCCTTTTGATTGACAAGCATTGGTAGCCTAATATCTTTAATATATATAACAATCACTCTGTACACACTCAAACTAGTACCTCCTTTTGCATTGTCAATTGGCATTAACAACAAGACGCATCCCAACATGTCAGACGATGGAAGTTCTCTCATTTACCACAGAAGCGCTGCATCCTCCAGCAGCAACCTAGTACGTCCATCATCAACCAATGCATAACACAATCTAACCAAGTCAGTCCGAGATGAGCGTCGACCCCGACTACACCCCCGATATCCATCGCGGCATGCGAGCAGAAATCTAACAACTCTATCGCTCCGACGACCTTCATGTGTGGAAGACGTTTACTCAGATGGGACTGGGGGAGTCGAAGAGTGGGTTGAGTGAAAAGGAGTTGGAGACGTTGGCGGGGATTGAGATGAATGGAAGGCAGATCAATAATGTTGTTAAAACTGCGAGGTTGTTGGCTAGGCAGGAGACGGTGTCGTTGGGGTTGAGGCATGTGAAGATGGTGTTGAGGGTTGGGAAGGGGATAAGAAAGGATCGAGGAAGAATAGCAGAATATAGATAGAGAGAGAGACAGAGAGAGAGGACTCTTAAAATTTGCGTAGTAACTTTAAATAATAGAATATTCAATACATATTCCCTAGGAGAGGATCCATATCACACGAAATGACATGCGAACTTTAATCTTCCTCACCATTCCTTGTCCTTCTCTTCTCTTGTCATCTCCCTTCCTGTACTCCGTAAGCAGTCAAATACAGTGGTATCCCTCCATCAAGCATAGACAAACCAATACATAAGGATGTTAGATTCCTTGAGACGCATTTTGAAGTCACACTCAATCAGACCCGAGACGTGAAGGTCCAGTCGAAAACATCACACTACGCTTTAGGACAGGACCCTACCTTCTCCCCAAAAATACTGTTTTCCTCCCTATACCCCGATACAACCCTCACATTAAATCCAATTATTATAGAATGTTGTACAAGGTGGAATACCAATCGTGTACATAAGATAGTGACGTTGAGGAATAAACCGTCATATGAGCCCTATTCTTCAATAACAGAAACATATAACTTAAATTTAAGATGCTCACAACAACAAATCCTCGATGGTCTAACGGTCATGATTTCCGCTTGTCAATCCTAACAGGAACAAGCGCGGGAGACCTGGGTTCGACTCCCAGTCGGGGAGATTTCTTTTTCTTTTTTCCTTCCCCTAGAAACTGTGTCGTGGAAGTGGGAATATCTTTTTTTTGGGCGCAGGTTCTATGTAATGTGTGATGTTCTCGTTGCTTGAGGAAAGTCAGTGAGTTGAAAAAATGTTTTCAGAAGGATTTTTGATCTCAATTCATGCTGGAGAGTATGCAACTATTTACAGTAAGATAATATATGTCTCATACTACAATCCCTATCTTTCGAAATAGTACTAGTAGTTATCACAAAAGTAGACCGACAAGGTTGACTACTCTAACGGCGGGTATCTACTCTGTCCAAAAGAGATATTGGAGCTGGGCCTGAAGGTGGTTGGTAAAAGTTAGTAGTAGCAAGCATTCCAAGATGATGACTACTTACTTATTACACATGGTTTCTCTAAACCATGGGCGTGAGCAAGAAGGAACGGATATCTATTGTTTTGTCGGTTGTGCATCTGCATTGATGTTCTGTAGTCTCTGATCAGGAGCTTGTTAATGTCAACTACATGGTTCATTCAGGACATGTTAGAATTCGGGCCAATGAAGATTGATAAACGTTTCAACTAGGATAGATGAACAATCCCGTTTAATCCCGGCAATATTGGTTTGCAACTTCAATTGGTTGGATGACCAAGCGGTTTGGTTTATACCGCTGGTAAGAGAAAGATAGGTAGGTAGGTAGGTAGGGCTTTCCATCCGGGCCTGCTTAATTATGAACTAAGCATATCCTGAAGGCCGACTCTTCCTCGTGTAGTACACTTTTATCTCACAATGGTGGATGAGACCATGGCATCACTTCAGCAAATAACGTCCTTGAGGCTAGACAACCATGCAAAAGCCACCCCATGCAATAACTCTTCTTCCAACCCTCAACATCCCAAACCATCTACACCACGCACCACAACCCATTCCAAACCATGACATAAACATACATATATTCATTCCCTCCCCTACAACTCATATATCGTACAATACTCCCCCTCCCCCCTCCCAAACCCCAAACACATCTAAGTAATAAATCAACCAATATCCCCAACCACCCCCCTCACACCCAACTTCCCCACCACACCCTTCTTCAACCTCAACACCCTCTCAATCTCCCTCTCCCCTAGACCCTGCCTATCCCTCATCGCCAAAACCTGCCTTATAGTCAACGCATCCAGAAACTCCCTTCCCTGGAAATCCATTTTCCCCATCGCTTCCGCCTCCTGCTCCGCCGCCTTGGTAATGCGCTGTCGAGACGAGAAAACCAATAATGCGGGGTTAGTGGCTGGTGGGAAGACGGTTGGCGCGGGTTGATGCGTGAAGGTGCTGCTGGGAGAGTATGTTGGGTTGGGGGTCACGGGGCCGATGGTGCGAAGGGAGGCGGCGAAGTCGGGATCGCGGCCGTCGAGGTCGATTGCTGTTTTTGCAGATTCTTGTTAGTGGTGTTAGGGTTTGGGGAAGGAGGGGAGGGAGGATGTACCTGTTGAGCGTTGGGTTGAGGGGGTTCTTTGGAATGGTAGGTTGGGCCTTGAGGTTGGGAGGGTCTGGGTGGTGGTGGTGTCTGAGCTTGTGGTGATGGTGATGGTGGTTGTGATTGTTTGGGCTTGGATGCTGATTGGGGGGCTGTTGGAGGAGAAACGGGTTGTTTGGGATATTGCCGTCGAGCCGCTTGGGCGGCGGATCTCACGGGCTTGGAGGCTGAGGAGCCCATGAGTGTGTGTAATGTGTATGGATTGGGTGAATCTGGGGTGTGGAGTTGAAGCAAATGAAGCGGACTCTGTAATAAACTGTAAAGATGGCTGCACCATCGGGCCGGCTAGCCGCTTTGGGATGCTGGCTAGCCGTGCGGGTGACGTCAGCTTTTACGTATGGTTACTTGTTCTTTTCATGCCCCTGTACTGTCTACTCTATATTCTGTATCATATTGTTGAGGGTATGCACGAGTCCATCTTCCATTCATAGCTGATTACTCCTACAGTCATACAGGCTTATCTCAAGCCGTTCCACAATGGATCAATAGTCTCACCAGTAGTCCAGACTGGTGTTTACCGCAGTCCGGCGAACCGTCTGCCCTGGACCTCGCCCAGAGCACGGCTGCCGCTGATGAATGCAACAGTTCCGACCACTGCGACAGCCGGGAGAATCTGGAACAGAGTCCAGGAGGTATAGTACAGGAAGAAGATGCCCTCGATGGACAGAAGGGAGCCGAGAAACACGGCGTGAGGAAGAGGGGCCGACTTCAATGCTGTAGGCAGGTGGTTGACGTTGGCGCCGAGGAAAAGCCACTAGATCAGTTAGACATGTAGTTGCACAGGTATAGGAGAAACCTACCACACCACCGAGAACAGGCAGAGTAGCGAGCACCATCGCGACAAAAGCCAGAGAAATCACCACCGGCGGGCTCTGCGCATCGGCCTTGAAAATATGGTGGATCTCAGGGAGCTTTCCGTACCGCGAAACCTCGACGGTCGGCACAGGCTCGTCCGGGTTGCGGGTCACCGCTAGCTGAAAGGCAGCGCCATTGTATGCGTCCGCGTCACCGAAGGATCCGATCAGGAATCGGGCATCAAGAGGCTCAGAGGCGGACAGGAATTGAACGGGAAGGTCTTTCTGGGTCTGAGGACACGTCGTCAGCTGTGTCATGGCTCTACGGGACTCCGTCACCTACCAGGTCGAGTCTGGACTTGCCATTGTCCTTCACGTTGAACGGGTATGAAATGTCCAGTCCAGTCTCCGGGTCCTGGAGGAGCAGGAACACCTGGTGGGCGTGCTTCCCAGCGCGTCCTTCCTGAGCTGTCAGGGTCACTTTCAAGGTATCGGCGGATCCGAAGGCGACGGGCTTGGAGAGAGCGTTGTTATCGGGGATCCTGTCAATTGGAACAACGATGAGCCAGACTTTCAATTAACCCAAAGGACAGTGTAGAAGCAATGCGTACGTTTCCTTCACGCCAGTACCGACACCAGCGCCCTTGGTGTTAACTGACACGGTGGCATCAGTAAATCCCCATGTGGAGGCGGTCGCGGTCGGGATGGCGGCAGAAGCCAGCAAGAACAGCTGGAGGACGGAATGCCACAGCTGCATGGTGAACGAGAGACTCGACCGGAGACCGAGGGACAAAAAAGAGGAGGGATGGCAAGGACCGGGACGAGGGAGCTGTAGCTGTTGTAGGACTTGACGAAGGTCGGGCGACGGCAAAGAGAAGATGCGCTAAGATAAGCGCCCGCGGCTTTGGGGCAAGCGGCGGTCCAGTGACCGCCCGCCTTACCGGCGCAAGCCCTAATTTCCCGGCGTCTCGATGGAGTTCGGGCTGCCAAACATTTCTTCCTCCTCCTCTCCGGACTATCGGGTTTGCCTGCCACTGTCGCGATCCCGGAGATCCTCGACTGGCTCGCTCGTCGCTCCTTTGCTGTCGCACCATGCCTTTCAGGCTTTTTCTCTAGCCCCGGGAGCCCCCTGCGCCTGCTGCTTGCCTTTGCGTTCCAACTCCTCGCCTCCGCTTCACCGACGACCACCCTGGACTCCGGCCTCGACAGATAGATTGGGACGGTCGTGGTTACAATTCCACCGAGGATAGCTGGTTACTGGTACGTGGGGAAGCCTCTGGGTGTTTTGGATGCCCCGTGGGTCGCTCGTGCACGGGGTCGGTTTCCAGGAGGTGCCGCTCCTGCTTGTCTCCGTTTTCCGGATCGTCGTCGGCATCCATTCACTGACAACCCCTCAACTCACAGGCTCGACGAACACAGAACTCCCGTCGCATTGCCTTTCCGATCCAAGCCCCCTGATCGCAAGAGAAACCGCCCCAGTTCGCTGGTCACCCGCCCGTTGCCTCCGAGGTCTTAGTCGTGGCATAATCCGGAACGGGGAACCATCCGTATAATTAGGTTGCTGAGGAGGGAGCGATTGCGCACGGCGGACAACAAACAAGTAAGCCGACCGACCTGTGTTATGGCTGCGGGCGTGTGATGTTGAGTGAATGGACTCATTCACTGCAATGGTTACTAACAACACTAGTGGTTGGTAGGGCTTCACTCGCGAGGGATTTCGGTTCACCCGCTGCTTTTCCTCTGGATTCGACTCCGGTACTTCTTTTTCTTCTTCTTCTTCTTCCTCTGCATCACTTTCTCTCCAATATTAACCGTTCTTAGAGAGAAACCCGACGCAGTTCGTCTCGTGCTTCACGTAAAACCACCCGCGAACCCGAATCCCACTCATCGTACTCTTTGCCTCCCACGCCCCTCACCACCTCTTTTGAAGAATCTTTTCCCTCTGCAAAACGCCGCAAGACGCAACGCTCCGTCGCCCAAGACGAGAAGAACGTGACGTCTCAAGAGCCTACAGAGAACCCGGCATCTCTACAGACCAGCGTGTCTAGAAAACGAGACCGCCAGCGAAAGTCAGCCCTGAATAGCAGTGAAGCCGTTCACCTGGCGACTCCCACTGCCTCCACTTCCAAGCCAAAGTCGCGACCTGAGCAGTCTCAGTCGACTTTGCATCATTTTCTTTCCAAAAAACCCCAGGACCGACGCAAGTCTCTGGCTACGCCAAACGCGTCTTCAGCCAATCACAAAACCATTCACACTCACTCTGACGACGACCCATTCACCATGAGCACTTCGGTCTCCAGCCGTAAGACCCGCCAGTCCATGCCAGCCCAGCTGAACGGCCTGGACGGCGACAAGAAGGCATCTTCGGTGGAGAGTAGTGCTTCTGTCTCTACCCCGCAGCCCTCTCATAGCCGAAACCCCCAAGGTGCCAAGATGACCAAGACTCCTGCACAAGTCAGACTTGAGTCCAAGACTTCTACAAACTCTGCCGCTAAAGCTCCCGGTCAGAGTGGCACGAAGCCTACGACTCCTGCTGTGCAGCCTCGTTCCACTCCTACCAATGCATCCACCCGATCTCGCCGTTATGGACGCAAGTCTTTTGCAAATGCACAGTCGACGCCAGTTGAAGCCACTGCGAGCAACCGCAAGCCTACATCTTCGGTCGTCACTAGAACCAGCTCTCGCCCCCAGCGTTCGACCAGAAAGCTGGCCGCCGACGCCGCCATTAACCACCAATCTTTGGATCACTTGTCAGCCCCCAACACACCCTTCCGCCGGGAGATTGCCGACAGCATTGAAAGCACGCCTGCTGTTGATGACAAAGCCACCGGGTTTGAAGCCACGCCCGGCTTTGAGGTGGACACCCCGGGTCTCGAAGGCAACACTCCATACGGTGAAAGCTTCCCTTTCGATTACCACTCCGACATGTATCGCAACAACTTTGGTCTCGATGGTAATCTCGATGCTCCAGGGTCCCCCACTGCTAGCTTCTCTACTACTACATCAGCCGCTCGTACTTCGGGACGCACCAGAAAGCCCACTACCAAAGCCATGGAGTCAATAGAGTCAGAACGGCGGTTCCGTCGGAATCGCACACCGTCGGTGAAGCCAGACCCCACTCCGAAGGAAACTGGGGTTTCGGCTGGCAAGGCGCGCGTGAATCAACCCACGACGCTGCCCAACATGCCAGCCCCGGCTACGCAGGCGGTCGAGCTGGATCCAGTGGTCATCGCGAACCGGATGCTTGACCTGGCCGCGGTGGCCCTTGCCCCAGAATTTGAACCGGCGCCAGAAGTGGAAGTGTGGATGGAGGAACTTCGACAGGAATTCACCAAGAAGCAAGAGGGCGAGACGCAGCCCAAGCCCGAGACACCAGCGGAGGCAGGGGCTGGGGGTTCAAGTAAGCCCCATTCACCATCTGACGCCAACCGATGGACTGACGAGGACGGCTTCATCTACACAGGCCAACTGAACGAATTTGGCGAGGAGCTGGTCACCGTTGGGCCCGGATACGCCTGGTACCGGCCCAACAACACATATGGAGACCAGCAACTCCCCCAGCCCCCAGTCCGCTTAAAGTCTCATGAGCAACTGGAAAAGGATAGGATCTTTGGGTTTCCGCCGCTCATGGGAGAGCGGAACCTGCCTCGCGAGGCGCAGACTTTCTACTACGAGAATGTCGATGAGGTCAAAGCGTCGATCAAAGCCCAGAAGGAAGCCAAGAAGAGGGGCATTGTCGTGGATCGAATGATGACGGCGGCCTACATCCAGGCATTGATCGCTCAGCACGACGAGAACGCTGCGAAGGAGGGGCTCACTGAGGTGAAGGGGACCAAAGAGCCGACCCGCAAGCGGCGCCGTGGTGAGGCATCAGAGAATACCCAGGTGTCCAAACGACGACGAAGAGAGCCAACGCCGGTCCCCGAGCCGCCCAAGACGCTGCGAATCAAGCTGACCCTGAAGGGAGCGGCGGCGGCGGCAGCTGCAGCAACCAAGAAGCGATATCATTCCGACATGGAGGAAACGCCCGCGGAGACTACCAGTCAGGAGGAGCGGCCCAGTCCATCCAAGATTCTCAAGCTGTCGGGCCTTCGTCGCAATTTTGCCGTCGAATCTACTTCGACGCCTTCCACTCCTGGGACCGACACGAAGAAAAACACCTCGAATGGGACATCTGATACTTCGGAGGCGGGACCCTCGGAACCGAACCTGGGCACGACGCCTGGAGGGCGTCCTCGTCGTCGCGCGGCAGCTGCCTTGATGGCCGAATTCCAGAATCATGCTGAGCAGAGGGCACGTCGAGCCAATGCACGAAAAAAGGGGGGATCTAGCGACAAGCCGGATGATCCAGACCACGCCCAAGCCTGATCCCACGATAATTCTCCCCCCGATCTATTACTCGACTCACAACCCTTGCTTCTCGACGCTGTTATCTATGACTTTACATCACACATTCGGCTCCGTGGCAACCTGCGGAATGATCTGGTCTGACTCTTTGGTGATCTATCTATCTACTCTTGCGCTCATCTCTAATTTTTCCCTTTCAACATTGCGTGACTCTCAAACCTCAATATCAACCCGCGGTGTCGTTTCTGACTTGTGCGTGACTGTTGGCCATGGACTCGTTGCAACCGATCTTCGACTTGGATGTTAATACATCTCTCTCTCGACATTTGCGTGGCGTCGAACAATTTCATACTACCCGCGAGTCCTGTGGTTGGTGTGCGTACTGCTTGCTTCTCGACACTCAATCTCTAGATGCTCAATACATCATATGCTCATTCGCGTGAAACTCGAACGATCTCCTCCGTGGGGTCTATCAAGCCAACTTGATTATTCGGATTGCGGTCAGCCACTTCTCGACATAATTCTCAACGCATAGGGTTCAGCATCACACTCCTGCGTTACTCGACCATCTACATACAAGCAGAGTTATTCAACTCCACGATCATCGAGTGTGACTGAATGATTGATCATAGCTCACTTACTTCTTGACCATCTCAAATTGAGTTCAATTCACATGCTCAACACTCCGCATGGCCTCGAACAATCTATAACCCGCGGAGTTGTTTCTCTCAGACCAAATCATTGAGCAAGTGATTTAATCACGAGCATTCTACTTCTAAGCTCTTTACAACGCCTTGATGTTACATCATTGGCTCCGCGTGGCACTCGACTACTACACCAACCCCAGGAGTCTGTCATCGTTGAAGTATTGTGAACACGATCATGATCCATTTCATCTTTCTCTACAGGGCTTCCGCGTGGCTCTCGATTATCTACACCAACCCGCGAGCCAGTTACTCGTGAAGTTGCCTGACCTGCATCTCCAATCTATCCCATCATCGTATCTACTCAGCCTGCATGGCCTCAGACATCCACATCCGCGAATCGCAGCTACTCATGAAGCATAACCAAATCGCAATCGCACACTCACCCATTTCTCCTCTACTTCATCTCACCATCTACCTCCAAGTCACACCAACAGTCACCACTTAACCTCTTACCCCACCATCACGGAGTTTCGGACATCGTATTGACTTGATATTCGAGCATAGCGTTTTCTGCCAGGCAGGCGACAAGTTATCGGCGTTTTAGAATCATGCTTCGTTCGATTGTTGATGTGGCCGTAATTGTCTGTCTGTCTATTAGACGAGAAACTACACATCTCTCAGTCTATCTACTATTCAGACAAGATCATCCACCCCAATGTTTCATCATCGGCGCTTGTATCATCAGGGTTGGGCGGGCGGGCGGGTGGGTTGGGTGCTCAAACCGAGCTGTATTGTATTATCTTGCTTAATTTTGTATTGTAGGATGGGGATTATTTTCTCTTTCTGTAAATTGAATGAGCGTGAAGCTACTAGGGTTAATTGATTGTATTATGATTACTACACTACACCACACCTTTAGAATCTCACTTCATGTAAGGAGTACTGTATGGCGGATAGACAGATGCCTCAGGCAGACACAGTCCAGCCATGAACCAACCAGATAAACACCTGACTTTTCCGCCTCGCCGAATCAATCCATCCTCTCCCCTACCCACCCAGCATCTACTCTACATCTCCCTCCCTACCTTAATTCTAAATACTCAACCCCCAAACAACCCCCAAGATAAATAAAAGAGAAGGGGAAAAAATGGTATCCCCAACCCCCAAACAAAGAGTGGTCAGAGATCCGCACCTCCAACCATCACCACCACACCAACCCCAAGCACACCAAGGGCAGCGACCAACCACAACCCCCCGAGCAATTGGCGGAGCAGGTGGTGCTGCTCGACCCGGAGTGAAAGATATTCGCCAAACAAAAGAATATAAAATTGCTGCGAGGAGGTTAGATTACTTGCCTTACCTACCAGCCCTTTTTTTTTTTTTTTTTTTTTTGTCCGGATACTAATGAGGGAGTGAAATAGATGGTTATCCACGATGGTGGCATTACCGATTCTGATGTATACGTCTTGGAGTTTGTGGGAGAGGAGTATGTATCCCCACCCCCCTTTTTTTTTCATTGTTTTGGGGTGTGCTTTGAGGAAGGAGAGGGTTGTGAAGAAGTGTTGCTGATGATGGTGATTGGGATAGCGTATGGGGAGAAGAGTCCTAGGCGGTTGCCTACTTCTACTTCTACTTCTAGTAGTCCTGTTTCTTCTAGTGGTGGTAGTGGTAGTGCTACGGAGAAGGAAGGGGAGAAATGAGTAAGTACTAGGGTGTTGGGGGGATGCTGGGTGAGCTTGAGTGTGGATTGGGTGTTGGGGTTGGGGTTGGTGTATGTATGTATTACTATGGGTTATGAAATGTATTTTTATTTCTATACTTTGCAGTTACATTGAGGTTGATTTGGTTATAGTTCTGGTGCGGAGGGGTAAGGGAAATTTAGGGAGGGTTTATGGGGTAAGTACTATGGATGTATGCAGGTATGGGGATAGAGTGTCAGGGGATATGTGTTGTCTTCTTGCTTTGTGGGGGTGGGAAGGTGATGTTGGGAATCTGATGCTAGTAGTTTCTTGTGATACACAGAAGAAGCATAGGGGTATAGTAGATAGAATATGTAGAGATACAGGTTGATCAGTGATGCAGTTGGTAGGATCTGATATATACAATGTATTTGATAGGCTAAATACAATGTAATGTCTAAGCAATGTATCAAGCAAAGCACTCTTCCCAATCACCACCAGATCTGGCAAAACTCAGTCCCCGAACAAAATCATCCCGAGTACATCTGCCCAAAGCATCAACCCGACACCCGTGCAGAGGAACAACCCGATCATTGACCAACACTCGCACCAGAGGCTCCTCCGTTTGACACTGCATCATCTCCACGTACATCCGCGATGCGAAAGGAACCGTCCACGCAGACGAGTATCCGTCTGTCTCGGTGATGTTCTCAACAGTAGTCGACGATAACGCCTCGGTCCCGTTGTACAGCCCCAAGGCAAAGAGGATGGAGGTGATTCCGTTGTCGTGCGAAAAGTCAGCGTACAGCGTCGAGTTGAGCGGAAAGGTAGCTGGATTGGAGTCCAGGGTGTGGTTGCTGCTGGTGTCGTCGTGGACAGGCGTGTGGGTGAGTCGAGCGATGAGCTCGTTGGCATAGCCCACTCCCTGGGTCGGTCCGAGCGGGTTGCCTGCCCCGTGGCCGTAGTACTTGTCAAGAGACTTGAGGTAGTTGTAGTTGATCCATTCTTCGTGCGTGAACAGATCACAGAAAGGGGAGAGCTTGGTGTCGACCGTGTCCGTGGAGATGGTGTCAAAGGAGCACATGTCCATCACGTAGGTCACCTCTTTACTCGTCAGAGTCACCCCCGACAAGTCATTCTCCAGACGCTTGCGAATAGAGGGCACAAAGGTGGCGGTGAAGGTGGCTTCGATGTCGTCGGCTAATTCGCTGTTCTCAAAGACGGTGCAGGTGCCCGGGTCGAGGGTGTTGTTGGCGGTGCTGGCCTCGGAGATGACCACGTTGATCTTGGGTGCCGATTGGCCAGTCTGAGCGCGAGGGTCCTTGAGCTTGGTGTTCTGGAAGCCCTCGACGAACTTCTTTCCAGAGGCGATCACGCGGCTCGAATCCGAGGATCGGATGAACGGGACAATGTCCTTGGCCAGCGATTCGTATCGCTGGTAGAACTTGATGCCCGAATTGACCAACTCCTTCTCTCCGAAAGGAGTCAGATCGTCTGCGCCCAGGCTGTAGTTGTACGACTTCAGGAACGCGTACTTTCCCTCGAAGGAAGTCGCATCCTCCTGAATCTTCTCGATCAGGGCAGCGTACTTCTTACCCTTGGGCGCGGTAGGATACCGGGCTCCATGGCGGGAGAGAACCTGCGCAAAGGTAACCCGACATCCAGTCGGAACCTCTGGGGAAATGGTCGACTCGTTTGCCAGAGAAAAATACGGTGCGTACTGGCCCCAGAGATGCGAGGTCTGGGAGAAGCACTGGTAGCCCTGATCGACCGTGTCACACGTGGACTGGTTTCTCGCAGGAACTGCAAGTCCGAAGGAAATCCTGCACGACTGTCAGCCATTGTCCGCACATCTGGCAAGGAGAGCTTCTTATCGACTCCGATAGCGACATCACATACCCGGATAGCAAATACAGAGGAAGTAGAACCGCAGAGACGCCCATGATGCCTACCAAAACCAATTTCTTGCAAAGCTGCAGTCTCCGGCGCCGGGCATCACGCCGGACCGACCGGTCTTCATATAGGCCCCTCATCTCGTAGCATGCTGTGTGATGCTCTACCTCTTCAGGTTAGCAGCGCACTATGCTGACCCACGTGCAGGGATCCGATGGAGCTCTCAGCCAACAACTCCGAATGAGACGGCAAGTTGATGAAGAGTGGGCAAAGACGGGAGAAAAGTGGAGGAGACATGGAGGGAATTTGAGACTGGGGCCTCCCCCAAAATCGGGACCTGACCGACTGGCCTGGTAGGGAATTCATGCAGATTGCAGACGCGGTTGTCGCTTGTCAGGTTGCAAAGTACCTGCCGTGGGCGATGCTGATAGGCCCTCCCGCGCACGTGGACGGGCGGACATTTCCCGTTGGAGCTGGCTCGTTGCCTGAGTGCCTGGATGTTTGAGGCCAGGAGAAGCTCCCCAACTTTAGCTTCCATCGTTGAAGGTTCATCCAACTTCATGCGTCGTCAATTCGTCCATGGTATTATACACAGTCTAGGTCGTCCGCCAACCCCACACAACGGACGCTGAAAGGGCATGATCCCGAAAGATGACGAACAATAAATCGCCCAACGAAAATCATCGGCTCAATGAGCTGCATACAGCAAGCAGTATCTCTAAATTCAACCATGCAGATCATTCCATTCAATGTAAAACAAACGCCACCCAGCATATGGACCAGCAAGAAAATAAGAGATATGTGTAACTGTACGTGCAGAAAGGCAGACCAACAAACGTGATAACGACAAAACCAAGAAGCCACCCTTCACATTGCCACCCATCCTGACACCAAGGTCCACTATGCTGATCACACGAATCCTGCGCAGAGAGCTTTTCCATCAATGCTAAGAAAACGTCGCCTCCGTAAGATATTAAATCAGGCCGTTTAGGAACTTTTATCGCTCGCAGCCCAGCACGGGCTAGGAGTAACTGACAATAAGGAAAGAAGGAAGATATCTTCACCGAAGAGTGCCTCACGGTATTAGTAGCCCTCCCTGCGAGCCGCCGCAAGCACCATCATAGATATCTTCCCATATCTCAAAACTGCATGTCATCGCCCGTATCATCGTTTGACCCTTTCTGTTACGAGCTCCGCGCCCATTGTCCAGGAAACTGGGGCAGTGATCGTGCCTGCTGCTCATCAGGCAGGATACTCCGCTCGACATGGGTTGTTGCATACGAAGCCGGAGCCGTGGACCAGGTCACGGGCGGCCTCGTGGATGAACGGGCCATCAGGTTGGATGGCGCCGGAGCCAGCTTCCCACCTGGGCCAGAGGTGGTCTCGACAACCTTGCGGGAACCATCGGACGTGTGCCATGCTTCGCGCTCACGCTCAGATGCGGTCGGCTCGAAGGACGGGCGCAGGGCTCGAGGAGAAGCGGGCCTGGTGGGCAGCTGGCCTGCAGGTACCAAACGAGTGACGTGCTCACGAAAGAAATCTCTCTCAGAACGGTAGAAATCCCGTTCCTGGATCAGAGATCGGATCTCTTGGGCCTGCCTCTGCATCGCTTCGGTGTGTTTCCGGATCTCATCCTGCTGCCCAGCAATCTTCTGCTCCAACTGCATCTCGTTTCGTTTGCGGTTCCGGAATCTCCTGGACGCATCACTATTCGCCCTCCGTTTCTCGGCCTGGCTAGACGACCCGGACTTCAAATCGAGAAGACAGGGAATCATGCCAGGGTAAGGGGGGCTCTCCGGTGGGCCTCCCACCGCAGGCTTTTCTTCGCCCGTATGCCTAGATCCTGCCATTACTGAAGGCAATCGAGAGGCTGGTTCACTTTTGATATATGGAGATGTAGTGAGGAACGAGGGTGTGTGTTGAGCCAGAGGCGCGGCAGAGACGGCGGGAGATGACCGTCCGAGCTTGCTGTAAGCAGAAACCGGAGTCGTAGGGCTCGTTTCCTGTGAGCTCGGAGCAGGAGTAGGATTGGCACTTGTTCGACGGCTGTGGAAAGTTGGGGTCGAATGGATGGAGACTGGAGCCACTGCTTGATGCGTAGATGTCGGGATTGGCTGTCCAGAGACCGGATCGATGGTCAAGTGAGAACCAGGAGCTGGGGAATAGGAGGCTAGCCGCGATGCATGGGCCAGAGGGGACTGTGACACCCCCAATTTGGGGGGGTACCCGCCTGGAGCAGCAACGAAGCGCGCGGACGGGGAGGCGGGGGCGATGGCCTGATGACTTCTCATGGCAGGAGATGAAGATAGGCGTTTTGCTGGATGAAGGGACGGAGAAGGGAGATGGACGGAGGGGGATGAGGGCAGCCGAGCATGGGACGAGGATGCAGTCGGTAACTGCGACACCAAACCTTCCCGACCGTTTTCTGCGGCCACGACAGCAGCTTTTGAGGGAGGGTTCAAGATGGATTCAACTCCGAGGGAACGAAGTTGAGTTGATTGCATCGAGGGTTCCACAGGAGCCGATGGAAGCCAGGAAAGAGGCCGGGGACGCACAGAATCAGGACCATCGGAAGATGAAGAGTCATCGTCGGCGCGAGGCCGTTTCCTGTCAAACATACCGTGGTCCTCTGCCTGACGTGCTGCGTCATCTGAGGAAGAACCCGCCAATGTGGACGACATATGCTCCGATTCTCCTTGGATAGATCGATGGAGCGACCTAGGGCATTGCGGGGCTCCCTCTCTCTCCAGAAGAGCCGAAGACTCACGAAGAGCTGCCTGATGAGAGAGGGAGCCGGCTGGTTGGGCAAGATGGTAGCCTGGCAGCGAATGATATGGTGGCGAGGAATGAACCGGGTGGGAGTATGGAAGTGTCCCCAACACGCTGATCCCGAGGGTAGCCACGGTGAAAGGAAATGCACGGATCCACGAGAAAGTCGGAGAGGAGAGGTGACGGATGGTGGAAGGGATGAAGTGAAACGTCGATAGTATTCCTTTTTTGTTTTTTTTTTCTCTCGTTTGTTTTCTTCCCGACTTGGAGGAAATCTGGAGTTGCGGAAAAGACAGAAGGGGAGAGTGAGGAAGATGGAAGTACTACTACAACGATAGTGACCAGCAGTATACCGAATGTAGTAGGAGTGGCAGTAGTAGTAGTCGGTCGTATTAAAACAGTACCAAAAGCCAACCAGCGAGAGGTAGACGTTGCTTTCTTTTGAAATAAAATAGAAAAGATCAGATGGGCAACGAGCAAGGAATACAAAATATTATCTAGACGATGAATGAATAAATCCGGGCATGGGAGGAAGAAGAGAAGAAGAAGAACATCAAGTGAAAGCCGGAAGGGATAGGGACAGGGACAGTTTCAGTTGGAGAAGAATCATAAAGGAAGAACCCAAGCCAGAGAGAGACTGATGATGATGATGAATGATTTATTATTATTTATTTTCTAGGCGTGGTTTATTCTGGCTCGCGGACGGCTTTCCCAGTCAGAGCAAAAGGCGATCGTAGGTCGTTGACAGCATTCGGCGGTGAGGAACAGACCCGATGGTCAAAATAAATGGAGATAAAATAAATCAGTAGCAGGAATAATAATAATATTAATAAAAAATCCCAATCGAAAAAAATTATGCTGAGCGGGGGGGCGCCAAAAACAAGAGTGGGTGGGACCCCATGAGTGAACCCAGCGGCGTGGGAAGAGGAGACAACTAAGACAGGCCCCAGTGCCGACTTGCATGGGCGGATCGCGCAAGTCACGGCAGCAGAGGACGGACGACAGCAGAGCGCGCGCAATCGGCATGGCTGGAAAGCAAGCAAGCAAGCAAGCAGCGAGAAGCAAGATGGTCAAAGGGTCAGTCAGCAAGAGAGTTCGAGGTCCATGTGTACTTAGTTAGTATCCATCAGCATCCGCCAGTGCTTGCTAGGTATCCGTACCGACAGCATTACCGATTACACACAGCATACCGACATACATACACCCAGTCTTACTGATTACTTACATGAACATAGTACAGGGTACAGAGTACATACGTGGATACCACCCACGGCCCGACTTCACCCAGCCTGGACCTGGCAAGAAAGAAGCCAATGGATGATGCAGATGTGCAGCCATTATTATCCCACCACGCCCCCCTCCCTATCCTCTTAGTACCCAAGGGACGTACTTAATTAGTACCTATACCTGACTCGTACTTTGTGGTGATACCGACATGCATGCAGATGCATATCTAGATTAGGTAGACCTGGTGGTACCCGGTGGCCAAAAGTACGGAAAAAGAGGTGGGGGGAAGGCATCACCATGGAGGAGCCCCGGGGGTGACGGAACTGGTTGCCATGGACTGAATGTTCCCAATATAGCAGAGAGATAGATAGCCTAGGCTATCACTTAGGTACTCAGTAGGTGACTTGGTAGGGTTAGGGGTGGGCCATCTGCCTAGAAGCGCTGACGAACGTGGATGGAATGATCAACTGGGAAAACAATCTCATATTCCACCCTAGTGACTTGGCCATCTGATTGCTGCTTCCTGCTTCCCTGTCGAAGCAGGACATAACCGCGCCTCGGGAGCTATCAGTCAGTCCATGGAGGTGATCCCACGGGATCCTTCCACAGCTCCAGCTGGCCGAGGAAGCAGCATGCATTGATTAGGTACCAGGTACGTAAGATCGTAAGGGAAAGTCAGTCAGCTACCTAGCCAACGACGTAATCCGCTAACCACGAGCTAGTGGGCTCACTAAAGGCAACTAACACTGGCCTTGGGGCTGGGGAAACCGAAAGGTGCAGGTGAACCGGAGCGCTTAAACTGGGCGCGCCATCGCCATGGTTCAGTGGAGGCCCTGAAATACCTGCCTGGTACTTTACCCATACCGACCGATGAAGTCGCAATTCTAGCGGTGTTGCTGGGATCCTTACGGTACCCGCGAGGTATCCGCTCATGTACCATACCGTTCTTTCCCCCTCCCCCAATCCACTGACTCCGCCAGCACTTACCGCCTAGGTGCCATCTTCAACTATCGAGCATCCACGACCAACCCCATAATATACTAGAACAATCCCCCAATTGATTGTGATCAGGCCACTCGATCCCTAAGTGAATTCGACTAAGTTCTCGGTCATCCTCGGATTCGGAAGGATCCTATCCCTCATCCTGCCTTACGACGATCCTAGACTAATATTCTGCTTGACGTTCTAGCTTTCGCCGCCTCCACGGAGTTCACTTTCCTAGTCCATCTCCGATAGCCTTGGAGGAGTCCCTCTCCTCTTCAAAGCCTCAACCATGTCACTTTGCAGTAAATGTCTCTTGTGGATCTTAGATACCTTTCTATACCTCGGTATCATCAGCATGGGTGACTCGTCCCGGTTAGAAGCAGCACGGACCCAATGCAAGCCGGAAACGTGATTTGTTGGAGAAAAAGGAAAAGAAAAGAACCAAAAAAGAAATTAACAAAAAGGTCGGAAAACGGAAAATAAATTAATATTCAGGAAAGGCAAAGTCAGAGGACATCTGGCTAGCTCTAACCCTGGACGGAGCCATGTCGTGGCTTTGTGTTGCCGGCGGTTTTAGACCCTCGTTCTCCTCCAGGCGACGCTTATCCTGATGGGCCTTCCTGCCTATCTACCTAAGACTAGATGCCTTAGCCCCAGGATAGGTGCCGTGCCAATCCTCCTAAGAAGCTAAAACAAGGCCCTCGTCTAGTTCGCGTCGGCAGATGGGGCGGATGGCCGCGCTCCTCCCACTCAAGACGCCCGAATCACGATGTCTTGCATGCATGCGGGCAACATGCTTTTGCCTTCCTCCCCCAAAGTGGATGACAGACGGGTGACCGTCGTTACCATGTCACCTGCTGATCACCGTTGCTTCTCGCCCTCTTAGTTCCAAGAACACTTTCCTCCAGTGCTCCTACGTGCTGCCTCCACTCCGTCGTCCCTAAGTCGACAATGCCTCGACACCAAAACCACGCGAGCTGAGTGCCGTGATCTGTGTATCTGATAGCTTCCTTAATCCCACAATAAGCAGCCTTCTTCTCGTGGCTTAGCAAGGCCCTTAAAAACTGGGTCCGGGGGCTGTGAGAATCCCCTTTGTCGGACGCAGGCAGCAGAGCAGACAGGTCATCAAGAGGGCTGGCTTGTCATCCTGGAACCGTCATCTGAGTGGTCCACGGAGGATGCTTTGTGTTTCCATTCGGACTTTGTTGTTCACTCAAGTCGGGCCAAAAGTCAAAGGGAGGCAGGAGTGTTTCAGCTACGTCATTGGGCATCAACCGCCATGGAAACAACTCAGAAGCAATGTGCACAAGGTAGGCCTTGCTATATATCCCGCAAACTGCACTGCAATGAAGAGTACTCTGCGTCTGTCGATATGACAGCATTATACCCACCGGTGGGAATGTTGCATTACATCTGCCTTGCCGTACACTTCCTCTTGGCCTGAAGGAAGGTTCTCGGACTGTATATGATGGTAATATCACCGGATCAGGAAGACAGTCACTTGCAGGCTGCAACACAGCCCAAACACCCATGCATTAAGTGCAGATAAGCTCTCCATAATCTCGGTCAATAAGCCCCAAGGGCGAGGGTAGTCCGGAACTTCCTCTTGAGTGCAGTAAGCAAAGCCACCTAATACTCTTGAAGGAAGTAGGTCCCTCAGATTAAATTGGCTGGATTCAGTGGAGTCCGTAGAACTGGCGCCATGAAGACCAGCCGTTAAGGCTCATGGACCATTGGTGATCGGGCTAAGCCGGATTGCCGCGTTGTTTCCTGTCTCGCACAGTTGCGCCTTTCCGGTCAATTCTTCTTGCCCATCTTGCTGCCCATTGCGTTGCTTATTTTCTCAAGCTTAATGGAGGCATCGCTGTGGGGAATCTTCTGAGGGCATAAGGTTGAAAATTGGTGCCGTACTTTTTGAGGGTAAGTGGATGAAACGCCAGAAAGGTGAGGCGATAAAATAGACTATTACTACTATGAGGCAAACCTAAAAAAGAGGCATAAGAATAATCAGAAAGATAGGACAAAAAGGTAATACAAAAGGAGTGCTTGTAGATCTGTCCAGTACATATGTCGGTAAGGATCGGTGAGCTCCATGCTTCTGCAGAAAGTAGCGAATTACCTGCAGTAAGCTTGGGAAATTTCTCTGCGATCTAGCCGATCCAAGGGCCGCGATTGGTCAGAAGGGAAAAAGTCGTGGACCATTCTTCGTTTTCTGTGGACGAGTGGTCCCTCTGTGCTACCCCATAGGGACGGTTGCTTCGTTTAGTTGGCGCACCCAGCTGGATTGGGGTTCACCCTGCCACGGACAACTAAGTGACCGCTGTGGGAAACTGCCTCCAATACTAGAGGGTTTTCAGAGTGGGTGATAGGCATGGTAGGCATGGTTCGCTCCCCCACGGACGCGGTAACCTCGCTAGAGACGGCAAAGACGATTAGATAGCATCCGATATCCGATCTCCTTCACACTCAAGTATTGAACAAATCACCGCTGCTGATAATAGCCTAATCATTGTCATTCTCCTACTGGGTGAGAAGATCCCTTGGCTGGTACCGGCTGAATAGGAGGCAGTAGGCACATCGGTTCTGGAAGCCTCTTCTAGCCAGTTGCGGGTCGCGCCAGCTCGGTCTTCATCCTGGTTAGTCAATCCATGCCAAACTGCCCATTGTCCATTGCCCATTGGATTAGAAGTGGGTATCTATCTGCTATTTAGTGGAAGGTTTATGGTAGTGCTAGCCATGTTCTGTATAGCGGATGGAGTACACGTTACCTGATTAATATGTGCGGGAAGTGGAGTCCAGATGTTCCGTCCTCATTTGATTCATCCATCGTGGCGGCTGGACGGGACCAGGCATGGATGCCACTGATGGCGGAAGCCAGCCAGACGCAGCGGTCGGGACCGGAATCATTCTCCGTCTCCCATTCGTGTGCCTCGTTTGTGCTTTTCTCACTGGTCACATAGGAGATGATTTATCCTTGCACGTCGATTGGCCTGGAACCCTGTCTTTTCCCCCTTCCTGTCCCCTCGCTGGAGCCAATTCCAGTGGCCGCTCGATGTTCTGGGTCCTTATTCTCCAATCCGCCGCAGCTCTGTGCAGTTTGCTTCTGAACGACGCTAAACCGGGGAACGCCACGGGGACACAGGCGGATGTGGAAATGGGGACGGAGTGTGAGAGGGATTGCGTTAGTTCATGCGTTAGCCCATGCGTTAGTCGGAGGAGACGAGGGGGCTTTTCCCAGAGGAGCGGTTCCTGGTTGCGTGCTATTGACGGTTATCACCTTAGGAGACCAGACCATGGAATGAATACCCAGGCAAGATGGAATGGACAGGATAAGGTGGCTTCTGTCTGGGTTCTCGAAATGTCGATTGTTGGTGTTCAAGCCAGGGGTGGGAAAGGATTGTCGTTAGGCTGGCCACCTGACCTGCCTTCCTTCACAATCCTGCGAAGGCCTGTTTTTTTTACCAGAGGAGGAAGGTGTATTGTTATTTCTCCAAGTTATCAATCACGACGCCGTCAGATCCCAGCAAATCCAATTGATCGCCACGAAGGCTCCATGGCCTTGGATCCCATTGTTTCTTGCCTTTGCTTTTTCCTTCTAATTTTTCCCCTAGCCCCATTCTTCTATTGTTTTCCGTTTCCCTTGTTACCCTTAAACTCGGTGATGCCGCTGTAACCGCCCGTCAGTCGATTATCATCAACTACTATTATAGTTAATCTCGGTTTATCTCGTGCTAGTTGTCATTGTCATCCCTGGTCTGCTTCCTTCCGATGCAATTCTGTTTGATCCCCCTTCCTGACATTGTCGCCTCCATATAGCCCATAGCTCATCGGGCCCGAATCCCAATCATGGAGTACACAGGCAGGAAAACCTGCGCATCGGAAGGTATCCACTCTGTGCACTCCGTACTTTCGAACCCCCTGCCCTGCATCGCCTAGCTGGTATTCTTATGTACGTAAGAACGTACATACTTACATCTGTACCTTGAATGTACGTACAGTCAGTGTACAGTCAATAACTCGGTAAAGTATCGCCCTGCAGCCGAAAAGGAAACAGCAAGCAGAAAAAGAAAGCAAGCTCCCGTTCATCCAAGAGCTTCTGGACTTGTCGCTATCTAAGAAACACCGACCACCAATCCACCGGCTTGACACAGTGATATTCAACGGACCAGTTCGTCCGCATGCAAAGATTGGCACTGACTAGATCCCAGGGTAGGTAGTATTGCCGTAGCGCATGTGCTGCACATGCATGCACCATCCTTCACACTTGTCACCCACCATCTTGAAAGCCGAGCGATCATCAAGTTAGACTCCGTATAGGGCAGGTACACTGCATGCAATCCCGAGATCCTGGAGGCGGATGCATCATTATACAGGACTAGGACAAAGAGTGGAGGAGATAATAGCATTATGGACCGGAAGTTGTTTGCTGCCCTCTGCAACAGTCGGGAGTTCTGTGGTGTCCTTAGGCATCCCTGCGTTCAAGCCTGTCCAATGTACATAGCAGGTCAGCCAACGTAGAATATCTTGGGTACTTTGAAAGCGACCGCTGGGATTTAACTAGTCTTTCGTGCCTAGTTCCATTCGTTGCTTTTGGTTGCTTCCCCGGGTTTCGCATGCAATATAGCGGTAAGCCGAATGACCCCGTCCGTGAACGGAGCCTATTTTATTTGAAGCGATCTTTTCCTTCTGACAAATATAGTCTTGTTGAATTTTGAATTAACACTACATGTGATTATGAAATTCTGACCTCAGAATCAATCTTGCAGACACACGGCGAAAGAAAAATAAAGACAGGCCCGGAGAACAAAGAAGAAAGAAAGACCCGCTGGTCTGCTGACTTGCGGTCACGCCTGTCCGTACTGTCCAGTCCCATCTCCTCGTCTGCATCCACCATTCCTTGACCCGCCGACCTCCCACTTATCCTCCGGTTCGGAGACGGTCGAAGCAGTCCTTCATCCTTCTTCAACGGAAGGAAGGGCCACTGCAAGGGTACGTAGATGCTGCCACCAATATGCTTGAGTCGAGACCCAGCACGTATGATGTGGACGTGTTCCACAGCATCCTTTGTGATGTACGCAGAAGTACCTAACTGCTCCACCCTGGCTGTACGAATCCTGTGGCTAACCGACTCATCACTTATCCTGGACAGTTCACACCTTAGCTAGAACAGCCGTCTCGTTTAGTCCTCAAATTCATGGCTACGTTGATCTTTCAAGATGGGTATACAAGGCGAACGGCACTCCACCAGAAGCCCCGAGTGGTCTCCCATTGCTGGTGATCGACCAGCGGTCGAAATCCCTTATCTTTAAGCTAGTCGACTACTTCCACTAGACTACTGTGCTGACCATTGCGGTCAGTCTTGAAATCGAAACTCATTCTTGGGCTTGCCCCTGATGCCGACGTCGACTCTATAGAGTCGTCCTCCGTACCGGATCGAGTCCGGGAACTGGTCATCGTTGACATCATCCTTGGCAGTCGTGATGAAGAGTTCCGTTCCCACGAAAGTTGGGCAGGTGATGTTTCGGGTGGGAAACGTGATTTCACCAATGATCTTTCCTTCCGGCGAGATACGGATCACTCTTCCACCACCGTAAATGGCACTCCATATACAGCCTTCCTCGTCGATAGCAAAACCATCGGGCTCTTTGGGTTCCCCGATGTCGAAGAAGACTCTTCGGTTGCTAATGTCCCCGGTCTTTGCATCAAAGTCAAAGGCGTAAATCTTCCCGGTGGGAGAGTCGGTCAGGTACATAGTGTCATCCGCAGGGTTCCAGCCAATCCCGTTGGGAATCGTCACTTGTTCAACCATGCGGTGCAGTTTCAGATCTGGATCTAGCCTGAACAGTACGCCTTCATCGCTTGGGGCTTGCACCTTGGGATCGTTCATGGCCCCAGCCCAAAACCGTCCGTGGCTGTCGACTGCCCCATCGTTGAAACGCATCCTGTTTTGGTGACGTTCCGGATGAGTCAGATCCCACGAGAAATGCGGCACAAATCCTGATTTTTGACATACCTATGATCCTTGGCCGGGTCGTCCCATGCCTTCCGGATATAGGACAGCGCGCCCGTGTTGCGGTCGACCAGGGCGAATCCATGTTTTGCGGCTACGACGATCTGATCCTTGCGGGAATCCCCAGCATTCGCAATATTGGCGGTCACCCTACATTTTTCGAAGAAAGGGTTAGTACTGGAGCCACCTACAGAACAACCTCCCTGTGGGCCTATAGGGTGAGCGACATACCCGATTGACGCATGAGTGTCTAGGGTTTTCAGGGAGTCCGGACCTTGGGCAAGATCCAGAGCGTATAGTTTCTGCTGCCAGATATCGACGAAGCGGAACTCGTTCTTGTCCTTGTCGTGAAACGGTCCTTCCAATAAGGTTCCCGGTACATCGACATACGGCTACATACAGAAGCCAGTGTGAGGATCAGCTACCTAATTCGTACCCCACATAGGGTGATCGCCTTTCAGCCGAGGAGTATTTCAAATACCGTACCTTAGAGACCGTCCATTTCTGGAAAGGGAATCCAGACATTCCGATGACAGGCGGTTCAGGTTCGGGATCTGATCGGGAGCACCCGCGGTCAGAGCTGGATCGAGGAATCCTAGTCTATTTGAGGAATATGCACGGCGGTTAAGGCCAGATGAGTACTGGAAGCCTGGAAAATGGAGCAATGATGACGACCGTTGTGGGAGTACTGAGGAACCCAACCCGAGGGAAAGAATCGATAGTCGGGAAGTCTGAGAGGGGGAGCCTTCGGCGGTACCCTCGGTTGCCAAGCCAGCGTCCCCCCGCACGAACCTCATCGAACACTTTTCTGGTTCTTCCCCTTTAGCGTTAGGGAGCTCATGGCCAGTGGAGCTGGGCGACAACTCTGGCTGGCAGGTAGGCTGGCAGCCTGGCACAGGCTACAGCCCATCGGGCCACGACTCCGTTCTCCGTGCCAAATTGGTCGGTACTTTCAGCAGTGGGTAACCCGGCTCAGGTGCCACCGGTGCTAGCTACGAGTCTGGACCAAGAAAGCAGCTGCGGTTTCAGCTGAAGCTCGGTCGCCGCTCGTCGTGCCAATAAATAGACATAGTGCCTCATCGGATGTCCGTGTTCCTCACGGCCCAGGAAAGTATCTCAAACACCCGATCCAGTGGCCCTTTCCACTATTGAGGCCCTCGGGTCTTTGGTGGATACGATTATTGAAACCCACCGTCAGGCCCGACTCCACCGAATGGAGCTATCACCTGTCATGTGAATTGTATGAGCTACCTGGCCCAACAGCTTCGTCACAGCAAACGTGGTAAACTTATCAAATGAGGGCCCAGGAAAAGCAAAGATGAGGAGGAAGACAGGCCCCCACAGTTGAGTCCGTTTGATCAGGTTAATCAAATGCAGTCTCGCCATAACGCCAGCCAGCCCTGCTTGTCACTGTCAGTGACAGGGTGCGGCAGGCTTCCCGTGTTCCGCCTCATTTGTTCCAGACAAGGACCGCAGTGGAGCAACATCACATACGGGGCGATAATACGAACAAATAGGAATGCACCCGGGATCTCCCTGGGGCGTGCGGACGTCTGGAAAATATGGCGGCAGCCGGTAGCGGATTAGTTTAGGGCTTGAAGCAAGCTGCGCGACAGAGTAGGATCAAGCAATGTGAGTCCCGGATCTAAAGCGTTCCTTGGATGCAGACACGGCATATCCGTCCAGGGTCCCAAACTCCGGGACGATGTGGAAGATTCCCTACCAGTTGGAGGCCAGCCTTCTGACATACAGCCGTTACGACAGATTCTCTGCACTGACCACCGAATTCCTACTGAGTAAGTTGTACTTGTGACCTACGTAAGTACAGTAATAATAGGTCGCGATTACTCATACTGATAGTGTGAGAACAGGATTAAATGAGAGAAAGAATAATGAAAAAAATTAAAGGGTGAAAGAAAAGGAAAAAGAAAAATGAGAAAAAGCAAAGGCTGTGAAGGAGCAGCTAGGATGCTTCCAAATCCCAATTCCTTCGGGATTGGGTCGGCGCTAGGCAAGATCCTCGCCTATGGTTTGGCAGACTTACGTTGCTTTTGCTGGCTAGACCGGGTTACTCTAGCTGACCTATTGAGTGAATTGCAGCACAGACTAAGACTTTGTGACCCCCGAGCGGTCTAGCAAGTTGGCAACATGGCTATTGACGACCGAGAATCCGACACCGGCTCCTCAACAACGACACTGACTGAACTGGATCTCCATCTATCTGGGGTGATCGTCGTCATAGTGCTAATCGTACACGAAAGTGGCAAAAGAGGATAATAGGGTCGCGTCGGTTGATGGGGGCGTTGCCCCCATCGGCGGCTGCAGTGATTGACGGTCGGACGGCCCAACATTGGGTCCTCGGCGGTGCAGATATACGAACGGACGGAGTCTGCCAGCAGCCACATACAACCTTAATAGTTCATCCAGTGTAGCAGGCGGGGAGTGCAATGGGCCAGCTCAACGGCGATGCATCCGTTGGGCGGGCAGACAGTACCTGCAGGAGGCAAACACGACTGATATTCGAGCGAGCGTTCGGTGGACCACTCGATCCAGCAATGTGTCCGTGAAAATGCGGTGTACACAGGCTGGATGCGGCGTGTCATGTCGGTCATTCGGTAGCTGGGAGAACTGGCCAGCGGGCGGCGGGCTTGAGGGGGGGATTTCCCCGACCGTTGGAAAATGAGTGGTCACATTGACGGTGGGCATGGCATGTCGAGATGAGGATGGATGTACTTATGTATGCAAGTATGTCCAGATTTAGTTCTCTCCGCGCGGCGGTGCGATTTGAGCAGCAGCGCGCAAGGCCTAGGCAGACTCACATGATCGATTCTTCATGCACGACAATGTAACTTACATGGGGATGCAGCTGCGTACGGGGTTGTGTATCGTATGGTTGGTAACCGGTCAGCTCTGTATGGTAATACCAAGACATACATCCATACCATCGAAACAGAGTAGACCAAGACCAAGACCAAACCATCAAATAAACATGAGTTGATTGAAAGCCTCAATCATAAACCCAACTGACCCTGACTTCCAAGACAGAAACTATACCCCGACCAGCCAACACTTCAACCTCTTGTAAGCAGTCCCAGTCCCAGTCCCAACCCGCCACGACACACTCCAACCAAGACACACATGGGCTGCTTGCTTGCTGGCTGGCTCCCTCCCGTTTGCAACGCAACTAGTCCGTCCAGACCGACAGGACGACAGGGCGACAGGGCCAAAAAGCTACCGCTGACGGACGGAGGATTTGCCCTCCCCTCGGTAGGTTAGGTTAGGTTAGTACCTAACCTGCACGTACCCTACCAATGGCAAAGCAAATCGACAAATAATCGACGCTTGGCTGGCAGTGATTCGGTAGTGTGGTTATGTATGTGGCTTTTTTGGGGATTTCATGCATTAGTTTCGTTTGGGGGTGATACTTGGTAGATACTTGGGTAGATACTACTTTACTGGTGGGAGGGATATTAGGTTTGAGATTAGGATTAGGCTTGTTTGTTTGTTTGAGGGTATGAAGGATGAGTATTTGTGTTTCTGTTTCTGTTTGATATCGGTACGTATGTCAGTAAGTAATATGTACAATCCTAGTAGAATTAAAATTAGGTATTGGGTTGTGTTTGTTTGGCCCTCTCCGCATTTTATATGAGACTGGGTGGGTTGCAGTTGCCGAGGTTAGATAGATGTCATAAGGCTAACCCGGTACAATCCTCGCAAGTTAAGTCTATGTATCTAATATGTATCGAGCAATCAAACATGCATGCATGCAAGCAATCAAGCCGCGTTTCGAATCGATTCATATCTGAGACGTGGTGTGGTGTGGTGTGTTGTGGTGTATCTAGTCTGGTTGTTATGCAGGGTGGGTATCTATCTAGCTGGGATTGAGTCTTGGTTGGGAACGGATTATTCATTATATTTTTAGATGTTTTTGTGTAGGGTGTGGGTATGTAGTAAGTACTTAGGTACTTAGGAGAGGAAGAAGGAGGAAGGAGGAAGAGGAAGAGGAAGAGGATCCCCCACATCGTGAATCAAACCAAACAACACCCCACCTGACAAACACAGATGCATACATAGGTTAGAAAGTAGACAGACGGAAAGAGAAGGCCGAAGCGACCATAGGTTTCTGGATATAGTTAGTCTAGATACTTATATTTATCATCATTTTTTATGGTGGCTATGTAGTATGTACGGAGGGAAAATAAATCTAGGTAGAGAGAAATACATTTCATTAAGTATGAATATATCTAATAAATGAGGGGATTATTTAGGTTGCGTTGGGTATCTTAGACCAACCTAATCTTGCGGTAGCTACCTAACCACTACCTTACCTACTTACCTATTTACCCACCTCAACAACTGAACAGAGTAGATCATGTTTGTTTGCTTGCTCGTTTGCTTAATTACTTGATTACCTGCTTGAGCCATACTATATCACATTCACATATTCACCACTGTCTCTCTCTACATACAAACGATGCATTTAGCCTGAACCCATGACCACCAACCCAAATACGAGATGTATATACTAAGCAAGCAAGCAAGTAGTAAATAGTATCTGCATGCACGTAAGCCCTCTACTACCGACATGGACATTGATGTTGACATGCAGGATGCATGCATGCATATATTCACATTCATACTTACCTTACCACCCCTCCCACCATCATCACAACCATTTACTTACTCTGTCCATCCATCCATCCATCCATGTACGTATATACATACATATGTACAATATCTATCATGTAAGTATGTGTTTGTGTTTGTTCAACCTGAGTTGTACACACATACATATGCAAGACCACTAACTACTTACATACATGTATACATACCCCTTACTTCCACCAACACACCACACCACACACAAAACCATAGGAATGCACATCTGTAAGCATAGACAAGTATGTAGGTATGTATGTAAGTAAGTAGCCCAATTCCCATCCCAACTGATCCCATCCAATCGCCTTACAATCCCATTTGGAATTATCAGGTATCTATGCTTTTGGCTTGGCGGTACTTGGCACAGTGGAAGGATGGATGGAGTTGTTTGATGGGTGTGTGACCTATGCGTGTATGTATGTATGTATGTATGCAGATTGCTGCAGGGTTGTTGGATTAGAAAGGTATGGAGGGAGGGAGGGAGGGGTTAGTAGATTTGCATTGCGGTTTGTATGCATGTATGCATGTAGTATGGACGTGCTTGAGGGTTTACCTGGGTTTGGGTCGTGGTTGTGTAACGTTATTGGGTTGTGGTGTGGTAGATTCTTGTATCTAGATGTGGGTACGGAGTACTGGTAGATAGTAGAGATTTGGTTTGGAATGTAACTTGGGTATTGGGTATTACTTCAACTCGGCTTTTTATACATCACCGATTACTTGGCATACACCAGCCAATGTCGCAGAGACACATAGCTCATGCACCGCCATCAAGGCAACGTTCATCAGACTGGTGTTCGTCCTACCAGACACGTCCCACACGTCACGGTTGCAATTCATTCGCTATCACGCAACCGTGTCGCCTACAGCTTCGTTCCCAGGTTGACATGGATCGCCTTGGCCTGCGAGTACGCCTCCAAACCGGCCTCGCCCAGCTCGCGCCCAATCCCACTCTGCTTCACTCCACCAAATGGCACCCGGAAATCGCTGTCGTTGCTGCTGTTGATCCAGACCATGCCCGCCTCAATATCCGACGCAACCCGGTGCGCCCGCTCAATGTCCTTGGTGAACAGTGCGGCGCCCAGTCCATACGTCGTGTCGTTGGCCCGCGTCACGGCCTCCTCCTCCGTCGAGAAACTGGCAATCACCACAAACGGACCGAAGACCTCTTCCCGGTAGATACGCATGTTGTCCTTGACGTTGGTGAAGACGGTGGGCGCAATGAAGAAGCCCTTACCATCACCCACGTTCTTGAACGGCTCGCCACCGGCCGCCAGAGTCGCGCCTTCGGACTTGCCGGCTTCGATATAAGAGAGCACACGCTCGTACTGAGCCTTGGTGACCTGGGGTCCCTGGAAGGTGTCGTCCGCAAAGGGGTCGCCAACCTTGCTGGTGGCGGCCACCTCCGCCTTGAAGAGGTCCACAAACTTGTCATAGATGGACTCGTGCACCAGGATACGGGAGGTGGCGGTGCACACCTGTCCCTGGTTGTACATGATACCCACATGCGCCCACTTGGCGGCCTGCTCGATGTCGGCATCGTCAAAGACCAGCAGGGGTGACTTGCCACCGGTCTCCAGCGTGATGTTCTTCAAGGTACCGGCAGCCATCTTCATGATCTCTCGGCCAGTCATCGTCGATCCAGTGAACGCAATCTTGTCCACACCGGGGTGGGCCACGAGGGCACTACCGGCAACTCTTCCGTGGCCGTTCAGGATGTTGATAACACCCGGCGGGAAGCCAGCCTCTTTGATGAGGTTGGCGAGATAGAGGATGCTGAGAGGGGTCTGCTCAGCCGGCTTCATAACAATGGTGTTACCGCAAGCCAAAGCAGGACCCAACTTCCAGGCCGCCATAGCCAGGGGGAAGTTCCAGGGAATAATCTGACCCACCACACCGATGGGCTGGCGGAGGGTGTAGGCAAACTTGGCCGGGGTGGTGCTGATGGTCTGACCGTGCACCTTGTCGGCGTATCCGGCATAGTACCGGAGGGTGTTGATGACCTCACCCAGGTCGTCGTTCAGGGAAACGGAGTACGGCTTGCCTGGAGAGGGTCAGTGGATGACGAGAAACCAGGAATCACTTGAAGGCTTCCTACCATTGTCCCAAGTCTCGATCGTGGCCAGCGTCTCCCGGTGCTGCTCGATCAGGTCGGCCAGCTTCTGCATCAGGACGCCCCGCTCAGTGGGAGGCAGCAGCTTCCATGAGGGGTCGTTGAACGCTTTACGGGCAGCCTTGACAGCAGTGTCAACATCCTCTTCACCCGCCGCATAGACCGAGACGATTTCCTCTTCATTGCTGGAGCTGGTCAGGACCGATCCATGTGATGCCCGGACTTGGATCCACTTACGAAGGGTTGATGCTGGCGAACTTCTCACCCGACTTGGAGGGGACAAACTCGTTGTTGATGAAGAGACCCACGGGCTGAGCGTACGAGCGCCCGTTCGGAGCCGTCAACTGCACGGAAAGATTGGTCATGGTGAGTGGAGAGGTATAAAATCGACGAGGGGCAGCTGGGAGGCGGGACAGAGGCAGGCCACGCAGACGCAGGGGGACTCGGAGGGGAAGAGAAAGGAGGGGAGTGGGGGAGAGAAGAGGCATTGAGGTGGCGGAAGATTTTATGGCGAAGAGGGACCTGACTGACTGATAGATAATCAATGGATGAGACAGTGATTATTAGCGCATGGCGATTACGGATGGATTGCCGTGAAGCTTCCCCGCCAGCGATAACCGGAGGGCGAATGGGAGGCGTTGTCCCCGTGCGGCGGCCCCTCTTCGCATACACCTGCTCTTCTCGATCTTTTTCTTCACCTTTCCCCCCGACGCGGAACTCACTTCCATTCTCACTCCCCGATGTCTCGCCAGTCGCCACTGCCATGGAATTAGGCTCAGAAGTCCGAACCCCGTTCCTCCGTCCACCCCGAGCCGTTCATCTCAACCTAACTCCATCCGCAGCTCCTCCGCACTTTTTTCCCTGATCCGGCCGGTGCAGCATCTCTCCTCTCGCGTGCATGCAGCTGCATCCTGATCCCCAATCATCGCCCTTCCGACTCCTCCAGCTGGCTGCTGCGCCCTGAACCTCGCCACGTCCTCCGCCTACCGTGCCCCATCGATTGAACCCACACCACGCCATCCACTACAACTACATTGATCGGTCGGGATAGCATACATAATCGTGGACAAGGGAAGCCTGCACCGGACAAAGGGCACTGGCCCTTTGATCGAACTACAGCGTGAGCTGCTCCCCCTGGCACCTTGCTCGATTGTATGCATCAGATCGTGCGCAGAGCATGCGCTAAATGCGTTCATCAGAAGCACCAAAAAAAAATCCCTTGATTGTACAGAAATAACCATGCGTATCGAATTTCCACAAGAGTAAGTCATCCCAGAGTCGCTACAATGAAAATCGCTTTATCCTTTACTCGCTGGATCCAGGCTCGTCGCCTCCAGCACTGTCATCAGTCGAGGCTTCGGCTGCCTCAGCCTGGAGCTCGTTCCCCTCTGCGAGTCCCATAATGTACCCCCATTCGGTGGCACTGACAGGCGTCACGCTCAGTCGTGACTGCTTGAGCACTTGTAGGTTCTCAAGGGGACCTCCGGCGCTGGCATGTGACTTGAGCTCGTTCAAGGTAACGAGGCTCTTGAACTTGCGCTGGAACTCCACATGGACCACCTGCCACTTGGGGTCATCGCGCTTCGACTTCTCATCGTAGTATGGGTGGGCGGGATCGAAGGCCGATTCTAGATATGCGCCATGTTAGTGACCATACTGTGTACGTTAGGGGCTTGTGTTATGACTCACCATCAGGAGAGTGTTCTTGCACAATCTCCATTATACCCGCAATACCGGGGACTTTGCAGTTGGAGTGGTAAAAGAAGGCATAGTCGCCCTTCTTCATCTCCCGCATGTGTTTTTGCGCTGGGTCTGTGAGCCGGGGTGCTAGTCTATTACTAGTGAGTTCACTTACCAACAGGGTTACGCACACCTAGTAGGAGGTTAGCAGATGTCAAACATGTTATTTCCTGGAGAAAACGTACCGTCCCAAGGCTCGGGCTCCTTGCGCTCCCGCAAGTCATCGATGGAGAATTTGACATCAACACCCTTCTCCATCCGTGAATCTGGCTCAGCCTTCATTAGCCAGTATGAGCGCTCGTCCGAGGATTTGGCATCAGCTGTCTCTGTTTTGGCCTTGGACGGTGTAGAGTTGGTTCCATTCTGGACTGGGGTCTTCCTCGGTCTGCCGACGGGCCGTCTGCCTTCCTTGGGAGTTGTAGGATTGGAGGGAGTAGCTAGTATGTGTCAATCGATTTTGCACCAATCCCATATCGAATATACCGTCTACAGAGCGGCGGAGAATGAAGGAACTCGTAGTGTGGTCGACACGTCGGACAAAGAATATGAGAAGAGTGTACTGACGGGCATTCGGGTCTTTACGAGGACGGCCACGGCCTCTTTTGGGGCCGTCAGGACGCTTGGGAGTGCTACCCTCAGGGTACTTCCTTGGGCGACCCCTCTTCCTCTTCTCTGCGGTAGCAGGAGTCTCGGGAGCGGCCTGCTGAAGAGAGAGATTAGCTTGGCATGATTAAGAAAGTCAAGAGACAGATCGTTCCCCGTTCGTGTTGACGATGTAGCGTCGATCCTTTCTATCCTTTGGGAAGGGATACGGCGAAAACACCATGAACAGCCATTGGGCGGCGATCGCGTATTGGACGGCCGACTGGTTGGTGCCAGGACGCGCTACCTCACGGGTATCCACGAACTTGTAAATAAAAAATAGCCTACCACTCTCTTCGCAGCAGGAGAGCCGGATTCCTCAGCGATTGACGCGCTCTCCAACTTGCGTTTTCTTTGGGGTGGCATGGTTGGTGGATAGTTGATGGGGGATGGATATCTTGCGATAAGATCCACGGAAGTTGGGGAGACGGAAGCAAAGATCAAATCGAGGTCAAAAAGGGACAAGAGGAGATGACCAAACAAAGGGACCAGCCAGTCAGGAGCGAGGATGCGGGGAAGCGCTGGAGCAGTTGAGACACGAGGATCCAGACGCGCCTAGAAGTGAGCCAGCCAGCCAGTCAGTCAGTCGGTAATATTTAGTAGCACTTGCATAGAGGAAGTGCTATGAATGTTGGTCACAGAAACAAACCTAGGATAGACCAGAAATCTCCTCTGCAACAGAAAGGAGCGACTAAATGGAACTGGCTTGGGCAAGAATCATAATAAACCAAGCAAGACAGGTGAAGCTCTTTGCGCCCGGGGACGAGTGGACGAGTGGACGGGTCAAGCTCGTCGGGACGCGCAGTGGATCCCCTTGGGCGATCCGCCTGGTCACGTGGCACGGACGTGTCGCGGGTTCAGGTACTTGTCAGGTACCAGGCCTTCAGGCTCAGGCCCGGCCAGAAAACCAGGAAATGCGAGTAGGATGGGGTTTTCCTCACTCGCCATTTTGAAATCAGTGCCCCGTGAGCATATCAGCCCTCGGTGTACAGTGTAGACCACTTAGGATCGGGATTCTGCCTAGCTTGAACCTGTACCACCTGCTACATCACCTACTATTAGACACTATCTCAATATTTATCCCGTTCATCCAGCCTCCTCTTTGCTAAGTCCGGTTAACAAGTCTGCAGCACAGTGGTAATTGGCCACGGTGATCTCCGGATCTAGGTCTCGGTCCACAGAGAAGGCCCGACTGAGACAGGCCTTGGTTTCAGCTCGAGCATAATAAGATAGAAGTATTTGCTGCAAGTCAATGTTTGCCTTTCCGCATTCCAATACTCACTGGTTGTCTTATTCATGCAATGACTTAGTGGTCAATCGTCGAACAGAATCCGAGCAGAATCGTGCATTTTGGGTATCTCTTTCATACATTCCACCTCGGTGGCTCTGATACCTGATATGGATAGGTAGTAAACAGCCAGCTGCAGCCTAAGAGACAGTGAGCAGAACCCATTTTTCGCCGTATCAGCCCCTGCTTTGTATCGTGTCAAGTTGAGCGATCCGATGAACTTGGTTGTCAGAGCGATTTTCTCCTCTAATGATCGACCACAATCTGCTGGAACCAGTCTGACGCGAAGTTGTCGAGAAATTCTTTCTTGGGATTTTAGCATACGAATCCTCGTTGAGTTTCATCATTGAAATATCGTCTGTTTTATTTTTCACGGCCGAGGGCCAGTTCTGTGAGCATCGATCGAGAGCTGATCGACCCGAGGCCTAGTAGAATAATTGGCATTTCACTTGCATGATGCCAATATTGATCTCAGCGGGATTCAGTGTGGTGCTGATACTATATATAGTATCCTCTGATGCCTTAGACTGAACTGACCAGTACCACTGAGCGCGCATGGAATGATTGCCACATAACCACACCCTCATTTGTCATTGATCGGTTCCTTGGTAGGATGTACCGAGGGTCTTTGATACTGTGAATGCCAGTGAGTTCTCCAAGTGGTGTACAGCGGCGATGATGGTAGGCTTCCAATTCACGAAGCTAGTTACATATGTTGGAAGGCCAAACGGACGTAGCGTCATTGGCCTATATCACGATTTGGTTAGGTCATTCAACCTCGAACTTCCAAACGACAGTAGATCCGCCTCCCGCGGGGACGGAGATGTGTATTGAACATGGAACATATGTACACTCGCTTTGGGACGGATTTCGTTGCAAGGCAGAATATCCCCTATATATCCACAAAAAACCGTTGCATCGTAAGGAGCATGTTCGTGTATCGGATATGCTGGATCCGGAAGATGCTGCATCACTCCAAGCCGATTATAGATGGTCGGATAATGGCAGTGTCTCTCTGGAATATATCATAGTTCCGCGGCCAGCTCTTTACCTTGTGCCTCCTCTCTCGATGGAACCTTGCAAAGGAGCGGGTCAATCTGGGTCATTAATACTAAACATACCGGAAAAGGGCTTCTCGGGGACCTCAGGGGATGATGTATGAAAAGTAGTGACGGCGACCTTCCCAAGGGATGTTCTTTTCACAGTAGTTGCTTTTTTCCTCCGGCTTTGACTACCATAGTAGCGTACCTAGATACTGGATCAAAAACCGCCAGAAAGATGGGAAGGACGACGTGCACAATTGCGCCATCATGCCAGGTCACCATTGGCTCCAACGCATACGATCATCCGCCGAGCCATTTTCTCGTGAGGCAGTCGGCCGATAGATCTCGGGTGAGAACCAATTCCAGACGCTGGAAACCGATCGAAATCAGCAGATGGGTTCGCCGTAGTTGATGATTTTCCGACAGCGAGTTGAGTATGTGGTAGTCCAGTGTGCGCTGGATATAGAATGTTGACAGGAGATGAAAAAATGCAGGAGCATGACCCAAAGGCCTCGCACGGTGCCCCTTTTAGCTTAGGCACAGTGCCGGAACTAGAGGACGGTAGTGTGATAAGGTCATGGTTCGTCCCTTGGGTTCCCTTGGATGCTCTTCCGAGCTGACGGCCTGAGGCCGGCACGGGGGAGGGGCTGTTCCCAATGCGGATGACACTAAACATCCCACCCTCAATGAGCTCATGTGGATCCAATCACCGCCATTCTGCCTCCTGGGCGGTGGCAGATTGCGTGATCGCGATCGCCCATCCGGGCCTGGCTGGAGGTTGGAGCCTTGGAGGGGCATTCGAGCTGTGGTGAATGCTGTCCTCCAGAGTCCATCCCCATCCATCATTCCATTGCGACCTCGGGGCTCCCTGGGGTATATTTAGTACTTCCGACCTCCTCCTCCGCATCATCTTCCCTTACTTCCCATCCATCCTTTTTTCCAACACCACCCTAACAAAAGTTCATACCCACCGCTCTATACCCCCCCTCACTTTCACAATGGCTCAGGAACGTGCTCCGTAAGTACTATGACCACTCCCTGTCCTTCTCAGGTTATCCAATCCAATTCTAACATCCGGTTCTTCAGTCTCCGCCTTGGCTCTGTTGCCCCCAACTTCGAGACCGACACCTCCAACGGTCCTATCACTTTCCACGACTTCATCGGCGACAGCTGGGCTATCCTCTTCTCTCACCCTGTTAGTTACCACCACCGTCATGGATACAAGCACACAGAATGAACGCTAACATCTCCTTTAATTGGTATAGGATGATTTCACTCCCATCTGCACCACCGAGCTTGGTGCCTTCGCCAAGCTCGAGCCTGAGTTCACTGCTCGTGGCGTCAAGCTCATCGGTCTGAGTGCCAACGGCACTGAGTCCCACCACGCCTGGATCAAGGACATCAACGAGGTCAACGGCTCCAACCTTACCTTCCCCATTATCTCCGACCCCGACCGCAAGATCGCCTACTTGTACGACATGGTGGACTACCAGGACACCACCAACGTTGACTCCAAGGGTACGCCATTCCTGCTTCGTAGACAGACCCATGAGTTCCCGACTAACATAATTCAGGCATGGCTCTCACCATCCGCTCCGTCTTCATCATCGACCCCAGCAAGAAGATCCGTTTGATCATGTCCTACCCCGCCTCTACTGGTCGTAACACCGCCGAGGTCCTCCGTGTTGTCGATGCTCTGCAGACTACTGACAAGCACGGTGTCACTTGCCCCATCAACTGGCTCCCTGGTGACGATGTTGTCATCCCTCCCCCCGTCTCCACCGAGGATGCTCAGAAGAAGTTCGGCGATGTCCGCATCGTCAAGCCGTAAGTTGTCCTGATCGCGAAATGCAGATGTTATGTGAGTACTGACATAATGCTCTAGTTACCTGCGTTTCACCAACCTCAAGAAGGAGTAAATTATGACACTGTCTGACTCGATCGACTTCATCTAAACCTCCACGGAGGCGTAGTGAACCACTCATGAACTAATCTCATGATGGGGTTGATAGAGAGACGGTATGAAAGTTATGGCTTGATGTGTAATAATTTGATACCTCATGACAAAACAAATTGAATATTTGAATACCTGAACAGTATGGCAAAAGACCATCTAGATTTTCCGGGAGCGGAATGCTGCTGCATGATGGTGATCCTAACGCAGGAACAGTGCCTGGTTGTTTTGGTTCCTGCATCGCAGCCCACACAGTAGTAGCTGGTAATATGATCCGCAGTCTGGCCCAGTCGGGTGGCAATATGTACCTGATGTACCATCTGCATGGGAACACACGCCACACCATTGGTAGTTATTAAGGGCGAGACAGGCCAGGTGACACATCTGCCCAAATCCACCTCTTAGATGAATCGTGTTCCATTGTCATCAGCCTATTAGTCGGAGATGATCATAAGCGGTAGAAGGCTACATACACCCCCAGCATCTCAAACCTTCATGCCCACTACTCTCCCATTCCTAATGTTGATATATAGTACAGCCCCCCCTCTACTATTCTTACCGAGATCGGACCGAGACTAAACAGACTTATCATACCCACCATACTCAAGTAGGCTTTATTATCACCTATCCAATAACAAGCAAGAGGTTCGGGCCTGTCGGCTTGATATATATCAACTGGCTCCACAACGACCATAGTTCTCGGTGTAGATAGGTTGCTATCTAATAGTCTCGCCTGTGTTATAATTAGTACGTAGGTATTAGCCCGAGAGGGAGAACCTCTCAATTGCGGGAAAATCGTCTAACTCCGATAAAGCCCTTGGATATGATCTGTCACAGGGATTAGTTGGCCTTTCGGGTTGGGATCATAGGTAGTAGGTATCTATTGGCTGGATACCTATCTACCTGACCCTCACAGATTACACTTCGGTCGTGGTATCTAGGTAGTGGTTACGGCGACATGGTCGGTACTATCTAGTAGTCTTCACCCTTCAAGGAAAGGTCCACTCAGTGTGATGTATTTGGTTGCATTGCTCTGGTCCGATCTGATATGGCTATGCTGTAATATTACGGTGGAAGCGAGAGATCGGGGTACGGAGGCGCTGTTTACGCGGTCTCTTAGGTAGAGGGCGGGTGGGTGAGTGGTTTGTTAATATCTTATAATTATGGCTTAAGTTGCAATTGGTATTTGGGTTGTATAAAGGAGGACAAGAAAAGCGACTGTTTCTTTTTCGCTTGAAAGAAATTAATTGGCTGACTGAATCCACATGTATAAAAGCAACTTTCGTAAAGACATTAAACCCGACTTTGGACGTAATTTCGTTGACTAGATAAGACCCATTGTTGCCAGCGAGACCTCTGATCGTTGTTGACGCTCACGCCGTTGTCTCCGAGATCGTCGGCGGTAAGGCCTCTTAGCTGCTCGAGCTCAAATGAACGAGAGGTGCTGCCCGGTAGGGCAGAATATAAGTAGTCCATGTTGAGGACGGCCTTGTGAGGGGGTAGAATGGGCGTGGGTTGCACAACGATGGCAAGTGTCGGCGTTTGAGAGCTACCGGCACCGTGTCCGATGGGGTTGGGGTTGGTGCTGGCATCAAAATGACTCGCGTAGTCGATGCCACGCAGGTCTATGTGCTCGAGATAATCCATGTCATCATGTAGGACGGAGAGGACGTCGCGCCATCGCCCACCGGGGCGAATATAGATACTGGCGAGTCGGATGTCGCGGAGCTGGTGCCTGTGCCGGCGGATGAGCGCGACGATTTCTTCCGACCCGAGGCGCCAGCCCTGGATGCTCAGCGTTCGGAGGCCCTTCCACTGGAGGTGATGGAAGATCTGCTCTAGAGCGAGGTCTAGCGGCGCAATGGTTGGAAAGCCCAGATGGATGGTAGTGAGATTCTTCGCGGCTAGAAAGAATTTGTAGAAAACGCTGGAGAGCGTCTCCATGTACGTGGACAAATTGGCTGCGGAGTGGAAGGTTACGTCCAAGCTTGTCAAGCGTGCACCCAGGGCGGACAGACTGGTGGACGGCGCCTGTAACAGTCTCACTGTCGCCTCCGGGCTGATCTGTGGGCCGACAAACCTAACAGAGTTACAATTTGACTCCAGCAAAGAAATGCTTAGGTTTGTGACAGCTCTGGTACATGCTGGTTCCCAATCCAAGCGGGTTGTCCTTCCCAACGAGTGTTCGCGAATGTGATCAAGTACTTGTTCGTCCGCTTCATCCTGCAACCGGAGGAGTTTGACCTGCTGGAGGGACGAGAATGCTGCCATGGCGCGTCGCAGCACAAGCAAATCATGGTTGGAATCGATTATGTATCGTTGGTATTGGAGCCGACACCGGTGCACGGAGGAAACGGGGAGGTTGTCTACATCGACCCCATCTAAGATCTGATGCCATCCTAGATGATTATCAGCTGCGCGATCTCAGCACGCGGGGCAGGTCTTCAGAGACGGTACCGCTTCCTTGGTAGAAGGGTCGCACCATGTACGTAAAATATCTGACATGGCAGGCTAGCTGCATGTTCAGAAGATCCTCCAACCTTTGAAACTCGTCGGACGAGAATCGGAGTACAAAACGAGCGAATTTCCGCGGCGTGCCAATTCGCTGGAACCTTCTACAGACGAGTCTGAAACGATCCAAGTCGGACTTCTCGCCAAATTCATGAGCCGAACCATCGCTGGAGTCGGGAGACGAGCCGTGAGGACTCGTTGGGGATGGTTCCGGCGAGAGATCTTCTGAGCCCAGAAGGAACGAAAGTATATCGCTGATCAACTCATCCGCCAAGTCTTCAATGCGTCGCGAATTCTCCATGGTTTTCGCACAGCGAAGCAGCCGCGTGGTCGGCTGCTCTGGTCACTGGCACCAACATGGAAACCAAGCCAGGTACGAAAGGGAATGGCAAACGAAGGCGCGCTTGGTCAGAGGTCCGATGACAGGGGGGAGAGCATGGACTGACCCAGGGTATAAGGGCAGAGGATTGAGGAAGAAATAAGCAAAGAGTGACGGAAGACAGCAGGGAGCTTTTAAAGGATCATGACGGAAAAAATGAGGCGCAAAAAAAAAAAAAAAAAGAAAAACAAGAATTGGAGAAGGGGAGGACGAAAGTGATACATCCCCTCGCACACCCTAAGCACATTCTCTATCGACTGCAGAGCAGACGGCGGGCCACAGACGCAGCGCATGCAGCAAGTCAACCTGTCTGACAACTGACAAGATTTAGAGCGTCCCACCGTGACATTCCCGTCACTCCAGTCGACGGGGATCACCACCAGTATCTCGCCAGGACCACCAGACCGTCAAACTCCCCGGCGATCAGACGACAGGATATTGGCTGAGGAGCAGGCACACAGGAGTCACATGATCATAACATCATGCGGGTTATTCACCGCGAACCTGCAGGAGAAGTTGCAAAGGAGGAGGAGGATTGGCAGGAAGGACAACAGCTGGCTGGACCGGGGATAAGGAGGGGGAGGGAAATGATGCGACATGAGAGTCAGATGCGTGCAGCCGCCCACTGCAAGGGAACCCCGCCTGGGAAGCGAATCATGGCGGCCTGTAGTTACAAGCCTAGATCGTCGTTGCTGCGACTGGCGAGCTGTCCACGGCATTTATTCCCTCCTCCTGCTCCCCCCCCCGTCTCTGGAGCATAGTGCAATGGAGCGGCCCCATCGTGGTGTTGCGATGCAGAACTGGATCGGAATCGCCAACAAAGACATTGCGTTGGTTCGGAGAGATGCCTCGCGTGGGGAGCTGCGAGGGAAAGGATCAACAGCACCTAAAACGCTCTGGGCCAGTAGCCCCCGAGTCCAAGGCGCAATCCCAAACGCCGGGGAGATAAGATGGTTGGTGGTCTGTTCTCCCTTCCCCCCTGTGAGCACAAACAACACCGAATAAGTCCCAGAGGTTGACGGTGTTTCTTCTTGTTTAGGGGTAGTTCGGGCGACAAAGAAATAGAACCGAGGAGAAACAGAAATCACAATCAATAAAAATAAAGACAAATAGGCCACACTATACGCATGGGCCGAGACGGTCTATCTTACAAACCCATGAAAACTCCCCCCCCTTGGCGCCGTTCTATCCTCTAGACGGACCATTGCGGCACGACAATCTGTACGATGAATGCATGATTCGCTTTGCTGTCCCATGCTGCTGGGGATGCCGGCAATGTATGTACAAGATCCTGTCGTGCCCAATCATCCCCATACCTGCACGCCTGTCATCTTCCGTTTCAGGACAGCTGTCAATGTCTAAAGGCTGACGACTGGATAGAACAGCTGCCCGCATTTTGCCAGTTCACGGCGCTAATTATTTCGTCGCCATTTCTATCCGACGTCGCCTGATATCCGTGCTGCTTATCTTCGACGCGAAATTCTCGACATCGTCGGTGGGGACTTCGCCTGTGTGCAACACGTCGACTTCAAACACCCCCAGACTCTCCCAGCCTTTCTTTGCGCGCTCCTCGTTGACAGCGGCTCCACCTGCGCGAGTCTCTCGGGAAACAACTAAAGCACCAATGCCCTGGTCGGTGACGGTAGGACCAAAAGGATCCGTGATCTGTACCAGCTTGAAGACTAAATCGGGGCGGACTTGCATCTGAATGTATTTGCCATCGGGTCCAGGCCCAGACGCTCTCTCAATGCGCGGCGCGCCGGCTTCCGGGAGATGGAAATCCATGATGGCCATGAGGAACGAACCAGTACTCGCGCATCGCTCATCCCAGCTCTCCAGAAACTCTGCGTACTTCTTCTTCGCCAACAGACCCTCCCCCGTCACCCCAACGGTAATCTGTCGCGCTTTACCTGTGTCTGCATCTTCAGCCGGCTGCAAAACCAACGCCGTAGCCGTGAGCAGAAGCTTGTGTCCGATATGGAAATGATCGAAAGTGCCCCCTACAGCCACAGAGTAATGCGTGCTTGATTTGTTGACATCGTCCAGAGTCACGAGAGATTCTGGGACGGTCCAGTTGGGTGCTTCTGGGATGGCGTGCATAGACCCGGCATTGGGGTCCTTGGACGGAGAATAAAAGCTACTGAAGGCCGTGGCCAGATTCTGACCTACTTGGTTATCCGGGTAGTATATGTAGTCCCATGGCCGCCCACATTGTGCCAGCGTCTGCAAGTCAATGATCGGGCCATCGCGTGGTTGGTCTCTGGTGACGGCGGCACTCTGGACCGAATCAAAATCGAGCAAGATCACACGGGCATCGATCCCACCAGGCCCATCTAGTTCGAGGTTCTGCTCGACACATACAATTCCAATAAGCCTATAAATGCTTTCCAGGAAAGACTGGAGGCTTGAAAATGCTTTCGTCCGCGGCCGACATGCCGGCGACAGAAGGCCCGGCAGCGAGAGCGCAATATCTAGAATCACCGTGCGGTTGGCACCGTTAAGCTCTTTGGTAAGCCTTGAGCAGACTGCCGACAGAATGGGCTCGTAGGCGGCCTTGAACTTGTCAAAGGAGGCCGACGGAGGCGGTGGCAGCAGAAGCAGGGCCGAGGTTTGATCTGAAGCCATATTGCGGGGAGGGGAAGCTCACCGGCGGAGCCTAGTAGAGGAAGGGCGCGGCGATAATGTATATGCGGAACGAGAAGGGGCGGTGTATCGAATTGAGTACTATATAAGATGCAGATGCAGTAGACCTGTGGGATCGGGAGGACTTCCAGGCCAGCGACCAAATTGAAGCGTTCAGTAACCTCCAACCCCGATGCTGATGCTGATGAAGCGAGCGCAGGAATTCCCCGCGATCTGGGAGGCTGAGTCAGCAGCACGAGACTCCCCTCGGCGGCCCTTCGCTGCCTCATCGCCTCTCCCTTCGGCCCATTTGTCCTCTGCAGGCATTCCTTCCCCTCGTTCGAGCTCCAGGATGTCTCTCTGACCCCCTGACAGGCCCTTTTCTCTGATATGATCCAGATCGTGCCCATTCCTGGTGCAGTCGGAGCTCCTAGCGCCTGCCCCCCCCTCTCCGGATAGTCCTCGCACTCTCGTTATCGCCCGACCCCTTCGACCCTGGATCCTATCCGAGAGTTTCCTTGAGCTCCAACTGCCGTGCAGTGGGTAACCCTCTCCTTTTCGGTGTTCCCTTCGTCCTGGGACTGCTGCCATGTCGAATCCTACGCAGCCTTTCGAATCCCGGCGGGCGACAAGCTACGGGCGACCTGAGGAGCTTCATATTCCATCCGGGGCCCCCAACCTGCAGCGACAGTCGATGTCTCATGAATACACGGCGGGAACAGACAACCACGTCCCATCTATCAATGTTCACCCATCGGGATCACAACCGAATCAATACGGAGGTGGAAACAGCGGCGCGAGCGGAATTCTCCCAGGAGCCCTCCAGCCAGGCAACGTCAACCGCCCACCTGTGGTATCAGTCAACACAGCGCCTTCGGCTCTGCCAACGCTACCAGAAGTTAATACACCAATGCAGTCGGCGCTACCATCAGGGCAGCAGCAGCAGCCGCTGCCGCAACAACAACAACAGCAACCGCTGCCTCAGCCTCAGCCACAACCGCAGCAGCAGTCGACCAATCCCCGCTCCAGTATGGTTAACTCTCATGGGCATTCTAGATCTAGCCCGGCAGGATTTGAGCAGCCAAAATACAGACAGTCGGGCTCTTCACCTGGTGCTGGATACCCAACCCATACCCCTCAAGGTGCAAAGTACTCGCCTTTAGGTCTAGCTGACATCCGACCGACCGGGGATCTATTAAGTGACCCAATTACCGGCTCCGGGATGTTGCCATTTAATGGGGATAATCAAGTGCCGACCAATAGCAACTATATTGCGCCTTGGCCTATATATTCCATGGATTGGTGCAAATGGCCCATCACGGGGAGTTCCAGCTCTTTCGGAGGCAAGGTCGCACTGGGAAGCTATTTGGAAGACAACCACAACTACGTATGCATATCTATTATGCTACAACGTTTGCCTCAATGGCCACAGACGTGCTAACTCCGACTAGATACAAATCATAGATACCCACTGGACACAACCAGACCCGGATACGCCGGATGCGGCAGCGGGAGAGATTAAGCTGGAATACGTGAAAACCGCAGAGGCCACCCATTCGTACCCCGTCACACGGATACTCTGGGAGCCACCTTCGTCCCAGAAGCAATCCACCGATCTTTTGGCAACGTCAGGCGATCATTTGCGACTATGGTCGCTGCCCGCCACGCAGCCCTTGCCGAGTTCTAACTCCATCACGCGGTCGGCCAGTCAAGCCGCCCCGACAGCGAAACTCTCCCCGCTGGCCTTGCTATCGAATTCCAAATCACCCGAGCATACAGCTCCGATTACATCATTAGACTGGAATACGATCTCCCCTAGCCTGATCATCACCTCCAGTATCGATACCACCTGCACGATATGGGACATCCCCACACTCACGGCCAAAACGCAGTTGATCGCACACGACAAAGAGGTGTATGACGTCCGGTTCTGCGCGAATAGCGTTGACGTCTTCGTCAGCTGTGGTGCCGACGGCAGCGTGCGTATGTTCGACCTCCGTAGCCTAGAACATAGCACCATCATCTATGAGCCTACGGAGAAGCACGAGAAAGGTAGGAACACATCTTTCCAGTCTCAAGATATCCACTTATGTGTCCCTGTATAGTCCCCACTCCCGGCAATGGGAGTCCCTCCGGACAAGCCCAGCCCGTATGGCCCCCGCCTCTGTTACGAATCGCCGGTATGTATATCGCATCACACTCGACGCATGCCATTGCCATCGGACGCTAACAGCACTAGCGTCGCCCCATGATTCCCACCTTCTTGCAACCTTTTCGCAAGACTCCAACATTGTCCGCGTCCTGGACGTCCGACAGCCCGGCCAGGCTCTCCTTGAACTGAAGGGCCACGCCTCCTCCATCAACTGCGTTGAGTGGTCACCCAACCGCCGCGGGGTTCTCGCCTCCGGTGCGGACGACTGCTTTGTTCTCCTGTGGGATCTCATCAACCAGCACAATGCGGCCCCGGTGCCGTCCATGCCCCCGGTCCCACACAACCCTGGGACGCCCGCAACACCCAGTGAGCGTGGCCCAGCCGCCGCCTGGCTATGTGACAACGAAGTGTCCAACATCAGCTGGTCCCCGCAGGGCGGCACCACGCCTGCCGGACACCCGCGCGACTGGTTAGGTGTCTGCGGTGGGCGCGGGATGTGGGGAGTGGCATTATAGCCTCATGAAGAAAAGCACCATTAGACGAATCCCTTTTACGCTTACACCATCTCCTTGGTTTTTGGATTTTGCTGCACCTTTCGTATTTCCCTTGATGCTGTAAAGAGACTTTGGGTTGTATCTGGCATGGTATGAGTGAACGAATGAAACGAACCAGCTATAGTGGAATGACTACCTGTGTAGTAGGACCTGGATTGTGTTTTTCCTCGTTGACATGCGTGGACTGGAAGAAGGAACCGAGTATATACTAGCTACTACTAGCTACATCCGTCAATCTAACAGCAAGATATTTCAGAGCAGGATGCATTTAAGCCACCACCGAGCTTATCGAGAACCAATGTGCTACTAGGAAACTCCACAGTTTGGAGCGAATTGCTATTAGAGAATAGCCGGAACGACATTGCGAGTCGAGAGGTCCGCCATGGTGGTTGGTGGTCAGTCAGTCAGTCCGTCCATCCAGAGCGGAGGAGAGCTCCCGGACGGTTGCAGTTGCAACTCAACCTCCTCAACTCACTCCACCTCACCTCACCTCACCTCATCTCTCCGCTTCCACTCAGATCCTGACCCATTCTCTTTGCTCGTGCTTGGTCTCTTCCAGTCATAACTCCACGGGACTACTGCATCCGCGGGGACTGTCAGCGACTTGGGCCTCGCTTTGGAAGCTCCGAACCGCCCATCGGCCTCCCGCCAATGAACGCCCATACTGTGCCGATCCGCGACGTGAACTTCTCCGACACCCTCAGCTTTGCTCCTCCTCCTCTTCCTCCTCTTCTTCCTCTTTGGCGTCTGCGTCGGCCTTCATCGCAACTTATCCATTACTTCGCTCTCCCCTTCTCCGCCATCGCACAGCTCCTCAGCCACCCCTTCTCCAATCCTGCTTGATTACCTGACCCTGTCCCCTCCGGCCCCCCCAGCCTGCGGGTTTGTGAAGGGAGTTGCCAGCTCCCCTCTTTTGTTCTACTCAACAGCTTAGACCTTATTGTTCACGACCGGCCGTGACCATGGATCTGCGCACGATCATGAACAGCGATGTCGCTGGCAACTCCAGCGCTCCGTCGCACCCACAGCAGTCACCCTCACAAACACCTCGCAAATCCTCCGACCCCATCTATCCTCCGCGCGACCACCAGCTGCCATCGTCTTCGTCTTCATACCCTTCGGCCTTTCCCGGACCTCCGCCGCCACAACGAACACATACTTCTCCTGAGCGCTCTTCCTCCTACGGTTCTCTCCAATCGCCATATCAATATATAAAGTCGAGCGCGCAGTCCCAACGCGCGCCGAGCCCTCCTCCCTACGGCTCCGCCTCGCGTGACTCCTTCGCCGCGTCCATCGCCTACAACCAACACCATCACCAGCAACATCAGTCCCCCGTCGCCCACCAACGGTCGCAATCCATCCAGTCTGTCCTAGCCCCCTATTTCCATTCCTCCAACTCATTTCATCCCAGGGACAGTTCCCCCGCAGGTGCTTCACAGCTCTATCCATCGCAACATTTCCCCCCTCCGGTACAAGGATCGCTGCAAGGATCGCTGCCCGGTACGCCACGAGGTTCTGCTGCTGCCGTCTACTCCCACCAGTCGCCCCCATCTTCCGCCCGCCCACAATCACCAGGTCGTGATTCCCTATCGAATCGAGCCTCTAGCCCGTGGGTTGGCCCGGATGCTGCAGTGCACACATCGCCTACCGCCGCTCCCCGTCCATCGCGAGCTGATTCGAGAGCCTTAGACAAGACTCCACGCAAGTACAGTACTACATCCGAGAGAAGGGATTCTGAGGCGAGTGTGAGCCCCAGAACGACTTTTCTCCCGGGGTCTCGGCCCGAACCAGGCGTGGGGCGTCCCGACCAGTCTCTGTCCCAGCCTAATCACCTCGAAAACGGGATCGCAACGAAGGAGGCTCAAATTACGAACTTGCATGCCCCAGCGCATCAGAACAATATGGATAGTTCGCCATCATCACGGATGTCGATCACGCAGGAATCATCTGTTGACGATCTAGCGCACTCATGGCCACAAAAATCCAGGGTGGCTTCGGACCCAAGGGCCACCTCAAGTCCGCAACCCCCGAAGCGCAAGAAAAGAAGATACAACGAGCCTCCCATCTACGCCCAAAGGTGCGCTCGCACGAAAGGGAGATGCCCGCCCATTCCAAATCCTTTCCCGCCTATCCCCAAACACGGGAGGGACTCATCGTCGGCGAACCCCTGGCTGCTACGCCAACGGGCAGTATCCTCCGCCCAGGGACCCGCACATGCTGCGATCCCACCAGTCAAAGCCAAGGGCGAAGCTACGCCGGTTAATGGACCCTCGACGCCGCAGCGACCATCAGAACCTCCCCAGGCCGGTAGCCTGGGGCCGTGGGAGCCGTCCATCACCGGGCTCATCCCTCACGAGGAGGTCACGAAACTGGTTGCTGATTTCCTTTTCAAACATGTTGTGCTTCGGAATGACGCGGTTGCTGCCCCTGCCGGTGCGGCTGCAGCGGGTCAACTGCCCATCATCGAAGTGGAAGCCAAACTGGGTCAGCTCATTGACATGGACCGCGGGGAGCGAATGATCCTGCCGATCTTGACCGAGACTGTAGTGAATAAGGACAATCCGCGTTTTCGGACCGCTTTCGAAAGCACCATGACTGTGGTGAGTAATCTTGTGAGTTTTCATGCGCCGTCGCCAAGCTGACAATGGGAAGGCACAACATCGAGAAATGAACAATTTCTTAAACGACGCTGTGAAGAATTCCATGCCCCACTCGAATCAAGGCCGGATTCCCCTCTCCTACGCCCATAAGAAGGAGAGGGATACGTTCTACGAAGTGTCTCCAAATGAGCTTCCACCCGTAATCAGGCAAAATCTCAATCCGCGTCACAAGCCCAAGGTGCGGGTAACGGTTGATCAGCGGACGGGCGAAGTTCTCGCGAAAATTGTCAAGTGTCGTATCGCCGACCTGGATGTGCATAGCCCACGCACTTGTGTCGACTGGCGAGTCAGCGTGAACCTTGAAATGAGCTACGATGGGGATATTAGCAACCTGCCCGTAGCGGATGGAAGGGGCGGTCGAGGCGGAGACCGGAACAAGGACCGCATGAGTTATCGACATCTTGCATACCAGATCGATCTGACCCAGGTCGCCAAGTCAGATGTAAGTTGCTCTCCTTCTGTCTGCCTTCCAACAGTACGGTATGCTAACGTCTCACGCACCCCCAGCCCCCAACCAAGGGCGAATTCGAGCATGAGCTTGAAGTAGAAATCTCCTCAGCTGAAATCCGCCGCCAAGGGCAGATGGCCATGACCGGCGATCCCAAAAATCAGTACGAAGACTTGATCAAGGGCTTTGTGGACAATGTCCGTGTCCTGGCCCGAGCTGTACCACCTTAGTATATATGACTCTTCGTTTAACGTTCTGGCGATGTCTTTGTGTTGTTTTTCGCCTCCCTTCTCTTCTCTTTTTCTTTCTCTTCACCCGCACATAACACGGATACACAAAAGGATGGATGATGAGCAAAATCCGGTCAGATGATAATTACTTTCTTCTTTTTTGACTGGATACAACGGGGCTCATTTCTTCCTTCCCACTTCTTCATTCTCCACCGTGTGTTTTACCATATAACTTAAACCCAAAAGCAAAGACAGGAAGAGGGGAAGTTCAAGCAAGCGAAAATGATTCATGTGTGATAATTGATTGGTTGGTTGTTTCTTTGTTTGTTTGTTACCTTGCCTCTATTTATTCCCTCTATCTATCTATCTATCTGCCGCTGCTCGTTCTGACAGCAGACAAGCAACCATTGCATCTTTCCTTCTTTCCCTTCATCGCACTACATTCTTCCTTATATCTCTTCTTTTTACGTCCGCTTGTATGAACTCTAGGATTATAGGGGTAAACTTCCTACTCTTCTTTTCTTTCCTTTCTTTGTTTCTTGAAACACGATGAATGTTTTGGGGATTCATCTTTTCTTACACTTGTTTTGTTTTTAACGAAAGATATGACGTGTACTACGTATCTTTCCTTGTCTCTTGTTTTTGTATACCATGTATCATTGGTATGTTTCATGGGGGTAGGGTACTTCAATGTTGTGTTTTAAGACCGCAGTGACATAATGAGGGGCTTGTGGGTTCCTTTTAACTTACGCTAGTTCTGGTTGGTTCACTGGGCATGGATAATGTATATCAATGAATCAAGGGTTTCGTTCATTGCACATAGGTAAGAGAGCAAGAGAGAGAGGGAGAGAAAGAGATAGGTAGGTTGATAATACACATAATACAATAATGTCTGTCCAATGAACCATGCCTGTCGATTAAAACGTAAAATGAAGCAACAGTAGTAGGAGTGCCAGCATGATGAGGATAACAGATAGTACGCCCGCATTTTGTCTATTTTCAAGTCATTCCAGATCTTTGCTTGCTTGGTTGATTGAATTGGGTTTAATTTGTTGTTGATTTGCCTCACGGCGGAGTCGAAATCAAGGACTGGGCGTCCCCTCTTCATATCGCGGACCATCGTCACCGTCACCGTATGCACCTGCACCTGGGGTTGCAGCGGCACCGCCCATGGCTGGGGTGGGAGCGTCATATGGACGACTACCGCTATCGAAGGCAGCAGGCGTAGGTGCGTCGTAGGGTCTCTTGGACGCGTCGCCCGGTGTAGGGGCGTTGAAGGCACCTGGAGTAGGGGCACTGTCCGCCCAAGCTCCAGGCGTGGGCGCCGAAACGCCGGGTGTGGGAGCGCTTCCATAGGCACCGGGCGTAGGAGCGGAGTAGCCTCCCGGTGTTGGGGCATCGTAGCCACGGTCTTTGGTGCCGTTGCTGGCCGAGGCTCCAGACCAGGCGGGCGTGCGGTTGCCGGCGTTTGCGGAGCCCCAGGCCGGAGTCCGGGAGCCTGCAGCGAAGGCATCGAAATCACTGTTTCCTGAACCGACATAAGGAGTGCGTGCGCCGGCGTTCCAGGCGGGCGTGCGTGAGCCATAGCCTCCGTAGGCGGTATGGCTGCCATCGTATGGATTAGAGGTTCGGGAGCCGTCTTGCTTCCAGGCCGGTGTACGAGAGCCACCCAGGCCGGTCCAGGCAGGTGCTGAGGAGACTGTTAGTATGATGGAATGGAGTCAGACGCAGCAAACGGTGACACTTACTTCTGGCGGACGAGGCACCACCCCAGGCGGGGGTCCTAGATGAGTCTCCAGCTCCCATGGGGGTACGACCACCCTGCCAGGCAGAGGGAGGCCCTCCAGATCCACCATGCGGGACACGCGGTCCACCGCGGCCACGACCCATGTCTATCGTCTGACCGGTAACAGGGTCCTTGACGACGAGAATGTCTTTGGGAATGGAAACCAACTTGTTTTTCGAGTGCAGTTCCACGCGGGCTTGGACATCAGTCGAGTCCTTGACGATACCAACAAGACCCTTGAAAGGTCCCTTGCGCACCATGACCGTCTTGCCGATCATCCTGTCACGCCCGAAACTCCTCTGGGGAGGGCCCATCATGTTTCCCGGTGCCCCGTTTCTCATCAAAGCCGGGTTCATCTTGGTAAGATCGGGACCTGTGGCGCGACCCCCCTTGGCGGAGACCGTCACCACGTTGGTGGTGCGCACAACGACAATGCCCGAGTTCTCAGCCTGCGCCTTGTTATGCAAGAACAGGAATGAGCGGTGGATGTGAAGAATCACGCCGTTCCTCTGTTCTCCATAGACCTCTCGGACCGTATCTCCATGGCGAATCTCGGCACCATTACGATCGGTAGCCACTGCATCTTTACGAGGCGTGATCTTGTTCGCCACTTGCGTAGGCAGAATCGTACGAATCGAACCGTTCTGATCCAACACCCGCAGCGATTCTCGGTCAACCTTGACAATACAAGCAACAGTAGCAGCACTAGGTGTGATTAGCCCCAGTCCTCCAGGTTGCAGGATCAAGAAACTTACTCTAATTGTACCAAGTCATGGACGTCGAACATCCCCAGTTTGCCATCAACACCCGTCTCCGCAGAGAGTCGGAGATCCTTGCTGAAAACTGTGATTTCCTGCATACTCATGTCGCTAAGTAGAGTCACAGTGTCGTCCTTGACCTGGACCACCATACCCAACTCATCCTGGTATCTACTACCACCGATGACCTTGACATGGTCACCCTCTCTGAAGCGCTTGCGGAGCGACTTGACAGGCGCATCAATCGTCTGTCCAGCCAGGTCACCCTCTGTCACCAAGATAGTGACGATGTCTCCACGAGTAGAGCTTGTCCGACCAATCAAACCCTGCTGTTCACCCCGGAACACTTCAACCGGGTCTCCAGGGAGATAAGAATCTTCGGCGGTAGAGTTCTTGAGCGTTTCGGCCAAGGAAGCCAGATCCAGATTCGAAGTGCCATCCTCGGAGCCTCGAGCAAACATGGTGACTTCCTCAAGCCGAGGGTTCACACTCTTCGCAATCAGATGTTGAACCTTCAGGTCCTTGATTAAGAAGCCGTCCACATACGTCTCGCCGAGGTAGTTCCACGACTTTCCACCCAAACCAGACGTAGCAGATAGGTACTTCGCATGCTTCTTCTTGGCCTCTGCCTCGCTGAATGCACGCTGGGGAGGACGGGCAACGGCTGGGTTCACGCCAGGGCGTTTCCTCTTGGGATCGACAACAGGCGCACCAATGTCCTCGTTCAAGCCGTAGTCCAAACGAGGAACCAATCTCACAGTCACGGCCAAACCATTTGTCTCGACCTCCTCAATCTGCGCCAGATCACCCTGGTATTTACCACGCTTGATACGAACCCAGCCTCCAGGCATGAGCTCCTCGGACTTCTGAACTCGAAGAAGGTCAGGCATCTCTCTCACTGGAACAAGGATCATCTTCGTTCTCGGATAGACGTTCGTCATGTCCTGTAGGGCTTCCATGACATCGGCCTGCCTGCGCGCCTCGACGTAGATGTACCCGGTCATAGCACCTCCACGCTCAAAAGCCGACATGATCTTGATGGGGTTTCGAGAGCCCGGCGGTCGCTCTTCTATACGCTTCTGGATTGCAAACACGACTTCACGTTCCTTGCCAGCTTTGCAGCGAACACCCCAGATGCTGGGATCGTCGACACTGGGAAGAAGCAGTCGCTTCGGAACAACAACAGCATCAGTGGCCGCGGCGCGGTTCCGTCCATACCGCTCCTTGAGCATCTGAGCCTGCTTCTCTGCATCCATACTAGCCGCCAGTTCACGCTGACGATCAAGCTGTCTGTGTCGGCGGTCATCCGTTTCAGCGCCAACCGGAAGGGCGTCCATGTCATCCGGGTGCATCTCCCCGCCAAATTCAGCCAGTTCATCCTCATCATCCTCGGCCTCGTCCTCATCCTCATCGACACCGGCCTCTTCTTCGAAGAAAGAGTGCACACCGGCCTTCCGTCTGCGCTTCCGGGGACGTCCCTGTCAACGAAACCATGATCAGCGACCTTCCAAGCCCAAGAACCACCAACATAGACCAAATCCAAATACTCACAGCATTAGCGTCCTCATCGTCGTCTTCTTCCTCTTCCTCCTCGTCTTCATCTTCTTCCTCTCCTTCCTCATCTTCCTCATCGTTCTCGCCCTCCTCATCTTCATCATCGGCCCTCCCTCTGGTGTCATCCTCACTGCCAGCACGATGCCGTGCAGTACGCCCAGTGTTCACATCATCCTCGTCATCGTCGTCGTCATCATCATCGTCCCGACCGCGATGCGCAACCCTCTGTCCCTGCCCGTCAGCAATGTCGTTCGCTTTTGCCACCCCCTACCGGAACAAACCTTTGTATCCTCATCTCCAGAGTCATCCGCCGGGGCGGGGTTGAAGTCATCGTCCTCCTCATCAGACCCAAAGTCATGGGCCATCACGTTGCGAGACATGTTTCAAAGCTCAGCCGATTGTGGCTTTCGGGTAAGGTAAGGTTCGAGTGAAAGAAAGCCCTGGTATCCAAATGGGCTATTCGAGAGCTCGTCAATCAATTTTGAGTTTTTGAAACCTGTGCTGGTCACGCAGAGGAGCAACAGGTATCGAGTCGGCACTGAGACGCTGGCTGTGGCGGATCAAGCTCACCGGCGTTGAGAGACAGGGACGCCGCAATGCTCGAGCCGGAAAGGGTGACGGAGGGAAAATCTGAGGCGACAAAGGCGGTCTAAATCAAAGGAAATGAAAAGAAAAGGGTGAGACTCCAGGAGCTCGACAGGTACTCGGGCGGCGGTTGGTTCCGTTCGTTCGGCGAGTCCGCGACCGCGACAAGGATGGTGTTGTAGTCTTCAACCGACTAGGGTGAGAGCGAGGGAAAAAGAAGGCGGGTCGGAGTTTGCCACGGTGTCCAAGACGGGATGCTAACACATAACAACCTGCAGGTACTCGGAAAAGACAAGAGGGGGTTGATCAGAGAAAAAAAGGTGTTTTGGAAGAGAAGTGGTGGCCGAAGTTCAAGATCGATGGAATCATCCGGGCGGGCGACTTGCACGCTTGGCGTCTTTGCCGTGCCGGACTGCGCCCGGCTTGCGCTTTTCTCCGCTTGAACCAGCCGCTCCTGCGGTGTTACTCTTGTTACTAGAGGGGGCATGGCGGTTTTGAGGTTGTCTGTGTTACGTTCTGTCCGAGGCATTGAATTTGAAGTAATCATACTTCAGATATAGGGTATATGGGTGCGGTGTTGACTCAATTCCTGCACATTTCTTCTAACTGTGGCTCTGATCTACGGATATAAATATAGAGGGCGAGGATGAGGGCAGGAAATTGTCATCAATAAGCTAGTGGCGCATCTATATACTCCAGAATTTCAATCAGCTTGGCATGAACAGTTACAGCAGACTCAAAGTTTGAGCCCAAACATTTGGTGCACACGCAAGCTCTGGCGCATGCTGAGATCCAACATGATTTCCTCGCTTCCACCTGGGATCGCGTAGGCACGAACATCACGGTACAGCCTCTCAATCTTACCACCTTGTCCGCCTCGGCTATAACTGAGACCGCCGAAGATCTGACTGGCTTCACGGGCACAGAACTCAAAGGTGGTGGTAGATTGTGCCTTCAGACCGGCAATAGCTCCACCCAGCTTGAGCATGGCTTCGGTCTCATCCATCGATTGGCACTGGAAGATGATGTTCTCCAGCCAGTTGTAGGTTGCCTCGATCTGACGGGCCATGTGTGCCAGCTTCATGCGAATGACGGGATGATCGATGAGCTTCTTGCCGAAGGTTCGGCGCTTGTGCGCATACTTCATCGACTCTTCATAGCACACACGGGAGAACCGAACACACTGGATTACAATGCCAATTCGCTCGTGGTTGAAGTTGGTCATGATCACTAGAAAAGTGTGAGTGATTGCGACATTGCATTGGGATCACAAGTGGCTCACCTTTGAAACCTTGATTCTCCTTTCCAATGAGATTCTCAACTGGCACCTTGACATCCTCAAAGGTGATATAGGTGGTGCCACTGCTCCAGACACCCTGGCAATCCATGCGCCTGGTGCTGACACCGCCCATATCTCTCTCAATGAGGAGCACACTGACGCCATTCATACCAGGGCCACCAGTTCGGACCGCGGTGGTGAAGTAGTCGGACCAGATACCGTTAGTGATCCACTTCTTCTCGCCGTTGACAATGTAGTGCTTGCCGTCGGGACTCAGCTTGGCCTCGCAGGTAAGGTTGGCAACATCGCTGCCCGCATCTGGCTCGGTAATTGCCAAGCAAATGCGCTTGTCTCCGGCCAATATAGCAGGCAGGATTCTTTCGACTAGAGGCTTCTTTCCAAACTTCACCAATGGCGGACAACCAATGCCAAAGCCACCGATGAGGTTCCAGACCAGGCCACCGCTTCCGACACGAGAGAGCTCATCAGTGAGGAGCATTTCATGGAATAGGTCCCAGTTCTCTGGCGCAACGGACTGCACACGGTGCGCAGTATAATCGACAGGGTACTTCTTCATACCAAGTAGACCTGCCAAGTACCCCCTTTCACCCATCTGCTTATAGATATGATCGGGCACCTTCTTGCTTTCATCCCATTCGGTCACATGCGGCTCGATCTCTGAATCAACCCATTGGCGAACCTCATCGCGGAGCGCGGAGTGAGTCTGGTTAAAGTAAGGCGAGTGATACTAATAATCATCACATAATGGTCAGCCCAGTTTTCTCGCACTCCCGGTTAACTGAAACTAGCCAGAAACCCCAAGGAAGAAGACTTACACCTTGGTACCACGAAGGATCTGCAAAAGGGACCAAGTCACCATACGGATCTTGAGTCTCCGACGACTTCGCCGAAGCAACATCAACGGGTGCTGCCACAGGCTTAGAAGTCTGTGTCTTGGCCGGAGCAGGAGACGCAGCAGGCTCGGATGCAGCCGCCTTCTTCGAATCCAAGGAACCAATCTGCAGCTTTCCCTTGTATTTCTTCAGAATTCCCTCATTGTGATATTTCCAGAACTGTTTCGAGGCATCTTTTCCGGCAACCCGCTGAAGGACTAAGGTGGTATGGTTAGTTGCGGAAATCCGGCGCAAATTCCGGATGCGATCACATACTCTTCTTTCCACCTGAGGGTCGCAAATTGACGTCAGCATTGTAAAAAGTGCCTTGGGAGCAATAGTAAGCCCAAACATACCTGGATGTTCGTCTTGGAAGCCGGTCAAGTCATAGACGTCCTCGTCGATAATCACCCAGAGGTTATCCGGCTTGCTGTGCGACGCTACGTCGTCTTTTGTGAAAGTCTTAGACATGATGCGTAGAGGAGGGTATAATAGACAAGGAGACTAGGGTATATGATTGTAGATAACAGGGTAAGGTAACTAGAGGCCCCAGACGGTAGTTAGCAGGAGCAAGGATGGGGAACCGGGTCTGCGGGATATGGGGAAGCAATCTGGGGTAGGAAAAAGAAGAAGAAGAGTAAGAAGTTGAGAGAAAACGAGACCAACAAAGGGGGAGAATGGGTACCCGATATAAGGTAGGAATAATAAGCACAAATCACGGAGCTTCCCCCGCCACAGAGAGCCTGACTATCACTACTTACCTAGGATAAATGAAGCCGTCTGATAATAATATGGTATCTACTGGCGGTCGAGCGACGGTGGATACCTTCGGACAAGATGTACTCCGTAAGTATAGAAGCGAATAATAGTATGTACAAGATGCAACGGCCCACTATTGTCGGGGTAATTACAAAAATGAGGCACGGGTAGGGGGGACCTGGATGAGGGATCTCCGGAGACAACTTGAATGCTTTTCACATGTGCTTCCTACATCATTGCCCATTTTCCATGCTTTAGGACTGAACGGCTCACGTGGGCCACACTCCTCGGCCAGCCCGGATGAATTGGTCGCTGGCTCTTTTGACCGGCTCTTATTGGCCAACTGTCCCCTCGGGGCGTCATGGCACGTGCACGATTGCGCCTAAAGGAGGAAGTGCCGAGGCAGATTTGCCCCGATTGCCGGCACGTGACGGAAGCAAGGTCGGGGGTGGTTATGTCATGAGGCATTCTGCAGCAGGCCAGCATGTGAATGAGGGCTGGATGGGATCAGAAGGATAGAAATCTGGCACGCAGGAAGTGAGGTCTCCACAGCGACTATCTTGTCGAAAGGCTGATTCGTCAATAGCGAGTACCATGTCTGAGGATTTCCAACCCCATGCTTTGTTGCGGCCGGGTGCCTTGGATCGTTATGGTGGACAACCACTAATGACATCTCCCAGAGCCACTGGATGTCAGTGTGGGGGATACGACACTGATATAAAACCTTGACTAGAATCCTACGAACATGTCTACCCGATGAACCATGGACCACACTTAGAACGGTGGGTGAGGGTGTGATTGATGATTCTCATCACTCCTTCGATTCTATCATAGAAGTTTAGACAAGCTTAGATAAATGCAGAATAGATAATCCAAACGTTAGGCAGCTGTGCCACTTTCAAGATAAGACATGAATCCATAATTAACCTAGTATTACAACGAGCGCCAGATCGTGCATTTAGCTGCGATTGCCAGCTCTACTCGTCATCTGGATCGGTTTCATACTCGAAATCGTTCGGCACAGGGGCCTCTTCCCCGCCTTCCTCATCCTCATCCACGGCCGTCAGGACGCCAGCTGCAGCCGCAGCATCTGCCAATGCGGCCGAATCGGCACCCAGCGGGAAACGACCAGCTCCACGCTGAGGTGTCTGCAGTCCCGCCCCGCCCATGACAGCTTGTAGTCGGTCTTGCAGCGTTTCCCCTGCGTCCAGTGCGGGGGCAGGCGGCTTAGCCTCCTTAACCTCCTTGGTAGCCGTCATCTCAATAGTCTCGCGGGCTTCCTCGGGGGTCTTGTCGAGAACAACCACGACTCCACCGGTAGGCTGTGTTCAAGTTAGCAATCACGACCATCGTAGTTGAGACATATGGGACTGGCAGGGTTACGTACCCGTTTGACCGGCTCGTACCGCGGGTCGGGGAATGTGAGGTACTTGAGCTGGGCGGGAAGGACTCTAGACATGTTCTCGAGCTCATATCCTACCTTCTCCCGCTCAACCTTCTTCTTCTGACCCTCGCCAGCCTCCTTCTCACCTTCCTTCTCCTCCTCGACCTTGACTGCACTTTCGTCCGTCTCCATCTTATCCGGAATCTGATCCGACACCTTGGGAGTAGTGGGGGTCTGATCAATGTCCATGCTCTCGCGTCTTTGTTGCTTCTCCCGGCGCTGTGCACGGCGTTTGGCCTGCGCGGTGGTGGAGAGGACAGCTGTCTTGACCTTCTCGGGCGCTTCCTCGGTCTTGACCTGCTGTTCCGGAGGATAGTCGAAGAGGCTTGGCCTTGTGTTGCTGTGGAATTTGAAGAACGGCACCTCGAGTTTCTGATCGACACCGATCACGGAAGTCGGGGCAAAGCTGAGGGACAGGAAGTGGGTGAGAGGGAACCAGTACCAGTACTGAAGGAAAACAGCTGCGCCGACGATACCGGGCATGTTGAGGTTGCCGGTCTGGGTCTGGAGACTGATGGTGCAATTGCGACCGCCGGCGTCGATAATACCAAGGGCGACAGCGCAGCCAAATTTGGCCATGGCATCTTCATGCCTATCTCCAATCATCTTCATCATGACCTTGCGAAGTGAGCTAACACGAGGGTTCATGGCTTCATTTTGCTGGACCAGAACCATGGCCAACGAAATCAGAGCACCCTGTCTCACAAAGTCCGTAGAGTCCTTGAGCATGGGCTCAAGCAGGTCAATGGCTTCATCGAGACCAGTTCCGGCACAAGAGATACCGAGAGCCATGGCTGCACCGTACCGCACATGAGGATTGTAAGATTCGGACAGAAGCTCCACCATGCGGGGCACGCTCTGGTGCTTCCTGAACAAGATAAAGCCCAAGCTCAGAACTGCAACGCGACGAACGTCATCGTTCACGTCGCTAACAGCAACGTGAAGGAGCTTGCGCACCGCCTTGTTGCTGCTGCTTCCACAGTAGGCGAGGGCGATGGTCATGATACCACCGTAGCGAAGAGCAGGATCAGGGTCGCCGAGAAGGCCGTTGATCAGCTCATCAGCTGCTTCTTGACGACCGTACATGATCAGAGCCATACCCATGGCCAAACCACGAACGATCTTCTCGTGCTGAGTGTCATGGGCATATTGGATCATATCCTCAAGAACCCTCATGTTACCTGTACCCAACATGACAAGACCCATGGCAAGACCGACAGCCTCACCGTTGATAGCCGAGTCGGAGTAAAGAACATTCCGAAGATCGTCGTAGATTCCCTCATCGCCGGTAGCCATGCCTGCCACACCAAGACCTAAAGCACCACCATGCTGAATGACCTCATCTGTAGCCTTCTTGAAGTAATCACGGATGACATTGACAGCCATGCCGCCATGGTTGGCGTAAATCAGACCGTACGCAAACAGCGAACCACCTTGGCTGTAAATCGAACCAGCTCCACCAGCCCCTGCAGCTCCACCGACGCCGGCGATAGAGCGCTCCTTCGGCAGATATGGCTGCAAGAGCTTTTGTCCCTGGGTCAAGTTGCCCCGATGGATAACACCAAGGGCCGCAGTAGCTGTGAACTTGGACCAGTTGACGGCTTTACTCAACCACTCAAGATTTTCTCGGAAGAACCTGTCGCGTGCGGTGCCAGCATGCATAAAGCCATTTGACAGCGAGATGGCGGAGTGGAAGATGGAGTTTCGAGCTTCCAGGCTATCACGAATCTTGTTGAGAATGGCGATGTCGGCCTTGCTGTTCCGGTATAAAAATTCCACGTTCAACTGGTTGGTCTTGACACCGTCAACGATATCAAGGATGTTCTTGAATGCCGTGCGTGCTTCAGGCGAAATCTTCGTGCGCGCATTGTTTTCTCCAATAGACCTCGACTGGTTGTCCAGCAAAGGATCGGACTCCTTTGCCTCCTCACCTTCTGTTGCCGTCTCCTGCTCAGCGTCGCTTTTCTCCGGTACGAGTTCGGAGATCTCCTGGCGGACCTTTTGAAGGAATTCTTGTGTGCTGTTATCGTAAAGGTCGAAAGAAATCTGGTAGGCAACGGCAAGTGAACGAGCATCGCCCTTCTCAACCAACTGTCGGAGGATGACAGACGCCATTGAGTGTTCGTTGAGGTATACAACACACTTGGCGATGGAAAAGTAGTCGGGGGCCGGAATCTCGTTGAGTAGTTCTAGGATGAGTTTAAGGATCTTAGGCAAAGGATTAGCTCGTGAAATCTCCCGATCGTGATAGAGGAAATTATACCTCGTTGCGGAAACAGCGCTCCTGCACAATTCCCATGCAGATATCCAGTACGTACTCCATGAGTTCCTCGCTCCGCCGCGACTCGCCGTTCTGCTTCTTCTCATCCTCGCTGGCCCGGATGATGGTCCTGCGAAGTACGTCCAAACTCTTTGCTTCGATGGCGATTCCAATCACTTGACGGTAGCGCTTTTGAACGAAGCACTGCTCAAATAAGCGATCGATAACTGCCTGTAGATGACCCTGCACACCACGCTTCAGAACGAGAGGGGTTTCTTCAGCGTGATTAAAGCCCGCGTCCTCGCCGCCCGGATAAGCGGCGTCCACTCCAGGCACTTCTTGCCTAGACAAGAGCGACTTAGAAGGCAAGGCTGATTGCGAAAAAGGGGTGATCGGAGATGTTAGGCTGGCGGAGGTACTAGTGGCGCCTTCAACGGAGGTTGGAAAGGCAGTGTTGAGATTGGCGGGTTGGTCACCCGCGACCGGCCGCTGTGCCGCTGACAGAGAGACGAAGGTATCAACGCATTTCGCTATAGATCCCAGTGAGATAAAGCCCCAATGACGGGACGCCCAAGAGTCCGATGTTCTTACCGATGATAGTTTCCTCGAATTCGCCACCGCTGTCCAACTGGAAAAGCTTCCCAGCACCTAGAGCGAACACCATGCTCTCGTTGTATTCTTGAAGGTGGTAGTACACCTTTGCGGCGACCAAGGCGGCCAGCTCGCGTTCGGGGAAGGACTCATCTTCGTAAAGTGCTTCTCTAAATACCAGATAGTCAGCATCGACGTATTCCGCGATCGTTCGACAAGGTAAGGCATGTAGTATAGAGGAATTTGACATCTTTGAGGGACAAGGCGAAGGACGAACATTTGGGGAACGGCATCGACAACTTCTGTCCAGAGCAAGTCGATTTGTGAATCTAAGGTCTTCAAAGCAAAGACTCTCAACTCCGGATCCGGCTCAGAGAGAAAGCCGACGAGGCCAGCGGCCGAAGCAAGCCCAACCATAGCTGTTGGGAGAAGGGGACTGCTGTCGCGAGGGGAGTGAGGCGACAGCTGCGAGGGAGCTGTAAGATTGATGGGGGTGGCCCGGGTGCGTAGGAGGGCCTTTAAAGAGATCTAAGTACTCAAGAACGAAATTTACAGAAAGGGATAGATGAAATATTCAAAGCAGCAGAAGAACGGATGATGGATGCAATGGGCTCGGAGTGATCAGGAAGCTTCCTCCAGAGCAGCGAGACACACGTCAATGGAAGCTGTCGAAAGGTTCCCGTGGTTCCTGCAGAAACCCCTAGAGACGGCACGTGACCGATGATGGCATGGGCTTCGGCCTGGCAGCTGCCCGGCGCCGTGATCCCTTGCAAACACGGCACCTTTACTCGAGGGTCACAGCTCGGAGCTTTACTATCTCGGAGCATCGCACTGGGAATACATCTGAATGCACGGGTAACCCTTGTTTTTCTATCCAGTCATCCTCCAGAATGTCGACTATTCTTCCGCAAGACAGAAATAAATACCTCCCGCCCCTGCCCATCGGAACCTCCTCCCATCACCAAGACCCTTTTGTTTACATTGACCGCCAGGCCAAACACATTCAGCGTAATCTACAGATCCTAATCGATGCCCAGAGCGAAGGTCTTCTAGCTGGTCTGGCGGGTCCACAGCGGGATGGTACTCTTTCCAGCGGAAGTTATACCCCAACCTCGGAGACAAGCAATTCCCAGCGTCCGTCAACCATACCGGTCCGGCAACCGGCCCCGGAGAAAATCGGGCTGTCTGCTGCACGACAGGGAATATTTAGATCCATCTTCGACCTGCTGAAGCTTCGGGAGGAGGAGCGAGAAATACTAACATTCCGGATTGATGAAAGAAAGGATGCGTTGGGAGATATTGACAAGTTCAACACTCACCGCGCCGGGCTGGAAAGCGCCATCTCGACAATCCAGGATAACCGAGAAGGCCAGCATACTCAAGCATTGAGGGAGGAAAGTCGCAAGCTTGAAGGGGATATTCATGACTTGGAGACTAGGCTGTCCCAGATGAGGGCAAGGCATCAGCACGTTCTTCGCGAATTATCCCAGATGGAAAATTCTATTGAATCAAAGCTGTCTTCTTACAAAGCCTCAATGTCTCTCCTAGAGTCGAATATCAGAAATTACCTCCAAAATCCACCCGTGAAACCTCAGTCGACCAGCCCCAATGATGCGACCTTCTACTCCTTGAAGCCTAACCGGCGGACCCTTGAGATGGCACAGGAACACTGGCAGAAAGAGCAGTCGAGTTTGCAACAGAGACAACAGGAAGTGAATACCGAGATTGAGGCGCTCGAAGCAGGAGGTGGTGTCTGGAAACAGGTGGTCGGGGAAGTCTCTGGATTTGAGAAACGACTGAAGTCAGCCATGCGCCTTTCTATTCAAAGCCAGTCGCAGATACTGAAGCATGATGGCCCATCTGGTAGCAAGTCCGAGGAGGACCTTGCCCGGGCAATGCTGGATGATCTGACGCATACCACAGAGCGCGTAGAATACCATCTAGAGCTTGCGGAGAATAAAGATTGGAAACTGTTGGTTTGTTGCATCTCGGCGGAGCTCCAGGCTCTGCGAGAAGCGCGACAACTGCTATTGGGCATCTTCAATGTGGCCGAAGCAGACATCTGGCCGTCTGTCGAAAAAGGAGCAGATTTCAGGAGTCAGCCCCATGGCGACGACGACTCAGAAGCCGACCCCCTTGGAGTTGACAACCCTGAACCTCCGGCCGACTTGCTCAGGGATACTGGGGAGCACCAGCATGGCACAATTTCCCACTCCGATGATGAAGATGATGAGCCGGATCCTGCCTGGCTGCTCCCAGAATCTTAAAAGGGTCCTTATTGTGACCCACCAGTCCCCCATGGACAAATGTGAGCCGTCAATTAGCGTAGTATCTCTCGGGTAATTATTTCTATTCTCCAGGCTATCTTAGAAGCTTCTGTCTAACGTTGTGTATTCTACCCGGCTATTAAAGTGCTAAGGAACCTTTTACAAGACTATTAGGACACCCTCAGCGGGTGCTGGGGCATTCATGAATAGGATGAACTTTCTAGAAACGAACAAAATGCATCATACTTGTTGGTTTTTCTCATGCTGCTTCTCGAAAAGGCTGCTAACCATGACAGCTTCATGGCAGCACCCGTACAATCTCTACATCCAATGGTGTCAGCAGCATCGAAGTGTTCATCAGTCATTCCATGGGAACGGCAGTTGCGGTAACTTCAGCGTCACGAGGGCTTTCAAGCTGTCTAATCTAGATTGAGCATGACCCATATCGGCATTGTCAGTGATCGAAGGATTGTCAGGTTGACACAGGGGAATCGACTGGAGGCCCTTTCCCTTTTGTACCATGGACATTATCCTCGTTGGTATTGTCTCGCTAATTTATACGGTGTTTCCCGGAGGCTTGGAAGATCTATTAAAGCATCCCAGGACTTGTTAACCTGGCGTCTGCAATGGTGCTACCAAAGTTGGGAGTTCCATCATTCCAGACAGGTCTCCTGTTAATCACAAATAAGGGACGGATGAACAGGTTTAGGCCCCATATGTGCAGCAATGGTTCTCGACCGCTCTTTTTCGAAGAACACCTCCTGCACGGTCCCCTTCGAGCCCGACGTGCACCTTATCGGGTGAGAGGGAACGCATCCTTTGCAGGGGTGTGTAAGGGCAGCCACTGTCACGCTGGTCCCAACAACTGATAAGGGACGAAGGGACCAATGCCATCAGTTGATCGATCACTTTGCTTTGGAAAGCTCATGACGCCATATCATTACCTATGAAAGAGACTGATACCAGGGTTGTGCCTATGCCATCAACTATCACCCATGTAATGTGGTTCTGGGGAGGAACTGGCTCAATTACAGTACGGAGGAATCGGTAGGGTTGCTTGCCCCTCCCCCATATAAAAGGTATCTGTACCACTATTATCCGCTTTGACCACTGCCCTGAAACTCCATCACAGTCTACAATATGGATGATGTTGTTCTGGATAACAGAACCCCCAATGCATTGGAAAGCAACCGATCACTCACCGGGAGGACGTCCACTTAGAGCAAGAAATAAGCACGGCGCGACGCAAGAAGCCTCCCTCGTTCTACATGTCGGTGCTTATGCTATCCCTCATTACGATCATTGTATCATGGGACGCAACGGCGCTATCGGTGGCACTGGCGGTGAGTTCCTCAGCAGGCATTTCCTTTTCGTTCACTAACAACCAACCCCGTGCTGTATGCAGACCATCACCAGCCAATTACAGGGCACAACATTCCAGTCCTTCAGGGCAAGTATTGCCTTCACCCTGGGCGTGGCAGTGACGCAACCTATTTATGCAAGCGTGTCGGATGCCCTGGGTCGTAAAGCTACCCTTGTACGCCTCGATGGTGTTATTTGCCGTGGGATCAGTCATCTTCGCGACGGCATGCAATATCAACGTCGTTGTCGTGGGCCGGTTGATCCAAGGCCTGGGAGGGGGCGGCTTGGATGTGCTCGAGACGATCATTCTCACCGATATCACCACCCTCAAAGAGCGACCGCGCTATCAGGGCGTAATGTCAGTGTCTATTGCGTCAGGGGTGATTGGCGGGCCACTTGTGGGTGGTGTATTTGCCGAATACGTCAATTGGAGATGGCTCGGCTGGATTAATCTGCCCTTTGTCGGATCTGCTGCCGTTCTGTCCATTTTGTTCCTCCGGTTACAGTCAATTGATATGGACTTCAAGACCAAGGTCCGGCGCCTGGATTGGGTGGGGTTCCTCCTATTTACTATAGGCGCCACCGCGGTAGCCTTGCCCTTGAGTTGGGCTGGCTCTCTATACCCCTGGGGCTCATGGCGAACACTTGTCCCCTTGGTCATTGGCTGCTTGGTCCTGGTTGTGTTCGCAATTCTAGAAAGGAAAGCGATCGAGCCCATGATCCCGTACCGGATCTTCGACAACAGGACGGCAATTGTCTCGGCAGTCTTGGGCCTCTTCCACGGGTAGGTCTTGTACACCGTTGTTATGTACCTGCCCCTGTTTTTCCAGGCGATCTTTCTTCAGGCACCTCTCGACGCAGCAAAGCCTATCCTACCATTCTGCCTTCTCCTTGTGGCTCTGAGCATCATTACATCAGTGGTGATAGACTGGACCCGTCGGTACCGGCTAGCATTCTGGCTGGGTTGGATCCTGACCACCGTGTTCTTGGGCTTGTTATATCGGGCCGGCCGAGACACCAGCCAGGCGGAGTTGAATACCTTCCAGGTATTTCTAGGCAGTGGAATTGGCATAATTCTTACCGCTGGCACCGTCGCGATGCTGGCCAGTGTGACCCGAGTGGATGATGCCGGACTAGCCGTGGGGCTTCTTCTTGTATTTCGCATCCTTGGTTCCCTCCTAGGTCTTGCTATTGCCTCGACAGTCTTCAGCTCTGTTTTCCAGAAAAGTATAGCCGCGGTGGGTGATCTACCAGAGTCCTTGAGCATTCTGCAGGATGCGAGTAGAGCGATTGACTTTATCCCGGAGCTAAGAACCCTTAACCTGCCAGATGACATGATGGATCGATTGATAGATGCCTACCAGAAACCGTTTCAGATGATCTGGTTGGTCTTAGCATGTATCGCGGCACTGGCTTCGTTTATATCGTTCTTTGTCAAAGACTTGACCCTTGAAAAAGAGGAAGTTGGCAGGCAAGGGTTCCAGTCGTCTTCATGATAGCGCTCCTTATGCCTGGAGCTCGCCGTCTTGATAGCCGAATTGACATAAGAACCTGTAGTATTCGTTGTCTGTGGGAAGCGATAGCACGAAACGAGCTTATTCATATCGGGGAGGAGCTCGTCAAGGTCATAGATCAAATACGGCAAATGATGCTCTTTCTCTGAAGGCCGTTTAGTGAAGCGACACCAAATTCGGCCTAGAGCGGACAGCGAAAGCCCCTCGGATTCAATCGCTGAGCCTTTGGGCGGCGAGACCTGAACATCACTGTACAATAAGTACGAGTGAATCTCTTTGTGCATCAGTCATCGTCAGGATGACAATAAGCTATAGCAGCCACTCCCAGTTTGCATTTACTTGAGAATTGGCGTTGAAGCGATATGCGTCGGCCGTTGGCAAGCAACTAGAGGATTCCTCGCTACCCCACCCCTCATCTGTTGACGAGTTACACCTTCGGCTCGACAACCAGAACAGTCGCTTCAGCCAATTTCGGGAAACGAAACACTGTTCCACATTCTAACATGTATATGCAATCCAATCAAACGCTTTGGATCCATCGCTGCCTTCATTGCCTCCAATGCCTTTGCACCCAGCATCGTATGCTTTAGTGCCATTGCATACCTTATAGATGCTGCAAAGGATTTTTCTGCATCTTATAGCGTAAGAATAACACTTTTTGTGACGCTGAAGGCAAGCTCATCGGCATGCGGATGATTTCTGGACACTGGATACCTTGGTCCCAATCGCCAAATTTCTACACGACAAGTATCTTTTTGACTCCTTAGACTTGGAGACGCATGACTGGGTGTTAGGCGCTGTCCAAGAGCCTGCAGAGCTGTTCATTCCGGCTGCAGAGCATATCGCCAAAAGGTGGCTGCAGGACTACCGATGGCAACCCCGGATATGCATGTTGATCATATATCGGATCAGATGCCTGGTCAATGGAGATCGGGATGAAGTATTTACCGATAGCCCTACCACCTCAAATGTGCTTGATTCAGCAGAGTGGAATCGGAGAGTTGCCATGTGCCTTAGAGACATGTCATACTTTGAGGAGGCCCAGGTTCATTTTGAAGCTGCACTGAGACTGGACTGCCAGATTTGGCTTGCTAGGGGTGGCCTGGCATACATGTATAGCCTCAATGGGCAACATGACAAAGCTTTGGATCTCTACAAAGCAAATCTTGAAATTCTGGATGCGGCTTATCTGAATACTGAGATTTGGGACATGCTTCCTCACGATGTTGGCTCTGATGATATTGCTGACGGTTACCAGTCCATAGGTGAAGAATACCTCGCCCTCAATGCGCTGGCCTACTTCGAGAAAGCACTTGATATCTCTAGAAAGGGGGAGTGCCTCGAAAAATTCATTGAGCTCCGTGCGGCGGATAAAGTCTCGGAGAGCAATGAGCAAAATATACAGCACTCCAAAAGAATGGGCACCGCATCTGATGATGGACTTCCCCGCGACATTCATGCAGGGGAACTTCCCAGTGCTATACTTACAATCCTTGGTTAGTAGGGTCTACGGTACCCATCCTCTGATCAAGGCCATTCAAGCTGGGCCAGGTACTGCAGATGCCGAGTGCCATATTCGGTTACTGGAAAGAATCACCAAACGTAGGGTGGTCCACATGGAACATGTCTCTGAATTGGCTGCCAACAACGGCCATTCTCGGTTTGTGGTATCATCGAATCAATGAGCAGGAGAAAGCCAGGGAATGTCTCCTCCCATTTGCCAGGCAGTTCAAATTCTCTGATACCGACGTACTAAGCACCTATTTTGCCAGCTACATTTTTGCAACGATTTTACTCGTGATGGGGGATGATGCCACCGCGGCGGCTATCCTGCACAATGCTGTTTACCCGGGGGAGACTGCTTGGAGCCGCGAAGCTCGGTGTGGGTTGGAGCCCACAACCTGGGCAGGTGCCAATCTCTGCCGGGACTGTGCAGTTGGTCTGTTTGATGATTGCCTGCGACTCGTGAAGGAGAGGCAACCGATGAGGGTCAACATCTGCAGTCCAGATCACTCCTGGGTTTGCATCCCGGGTTCATCGACAACCCCAGGGCCTGACGATGTGTGTGTTGATGACCAGATTACGATCCAAGGTCTAAAAAATAGAATCAAGAAGCAGTGGGGGCTGTGAAGACTCGAATGATAGCCGGTCTTGGCTGTCGGTGTACAGCAACGTTACTACTACCAAACCTGATCCTCTTCTTGGAAATAGATTAGATTAGATTGGATTGGTATATCCTGGACTTTTTACACCAACGCAATATCTCACATTGTGAATGTATTCCTTTCGATAGGGTTATATATCTCGGTCTTGAACTATCTATGATTTTTCCTTAGTCCCAACGAACCAACCACAGAGACACGACTTGTCTCACATGAATAATGGATCTAAAGTTTTACGTTATTGAAACCCCTTATGCAAAAGGTCAACTAACCTTATTCTCATCCCGGTGTGATCATCTGGAACAATTTGCTCTGATAGTCATCGCATGATGTCCACACTGAGCACTCTACAACTATACTAAGTAGAGTGACCGCCAAAGCGACCGACTAGTAGTAGTCGCCCCTCCCCCATTGGCCACCAACGCTAATAATCCCACTGCATCCAACACCATAACCTTTTCCCCCATTCGTTTCATTCCACTTTTTCTTTGTATAATTCTACCCTATTTACCCAGCTACCTATTCTACCTATCTGCCGACCCAACCTTCGTACTCGTAAGCCTCCCTCTCCCCATACACATATACACACTTCTCCTACCTCCCACTTCACTTCCTATTCTCCCCTCCCCAACCCAACCCAACCCAACCCAGAACCACAATAAGAGCAATCAGCAAACTGCAGGACGATGCCCCTCCCCGCCCCCACATACACATTCTCCATCCCCTCTATCCACGATCGCCTCCGACTAGATTGTCGGGTTTATCTTCCCCAGCAACAAACATCACCACCACCAGCAAAACAAAAACAACAGAAACAACGACACCTGCAGCGCCAACGCGGAGCCATCATCGCGCATCCCTATGCGCCTCTCGGAGGGTGTTTCGATGATCCCGTTGTTGGGTTTGTCGGAGGAGAGCTCCTAAAGGCGGGGTTGGTGGTAGGGACGTTTAATTTTCGGTGTGTTGGTTCTATTTCCACTATTTTTAGTTATGTTGGGTGTTTGGTGGTTGCTGATTAGAGTGCAGGGGCGCTGGTGATTCCGGGGGTCGGACCAGTTGGACGGCTAGACCCGAGTTGGCGGATTATGCCTCTTTTTATGTCTTTATGCTGCTTTATTTGCATTTCTTGGGGGGAAGGGGTATAGGGGAAGGGAAAGGGGAAAGCGATATTCGTATTGTCTTGGGCGGGTATTCCTACGGGTCTATGATTGCGTCGCATCTCCCTGGTCTGGATGCTATCGTGGATCTGGTGAGGAAAAGCTCCCCTGATACTCCGATCCATGAGATCTATCAGATCGCGGACAAATTGTCGCTGTGTCTGGGGGATGATCAATCAACTTCGAGGCCATCACCCACATATCGCCCAGCGACCGTTGAAGAAATGGGACAAGCTGCTGACAGCATTGGACGGGCAGCTGTTTCTTATCTTCTCGTGTCGCCTCTTCTCCCGCCAGTCAATCAGTTCCTAACATTGTTCTCAAAAATGTCACTCGATGCGGGCGCGCAGACATCCGCTCAAGGGAGACAGATATCCTGTCCCAAGCCAGCAGCCCAACTCTGTGCACATGAGACATTGGCTATCTATGGCGACCAGGATACCTTCACATCGGCGAGTAAACTAGAAAAATGGTCAGCCGAACTGGCCCATGCACCCGAGAGTAGATTCCAGGCGGTCGAGATCGAGGGCGCTGGCCATTTTTGGAGGGAACATGGGGTTGAGTCTCAGGCGCGAGAGGTGATCAAGGACTGGGTGTGTCAGATGGCTTAATATCTGGAGCATAATATCGTTTGATAGGGACACCGCTGGGTGGTCAGCCTACATTTATCGTGTTCGGCAGCGGGTATAGATCATTCGTCGTGGAGCAGAACAGACACGAGAGGTCTTTACCAGACCACCAACCAGATAGCGGGACCCTTCTTCACATGCAGGGCGGGCACTGGTGAGTCGTGAGGCATGTGAAGTGGGCGTGTTCGCATGACCAGCCCGATGGAGGGAGGCCCATGGAAGACCTGACGCTGACCAGCATCCGCTTTAGGCATCCCTCCACCCATTATTCATGGGCCTGTATGAACATGGTCTCTTTGCAGTGATGGATAATGTTTATTCGATCCCTACTCGTCGATCTAGGAGATCACCGCACCAATGACGCAAGACCTTCCGCTCGCGCTGGACAATGATATTATGCGAAAACTTTCGATGAGCGAGAGAGGCCGGAAAAAACACACGGCATGCCCTTATAGGGTCCGGGGAGGCTGTGACCAACCATGCGGCGTCGACAACCCAAGGTCGCACCCCCAAGGTCCGATCAGGCCCGAACCCGACGAGGGAGAATTTCATCCCTGGGTAAGAATGCATGCTCCGAATGCAATTTTTGTTTAGGTTTGCTGATCGACCGTATGTCACAGTAGCATGGAGTCCACCTGGAGATGATCACCACCTGGTCGATGGGAGAGTTCCCAAAATTGTGGGGATATGAGATCACCGCAACCTCGATCGGCTGAAGAAGTTGCCATCATCCGCTCGGGGACCTGACGTCGGCGTTTAAGTAGCCAGCCATTAATTACCGGGCCGGTCTGGCGACCCCCGGTTTCGTCGATGACCATGATATGAGGTGTTCATTCTGGTGATGGTAGAAGACTGGAGCTGAGACCTAGGCGAGGGAGACCATTGGGCTTCCCGGCGGTCTAGGCGGTTGGTTCCTTCCCCGCGAAGACGGTGTCATTCTCATCCCCTCGTCCCGTGACCCGGGGGGCGATCGGCAGCGCCCGCTGTCCGGCCGGGGACCAATGGGGGCCGGCCTGGTTGGGACCCTCGTGACGTCGGGCTCGGGAACCATTCAATTTGGCCACCCTCCTCTCCTTCCTTCCCTTCCCAGCCAGCCCGGTATGGATCCTGCTGCGCAACTCTCGTCCTCCCTGTCTGCCTCGTGCCTGACCAGGAAGAATACCTCCTTCGACAACGGCGGCTGCAACTACTTACGGCCCCAACATCGCCGATGTTGACCTCGATTTCTCACTTCCTCACCACCACCACCACTCTTTCGGGTATTATTTGCTGATGACCTTTGATTTGCCTTCCTGATCCAGCGGACACTCCAATCTAAACCTAATTTCCCCTCTCATCTCCGCACCCATGCTGGACTGATGCAGCCTGAAGCCGGTCATGTCCATCTTGAACGATCCCTCGCTGGTGCGGCCTCAGTGTCATGGCAAGGCCAAACCTCGCTCCCTCAAGGGCGTCGCGCGAGATGCCTCGGTCATATCCCGCCGCTCCGTCCTCAAGTCCATCTCCATCCCGTCCTTTTCGTCCGTCCTCAGAACCTCGTTGACATGGGCGGGAGACGCGTGGAGTGCCTACGGGGATGGGTTGTCCCAGAAACAACGCAAACTGCTTGCTGAGGCGGAGGATCGCAAGCAGGTCTTGTATCTTAAGAAGCAGAATGTGAGTCGGAAATTTTCTTATCTTCTCTTCGCCCCCTGCCCCCGCGCCCTCCCACAAGTTCGCGTCGCAAGGTTGACGGCTAACTGTCATCGCAGGCTGTGACGTATGATGAATGGAGAGAAGCTGCAAGTGAACTGGATGCATTGGAGAACAACACTGTCTGGAAACAAACGTTTGACTGCCCTGACTATGACCCCGATCTCGTACAGGAGCGCCTCAAACAGCTTGAAGATGCCCGGATCAGCTGTGATATTAGTCGCATGTTGTTCTTGATTCGTACCTCCCTGAGTCGTCATTTGGGCAACATGAGCAACGCAGCTCTCTACAAACATTCCCATCTCGGGACAAAAGACCTCGTCGACCGATATATCACCACCGCTTTGGACACAATATCTTCCTTGGTGGAGTCGTCCGGTAAAGACCGCTGCGATGGGCTTGAGTCCAAGTATATTCTTGATCAACTGCTGGCAGCAAGACAAGCCTTTGGGCGCAGCGCTCTGCTGTTTTCCGGGGGAGCAACATTTGGCATGAATCACATTGGTGTGCTCAAGGCTCTTTATGAAGCCAACCTTCTCCCACGTATCATTTCAGGCGCGTCTGCGGGAAGTATTGTGTGTGCTGTTTTCTGTACACGCACAGAGGACGAGCTACCAGCACTGCTGGATACATACGCATATGGAGACTTTGATGTTTTCGGTGATGAGAGTAAAGCGGATGGTTTTTTCCGCAAGATGACGCGGCTCATGACGTCTGGATCGTTTTTAGACATCACTCACCTCGCCAACGTTATGAGGTGCTGGTTGGGCGATATGACCTTCCAGGAGGCATACAATCGCACGCGAAGGATACTCAACGTCTGTGTTTCCAGCGTGGGAATCTATGAACTGCCCAAGCTATTGAACTACATCACCGCGCCAAATGTATTGATCTGGTCTGCTGTGTATGATTGACATCCGTAATCCCCTTTGGTCTACACGGGCTATAACTGACGTCAACAGGGCCGTCTCATGCTCCGTCCCGTTTGTGTTCGAGCCTTTTACCCTCATGACTAAAGATCCCCTGACAGGGGAGCCGGTGCCATGGTGTGACTATGAGGATCAATACATTGACGGTTCTGTTGACGGTGATCTACCTATGAATCGTCTGTCGGAGATGTTCAACGTCAATCACTTCATTGTGTCGCAGGTCAATCCCCATGTTGTTCCTTTTCTCCCCAAAGACGATGGACCAGACCGGCGTGTTCAGGCCTCGTTCACCGCCCCTCGTTGGCTTCTAGCTATGACCCATCTTGCCAAGGATGAGCTCTTGCATCGCATGACGGTCATGTCGGAGCTGGGAATCTTCCCGACGCATTTTACTAAAACTGTGTCCATTGTAAACCAAAGATATTTTGGAGACATCAACATATACCCGGAAATCCAGTTATCCCAGGTGCCTGTGATGTTGAAGAACCCCACGACAGAGTTCATGTTGAACGCATGCCTTAGCGGGGAACGTGCCACCTGGCCCAAGCTTGGACGTATTCGCAACCACTGCGCCATCGAACTGGCCTTGGACTCAGCCATTCAGGAAATGCGGGCACGGGTTGCCTTTCATCCGAGTCGCATTAATGTGAAATTGGACAGCATGGTCGACCATTCTCTCGAGTCTCTTGACAGCAGTGGAGGACGAGGACGCTTGCTGAACCGCAGAAGCTCTTATAATCATGAACTCGAAAAGACAAAGCACATGAGGCATATTCCGAGCCGGCAGACAAGGCCATATCTGCAACGGTCTCGCAGCGTGTTACTATCCGAACAGTCCCGCAGCATAGACTCTGTGACGGCTTTGAAACTGGACCAAGGTATCGACCAACGTACTAAAGGCCATCAGAACTCATCTTTGAACACCGGTGACGGATCGTATGCTACTGGATCTGACAGTGATGAGGAGAGCGGAGCATCGCCATCGCCCCTTGGAAATTATGGGTCGCTTAGGTCCCATGTGTCCTGGGAGCCATCGTCTGAAGATCACCCCTTCGCCTGGTCAAGCCTGGACGGTAGCGCGAACTCATCTCAATCATTCGCATCCGCCCACTCGCGAGGGTCATCGCACCGGGCATCTGCCTTGTCTCCGCAGACCTCGCATGCGGTGCGTACCATGCCGGAGAAGTCGTTATCACCTCCACGCCACCATCTTCGGATGACGCCCTCCGCCTATGTCAGATCTCCCAATTCTGGCCGTTTTCTTAACTGACCAGTCTAAGCTCTATAGAACACGATGATAGCTCACCGCATTTTCGACCTGAATGCGCTGCTCCTTGGCTAGAATGAGGCTATCGGATTTAGACATCTGTTATGTGCCCGGCAAACATAGCATTTTTAATTCTTCACATGGTTTCTTCGGTGTATATATTGACGCCATGCTTGATTTGGCCCATGCTACTTTGTGGGTCGTTCATACATTGGGCCGTGGCAGCAAAGAGGATAGACCGGGATCGCGCCATATTAGACCCATATATCAGGACTGGAGTTTTGCATCCCTGGATGCTTAATGCTTACTACACTACGCTTTTGGTTGGATTAGATCAACATACCTTCTGATTCTATGGCGTGTTCTTTTTGGGGGGGGGGGGGGGGGGGGTGGCTCGCCGCCAGCTGCGTAGTTATCACACAGCATAGAATCTTGCTCGTTCTTTCTCCGAGGACAACGAATCATGAACGGCGTGTTTCAGGTGGCTCATGGAATCGTCGAGATTCTGTAGTGCTCCAAAAATAGACCATCACCGTGAATCAGCGCCGTGTTGGGGTGGCGGGCGGCTAGAGGAGGGCCGCGATTCGCCTGTGCCCCTACGCGCCGGAGTTGATGAAACGACCGGGTGTGATGAACTGGCATGTCGGCCATCTGGAACGCACCCGGACTGGTTTCAGGCCCCGGCCCAGGGGCCGCCCGGCGCGTCGCTGGCTGCAAGCGACTGACTAGCTGTTCTAAATCGGTCCGTGTCAACCGTCATGCGCTCCTCTGGTCCGGGCGGTTAATCAGGAGCGTGGCCTGGGATCCGAATATAGATCATGGGGCCTCAGCGGCCTATCAGCGGCATTCCGTGAGCACCCAAACCCTTGGCCGGTGCTCTCCCGGGCGGCTATTCGGATCGCTGCGAGGAGATCGTGGTGATGTGGAGGTTGCTTCTAATCTTGGAAACAAACAAGTGAGCCTGCATGATGGGACAAAAAAAGCATCATCAGAATCCTCGTGCACAGGCTTTTATATGCTCTTTCCGCCAGGCTTTGATCGAGTTGGCTCATCCCGCAGTCTGGGCACAGCCTTACGTGGATTTTGCTTTGGTCTGTGCTTGAGCTGCTGAGCTTGTTGGCTTTGGCTTGTACTAATTATCATCTGTCTTTGCTGTCCTCCAATCACCTTGTTCCTGTTCCTTTTCTGCTACGACGCCTGTCCAGCACAGCCCCGACACAGCCTCATCCCCAGGTCAACCGTTGGAGTCCGGGGGAAAGCCTCCATTTAGGGTGCTGAATCATCCTCCCCTGTTATGCGACACCCCCAACTATAGGGCTGAGACTGCTGTGTTTTTTCATCCAATCATCCCTCTCCCCTCGCAACTTCAAAACACGTCCAATATGACGAGCTTAGTAAATAAGCCCCTCGGTCGTTTCCGCAAACATGGATCTCACAAGCCGCTCCATGAGAGATGGGGAGACGTGGGCATCACTGTTCCGACCGAGGGATCCTGGAACCAGTTGGATAACCCTCATCGGTCGTCTGACCGACGACCTGTCCATGACATCTCGAGTCGAGGACACCGAGACCAAGCCATTGTCCCGACCGAAGACGACCGCCATGCTTCCCAATCTAGCTCATTCTCCGTGAAGGCATTGAACCCTCGCCGTCTCTCCATGCGCATCAGCCAGCGGTCCAAACAGACCACAGATTGTCCCAAGGAAGACGACCGTCATACCAAAGCCGAACGACGGGTGTCTCAGTTCTCTTACCGACCTATCCAGCAAGACTATCCGACCGAGATGGCCGAGAAAGCCGCCAGGCAGAGCCAGCATGCTCCCAGGTTTCGGTATATCCCTACCGGACCGGGCTACGCCGAGGAGCTGGGGCTGGGGGCTCCGCGAAGGCTGTCCAGCTGCCGGGAGAGTGCCCAGAGCAGCTATGCTAGCGAGTCGACGGACAGAGGGACGCGACACAGCTATCGTCGTAGTCCCATTGGAGGGGATGCTTACGAGGAATATGATGAAGACGGGTATCATGGGGAGATGTATCCGCGGCCCTTGTCAATCCAACGACGGGACCGAAGCAGTGTGGACTATAGCCGACGGGCCAGTCCATCGCTGGGAAGAAGCCTGGCACCGTCCACGGAGCAGCGGGGTCGATCTGGGAGGTACCTGACTACCGCCATGGTTCCGGATGCGGAGGATATTTATTAGTGATTGATTTGTTGTGATTCGGTTCAGCGTCTGCATTCTCATGTTGTAACGGCTGGTTGATGGCACCGATCTGAGCGTTCTTGATACACATTGCATACATTGGGCGGCGTTGGGGGTTTCGTCAGTTTGAGCAAAATGATCTTCAGGATTCTAAGACCATTTTATCTCATTTCTAAAACAATCATACAGAGTAGAAACATGAGGACTGTTACGTTGGATTGCGGGTGCCGAGCCTGACGTCAACCTGACGAGCCGCCGCCCTCAGGCACCTTCCGGCATCGAAAGTCAAGCACAATTTCCTGTGCATGACTTGGATAAGATAAGATCATAATATCATAATATTCAGTGCTCTCGGCAGTGATGAGAGTTTGTGAGACAGGTCCGAAAAGGGCTTATCGGGCCAGTGATCAGGGCATGACGCCATGCTGGGGATCCGAGCAGGCCCGCCAGTCCATGACGCCATGTTAACGCAGTGGTCTGGGCTATCATATTTAAATATCGAATTTCGAGAAACTCCAGTGGACCTATCAATTATTCACCTTTGACTTTAATTCATCTCGATTGGTTCGTGTCATTTGAACCAATTCACAGTCCATTATGGCAGCCACGGTGTTTCAGCTGAAGTGCGGGTGTAAGGTGCGTAGCCCTACTTGCGCTGAACAATGTCTCTCAAGTGATATGGCTAATGCATTGTGCAGAATGACCCCTGGGGAAAGACGGGGAAGGACTCTCTAGCAGGCGTACTCTGCTCCAAGACCCCCGGAGCAGTCGAGCTGGATGAATCCAAGACTTATTCCGAGGTGAGTGGTTGCCGCCTGTCGTTGATGCAGTGCAGTGAATATTAACTGACCATTGTAGATGTGGCTGGGTACATATCCCACCGTTCCATCGCGCATCCTCGCCACCGACGAACTCCTCAAGGACTATCTACAAAAACACCCCGAGGTAGTTGGCCAATCCGCCCTGGATAAATGGGGCCCAGAAGTTCCATTTTTGCCCAAGGTATACATACTACCATACCCATCCACCCCCAATTTCTCAATCCATGACTAACCCAGCCCCTCAGATCCTCTCCTTCACCAAAGCCCTCCCTTTGCAAGTGCACCCCGACAAAGCCCTCGCCGAAAAGCTCCACGAGACCGACCCCAACAAATACGGCGATCCCAACCACAAGCCCGAAATCGCCATTGCGCTCTCCAATTTCGAGCTCTTCGCGGGCTTCAAACCCCTCCCTGAGATCGAGAAATTGATGAAGATCGCCCCCCTCCAGCGATTCGTTCCCCCGCACGGCGCCAGCTCCTTCGACGACGAACTCCTCCGCGAACTCTGCCGTGTCCTCCTCACCTTACCCCCATCTATCGTCTCCGAAACCATCAAAGAACTACTGGACATCCCGGAGGCCCAGTTCGGCCCCACGCAGCGCTACATCCCGGGCTTACTTGATCGGCTTCGCAAACAGTACCCAGACACGGACAACGGGAGTCTCGTTGCCGCGCTACTCATGAACTACATGACCCTTGGCCCGGGCGAGGCTGTCTGTGTTCCTGCTGATAGCATCCATGCGTACCTGTGCGGTGATATCATGGAGTGTATGGCGAGGTCGGATAATGTGATCAATACCGGGTTTTGCCCCAAGGCAGAGAGTGATAGTGTGGATTTGTTTACGCGGGCGTTGAGTTTCAAGCCCCACTCGGTCGAGGAATCCATGTTGCCTCGAAAGAAGAGTGACAAGGGCGAGCAGTGGAAGACGGAGGTGTATGCGCCGCCGTTTAGTGAGTTTAATGTGTTGGGTACGAGTCTGGGGAGTGGGGAGAAGGAGACACATAAACCGCTGGAGGGACCGAGTTTGTTGATTGTGACCAAGGGTAGTGGGAAGATGAAGGTGTCGGGGGGTGAGAGTCTGGCGCTGCAGGAAGGGTGGGTGTATTTTGTGGGTGCTGGTGTTGCCCTCGATTTTGAGACGGAGAAGGGCATCGCTTTTTATCGCCCGTATGCGGAGTAACCGAGGGCATCATCCCCTCCATGTATGAATGAACACATGAAAGCGGAACAGATTGATTGCACATGAATATAGATATATATTACCTACCAGTTTTCATGGCTCACTAGCCATGTACCTCTATAAATATAGATCAAGCTCTAGCCCTACAGAGAATGGGACATTGCTATTTTGGTCCTCCCCCCACCCCCCCGGACCCTCATCGCGAATAAGCGCCGGCCGATACAGGTCCCCTACGCTCCCCTCCAAGCGCTCAGGCTCCGCGATCGACCCTTCCCATCCAATGGATTCACTTCCACGGTTATCAGATGTCTATTTTTGGGTCGCTTTGCTTGTTTCCCGGTCCTTTCGCACGGAGGGGGCAGGGGATTTAGGCTCGTTCCTGCGATGCGGCGTGGAAGGTCGGTGAGATTAAAATAGACGGCGAGCGGGGTGAAGGGTTCATGGCCGGTTCGCAACGAGTGGTGATTATTTTAAGACGGGCAATTCTCGTCTGGTGGGTTCTGTTCAGTTTTGCATTTCGGTTTTTGTGTGGTTTCATCGGTGTGTTGTTGATTTATGTTGTTGCAGCAAGCGTCGCTTCCATCCCTCTATCCATTCGGTTCCCACTATCCATCCACTCATCCATATCCTCCATTGAGTGGATGCACGCATGATGATCATCCCTCGTGATGGCAGGATGGGGTCGTATCCTCGATCGTCTTCATCGTCCGTGGAGTCCTCGTCGTCCGGTCGGGATCAGATGATTATCGGGGTTGTGTTTGGTGGTGTAGTTGCTATTATGAGTGAGTGGGCATTCTTCATCATTATCACTGTCATTATCTGTTAGGGCATCGACCATTATCTGTTAGGGCTTGGTCGATGCGTGACATATATATCCTCAACTCACCTACTTGCAAGTCATCTGTGCTGTGTTCTTCATCCGGTACAAGAAAAGAAGTGCAGATCGACGTCGTCGTCAACGTGAAGAACGACTCCTCGCCCATCACTTCTCCCTCTCCACCGGGTACTATCTCGACCCGGAAGCCAGCAAGCGACATACCCCCAAGTATCCCCTTGAGACTTCAGTAGCACAACAAGAGCCCTTCTCGTGTCTCCAACCCCCACAGCAAAGGGTCATCGACGATCCCCCGCCTGCTTATCAACCACTGCCGACTTATAACCCCTCTCGGTACCAAGGTGTAGATGGGATGGTGGGTATAGCGGTTCCGTATCCCGGAGTGAGGGCAAGTATGTATCGATTGTCGGTGACTGGGATGGAACATCAGAGGAGAGCCCCGGATCGGAATTCAAATGCGTTTAGCTTTGCCGTGGAGGAGAGATTGGATGTTGCCTTGCCTCGACGGGTCGGGGAAGAGGAGGTCACTTCGCTGCCTCAGGTGGAGGTCCAGTCACCGCAACGACCCAGGCCGGTCTTGTCCCGATTGGTGACCAACTTTGGGTAGGGCTTGGGGAGGGACATGTCTTTGGGGGTGTTCATGTTGTCTTATTTTCATTTGTTTGGTGTTGGGTTGGTTGGTGTTGGGAGTCAAGGGCTCTTGCTTGGAGTTATGTTTATGATTATGATAACGACGATGACTATGATGATTGAAGATGATAGAATGGGTGGTGTGATATGGGGTGCTGGGTGCTCCAAGGTACGTCTTTTCTTTACTCTTCTCTCCCCTGTCTTTCTTTTATTGTTCTGTATTTTATTCTATTTCTTTTTTCTTCTTCTTTCCCCCTCTTTTGGCCAAGATGTGCCGTGTCTATGTGCCTTGTGATGGGGCTCAAGGTGTGTGTTTGTGTGTGTGTGTGTGTGCTGTGGGCTGAACTACTACTAGGGTAGGTGACCAACGCCATCCAACCATAACCCGGATTTTCATCACCGACATCATACTACTACGGGTACTTTCTATCAATACTTACTACTAGTAGTACGACTAGTATGATTTGGCCTAAATTCTCGCAGCTGGCCTGGGAAATGGCAACTGGTGATGGTGCCTGCCTGATCAGGAAGGGAGGGGGGACCTGCCGGGAAGGAGCAGCTGGGCGGCAAGCCACCGCGAATCCCCTCTCTTCCTTTCTTTCCCTCCTCCTCTTTTTCTCCTTCTCTCTCACCCTTCGGCCAATTCTTCCCTCTCTATCTCTCCCTCCCCTCCTCCTTCCTGCCTGTCAATCTATCTCACTTCCTTCTCCTGCAGCTAGGCAATCACCCGGACCCTACAGCTGCATGGTGACAAGTGACAAGTGACGACAGACACAGCACAGGCACAGGCAACGCCGGGCTTCTCACGTCGTCTCCATCACGGCGCGTAGATAAGCTCTGCGGGTGGTTCGGGCCCAACCGCGACGATCAACCGGTGATTGTCTTGGATGTTCCCCCTCTTTCCACCCGCTAGACCCTGGCAGCCGCCGAAGCTTCTGTGCCAATCAATCCAACGCCCATGGGATAGCGCTGTCTTAGCGACTTAGTCAGGATGCTGGCCTCCACCGCCGGTCGGTTTCCCCTCCTCTGACTCCCCCTGCTTCCAATGCTACATCGGACTTGTGAGCGGTTCAGTCGCAGTGTTGACGCGAGTCCAGCTGCTACCTCGTCCACGATTCCCTGCTAGGGAGCTTCGCTAGCGTCACGCCCGTCACGCCCATCACGCTCCCTACCACATCCCCCGGGGTCTCGCCCACCCTCCTAACCGCTGGGATAACCAGTCATCATTCCCCGAACAGGGATCAGCTTGTCTCGCATATTTTTCATCCTCTCATGGCCACTGGATGCGTCACGCCAAGGTGACCATCAGCTGCGGCCGTGGTTGGATGCCGCCAACATCCCAGCATCTGCTAGCAGGTCCTCCAACAGGTTTACCTGCAAGTTGACTGCGCCGCTCAGGTATTCTCCCGACTGACCTCCTCTCTTTCCCTCTCCAGATACGCGGACCGGTTCTGTCCCCTGCTTCAGAGGCTCTCCCATGACCAGTAAACGCGTCGGAATCCCCATTCCGCTTACAAAACTACGGGCGATCCCCCTCCGGTTGATTGATATTTCTCCTCTCAATGGCCGCGTACGCCCGATGGGCCTCCCCACCGAGGGAAAAAATTGGCCGTGATGGAGGGTGAACCAGACTGTCGGGTTCAAGATGTGTCGCTGACCCGTACCACCCACGCTGGGCTCCGGTGCCCGTCTGCCTGCGCTGAAGGAATTTCCCTGAAGGAATCCATCGTCGGTCCCTGAGAGGGTCCCTCCTTCTGCCATCCTTTGGGCGATATGCAGCCGCCTTTCGGCCGACGGATTGTTGTGGTCTTCGGTGCTCGTACCCCGACATTACGCTTTTCCATGCCAGTCCATCGGTGGCTGCTCTGTCCCTGTTCCTTTCACTCCTTCCTGTTCTAGCCAGCTTTGGAGCCCGGCCGTGGGGGCTCTGGATCAGAAGGACCTGACACAAACACGTAGACGGCGGGCCCTTCATTTTAAGGTACCGTTGTGGACTTGATCCTTCTTAACCTAGTTTTTCCTCCGTGCTCTTGGTAGGGACCTGTGCGGTCGATGCTGACGCGGGCTCTGGATGCTCCAGCCTCGAGTACATTAAGGGCGCTCCTGCGACCATGACGGCCATCATCCAGAAACTGCGGCGCAAGCAGAAACTATCCTCCGAGTTGCACTCGCGATGGGGGGATGTTGCGATCACCTATCCCAATGGTGGGTCCTGGAATCAATGGGATCATTCATCTTCCGGGGGTCATTCAGCCTCTACCGACCCTGAGCGACGGCATGGCTCAATGGAACTCAATCGATCCGCCACCTCCCCTCGGATGGGGAGTCATGTACGATCTGGTGCGCGGACGCCCTCTGTGGATTCGGCCATGACTATTCCTACGGGCCACTACGACGCGCGAGTTGGTTGTCGGGTCCGACGGAAAGATCAACCCAATAGCCCCCGGATAGGACTGGCCATGGGTTCTCCCATAGAATGCGACCAGTCTTACTCGGACGAGTCCTCTGAAGGCGAGGAAGATGCTGCGGCTGTTCCAGCTCCCCTCAATGTTTCTCGAGATCGAAATCCAGCCGATACAGAGGAGCCTGAGGCCTATTCGCGTGCTTCCAAATCACCTCCATTGTCAGTCACATCTCGCATGCGTCGGTTCAGTGTTCAGAGCAACCTGGCGGAGCCAACGATACCTGGACCAGGGACGGCCAGTTCGAAGCATACCAGTTACACCTCATCTGCGCCCTCTAATCCGTCGGAAGACCCACGACCTCATGGGCATCGTCTGTCTACGCAACTTGAGAAAAAGCCGACGCGGCGTCCCAAACCGGAGCCGCTGAGTTTGCCGACTCAGCCGGAAATGGTCCCGTCGTATGATGAATTGTACGGGTGATTACCAGGGCGAGGGCTAGATGCATGGGAGGCTTTTTGTTTAGTTTGATCACTTGCACGCATGTTTCACTGTTTTGAGGGGCTGAGGACCGAGTTACGCCGACATGGCTTGTCTTTTTTGGGTGGATGCGATTCTATTAAGCCAGCCGTAAGAGGGCAAAAGATTTAACCTACATGCATCGTGGCGTCTCAATTCCTTTCGGGAGGCGTTCTTCTTTTTGCCTTTTTACCATTTTACCATTTTTACTTTTTGGCTGTGGTGCCTTTTCTAAATGTTGGTTTAAGTTTTGGACAATTGGATCAATTCCTACGGTGCTTTGCTTCTCGCGGCGTCTCGCTGCGGGTGACAAGAGGCGACAGCCTACAGATGCGGGCAGCTCAGCTGGGTCCACCTCCCCAAGCGCCCTCGAGATTAAGCGGATGGCGCAAGGAGGGGTTGTCGGGGGATGCTGGGGGTTGCGGGATTCATTGGCCAGGAGCCCCGGATGGCTGGGCTGATGTGACAACTGCATGCAGGGCCACACGGGCCAATGTGAGGCTGCGAGCAAGCGCCGAACCCCGCGAGCACCTCCTCCTCCTCCGCCAATCCTCGGCCATCACCACGCATTCTTGCCCCAACCCGCAGCCAAATGCGCCCGCCCGCCAATGATTATGCAGGCTGAAGGGTTAGCGAATCAACGGGCAGCGGCACGACCAGCTGCAGTTGCTGTCACAATCACTGTCACACTCCAACCCGCCTTGGCTGCCTCTGAGAGGCTGTCGTAGCGCCCGGCCAGTTGCTCCTTGGATCTTCATCCTCCAGCCAAAGAGCTTGCTATGTCTGGCAATCCGGTACGGAACGCTGCTCCTCCCCGCGGGCGCCTGCTTTATCAATCCACCATGGCACCGATCCTGCCGTTCAGCCGACGATCTGGTCTGGGACCGGTTCACCATCGCCATTTCTACCTCTTGTCTCCCCATCTTGTGTCTCCCGATTGCCCCCTTATCTGTCTCTCGCTGCGCGGTGATCTCGACGCGGGTTCTGTCGACCTCGCAGCCTCCAGCTATTCCTTCGTTCGGCCGTAAGATAGGCGGTAGCATTGGCGAGGAGATCGTGCTGTCTAACGACGAGTGATCCATACCAAGAGAATACCAAGATGTTCGGCTCTTGGGGTCCAAGCCCGAGATCTACGATTTGGGCTGCGGCTGCTGCCGCGGCGCCTCTATTGCTCCTCAGCCACGTCGCTCCCAGGGCGGCTGCGTTGTACGTGACCGAAGGCTCGCCATGTTGGGACGTTTGTAACGATCCCACCAATACCACCTCGTCCGAAATTGTCTGCTTAGACGCGGCGTATAACGACACCACGACTGGCGAAAACTTTCAGAAATGCATCTCGTGTGCATTAGAAAGCAATTACACGGATCCGAATTCGCAACTGACGGACGTGGACTGGGGACTCTGTAAGTGCTTGATACCTTGCTTTCGTTGTACTGTACTGACACTGTTAGACAACCTCCGTTATGCGTTTAGCACCTGTGTCTATGGTTACCCGATAAGCATCAACGACATCTCGACGCCGTGTCTGGTGTCCTGTCTAGGGCTGGATGACGCGATCGAGTTTGACCTGCTGAATCCGAATGATAACAACCTGCGGGCCTGGTGTTCAACCTCCGCATTTGCGGACAACCATATTGACACGTGCGAATTCTGCTATAATCTGACCGGAAATCAGGTGTATATGGCAAATTGTGGGTTCCTTACCATTTCCCTGGTGCACACGATTCCTCGCTAACATTGTCACTAATTGCAGTCCTCGAGGCCCTCCGCTATGACTGCCACTTTCCAGTACCGTCGCAAACCGCCTTTCCCATTAGTCCCTCGTCAATTTTCTCCGAGTCCCAATTACCGACCTACACCAGCAACCTTCTGGACAGTCCTAGTGGCGGTGGCGTAAACTACAGACTGGCCACCTTGATCGGCCTCCCGGTCATGGGATTCGTGATTTTTCTCTTTATCATGACCATTGGGTGCGTGCTCGGTATCAGCTGGTGGCATCGACAGTCCCGTGAGGACGAGGAGCTGCGGCAGTGGAAGACCATGGCGGCGGAACATCCCTGGAGCGAGTATCCGCCACAGGAGATGTACCCGCCTGGAGTGTATCAGCAGCAGCAGCAGCAGCAGCAGCAGCAACATCAATACGGCCCGGGGTTCCAGGTCGTGGATACTGACGGTCGCACTCATGAGGTGGGGTACTCCAAGCAGGTGATGACCGAGACCGTGACGCCAGCAGGAGACAAGGGGAAAGGTCTGTCCCATGAGTATTCCATGGGTGATTTGAAGCTGTAGGAGGTAATTAGTCGGGATGATGCGCAGGAGCGTTGTGAGAGCGTTGCGAGGATGAGAGTTGTCGTTGATGAATGATGCCCTTTGTCGTTTTCGCTCAGTTTTTGATGTGCATAATGAGGCATATACCCCTGCACCGCACAGCATGCATGCACATAGTTATGATCTGGGTCCTTAGCGACCAGTACCAGAATATTTGTTAAATCAACCAATTCATGAAAGATGTTCTCAAGATTTCAATGGACCAGAAGCAGAAGAGAAGATAGAAAGAGAAAGAAAATATAGAGAAAGATAGAGAGAGACCACCAACTGAACACAAACACCAGAAAAAAGACGAAGAAGAAGAAAGACCCTGAAGACCGCACACCCCACTTTATACCCTCCCCTCTCCCCTCCCCTCCCCTTCCACACCCAGACACAAAACCCCCCGAGCAATAATCCCGAACACTAGGTAGAATAACCGCCCATGGCTGCAGGGTCCAAACCTACCTCTCATCCTGTACCACCCCTCCCTACCCTATCACAATGCACGATTTGTTCTCCGGACGGCTGTGTCGTGTAGTACCTGAAGAAAGATTGTATTCAGTAGTAAATGCCGTGGCTATAAATAAACACGGGTTGAAGGTGACAGGCTTCTTGGGGGTTTGATTGGGTGGTAGACGGAGTACGTGGAGGGGGGGGATATGCATGCCAAGAGGGAGAGGTGTATGCCAAGAGCCTTTGGGGGTGGGTGGGGTGTGATTGGATAGGATGGGCGGATAGTACACTAGAAAGCAGGGTACTAGATAGGGAGGTTTATTTTTGGATAGATAGATAGGTAACCTAAGCTGAGGAAAGTATGTATCTAATGTTTGTGGCTGGATTGTGGATTGTTACTATTGTTACTGTGGTGTGATGGGTTGGGTTCTTGCGGGTATCTATGGTGTTGGAGTTGGGTGGTGGGAAGGGCAGGAGGGAGAGAGGGAGGGGGTTTTGTTGATTTGGGTTGTGGTTATTGTTGTTGCTGTTTGGCTTTGGGATTATCTGTGTGTGCGTTAGTTGGGTGAGGTGGTCTGGTCTATCTTTAAAATTTATTCTCGGAAGTAAGTGTAGATAAATGGATAGAGGGGATTGTTTACTTGTTGGGGTGCTAGCTTGCTTTGGGTTCGTGATGGTGACTGAGTAGATATCTTGCAGGGATTCTGGAGATAAGAGTCTAATTTAAGCTGAGCTAGTATCTTTCTCTGCTATTTTTAGATGCTGCAGATATAGGTCGTACTATGTAGGAATAATATCCACACGATCAAGGCACGTAGACTCAGCTAAGTACTCTCAACATGCTCGTGGAAGAAATCCACGTAATCAAATAAACTCCGCTTATATTGACGTCTCCAGGTCCCATCTGTCCGATTGACGCTTTGCATTCCGTACTGGTTGTCATAGCTCCCGAACTCGTTGTTATCCAGGTAGCTCCATGCCAGTGTACCGATTACATTCACGCCATCCTCGTGGATGGATTTGAGAATCTCCTCTAGGAAATCCTGGTAGTACAGGGTGCGCTCCAGGTCGTATCGCTGGGCGTCGCCGGAACGCTGCGAATCGGCAAACGGGTTGAAACCAAACTCCGAGACCAAGATCCCAGACGGTTTGAAGGTATCCCAGACGTAGCCGAGTTGTTGTCGGACGTATTGCGGGGCGATTGAAGCGTAGGCGTTGGACATGTCGCCCATTAGCCAGCCGTCGGCTTGGATCATGGTTGTGCTCACGCACTCGGGCCATGCGCTGTCTGACTGGTTGGCTGCGCAGGCGGAGATGCCTCCTGGGGCTGGGGAGGCGAATTGGGCGACGTAGGGATCAAAGGCCCAGAAGTCGACGGTGCCGTGGATGGTCGAGATCTGGTCCTCGGTCAATGCGGTGAGGTTTAGGTTGAGTGTGTTGAGGACGTCCGAGGGGAACTGTTGCCCTAGGAAGAGAGGGTTGCCCATGATTCCGAGGATGAAGTCCTGGTATCGGAGGGTTGCGTCGACGTGGCTGGAATTAGAGGGGTCGAGGGGAACGGCTAGGTTGTTGGCGAATTTTACGGTCAGTTGACCGGTTCCTTGTAGCTCGTCCTTGTACCAGTGGTAGACTGCCGCGTGAGCCGTCAGGATGCGGGTGAGATCGTTCCAGTCGCTGAATGAGGTGCCGACTCCAATGTTTGGTTCGTTGAAGGTGACCCAGTAGGGGACACGGTCTGCGTATCGGGTCATGACTTGCTTTGCGTAGTAGATGAAGTTGTCGAAAAAGGTGGACATGTCGTCTAGTTGGCTGAGTGGGAGGTCGATATGGTTCAATGTCACGACGGGGGTAATGCCATATTCCAGACAGGTGTTGATCACATCATCGTAGTGTTGTAGTCCCTGGGTGTTGATGGGTGAGCCGGCTGTACCGAAAGGAACGATCCGGGGCCAGGAGATGCTGAAAGACAGGTATGGGACACCGATGGCAGCCAACCGGGCAATGTCCTCCTTGTACATAAAATAGCTCAGGTCAGCAATGTTTGCATCTGACTGGCTGTCGTTGCTCTGGATGGCTCCGATGGTGTCCAGGGCAGAGGGACCACGGCCTTCGAGCTGCAGACCTCCCTCGATCTGCCATGCGCTAGCTGCAACGCCCCAGATGAAATCCGAGGGTAGCTTCAGGTCCGCATTATCGACCCTGTTGTACAGAGTAGGAGGGTAGATCAGTTCGCTGGAGGGCACTGCGGTGGGGGTGACTGTAGTCGTGAACGGGGGAGCAGAAGTATAGGATAAATTGGCCCACAGAGCAGCGTAAGCACTCTGCCCATACTGACCGTCTGGTGCAACAGTCTGGCTGGGGTGCAGAGTGTATGTGGTATAGGTCACATTGCTGGGAAGCAGAGTTGACGCTTGACTGAAAGCTGGGGCAAACGGCGTGGCAAAGGACAGCGGTGCACTCAACGAAGTGGCGTATCGAGTCGAAGTGACCTGAGCGTAGGTAAAGGAACCATAGGAGTTTGAAGATGTCTTTGACGCAGGAGATTCCTGGGCCATAGGCGACGCTTGAACGAGCTGGATCCCACCGGCTACACCTAGAGCCACCACACAACTAAGAGAGCAACGCATCTTCTGGTTACTATCAGACTATAGTGATGCTTTGACTCTTGGGCCAGTGAGATCAGTAACCACCCTCTTCTCAAAGTATATATACTCCTAACTCATCTTGAACGGGAGTTGGAAGCGGCAGTTGTCCGGATAATCCGAACATAAAGCCATTAATGAGGAACAACCGGCTACTTGGCAGGATTCAGACGGAAGTCAGTTGAGCGGAATTCATTTTCATATTGTGGGGTAAATACGCAAGGTCACGGCATGAAGCCGGGGGAATGGCGATCCCCCACAGACCTGACGTCAACGCTCGTTGAGACTGGTACATTGCAATTTCAACTAAAAGACATTAGTGTGGAGTAGCTAATACGCGAGGCGGTCGTGGACGGAACAAGATCACAGAGAAGTGTAAGAAAGATGGTTTGTTCAGTGCGGCGGAGAAAATGGATTCCCTCCGTGGAAGGCGTTGCATACGAATACGAGATTAATACCTGAATCGGCTTCACCTGACACCTCAGGCACCAATTCTCTCCGGCTCATCTCCGGCATCACGGATTGTGATTGTTTACGGCCTGGCATCCAAACCCAGATCACACCCCTCACTACCCCACTCCCATCATACAAGATGTCCTCCCTAAGCCAAGAGCAGATCAAAACTCTCGAACAGTCCCGCCAACGTCTCATCCAACTCACCCACTCCCTCGCCTCCCTCATCACCAGTCTCAACCAAAGCGATCCTCTTCCCTCATGGTATGCCTGTCCTTCACCAACATGTCCCCCTCCCTCCCCTCATTCTAAAATCACTAACAAGCTCCAGGACATCCCTTCAATCCCAAGCAACAATCATCTCCAACAACCTCCTCACCATATCCGATCACCTCTCCGATAACCGCGACCTCCTAGCCAATGTCGTCGCCTACCCGGACGCATCCTACCCCTCGCGCGTCCCAACCAACAATGTCGCGCTGGAACAGGTTCTACGTACGAAACTCGACCCCAGAGTGGAGGATTGGGTTGCTCGAGGTCGACGCGCTGGAACGACCGATTCTGCGGCCCTAGGGCACGGACAGGGATTGACTGAACAGGCACTCGCTGATTTATGGGATTGGGCGCCAGTGGAGGCAAACCAGGAGGCGAGGAGGAGAAACTGGGGTGGGGACTATACGCTGGAAGAGCGGGAAATGGGAATTGAGAAGGTGGTGACGGGTTTGGCGAGGGTGTTGGATGATGACGATGATGATGACGAGGATCAGAGTGACAGTGAGGAAGGGGAGGGCGAGGCCGATGAGATGGAGATTGTTGGGGTTAGGAGGCGGTCCGGAGCTGGAGCTGGGTTGGAGTTTGATATTGCGGCTGCGAATGCGACGCCTGGGGCTGGGCCGAAGGTCGTTGCGCCGGTGGTGCCTTTGGATGAGATTTTGAGGTTTATGACTATGGGCGCCGTGCCGGGACAGCGGTGAGATTTTACTACAGCAGAAATGTTTGGAATAGAGCCAAATAGATTAAAAATTCTATCAAAACTGGTCAAAAGAAAAACAGCTAACCCCGGCGGCGTGTGGTGGGCGCCTTGCCGGTCGGCTTGGGCGACCCAGTGGGCCTGGGAGACACGCCCGAGCTGGTTGCAGTGGGCGCCTTCGCAGGAATCGCTACCGCAACGGGCTTCTTCTTCTTCTGGGACTTGGCCGGGCTGTTCCAATAGTACAGCATCTGGGCCGCCAGAATCAGGTTCAGACTGAATCCAGCAATGAACCCATACAGAATAAGCTTGTCATCCACCTCCTGGAGAGTCGTGAAGATACGAGAAAGGGAACCGGCGAGATAGTTGAAGACCTAAACATCCGTTAGTAACGAAACATGTAGATTAGGGTAGGGTAAACATACTGCGAAAGCACTCAGCTGGCCGGTACCGCCTTCACGCCAGATGGTGTAAATCTGAGGCGCCTTGCTGGCCACACCAAGAGCTCCTGCGCCGGCCTGTAGCAGAGCCATCGTCTGCGCATCCACCAGGGTCTGGTCAAAGAGCAGTGCATACACGCTCGCCGCCACGACTGCAATAAACGCAGCAGCAGCAGTGGGCCGGTCCGCAAATGTCAACACCAACACACCGACCACCACATCTTGCACCGCAATCAATGCCGTCTCGCCGAAGGTGCTGAACGGGAACTGGTTGCGCACGCTGTACGACAGCGTGATCAGCAGACTGGCGGTCTCGAGAGCGTAAGAAACGAAGGATACACCGGCCGAAGAGCGAGAGCCGATCAGTTTGAGAATCTGGGGCACCTTGACGATGGCGCTAGCACCGACGATGGCAATGCCCAGTGCCTTCGAGATGGCAAGAGAGGTACAGGCGGGATCTTTGCTGACATCCAAATCGACCACGAGGGTGTTGTGGCAAGAAGAGCCGATCAGCGAGACGATCGCATCGTGGACCGGTTCGGGCATAGCCGAAACAACGGGGCGGAGGAGGGGTTGGAGGGGATCAATGATGGTTTTCTGAATGGCGTCCATTTTGGCAGGTGGGGGGACCGTGAGGTCAAAGAAAGAGGTCCAACAAGGCCAAGGGAGGGTTGGGTGACAGGAAGGAAGTTCGACGCAAGGACGGAGACAAAAAAGACGGAGCGGCCAACAACAAAGGCAACCAACGCATCTCCGGACCTGCGCTTGTGGTCGCTCCGCCCCGCCGTGGCTTTTCTTCGTCTGCGGCTTGAGCTTCACTTCCGCTGCTGGTTTGTGGTATAGCAGAACCCCACTGCAGGACTCCGCCATGAGTCTCCTCCGGTCCTCGCTACGGAGGATAGGATCCCCCGGCGATCCCAGCCGGATATGCTCCCAATGTCTTCTACATCGAGCTCGTCCCCCGCGATCCTCCCCCGCCGCTCTCCGCACCTTCATCTTATCCCCCCGGTCTCGCTCGGGCATTGCAGACGGCCCCTCCACCCAGTCAGCCCTGAACAAGACTTACTTCTCGGCCAATCGCGCAGATGATAGCTCTACGAGCAAGGCCGGTCTGGCTTCCTCGCTCTCCGGCAGCAATGTCTCTTCCGGCACGGAGTCCTCGAATCTGCCATCATCAGACCACCAGGTCAACACCTCCGCGACTGTCTCCGAATCCACACAATCCGAGCTTCCTCATCGCCGGAGGAAACGTCTGAAGGAAGAAGCAAACGCTCAAACACCCAACCCTGATCATGTTATCCCCCCCGATGCCTCCGCACAGCTGTCGGCTTTCTCGTCCACGCTGCCCACCTCCTCCCTCCGTCGCAAAATGGCGGCCTTCCTCGCCCTCTGCAAGCCTCGTCTCTCCGTCCTTATTGTGCTGAGTACGACCTCCGCCTACGGCATGTACCCAATCTCGTCTCTCCTCACACTCGATCCGTCTATGACTCCGCTACCGACTCTCTCTACCTCAACCCTAACCTTCCTCTACCTGACGGCCGGCACCTTCATCTCCTGCTGCAGCGCCAACACGATCAACATGTTCCTGGAGCCGAAATACGACGCCCTCATGTCCCGCACACGCAATCGCCCGCTCGTCCGAGGCCTGATCTCCCGCCGCGCCGCCGTCATCTTCGCCATCGCGACCGCTATCACCGGTGTGGGTATGCTCTACTTCGGCACCAACCCCACCGTCGCAGCTCTTTCCGCTAGCAACATCGTTCTGTATGGCTTCGTCTACACACCGCTTAAGCGTCTGCATGTCATCAACACCTGGGTTGGCGCAATCGTAGGCGGCATCCCGCCGTTGATGGGCTGGGTGGCTGCTGCAGGACAAACCGCCACCACCGGCCACGACACCTGGCGCGATATGCTCTTCAGCAAGGACAGCATCGGTGGTTGGCTGATAGCCGGTATTCTCTTTGCCTGGCAATTCCCCCACTTTAACGCCTTGTCCCATACCATCCGCGAAGAGTACAAGCGCGCCGGCTACAAAATGCTGTGCTGGAAGAATCCTGCGATGAACGCCCGTGTTGCCCTGCGCTACTCGGTTCTGATGTTCCCCATCTCCATCGGCCTCTGGTGGGTCGGTGTCGTCGGCCACGGCTTCCTGGTCAGCAGCTCTGTCGCCAACGCCTGGTTAGTGAAGGAAGCCTACCACTTCTGGCAGCACCAGGGCGCGAACGGTACCGCCCGTGGTCTCTTCTGGGCGAGTATCTGGCAGCTCCCTGTTCTGCTGATCGGTGGTCTCGTCACGAAGAAGGGTCTTTGGGACGGCGTCTGGCGTAAGGTCTTGGGTCAACCAGACCCGGACGATGAATATATCTATATTGACGAAGAAGAAGAGGAACCGGTCTCATCACAATCCAATGCAGTGGTGACTCGTGCGGCATGATCGCACAGTACAAAGAAAAAGGAACAGAAACAGAAAACACATGGGGTCGTACCCTCCCCTCATCATTTATCTTATATGGATGTATTAGATTCCCGTTTTGGTCGGCGTTTGTACAACAGCAGCTATGATCTATTTCCCTCTATCTTTTCCTTAATCTGTAACATGGTGATGTAGATATGTGTTTTGTCTTGTCTTGAACAAGTCGCCATTCTTTAGTTCGTCACGCATCTACAATATCTATCTTGACCTTTTCTCCTTGCGTCTTGTCTTTATCTGCAAGCCGTCTAGACACCTTCACCTTGGTTCATCATACCGTAAACTAATCCAACCCCGGGGCTTTATACACACAGAGTAGAGAATCATCTAACATACATACATAGATATACACGTAATATACAAACACAACCTGAGTTGAACTCTCATCTCCTCAATCCATACAACTTCGCCACCTCCTCACTAATCTTACTCGGTGCCTTGACCATCGGGTCCTCACCCATCTTCCCGATCTTCGGGAACGCAATCACATCCCGCACCGACTCTTTGCCCAGCATGACCGCGACGAGGCGATCAAAGCCCAGAGCGAACCCAGCGTGGGGTGGACATCCGGCCCATAGGGCACTGAGGAGATGCTGGAACTCGTCTACTCGCTCCTTGGGCATACCCAGAATCTGCTTAAAGATGTAGTTCTGGGTCAGGGCGCAGTGGATACGGCGACTGCCGCCACCGAGCTCAACGCCGTTGACGACTAGGTCGTAGTGGTCGGCGATGGCTTTAGTAGGGTCTGTACTGAGAAGGTCGACGTCTGCGGCGGTCTTTGGGGCTGTGAAGGGGTGGTGGGTGGCGGAGAAGCCGGCGGTGCCGCCTTGGCCGGGTTCGGAGCCGTCGAGGGGAGTGAAGAGGGGGAAGTCGACAATCCACATGAATTCAAAGCCTCGGGGGGCTTCGATCATGTTGTCGGCGATGGCCACAGGGGCTAGGGCACGACGGAGGGCGCCAAGTTGGGTTGAGCCGCCGGACAAGGGGCCTTGTGGGCGAGCTTGGAGGACTATCAGATCACCGTGGTTGAGGTCAAGCATTTGCTCGAGCTTTTCGGCTGCTTCGAAGCCGAGGGCGCCCAGACCGTTCAGGGGCGTCGATGCGTCATAGATGAAGATGCCTGGGGCGCCGTCGGGGTTTTTGTTGAAGAGTTCGCCCTCGCGCGAGTCAAGGAAACGTGAGATAAACTCGCGTGTGGCGTGTGGTGACTGGTTGATAGTTTCGAGCTTAAACGCCTCTACAATCGGCTCGGTCAGGGGGGTGATCTTCTGCACGAGGTCGGTAGGGAGGATGTGTTCGATGCGATGGATCTCCATTCCGTGTCGGGTATCCGGCTTGTCTGAACCATAGCGGGTCATTGCTTCCTGGTAGGTCATTCTGCGGAATGGTTGTGAAGGGGCCTCTTCCATCAGGTTCGACCACAGGCCACAGATCAGTGATTCTACCACTTTCATGACGTCTTCTCCGCTAGCGAAAGCCATTTCCATATCCAGCTAGAGTATTCAGTGAGCAGGGAGATTCGTTCTATGGTGGCTGTTGGATCTCACCTGGGTAAATTCCGGCTGTCTATCAGCGCGAAGGTCTTCATCACGGAAGCAGCGCGCGAACTGGAAGTATCTCGGCATTCCACTGGCCATGAGAATCTGCTTGTACTGCTGCGGACTCTGCGGGAGAGCGTAGACCTTTCCCTTCTTTCTGGTAGGCACTATAAATTCACGAGCTCCCTCTGGGGTCGACTTGAACAGTAGCGGTGTCTCGATCTCCACGAAAGCCGGGTTGGCTTGTTCTAGTACCTCGCGGCAGACATTGCGTGCTTTCGCTCGGAACCGGAGCGCATCACGCAGCTCGCTGCTGGCTCGTAGTTGGAGATGCCGATGCTTGGGCGGGTGAACAACTTGCTTTCCAAACATCACGATCTCGCGCGGAAACTCGTTCAAGGGCTGCACAGACTCCAGCACAACCTCCCAAGGATCTGCGAGCTCTTCTTCCTTGGTTCTTGAGACCTTGCGCTTAATCGTGCCTTTGACAACCACTGGGCTGCCTCTGCTGATCTTCTTGAGCAGAGAGAGGGTCTTGCTGCTCTCGTTTGAGAGTAGCTGTATGGAACGATTCAGGTTGGGCTCGAATAAGGGGACAAAGGCGAGCTCTTTGCCTATATCGTCGCGTTTGTCCAGGTATCCATGAAGGACAACCGATTGGCCTTCATGTCCCTCCGAACGTAAGGTGTCGATATCCCATGTCGCTTGAGAGAATTCAACTTTGGGTATCGGATGTTAGCATCCGGTGCATAGACGCAACTGCTCCAATTTGCTCTTCTGAGATAGAAATGCTGAGACGATTACGTTCGGTGGCAGGGTGACGAACTCGATTGTTTAAACTTATCTAGAAACTCTGCTGGCAATACATTGGCACGATGCTTCTCGCTGAAATCGTGAAAAGACCGTACAGGGGAGCTGTGAGCTTGCAATGCTGAAGCCCGGCCAAGTTGCCTGCCGCGGAAGTAGTTGGAGATCTCAACATAGGTCGCACGGAGGTGAGGGGGCATCGTGCCGCCCTGGCGAGAAACATGTTGCCACAATTCAACACGGAGAGAATCAGGGCGCAATATACGGGCCAGTGACAGTGACCGTCCTGGCGAAGCGATGCAATCGGACGATGTTCTTGATAGAATCTCGCGATGCTGCTAATTGCCCCGATGCCCCGGACGGGGATACACGGCAGAACTGTGCTTTCCGCCTTCCCGGCTTAGCTTAGCGTTGTCCACACTGACAATAAAATGAAAATCCACGGCGCCATGTTTCTTTCCCTCTTCATCCTTCCAAGTTTTATTACTGTGAGTGCTACCTTTGCGGGTCAATCCTTGTTGCATACCACTAACATGAATTCTAGATGATGAAAGCCTAGCGTGTTCTATATGACCTTTTCTCCTTCCTGGAGCCCTCCTGGCTCTCCTTTCGGGGCTTAAGGGCTGTTGGGTTCCGGTTGGAGAGAGGATGAAATATGCGTTCGGCACACCCACCTTGTTAATTAACGGACGCGATGAAGGCATCTCTGACTCACATATTACTTGGCGGTGTTGCGCCTCGGGAAGTGGCGTGCTGTATGACTCTTAGGTGCTGCGCCTATGATAGAGCTCTGCAGCATGGCCAGAGGCTACCTTTAGTTAGGAAGAATAGGACAATTTCAATTTATGTCACAGATCTTTTCTGTCAGTAGCATCACCCTCTTGAGCTTCTCGTTCTGTGTATGTCCTGTTTGTCCGTGCAGTGCCTTGAGGCCTTGCGGGAGTCGTTACCGCCAGCCCGCCGTATTCTTGACAACCTTGATGAGCACCTCACATCCTACGAGCAGTCACTGTCTACGCTCACTCTTGAGTATGCTTGTTGACAAATCCGATCTTATTTTCTTGATCGAGACAACTTCCTATTGCATCATACAAACGGCAAAACAATATGCGAAGGATGTTCTCCCCCAAGATGGAGCACATGTGTTCCATGTGATGCCAGCTCCTGGAACTCCTCATCCTCACTGAACTCACCCCGCAGCAATGGACTGTTTCCATGAACCTCGACTCGTACACTCTCCCCGGCCTCGTACTCAACCCCCATGGCCCACACGCCGATCTCCAGCTTCACAATGTCCCCAGGAGTAATATATTCGTCGCGATCGTGTGGATGAAAAGGGAAGTTCTCGTGGATGGATTTGGCTGGATCGATGGCTCGACGTGAGGCCCGCAAGATGCCCAATGACCCGACATGGAACATAAGGTTGTTCTTCTCCCGGGGGGAGATGCTGTCCACGCTGTCTGGGCTGACGCCATACTGTGCAATTGACGACCAAGGGATATTGAGGTTGAGAAGAGTCTTTCCTTGAGCGTCGAGCTTGCGCACCAGAACATACACGTCCATGTCATGGAAGTCGGGGCACGACATGTACACAACTGCCTTTGGGATCCCTGCAAGTCGGGTCCGGGCAGGAAACGTATAGGTGAAGCTTGCGCAGTCCTGATACTTTTCCGAGTTGTATGATAACGAAAAAACGACACTGGGGGCCTCAGTACTCATCCGCCCTTCAGGATGAAAGTACATCTTGCGATACTCGGTTCGTGGGATCGGGTAATCCTCCTCCGTGATGTTATACAACGGATCTTGATTGAATCGCAGGATGGTGGTCCGTACCCTGGGTGTCTTCTCCCATCCATTGTCGGTGCCATTTAGATACCGGTCGAAAAAGGACGCGAGATCGGCAGTAGATTCCTTGCAGTTCCAGATATCGTACCATTCCTGCCAGGGACAAATGCGCAGCCATTTTTCAGGTGATTTAAGCTGGAGCCATCCGCGCAGTGATCCCATCGTATGCACGAAACTTGTGTACGAGGCGGTGATGTAGGTGGGAATGTTGATTTTGCTGATATCAGGTCGTTTATCTTTCCAGTACAGACTGTCCGCAGTTGGATTTCGCCGATACATTTCATGGAAGTCTTCGATGCCCCTATGGCCCTGGATATTGTGGTCGATGATGAAATCAAACAGGCCAGCATCGAAGATGCCCCCTCGCACAAACTGCTCCCGGTAGAGGTCACTGCATGCCTCCCAGGGAGCAATAGCCTTGAGTGATGGCGGTTGCAAGGCGGCGATAAACCACTGGATGATTGCCAGGTGCGAGTTTCCCGCTATCCCGACATTCCCATTGCACCAGGACATCTTGGCCACGGCCTCGACTACATCGTATCCGTCCTCGGCTTCCTGGGTGCCCATGATTCCCACTGTGCCGTCTGAATCGCCGCATCCCCGGGAATCAACGTTGATGATAGCGAAGCCACGAGGCACGAACTCGGCTGGATCAGGCCCTTCGAACTTCTCCAGGCCGCTAAGCACGCCTTCAGGAATTCCGAGGCCCCAGGGAAGTACTTTTAACATGCTAATTCCATTGAACTTCTTGCCGTATGGGCTCCAGGCCAAAATCGCAGGCACAGCTTGGGAGGTGTCGGTAGGACGGTATATGTCGCAGTATAATGTGCTTCCATCGCGGACCTGGATACCGACGTCGTGCGATGTGTGGATGTCGCAGGGCAAGGGGCGTGAGCCATTCTTGCTCCAGCCTTGTAGTAGAACTTCTTCGCGAAACCCAAAAGGCTGATAGTTGTTTCTGCCCACGGAGGGCTTGTCAATTGGACGAGTCGCAATCGGTACAGGAGAAGGCATCTTTTAGAATTGCTAACAAACAAGGAAAAGACAAATGTCCTATGAGCTGCTTTGAATGCTACCAGGCTTCCACTCTAGTATATATCGGTCAGCTCGCCACTCACAAGTACTCATCTGTTAGCTCCTTTCTTCTGTATGGCCGTCGGCATGTGGACATACGCCGGTGGCTTGCCGTCCGTCCCGGCCGAGCTCGGGTGAGTTTATAGCATCACATCCTGATCATCCGGCAGTTCACAAACACGCTTACAGTTATCCGGGCGTGTCAAGCGACGGTTTCCGTCTCGGATGGGATCAGCTCGGCTGTGAGGAATGGGCGAGGTCGGATGAGATCTCCTTACCAAGATGCAAATGTAGGTCATAAAAGAGTGAAAACTACCTTGATCACCAAGACCCTAAGTGCCATCAACATATTTTGTTCCCAGAACACAACTCAAGTTACCCTTCTTATAGTTTTGACTTCTATCCAACCCTAGCCATGGCTCCTTCCCGTATCGACACCCCCGAACCCATCCCATCCCCTACCCCTGACAAACTCCCCTCCATCCAGAACCAGCAGCCTCACTATGGCGACTTCCGCGACGACTTCTTTCGCGATGGATACGCCGTCATCAAAGGCGTGCTCAGCAAAGAACGTGCCAGCGAATACCGAGACTCAGCCCTAACCTGGCTCGAATCATTCAACCTAGGCTTCGACCGCAACGACAAATCCACCTGGAAGAAGGAAAACCTCCCTCAGAGCTGGAAAGGTGGCATGTATCTGCATTTCTCTGCTGCGCATGAAAAATACGTCTGGGACGTACGATGGTAAGCCCCATTCCCCCTCCCCTTCTTCTTCAACTCTCCCTAACGAAAGACCCCCAGTGAACCCAACGTAATCGCCCCCTTCGCCAAACTCTGGGAAACCGACGAACTCGTCGTCTCCTTCGACACCGTCAACATCACCCTCCCTCAATCCATCGTCGGCGCCTACGACTCCCAACCCTGGCCACACTGTGACCAAGCTCCCGAACGCAAGGGTCTCGTCTGCGTTCAGGGAATCGTCAATCTCTCCAACGCGGGCCCCAATGACGGCGGGCTGATCGTGATGAAGAAATCCGCGGCCCTTTTCGATCAGTTTTTTGAAGAGAATCCCGTTACGGGCCCCACCCCGTGGCGCACAGCCAAACATAAGGATTTCCATCCCTTCCATGATAAGGACTTGGAGTGGTACCGGGAGCGCGGATGCGAGTTGGTCAAAGTGTGTGCTGAACCTGGGGATTTGATTCTTTGGGACTCGAGACAGATGCACTGGGCGCAGTTTGGTGAGTCGGATGTTGTGCGCACGATTGTTTATGTGACGTATACGCCGGCAGAGTGGATGGGGGAGGAGGATCGGGAGAAGAAAAAGGACTTGTTTGAGAAGTTTGAGACGACGACACATTGGCCGCATACGAATCTGTTTACGCATGGGAAAGCAATGGTGAAGAATGCGGATGGGGAGGACGTGGTGGATCCGTTGGAGAGGGACGAGCCTCTTATCAAGCCGGTGAGGAGTGAGAGGTTGTTGCAGTTGGCGGGGGTGGTGCCTTATTGATGTGAGTGTGGGGTTTACTGTTAGTATTTGAGTAAAATCATTCTTGTATATTCAATGTTACTGGATTATGCCATCTGCTTCAGTTACAATGATCCTTCCTGGGCGTTTAGTGACGCTATATCTCATTTGCTAGTGTGGGAATACATTGTCCATCTCTTTTCACTCCTTTTGGGTATTTATATTTGATCTATGACAAAATTTCGTCAAACCCGGTAAACATAGATCAATCTAGATTGCTAATTATATGCTTTCCGTGACCAGTTGCAGAGAAGACCTCCCATTTCTTGAATGCCTGGAAGCCAAATTGCTAGGATCCACAATAAATCTCAAACAGGGTGAATTGAGATCCACCACATGTCATCCATCCAGATATATGATATCCCTAGTAATCCTCCCCAATCTCCACTCTCCTGCGATTCATACACAGAGGTCCCATTTTGTACCTTCTCAAGTCAGTTGTATATCCACTGTTATAAGGAGATAGTTCTCCACCGCATACATTTTCGATGCCGCACAACCCCTCTTTCCCAGTCTGCAAGTATCATACCAAGCATGTTGTTGACCTTCAGGGTCCACCAACCCCTCATAGATCTTTCACCAAGCATCTCGAGACTGTTGTAGACTCCTTCTAGATCCAGTAGGGAATCTACCTCGGCACTTTCACTATCAAACTCACCGTTGCTTAATCCCCACACATCTGTGCGAGAATTAATTGCATAGGCATTTGCCACCAATATGCATAATTGACAAGTCGTTGTGTGATCATTGAAGATGGGATAGTGAGTCCGGGCGAGGATGGCAGCCGGCAAATCCAAGCCCCTCTCCCATTTCGGGTGAGCTCGGGCGAGATTCTCCCATCCAGATGGTCACTCTTCCACACCCACCTCAGCATCACTACGCAGCTACACGCAGCAATCTCAACAACAAGAAATCAGACTTTCGGCTCCACGTCAAATCCTCCATCTCCACGTTCGGATTCCCCACCACCAAGGGACGAACCCCGATTACCCCAGTCAACGACCCCACGGGGTAACTACCGGCATGGATAGACTGCATATGAAGCCGGGTCATCTTCTCCTCTACTTCTTCATATACAGGGGTTCATGGGAGATAGCATTTCATGGCCAAGATGTATGACAAAGACATCAATGCAACACACCATGAACTTGCCAAGCCAAAGGCAGGACAACAGAACCCAACGGGCACAGTCAAGCTAGTTGAGGATGGCGAGGTAATGTTGATTCCTACACCGTCGCCGGATCCAAGAGGTATGGTTTCCCTATTGCACCTTGTTATTTGCGTCTAGGTGGCTAAGAGTCAGATCCATTGAATTTCCCACAATGGCAGAAATGGGCAATCACGTTTGTGTTGGGGATGTGTGAGTTTGATTTCCTGTCAATCTCTGGATGAATGCTAATAGTATCAAGTCTCCGTATTAGGCGTCCTCATGACCTCAGGCATGGGCCCCTTCGTATCCATCATGATGGCCTATTACGACTATAACCCGCACACCGACGATCTGATGACCTACCCGACGCTGTTCATGGGGATCGGGAATCTGATTACCATGCCATTGGCGATGGCTGTGGGACGGCGTCCGGTGTTCCTGGTCTCGGCGCTGATTCTGACCGTGGGGTCTATCTGGTGTGCGGCGAGTGGGAGCTTGTCGTCGCATATTGCGGGGAGAGATGTGCTCTCGTTGGCAGCGGGGCAGTCGGAGGCGCTGTGTCCGCTTATTATCCAAGTATGTGGTCTCCTGGGCTGGAGTGAATGGAATGGTAATTGACGAGTGTAGGAGATTCACTTCGTCCACGAGCGCAGCAGTCGTCTAGCCTGGTTCAGCGCCATCCAGTCCATTGGCACAGCTGCCCTAACAATCGCCACATCCTACCTGGTTAGCCGTCTAGGATGGAGATGGTGGTACGGCGTATTCGCTATAGCTAGCGGGGTCGTCTTCATTGCAGCCTTTTTGCTAGTGCCCGAGTCACGGTATGAGCGGCCAACTGACGCATTCGAGGGAGAGGTCCACGTTCACCACGAGGGCGAGGAGCAAGTCATCGTGCATGCTACGACCAAGAACCGGGTCCCGTTGGACTTCACCCACTACAAAGCCCGTACATGGCGACACAGTCTAGCCATATTCCACGGTCCCGCAAACTGGTTCGAAGCTCTGACATGCTGGAAACAAATGGCACAATGTATCCTCTTCCCCAATATCCTTTGGGTCGTCTTAATGAACAGCGTCGCCCTCGGAATCTACGTCATCGGAGTCACCGAATTCTCCTCCCTCCTCGGTGCACCACCCTACAACTATTCGACAACAAGTCTAGGCCTAGTCCAAGGTGGCCAAATTGTCGTATCCATGATCATGGTCCCAGTGCTCGGCTACGGCGGCGACCAGTTATACAAATACGTAGCCCGACGACGCAACGGCATGGTCGAATCCGAAATCCGTCTTCTCCCAATGTTCCTCCCCATCGTCGTGCTCCTCATCTCCTGCGTGATCTTCGGTCGAGCAGGCTCCCACCCCACGCACTGGTCCCCATGGGCCATTATCACAACCTTCAACGGCATGTACTTTGCCTATATTGGTATCGTGCTTAGCGGATTCACCTACTCGCTGGATAGTTATGGGGAGCGCGCGGCACCCATTCTAGTCTTAATCTGTGCTATTCGAGGACTGATTTCCTTTGGGATCTCATTTGGGATTACTAAATTCGTTACCGAGAAGGGATTCCAGGGCGCGTTGGACATTTGTGCTATTATTGCGGGGGTGGTGGCTGCTTTAGGGATTCCGGTGTTTGTGTTTGGGCCGTGGATGAGGAGAGTGACCATGAGGTATGCCGTTGATGGGAGGAGTGCAGAGTTTTGAGAGCCTTGCGGGGTGTTATGTGGCTTTGTAGCTCGTCTATTTTGGATTCCCAATAATATTGATCGAGCCTTGAAAGAGCGCTTGCTTGACCCGCTTTGTGAGGACATAAACTATATAGTCCTGTGCTAACATGAACCACCGACATTAATCTTAAATTCATAGTAATAATGCAGTGACGTAGTAAAGGTTCTAGAAGACACTATCAAGCGAAGTACTAAAGCATACCAGCGTAAAAGCAGAACGACGGGACATAAATAACCACTTTGTATAGAAAGAGGCGACATAGACAGAAAAGCCCATCTACCCTATCTGCTTATAGCAAAGCAAAGGTGTGAGAAGAGACGAAGATTAACATGATCATCAATACGTCACCTCATTCGGGAATGTAATCAGAGTTGCAGGATCAAGCCATGGCAAGGACATATCGATGAGGTCGGAAGAAAACAGGTCCTCGAAGCGAGGCTCATCTTCTGCCGCTTCTACCGCAAATCGACTCAGACTGTTTGGTATATCTCCGCATGTTAGATCGTGGGGATTACTGGTTTGTAAATGCTGCTCCTCATTCTCTGGCGACTTGCTCGTCTCGGACGTATCCATGAACAGAAATCGTAACGTGGTTTCGGCGTCGGAAAGTGATGTCCATAAGCGGGGTGATGCAACTAGTTTGATTATTCGGGCGAACACGGGCTGGTCGATGGATGGTCTGGGACGGAGGATCTCATATAGGTTGACGAGACGGCGCAGGACAAGTAAGGCGTCGTGTCGTGTCTCTGTGGATGATAACTCGATGAGAGTGATACTGAACATGATCAGTTCTTTTTCTTCCGCAACCTCGGTAGATGATCGCAGATGGCGGAAGCAGATCATGTCCAGAGCTAGGAAGATAGCAGCTGTTACGGTGGAACATGTCACTGCCCAAAACTTGTGAAAATAGGGGCATGGATCATGGTATCTGCGTGATAGAATGGCTTTTGCGCATAAGATTCCGTTCTGGTGCACGGTATCCCCGGCTGTGCTGTTGCTGAGCAGTTGCGGGATCAGGGCAACACATAGGTTGATGCGCCAAGAGTCTAAGCAGTTGTAGATTAGATAGCGCTGGACATGGATCCATTCAGAGCCTTCTTCGATGTGAGGCGCGGGTTCATCAGGCCCGTGATAGGCGAGGTGGGATGGAAAAGAAGCGACCACAGAATCAAGTTCCTCAAAGGAGGCGTAGACAGCTTCCATTGTCCAATCATTGATGGATCGGGCATGGTTCTGCATGGTGGCCGCGAGTTGGGCCATCGCTTTGTGGTATTCAAACGGGGAGGGAACATGGCTAGCACTGCCTTCGAGACCCGGAGACATTTCTATATCATCTTGGGTTTCCAATACAGTGGTGAAGGAATCAGGGTGGATCGAAATTGGACGGGTCCACACTGTCATCCTTGATATCTCTCAGTAATGTCCCCAACGCAACGGGTAAAAGACCTACCAGTCACAGATTACCAGTGTCCACCACAGTCTGCGATAGACATTTCGGTGTTCCCGAATTAAGCCTGTGTCATTAAAAGGACCTGTTAATCTTTCGTGGTGTTCACCAAGTCGATCAATTCCAATTAAGCGGGCGACGTTAACTGCCAGGCCATGCAAAGAGTATTCCCGACTTGACTCGCCAAGGTTTTTATGCACAATGTTCAAGATTGCTAAGGCTTGCACTGTCGAGATACTAGGTTTGCTCAGGCAATTGGCATTATTGAGCTCCTTCAGAGCAGCTTTGCACCACGTGCGGCATAGTTCCGTGGGTACTCTGCGGGGCAACGATGTTCTATAAGGTGAATACACTGGGAGTGATTCCTGAAGAAAGCAAATTTGACGACTTTCGTCTTCACCTAGAAAGTAGACGCCTACCTGTCAAGAAGTGAGTTTAGGGCTCATTTAACGACAAGGGAACTTACAGCCAGCACACTGAGATACACGGCTATCCAAGCATGGTTCCTCGGGCTTTCTGCTCTGCTATGATTTAGGCGATCCCAGAAAGAACAGTGGTCATTCATAAAAGCGGAGGCTTCCAGAGAGCAATGAACCCATCCAAAATGAGTTAGAGAAAATTGTACTATTGTCTCGCTCCAGTGCTGATCGGGTAAGATGGGTAGTAAATGATCGTCTCGTGGGTGAATGACACGTCCAGAGACTTGCGATGCTTCAACCAAAAGTCCAAATGGGAGACTTTGAAAATCGTTCAGGAGCTTGTCTGAAGAGTGTGGCCTTTCTGGAGCAGGGGATAACCGGAAGACTTTTGTCTCTAGTTTCAGCATTTCGGGTCGCGAGAAAACAGATTCCAGCTGCCTAATGCGCATCTTGAGGCTCAGATTTTCCCGCAACAGGCTTGTTCCATCCTCAGGATCATCATTTTGTGCATCTTCATCAACGGCGCTAATATTTGCAGTCAGAGTCGGAACAGTGGAAAGTGTGAGTATATAGAGACAGGCGAAAGGAGAGAAAGGCTCACACGGTAACCTTGCCATGGACTTTGACAACCTCTCGCTTGCAAGAAATAGTATCTCCGCGCCGGATGCATTCATCGCATGGAATCTTCTTGGAACATTTGATCTTCCTGCGAGCGCACTGGGTGCACGTCCGTGGGACTCGCTGGGTCTGTCGCATTGGTTGCGGCATGACTGAGCATATGAGATATTCCCAGGTATCATTTAGTCAAAAACAGCCATCCGAAGGGGCGCTCAGCCATGAGCAGTTGTGTGCTCTGATCTCGGGCGAGCTCGGGCGAGCTGGCCCTTGAGCACTTGGCCGTGCATCTCTGGGTCTCATCCCTCTTCTTCGGCTATTTGCTTCCCCGCAATCTGGATCTGCGGCTAATCTGGGCCGGGGTGAATGCGGGGTACGCCTTCTGGAAGTCACGGTGCATCGACCGGGGGATATTTGGATGATGAAAAGTGGTATCTGCATTTATAGTGAGGATATTGCTGAGGTTGCCTTGCTTCTCCCAATTGTAGGCCATCCGGAACTCGCGATAAACGATTTATATCGTCACTGATCGGGAGTGACACCTGAAGAAATACCGTTCCCCATCTCCATATTATCCTCAATCTGATAGGGAATTAGAAAACATTGTCCCAGTTTGCCCGAGGAGTACGGAGTATGGAGTATGGAAGAACAAAAGCAGTGCTGCATCAAACACATTCACGTGACATTCCCAGATAGGAAATACTCCATCAGTAAGTTCCGCATCAACGATTCTCCGCGGCGACGCAACGGATCGGCTTCTTCTCGGAGGTAATTTTGGAGTCGATAGAACCACCGTTCTCGCCATTTCCACGCGATTCATCGCCAATCAGTCACACTCACCGAGTGATTGACTTGTTTACTGCCTGGTCCCATGAGGTTTCTCTCTGGGGCTCTGCCCCGCGCGGCACGCCTTCATACTCCCATAATCCTCTCATCGCGACAAACACCATGCGGCGCTCGTAACTATGCGCGGACGGCAGAAGTGCTGCGGATGAACCAGTCGCTCTCCAACGGAACCCGCCCGACGATCAGATACCCTATTTTTTCGGTGGGGTCGGAGCAGAACAGATGGATTTCACAGAATTACCTGCGGAAGCAGAAGGAGGCCAAAGAAGAATGGGCCGAGTTTGCACGGGAAATCAAGGAGGGAAAGAGGAAGAACTTTGCACAACACCTCGATGAGAGAGGACTGCTACATGATGTTGTCGGGTAGGTCATCTCTTTGGAATGTGTGTCGTGCCTCTCAGGGATACCTCAGTTTGCTAACTCGACACTCTTACTTGCAGAGAACGGAAAGTATTAGACCGTCTGTTCACGCACAAGAGGGTTGGCATGTATGCTGGTGTGGATCCGACAGCTCCCTCTTTGCATGTTGGCCATATGCTGCCTTTTATGGTGTTGGCTTGGGGTTATGTTTGGGGTCTGCCTGTTACATTTCTGGTCAGTAATCTTCGCATTGATGAGAAATGATGAAGCCCGGCTAATACTAGACAGCTTGGTGGTGCCACCGCTCGGTTCGGCGATCCAACAGGGCGACTAAACAGCAGAGAACAAGTCCACTCCTCGGTCCGGAAGGCAAATATGGCGAGCATGCACATGCAGCTGAAGAAGCTGGGCAACAGTGTATTTATGTACGGTAAAAGGCATGGATATGACTTGGAGCGGGCCAGGCGTGCTCTAGTGAACAACAACACATGGTGGAATTCGTTGCCCCTCGTGGATGTATTCCGGGATCTGGGAGTCCACACGCGCCTTGGTCCCATGCTGGGCCGAGATACGTGAGTCCACCCCGGTCCCGATATTCCGTTGAGGGTTGTGCTCACTCAAGTACAGGGTCAAAAACCGACTGACAAAAGGTGATGGAATGTCCTTCGCTGAGTTTGCCTACCCCCTAATGCAGGCATGGGACTGGTGGACACTCTTCCAAAAGGGCGTCCAGGTCCAAGTTGGAGGCTCAGACCAGTATGGGAATATCCTCTTCGGCATGGACGCTGTGAAATCCATCAGCAAGAACAACGTGGACCCCTTGCATAAGAGCGATCTAGACGATGTATTGGATAGGCCTATTGGAATTACGACACCTTTGCTCACCGCTCCGTCAGGGGAGAAATTTGGAAAGTCTGCCGGCAATGCGATCTGGCTCGACAAGGATATGACGTCCACGTTCGAGCTGTATCAGGTATGTTGGACACGGTCAGAAAGCGACCCCGGTCTTACTAACGATTAACAGTTCTTTGTTCGAACCCCGGATGATACCGTTGAGCGCTATTTGAAGATGTTCACCTTCTTGCCGATTCCCGAAATCGCAAAGATTATGGAGGAGCAGAACAAGGATCCATCCAAGCGGGTGGCCCAGCATGCTCTTGCTGCGGAGTTTGTCGAGCTGATTCACGGTAAAGTAGAAGCCGATGCTGTCGCTCTCCAGCATCGGCAGCTGTTCCGCCCACGGTCGTCAACCGCAGAACCAAGCCCGCTACCTCTCAAACCCTCTTCCCCTGGCAACGCCCAGTCCCCAACGGCAGGCTTCGATAATCCCCAATCCGGGAACGCATACGCCCCCCAAACCAATTTTGCGAACATGCCAAAAACTCACGTCACTCTTCCCCATTCTCTGGTCTACAACCAGCCGATGCATAAGGTTCTATGGTCGGCAGGGCTGGTAACCTCCAAGAGTGAAGGCCACCGTGTGATTGTGAACAGGGGTGCTTATGTTGGAAGCCGTCCCGGAGACAGTGGGCCAATGTCCGATGATCTGGCATTTACGCCCGTCAGGACCTGGCCAGTGGAGAAGACGGAAACATTTATCCTCGGGGGAAACACGTTGTTCCTGAAGCTGGGCAAGTGGAAGTTCAAAATCGTGAAGATTATCAGCGATGAAAAATTCAGGGCGGCTGGACTGACCGCGCCCGGATGGGAGGAGAAGACTACGCGATCCAACAAAGGCGGTAAGCCTTAGATGACTTGCTTGATATTATACCACTCCTTGTATTTTTAGACATGTGTACATATGTATACCTCGAATGGATTCATACGAAGTGACGGAGTAGTCAAAGTAGCATCATGGATTCAATTTAGAGTGCCGATATTACTATTGATCGGGATCACCCGACTAGTAGCCCGCTGGTGTCTCGTCCCCACTGTCTGCTGATTGGTCAGGGAGGTCCCCGCGTCCGTCTAGAAGGCGGCGGCAGAACCACTCAACGCGTCGACGCGCCGACATGTCCGATTCCGTTTCTTGTCGCTCCCACGGCTGTCAAACCACCCTGTCCGGTCCCATTTCCAGTCATCACACTGCCCCATCCTATTCTCGTATTCTTCAATAAAGCATGATATAACTTCACATTCACCAATCTATCCTTAAACATTATAGCTCATAATGGCTAGAGGAACGCCCGCCGTTTCCTCTCCCTCCGCTGCAACGCCCCCCTCCGCGGCACTGAAACGCTCCACGTCCAGTACCCAGAACATGAAGAACCAGAAATCAATCCTTGGGTTCTTCCAAAAGTCTTCCCCATCAACTCCGTCAACCGCTCGTAACGCGGAACCTGCTTCTTCTCCAGCGGAGAGGGTCTCGGAGCAGCGCCTCGGCGGTGCCAAGGGCGCAGCAGAAAGGAAAAAGAGCATTCCAAAATTCAAGCAGGAATTGGAACCGGTGCCTAGCAGTGACTTGATTATTCCCGAAGAGGATGAGCAGGGAGATAATACCCAGGTGCGACACTGTTGAAGGGACGCCTTATCTGGATATGCGGCTAATGGGATTATCTATATAGGGGAGTCCGAATGGGGAGGCCGAAATGAAGACAGCATCTCCATCACGACGGGTAGGAATAGCACATCAATATCTTGTGGCATTGGAATTCAATGCTGACATTCATCGCTGCAAGGCCAAAAAACAAGTCAACTACGTCGAATCCGACTCCGAAGGCGAAGATGATGACGAGAAGATATTCCGCCCAGGGCGAAACAGCCGAAGTAAGCGGAGGAAGATGTCGCCTGAAAGTGAAGACGAATTCAACGATGCTGGTGGAGACGTGGGGTACTCCGACGATGGTCAGTCTTGTGTCATAGACCTGGATGGGCGAGTACTGATAACTGCCAGAAATGGACGATTTTGTTGTTGCCGATGATTCGGATGAAGAGGTGAAGCCAACCAAGAAGCGCAAGAGGCCATCAACCCAACCGAAGACCAAGTCCTCTTCATTGCCGCCTGTATCGACAGAAGAGGGCCTGGACCTGGACATTCCAGACGCGTCTTCTGGTACAGCTCTCAAATGGACGTACGATCCCGAATCTTCCGAACCTCGCCAGCCACGCGCAGCACCAGTTACTCCCAAGAGCTCTTCGACTGCTAAAAAGCAGAAAGCACATGTTACAGATCCCGAACAACGGTATGCCTGGCTTGCGAATATCCGCGACATAGACGGGCACCCTATCGGTCATCCTGAATATGATCCTCGCACTCTATATATTCCCCCGTTGGCCTGGGCCAAATTCTCTCCTTTTGAGAAGCAGTATTGGGAGATCAAGCAGAGGTTCTGGGACACCGTTGTCTTCTTCAAGAAGGGCAAGTTCTACGAGCTTTATGAAAACGATGCTACTATCGGACATCAGCTTTTCGACTTGAAGCTTACGGATCGTGTCAACATGCGCATGGTTGGTGTCCCCGAGATGAGTCTGGATCACTGGGCCAACCAGTTTGTGGCCAAGGGATTCAAGATCGCTCGAGTCGACCAGATTGAATCAGCCTTGGGCAAGGAGATGCGCGAGCGAGATGGAAAGAAAGGCGGGGCGAAAGAGGACAAAGTCATCAGGAGAGAACTGGCCTCCGTTCTCACGGCTGGTACTCTTGTTGAGGGCTCCATGCTCCAGGATGATATGTCTACGTTCTGTGTTGCCATTAAAGAGGTCCTGATAGATGATCACCCTGCTTTTGGAATCGCCTTTGTCGACACTGCAACCGGTCAATTCTTCCTGTCCGAGTTTGTGGACGATGTTGACATGACAAAATTCGAAACGTTCGTCGCACAAACCCGACCGCAGGAGCTCCTCTTGGAAAAGTCTACAGTTTCCCAAAAGGCTTTGCGTATTCTGAAAAACAACACGGGACCGACCACAATTTGGAACTACTTAAAACCAGGAAAGGAGTTCTGGGAAGCCGACATTGCGGTGAAAGAGCTTGATGCTAGCGAGTATTTTGTCTGCGAAGATGGCGACAACTTACAAGCATGGCCCGAAGCACTTCGAGAAGCTCGCGAGAAAGAGCTTGTCATGTCCGCATTTGGGGCTTTGGTACAATATCTCCGAGTCCTCAAGATCGAGCGTGACTTGATAACCATTGGCAACTTCACTGCGTACGACCCGATCAAGAAGGCCACCAGTCTGGTGCTTGATGGACAGACCCTTATTAACATGGAGATCTTTGCCAACTCTTTCGACGGCGGCTCTGAGGGCACGTTGTTTCAGCTCCTTAACCGTTGCATCACACCTTTTGGCAAGCGCATGTTCAAGCAATGGGTTTGCCACCCGCTTGTGGATGCGAAGAAGATCAATGCTCGCCTAGATGCGGTGGATGCCCTCAATGCTGATTCGAGTGTCAGGGACCAATTCTCCTCACAGCTGACCAAAATGCCTGATTTGGAGCGACTCATTTCTCGTATCCATGCTGCAAACTGCAAAGCCCAAGACTTTTTGCGCGTCCTGGAAGGGTTCGAGCAGATTGAGTACACCATGAGCCTCCTTAAGGACAGTGGCTCAGGAGAAGGCGTCATTGGGCAGTTGATTGGGGCCATGCCTGACTTGAGCGAGTTGCTTGAATATTGGAAGACTGCCTTTGATCGCTCAAAGGCTAGGGAGAACGGCATCTTGGTGCCCAAGCCTGGTGTCGAAGAGGATTTCGATAACTCCCAAGAACATATTGAGCAAATCCACCGGGACCTCGAGAACCTGCTGAAGCGAGTGCGTCGGGAACTCGGCTCGTCCGCCATCATCTACAAGGACAACGGCAAGGAGATCTATCAGCTAGAAGTACCGATCAAGGTCAAGAACATTCCCAAAGGCTGGGATCAGATGTCTGCAACGAAACAAGTGAAACGGTACTATTTCCCGGAGCTGCGGAAACTCATCCGCCAGTTGCAAGAGGCCCAAGAGACGCACAGTCAAATCGTCAAGGAAGTCTCTGGCCGATTCTACGCACGATTTGACGAAAATTACTCAACCTGGCTTGCTGCCGTCCGTATTGTTGCTCAGCTCGACTGCCTCATCAGTCTCGCCAAAGCCTCCTCCGCTCTCGGCCAACCCAGCTGCCGCCCCGTGTTCGTTGACGATGAGAGAAGCGTCCTCGAATTCGAAGAGCTGCGTCACCCCTGCCTGGTCTCTTCAGTTGGCGACTTCATCCCCAACGACGTCCAGCTAGGAGGCAACCGCCCCAACATTGACCTCCTCACCGGAGCCAACGCGGCCGGAAAGTCCACCGTCCTACGAATGGTAAGCAAACCCTCCTCACCCTCCTCACATTCCCCAGCAAACATCCTAACCAACCCCAGACCTGCGTCGCCGTCATCATGGCCCAAATCGGCTGCTATCTCCCCTGCCAATCCGCCCGCCTCACCCCCGTCGACCGGATCATGTCCCGACTAGGCGCCAACGACAACATCTTCGCCGCACAATCCACCTTCTTCGTTGAACTCTCCGAAACCAAAAAGATCCTCTCCGAAGCCACCCCTCGCTCCCTCGTCATCCTCGACGAGCTCGGCCGCGGCACCAGCTCCTACGACGGCGTCGCCGTCGCCCAAGCCGTCCTCCACCACGTCGCCACACACATCGGAGCCCTCGGCTTCTTCGCAACACACTACCACTCCCTCGCCGCCGAGTTCGAAGGACACCCCGAAATCGCCCCGAAGCGCATGCGCATCCACGTCGACGACGAGGAACGCCGCGTCACCTTCCTATACAAACTCGAGAACGGCGTCGCGGAGGGCAGTTTCGGTATGCACTGCGCCGCCATGTGCGGTATTCCCGATAAGGTGATTGAACGTGCCGAAGTAGCCGCCAAACAATGGGAACATACCAGTCGTCTGAAAGAGAGTCTGGAACGTCGCAAGGGCGGTGGTCTCGTGGGTATGGGATGGTGGAGTGATATTGCCTGGGCGCTGCGTGAGACGACAACGGCCACGAGCGAGAACGAGAACGAGGAAGTCAGTCACCGGAGTTTGGAGGTGTTGAGGAAGGCGATTGAGGCTCTGTGAGCATTATGACATGACTTGTTTTCTTCTCAATCATCAAGGTGGCAATCATGCATAGATATGATGTCTTTGGTGTGACGCGTGTTCTTTATTTTTATTTTTATGTCCAGGGATGGGATAGGTGTTAGGTCAGGGATATGTTTATTCTAAAAAATGTGAGGATATGAATTCGGGATTAATATATCATGATTATACAGTTTAGAGGCCTTGGGCTGTCTATTTTTCGGTATGTAGCTGAACAGTGGAAAGAGGTGGGGAAGCGGAACGCAAGGATATAGAAGCGACATTTGCTTTTAATTTCCATGTTTTTTGCATTCTGTTATCGATTGGATGTGATTTACGGAGTAGAGGATAGACAATGCAAGTGGCGATACGCCTTTGCTATGAGTCAATGGCATTCAGGTAAAATATTAACTTATTTTTGCAATAAATCACGCCGAGTAAAACCCTGCCCGGTATCTGATGATGTAATTGAACCTCGATATTGCAACCACCAACGCATTGGAAATCAGAAACAAACCCCATCCGTGCATGCCCAAGGTGCGGACCAAAGGACAGTCAATGCAATTGAAAATCATCCATCTCGCCTAAATCCCAGTGATGGGTGACGAACTCCGATGCTAGTGGGATTATTCTTGGAAGAAGCGCCGACTTGCTAGAAAGAGAAAGATCAAATAGGAAATATGGTTGTTCACTCATTGGAGTCATTCTTGGGGCCATCCTTGGAACCGTCCTTGGAAACACTCTTGGAGTCAGCCTTGGAGTCAGCCTGGCCTTCTTCCATGGCAGTGAATTCACGACTGAGCTGGCTGGCATCCATGAGCTCTTCCGTATCGGAGCGGTCGTCTTCCTTCTTGATGAGATCATCGTAGTAGGCGTCGGTGTCCGAAGAGTCTTCCTTCTTCACGGCCTTCACTTCGCTTTTCGCTTCTTTCTGCACGGCGGCTCTCATCTGGATTGGAGTGGATGGTTCGAGGGTGCTGTTTCTGCATTGGTTGAGGATGGTTAGCAATTGATTTGAGTTTCGGATAGACTAGACACAGGAGCGGCAAGACATACTCATCTTCGGTCTTTACAGCCTTGTTGCCGGCGCGTGGGGTCTTGGGGGTTCCAGTCGCCTTCTGTCGCTTTGGCTTGGGGGGAGCGGGACTAGCCCCGGTAGCGACTTCGCCATCCTCTTCATCGGCTTTGCCCTTCTTGCGCTTCGCGGGGGTTTTCTTGGGGGTGGCAGCGGGGCCCTTGGAAGGAGTAGAGGTTGTACCGTCTTGGTTGCCGGCGTTTTCGGAGAGGAGCTTGCGCTTGGCATTGCGGTAGAGGGTGCTGGCGGATGGCGCGTTCTTGTAGCCTCCCAGAAGGGCCATCTTATCAAAGTCAACCTGTAGCTGCTGTTAGGGGGTGTTGGTTTAGTGTGGGGGGTAAAAGTGCATACTTTACCAGCGTCATCGCTGCTCAGCACGCCCAGAAGAATCATTCTGGCCTCGGCTAAACTCAGCCCCATAAGGCCTTCAGGTTTGTTCGACTTTGGGGTTGACATGGCTGGTAATTCAGGAGTGGGAGTTGTCGTGTGAGAGAAGATGATAAAAGTGGGTGAGTGGAAGGTGGAATAAGAGTAAGGGTGAGTTGGAAGGAGGGGTGAAAGTGAGAGATGGGTGCAGGCAGAGGAAAAAGAGCCAGGAGCAGGTGATGCGAGCAGAAGATGGCAAACAATGCACACACCCTGAGTCTCCGCACAGCCCAATAAGAGAGGCGGTGGAGACAATTTGAAGCTTAAGAAATGTGAATCATATCACGACAGTTCACTTTGCTTGTCACTAAGCCAAAGGGAAGAGTAACACGTCAACTGGGACCTTTGGTGCCTACTTTCCAAGTGGTAGCAGAGGTATGCTCACAGATCCCCTTCATTTTAATTTTTCTTCAATGCACCATTATTCTGAATCTGCTTGTACACATGTTCCCACAATGCAGGGTAGAAAGTCGAGGACGGGCGCCCACGCTTGCTCTTCGTATCCGTGTAAAAGTATTTGGGAGACTTTCCTTCCCACCACCGAGTGGACGCTGGTTTCAAGGTGGTAAAGCTCACGGGTCGAAAGAGAGACTTATTCGGAACCAAGTCTCCCAGCCGCATTTCCGTCTTCATGGGCATGGACGTCGCCCTCATGGTGGTCGTGTATAAGGTGGCCGTGGGCGGCAAATTCTTCGCATATTCAATGGTTGCCTCTCGAGAGCGTCGGGCAAAGACTGGGAGCGCAAGGTGTACAAAGGTGACGTATGGGGCCGAAGTCCAGGTGACGAAGATCATGGGGAAGGCGCTGGCAATTACAACTTCGCTTCAAATCAACGGACAATCTTGCGACAGACGGGACGGTGCACTCACTGGCAGGAGCAAGATACCACGGATGCTCCTCGGAATAAAATGCTGGGGCGACTAGCACGCAGGAGACACCGAATATGATGATTGTCGTCATTCTTAACGTCCCCAGGATGGCTGTCTTTCCAGTTCCGCCATGGTAGATGAGGATCCGTTCCGGAGGCCCTATAACTCCAACTCAGCATCAAGTCGATCCCAATCCAGCGCATGTACCCGCCATACCTTTTCGAAAGGTCAATTTCGCATGCTTGGTCGGGGACGGCTGTGGATTCCGGGGTGCCGTGGTGTTGCGTTTGATGAAAGGGACCTCGCTCTTGGGCGGCTGGACGGGGTTCTGAGTCGTCTTGAATCGGGTAAACAGTTTGCTGGTGAGGTCTCTCCGCACGCTCCGGGGGATTGCAGAGCGCAATTGCGCGCTCAGCAGGATAAAGGGCGGCATTAGTTGAGGTAAGCAATGGGAGAACTGTGTAATTGAAGAGACGCGATGATCGACGGGCGACTTTTTGGAGAAGTCGGCGAGACCGGCTTGGCTTGGCGGTCGGCGTCGCAATTGACGGACCGACAATAGACCCAATAATAAAGAGACACTCCGCTTCAACTCCATCCCCTCATCTTCCCTTCGATTTAATCCCCTCGCCTCGATCGGAGGCAGTTCAGTCGCTGTTTGTCGCCTTTGCCATGAAGGCCTGCTGATCCATCCACCCCGCGATGTTTTCGGCTTACCGTGGCCTTGTGGCCCCCTTACTGTCCATCTATATCGCCGCCCTCGTCCTGCTCACTCCGGCCAACGCCTACCAGACCATCTCCGATGCGACTCTCGAATCCCTCCCCCGTCCCAATGAGGACTTTGACATCCATACCGGGGCCATTCTGTCCCCAATCTTAAGGACCCGTGTTTCTGGCACCCCCGGGTCGACAGCGGTTCTGAACCACTTCACCGACTTCTTCCGGACCTCGCTCCCCGACTGGAAGATCGACTTTCAAAACTCCACATCCAAGACCCCCGTGTCAAATGGGAAAGAGATTCCGTTTGTCAACTTCATCGCTTCCCGCGACCCTCCGTGGGCGGCCGCCGGTGACGTCGGGAGACTTACACTGGTCGCCCATTACGACAGTAAATACCACCCGGAGGGATTCATCGGGGCCATTGACAGCGCAGCCCCATGCGCAATGATCATGCATACTATGCGAAGCATTGACGCGGCTCTGACTAAGAAATGGGAGGACATGCAGGCACAGGGGCAAACAAACCCCCTGGATGAGCAGAAGGGCATCCAGGTCTTCTTCTTGGACGGCGAGGAGGCGTTCAAGGTTTGGTCGGACACCGATTCCCTCTATGGTGCCCGATCTCTCGCGGAGCAGTGGGATTCGGAAGTCAACCCAGCCATGTCCGTCTATAAGACCCCTCTTTCTTCGATTTCTCTGTTTGTCCTCCTGGATCTGCTGGGCTCTAAAAATCCCACGATCCAGTCCTTCTTTCCCACGACGCACTGGGCCTACCAGAAGCTGGCAGCACTTGAGCGCCGTCTGCGCCGTCTCAAGCAGTTCAAGTCTTCCGGTGACTCCGGCGATGCCTCCTCCCGGGCATGGTTTCCGCATGCTTCGAAAAATGAGCATGAAATCCCTCATTACGCCAGCATTCAAGATGATCATATTCCTTTCATGAAGCGCGGGGTGGAGATCCTCCATGTCATCGATGCGGGGCCTCACGGATTTCCAGCGGTCTGGCACCGCATAGAGGATGACGGCGAACATCTGGACATGGATACGGTGGAAGACTGGAGCTTGTTGTTTACTGCGTTCGCTGCGGAGTGGATGGAGCTGGAAGGGTTCATGCCCGGAGCCGAAAAGACCCATGACAAGAACAAGCGCTCCGACAGCTATCAGGCCAAAACAGAATTGTAAGCATTGTCTGAATCTACTGAATTGAATGTGTTTTGGGTTATGGCTCTATATGCATCGTTATTGGCTATTCTCTACCTGGGCTGTGCTGATACTGCATAGTTCTTGAATGGTCACACAACCTGTCCAACAGCCATTCTCCAGCCCGGGTTAATCACACCATATCTCCGAGCATAAAACCAGTCATCTCCGCCAGACCCCAGGCTGGCTGCAGCACAGTGCGCAGGACTGCTGGGCCAGGACATACACCACGTAATCCCCAAGCAAGACCAAAAACCATTGCACCAGCTACAAAGCGCCAGTCGATATCCGCCACAGTGGCGGTGGGCAGTTGCCATCGCTCCGCCAGAGTGGGCTTTGACTGTTCCACCTTCTCGTCTGTGTGCTGTCCTGGTCTTATGGACAAATAGGTCGCCAGCGACGGGCCGATTCCGAAAACGATAATGAGTGCCAGCGACGGATCGAAACGGGATGGGTCGGAGAGGAAGGCAAAAAACCGCAACACCTTGGCTGGGTCGGCCATACCGGAGAACAACAGCCCCATACCGAATTCCAAGCCTGCCAGATACGAGAATATTGTTCTGGACCTATGTGATCGATCGAGGGTTCGAGGTACGACGAAGAAGTTCATCACGGACGCGAGAATTGTGGTGCCGACCATGAAGATAATCTCCCCTGTCGCTGGATAGACGGGCATGTAGCAGGGTACTTCCCCGGCACATGGGGGGATGTTGCCTCCGGCAACGAAATTGGCCGTGAGCAACGCGGTGGTAAAGAAGACTGCGGTAGCAATGAACGATCGCGGCGACATTCGAGAAATGCCGCAGAGCATGTGGCCGGACGTGCAACCTCGACCATTCTATAACCGCCTGTTGTTAGACAGAACACTAGTCTTGGGGTCATTTATCTACCTTTGTGCCCCAACCCAGCAGAAATCCAGTGCCCACCGTGGACATGAAGGACAGCCAGGAGCTCGGTGCTGGAGGATATGATGGGATCAAGGTAGGCATGAAGAGAGCCACTGGCACCACACTTGACACCAACCCGGCTATGATGGACATATTGTCCGGGGTTGGATTGAGAACCGCGCCGGACAAGAGCGAGGAAATGCCCAAAACGGATCCATTGTGTAACAGCAGACCCGCCGAGCCTTGAAAGAGCAGCAATGCCCCTAGCGATGTATGCACGGGAGTAAACATATCTCTGAACCTTTTAGTTACTTATTCATACTCACACCAGCGAGAATTTCAGCTAAATGAAGCCATACCAATCACACCACTGCAATGCACGAAGAAGAAAAGCGAAAAGAAAAGGAGGTGTGGAGATCCATTCACTCGAGTTCACCGACTGACTGACGAAGGGCTCGTGTGGGCATTCGGGGACCATTTGCCAGCCATCGATCCCCGAGCCAAACCCGGGCTCCAGCACACAATATTTAGAAGTATCTGTCGATCGTCATTACTTCTTAAGACAGCACTTGACCACATAAATAGTATACATTTCACTGCAGAGCAAGATGATGGTGAAGCATGAATGCACCGATGTATAGTGATTCAGAGTGACAACTGAAACTACTACCAAGTACTAGCTGCAGGAACAGCCATGCAGGGGTCACCCGAACTGCTGGGATGATGGGCCGGGGATGGAATGGGGCCGAACAGCCGGGTGGCTTGTGGTTGGTCCCCGGGACCCCGAGGGGCGGGACGCTGACAGTCCTGTAACACTTCAGGCGAGAATAGGTTATTTTTACTATGATGTACATATACTCTGATTAGAATTAGCTCTGTTGGTCAATATATGAAAGTTGGTTTGGTAGTTAGAGGGTTATTGGTCTGATCTAATCACTCAAAAGGGAAACCGGCGTCGAAACAGAATGCTTACTATTTCCCCTATTTTTTTCAGCAAGGATACTCTTTCATCAATACTGTCTATTGTAATCTTTGTCTGCTGCCATATTTGAACTCTTTATATCATTTAAGAGAATGGCTACGGAGTGTACTTATTGGATATTCTTTTCATCGTCATGTGATCTGTCACTGGAGACGGTGCAGGTGATGGTATTCTAGTACACCTGTACTGCTTCCCCTTGACATACCTGAGTGACAAGATATTTCGACTGCGGGATGTTAGGGGAAGCCTACTGACATTAATACAGCATTATTCTGGGCAGACAGGCAGACAGGCAGACAGGGCGGTCAATGCAGGCAGTATTGGCAGGCCGCAAAGTAACTCCGGAATCGCATCAGAATATGCTTTTGGTTTGCGTGCTGCAAGGCGGTGAGGACCCCCAGGATCCACACTGAATTTTAGTGCCTCCGCCAGTCCCAGTAGATCTAACCATCCAACCAATCAGCGTTGATATGCATTCTCGTTCATTTCAATCCGGATGGCCCCCAACAGCGCCCAGCCCACTAAACATACTAGGATGCGCAAGGCTGTTGAAGGGTTCCAGCAGGGTGAAATCCATTCTCACATCTCACTTCCCCTTTCTCATCTCGCGGGTCTCAAACTGTCGATGCTGCAAGCATGGCTGACACCACATCCACCATGACAACAACCGCAACAACCGCTGCAACAGCTCTCCTCCCCTTGACGACCATATTCATCCCGCCCAGCTCATGTATCAACAATCTCTGGCTCGTGAGCAGTAGCACCAAAACATGGATGAACCTGGGGCCAAGAAACACGGCCGAATGTCTCCCCTCTAGCTGGGAAGTTTCAAGCTATTATTCTCCGGGATTATGTCCGAGTGGCTATAGAATTGCTGCCAGCGACACTATCTATGATGGAAGTGTCATTGAGACCGCGGCAACCTGCTGTCCAGTGTATGTGATTCTTTCTCCCTATACCAAGGACTATTCATTGATATCTTACTAATACGATCCGCAATTCCAGAACTGGTATACAAACATACTCGACCCGAAATACATATACTCCCGGTTGGACCGAACTGGAAGTATGCACGTGGCAACCAGGAGACAAAACCATTCTCGGTTACACATATATCTGGCTCGGCACAGATGGATCTACCTCCAGCACCACCACCAGCATGTCCAGCGATGGCCACATTAATGGATATGGTATCTCCATTCGGTGGCAGTCGACTGATTTCACGACTCCGTCAGCCACGACAACGGCGGTATCTACTGCATCTAGTACATCAACCACAGACACAGCCACAAACACATCCACAAACTCATCTACAACCTCATCAACAGCTTTACCCACAGCCTCACCCAGCCCATCAGGGCTCTCGAGCGGAGCTAAAGCAGGCATTGGCGTCGGTGTCGCGGCGGGAGCTGTTCTGGCCATATTCCTTGTGCTGTTCTTGATGCGGCGACGAAAAGCAATATCCCCAGCTTCGCAGTTCTCGTCCCAGGCACAGAGTTATCGAGAATTACCTGCTACAGGGACAGGGGCGACTATGGTGGAACAAGTGGAATTGCCTGCTGGAGGGTCAACGGGGTTTACAGCGGGTAAAGCAGAGTTGCCTGCAGGAATAAACAATCCTACAACGTATATAGCGGAGCTGCATGGGTAGTGGTGAGGAATGTCATGATTTCACTCATCCTTTTGGAGTTTTATGTGGACTGCTTTGGAAGGTCAAGACCCCTTGAGTAGGCGTATAATGGTCTGCTTGGCTGTATATAAATTATAACTTAATCTTAACTATGAATGAATTAACTGAACGATGTTTTGATCCCATTGGACCAGGGGGGCCAAATATATTACCAAATAAAGTCCAGCAGATACATCCATACAAAGCTGACTACAGCCACAATTAAAATGCACGAACTAGGCCATTCCCATGCTAGCCTCCCTGGATCAACGATCAGTTCTTGTAGGGGGGAAAGTGGCTCGAAGCTACTACCAATTTCCTGTTCGAGCCGAACCGGAAGCCTTCAGACATACAATACCACCAGCAGTCACGGAACCCACAACTAAACCATTATTCTATTTACTCATCCCCCAAAGCAACAGCCCGTTCCAAAACCCGCCAAAAACTCTGCACATCTAACACCCTTGGAATCCTCACTCCCATCTCCCCATCTGGGAGCCTCCTGACAACCGTTCTTCCCACTTGCTCCCCCTCCAACACCAACTCCACCTCGAACCGTTCCTCACCCAGGAACTCGAACCCGATATCCTCCACTCCCTCGGTATGCAAAATCACCGCCACAGCCAGAGGATCATGGAGTGGGCCATCGATGTTCTGAGCCTTTTTATACCCAGCCCTGAACCAGCGAAGCAGATCGGTAAAGATGCGTCTTCTCTCCGAGGGCACATCTCTCTTCCCTTTCACATTCCCGTCTGGGCCGTGCAGCATAAGATCCAGCACCTCATCAGTAACCATCGCCATATGAGTAATATCCAGCGGTAAGAGGGTTATTTTTCCCACTAGCGTCTTGTTACTGAACACAGCTCTCGCTGACTCGGGGTCACACTACACATCATATCAGTACATCACTTACTCACCCATTCCTCAGACCAAAACAAAACAAAAGAAAAGAAAAGAAAAGAAAAGAAAAGAACCCATACCAAACAATTAAACTCCGCCCACCACGACGCATTGCCCATCCTTCCCTCCTCTCCCCCCTCCTTATTCTTCCAAACAAATCCACCCCCCACCGCACCCCCCATGATACTCACCCCGCGAACATGCCCCGCCACCTCAGGAAACAACCCCACCAAAAGCGCCACATTTGTCAACGGCCCTAACGCCACCAACCACGCTGTATGTTTCGGTGTGGAGAGCAACGCATCCCGCATGGCCAGAACAGCGTGTTTTTCTTCGGGAGAGGTAGTTGGGACGGGAAGGTTCGAGCCTTCAAGACCGGTTTTCCCTGTTCATCTCCGTCCTTAAGTGATTGGATATTTGATTGGAAAGGGGGGTGGGATACCGTTATCTGGCTTAAGACACGTCCGACAAAATGGTTTCTCAGCGCCTGGGTACACCGGTATATCGGGACGGTTTAGGATTGTCAAGATGGTGAGGGCATTCCTGGTGGTGTTTTTTAGGGTGCTGTTGCCGTGGACGGTGCTGATGCCGAGGAGGTGGATGGTGGGGTGGTTCGTTGCGAGGAGGATTGCGAAGGCGTCCTGCTTTGTTATGAGCCTTCAAGGGGTGGGTTGGTGAGAGGGAGAGGGGATGTATTTACGTCGTGACCTGGGCGGAGGTGGTTAGGATATATCTTTGGGTTTGGTTTGTAGATTGCTTTGGTATAGATGGTATGAAGTAAGGTAAGGTAGGCAAGTCACGAACCTGGATCACAGTCCACCCAAATGGGGATTCTTGGTGGGGGTTGGCTAGACATTTCCCGTAATAGCTGGAAATGGTGATGAGTTATCATGGGGGAAGTGGTTCACAGAGACTCTGAGAGTCTGACTGCTGTCTTCACTGCCATGCCTGTGTTGGAACGTAGGCCAAGTGAATCTCATCTGATACCTGGGAAATTTCTCTCACATTATAGAGTATACCCCTTTGGGGAGTGGAATTAGTATGGGTATTGTTCCATGCTATAGCAATTGGAGTATGGATTATGTGATATTCCGAGTTTCTTGGTGTGTAGTATTCAGGAACTTCGTCATCGTGTTTTTTTTTTGTGATATGTTGTACTTGTTAATTAAACACATAGCGAACTTATTGTAGAAAATGGACTATTTCTACCTGTATCCCGCCCGCCCTGTCGATTGAATTCCAGATCAGAGTCTGCAAGTTCCTCATGGAATCCAGATCCTGGTTCGTCTCTTGTGACTAATGATGGATGAAGAATCATTCCATTGATGTTAAGATTATTGGCATGCCGGGGTAGTAGTTGAGCACAAGTTAAATTCCTTGTGTAGTGTCTTGGTATTCCTTATTTACTCCCTACATGGATTGTCGAAGCTACTAACCCATAGAACAAGAGATATACCGCTCCCAACATAAGTCACTGCACACGAGAAACTAGTACATACGACCACAGGGTGTGGAGAACAGGGCTTCCCGTCCGCTCAGCCGTACTTAAGCCACACGCCGGGAGGTTAGTAGTTGGGTGGGTGACCACCAGCGAATCCCTTCTGTTGTATGTTTTTTTATACCGTCATCAATGTCTTTTTTCACTCTTAGTGGTTGTTTTTTGGTACTTGGTTTGTTCAGTATGGTGTACAGACCCACTCACTCCTTGCCCTTCCCCCCGGCACAGCCCTGAAATGCCTCCCCTCAAGACATTATTCAAATCCGCCATGTCTACGCTCTGGAATGTCCAGTCATTGACATCAGCAGTGATGCGAGAGACCATGCATTCCGCCGCTTAGTGATCTTGTGTATGGAGATAGCATGGGCTTTTCCTTTTCACTATATCAGATTGGGCATACTCCCGGGGGCTGTTAGTCTCGCTCGCCTAAGATGGGATCTTTGTAAGTAACGTTCATAACCCCAAGATAAAAGATACATTATTTTGCCATCGCCCTCTCTCTCCAATCCAGTCTACCATTTAACATATCTGTCTCTCTCTGCCGCGTCTGCCTCGATATCTTGGCAAGATTCGGATCTTGCTAGGGTGCCGTGCTATGAACCCGCTATATCCTCAATTAGATTGATAGTATCGTCTTACCGGATGATCCTCTGATGCAAATCCGAATCTCTAACCCAGGGCCCCACGAAGTGTATTGGTCGAGGAAGGTTTGCCCATACCCGCGGACGCGGGGGATTTATGCGATAAGTTCCCTGGGGTACTCGAGCAGGTGACGATATCCACCGTGGCCGGGTCGAAGTGAGGATACTGCCGCCAGACGGCCTGGTAGGTAGGGTCCCATGGGTAGTTGAATGACCGGGCGGCACCGAGAGATCGGGTTAGCGATCATGTCTCGCCGATGGAGGGGACGACGAGCGACGGCACTGCCCGGGCGAGCCAGGTGTGTGAGGTCAGATCGGCATATCCCGTAATCTGCGGGTTGTTCGGGACCTCCAGCAGCTCGTCTCGCTCGATCTCCAGCAGCAGCAGCAGCAGCAGCAGACCGTACGGAGGGGCTGTGAACTGCTGCACGGGTGTTGGCTGCCGTCGGGGTGGTGGGGGGTGTTGCTCTCCCGCGAGTGTCCCACTGGTGTCGGGCTGATGAGGCTTTCCATATGGGGATCCTTGATTCTGGGGATGCAAGGCTGGCCAAGCAGGGTTGGAGATTGGAGGACGGAGAGATGAGGGGCAGGCGGGGCAGGAGTTGAGACAGGCGATGCCAGCACATCATACAGAGTAGCAGGGGTTCCATTCACTTTCTGTCGCTGCTCTTGCCGCCGCCCCTCCTCGCTCATGGTCACGTCCACCTCACATCCACCTCCATTTCCATGTCGACCTCCTATTCTAACCCCGCTCCTACATCCTCGACATATAACCACATGGCATCCCGACTGGACCGACTGTCCAAGTATCTAACAGCCGTCATCAACGGGACCAAGAAGGTCGAACGAGGCGAGGATGCAAAGCGATTGCTGGAGGCCCTGTGTGCCCAACCCGATCATCTGCGGTGCATCGAGCGCGTGCTGGCCTCCTCCGCCGGCATCCACGCGCTGCAGAACAGCGTCCGGTTGGATCTGGCACTCGGCTTCCTGAACGGTTCTGTCGCGGCCTTCCTGTGCTATCTGCAAGACCCCAGCCTCGAAGACTTCGGCAACGGGCAGTTTGTGCGCAAGGTGGTCAGCTATCTGGTTGATCCGCCGATCTTCTGGAACGCCTTTGTAGACGCCCATACACAACGCTTATTGAGCGAGGAGGCTGAGCTGGGCTTCGCCTGGCTCCTGTTGAATCTGCTCGGGTCGCCCTCATATTCCTCAGACGTGATCCGGATCGCCCAAGAAGACCGGGAGCGCCGATCGTTCCTGGACTCCCCCTCGCTCCGCATCAGAACAGTGGGCTACCGCATCGACAACTTCCTTCAGACCATCGCCGTCCAGGTCACCCCAGAGGAGAGCTACCGGCCCGGCGGGCGACACGACAATGACTGCGAGGACTTCCGCCAGATCGCCATCCTGCCGACCCCCGATGAGATCGTGTCGACGGACCTGCCCTACTACCGACTAGCGGAGGAGATTTACCGCGTGCCCTTCGACCAGCGCCCCGCCGTCCATCATGACAACCAGTTCCGGCTGCTGCGGGAGGATCTGTTGGCCGAGCTTCGCAACGATCTGCTGATCGCCCGCGGCGAGAAGAAGGGACGGCGGTCCGCCCGCCCCGTCGACGGGCTTCGATTTTCTAAGGTCGACTGCGGGGAGCCCATCCGTCGCAGGACCGCCCGGCTGCTTTTCTGTTGCACCAGGGGTCTGCCCCAACTCGCTGCCCTGCAACAGACTGATCGCCAGAAGCTCCTGGACACCGACAAGAATGTCCTCAAGCATCAATCCTTTGGGTGTCTGCTCTACGGGGCGGAGATCATTGCATTCGCATCGGTCGACCGCGGAGCGTCTTCACTTGTGGACAACGTCCCGACGCTGGCATTGGACGTGTCGGGCCACGATGGGCTGAGTCGGGTTCTTCTGTATGCGAAGATCAACTCCTTGTTTACGTTTCTAGCCGTGAACACCCCGGTATTTGCATATGAACCGATCCTCCGGCGGCTGCAGGAAAAGGTGGAATTTCCCATGTCTGACATCCTGCTCGCCGCGGAGCCCCGGCAGCAGCCGCTGGCCCTCGGTTCTAAACTCACCTCCATTGTCACTCAAATCCGGACGAGCCACGGGAAAAGCCTGCAGGGTGTCCTAGGCGCCCCGCGTGAGGTCTCTCTGGATGCGTCGCAGGTAAAATCGCTCTTGGACGGGTTGGAACAGAGGATTAGCGTCATCCAGGGACCCCCAGGTTGGTTTGGGACGAGCAACATGGCGGCCTGGTCAGGATATGCTAACCCCGCTCTTTAGGGACCGGAAAGTCATTCATCGGGGCATTGATCGCCAAGATTCTGCATGACTATACCAGCAAGACGATGATGGTCATTTGTTACACGAACCATGCATTGGATCAATTTCTCGAGGATCTGATGGATATTGGCATCCCGGATACCTCCATGGTCCGGCTGGGTGCCAAATCCACTGCTCGAACCAAGGCCCTGAGTCTCATGGATCAGCCGGCCGGAAAGTCGGCGTCCATTTCATGGCCGCTCGTCGTGAAGAAGAGGGCAGAGTTGGACGACCTGGCAAACCAGTTAGAGTTAGTCGTCTGTAACTTCACCAGTGGCCGGGTCAGCAAAGGGGAGATGCTCGAGTACCTGGAGTTTTCCGATGATTCCGATTTCTTCGATGCGTTCGTCGTCCCGGACCTGGACTCGGGTATGCAACGGGTGGGAAAGAAGAACAAGAGAATCGATCGATTCTACCTGTGGGACTCCTGGCAGGGTGGGAGAGACGCTGGCGTGTTCAGGGGTGCCGTGAGCCCCCAACACGCCCATATCTGGATGATGCCCATCGCCAGGCGCAGAGAACTGATATCCAAGTGGCAGAAAAGCATTTTACAGGAGAGTTGCGCCGGTGTGGTGGAGCTGATCGGGAAATATAATGCCGTCGACAGGGAGCTGCAGGAATACTTTTATGACAAAAAGCACTCCTCGGTCCTGAAGCAGAAGCGCATCGTCGCATGCACCACCAACGCGGCCGCCCGTTATGACCGTGCCTTGCAGATGGCCAAGCCAGACGTCATTCTGGTCGAAGAGGCCGGCGAGATCCTGGAGAGCCACGTCCTCACCGCGATGACCGCCAACACCGAGCAAGTGGTACTGATCGGAGATCACAAGCAGCTTCGGCCCAAGGTGAACAATTACAATCTGTCGGTGGAGAAGGGGGACGGGTTCGATCTTAATAGGTCACTGTTCGAACGGCTCATTCTGCGGCAGTATCCCCACACCTCGCTCTCGAAGCAGCATCGCATGCGCCCGGAGGTCTCCCAACTGATCCGACATCTCACGTACCCGGAGCTCGAGGACGCCGAACGAACCCGTCAACGACCGCGACTGCGGGGATTTCAAGGCGAGGTCATCTTTATGCACCATGACCATCTGGAGAGTGACTTGAATGTGGCAGAGAAGAGAGACCCCACAATTAAATCTAGCAAGCAGAATCTATTCGAGGTCCAGATGGCCCTGATGGCAGTTCGGTATCTAGGACAGCAAGGCTACGGTACAGACAACATTGTCGTCTTAACGCCTTATCTCGGCCAGTTGTCGCTCCTTCGGACGGAGCTGAGCAAGACAAACGACCCGATCCTGAATGATCTCGACTCCAACGATCTGGTAAGGGCGGGGCTTCTCAGTCCCGGCATGGCAAAGTCAGCCAGGACCGCCATCCGGATCTCAACTATCGGTATGTTACAGTTCCCCTGTAACCCCCCACACCGAATGCTGACCGGTTGGTTCGACAGACAATTACCAGGGCGAAGAAAGCGACATCGTGGTGGCCACCCTGACCCGTAGCAATGAGGCGGGAGATATAGGGTTCATGGCAGCCCCTGAGCGAGTCAACGTGCTGCTCTCCCGAGCACGCAATGCCCTTCTCATGATTGGGAACGCCAACACCTTTCTCAAGAGCCGCAAAGGCCAAGCGACGTGGCAGCCTTTATTTGATCTGCTTCGGGAAAATGGGCACGTCTATGACGGGTTTCCATTGCGGTGTGAGAGACACCCAGATCGGAAAGTACTCGTTAAAGAACCTCAGCAGTTCCACAAGACATGCCCCGACGGAGGTTGCATGGATCCATGGTATGTGTGGTGACCTGCGTATTACGATTGAGTGCAGCTGGCTGACCCGTGCGTGGCAAATAGCCCGGCCCTGCTTGCTTGCAATATCCACCAATGTCCCAGACGTTGTCATCGACCAGAAGATCACTCCCAGATGAAGTGCACCGAAAGGATCTACACCACCTGTCCGAACAGTCACAATAGCTTCCGGTCATGCCACCAGAGTGCCTCTAACCTGCAGTGCACCAAGTTAATTTACACCACGTGTCCAAAAGGCCACAAGTACTCGTGGCCGTGCCACCGAGGCGATCCTAAGAATTGTCAAGTTTGTTTGGATGAGGCGATTGAGAATGAGCGAAAGAAGCTTGAGGATGCTAAACTGGAGGCAAGGAGACAGGAAATACAGCGTGAGCATGCTAGACAATTGCAGGCGATTGATGAGAAGATCAAGCAACAACGTGAGATCCTTGCCGGTGTCCAGAATGATCGGGCTCGACAGGATGTCCTCGCCCAAAAGCAGAAGGAACTTCAGAACTTGACAGCCACGGCGAACCGATCTCGACAGCCTCAGCCGCAGCCTCCGGACACCGCAAACAAAGTGTCCGTGAATGGAGAGTCGAAGGCGAGACCCGAAGCAATTGCGTTGCAATCCGATGCGAAAGACGAGTGGGAGCGGCAAAAGGAAGCGGAAGGACAGTCAAATGACGCTTTAGACTCATTGGTTTCTATGATTGGGCTCGAAAATGTCAAGAATAGTTTCCTATCCATAAAATCCAAAGTGGAGGTCATTGTGCGACAAGGCGCCGATCTTTCCGATGAGAGATTTAGCGCAGCTCTCCTTGGAAACCCGGGCACAGGCATGTCTCTAAGATTCTCCCCGCCGTGGGAAATCATTTTGCTAATCTTGGATTCTGATGTAGGGAAAACCACAGTCGCCCGATTGTATGCCCGGTTTCTGAGCACGGTGGGCGTCATTCCAGGCAGCTTCTTTGTCGAGACCTCCGGGTCCAAGCTGGCAACCGGCGGCATCCCGGGCTGTCAAAAGCACCTCGACGAGATCCGATCCAATGGCGGAGGCGCCATCTTCATCGACGAGGCCTATCAGTTGACGTCTGGGAACACCGCAGGCGGGAGTGCCGTGTTGGATTTTCTGCTGGCCGAAGTAGAGAATCTCACCGGCAAGATTGTGTTCATCCTCGCCGGCTACAACAAGGACATGGAAAGCTTCTTTGCCCATAATCCCGGTATCCCGAGCCGGTTTCCTGTGGAGCTCCAGTTTGACGACTATACCGATGTAGAACTGCAGGCTATTCTTCACCGGTGCATTGACCGGAAGTACCAGGGACGTATGCAGGTGGAAGGAGGGGCCCAAGGGCTGTACATGCGAATTGTTTCCCGTCGCATCGGGCAAGGCCGGGGCCGACCAGGCTTTGGGAATGCCCGTGCGGTCCAGAATGTCTTTGCCAGGATTACAGAGCGCCAGGCCAAGCGCTTGGAGCGACAGCGCCGGAAAAAGAAATCTAGTGACGACATGTTACTCACCAAGGAAGACCTTCTCGGCCCCGACCCGCGCACGGTGCTGGAAGGAAATGCTGCCTGGCTCAAACTTCAAAGCTTGACGGGGCTCGAAAGTGTCAAAGAATCAGTCCAAGCCTTGCTTGACACGGTGCAGACTAACTACCGCCGAGAACTCGAAGAACAGCCTTTGGTTCAGTTCTCGTTGAACAAGGTATTTGTGGGGAATCCGGGCACTGGCAAGACCACAGTGGCCAAGCTCTATGGGCAGATTCTGGCCGACATGGGGTTTCTCTCCAAAGGCGAAGGTATGAAACCTGGAACGCGCTTTCCTTGCCTCGTTCTTCTGTATTATCAACTTATTCGGACTAACATTTGCTTGGGTTCATACAGTTGTCGTCAAAAACCCATCTGACTTTGTGGGAAACGTCCTGGGAGCTTCTGAGACCGCGACCAAGGGGATCCTAGCAGCCAGCCTCGGTAAGGTCCTTGTCATTGATGAGGCATACATGCTTGCCGGTACTTCTTCCGCCTCGGACGGGTCCGCGCCGGCTGATCTGTACAAGACAGCAGTGGTAGACACCCTTGTAGCTGAAGTACAAAGTGTTCCGGGCGATGATAGATGCGTTCTCTTGCTGGGGTACAAGGATGCCATGGAGAGGATGTTCCAGAATGTCAATGAGGGCCTGTCCCGTCGGTTTCCCATGAGTGCGGCGTTTCATTTCGGAGACTACACCGACGACGACCTAGAAACGATCCTGGATCTGAAACTGAAGCAAGTGGGTTTCCAGGTCACGTCACAAGCAAGATCAGTAGTTCGCCAGTGTCTGAGTCGGGAACGCAACAAGCCAAACTTTGGAAACGCGGGTGAGGTGGATATCCTTCTCGACAAGGCAAAGCTGCAGCATCAGAAGCGCCTGTCGGCGAGGCAGACACGTAGAATTGACCTTCTAGAGCCAGTGGACTTCGATCCCGACTTTGACCGCGCTGAGAGAGAGTCTGTGAACCTTCGGAACCTCTTCAAGGGAGTTGTTGGCTGTGAAGACCTGATTGCGCAGCTGGAGGGCTACCAGAATGTGGTCAGGAATATGAAACGGCGGGGGCTCGACCCTCGGCAGCAGATCCCGTTCAACTTTCTGTTTCGAGGCCCGCCAGGTACTCATCCCACTACCCTGGTGAGAGGCTCATTCCATTGAATGATGGCTGACTGTTTTAGGGACGGGCAAAACCTCCACCGCCCGACGCATGGGGCAGATCTTCTACGATATGGGTATCCTGGCAACCAAGGAAGTCGTCGACACCTCGGCCACCGATCTCGTGGGACAGTATGTCGGGCATACTGGCCCCAAGACGGAAAAGCTTCTCGAAAAGGGTCTGGGGAAGGTCTTATTCATTGATGAGGCCTATCGCCTCGCCGACGGGGTATTCGGGAAAGAGGCCATGGATCAGCTGGTTGATTGCCTGACTAAAGAAAAGTACTACAAAAGGCTGATCGTTATCCTGGCCGGTTACGATCAAGATATCAACCGGTTGATGTCATCGAATCCGGGCCTGACCAGCCGCTTTTCGGAGACTGTCTCATTTACCAACTTGACTCCCACGCAATGCTGGAAGCTGCTCCAGACTAGCCTCGGGAAGATTAAAGAGCTTGATCTCCGCGTTACTAAGGTTCCGAGTGAGGATTTTCACTCGAAATGCGTGGGCTACTTGGAACGCCTGGCCACGCTGCCGGGCTGGGGAAACGCTCGTGATGTGCAGACTATTGCAGACACGATCATTCGCAAGGCTTTTGCTCAACCCCCAGGTAGAGATAACGAACCAATCCGTGTTAGTGAGGAAGCAGTTACATCAGTTCTTCATTCGACGGTGGGTGAGCGCGAGCATCGTGCAGCGGCTATAGTGACAGCGTCAGAAATGATGGACAGCCTCAATCCACCGATGGCAGAAACGCCGGGCCCCGCACAAGTCCCTCCGTCTTTTATGACGCAGGCTAGAACAGAAGTACGCGCTCCCTCAGATTCCGTATGTCAAGATGGTTATCTTTCTTCCGCGTCCGCTACGGTGGAGGATTGGACCCGCGACCCGGGAGTGTCTCAGGAAGTCTGGGATCAGCTGCAACTCGACCGGCAGGCGATGGAAGCAGAGCAACAGCGTTGTGAAGAACTTGCTGCCGAGGAAAAGTTGGTGCAACGTCAAATTGCGGACAGTAACGATGAGCCGGATAACGAGGAGCTGCGGAAGTATGAAGAGCGGCTGAGGCGTCTTGCCCGGGAGAGGATCAAGGCGGAGGAGCGCGAGAAGCAAGAGAAGGCAGCGCAGAAGAAACTGCGGACGATGGGAGTGTGTCCTGTAGGGTACCAGTGGATCAAACAAGTGACAGGCTATCGATGTTCTGCAGGAGGGCATTTTGTTTCTAATGAACAGCTGGGCTGATGGATGGACTAGTTATCGGGATTTTTTTTGATATCTGGTAATTTAATACCTTGCTAATAAGATTGATTACCAAGAATCCAATAATGGCACAGCAGTCTATTCTAAACATAGGAGTGAGAAGATTGGGTGAAGGGATGATCGTTTATCAGGGAGGCCACATATGGCATTTCAGTGAGTAATACAATCGCTTGTCTCGATGTTCGTGGCGGGCATTGTTGGGTTGAGGGTTAATCTATCTTGGAATCACAAAAAAAGAGAAATATAACAGCTAGAGACAGTCATTAAATTCATGATATAGTTAGGCTACATCCAAGAATATGACTAAGTTTTTAGACTCATGTTTTTTAGACTCATATTGTTAATATCATGATATTCTTTACTTATCAACTAATATACAGTGCACCTGTCTTAGCGATAGACGATAACTGGTCCTTTTTGAATTGCCGGTTCAGATCTAAGGATTGCCCAAACAGGAAAATCTTACGCGTCAAATGCACCGCTTTGTCCTCCGTATCTATTGCCTAGTACGGTAATTCTACAGGAACATCTCAGCCATCAGGCCCCTCCCTCCTACAGTAACATCCCGCCGTGCCATGTAGAGCATTTACCCTTTACGGCGCCTTGGCTATAATTCTTTGTTTGCCCAAGACACTTAAAGCTCTAGCTACCTTCTTCCTTTTCTTCTTCCTTTACAATGGCTCCATCCTCGCTGCAGACTGACTCTGCCAGTGGACAAAATGTCATCGACATCCCCGAACATTGTGCCAATGGCGAAACCCACGTGGCTGCAGATGCCGCCTCGCTACATCCTGGCCAGTCTCCTAACAGCAATGGGTGATTTCTTACTTGGGTAAGCTACCATATTTCTCTCTTGATCTCCCGAAGGCTGTTCATGGATGGTCGAGATTACAGCAGCTAACACGGGTATGGCACTGTTAGAGTTGACACCAGTATCATCGGACCAGTCACCGTCATGCCCAGCTACATCGATTACTTTGGCTCACACTCTGCCATCGTGCATGGCATCATTGTCTCGTCGATTTTGCTGTCGGCCTCATTCATGAGCTTTATTGCCGGTCGGCCCGCCGACGTGATGGGCAGGCCACTGGCAATTGCGCTTGGAGCGGCCATTCTCGGTGCAGGTGCCGCGTTGGAGGCCGGTGCTGTCAGACTGGCCATGTTCATGGTAGGTCGGATTGTTGAGGGGATGGGGTTTGGGTTGTACTTTGGGACCTTGACTGTGTGCGTATACCGTTGGTCTTTCATTGCTTCTGTATAAGGCTTATGCGATGAATTGTCTGAACAGATATGTCTGTGAGATCGCGCCGCCGAGTGTCCGAGGTCCCCTGACGACGGGTCCGCAGTTCATGATTTGCCTTGGTCTCGTGGCGGGATACTTTACTTGCTATGGCACTGCAAAGATAGAGGGGTCAATGTCCTGGCGCTTGCCGTTTATCATTCTGGTCTGTTTGGCTGCAGCATTTGTCACTTCAGTTTTGCTCTACCTTCCACCCTCGCCCCGATGGTTACAGCTCCATGGCAGGGGAGAGGAAGCGCATGCAGCGTGGGAGGCTCTCGGAGTCAAGGTAGAAGACCGTCCGGGAATAGAGGAAGTGCTTGAAGGGGTGGCGAATTCTGGAGACGGCTCGCCGTCCTCGCTGTCGCCCACACGCGCGGTTATAGAGCAGCCTAAGACCGAAGGTAGCCTTTTCGACTTGTTCAAGCGAGATGTACGTGGCCGAACTATGTTGGCGATATTCCTCATGGGCTTCCTCCAGCTCAGCGGGATTGACGCTGTCTTATATGCAAGTTTCCATCTCTTGATCCTCGAAAAGAAGAAGCCTAACATGTCTTAATATACCCCTCTCCTCTTCCAACAAGCCGGTCTTTCCAGCACTGAAGCCTCATTCTTTGCATCCGGCATCTCCGGCATTGTTCTCGTTGTGGTTTTGGTCCCTGCCCTTCTCTTCGCCGACAAATGGGGCCGACGCAGTAGCACCATCATCGGTGGAATCGGTCTCACTACGACAATCCTTCTCATTGGCCCCCTGTATGCGAGCAATGCCGTGAATCCAAGCCATGGAGCCGCGCGCTGGATTGTGATTGTCTGTATCTATTTCTATGCAGTATTCTTCGCCTCCACCTGGGCAGTCAATATCAAAGTATTTGCGCCCGAGATCCAACCACAGCACACCCGTGCAAAAGCAACGGCTCTAGCCCATGGCTTCAACTGGGTCTGCAACTGGTTTGTGGCTTTTATTTGCCCAATTCTTCTGGAGAAGACTAGGTTTGGAGCCTACTTCCTCTTTGATGGATGTTGTGCGTTGACCACCGTGGTGTGTTTTTTGTTCATGGTTGAGGCTAGGGGGAAGAGTTTGGATGAAATTGAGAGGGCTTTTATGCGGAGTGTTGTGGATGAGGAGGAAAGCAAAGGTCTCTTTTGGTATCTACGGAAGGTGAAGGCGATGAAAGTACAGTGAGATGCCAGGTAAAATTTTGGCCAACAACGCACTACCATCATGTGATACTTTAGCAAAATAGATCTATGGGCTATGGGAATCGGTGATCCGGGAGGAATACCCTCTCCGGCTATCTCACGGATAAGCGGACTTGGTTCCGGCATATTTACCAGCGAGAAGACCAAAGATAATGCACGGATGCGGATATGGGATTGCTCCACCAATGATGAGGATTCCCGGCAGGAGTCTCCCCGGATTTCGGGGTGCCCCCACGCGGGGTCTATCAAGGGTCCGTGGGGGATCAGCGGCTATTGTGGATGGGTCGGACATCTACCGAGTGGGGGTGCTACTTAAAGATGCTAGCTGGTAGCTACAACATGGCAGAGCTCATAGCAACAGACTCCAAGCATGGCTCCCATCAAATCCATCGAGTACTTCCGCGTCAAGCCGCGCTGGCTTTTCGTCAAAATTACTGACGATCAGGACAAGTTCGGATGGGGTGAGGCCACTCTAGAAGGCCACACACAGGCTGTGGAGGGCGCATTGGATGGGATGATCGCTAGACTTATTGGATACGAAGCAGAGTATGCCCACTTTCTCTGTGATGCTTCTCAATGCTAACAATGCAGTGACATCGAGCACATCTGGCAGACTATTTGGCGTCTTGGGTTCTACCGCGGTGGCCCCGTCTTCATGTCCGCCCTATCCGGCATCGACATCGCATTATGGGATCTGAAGGGCCGCAGACTCGGGGTTCCCGTCTACCAGCTTCTGGGAGGCAAAGTGCGCAACAAGATCCAAGTCTACGCTTGGATTGGAGGCGATCGACCAAGCGACGTTGAAGTAGCCGCGTATGTTGCTCTCCATCCCGTCGAATTAGTCTAACAATCCCCAGTAAAGCCCGCCTCGCGCAAGGCCTCAAATGCGTCAAAATGAACGCCACCGAAGACATGAACTGGCTTGACTCGCCCTCCGTGCTAGACTCCTGCGTCGAACGCATCAAACAGGTCAAGGCTCTTGGACTTGATGCTGGACTCGACTTTCACGGTCGTCTACATCGCCCTATGGCCAAGCAGCTCGCCAAAGCGCTCGAGCCCTACCGTCCGTTATTCGTCGAGGAGCCGTTACTCGTTGAGCATCCGGAAGCGATTAAGCAGTTATCCCAGCACACGACTATCCCGATCGCCTTTGGTGAACGTCTATACACGCGATGGGATGCCAAGCGATTCCTTGAAGACGCGTCGGTCGATATCCTCCAGCCGGATATTGCGCACGCGGGGGGCATCTCTGAAACGAAGCGGATCGCGACTATGGCGGAGACGTATGATGTGGCGATTGCGCCTCACTGTCCTTTAGGTTAGTTGGCAAGTAACTTGTGATTTCTGATGCTAATGCAATGATAGGTCCAATCGCTCTGGCAGCTTCGATGCAAGTAGCGCTTGCGATTCCGAACTTTGTCATTCAGGAGATGTCGTTGGGGATGCATTATAATGTGGAAGCGGGGGATATTGATCTCACAACGTACTTGACAAACCCTTCGGTATTTGATATCCAGGAGGGATATGTACAAGCGCCAGCAGGGCCGGGACTGGGAGTAGAAATTGATGAGGAGATGGTGAGGAGAATCAGCCAGGAGACGGAGCCATGGTTGCCAAAGGAATTCTACGGACCGGATGGTGGGATTCGCGAATGGTAGTCTAGTCTAGACCTGTAGAGACATGCAGGAGAGAAATGCGGAGTTGATCTACACAGTGACACCAGAAATGCGGGGACGTGGGGGGGCATTCATAGTTTCGCCATACATATACCCAGACATGTCATGGCATTCACCTCCACCCCTCACGTCAACCCGTATTATTCCCAGGCAATGGACCTCTTCTCCCTGCACAACACAACCGCCCTCGTGACTGGCGGCACCCGGGGCATCGGCCAACAAATGGCCATTGCCCTCGCCGAAGCCGGCAGCGACGTGATTCTCATCCAGGTATGTCCTTCCACCACCACCATTACCACCACCACCATAACACCAATCCATAACAGAGAGACCCCTCCAACCTCGAAACCAAACAACTTATTGAATCCCTTGGCCGCAAAGCACCCATCTACACTGCCGACCTCTCTTCCCGAGAATCCGTCTCGGCACTAACCCCCACCATCCTCGCCGACAACCACGACATCAACATCCTAGTCAACTGCGCGGGCATCCAACGCCGACACCCCAGCCATCTCTTCCCGGACAGCGACTGGGATGATGTCTGTCCCCTCACCTTTCTCATCCTCCCCACCTCCCAATTCACCCACCCATCCACTAACCCCAAAAACCGGGATAAACAGGTCCTCCAAACCAACCTCACCACCATCTTCACCCTCTGCCGCGACATCGGCGCCTACATGCTCACTCGCTCCCCAGACCCTCACGACGGCCACCGCGGCTCCATCATCAACGTCGCCTCGCTTGTCTCCTTCCAAGGCGGGATTACGGTCCCTGCGTATGCGGCTGCCAAGGGCGGGGTGGCACAGCTCACGAAAGCGTTGTCGAATGAGTGGGCATCCCAGGGGATAAACGTGAATGCGGTAGCGCCGGGGTATGTAGCTACGGAGATGAATACGGCCTTGTTGAATGATGAGAATAGGGCGAGGGGGATCTTGGAGAGGATTCCGGCCGGGAGATGGGCCACCCCGGAGGATTTCAAAGGCGTCACGGTGTTTTTGGCGGGACGGGCGAGCAGGTATGTGTCTGGGCAGGTGGTCGTGGTTGATGGGGGGTGGATGGGGAGGTAGTTTACATCTTACAGGTGGATAATGGACCGAGTAAGTACCGAGTGGGAACATGAGGCCCACATGCCCTACGGCCGAGATTACCTATGCTGATTCATGGGGGTAGTTGGAGCTTGAATAACCTAGCCTTGTCAATCCTTAACTTGATATACTATTATACAGAATTGTGCTACCTGGAAATCGTCAGACAAGAGTCCACTGTCTTCTGGTGCTTTGCTCTTCCCGATATGCCCTCTCAACTGGAACAGTTGTCAAGCATGTCTTAGGTCCCCATTCAAAGGATCCAGGGATGGGATGGAGTATGTGCGACGGGCAGATACAGGTCCAAAAGAAGGCTTGTCCTGAAGCTTTACATAGTATGCGGGAGAAGATCAGGATTATATCCTCAAGTCGGGTATCCCTAGCCGAGTAAACGGCGCGCCTTCTGATCATGCCAATACCAGTGTTGTTTTAGGTTGGCATCAGAGACGCACAGGCCAAAACCAAGACACCATCCGCCCACAACCTCGTGATGGATCTACCGTTCGAAAATACTGGTGTTATCACCAAGTCGCCTGAGATTTCAGACTGAAACCGGAGTAGAGGGAGAACTGCAGCTGTATCAACTCGGGGATAGACCGTTGCATAGTGGTAGAGATGAGGGATATCCTTGAAACGACCAATGGCGGACGAGGGTCCACGCCAGCCGAAAGAGGAAAGGTAGTCTCGACAACGATGCCTCTTCCGGACTAGCGTTTAGTCATGATTGCAACCCCTGCGGAGACTAAACTACATTAGGAATAGCAAACGGCTATTCTCCATCCCGAGTTGATGTCCCAAGGCAACTCCCGGTTGCATCTCTGGTTCTTCACCACCCGTACAACGGTTTTGTATCGATGTCTATATCCGACAGACTCTTGCTGTTGTTATCTCCGAGATCTACACCCTCTCTTACCCTATCCAACCATCCAGTTCAAGATTTTGATCGTACGATGACGAGGCCTTGGTCGAGCCATGTTTCCGCCTCGTTCTCTCCATTGTTCCTGCAGCCTGGCGATTTGCGATGTCACGATGAACTTTCAGGATGTACTGGGTTTACCAAGAGCAGATGTCAATCACTGGCCTGCCGATGACATCAACTAGCGTTGATAACCATAAGCGAACTCCGAACATCGTTTAGGTTCCTGAGACCAGCAAGATCATCAGGGGCGTGCAGAATGTGGAGTTAAGCTAATGGTGGCTAGTTATCTATGGCTTTCCATTGGCTATATGCAGAAAATGGGGCGACTCTAATCAATATAACATTAAGGCCTGATGATCCTCCACCCCAAACGGCATGCTTCTAGAATCTGGTCAGCAACCACCAGTCGGACCTAACTGCTCCACTCAACCAGACTTGGAACGAGAACGCGCAACCGGTGGACTGGGATGGGATGCTCCTGTGCAGTCGATCCACCCCTTGCCCGGGCATTGGTGTGAGATACTGCAATAATCTCTCATCCTCATACTCCTGACGCGTCAGTCCTAATCATGGATGCCTATTCTTGATCGATGCACAGCTCCATCCGCTACTTAAATACTGCTTGAAGATCGCTTCCTCAGTTGCAACAACCATTCTTCCATCATCAAGATGCGTCTCTCCCTTCTCCTGGCGGGTGCCATTAACCTGGTCGCCACGCAGGCTATTTCGGCCTCGCACTGTACTCCCGAAACCTTTACTCCTCATCTTTCATCCAATGCCTCTCTGGTCTACGCAGTTCCGTATGGCCCCAATGATACCTTTGTTGGTCCGTTGGGCAACTATTCCGGTCTCCCCGAGTACTGCGCTGTCTATGTCAATGTGAGCTCGTCCGCGACGTCGTCCTTTGAGTTCGGCCTCTGGCTGCCCATCAACACCTGGAACAAGCGCTACATGGCTTACGGCAATGGCGGCTTCACCGGAATGATTGCGTTTGCCGATATGGCCCCCGGTGTCAACTACGGCTTTGCCACCGTTTCCACCAACACTGGACACAACTCCTCCGTGACCCAAGCGGGTGATGCACCCTGGGCTCTCAACGACCCTGAGACCCGTACGGACTGGGGATGGCGTGCACTCCACGGCTCGGTTGCTCTTGGAAAGGAGCTTACCGAAGCCTTCTATAACGAAGACATTACCTACTCTTACTACGCTGGCTGCTCTACCGGCGGTCGTCAGGGCCTCAAGTCCGTTCAGATGTTCCCTGAGGATTTTGACGGTGTCCTTGCCGGTGCCTGCGCCTGGTGGACTACTCACCAGCAAAACTGGGATCTCAAGCTCGCCACCTACAACCTCCCCAACAACGCCAGCCACCACATCACCGAGACCCAAGTCGATGCCCTTGCCGCTGAAGTCCTCCGCCAATGCGACGGAGTTGATGGTGTCGAAGACAACATTATCATGAACGGATACGCCTGCGATTTCCGTCCCGAGACCCTCCTTTGCGATGGTCCCTCTGCCAACACGTCTACCTGCTTCACCGCCGACCAGATCGACACTGTGTACAAGATTTACGCCCCGTGGGTCGAGACGAACGACACTCTTGTCTTCCCCAGCTTCGCTTACGGTGCCGAAACCCAGTTCGCTCAGATGATCATGACCGACGACGACGAGCAGGACAGCCCGAGCGGTATTGCCTATCCCCGTGACTTTGTCTACAACGACGCCGACTGGCCCTGGCAGAGCCTGGATTACTCGACCATCCAACTGTCAGACCGTCTCGATCCCGGTAACGCCACCGCCGACGACTTTGACCTCCGCCCGTTCAAGAAGAACGGCGGCAAGCTCATCCACTACCACGGGTTTGCTGACGGGGAGATCCCCACCGGCTCCAGTATCTACTACTACAAACAGGTCCAGAAGACTCTTATTCCGCTGGGTATCGATCTCGACGACTTCTACCGTTTCTTCCTGATCCCGGGTATGGAACACTGCCTGGACTCGGTGCATGATGCCCCGTGGTACATTGGCGCGGCGAACCAGCCCGGCGGTTTGACCGGCACCAATATCTGGGGTGTGCCTGGATACCGTGACCGGAAGCATGATGCGATCCTGGCGCTGATGGCGTGGGTGGAGCAGGGTATCGCTCCTGAAGAGCTGATTGCCACGAAGTTTGTGGACGATACTCCTGCCGAGGGTGTGCAGGCTCAGCGCCGTCTCTGTGTCTATCCTAAGGAGGCCAAGTATGTTGGTGGTAACTGGAACGAGACCAGCTCGTTTGAGTGCAAATGATCCTGCTTTTGACCGTGCCAGATCGTCTGGCTGGATCTTGCCCAAGGGTGCACAGGCTTCATTAGTTCAATTGTATAGTATACTTACATAGCGTAATTGACTGGGCTTTAGAGTATTTGATGGATTTTCTCTGCTAGTCTGGAAACAATCTTCATTTCATTAAACTTGATAATTAATTTGCTGCTTTCCAGTCAGTGTTTAGACGCCCTTCATCTGCCAACAAGGAAATGATTGTTGAGGCGAAGCTGACTGTGGCGGAGTCCCGCTATAGCCTACAAATAAGCACTACTTTAGTGCTACTATTCCCCAGCTCGCTCCGCTTCATCCTTTCCCACCATCCATCCCTCCACAACTCGAAAACCACAGCCATGCTTCGCGCAATAAGCGAAATCCTGAATCGCGCTGCCTTTGCACCCCAAGAACAAAAAGTGGCAGAGTACCTTCGAAATGCCACACCCGGTCAGTGCATATCCTCTCTACAGGCAGACACTAATCCAGTTAGACCCCGTTCTGCAAGACCTCCAAACAGCCATCGCATCAAATATAAGACGGATCAATGATTCTAGATCTACCTTTGAAGCCTCCTCCATCCAGGATAATACCGACCGGCAGCGATGTAATCTCTCCCAATCAATTACATACCCAACATACTAACAATTCCAGACTGGACAAAAAATAGTCTCAAGAACCACATCCAATCCACACACCCCAACATATCCCTCCCCAACGAGACAATCAATCTCCTCTGGAGATCCTTCCACTTCTACGCCCACCACCCATTCCCCCACTACCTCACCGAGAACAGCAAGATTGATGTGAATGGATTCCAACGCGCAGTTGCATTTCTCGTCCACGATGCAACAGATCTCCTAGGTACACTGGAAGATGGTGATTATTACTGGCGTTTTGATGAGGCGTTCTTCCGGAAGGCTAGCTTTTCGCGTATCCTACGGAGTATTGGTCATCTTGAGGAAAATGGACAGGATGATGCTGCGGTGGATGATGTGATGGATGTTTTGGCTATGACTCAGCCACAGGCTATGAAGTTGATGCCGTCTCCTGATCAGTTAAGGCCTGTTGCGTGGAGGATGCTTGAGGATGGGAGGGTGCCGATGGGGTGTCGGGTCGGGAGGAGGGATTTGGTGTGTTTGGTGGGGTTGGTGCTTAAAATGAGGTTGGGGAGGGAGAAATGGGGGTATGGGGATCATCTTGGGGTGATTGGGGATGGGGGTCTGGGTGAGGAGGGCTTAGCTGAGGTTCTTGTGAAAGGGGTGGTTGGGGATAAAGATGGGTTGGAGATTGAGGATCTTCAAAGGGTGAAGGATCTTTTGGTGAGTTTGAGCTTGTTCCCTTTGTGTTGAGTTGGTTTGGATTGGGGCTAATGTGAATAGCCGAATCTGGGCTTGCGGTTTCATCAGCTTTGGAAGGTTATTTTTCAGCCACGGACAGATAATCGTGTGCAGGAGATGGCAGGTGATACTCTAGCACCACGTATCCTGTCGGCTATTTCGCTCTTCATCCCTCTTTCTTTGCGGCCTGCTCATTGTCGTTCCGCATCGCAAGATACTCGTATTCCTTTGCAGAAGTCAGAGCAAATGGTTGATATGACAGTTTCCACTCTTGTCCGGGCACTGCAGCAGAACCCTCGCCCTAAGCTTATTATAGCTACCGATGATGACAACTCAGGCAGCCCAGATACGGTGGTAGGAGCATTTATCCCTGGCCTGCTATACAGTGAGGGCGAGTATCCACAGACCGGAACCTCGCATTTCTTGTTTCAACTCCAGCCGGAGTTCCGCCTTCTTCGATGGCCTCATACACCACTTGTGAATCTTATAAACGGAGAGGGAGATGGGGATAGTTCGTCTATTGAGGCTATGGAAGCGGGTGTCTATGGCATGAGCCCTTATCGAATTGGGAATCCGTTGGGCAGCGCTGGGATTCGGGTTGATCCTGCGACGAAGTCGATTACTCTCAGCAGGATTGCAGATGCTGGCGATACGAATAATGCGGGATATAAGGATGTGTGTCTTGGTGACAATGCCCAGTGGGAGGTAGTAATTCAGCCAGGTAAAATGGAGGTCTATAATGGGCTGTTCCAGTGTCCTGAGACCAGGTAATGATATCATGCAGTCATCGTTGTTGACAAATCTCCTGCCATTAGCCAAATCCCTGGCCTTCAAGTTCTCATTTAGAGAAAAGTGCACAGACTGAAAAGTATCGATTATTCTCAACGAGTGGATATCCACCCAAAGTCACACCAAGCATAAATTGGTATATTGCCCCATGGCCACTACAGCGCTGCAACCCCACCACGCTGGGGCAATCACGTGGCCCCCACCAAGCTAGCTAGCTAAGCTTACCCCTCGATTATCTCCGGCATCGGTTCCATTCCCATCACCAATCCCTCTACCTAACTCCCATCACCTCAATCCCAATCCCTCATCAACCACCACCACCACCCAAGCAGAAAAACCATGTCCCTCCAAACCACCCCCCTCGCCTTCCTCGGTGGCGGCAACATGGCCTCCGCCATAATCTCCGGCCTCCTCCGCAACTCCGTCCCCGCGAGCAACATCCACGTCTCGGAGCCCTGGGAACCCAACCGCACCAAGATCGCCGCACTGGGCGTGCAAACCACCACCTCCAACATCACCGCCGCTGCCGCCGCCTCCATCGTCATCATCGCCGTGAAGCCCCAAGTCGCCAAAGCCGTATGCGAGGAACTCAGTGCCTCCTGGGCTGAATCCTCCCGGTCCACTCTCCCAATAGTGGTGAGCATTGCTGCTGGAATCACAGTGGAAAGTTTACAGAACTGGTTGAGCGAGAAGAACAATGGAAAAGTGCCGGGTGTTGTGCGCGTGATGCCGAATACCCCTGCTTTGGTGACGGAGGGAGCGAGCGGGGCGTTTGCGGCCAAGGAGGTGGGTGAGAAGGAGAGGGGGCTTGTAGAGGAGTTGTTGGGCAGTGTGAGTCGGGTTACGGAGTGGGTGGACAAGGAGGAGTTGTTGGATGTGGTTACGGGGCTTTCGGGTACGTCTCTATTCCCCTCTTCTTTTGGTTGTTGTGTTGGATGTTGTATTTGGTAAGACTAACCATGGGTTTGGGTATGGATAGGATCCGGTCCAGCGTATTTCTTCGCCATGGTGGAACATCTTGTTGCCAGTGCTACGGCTCTCGGATTGACCAAGGAGCAGGCGACTAGGTTGGCGGCGCAGACGTGTCTGGGTGCGGGTAAGATGTTGGTTGAGTCGGAGGATGAGCCGGCGCAGTTGAGGAAGAATGTGACGAGTCCGAATGGAACGACGTTTGCGGCGTTGCAGACGTTTGAGAAGTTGGGGTTTGCGGATACCGTCGATCAGGCGGTTAAGGCGGCGACGGATCGGGCGGCGGAGTTGGGGGAGAGTTTGGGGAAATAATTTATTCCTTTCGTTAGTGGTGAGGTGGAGATGTGATGTTGTATGGGATATATGGGAGGAGCAAAAGATGTACCAATCTGCTATGAAGACGAGATCAACAAAGCAATGAAGTTACGTGAACTATGAGATAGCTATGAACCCGCTTGCGAATCCCGAGGAAGAAACGACAGCCAATGGTCTCATCCACAGTATATTCCCTTCTAGACAGCCAGACCGACCTCTCCCAATCAATACAACCTCAACCCGATAGATACGGAGATATCTACTCAGCAAAAGTTAGAAATAGTAATTTAATTGATACAGTTACGAAATAGAAACATAGGACATATTACTAGTCCCAAAAAAAAAAAAGAAAATGGAGAAAGAAAAAAGAAATAATTACATCGTCAGCGGCAGGATTTGAACCTGCGCACGCGAACGTATCAGATTTCGAATCTGACGCCTTAACCACTCGGCCACACTGACTTTTGATATATTTTATTCTCGTGTTATTAACTTATAACTATATTATAAAATCTAGGATTATTGATTGCGGTACAACGAAGATCTTCTCGAGTAGGTATAGTAGAGGTGGTTTTGTTTCTGTTTTAGTGGGGGGGGGGTTTTTTTTCTTTTTGGCTTCTATTGTACCGTGTGTACTAGCTATTACTTGGTAGTATGATGTAATGGTTTGCTTTTGCTCTGTTTCTTGCGCTGTGCTTCGGATAGTAGTATATTTATTTTGAAGTGATGTAGGATTGTGTCAGTACTACTACACCTTCACCAGAAATAAATTTCGTTATATGTACAAGTCATGGATCATGCAGTGATTGAACCGGGTAGCGTTCCGATAGATGTAAACAGTAAACACTCAACAGACAAGATTTAAAAAGGTAAAATAAAGTACGGAGTAGGCGGAGCACCAAGCCTTTGCTTTAGATCTCTACTAAGTGGGTACCAAGATCGGAACCACTAAATTTTGAGACCGGACGAACCTTATGATCCTCCTGAACTACTTCACTTCCTGGTGTCTCAAAAGACAATCGACGACATCGAAAGGTAAGTAGGGAAAATACTACAATTTATCCTGCGACATGCCATGGTCGGGTCTCGGCTGAGCCTTAGTCCGCACAGGGTGTCTACAGCCGCCCTTTTGAGTACATATTTCTCGTAGCTCCCGATGGACATCCGACATCGTCTTTGTCCTGCCCAGTTCCACCATCTGAGATCGTCATAATGTCCATGCCATCGCATTCTGCCATGACTGGCACTGAGGATACGGATTCGGGATTTCGCGATGACCTACTGCAAAGCTACCCCGATGCCGAGTTAATCCAATACATCATATCGTCCCCCAAATCTCCATCCTCCTATGACGTACATCTACTTTCATCAAAATACATCGCCAAGACATGCAGTCACGCAGAAGCGGAGGATGCAATAAAAGCCATGGAGATAGCCCATAATCTCGGAATCCGCTGTCCTCGCGTCCAAAGAACCGTCGCCAATAAACTCGATGCCCACTACATCATGAACCGCATTGAAGGCACAACCCTAGACACAATCTGGACCAAACTAAGCTGGTTCACAACGATAAAGCTAGCTTTCCAGCTCTGGCGCTTTGTACGGATCCTCCGCTCAGGTACTTCATCGACCGCCGGATCCCTCGCAACTGGGCGATGTCGGTCTTTCTATCTGGATGATAAGTTTGGGGTCCCTGCGCAGGCCACAGCAACGGATCTGGGCGAGTTTATGAGATTCTGGGGGAATTTTAGAGGTATGCGGCAGGCGATGCAAGTCGCCAAGCAAGGCCAGATTCTCACAGGAGATGAGTATATTCCGTCCACTACGGGGGGATTTGTCTTGACGCATCATGACCTTGCGCCGAGGAATTTACTTCTCGATTCGTTGGGACAGCAGCTTTGGTTTTGGATTGGGAGTTGATGGGGTTTTATCCTATTTGTTTTGAGTATGCGGCTATGTATAATTTTGATATGTATACGGGGTGGACGGGGTGGGATCGGATGCGGTGGTATTTGTTTACGTGGATTGCGGTGGGGTGGTATGGGCGTGATGAGAGGGTGCTGGCGATGATGAGATCGAAGTTTACGAGGTTTAGTGCGGGGAGGAGGTTTGAGTTGTTGGAGGTTGGAGGGCCGTGTAGAGTTCCAGCTTCTTAGAGTATTTCCATATCGTCCTGCTTTGCTAGTAAACATACCGAAAGTTCAGGTTCTCCTTGTCAGTCAGATCTCCGAACGCTGTCTCATCCTGATTTTCCTCGTCCCCCAACTCAGCCTGTATCATGTCCCGTCTTCGGTTCTCCCATGCCAACATCACCCTCAATACAAGTATCAGTGCAATTTCTATAAAGTTTGCCACAATCATTGACCAAATCCCCAGTGTGTACCGTGGTGCCTGATCTGATTTATAGAAGAACGGCCCGGCAATGTTCCCAGCACACACCCCCAGGAATATCATCGCGTTGGTGACCACTTTCTTCGTGTGACCGGCAATGTTGCCAGTCAGGATGGAGAGGATCAGGACGAATGATGCGTTGTATGATCCAGTCAAGTAGTAACAGATGAGACGACTGACCTTTTGGGTCTCAGGAAGGAAGCAGAGGCCAAAGGCCCCGGCGACGTTGGGGAGGAGAAAGACGATGGCGGTTATGCAGCGGTTGTTTGGGGGGAGGCGGTCGTTGATGAACACGCTGAGGAGAATCATAATGGAGGTGAAGGCACCGTATGGGATTTGCATGAGGGTTGTTATGACTGGTAGGTGAGCGGTGGGTTATGATATGGGAATGATGGGCTTACGGGTTGTGAAGCCAAAGCCTTGGATGATGAGGGTGCCAAAGTTGGAAATCCCCCCATTAGGTATGTTTCCTGAGAAGCCAAGGAGAAGAAATACCCACACTTTCCAGTCGAGGAGAGCTTCTAGGACCTGCCCGGGCTTTAGGGTCTTGTTTTCCACGCCGGTTTGGTTATCGCGCAAGCGCTCGATTGCTAGTCGCTTCTCGCGCGGTGAAAAGGTACGTGCTGTGACAGGCGAGTCGGGGAGAAATATGGCGATGATAATACCCCAGGCTGCACAGAGAGCGCCAATGATCAGAAATTCGTACTTCCACGAGGACAAGGCACCGCGGATCTGGCCGATGCCGTAGCCGAGGAGACCACCGAGCGCGATTCCGGCTCCGTTGGCGGTATACCAGAGACCGATGCGGATGGGCTGTTGGCGCCGCGTATACCACATGCTGGTGATGAGCATGAATGCGGGATCACTGTCAATTAGCGATGATCCACATGGTCACGATGATCGACAAATTAACATAGGCACACCTGCAGGCCTCAGCGGCACCAGATATCACCCGCAGCACGGCCAACTGAGTGAAATTCTTTGCAGTAGCTGTTCATGTCAGCAGTCTCATAAGAAGCTCAATATACACACTCACCCTGTAACGTCAGGAACAGCCCCCATAGGAAAATATTCACGCCCAGGTACTTGCCCACAGGGAAGCGCTGGAGAAGAAAGTTGGTAGGCAGCGCCCAGACGAGGAAGCCAAAGTAGAAGACAGACGACAACCAGGAATACTGATCACCAGCCAACCCCAGGTCTTCTTTGATTCCAAAGATAGCTGCATACGACAAGGTCGTTTTGTCAATCTAGGTATGTTAGATGTGTCAGATCATTCATGTCAATTTACTCACGTAGTAAAAGGCATAGCAGACTGACAGAAACGGCAGAATAGTCCAGTCTATCTTGCGCACAAGTCTCTTCAACTCGACAGGCTCTGCTGATTGCAGTTCGCCATCTGCCAGAAGGGCCAGTGCCGTATCTCCATGGTTGACTTTGCTTGGATGAATATCCTCAACTTGAGAGGGAGACCGCTTGGGAGCACCCGTCGAACTTTCTGTAGCCGTAGCCATGTTGACAATGAGCGATGAGGAGAGAATGAGGGGTCAACCGGCCGATGTATACAGCCAAGACAGTCATTAGCGTGGGGGATCGGCATCGTGCAGGCGGATATTTCTCCGCATTCTGACCGCTAATCCGGGGTCGTCTCCATCGACCGGCGAAACAATTGCTTCAATTTTGACCCTTCTCATACGCATCCAGAAACACATCATGTCGTCTTTGACTCGTGAAGAAGTTGAACAGCACTCGACACGCGAATCGTGTTGGGTGGCCGTCCACGGTTCTGTTTACGATGTCACTGGTTAGTTCCAATTGAAATGCAATCTCGTGTACTCACCCCAACAGATTTCCTCGATTCGCATCCTGGTGGTGTGAGTGTTATCCTCCGTTGCGCTGGCAAAGACGCTACAGCCGACTTTGACTCAGTTCACGACAAAGACGTTCTGTCGCAAGCCCTGGCTCCGTCTGCCCTCAAAGGCGTTGTCCACCCTGACACTCTGGCAAAGTCATCCAGGCCTCCTCCTAAACCTTCAGCAGCGGAAGAGAAAGCTCCGCCCCCGTTAGCAAGTTTAATCAATTTACACGATTTTGAAAAGGTAGCCCAGCAGTATCTCCCCCCTCACGCATGGGCATATTATTTCTCAGGGGCAGACGATGAAATCAGCAAACGCCAGAGCCAAAAGGCTTACCAGAAGGTGGCGCTTCGACCTCGAATTCTTCGTAGTATCCGCAGTTTGGATACTACTACGTCGATCCTGGGCAAGTCTGTCTCGTTGCCGGTCTACATGAGTCCCACGGGAATTGCCAAATTTGCTCATCCGGATGGCGAGTGCGCCCTGGCTGTCGCGGCAGGCCAGGAAGGACTGGCGCAGGTGCTGGCCAATGGATCCAGCATGTCCATTGACGCTGTGCGAGTGGCTGGAACACACCACGAGAAGCCGCTTTTCCAGCAGCTGTACGTCAATAAAGATATCAAAAAGTCAGAAGAAACAGTCCGACGGGCTGTAAAGGCCGGCGCTAGTGGGATCTGGATCACGGTTGACTCCCCGGTGGTGGGAAAGCGGGAAATGGATGAGAGGTTGAATCTCGAAGTTCAGGTAAGACGCCATCTGAGTCATAGAAATGAATCTAACACATGCAGGCGCGAGACTCATCCGCAAAAGGACAAGGTGTTGCAAAGACAATGGCCAGCTCCATCTCGCCGTTCATCGACTGGGAGATCCTCTCATGGCTTCGAAAGCTTACCGATCTGCCAGTGGTGATCAAGGGCGTCCAGTGCGTGGAGGATGCAGTACTGGCATACCAACATGGGGTGCAGGGAATTGTCCTTTCTAATCACGGAGGGAGATCCCAGGACACGTATGATCTCTCATCTATTATAGTGCCACGCTAACACTAACAGCGCCCAACCACCGCTGGTCACACTGCTGGAGATCCGACGGTATGCGCCATTCCTGATCGAAAGCCACATGCAAATATTCATCGATGGAGGCATCCGACGGGGGACCGACGTGCTAAAAGCCCTTGCCTTAGGAGCGACAGCAGTAGGATTGGGACGGCCATTTTTGTTCAGTCTGTCCGCGGGCTATGGAGCTGAGGGAACACGCAGGGCCGTTCAGATCTTGCGACAGGAGATTGAGGCAAACATGGTGTTTTTGGGGTGACCCGGTTGTCCGAGTTGGGACCTCACTTGGTGAATGCAACGAGGCTAGAAAGAGATGTGGTTGGCTCAGTGAAGCTATAAGATTCTTATGTGCAATGCAGGCATAAACCCAACACTAAGAAATGGAGAGTTGGAGAGGGGAGAGTAGCAATCCGATGGGCTGACCGAGCGAGCTAGAGCGTAAGCACTAAGCCGGTTGTGTCGGCGGGCTTATCGAGGCCATTCAAATGGCGCAAACACCGGCACTAAGGCACCCACGGGGCATCGGCCGCTAAGCATCCGAGGCGTGTAACGATTCCCATGCTTGTTCCTGGCACTATCGCCTAATCACCCCTCCAAGGTCCCGGTTCAAACTATTTGAACCCCCCACCCCCCTTCTTCCCATCCTCATTCAATTTACCTTCTCAACCCAATAACATCTATCCCAATGACTTCCCCAATCCCCGCCCCGTTCGGCACATGGGAAAGCCCCATCACGCCCGAAACCGTCACCTCGCAAGGCATCACCTTTTCCGCCGTTGCTACCACAGTTCGTTCCTCTCCTCCACATCACCATGCTACGCTAACTGACTCCTTCCAAGCCTGATGGCACTATCTATGTCGCCGAAGGTCGTCCAGCTGAAGAAGGCCGCTGCTGTATCGTCGAATGGCGCAACGGTGAACCCCGCGACGTGCTGCCTAAAGAGTACAGTGCGCGCACCGCAGTCCACGGCTACGGCGGAGGAGCTTTTGCCACCATCTCGAATGGAAATATCGTCTTCCACGACTGGAAGACCCACGGGGTGTATGTTCTCGACCCCGCCGCCGGCAGCGTGACAACTGCTGTCGAACCAGACCCCAAGATCTACTACGCGGATTTCAATGCGCACCCGCAGAAGCCCGAATGCATCCTGGCCATCCGGGAGGACCAGCGCTCCGGAGAAGTAATCAATGAGCTCGTCCTGATCAATAGCGTCGAGAAAACGGTCAAGGTTGTGGTCTCTGGAGCGGACTTTTACTCCCATGCGAGGTTTAACCCCGCTGGGGATCGGGTCTCGTGGATCCAATGGAACCATCCCGATATGCCATGGACGGGAACCGAGGTCTTCGTTGCATCGTGGGTTGATGGGGCACTGGAGAAGCCTGTTAAGCTTGCTGGTCAGGCTGGCGAGGAGAGTATTACCCAGCCCCGTTGGGGCCCTGATGGAACACTGTTTTTCGTGTCGGACCGTAGTGGCTATTGGCAGTTCTACCAATGGAGTCCTGACAGTGACAAGCCACGCGCCATTGTCATTGAGGGTCTGGAAAAGGGCGAGTTCGGTCATCCAGATTGGTTTCTTGCAAGGTACTCCTTTCCTCATTACCAATGATTCCCAACTAATCTCCCTAGCTGCACCTATGTCCTCCCCAACCCCGACACCATCGTCGGCGCCTGGACGCACGAAGCTGCCGAACGCCTCGTCATCATCGACCTCAAAACCAACACTTATACCTTCCCCTCCCACGTTGCCCCTCTCACCGGAATCCGCGACAGCTCCGTCGCCCTAACCTCCCCCACCAGCATCGCGGTCATTGCCAGCACCCCAACCTCCCCCAGCACCGTCTACCACGTCTCCCTAACCACCGACACCACACCCACCATCCTGCGCTCCTCCACTAATCTCACCATTCCTGAATCCTTCTACTCCCACGCCAAGCACATCTCCTTCCCCCGCACCACTCCCACCCACCTAGACACTCAGTCCCACGCTTTCTTCCTCCCCCCCACAAACCCCAACTACACCAGCCCCCCAGGCAAGCTACCCCCTCTTATCATCTCCATCCACGGCGGGCCCACCGCACACTCCGACCCGGGCCTCACCATGATGTGGCAATACTACACAACTCGGGGCTACGCCGTAGCCTTTCTCAACTACGCCGGATCCTCGGGCTACGGGCGCGCCTACCGCACCCTGCTGAACGGATCCTGGGGTCTCCTTGATGTTCACGATGCCGCCGACTGCGCTCGGTACCTCATCTCCACCGGCCAGGTGCACCCGTCCCATGTCGGCATTACTGGAGGCAGTTCAGGCGGATACGCCGCCCTCCAAGCCATCTGCGATTTCCCATCCCTCTGGGCCGCCGCGATCAGTATCTCCGGTATCAGTGACGTGGAGGCTCTAGTCGCCGACACGCACAAATTCGAGAGCCACTACGCATTCCGTCTACTGTTCGATGACAACGTGCCCCAAACAGAGGAAGAGAAGCGGACAGTATATCGGGCCCGGAGCCCGCGGTTCAAGGCCGAGAACATCAAGGCCATGACATTGTTGTTACAGGGAACAGAGGACGAGATCGTGCCCTTGAATCAGGCACAGGCAATGGCAGATGACGTCCAGCGGAGTGGTGGTGTAGCCAAGCTGGTGATTTTCGAGGGCGAGGGACACGGGTTCCCGCGCAAAGCGGAGAATGGGTTACAGGCTATGAAGGAGGAAGAGGATTGGTGGAGGGAGAGTTTGGGGGAGAAGCAGTAAATATATCGCCACATTTTAGTATATCATGGGGCGAGATAAACTCGTATATAATAAAATGAATAGTTGACTTCCAATGATTATTCCTGAGAAAAAAGCATTCTTAGTAGAGTTGATGCAGGTGGATGGCATCTACCTATTGCCGGTTGCGTTGCAGGCTCCCTTTTTCTGCCACCGCCAAATTGAACACTTTTCGCCGAAACTTTTTCGGGCCTGTACTTTCTTAAATCCGCTTATTTCCGGGGCTTTTCATGCGAGGTTCGATCGGTTCTGCCGCTGTGGGCGGTGGGGAAAGCGGTCTGGGATCCCTTCTCTGCCACTGTCAAATTGAACACTTTTCGGCGAAAGTTGTTCAGGCCTGTACTTTCTTAAATCCGCTTATTTCCGTGATTTTTGACGCGAGGTTCGATCGGTTCTGCCGCTGTGGGCGGTGGGAAGGGCGGTCTACTCCCTACCGACGTACCTATCTATCTATCTAGTACAATAATAATAAGAGTAATAGTGCATGCCCCGCCTACCTAGCTACATGTAAGGTGGTTGATGTATCCCATGGAGTAGCAATATACTTTACTACCGTTTCTGTTTATTCCATTCTGTTATATGCTATCAAGAAGAAGAAGCCTCTTTTCGTTGTTTTGCAGTTCGGGTCGGGGATGATTCCCGGGTGTTAATGGACAGCTGATTGGTCGGCTATCTATCTAATAGTAGTATCTAGCACTCCACTTATTTTGCGTATAAACAAGCGCACGATCCTCAGTACTATGAGGGTTGATAAAAACACAAAAAATGCTCGCACTCGGATTCGAACCGAGGATCTCATGATTACTAGTCATGCGCTTTACCAACTAAGCCATGCGAGCGGATTGATGACTCCGGGGCAGATAATTGACAATATCAGAGTAAATAGAAAGTAGTAAGGTGGTCATTAATGATGACGGTTCAACTTGATGCTGCTATCTGTTCTCTAATACAAAGTACCATCTTCTTGAACAATGTATAGGCGGGGTTTATGGTCGAGACCGCATCTACTTCCCCGTCACAACAACAACATCTTCTTCACCCTCGGCCTCATCCTCGACTCTTGCATGCACGCCCTTCCTTCGCCAAGCAGCCCACACCCCAATGGTACACACAATCAAGCTCAGCGCACATGCCAATGTAAACGCATACCCCTTCGTAAACCGGGGCCCCTCGACTGTCGGAAACACCAGCAATGGCGTCCAAGCCGTGGTAGACTGCGCCACCGCATTGATCGCAACCAGCACCACCGCCCGCTCCTGCGGCGAGTACCGCAGCTCGGTATTCACCCACCCGTACAGTACGCTCGACATGGCCACTGAGGCATAGATTGTCGAGAAGGCGAACCACTTTGCTGACTCCGGGACGTCCCAGATCGTCAGGATAAGCAGCCCCAGGCTATTCCACGTGTGGGCGAGCACGATGGCCCATTCGGGACCCAGGCAAAGGTCGGAGAGGAAGCATACCAAAAGGGTGTAGAAGATGCCTAGGGCTGGGGCAATGGCGGAGAGGTTGTTTAGCGTGGCGGTGCTGAAGCGGTTAAGGGATTTCAGCCAGAGGAGATATCCGCCCGCGGAGGTCTGGAGGCCTGCGTTCCAGAACAAAATGTCGAGGACAAGGAATATGTAAAACCTGCGATTCTGGAGGAGAGATTTCACCGTGTGCAGGATTGAGATGCCACTGATCGTGAAGCGGTGACCCGTGCGCTCGAGCCGTTCGCGGCCGCGTTGAATGTCCTCCTTGCGCATGATGAGACGGTTGGGCTTGTCAGGGGTGCCGGGTAGGACGAAGAATCCCAGGATGCCGATGGGTATGGTGATCACCGCGCAGATGATGAACATCCAGCGCCAGCCGGCTAGACCAGCGACTCCGTCTAGACGGGACGAGGCCCCGGCTTGGATGAGGCTGGCCGTCAGCGTACCTAGGGTGAGGCCCACGTAGAAGCAGCCACCGCGACGGGCGATTTCGTCTCCGCGATACCATGCACCAAAGATATAATGCATGCCGGGGAAGAATGCCGCCTGTGAAAAGGGTGAGATGGGAACCAAGGTGCAGGGTGGAAGGTTGACCCACCTCGAACCATCCCACCAGAAACCTGTAGGCCATCATCTCACTATACGAGGCGGCCCGGTACTGCAGGAGAGTGAAAACCCCCCATAAAATATCCATGATGGGGATAAGCCACGAGATGGGCACGCGGGTGAAGAGATAGGCAAAGGGAAGCTGGCCGACCACCGCACCAACGGTGTATATTGTCTGCAGGTTTACCAGGTCATCACCGCGTAGACCGATGTCTTCTTGCATTCCCGATACATAGGCATTGTCTGATAGCGAGAAGTTAGTTATGATAGACGATGGAGCACGGCGGACTCACTCAGGTTCGCCTGGTCAATGTATTTCGTCCAGTAGGACAGAAAGGCATAGGGAACAATGAGGGCATCGAGCTTAAGGATCAATTTCCGATCTTCACGACTATCCTCCTCGGAGAACCAGCGCATGTGGTACCATCGACGCTGTTTGGGGGAGGTCATTGTGACAGTGTTGTTGCTGACAATCAGCCCCTACGGTCGGGTTTATAAGAACCTTATCAGCGGCAGATGAATGTCACCATTATTGAAGGGATATGCAACATGGCGATCTGTGAGATGTTGCTGATACGGAACTCGTCCGCATTGCTTGGCTGCAGATATAGATATGGTTGCTTGCGGATTGTGTTAAGAGGAGGTGATAAGGCGTGCTCGGTCGCTGGTCAGTCGAGCATCTTTCTACAACTCCCAGCCTCATCATCCCCGCCATTCTCGCCATCCTAGCGATTCTATAAGATGCACATAAATGGCGAAGTTCTTATGGAAACAGGCGTTTTAGGGCGACCATGGCCCCCGATGATTGATGCTCAAGACACGAGGATTGAAGCTTATCTGACTTTCCTCCTGTCAGAGGTCTGTATCCAGACCAGGAATTAGCTGACTGTCACGCAAGAAAGCGGGGCTTTCATGACATCTCCATGGATTGACAGCAAGCATGCTCGTGGCCAGAACATGATTAGAACGAGGGGAAGCTGGGTCACTCAATTCTAGGGGCGATGGCGTAATCTCAGTGAGGGGGGAGGAACATGCCAAGTCACATGAGGAACTGCTTGATAAATGATAATCTGCTGCTCAGTGATAGATCATTCACAGAGGAACAAATGAGGGAGCATTGTCACCTGATCCCCCTGCACCTTCCTCATGCATGATACTACAATACCTTTATAGTTGCGCTCCGCTCGGTAAGATGATCAATTTCACAATCTTGTACCACGTAGCTACCAAACCTACTATATGCAACTATATAAATCAACCTTCATCAACGAGGGACTGATACACAATCCATGCTTCAACCAAAGCCCGTACACTGAACGGAATTATCGGAAACAACTGTCAGGGCTGCTCTCTAGGTGCGCTTCTAGGGACGGAGCCCCTGCCAGACTGTAGACAACTACACCATCTGGCAAAAGACTAGGATTCTGAGCCACTAGGCTCAGGTGCGCATCCCTTATAAGCTTGACCCTCTAAGGACTGTCCCACTAGGGGCCGTCACACTATGAAACTATGCCGGGCCACGACAGCATGACAACATAGCAAGCAGACCATTGGGTACATTCCGGACCGTTCAATCACCTCAGGTCATTGATCTTACCAAATAAAATTCTGCATAGACTGACTTTCACAATTGCTGTTGATCGAGGAAGAAGTTGCCCCTTACCTCAGCTCCTTACGAGTAGCCGCCGGCCCGAGCTCGAATCGCGGGGTAGTATCTTTATATATAAGACTTTGTGTGCACTTCACGCTGTTCAGAAATTTTTTAGCCTACAGTGTAGAACAGCCGCTGCAATGACCACACCAGAGCGAAAATACTACCTTGTGACTGGCGCAAGTCGAGGTGAGTATCTCCTTGGTTGTATCATGATAAGGAGACTATCCTGATACGCTTGGTTATAAACAGGTCTCGGTATCGGATTAGTACAACAATTACTTGGCCGCCCCGAGACCACAGTTATAGCAGCTGTCCGTGACATTGAGTCGGCAAGCCCACGCCTTCTCGCCCTTCCCAACGAAAAGCAAAATACATTGATCATTGAAAAGCTCGACAGCGCAAATGATGACGACGCTTTAACCGTTTTGGAGTCGCTGAAAGAGATACACCAAATCCCCCATCTTGATGTGATTATTGCCAACGCCGGGATGTCACAAGAAAAGGCTTCTGCAGCCGTGGTAAGAAAGCAGGCTATGAGAGATCATTTCAATGTCAACGCGATAGCAGTATTGTTGCTTTACCAGGCAACAAAGCCTCTTCTCCGATCCGGTGGAAAGTTTGTCGCCATCTCGTCGACATCTGGATCAATCCTCGATGTGGCTGCTAGGCCAAGTTCGAATATCGCATATGGTTCCTCAAAGGCCGCGTTGAACTACATTATCCGCAAAATCTATTTCCAGGACAAAGATCTGATCACCTTCCCCGTCCACCCAGGGTAACACCCCTCTCTCCATTGGAAGAAAGATGGTATAGATTAACCTGAATACGCAGATGGGTGCAAACCGACATGGGCAACAGTTCGGCCAGAAAGCAAGGCCTAGAGCAGGCTCCAGTAACTGTAGAGGAGTCCACGCGAGGGATCCTCGACTTGGTGTGTCCCGCCCTTAGATGCCATCTAGAAGCGTGCAAAAAAATTAACAGCTAAACAGATCGATAACGCCACCAGAGAAAACTCGAACCGATTCCTCGACTACAATGGGGATGAAGTACCATGGTCGACTTGTATTTCATACCTCCTCGATTTGGCCATCGAGGTTGTGTCTAGAAATGTTGTTGTTTATAATCTACACCAACTACGCACTCTGACTAAGAGTATGATAATTAATCATAGGGTCTAGAGTGATCGTCAAGCGGTCGTCTACGTTTGCTGTTCATTCGTAGGACACTCTTCATTCCCATTCTATCTCAATGTTGTACAATTCTGTGAATTTGTTATGCGTCTGTCACGACCTGATTGTAAGGCTAGATGCAGTGATACCCAATTGACTCTCTACAATCCAAGCCACGTTTGACTAGGAACACACAAGAGAAAACTAGCTCCGGGACGTAGCCCTGCCCGCAGCTGTTGCCAATATAGAGGTTGAATGTAACATAATTCACTAGTAATTAAACATCATCCGCACAAAGGTTACACTCACCACTTTAATTTCATCCGGCGAACCTACACTATGCTGACATTCGAGGCCCCTGGTCAAAGCATCGTTCCGCGACGTATGCTATGGTCTCCTCAACGTTATGCGAAGCCTTTTGCCCGACGGTTCATCAATAGCTGGCTAAGCGGATGGCTTTTCAACGGCGTAGTCAACTCCAGTGGCAATCTGGTGATCGCATAAGCAGATATTTATGTATACAGTCCCCCACAAGACAAACACATCCAAACCTCATCCTACAAATCCCCTCCCCACCCCCTCCCTCCCTCTCGGGACACTACCATCCCAACAACAAAACACCCCCACGCCGCCAAATCAACCGTCCAAGTCCGCACCCGATGAACCGCCAACCACCCCTCCAGATCCCTCGTCGACTCACCCCGGGACTTATCCTCCGCGATCGCATGCACTTTGGGTGCAATAGCCGGCACAAAAAGCAGATGACTAGCGGCGAACGCCGTACCGGCAACATACCACGACCAGGATGGTGACTGGCGGGGTTGCATCCGAATATTCCATCCTCCGCCTGTCAGGGTCAGGGCTAGAAGGCCCAGGACACGCACGACGCCGCGGCGGAAGAAGACGCCAAAATAGGATGGGAGGAGTGTCTCGCTGTGGGGACGGTGGGAGGGATGAAGGAAGATATTGAGGAAGAAGTCTTGGTCGAAGGCGAACCAGAGGGTGCAGGTTGAGGTGATGAGGGGGGCAGCGCGGAAGAGGCTGTGGGGGTCGAGGATGAGGCCGGAGGCCATTGGGGGTAGATGTTTGGAGGGAGGGTACGTAGGGAATTAAGTAGTGGGATTGTAATGGGGAGGAGGATGGAGGTTTTAGGGGGAGTGTTTTAAGTTGGCGTGGTGTTGGTGTTGGTCGGTCCCGTGACCCTCCGCCGGGGTGTGTAGGGGTTGATCCCCTCTAGCTAGTTGTTTTTATTATGTTGACTACTTATCTATCGCGCAGCTCAAATTCTGCCCATCCTTGTGTTGTCAGTGAATTACTGTAACTTGATGAATTCCTTGATACAGTGAGCCCTGCATGAGAAAGTCTATATAGTTAAATTTCTCAGCGACTTGTATACCGCTTGTGGAGGCAAGTGCATCGTCTCTCTTCAAGATAGCGCGAGTTGCGGCGTCGGAAATATTTATCCGCTAAGTAGGCGATAGCTTGGTGTTCAACGTCTCCCTAGGTAGCCACTGGTTGAGATGCCGCCGATGTAAACAGTGAGATTGGTATTCAGTGACGTCGGATATATTTTAGGCAGCCCAGTCTGTACGAAAATTACTGGTGGACCACAAGGCCGGTACTTACACTATGGTTTGATCGAATACCCAAGGATAAGAACCATGGCGCGATCTTTCATCCACTCATGTCTTTTGTTTCCACCATTCAAGCTTTATTCACTAGTGGATAACAGTGCCGATCAAACAGCTTTTGTTCCATGAACGAAGATATTCCCCACCACACGGACCATGGATTCTCAGAAATCTAAATGCGTTTGTCTTCTGAGTATACGAGAGTGAACAAAGAGGATGCTGCATTATGATAGCGATATGTCTCATATGCTAGTGTACACAAATACGAAGTGCTGTGAGTGGTACACAGCGTGTGCCAGATATCACACGGGGCATGCTGGTTTCCAGGTAATGGTGGGAGTTTATGTTTTAGTTGTGGAATTTTCGTTGTGTGATATGATAAGGTTCAGTTGATTATTTCTGTACATACTGTACCATGCTTTTTACTTATCGTCGGAGAGCGCAGCGAGTATTAAACATGTGGAACAAGCACTTTTCTCCCCTGACCACCGCAGTCCCACCCCTAGTGGCATCATGAGAACCGTAAGTCGAGGAAAAGATCACTTTTAATCCCGTCCTTTTTCCGCATTGCGTCTTCCCAGTGTCAGTATAGAAAGTACATCAATCTCAATGAGCAAACACAACAGGACGACCTTCTCTCCCTCCCTGACTCGCCCCATAACTCACTCCATCCACTCTCAACCCATTCTCATCGAGTAAAGTGATGGTATCAACATCATTATCTCGTTGTTTTATTGTCGTGATAGTATAATGAGAGATGAAGGGATGAGGGATCCTCGTAGTGGACTTGATGACATCTCCAGATTCCGTAGCTTTTCACGGGCATTTCTGTTGTGATAGATCATTGGGAATAAAGGGTGATTCGAATGCAATTAGTGTAATGCAATAAGAAAATGTAAGACTGACTCCAAGTCGGAATTTGACCGATGTATATAACCTCTGGCCAGTGAGTGGCAAACTACATCTCCGCTCAGCTAAGGGCTCGTCATCGTTGCTGTTGTATATCTCCTACCCTGAAGTCGTCGATTGCACTGCTTCGATTTGTTCCTGTACCAGGGATATGCTCAACAAAGAATCCATAAGTGCCAAGCCTACTGCAGTGCCCTACTGCGTCTCACATAAGCGGTTAGCCTAACCCGTACTCATCGATTTGTTAACTTTATATTAAGTATCCTTAACTCAACTACCCGTATTCAAAGCCACCCCCTCATCTAAAAGCCTTATTTCCCTCTATCCATCTAACTCTTTTTGACCCCTTCTTCAGTTCTTAAGTAGACTTTCCATGTGACGTGGATAACGGTCTGGACTTTCAGCTACATCACCCGCCAAGGAACCGCCGCCATGATCCGCCGAACCCGAGCCAATCTTGGCCTGGCCCATTCTAAGCGGCATCTCGTGTTCGTGATGATTTGAGGCTAGCTGTCTGGGCGGTGGCTGTAATGCTCAGCTGAGCTCTTGTCCAGTCCAAATAAATATAAGTAAGGCAGGATACTTAAACTGAGCTGTTCGCGGCCTTGTAGACAAACCCTAAAATTAAACATTCTCATACTCAACATACTATATAGTATAAAAATGTCACCAAAACGTCTCATTGTCTGCTGTGATGGTACGCTCTATCGCACTGGAACAGAAACCTAAGAGGATGAAAGAATTTACGCTAAATACCAGATCAACACAGGAACCTGGAAAGACGCCACAGCAGATAATCAACAACCTCCGTCAAATGTCACCCGACTAACACGGACGTTAAGTCGCGTGGCAGTGGTAGAAGAGAACGGCCAGACACAAGAGATTCCCCAGATCGTCTATTACCAAAAAGGCGTTGGGACGGGCCTAGGGGACAAGTATTTCGGGGGTAATTCAGACCACCGAATCCAGCCATGACTAGTGAACCGTATTAATAGTGAGAAATACAGGAGTCGCCGGAATCGGCCTCAGCGCCAACGTCCGCGCCGGCTACGGCTTCCTAGTCGACAACTACACCCCGGGGGACAAAATCTACTTTTTTGGATTCTCCCGCGGAGCCTACACCGCGCGAGCGATCGCAGGGTTGGTCTGTGAATTAGGACTATTAACCCCGCGAGGCATGGATAATTTCGCCAACGTCTATGACGACTTCTATAACCGGAAATTGCCCGTGTATGATGACGAGAAACGTCGACAGCTGGGATTCCGGGACCGGCTTCCGCGATTCACGGTCCAGATTATTGGGGTTTGGGATACGGTGGGGTTTCATAAACCGTGGTTGTGGTCGGGGGAGAAACTCGAGTTTCGGAATACGTTGTTGTCCAGGGGGGTTAGGTATGCGTTTCATGCGCTGGCGCTGGATGAAGAGAGGAGTGCCTATCAGCCGACGCTTTGGCATGAGCCGGAGGATGGTGATGAGAGGCAGGAACTGCTGCAGGTGTGGTTCTCGGGGGTGCATACGGATGTGGGTGGGGGAGGGGAGGATCCGAGATTGGCGAATGTTGCTTTGGGGTGGATGATTGCGCAGTGTATGAAAGATGGGCAGTTGAGTTTTGATGTCGAGGGGTATTTGTTTGATGATCCGCCGCGGGGGGTGGAGGTGGATGCTGTTCCGTGGGCGACGGTGTTGGGGAAGAGTGATACGGGGAGTTTTACTCGGACGGTGGAGACCATTCTGGGTGGGAAGTCGAAAAGAACGCCCCTTGGCTATAGGCAGGTGGGTGGTGGGGAGTCGCGGCCTACGAATGAGATGATTCATGTTTCTATCAAGGATCGTGTTTTGAATGGAGAGGGAACGACGGCTGGAGCTGTGTCGTGGCCTTCGCTGGTGGTCAAGGCTGCAGAGTCTGATCAAGTTTGGACGCTGCACAGTGGAAAGGAATTGGCTCAAACGGTGGCGTTGGAACAGGAACTGTTTATGAAGGGAAGGATTCGCACGGTGCATGTTGACCAGGTGGATTGATCTGTATTGGCTATTATATATTTTGATGTGAAATGCCTTGGTTGTGTAAATCTGTATACTAGGTCCATGCTCAAGCATCAGTGATTAGGTTGACACGTATTCATGAAACAAGCTGTCCGGTCTGCTAGGCTTCATCAGGCCCACTGCTGTTCCATGCGTGTGGATCCACGCCAATTTGATGGAATCGCCGGGATTCATAAGACTTGGTGGCGATAAGGTTATTGAGAAAGATACCCAGGAGGACTCCCATCAATGTCCCCGCCCCAACCAGAGGGGCAATAATGCTGAAGACCGTAAATCCGTAGCTTGCATCCTGGAACCTGCCATTGTGCTGTAGTCGATCTGTCGCCAACCCAGCTTGAATGGCCGTGAGAACGATCACGACGTAACCCAGCAAGGTAGCAAGGGCGGCGAAATTATCGCGCAACAGATCTTCATATGTCACCGCGCCGCCAATCCGGGAGTATCCGCGATACAGCCAGCCTTTGGAAACGGCGTACACCAGGTTTAGCCGGCTGAGGCGCAGCTCTCCATAGCAGAAGCGTGGGTTGACGACTGAGTAGCTAGGTTCTTCCAAGATCTGGGTGGCGAGACTCTTCCACATTTCCCAGGTCACGATAGACGGGAGTAATCCCTGTTTCATGGCAATATCAAAGTCCGATCGATGGGCGACCAGGGCCATGTACGAAAGAACAAACCCCCACGCACATCTTGCTCGGTGATTCCACGGGATGATCGGACCTCCGGAGTCCTCCTGTCTTGACCAGAAGTCACGATGGAGCAGATAGGCGGGCAGAGGCTTGATGAAAATGTAGTTCTTTAACCAGACTAGGTGCATGTCCATTTGCTCTGTTACGACGATTTCTCGTGACATGACGATCTGGTGGTGCAGTGGTCGCGGAGGCATCGGGCGACCACATATCCTCAGCAATCCTTGAATCTCATTCAGTCGTGGAACCAATAAATCCTGGTCGAGAAACGTTTCCACCCCGTTCTCAGCCGCGTGGGGAGCCAGAATGCGATCATCCTTGGTTCGAAAGGAAGCCGGAAGCAAATCCGTTAGTGATACCTCTGGGGGAAAGAGAAAGAGGCCGGCTGGAGACGGAATTCGCTCGTACATCTCGGAGGTTCTGCGAGACCAAGTCATTGCTAAGGGGGTGCGGACAAGGCCCGGAAAGCAAGGTATTAAGTAGGCCAATATCATTCGCGTGTCGGAAAGAGTGGGTACATGCAGCCAGATGTTCCATGATATTACTGTCCCCTCCCCGATTTGTCTTCCTTTTTGCCTCGTGAGTGGCAGGATGGCATGGCTCAGCGACCAGGCCAACGCACTCAGCTTGTCCTGTCAGTGAGTGGTACTAAGGCAGGCGTGGTGCAGGTCGGATCGACCATTGGCCCAGCTTCCCATGAGAGCCGCTCCACCCTTCTGATCTCTTACAATGGCTTCGATCGTGCCAGGGTTGTCGTACATGGTACAGGAGATACCTAGTGCCCCTCCACCGGGAGGCGGTCGCCTATAGTTGCCTCACAGAAACCGATATCGGAATCACCAGTCATTCACTCCTTTGCTTGATCTATTTATTTGAGATCTAAAGCGTACTTATATGATGGCTGAGTATATACAGTATCGTGAGGCTGCGCTAGAAAGCCCGAAACACCGGAGGGACGGCCCCTGCAATGATGCCCAAAGGAACCTCAGCGTAATACCCTGTAGCAAACAAAACTTAGCCTCATCAAGAGGTGGGGACAGAGAAACGCAGCTACCGAGACATGGTCGGGCTCCATATTTGCCTTCGGGGATCTGGTGGGCCGCTGCACTGCACTTGATCCTATTCGTCGGATAACTGTTAAGCAAACCGGGCCGACTGCCATGCATCCGTACTGCATCTTTTCCGGTAAGTCCGCCTCAGATGCCAATTGATCAGTTCGTGGAGCAAGCCGGTACATTTGACGATCGACCGCTTGGGACTATTACCCCAAGTAGCACAGCGTGCATGTGTGCTTCCAATTTGCCGGTCAGATACAAATCACGGGCATGGTGACTATGCACATTTGGCAGCGCTTGCGCGCACATTCTCCCATACGGTTTAGCCAAATGCATTATTGGCCAACTACTCCGTACAGAGATTTTCTTTCTCTTTCAGCTGATGTGGAAGCCATACCAAGATATTGGCGTTGTGCTCAGAGTATATTGTATATGCAGATCACGAGCAGACAGTCGTGGTATAAAACGCTTGGAGGAACAGGTCTCCAGGAACTGGAACTTATCAATCAACTTTATCCCACAGGAGATCCTACTACGACACCATTACCCTTGGGTTCAGATCCACTTACAGCCATGTCAGACCAGCCGGAAGCATATATTGCCCTCAAGGACGGCTTCAAGGACCTTTACGCGCCCGATGATAAGGCAGCTGCCATCGTGGAGTATGGCTAACCCATTCAAAATACTCCATGGATTCTACTGACGAAGGATTCAGTATCATTGCTGTTCCCGGTCTTGGTGCTCATCCGGAGAAAAGCTGGGAGCACCCTCAAACAAAATTCAATTGGCTGTCGGATAAAAAGGGACTGCAATCAGACCACAAGAAGGCGAGAATCCTTCTCTACCAGTATGCATCTGCTTGGCAAGGAAAGGTCAAAGTGGCGCAGAATCTGGAGAATATTGCCACATGCTTTTTGGATCTGTTGTGCGAAAAACGGAAGGTACAATACCGCCCCCAAGGATCCCCGCGAAGCGTGGTTTGACCCGAATCTTGTAGGATGGAAGTAATGAACGAGCCCTCGTCTTCATTGGGCATAGCATGGGGGGTCTCGTGATTGCCAAGGTTCGTCGACCTTTTCGCGCTCTGACTTTCTGTCCGCTTCAATCCCACTGACGGTGGAAATTAACCCCACCGTGGGAAAAGGCCCTATGCATCGCAAATGAAAGTCCTGAAAAATACCCTGGCATCTTTGCAGCGACCTCTGGTTGTATCTTTTTTGGCACCCCTTTTGATGGAGCCCCGGTCGCTGGAATTGCGGCACTCTACGCGGGTGTCGCGCAGTATTTCGGGGGAGATCAAAGCACCTCTCTACTCGAAATTATGAAGCCGAACAGCGAGTACCTACGAGAGCTGAGGAAGAGCTTTCTTCGTCTTGCTGTGAAACTGGACATCAAAATACGAATCCTTTGTTTCTATGAAATGGTTCCGACAGACTATGGGAAAATGTTGGGCGTTAATCGGACTGCGCTCTCTAAGATTTTCAGCATGACACTCCCAACTGTGAGTATCAACAGACCTTGTAGACGGGCAACAAAGGGAAATAGATTTACTGACCATGAGGACCAGGCCATTCAGGAATTTGTGAGCGAAAAGTCGGCCACGCTCGGCCATGAGGAGCGCGGTCTGCACAGGGCCCACCGGGACCTCGTCCAATTCGAAGGTATCAAAGACGCCCAGTATAACATCGTTCGAAGTGCCATCACGAAAGAAGTGATGACTGGCATAAATGTCGCGGCCAAGGATCGCTTCAATAGCTTCAGAAATATCAATATGGGCCTGGTCACCGGCGTTCTTGCTGCTTTGGAAGGGGTTCCTATCAAGAACAAGTACAACGCACTCAGGAACAAGGTCGTGTGTCAGTCATGGATTTTGGAGGAGCCTGAGTATGAGGACTGGGCTAAACTCGAGACTGGAGACTGTGTGGATGTTAGGGGTCTCTGGATCTTTGGTTCGGAGGGCAAGGGGAAAACAAGTGCGCTGATGGCAAGCATTGAAACCATTGACGATCGCGCTACGACGAGTGCCAGTCAAAGTACAAAGCCAGTGGTATCAGCCTTCTTTCTCTGCGACAAGTCCGCCGAGTGCTCAAGTGCCGAGGAACTCCTGAAATCCATTATCCGACAACTAGTGGGTCAGAAGATGACTCTCGCTCCTTACGCTCGACATTTCACGGGCAAGGGAGATGAGAACCGGAAGACAGGCTCCACCAAGGATCAATCAAACTCACAGGCAAGCTTGACTGTTGAGAACCTTTGGCAGAGTCTGCTGGGTATGTTTACTGACAACCTAGTGGGGACGATCTATATCATGCTAAATAATATCCACGAGCTTTCCGGGGAGGATACATCGACCAAAACGTTCCTAGATCTACTCAAAAAAGAGTTGTCTGGCTACTGGAAACCGGGTAGAAGGGTCAAAGCCCGCTGGCTTTTTACTGGCCGGCCGAGAGAGCACCTGAGATCCGTTTTCGCGCATGAAAATGTCCAGGGAATTGATCTGTCCAATGACAAATACAAGGAAAAGGTCAAGTCCGACGTGCAACGTCATGCAGAGACCAAGTTTCAGGAACTACAGGCAGAGAAGCAGTACAGTATGGCACTTTCTTACTTCGCTGGTAGTTTGATTGGAAAGAGGGCAGAAACAACAAAGTGGGTTGATGTCACCTGCGTTCATCTCGCAGCCCTACCTTTACATTCCAGCGATCTAGAGGTGCGGCATCTTCTTGAAGAAGTTCCAGACAGTCTTGTGGATCTTCTTGACCACACATGGCAATCTGTAAGTTTTTTTGGGGGGGCGACAATGGGTGCTTGGTGTTAACAGATTCTCCCCAGCTACTGAATAAGCCAGGAACTGAAACTGCAAAAGTGAAAGAAATGCTCCGTACACTAATCCTTACCTACGAAGATCCCACTATTGAGGAACTTGCCGTTTTAGCAGGCTTGTCCTCCAATCCGAGTGTGAGAGAAGACTTACAGCGACTGGTGGACAGTTGTAGTCCTTTGCTCATACAGATAGAATCTGGAGACGAAACCACAACTGTCAAGTTCGTGAACGAAGACGTGAAAGAACACTTGAGAAATCACTCGAAGAAGCTGCTTGGCCTTTCCAAAGATGGTGAAAAGTGGCAACATGGTATGATTGCTCTTAGATGCTTTACTCACCTGCTTGACGGGTTTAGTGACACAGAGACCCTGGAGATTACTCCACCCGGCGATGAGGACGCCTACCAAGCCGATTGGATTACTTCATCCAATGATGTGGAGCCTCCTCAGGAAGACCAAAATACTTCAAACAACCCGGTTCTAGATTATCCAATAAGGTTCTGGTTGCACCATGCCAGTAAATCCACCCCGGATACGGCAAGGGTTATCAGCAATAGAGCGGACTTTTGGGTTCCAAACTCAATGACACGTTGCGCGTGGTTGGAACGATGTATCGAAGCCGACAGTAGATTTGAGGAGGCTGACTGCAAATCTTGGAACGCTTTACATGCAGCAGCAGCATTTGGGTATGCACAGTTGGTGGAGGCGCTTATTGACAATGGACACAAAGATGAGATCCAGCAGCAAACCGCCGAGAAAATGACACCGGTAAGTCTGACTCTCAACCGGAACATGCAAGGCAAGGCTTACATACAGATAGCTGCACCTGGCGACATTGTTCGGGCGGGTTCATACTGTCCAGAAGCTTCTTGACAAGGGAGCCGACATCAATGATGGTGATGGAGAGATTGGGACACCCATTTTCCTCGCAGCCGCTCAAAGCAACTTACCCGTCATGGATACACTCCTTGAGAGGCCGAATATCAAACTTGATGTAACATCTGATGGCTGGCCTCTCATTAACGCTGCAATTGCCTCTGGGAAGCTGGAAGCCGTCGAGAAGTTGTTAGAGAGAAGAGTACCTCTGACTCCAAAACAGCAGAATGATTCAGATGGCGATTCCATCCCCGCACCGTTGGAATTCTCTGTGAGTTTATCAGGGCTAACAATCTTCGAGACCTTGTTGAAGGCCGTGGAATTAGAGGGGGGGGACACCGAGCAACACTTCGCTCTATCTTTCAAGCTCGCGGCAGCATCCAACAGAGTGAATATACTCGAGAAACTTCTTCCGAAGCTCGATGAAAGTTCCAAGGTCTTCCAAGAGGCTTTGAATGTCGGCCTAGGTAAGGAGGACAAGGACATTTCAAATATTGGCAGTGGCCAAAGGAACTGGGATGCTGTGCTTTTCCTACTGGAAAAATGCGAAGGTTTGGATTGTACGGAAACATTTGAAATTGCCGTCCGTGAAACCTATGACGTATCTTCCGTCCTTGAGGCGATTTCCAAGCGTACAGATGTTGAAATCCCTCAAGACATGATTGATAAGTGTCTGTACATTGCAACGGACGAGGAGAAGCTGTCGACTGTGAAAGTTCTACTTGAAAGTTTCAAGGCAAGCCCTGATGCGACCGGACCGGAGTACGTACATACCTGGAAAAATGAACTTGAGAAATCATACTGATATCAAAAATAGGTACGGTAACGCTTTAACAGCAGCTGCACATGACGGCAACGAAGAGATTGTGGAACTGTTGCTCAAACATGGTGCCAACGTGAATTTTGATGGTGGCTGGGCATTACAAGTCGCCGCGGCACGAGGCCACGAATCTGTGGTGAAGCAACTGCTCGATGAGGGTGCGAATGTCAATGCTCGAATTTGCAACGACATTTTCCCACAAGGGACCGCTCTTCAGGCTGCCTGTGAGTTTGGTCAAGATGAAATCGTGAGAATCCTCATAGAGAGAGGTGCGGACCCAAACCAGGGGCCAGGGTATGCCAGCTGCCCCATCATCGCAGCGACGAGCGAAGGGCAATCCGATGTAATCAAACATCTTCTCGAAGCACCGAACGGGATCGATCTTGATGTCTTCGGTGGATGGGGTAATTTCACCCCGCTTATCTATGCCGCAGTCAATTGCTCTACCGAGAGTCTCAAATGCTTGATTGAAAAGGGGGCGAATGTGAACTTGGCCGATGACGATGGAGACACAGCATTAATCCTAGCAGCTAAGCGGGGTGATATAGAGGTTCTGAAGGTGCTCATCGAGAATGGTGCTAACATGCTGCATGTCAACAAGGGGGGCGAGACAGCGCTAACAGCTGCTATCAAAGAAGACAATTCTGATTGCGTCAATGCCCTCGCCAGTCTCGCGTCTTGTGTACTGCTCGCGCTTCATGGGTGCATTGAATCGGGAGATGAGAAAGCGATTGAGATTGCGCGACAAGGCGGGAGGATATATGAACAGAAAGGGGTCTTTCTTTCCGGAACGAGACCAGATGAAGATTCCAACGAGTTACCAGAGGCTGTTTCTGACCGACCAGATGAGCCCGAGGACAATCCTTCGGGGCTTGATGCTGGAGGTGCGGATGAAGAACCAGACAAGGGTGATGCAATTCCAGAGGACAAAGCTCCCGAGCCTGATGACATGCCCGAGCCATTCGATGCGAATAACGAACCCGAAAACGATGATGGAGTTGCCGAGGAAGATGCGGATGAAGAACGCTATCTGGAGACTGAAGAGATTGATGAATGAGTCACCCACAGATGCAGTCGAGATATCTAGCCTTGAGGCCCGGAGATTATTGCATTTCTTACCTTGCCAACCACATTTCCAAACTTCTGCTTTTTCTCGCATAGAGACTTGATAGGAACCAAACTACTTCGGACAGGTGTAATGAAATAACCCTGCGACGCTTTCAAAGATACGGAAGTTATGAACTAAATCCTAACCCTCCAATACATCCCTGTTCTACTACAAATGGTGAGAGTTAAAGCAAGGTGACAGAATCCAGTCAACACGCAGGACGATACATCAAACCCAATTACACAGATTCATCCTCTGGTCTGTCCATCAATCTAAGTAAACTGACACCAGTGCGACAACACTAAAATAATATACCCTCATCTCCACGTAATATCTAGCACAAACGCCCCGGAAGAAATAATAAAGAATAATATAATACTATACTGCTCATACCCCATCTTATACATAAACATACATGCACGTTTCCAGAGGATCACATCAACATATCACCGGTATTTCAGCTAGCGACTACTAGTACATTCTGAAGACTGAGGCGTATCGAAGCACTAAATGTCACGTTCATACCAGTAGTCCAAAACGAAATATCGCAGACCTCTGGAGAACAGACGGAATGAAAGACTTTCCCAACACTAAGTGGTCAATATATGGGGTGGTCGGGTATTTATTCAGCAAGCAAATGCAGAGAAAAAGAAGAGGACATGGAAAAAAACATACAACAGAAGGGATTCGCTGGTGGTCACCCACCCAACTACTAACCTCCCGGCGTGTGGCTTAAGTACGGCTGAGCGGACGGGAAGCCCTGTTCTCCACACCCTGTGGTCGTATGTACTAGTTTCTTCAGTGTTTGGGTTTATGTAGGAAGTAAAGAAGGGATACTCATACACAACACATGGAATGGTGTTGAGCTTAACTGCCCCCGTATGTCAATTCTCTTGCCGTTGATGACGCGATGACGTGGTTCTTCAAAATTCCGATCAACCAGGATTCGGATTCCGTGAGAAACCTGGAAATTCTCATCTGGAATTATTATCTGGCAGGGCATGGCTCTTAATGCTACTTATATACAATCAAGTCAAGTTGGCCTTCTGCTATTCTTTTACAACTGCTGACGCGAGACACTGCTGGACCCCTTCCACGAGCCCGCGAGTATGATAACCGAGTTCGGCTTGTATAGTATTGCTCAGCAGGACCAATACTCTGCTTCTGTGAGCAATGCTTTTGACATGTTTGCCGGCTACACGCTTTTGGCCGGTTGACCTTTGTGTGTCACGAAATATTGAGTGCCGTGTTTGAAGTCGCACTCACCGAAATAGAGGGGTAGGATTGAGGAACACAGAACCTGGTCTGGTATATCCGAAATCGAGATGTTGATAATTTCAGTCGCATGATCTTGAATCTATACCATGTGAGAGTTCATCGGGAGCCGTGTTGCGGGTTGTCCTCACTTTCGGTGTATACGCAACATCTTGGAGAACTGGCTCAGTGTATAGCAAGAGATGGACCAGATAATACCAAAGCATTGCCGCAGCTGTCATTGCAAATCAGACCAGCAGTCCAAAATCTGTTCTTCACAATCCATATAAATGTCGCACATATGTTGTATTCATAGTCATCAAAAAGGCTTACAAGTGGCAGTAAAGATCTGCAGGTATTGGCAGTGAACGAACCTGTTTGAAGAACAGCAAAATGAACCTTAAACAGTCCATCTTCGACCGGCTTTCCATATTTCACACCTCTCAAATGCTGGAACAGACCGGTATACCAAATCTCAATGCCCACCAGCAGCTCGTGATATTCAGAAGGTGTCCTATCCTTGTAGACCCAGTTCACCGCCCTGCCGGCGAGTCATAAGAGTTGGTTGCCTAACAGGTCTTCGGCAGTTTCTCCTTTCCGCCAGTTAACATTCCCGTCTGACGGATCTAATTGCAGCGGCGTCTTATTTGTGATTGCAATAGTGAGTTCATGTCGAACCCAAATCCAGAAGTTTGCGCGATCAAGACCGACTGATCGAGCACTGATGCCTCGTATTTGAATAAGCTTCAATGCGCCTTCATAGTGCCGATGATGCTCTTGACCCTGAGCTGCCAAGACCTCGTAGCTCCCCAGGAGAATGACTGCTGTTAGTGTGTCTCTTAGTGGCTCGGAGCTATTTAGTTGCTGGATCAACAGGTGTAGTGATTGTCTGTAGTAGTTTGTTGCAACTGGAGCCCAAGTCTCACCTGAAGCACGTAGGCAGAGCTGCCGCGCAGTAAAAGCGCATATGCAGCGGAGGAGAAGGTCGGATGTCAAATCTCGACGAGCGACTTTGCGCTGGTATGTGCCGCCCAGGTCAAAGACATCCATCCATGTTGCAAGGCCCTGTCGGCGCTGAGAAGGTAGACCATCTCTGAGGTGAGGGACACTGTCGGCTGCGGTATCATCTGGCGAAGAGTGTTTGCAGGCGCTGTCATGGTTGTGGAGTGGACCGATGATTTGGACGATGCAGGGACGGAGTCCCTGGAAGACGAACACTGAGGACTCGGGCAGCTCGCGTGACCAATATCCCAAGTTGAAGCTAGGACCTGATGACCCCCAGCTGGTACGCTATTATCCGTGGAAAAGCCTTGCTGATCTGATCTGCCTCTGTCAGTCGAGCACCATGCCGAGTAGGTGATGATGTCTCTGGGTTTGCACACAAGGTCGAGTCGTTCACAATTGCTGCAAATTGGTTTCTTCTCATCGCAACGGGTATGACGCGCCTTACAGGTGAAGCTGGAAACTGTAAGTATGATGGGGTCGAAGACACTAACAAGGTCGGGAAAAGAAACCATCCTAATGGCAAAGAGCGCGGTGTCAGTCAGTCCAGATGGTCCACGAGAGCTTCAGGCACCTGTTTTCTTGCGTGTTCCTCCTCTCCGTCTCTTAACGCGAGTGTCTGATCCCATTGTGATTGAATTGTTGTCATTGTGGCTTTTCAACCGAGTCAAGCAGCTTATTAGAAACAGATTGGCTATACGTCAGTTGATGAATGGAAAAGGAGACTGGCTTTGGTTGCTCGGACGCAGTGTTGGCGGCATGAGCCTAAAGACTCTGGCACGGTCAGCGTCACGTGTTTCCTTCCTGAACAAAGAGACTGTCTTCTAGCCTTGATCTGTTCACTTGATCTCTTTCACTTCTGGATCTGCACATAGCTGACACAATCATATTTCTTTTTCTTCCCCTCAGATAAGCGTCCGTACATAGAATTTGAAGGTGAAGAACAGCTATCCAGTAGACGACATAAGATTGATTGTATTATAAATGATGAAGACATGCGCAGATTGACGGATGGGTCATCGGTCTTGGTATCCTCTGATTAATCATGATAAACAGCATTCCTTTCTCTCTGCGCGCTTAGTGACATAATAGGCGTGCAAATACCCCCCCTCCAACAGCACGTCACAATTACTCTGAGAATGATGACTATAAAATTCTCCCAGATCAGATTTAATCTGCACTTTCACACCTTCCAAGGAACCCCCTCACTAAATCAGGACACCATGGCGTCTGAAATATACCCCGGTTTCAGAGGCTACGCACGTAACGGAGCGAGAGACGTCATCGGCCACATCAGCAGTCCACGGTGTTACATCTGCGGATATAGATTCTACGCACCTATAACCTACCCTATATACAGGTTTCTTCATGATGAATTTACGTACAATGTCAGGCCTGTTGTCTGCAAGGCCCATGAGCTAGAGAGCCTGGAGACATTTGAGACAGAGAGATGGTGGATGCTTTTTCGCATGAGTGAGTTATTTATCGAGCGCTAGAATAAATCAGCCTGACTCATGATAATATGTTAGTCCTTTATAACCAGAACAAGCGCACGCTCCATGTATCAGGGGTCACTGTACGCTTGACGGATGAAGATTCATTCAATGTGCCTCTCGATGAGATGAAGGGTCTGTCCCCTAAGATGTACTATGACTACGAAATCTCGGGGACTGCGAGGCCCGTACCCTGGGATCCCTTCAAGAAGCCAAGTCCGAACGACGAGTGGGTTGGGTATCCAATTCATGCGCGCTGCTGGGAACTGCTTAAACATCACGAGCTGAGCGATATTGCGAACAGAGACCTAGGTGCTGTTGTGTCTGTACTGGAAAGAACCTACGAAAATTTCAGGATCGTGAATCAGTTTGGGCCCCATTGGAATTATAACGAAGGTGAGAGACACCCTTTGCTTGCCTCTAGCTTCAGGATGTTTCGTACATAGGACTAACAGCATTTCTGCTTAGATCCGGTTCGCATCAAAGGTGTTTCAGAGATTATTATACGGGCATTGTGCCAAGCTGAGCGGAGACCGTTGAACAATGGGAGGACTGCTGGCCTACCGGTTGATAAGGAAGTATGGCAGAACAGACTCTGCCATCTCCCGTGGGAAATACTCTACATGATCTTTGATCATCTTGATGTACAAGAAGTGGCGGGTGTGGAACGCGCCTTCGGCCTTCACTCGGGTGAGTACTTTTGGCGCTCGAGAATACCCACCAAGTTCTTTCACGAGATACGGCATATTTCCCATGAGAGACTCGACTGGAGAGATCTATGCTTGAAGCTAGATCAAGAACGCACCAGCTCTACTGCATTGGGCACACGTCGGTTATTATTGGATTGGTTGGATGTGATGTTGGACATTTTGGAACGCCAAAAAGCGGCTGAATCCGAGTAAGTTCTCTACCCATTGGTTTGTCGCCAACAGCAGAGAGAGTTAATAACACTGCAAAGTTTGAGGATGTCACTTTGTGAGGTGTAAGGTACATCCCGTCACTTGTTTTACTGTGGCTGACTTATTCCCTACCAAACAGTGATAGACCAAGATACATTGATTGCGATTAGTAGGGATCGCGTATGGGAATTGCTTCAGCTTCACTACTACAATACCCTTTCACTCTTCTTCCATCCTGACCCTTATAAGTAGAACCTCGGGCATGGCTTCGTCCCCCTTACCATTTTCTTCCCTTCATCACCTATCCCTCAGTAGTGATCCAGTAAAGTCAAGCTGGCCACAAACAATTACTACTGAAAACCTGCACCGCAGCTTATGTCACTCATAATTATTTACCTCTATCTGTCAAACCACTCAATCTACAGACGTCTTTACACTTTTCACTTCATTGTACCACATAGCTCAGCTTGATTCAAGCATATTTTATCCAAACAGCCAAATCGTGCTGTCCACGGCATCAACAACCAGAAGAAACATCCCAAACAATATACACCAGAGGTCACAGTCATCCATGACAATGAACACATCTACCTCACTAGTTCTTTATCAATAAATCTCAGAAAAGACGTCACCGACTCTTGAGAAAGAACCTAGCATCTCAAGGCACGATACAGCACTTCCCAGACAAAAATCACGACCCTAACCACCATCTAAAACAATTGAGGATATACTCCACGAGGAGTATAAACATAATCCTCTACACATCAAGTACATACGACCACAGGGTGTGGAAAATAGGGCTTCCCGTCCGCTCAGCCGTACTCAAGCCACACGCCGGGAGGTTAGTAGTTGGGTGGGTGACCACCAGCGAATCCCTTCTGTTGTATGTTTTTCTTTTTTCCCACTATCACTTTTTTACGGTGTCTGCTCCACTTTCCGAGTATCTTATTACATATCAGCAGCCGAATTGGAGAATTTTCCTTTCCGACAATATGAATCCTACAGGATTATCATGTTGTTACTTATTCAATAAAGAATGCACCCAGTGATCGCCGAATTCGTCAACCAGGTTCTATGCTGGAGAGGTCATCAACGACCCGTCGAGATCAGCTACTTCGACAATGCACGGTCTGTGCCGGACAGCACAATTCGAGTCCAGGAAGATCTTGCTTCCTATTCATTCCCAAATACAAGATATGGATACAGCGGAATGGATCATTCCTTTTTAACCCCTCAATGGGTAGCAGTGGGCGTGGAAATTGCGAGGGCGGTTGAGATACACAGAGTATTATGGTATTGCCATACTACGCAGAGGACCGGAACTATCCGAAAATGCTTACCCGCGAAATAATTAAGCACAACCAGATCAATATACTGAGTGTCGATGCTGCACAAACTAGGAAAAGAAGAAAGTCATCATATCCACAACACGAGGTAGCAAATATGCGCTTGGCCAGTGCAGTGATGCGAATGTACGTGCGTGACCCTTGGCAGGGCGTTTCATGCTCATTGACGATCAAGAAATGGACGGATTTGCCAAAGGAGGGAGATATTTGGATAGTTAATCTGACATTGCTCTGAAGTTCTTCCTACCATCTAAGGAGATGCATCTAGTCGACCATGACTACATCATGGATAGATGTAGCAGGAAATGGGTTACCTCGCGTGTCCAAGCGTGCTTACAACTTGTTTTCATCTACTATTATCGGGGTTTGCTTTATGCTTATATCCTAGCTTCATGTTGTGATACAGCACAATCTTATTATCGGAATCATGAGACGGGGATAACTACCGACTAGTCCATCCGTCCTTCAGGTGTTGGGCACAACGATACACGAGGAAATGATTTTGGGATATCCTTTATTTTCTACGCGAGTATTCAGAAGGGTTATATTCTGCTTAGTCTATGTAGTAGTAGCTTTGACAAAGAATAGAACATATAGTTTGAAAATGCATCAATAATCTGACTAGACCATTGAAAGAAATCAGTGTTGATGTACTCTACCGAAACTGATATACACTCGCTAGTTCCGTGGCTCTTCATCCCCATCCCTGACAGCAACCGGGTCTCCTCCCCCCTCCATAACTCTTATATGCCAACCAAGGCCATATTCCCACCCCAACAACGAAACTCAATCCCCATCACTTCGACTCCGCTGGAATAGGATATTCCTCCGTATGTTTCCAAGGAAACAACAACAAATTCTGAGCATTAAGGAGATTGACAAATTGAGCCAAGACACTCACCATTGCGAGGAGATCTTCTCTCGCCTCTTCCTGATTAGAGTTCGTCTCGACTTTAGACTTGATGAGATCTTCAATCTTCCTATGACTATCGCGTAGGAACTCCGTGCCCACGTATCCCAGAAACTCCGTCGGGACGGCGACGAATTCTTTATATAGAACAATCAAATGCCGGAGGGAAAACTCAGGGTGCGTTGCAGCTATCTTGAGGATATTATCCAAGACGTAATAACCGATTGTTCGAACCTCACTATTTGAGAAAATCATGGCAGCAAAGTAGGAGTCCTTTGATCCGGGATTGTCTCGTGCTCGACCGGAATGTATCATGTCGATGTCGTTGGATATTCCGGACCAAGACTTGTCCATCTATGTGCGTAATCACATTAGATCGAATCCTTCGTATATAAGGAGGAAAGGAAAGAAGTGCATGGGCGAACCTCATTATAGATCTCTCGAACAACATTCTTGACCTCTTTCGTGACCCCCGTACGCTGGAGACGCAGTGTAAGATCCTCACGTCCTGGCTCAGGACGCAAAGCATCCCAAACAATCACTTCAATAGGTTCTTTATGCTGGAGTTGACTTTTCCAACTCTCTTTGCCAGCCCTTCGCAGCTTCTCTAAATCCTCGGGAATCACAGTTCCCACAGACGCCGCCGGGTGATGCTCAGTCACTTTGCCATATTTGATGGCTAGGTGCTGGAACTTGGAGAGAAACACGGTGCCGTCGGGCTCTTTGGCTCTGTCAGGGGCTTTGTACTGAGGGTTGGTGTACTATATAAAGTGAGTATTTAATAGGAAGGGAATTATGAGTAAGGATCATTTACAATCAGGCGCTCTGCTGGAACAAGATGATATAAGTGATCACCTGTGACCAAAGCATGTGTCTGAAGAGAGCGATATGGCAGGGTATCCCAGAGGATATCGACTAATGCTGGGTTCGAGTTATTCATTCGTACTGTAACTGTGACATTAGGCTTTGGCCACTTGATCTTGAGCTCGCGAAGTGGCTGGCCGGAAATATTCATTGTGAGAGATGCTAGGGTGGAAATGGTCGATGTAAGGAGTTGAGATGACGGGTTGAATACATTATTGAAGATAGCCCTCGCTCATCTGGGCATTTTATGGTGGATATACTCCAGGAAAGTTTGGATATGACGTTTTGAAAATAATTTGAGGGGAAACTGCAGCCTCGGCCTAGGCCTTGTTAGACTTTGCAATGTCCTGATCTAGAGGAGATGAGTTTCCAGATGGAGTGTAATTGGAGAGACGCAAATAAGATAAAAACAGGATTCTTTACCAAATACATTAAAGGACCAGTTACGTTGGTGGCTGCTGCATAAGATTGTGGCGTAGGTTTGCCACAACCACAAAAGCTTATGGACTTCACCTTTAGTGATAACTACAATACTGGGATTTCCATTCCAACCCCCAAGAATCCCATTGTCAATCTAATGTACTGGTCTAGTACACTGTGAAGTACTTGCTATGCGTTGTTTATGTTTCACTGCATTTTGATTGGATACACCAAGCATGAATTGTTTTGGTAAGCATCCGGGAGAGTTTGGTACAAAAAAACTATATCACATCTCCTCCCATCGAGTACAGTCAATGAGAGTATGAATGATCTCTTTTACAAAATCAGACTCATTCTCTCTGTGAAAGTTGACGACCTTCCCCCCATACTGCGTGACAAGTGAAATATCTGGCCTCCCTGTCACATTATTCTTATATGAGTATCTCACCCTCGCATGGCCTGGCACCGTACACGCTCAGTATCATTGGTAATTGCTTCGATAGCAAACGGACAAACATCTTATACAAAAGGTGATCGAAATCCAGGATATGCAACGTCAACAATACCAAAACCACCCCTTTTCTGGGGTTTCTCATCTTCTTCGGAGCTTTCTTCTTTGTAGCTCTCGACTTGTTGTCTCATCGCCTACTATAGACTTGTTCTATTCACCCACCACGCTTATAAGATTCCGTGCAAAGCTGTATTTGAGTCTGGCTTATCATAGCCCACTGTTCAAGGGGACTGATACACCGGGACCGCAGATTAGAAAAGTAATAACCCACATCAAAACCAAAAAAATCGAACTTGAACCAAAGATCATCAATTATGCTCTCCAAACATCCTGAAAAGGGATATACACTATGCGAAGTATCGTCCCTTTCGGTAGAAAAGACGGGATGGTTGCGATTCTATCTCATCCTTGAAGCGGGGCACTGGAAGTGAGATGGACTTGAGTATAGTGAAATTGGCAAGTATGGGGTTTGCAGCTTCACTGGTTGTGATGAGATGATGATTCTGCTTGTGTCTAAATTTCATCATATCCATCATGGTGTCGACATTCATTACCTCATACAGACTAGGTCAGTGTTGGGTATTTGATTGCGCTTGACGGTATCCTTATATCATTTGATTGCTGAAGTCTTCCTCTCCCTCCTCTTCTTTCCCGACCCCTCCTACGGTATTTATCAACAACCAACGTACTACATGTTTCGAGTATAATATCCCTCTTTTATTCTACCTAGCCACACCCTATGTCATTCAGCATCCACATACAGTGACTCTCCTTTCTATACAAACAGAGGTAGGTGTACTTTTGTACACTCTTGTTGGATTCAACATTATCACTAATCAAGAACCTTGCTCCGTAAAGGTATCAGCATCCACTGTTTGCTCATTTTTAGTACGTCTTTATCAACCTACAATACTTACAGCATTTCGGTATCTCGTCTGACACCATCTCTTGAAGTCTGCAAAATGATCCACCAATTTGTCACAAATCCATTCCACACGTTCATACACTCAATCCTCCCACAACGTCGATAGAAAACATATCTGCGGAATCTTCCCCCAGAATTAGTTGAAAGCCTCTTTACATATCTCTCCGTCCCAGACCAGATTTGCTTCGGGCTGAGCTGCAAATTCAACTTCGTTTGTCTGAAATCGTACCTTGGGGCGCATCAAACGCAGCTTCATGACCTTCTCCCCCGCGAGAAGCGGGTGCTACTATGCTCCAACGTTAAGAAACGACCTAGAATACAACTCCTCCTTCGACTGGAGAACAACCGTTGGAAATATTGCAGTGATTGTTGGAGTCTTCATCCACCCTCTACATGTCGGACCCTGCAATTTCTCTGGAAACGGTTTCAGAAGCGACACTGTTCTGAATGTCATCTATTCTGTAGACAGATTCGCTGTATGCCGTACGCTGGCATTGTCGACATTGTCCCTGCATCAGTATCACGTTTCGCGACAAGCTCGAATTAATGCAAATGTGCAAAGATGCCAGAAAGATTCAGGAGCCCAGCAAAAATAACTGCAACGATAACATTCAACTTCATCCTGGCAGATGCAAACTGTATGAGAATCTCCAACATGAATGTCCCTTCACCGGTCATCCATTCATCACAATCCGAATCAAAATAGAATTCTACATTGCTGGGAAGAATCTGAAGTTGTAAGTGTTCAATTATTATGATATTGAAACGCGACATGAAACTGCTGTCACGAGTTTGCAGTCTCTCTCAATGTGTCCACACGAGGACATTGGATGTTGGGTTCGAAAAGTCTTTCACGAAGGTGGCTCAGGGTGTAGGGGACGGGATAAACATCGTTCTACGCGCTACGTGCGCTGTGATTGGGGTGGCTGGACAAGGTCGGTCAATGGGGAAGGGCCTAACAGTCTCAAGATAACAATAATGAGGGCTCTAGGAGATAGTGAATGGCCAAATACAGATTGGAGTCGTAGTTGCCATGATTGATTTGATAATTCGATGACAATTTTCTTTCTGACGTGTGTGTACCATGAAGTCCTGGATTGATGCTTAGCACTTCTTTTCTTTTTGGATTGTATCACTGATTACTCCTAGGGTGTTAATGGTTATTAGTTGAGTGACTAGGGAGCTTCACTCACGTATCAACTACCATGAATCTACTGCATCAATATAATCCATGATGCTCTAGTAGAATCCTTACACCTTTGTCTAAAGTCATGGAAGTTTTCTTCTCCGTCATCAATGAGCACACAGATCCCGGTCAGGAAACCGGGGAGGAGCCCGGGAGCATAGCATGTGATGTCGAGATTGCTGACGGATCTCTTCAATCAAATGAGGTTTTGACCTCCCATACAGCCTGGCTCCCGGTAGTACGCCCAGCTCGAGGCTCTGACGAATTTTGTCGTTCAGCAAGATATTGTAGTGTGTCTTCCTGCTTAGCGATCCACGGGTGAATCCCGATCTGTCGACTCTGTATACTGGCACAACGCCCCTGTTCAAAAGAACAACGCTCGAATGATCCGGATCCTGCTGGACGCGAACGCGATTCCGCACATCATGGATCGGTCGTGGCTGTCCGCTGAGATGGTGCTGGAGGCTCCGAGTGCGGAGGCGCGGGCGGTTTTGATTCGACGGCACCAGTCGATCATGAACGACATGCTGGCTCAAAGTTATTGGTGAGCTTGGTGGAGAAAGGCATTAGTAGACCCTGTTGAATGGACAAGTGAAACGTCTGTGTTCGATTCTTGAGATGATGGATTGTCATGAAGGTGCGTAACATGAATGGTGTGTCAAACCAGTTACATTGTTTTCCTCTTCCGTAATAGACATTGAACTATATGGATGCTACAATCCAATTAGCCTTCGAGATTCTTTGCTGTCTCATTTTAAAATAGAATTTAGATTTATGATCTTTCGTCATATATGCATATAGAAATTTTAAAATTAGTTTTATATATGATTCATGCTACTATTAATCAAGTACCTACATCGGACTAATTAATAAGAAAAATTGTATACCTTCAAGAGGATGATAATAAGACATTTAAACAATAGTAAATTCCTGGATATAGCTTGAACTTGTAATTATCATAGCTGATATAATGGCTTGATTATCATTTTGCTCCTGATGCATGCACAGTGAGATCATGAATTGAATCCATTCTCTATGGTACGTATAGAAAGATCAGTCGCACTGGCCAAGCCCAGCCATCTGGCACCACTGCAGCGGATCTATCCAAGCTAAAGACTTTTATTCAAGTAGGTATTCACATCCGTATTAAAGACAGGGTTCAAGAACGTAAGACCAACCCAGTAATCAGGAGTCCATGTTGGGATCTGCGCCCGCGCGTGATAGGCAAATGAACTTCTTCTACTACTACGACTACAACTACGCTACAACTACGACTATGATTATAACTATGACTATAACTATAACCATCATGACTAAATATACGACTAAAACTACGACCTACAACTACGATTAAATCTATAACCATCATGACTACAACTACGACTATAACTACCACTATAAGTATCATTATAACTACGACTACAACTACAACTACAACTACGCTACAACTACGACTATGCCTATTATTATGATCATCACTCTACGACTACGCTACACCTGCACCTACAACCACGATCAGGCAGATGGGCAATGGGCAAACGGGCAAACGGGCAAATGGGCAATGGGAATATGGAGAACAAAGAGAAGAGGAATTGCAGGCTGGGAGGTGGGGGGGAGCTGGGTTTTATACCCTTGGGCACAGTCATTCGGGAAGGAGCCTATGAGTCAGTTTCTCGAAAAATTGGAAAGGACTCACACCAGAATGAACGAAGTTTGCGCTCATTAGATACAACAAAGCATAGTATGACGGTAGAATGAGGTTGAGCTTGGTAAATACAGTCTTGAAAGACCGTATGCAATACGTCATTCAGCTACAGCTCGTCTACAGGAATGACTAAACCTCCATGAACAGCGATGACGACCGAAACTACTACTAGTAGACTCCCATCAGCACAGGGCTTAAATAGCCGTGTGTGAAGGATGTGGACGTGCCTGCGCTCCTCCATGTTGTGCCATGCCAGCTGCACTTCATTTTGATCAGATACATATCAACGGGTGGATAGAGCCTGATCGTTGCTCTCTAATTTCTTGATGCACCTTCTGAGACGCCAAGTCTGTAGGCTGATCAGCCGAATTGCCTTTTGACATGGCAGTGCTGTGAATGCACCTCGTATTGTAAATGCATAATAGAAATATTCATCAAGATGATGATTACCAGTAAGATCGTATCCCTCATGTCGAAGTTTGACAGAACGCAGAACAAATGAAGAGAAGAGATTCAGTCAGTTTCTTTTTGACTCTGGGGACAAGAAGGAGAGCAGAGCAGTTGATAAGTACCAATGGGCCTGGAGTTCTTTGAGGTCATGCGTTCAGATGGGGAGCCGTCTCAGGCAGTGACACCTACTATAAAGGTCACGTGTATTCTATATCTCATGACTACCAGAAGGTCCAGATAAGAAGCACACAGGGAGGTGAATCGCAGACACGCAGAAAAGACCGCGAAATGAGCAAAGGGAAGGAAACTACTAGTATAGCCAAGCCTAAACAAAACCAAACGCTTAGTCTCCTCCAACCTTTTAATTCACAGCAGTACCTCCCCTGTTTATTCCACTCGGCCCACAGGTCCATAACAACATCCCACTCGGCCAAAACAACCTTTCCCAGCCCGAACAACCCCCAAAGTCACCACTCTGACAATTCACATGCCCAATATGCACATCGACGATCAGGGTCCTGACCTCGGAGTCACATGTCATCACACCTACATCCGCAAGGGACATCAACTCAATTAGATTAAATCAACACTATAAATGCAACCATCCAGCTGCGGGGTCAAAATCTGACAGAGTGACTAGTCCCAATGGGGTAATCCTGAAGTATATCAACTCGCTTGATTCGCAGAAGCACCATATAATTAATTACTGATACCCTCAATCCAACATCGGAGCTGACAGGAAATAGAAGCGGGGTCACACACACCATAACGCTTGATATAATATATACCCCCCGATCAAACAAAACAATAAGCACCTAGATACCTACTACTACCTACTACATCACAATCCAATCCCACCTCCAACCCCCAACATGCACCCCCCCACCCTCCTCACCACCACCATCACCATATTAGGTGTCCTCGCAACCGCAGCCCCCAACCTCACCAAACGCGATGCCACCAGCGTCATCTCCGCCGTAACCACCATCTCCACCCAACTCATCACCCTCAACACCACCGTGAGCAACTACCCGGGCGGCATCGAAGGAACCCTCTCTGCGCTGCAAATCCAAGCAGAAACGATCCAACTCGAAGTCGATCTCAAATCCGCTATTATAGCAACTCGCCAATCGGCCAATTTCACCGACGCTGAGTCACAGAAGGTAGCGCAGGCATTTATTACCCTGGAGCCGCAGATCGCATCCACGCTGGGGAATATCGTCTCCAAGAAACCTGATTTCGATGATGGGTTGTTGGGGATTGCGTCGTTGAGTTTCCTGGTCAAGTTTGATCTTCAGGAGTTGAGCTCTTTGTCCAAGTCGTTGGGGACGGCGGTGCAGGCCAAGTTGTCGGGCACGTATGCCCAGTTGGCGCCGTTGGTGTTGGATGAGATTGCTAAGGCGTTTCGGGAGGCTATTGCCGCTTATTAGGGGGTTCTTTGGGGATGTTGGTTGTAGGGTAGAGGTATGATAGTGTCAAGTCATGTATGTCATGTCGAGGTTTTTTAGAATCGGATGGTAATAGAAGTAGATTATGCAACTGGTCTCCTATCCTATGTTGTAGACCCAAACCAACCCAAAATCATCTCCCCAAAGCAACCCTCTCAAACCTCCCCTCCAAAAACGACCATAATCAACACCCCCACACCAACAATCAACCCCCCAACCAACTTTACCCCAATCACCTTCACAATACTCCAAGACACCAGAACAAACAGCCTCTCCGGCCCCTTCTGCATTGGCTCAGAATACGGCACAAAAGTTACCGTCAGAAACCCCACCACCCAAACAAACCCAATAGCCCTTTCCCACCACTCCGCCTCTGTTCCAGCCTTCTTCTTCGAACCTTGCAGCTTCCTCCATCCAGCCTGAACACCATCCTCAATCATGTATCCGAAAGGAAAAGAGAGGAAAAATCTCATGGCGCCTGACTCCCGCACTGGGATATTCGACACTACATCAATGACGACGTGCATAATACCCGATAGACAGAAAACCAGAAACACGTTGGTGTATCGCTCCAGTAAGGATGGTTTGGGTAGGTTGAGTATATCGCGGGTGAGGAAATTGCTCACGGCTGTGAAGTTTGTGCGCAGGGTTTGGTGCCAGAATTTTCTGTTGATGGGTATTGGTTGTTAGTATACCACATTGGATTGAAGTAAGGAGCAAAAAATGGGAGAGCAACCCACCCCCAGAAACCCCGCAACGTATAAGCATCAACCATCTTATTAAACAGCGTGGGGAAATTCTCAGGCGATTCCACCCTCAAAGCAACACAGGGAACAGCAAATGATCGATAATAAAACTCCGAAAGGATCCGTGACACGATAAACCAAGCGACGAGAGTCGTGATAAGTCGCTCTATCCAAAGCTCCACCTGAGACGAATGTCCCGTTTCCCTCAACGCAAAGTCGGCACCTTATACAGTCAAAACATCCAAGACCAAATACTGCCACACGGCAATTACCGTTTCACGAACCAAAAACCGACCTCGGGTGATGCCTCTTTTTGCGTAGTATTTCGGAAAGGGAGGTATATTTTTGGTTTCTCTGGGAGTGTTGACTCTTCGTAGATTAGCCCGTAGTTCTAGGGCGGACTTTAGACGAGAGAGAAAGCTGTTCGTTGTGATTTTCTTATTGTTGATGAAATCTTCTGCGTGCTTGGGGTTGATTAATAGTATATCGAGAGCGAATAGGATGCTCATCCAACCGGCGCCGGCGGAGGTACCTGCCAGATAGCATGATGTTTTGACGGGATGGAGCATCATGCTCAGGATGAAGATCATGCATGGGATGGAGAGGTAGCGGAGGGGTGAGCGTTTGGGTGTGGTGATCAGAAGGAGAGCGGGGATTAGGGTCTGTATGGTGCTGAGGAGAAGGAGTCTGGAGAGAGGTTGGTATGAGGACATGGTTTTGGAGACTCGGGGTGTAGAAGGGGAGAATTGTTCTTGCTGTTGAGAAGATAAGTGTAGCAGATCTGAGAGAGAGTGTTTTTATAGGTGAAAGGCGAAGGTGTCACGGTGCTAGACCAGAAGGAGCTATCGGAAGAAGTATATAAAGGGAATCATTATAGTAGTCACTCCCCGTTATATTATGGTTAACAGAATTTACGGCTATCCCTAAATAGGGCAGAGGGGTATGACCATAAGGTGACAGTTCCTACATAGAAGTGGGTCTAACCATGTAAAAGCGGTGTTTCTCGTAAGTCTCGTAAGATATACCCCTCTGGGACATAGGGCTGGTTTGCTAGAATTTGGTAATTGAAAGAATTTGAGGGATAAAGTACGTATATAAGTTGACTGTTGGATCATGGTTCACATAATCGTCAGGTTTCTCAATTATACTTCGTTTTTGGTCTTTCGTGAGAACTCATCTTCGGGCAGAAAGAAGAGCTGCAGACTGTCACTATATCAAAGTACTATACCTCAAGGTAAGTTACCACATACTATTTAGATTCCACCTCTTTCATTCATAACTTCAGGTATCTAACTTGGACTGTCGTTAAGGTTAGAGTTCTATCATGAAAAGGCCTGTTATGCTACGGACGCCAAATCCGAGAGCATGTAAATCCAATCGAGTGCTGCCCTCCCCTGCCAATGCCCGAAAACATAGGCAAGAGGTTATGCTATCCAGCCAAGAGATACCCAACAGTCCGGTGCAATATGCATTGTTCGTACTTAATGCACAGCATATTTGTCGCCTCGGCTTTTTATCTGGTATTTTTTAATGGCTGCCATGAAAAGGAACAACATGGCTTGATCCAAGCAGCAGAAACCCATCAAAGTGAAGCGATTAGAAATGTTTACGAACCCGGTGGGGGAGCAAATAGGACCATCGGAGCAAATTGAAAGTTTTGTTTATCGAGCCTTCTAATAGCCCTTCCTTTTGCCTTTCCCTTATCTGATACTTAAAAACTATCCAATTCATTGGATGAGCTGACTGAGGTCTCCAAACTCATACGCAAAATGCACAACTTCTCTGCTCCCATTAAAGATAGGATTTTAATGAATGAGCTTGGTGGCCTCCTTTTGATTGAACGATCACATTCAAGTCTCTCCAAGTCTTCCCAGAGGGTAATCAAGGCCCTCCGTGAACTGATGAGTACAGTGTACTCGCCGTCACAAAGAGGGTATCATGTTTTGGTCGACGCAATCAACTGTCTGAAAAAGCTACTTGCCGAAATAGACAGTGCGGTGGACATTGTGTTAATCACCTACATGTGGTTTTGTGAAGTTGCGCTTGGATTTATCGAGTGTCTCCAACAGTACAACAGCCTTACATTGGCAATCCTAGCGCATTACTGTGTTGCTCTTCATCGGCTCCGAACGCACTGGTGGATATCATCATGGGGTGAGCGCACACTTGATGTCATTGTAAAGAGTCTAAGTCCAAATTGGCAGCCTTCTATAGCTTGAGGTGTTGGTGAAATCGATAATTGTTAGAGAATCAAAGGAAGTTTTCTTTCAAATATAGACGGATACGTGAACACAGACTGCCTGCACACAAGTAGTGGGATAGGGATACAACATAGTTCCGGGGATCTGGCAAGCGTAAGAAAAGTACAGTAAGAAAGTCATCTATTGTGGATGTCTCATCAATTTATTCTCGAATTTTTTATTGAAAATGTCTTTGATTAAGGGGTGGGAATATACTACTATAAATGCACGTATTGAAAAATATCTCTACCTTTGAGATGATATTTCTCGACCTTCAGATGACCTTTCTTGAGATCAGATCCTCATCGTAACCCTTTCCATGATCTTGGGCCCGGCCGACCCTACCGTTCCTTCCTCCACCACGCATTCTTTCCAAGTTGGTGTTCAAGTTGTTTCCGTGTATAATCCACTCCTCAAGGAACCCATATGTTCTTTCCGAAATATTGATTTTGATTGAGGTATAAGAACTTCTCCCACCCATGTTGCCTTCTCTCTTCTCGTTTTTTCTCCAAGTTCCCACTGCCCATTTCCCTGCTCATACATCTGCTACCCATCATGACTTGGACTACGTTAGAATACCTCCTGACATTCTGTTGGACCACTACCGCCATCCTCACCATCGCCCGCGTGGCGATCGACATCCGGACCTGGTATCGAAAACGCAAAGACGAAAACGCTCGGGTTTTCGACACTAGTGCCAACCAGCAAGACGAGCATACGCCCATCTTGCCTTCGATCCAACCGTTGTCGCCAATCGAGCTTCGACCTTTGGGAGAATCAAGGTGTCTTGGGGGAGACATTCGACTTGAGGACCTGGAGGAAGGGGAGGATTGGGTACGATATGGGCGTACGAGGTGCGGTTGTAGTTTATTTTGTGTTGGTGTTTCTTTGCTGGGGCCTGGAAACTCACTCTAGGGCGGTGCGGTCGGGGGAGGAGGGGACGAGGACCGAGGGAAACAACTGGCGATGAGTCCACCCTTCTACGTAGGGCCAGTGACTAGTAGCCTTGCCTTGGGGTGAAGCTAAGATGGACTCGCTTGTATCTAATTCAATCTAGAGGTGCCTTTGTGCCATTGCTAACCACTTGCCCCATGTTGCAGTGTCGGACATGACTGGTAGACTTGATTTGCTGGATGGCCAACCATGGCGTCTGAGGGTAATTACTCTTTTCGGAAGGAATGGATCCGTAAGTACCCGAAACCCCCACCTTCCCGCGACGGATGTTGTACCAACTCAGATTCCACATCTATTTGGCCTCAACCAGGAGCGCCAACAGCCGGTAATGGATATTCACGACAAGGAAGGCCGCACCCATCGCCAGCTACATCTTCCAGCTACTATTGTTGAAGAGCACCACCGGACCCAGACACAGCGCGTGCTGGTTCCCAGGAGCACCCAGCGGCAGAATTCTCCGCAGGTGAAATCACATTTGTCGATGTTGACGTAAAGCTCTCGGGCACCTTGTTCGTAGCATTTCACCAGCAGCATGGCCGCTCCCCGCGTCGTAATGAGCTGAAACCCCGGTGGAACCTTGCATTGGGCCTTTCACCTGGTCATTTTGGGGGATCACCAGGCGGAGATATTCGCCGTGTTGAACGACAGGCCTATCCATGATGGTGAGGGCCAGTAGAGAAACCCCGTCGCCGATCAGGCCCACAGTGATATACAGACCCACGAGGATGGAGGCTGAGAAAATGATGGCACCATTGACGATAGAGAAGGGTTTGATTCGCGTGAGTCTCACTTGGGTCTCCGCGTCTTTCAAATCATTTCTGCGCACACCTGGAAGTCGTATTGTGGGATTGAGTTGACGTTGTAAATTAACTTCGCAGAGTAGTTGAGCTCGAGCGTCATCAACCCGAAGTGCATTCCCACGACCCTGGTGTTACCGATGACCGGCAACTGATCGATGGAGTCAGTGTCGAGGAAGTTCTCTGGGGCGGACATGAGCCGCCGACACAGGAAAGGGTGAAGGCTGTGATGGGCGGAATGTGGATGACAACGGAGGAACCCCCGATGATGGCAAGGAGAATCAACACGTCAAAGTGTTAGCTGGAATCGCCGGAGTCAAGGGTAGAGGGGAACCAGGCCATGCTCAGGGTTCGAGTTTGATGCCGCAGAGAGGGCAGTCACCACAGAGAGTAATGGTGAATTCACCATCGTGTCACGGTGCCAGATAAATCCGATTTTGAAAGCTGGCTCGATGGCTATGATTTTCTCTCACCTGCCCACAATGTCTCGAAAAATGTTTGATAAAGCTGCAGTGTACTCCCTATGGTACAGACAGTTGCAGACACCCGAGTGGGGCTGGTTGGAACGCCTGCCAATTCAATCCAGCCAGATCAGCTTTCGTCGATCCTTTCCCTCTTCCTTGGCAATGGCTGATAGGGCTTCGGCATTCAAGAGCCTTTAGATCGATCGAGCCGGCTGGTCCCCGCGGTCCCCAGGAAATTCCGATAGCCTATCGTGTCGGACTGCTGCATGCTCATCTATATATAGTACCTGACAGGCGTCACAAAGTCCGAAAGAGGTGTGCTTCGGAGGCAGCCTGCTCCTCCTTGACCAGCGGCTGACCTTGCCAGTTGCCTCACTGTTCCGGAAGGGAGACCAGAGAGAGGGGTAAGGTCTCCATCCTCAGCAGCCAATGAATTGGCTGCGTCTAATGCAGCCGACCCAATGAAGACACCCTGACTCGAGCATTCATTCGGAAGGTCCACCGAAGAGATCTAGGCCTCGGGGTGGCCGGAAGTATCGAACTGTGCAGCTCTAGCGTCGGAACTAATAACTAGTATTCCGTGCAGTCTGGATCTCGGGGATCTGCATAGGTACCTGACTACAGACTACTTCTTTCCATGATACGTGGAGAATCGAGATTAACAGCAGTTGATTACTAACTAAAAAAAAAGACCCATCACGTATACTGTTACGGAGTACTCCGTATCTAGTATCCTTCATTGGACAATGCCTGTTGTCCGGATTGCTTGTTCGCCGTCAATCCCTGCCAAAACTTGTGAGCTGTCTCATCCAGAGTGCCTCCGACGAACAATAGGCCCCCCACATGACCCATCAGCTGTCCCTGCGAGATGACTCCATATCGCACCACATCGACCAGAAGCTGGGCCATAGCATGCGGCCGAATGCCGCGTTTGACTCGTCCTATTCATACCCCAGTCGTTAGCACACACTTTTACCCTTTCCCCTCATCCATTGAGGGGGGTGGAGCAACCGGCCTCGGGGGCGTGGGGGTTTCTCACGTCTCAAGGCCCAATCTCTCGGCTTGATGATTTCCACCGTATAATGCTCTACTGATGACTTGAGGTACTTGGTCGACAGACTAATGTGATGACCCCGGCTCTTGATCCGGTAGGTGCGACGATGCGTGAACTCCGCTTCGGCCTCAGCCCGAGACAGGGATTTGGTCTGACCGTCGTTCTCACCTGATTTATCTGCATCCGCTGGAGTTCAGTCAGCAAGCCTTTGATCCGATAGGTCATCATGGGGGAGGGGGATTAGCTGACAGGACTCCTCATCAGAACTTTCGTTGCCCTCGTCGTCATTTTCGGCTGGCGGGCTGGTCGGCTCTTTCGGGGAAATTTCGCCGCCACCGACCTTGTTGTCAAGTTCTTGAAGCAGCAGCTTGTCCTCTGGGTATGGCACACGTTATTCCAAGCTTGTCTTAAGGAGTAGGGAATATCTGGGGTATGAAAAACGAACTATAGACGATGATTCCATCCTCGAACCGGGCGTTACCCGAGTATGAGATGATGAAGAACACATCCACGAACCCAATCAGCCGAACTTTCCCGGACCAATTCTTTCCATTGATTTTGATTTCCCAAGGGTGAACGTCTCTGTTTATTTTCCCCTTCGTAAGCTTGGTCCCGGAAGGACTCCCCTGGAATACATACAAATCACATTCAAGGGTATTGTCATGGATGGATCGCCCAAAGATCTGAAGCAGCCGATGGTAGGAATACATTGCGGACGATGGTTGATGTTGATGGAGAGGGATCTTGAGAATAATGAAATCTCTGAACTGGGTTTTATCGAACAATTCTTGCTCAGCTGAAGTCAACATCAAACGCGATTATATACCCGATCCCCCATCCGGATCCCGGAAGGGAAAAAAGACAGCGCTGCGGGCTAGATTCAATGTGCAGGGCAAACGTACTTTTGTTCTTACCACTGCTCACTCCGAGCAAGGTCTAGACATGAGAGCGGGGTCGATACTTAGTTGTCATACAGCTCACCTGCATTCCTGTCATCCAGTCAATGGACAATGGGCAATTTCCTAGACAGGATAAGGGATCCCTTGTCTTATCATTCAGGTGTCGGAGCTTCACCAAGTTGGTTGGCCCGTTCGACATAAATATTGGTGTGCGGTCGTAGTTTTGACTAAGGCTACACTGGCCCAAGTCAATCTTCTGTTCAGGAACACCACTACCATCCCCAGTCCACCTCATACGCCGAGAGTACTACACCCACCATGGCGTTTGATACCCACTCCCTCGCCAATTCCCTTCCCTTTGGCAGAACCATCACGCGTGAGCTCACGGGGGCCGTGGAAGGCACGGTGAACGAAGCGCTCCGTCTGACCAACGTTACCCTCAATGCACCAGATGAGCATAAGGTCCACGCCTTCTTGATCAGTCTGCTCAAATGTACGACCTTGCCCGAGTTCGTGGACGATATCAACGACCCGTCTGATGCCCTCACTGAGGCTAACAGGGCCGGCGACAATGTCGATTGGGCGGCCATCCCGAGTGATGGCCTCACCCGGCCGCTGCGGATGTTCGACATCGACACGCAAAACATGGTCGACACAACCCAGCTGACCTCGGCTGATCAATATTGCGTGCTATCGCACAGCTGGAAAGGTGCTGAGATCAATTACACATACTTTACTTCAGCAACGAAGGAGAATGATGCAATCGCTTCGCTTGCGGTGCTGGATGGAGAAGAAGGGGAACAACAACAGCAGGAAATCGCCGATGTTGGCTTGCTAGAAAGGCGATGCTTCGCCGATCTGGTAGCAGCCATTGAGAGACTTGGGGGGCAGGAGTTGGCCGAAGAGCATCTCGCAGACCATTTGAGGAAGAAGACACAACAGCGGAAATTCACAGAGGCCATGAACGAAGAGGAGAAGACCAGAAGAGACTTCAAAACAAAAGAACAGCAGCAGGAACATGCCGAACGTATCCTCAGAGGCATGGGGTGTGATCCAGAGAAAAGCGATCTGTCGCAGTGGAGTACCAAGGCGAAAGCTGCGTGGCATAATGCGGATAAAACTCGCGATGAGAAGCTCAGGCAAGGGACCCCTTCGCTCAGTGGCAACCGGTCGATCTTTTATGCACGCGAAACCTTGCTCGAGTGCTTGCAGCGGCGAAAGTCCTTGCGCAAGCTTAAGCAGGCTATCAAACACACAAAGTATTTGTTCGAGGAACGCCCTTTTCTCCCGGCGGAAGGGAAGCGGTACGTGTGGCTGGATACCTGTTGCATCAACAAAGCGGACGGCGACGAATTGAGCAAGTCATTGGCCTTGATGGGGGAGTGGTACACCAATGCCGATTTCTGCCTCGTCCATCTCGATGAAAGCTTCTCCGATCAAGAGTGGCGAGACGAGCTCATCGCCCACGGCCGCGGCAAGAGTGTTACCGAAATACCTGAAGTGATCGAGCCCGAATCCAAGACCAAGGACAAGGCGAACCAGATCAACTCGAAGGAGGACAAACTAATCCCGGCCAAGTTGATTCGTCACTTCTGGGACATCATAAAGGCTGATATCCCGTGGGCCACACGTGGTTGGACGTTGCAGGAATTGGTCCTAAGCAAGATGACCTTCTATGTCAATCCAGACTGGGAGTTGCTTGACAGAGGCATTGATCAACTTGGATCGTACTACTATGTCACCCCCTTTATGGAACACTATCTCAACAATATTACTCCCGTGTCGCCCGATTTTGCTACCGAATTTTACAGGCTCTGGCATTGCAATGGAGATGACGAGGACAATGGCGAGGTTGTTGATGACGAGGACGGTGATGTCAGGACGGCTGCCGACAATGCTCGTGACACTGTCAAGTTTCGCAAGCTCGCCGCTGCGCTTGAAAGCGTGGGATTTACCGTTCCCAAATTCCTCAGTAGTCAATCTGCTACGGCGCAGATTGAGTGGGCGGTGGATACGTGTGCCACGAAGCTATGCTCTGACAATCCCGATATCAATTCAATCGAAGAGGTGATGCAACTTCTGGAGGATCCCAAAGAGCATCGTGAGAAAGGTTCTGGGAACGGTTTCAACGAGAGTTCCGACGAAGATCCCAGGATCAACGGCCTTTATCGCCCATTTCTCCGGCTCCTCTTGGAGAAGCTGCGAGACTCTGCATTGACTGCGATCCGTCAGGACCTTGTTACTATATCGAAGTTTGGCAAAATTAGCGAGCTTCACGACTGGACACTAGGAGCCGGTCCCGCGAATTTCTCGGCATTCAGTGTGTTGACGACCTCGGCCAGCCGCAATACCACCGTTGCCACCGACAAGGCCTATTGTCTGATGGGTATCCTCAATGTCAAGTTTCCCGCCTTTCCCGCTGAAGGGCTATCCAAAGCCCTCAGCAGGTTGTTCGACGAAGTGGTCATTGCCTCTAGCGATGTCTCGGTCTTCAACTGGTCGGGCAAGTACTATGGGAGTACCATCCAGGGGCGCTCGCTCTATCCTTCACGTATCGAAGCATATCAAGACCGGGCGAACTCGGGCAATGCCACGAACGATGTCAACAAGAAACTGCTGGATATCTTCAGCGCCAAGCAGAACGAGACAATGAAGGTTGCGTGGGAGGTGGAAAGTTTGCTGATCCAGATGCTCAAGTTGGTCAAGCCCCTGAACCACGAAAACGTCCCGCAAAAACTCTTGAACGACCTAGATGGGGTCATCGAAACCCTCAAGACAAAATCTCTGAACAATTTGGAGGAAGACAGGAAGACCCTGCGAGATCTGAAGAAGCAAATCTCCGAATGTAGCGATCTCTTCGAGCAGGAATCGTCCAAAGCGGAAGCAACTCCAGATTCATCGCGGAGCAATCATGTAGAAGACGCGGAGAAGGGCAGCACATTCTTCATGCCTTCAGTATCCATCCCTACTTTGGAGATCAAATCACCCTTGCACATCCCGCGGACCTTCTCACGGCCATGGGGGGAGAAGAAACCACCCATGGCGGTGCTGCCTACACCCCCCGAGGAACCAGATCGAGTCACTGAGATATTCACGAATTTAGCCAAGTCGATGGAGAAAGGGTTTGAAGCTCTGCGTGGCTTTCCTTCGCAGGACGATGACGAAGAGGACGAGGAACGCGATGCGGCCGCCTTCTTGGACCCCGATGCTCAGCACGACGATGCTCCCCTGGATGTGATAGACCGTCGGACCCGATGCAACAATCCGATCGTGGTCAGCAGCTCCGGCATCAGCGGGACGTTCGACGTTCAACGGGTGGTGGTGACTATGATTGACCCGGAGGCGCTTCGCGCTCAGATCCGAAGGGCAGTGAGCGGACAGAAAATCGAAGGTTGGTGCAGAGTCAGCACCGGCTTTGCCTACACCCTAGTCAACTTCAGCTGTGATCGAGACATGCTCCAGCAACAACTTGACATGACAGAAGTGAATGAAAAGTGTCTGCTCTCCGTGTCCGAGGCCACTACTCCGGGCCCCGAAGGCAGTACCAGCATGTTCGCCCGCCAGAGGCTACGCAAAATGATCGACATGGTGCAAGAGCCCAATCTGCACGCCGTAGCAGGCGAATGGGTACTAGCACGCTTCTCCGACGTCCCCACGGCGGATTGGTTTCTCAGTCGGTTGGAGTTAGGCGCTGGACGTGGATTCTATGCCCGTCGCATCGCCACCGACGCTTTCACCTTCGCCAATGCCATTCCCGAGCAGGGGCTCAACGACTACTGGCACCAATTCATGACGGATAAGAAGGAGATTGCCTGTAAGGCCCTGCATAACTACCTCCAGGGGAAACGCATCCGCCGCAACACGGGCGATTTCTTTCACAATCTGCAGAGTAATGCAGAGGTCCCGATAATCGACTCACTTACCCTCATCATCGAGAAAATGGCCGAGGGGGTCGTCTGGGTGGGCGACTTCGCCCTGCGGGCCGTGGCAGATCATATGCGTCATCATATCACCCGCTCTGCCATGGAGAGAATCCCCCCAAAGGTCCAAGCCGCTGTACAGGATCTCAATGCCCGGAAAGGCTTATTTCCTACTATGTTTGCTTCTGGAGTCGATCTTCATATGTTCTAATTCTCAAGTCTCTCATTTTCTTTTCTTTTCCTTGTTTTTTTTTTTTTTTTTTTTTTGTAAAGCCGTAGGATTTACATCAGGCTTCTGAATGGTGTTCGTGACAGCGACGATCGACGAAATCGAGCCTTCAAAAATCCATACAACGCTATTTTGATTTCTACGTTGAAAGACGCGCGGTCTCGGAATATGGTGTATTCAGTGTCAGTCAAGATTTGTCATCTGTGATCATATCAGATGGTTGATGATTGTTTGATTGTGTTGGCTTATAGCAGCTTCCAAAAACAGTTTCTCCTTTGCTTCGTCGTCTTCGGGAATTGCGAAACATAGCAAGAAATGTGCATATATTGTGAGGCTGCTATCACACCAGGTAAACAGCCTGCGGCTCACAATCATCAAAGATTGAAGTAAGACCCATATCCCAAAAATGGGAGTAAAAGCCAATCCGTTCCAGCTTCATTCTCGTCTGATCCGGGCAGTTGCGCAGCACCAGCCCGGCAGACCGGCTTCCCAATTTGTACTGACCGGGCTGGGAATATAACGGCTGGCCGCCCCTCGCCACAATCATTAAAAATACCTCTTCTGCGTCGGGATAACTCTCTGAGTGATCGAGGAAGATGGTGTCGCTTTTGGATTCATCAGCATTATTGGGTACTTGGACCTCCCTCAGTTGGAATCCTCTCTCCGGGGATTTGGGCCGTTCTAGTTCAGGGAAGTTCGGGTGAACCATATCCGGCTGAGGCTCATAACGTGGCTGCATCTGGGCCGCTCTAATCTTTGCTCCGAGTTTCACGTACCCTCCGTTCTTCTGATCGATTGCTAATTGTCCGTAGTGGTCGTGGTTATACTCTGGGATCAAGTCGTGACCGAGGACCTCAATTTCAGGGCTCGGACGATGAAGATAACGTCCAATAAAGTCAATCTGTCCATCATTGGCACACTATGACCATGAAGGCGCCCGGTATTGCTCGGAACAGGTCAATGGTTTGCGTTTTCTTTCCCCAAAATACCGGTCGCTGCCAGGGTTCATCGCGTAACGGGGTGCCCAAAGAAGTCCCATGGCTAGATCCTGAACCAATATTCCGGCGATGTACTGGTCGTCCAAGGCCAAGGAATGCGTGCGTGCGATGCCGGAAAGAGCGGGCAGCTTGTCACTTGACACGGTCAAGTCACGACAAGTGTAATCCTCCACGATTCGATACCAAGCTTGATATAATTTTTCTATGCCATACGTCTGTCCAGGAACTCCGGTCGCTGCTACTGCTGAAGTTCCGACTTCTAGCTTGTCCAGGGAATTGTGACGTCGGGGCCGTTTGATGTCCTCGATGTCGTGTCCGTAATCCATCCGCGCGGGGCAGGTCAACAAGCCTAGTCCGAGCATATCGGTCACTCCAATGTAGAGTTTTCGTGGCGATAGTAGTCGTTCCTGCAGAGTCCAACCTCGGGTGTTCCATGCAGATGAGTCTAACTCATCCTTGGCAGCCAGGAACGGGTTCCAGACAAGATGGTCCAATTCGACTGTATAAAATAAAGGTTCGATCCAGAACGAACCTTGGATTTCCGGGTGATTTTCGATCGAATATGAAATTTCGAGCATGGAATCCAGGCTGGGTACAAGTCGTTCCAAGACACTTTGGAGGGCGTACCCGTGGCTACCAATAAAATCGTCAAATACGCTGACATGTATATGCTGTGCATTTTGGCCGACTCTGTGGCCCAATCACGCCGGGATTCTTCCTGTTGGGTCTTAAGCAAAGTCTCATCGATGGTCTTCTTTTCCTTTTGGACGATACAGAGACTGTCAATCCACAGATAGGAAATATTTAACTCGCAGCAAATGTCAACAACATCAACGAAGCCCCGCGGTAAGGTTTCTACTGTGTTGCCGTCTGAGGAAGATGGTAGTGGTATATTCTGGAAATGGTCTTTTAGGTTGCTAGGGGATGTGGTGAGGAAATCGTCGTGACCCCAACGGTAGCTGAGTGCAACGTATTTGATACCTTCGGTGCCCTCTCGACAGTTTGAACCAGGTGCGCGCCTCGGATCATCCAGACCTTTTGTCTCTACGAGACGTAGCTTTCTTCCATTCTTGTTTTGAGTGATCTCTATAAGCCGTGAAGGCAGCCTGTCGGATTCGGACTCCCCGAAGCGAATCGGAGGTGAGGTATGGTTGTGCTCCTTATCGCACTCCATCAACTGATCTCGAATGACCTTGGCATTTTTAGCTGAGAGAACATCTTCTCCTGGATGCCGGTATGCAATACCCGAATAGCGTGCAAGGGGGTCATCTACTGGCGGTCAATACCCGTGATCTTATCTGGAAACAATTTCACGCAGTCAAAAAGGATTTGGTAAACCCACCAGAGTGTGCACAAAATTTGAAATAAACTCTACCATCTGGTCCCGTAAAGTCATTTGGAGATCGATCACGTCCTAGTAAGAGAACATCCCATTCCACACATATGGCGACAGATTTACTCTTCTCCTCTAGGGTTTTATATGCTGCCAGCAGTGAAAGCTTCGCCACCTTGACTGTAAACCTTCCCTTGTCGTGTTTCTTCAGAGCCCAGTGATGACGACTTTCGCGAATGCCTCTTAGCAAGGAGTCCCGGAGGAGTGCACAGAACCGACATCCTGCTGCGGCCGACTCTCCGAGCTGCGGTAAGTCGGGAAGATTATCGCGACACTCGTAATGATTAGAAACGGACTGCTGCCCAGCTGGAAATTGTAGGTGGACTTCACCGTTTTCGAATTGTTTTTTGAATCCGTATCGACCCAGGGATTCTGCGCCGAGGTATAGAAATTTGCATTTGTCGCAAAGGTTGCTTGACATTTTCATGGGCAAACGGTAGACTTTCATTTAAAGGATCGAGCAAAAATCGTCCAGCAGTCACTATCCAAATGAGGGGAAGGTGGGGTAGTATCATACTACTAGTAGTTTCCGCAAGACAATTCACCCGGCAGGCCAGACAGATGTCGATCAGTCCGACACGTGGCAGGCCAGTGTTGCAGCAGCTGATGTCATGCAGCTTCTCCTCTTCTATCATCCTTGTTCTTGCTGGAGGTGCACATATCACTAGGATATTTATCGTTCGTCAGCTAGCACGCTACAATTGATTGAGAGATAGACCAGCTTTTAGAAATATATTGACCATGGAAGCAGAATTGACTTGCTGTTCATCGCTAGTTTGCCTAATTGTTTACTTTTTCCGCTGCAGATATTGGCCGTCGATTCGATGGAGAACAGTAGTACTCAGACAAGTAGCGGAGCATTGCGCTGAATTGATAGTTCGTGAGAGTCATACCCATAGTAAGACAGGTCGATTATTCTCATGTTTCTAATCTAATAGGAATAAAGAAGTCACTAGGTTTATGATGGATCCGAACAGAAGGAGAAAAGGAGGGGAGAAGGAGGAGAAAGATGAGGAAAGGCGGGAAGAAGGTCGAGTGCGGCGGGCCATAGCGGCCATCGGGCGGCATGACACTCACTACGGGCAATTGGACAATTGGACAATTTCTATTATCTCTCACAAAGAATTGGATCGCGGGGTTTCAATCTTTATCATGCTGAGGTATCTCTGATATATAATATGCACCAACAACGCCATAATAGACCAAGAAGAAAACAAACCAAATGTGTATAGGGAGAGCGTGTTATCGCAGTAATGAATAGTCAAGAGATTGAGGGATTGATCACTACCAGCGACCAATTAATTCCCCGAAATCAACAGGAACAGGCCTCGATGCGGCAGCCAACCTGGCAAGTTCATCTGCCTCCAGATTCCACCTCCTTGGGATCCTCCACAGATAAACCTCTTTTTGCTTCTTGGCCCAACTGTCCACCACCTCCACCAGGTTCTGCCACAGATCCCTATTACTAACTGAATGACCGAGATGATTCCTCCACCCATTGGAAAGCCATGTGGGGAGGATACGGGTAGCATTATTCACGACATACGGTGAGTCGGTAGCAATCACCACGCTCTTGAACGAATTCCCATGCATGTTTAGATACCGCAGCGCCGCAATGACAGCTCGTAGCTGCGCACGTTGGCTAGTTGGCGTCCGGGTCGCCCCCGTTGGCCCGGTTGTCTCAAGGTGCCCCGAAATCCCACCGCTCCTTTGGCCTCGTGGCGCAAATGGCGCACGGGGCCTGAAAACGAAAGACCAGCCTGCTTTGGGTTTGTTGTCTTTCTCATTTTCGAAACAAGCCCCCGCTGCATAGGCAAGACATTGCGATGAATCTTTGACTCCGACGAATCGCTGGAGCCCCGGGTGGCCATCAGAGTATGTAACCTTGGTTTTGAAAAGGCGTCGTGGACTGGCAGAATTTGGGGAAGCGAATCTTTTGGGCAGCGCAGTTATCTTGGGCTTGGGGTCCTCATCCACTGCGATCAAGATACCTGTCGGTGGGATCGGAGCTGATTCAGAAGCTTGTCTGCTGCCCATGTCGATCACCATCGGTGAGATAGAGGTATCGTCGCTACTTGAAAAACTACCACTGACATCCGACATGACGCTGCTTTGGCCATCGCTGCCGAGTTCTGATGAGTTGTAGCTATAATCAGCGCTTCGGTGTTTTATCCAGAAGGTGTAATCGACACGACACTTCGCGCAGGTTACGAAGCCGTGTGCACCACACAACGGCTGGCCGTTGGACAGGAAAATGGGGGAGAGGGGAGAGTGGTCTGCCATGATGTGTTGATAGAATGCGATCAAGCCTTGGGTAGATTGGGAATGACCTGCAAGCACCGACGCGTTTTTAGAAGAACGAGAATGAGGGGCCTAAGAGCTCTATATATAGGGCCGGAAAGGTGGCTAGACCACATCGAGATGAAGGAATGTTCCTGTATCTTGCAAACTATCAAAAGGTTCGCACCGCGGAAGTGGCCGAAAATAGGAACCATCCGCCAGGGAGTGGACAGCGACCGACATGGATGAGACTCGATCATTGGAAGGAACAGGCGAATGGGAGGAAACTTCCGTCGGATTTTGTCACTCCAGTCAGTATGTACTTCAGAGGAAGGAAAACTTGGCCGCAGGGATCTTGGTAGGCGCAAATATACTATGCGCTCCGATGTCGATCTCAGTTGACACATCTCATCTAGATCAGATTTGCAGATCTACAATCTTGGTAACCCGACAACATGAAAGGATGCACGTCCCTGGTTATTTGATGAATGATCTCTTGCCTCGATAGTATTCCCCCAGAATTGTCCCCAGCTCCGCCTCTCCCCAGTGAGCTGGCGACGTCGATTTTCACCGTTCGTATGATCTAGTGTTTCCTGGGTAGTCATCGCATCTTGAAGAGTAGAAGGGAAGTGGATTGTCATAGCGGAAGATAGTCCTTCTTCTATATCGTATTCTCCGCTACTCGGGGTCCTTGACCTCTTTGAGAATCGGTCCCTGGATTGTGGACCGGCCCACTTCAGCCTGAGCAAGTAATTACGTATGTCGTACTCCGTATCGGCGTATACAGGATCTTTTTGCCTAGTCAATAGTCATAGTGTTACAATCTCCAGCTAATGCATAACCCACGTGCATGGTGGGGACCTAGGACGTTTAACCTTAAACTCCCTGCAGAGGACGGTGGGCACGTCAAATTCTGGAGAATTTGTTCTCGGGTGAAAGAATACCCCATCAGGGCACATACCCTCCCGGAAATAGTTTTCCGACCGTCATACGAAGTTCAGGGCCATCTCCTGATGATGGGTTCTATCCTCGCACCACACATTCAGGGCTGGACCTCACCTCTTCTCAGGTCTCAACAACAGCGGCACCTGTGGGTCATCAGAAAGAGGGGCAGAATACACAGATCCCGGAGACTGCGGCAATTTCAGGCGATTCACTAACATTAGGTAGTGGACTCCATTACGCACTGGAACCGGGTCTCCAGCAAAGGAGCAGGCTTGGCAAGGTGATCGATCTCACGATTTCCCATTCCTTTCCCTGTCTTTCCTTACGGAAACTGTCCGCCGGGTGGGGCACCACCCAGTGCAAATCTTATCAATCAGTCATGCTGGCCAAAACGTGACCAATGGAATGACGCCGCCACCGCACCTTCATTCTTATTAGCATATGGCATCCTCCAACGAGACGAGATTTTCTGGGCTGCCAAGCAGACCATGGCAGACCAAGGATGGAGACTTTCCCCGATAGGTGTGCTTTTGCGAGAATCGGAGAAACACGGGCATCTTATCTGATGGTAGCTCCTGATCGGTGAGAGAAGAAACTTTAGCTTGTCTGGGTAAGCTTGGCTTCCGCTGCACCATATAAAAAGCTATGGAGCTCCGTTTTGTTTTTCCAAAAGGGCCACTCCATCAAGCGTTCGTGCAGAAGAGGACGAACTAGGCGACGGCGTCTGGAAGGTTGACACAAGGGGCCACTTCCCGCCTGAAATAACATCCGGCATACCTGCAAGATGGCGACCGAAAAAGACACCACGGAAATTACAGCCGGAGAGGCCACAACCGCTTCTTCTCTCCAGTCGGCAGACAACGGAGTCGTCAATAATGCGGATGGCAAACGCCCACCTCCGCTACTCGCCAAGCTGATTGCCGTACTCCTCATTTCGTGTATTAGCTTCGGCTCGCACTGGAGCAGTGGCGTTACAGGCGCAATGAAAAGTACCTTGAAAAAGGTAACAAGACCTGCTGGAGACAATGCAGCCATCATCTAACTTAGTTGTGATAGGAATTGCACATCACAAACACCCAATATTCCCTTCTGACAGCAAGTGAGGACTTTATGGCAACCGCTCTTCTTCTCGTTGGTGGTATCGTCACGGATCGAGTAGGAGGTGCTCGTACGTCTGATCCCGCCTCTTGTCCGCCGCAAACTGAAATGCCTAACCCTTCCCAGGGATGATCGTATATGGAAATGCCGTTTATACCATCGGCTCCATCTTAGTCGCCGCTGCGACCACGGTTCGATCCTTCAAGTTTATGGTCGGTGGAAGGATTATCCTTGCCTTTGGGGACATTGCAACCCAAACAGCTCAGTACAAGATGTTTTCATCATGGTTCGCGCCAAGCAATGGGTTCGCTTCCACTCTCGGCTTTGAACTGGCGATTGGCAAGGTAAGCTGGCCAGTATCCCCGATGCTAGATTCGACTAACCAGTACAGATTGGAGGTTTCGTTGGAAAGTCAACGGCCAACATTATCGCCAAGGTATGAACCTACATGTGATTGAATTTACCCAATCTGACGATATCCAACAGAATACGGGCAACTTCGCCTGGGTCTTTTGGACTTCTGTCTTCATGAACCTGTTCACCAACGCCGCAACATGCTTCTTCTGGGTGTTCAACCGTTACTGCGATCGGAACTACCGGGGTCGTGAGGATACTGCGACCCAGGAGACCCTGACTGAGAGGAACAAGAAGTTCGAGGTTCGCAAAATGTTCCAGCTCCCGTGGATGTTCTGGGCTGTCCTCGCCTTTTCGATGTTCCAGACCAGCACTGCTAGCGTTTTCAGCTCGAACGCCACAGAATTGGCAGAGAAACGATTTAATGTCGACGCGATCAAGGCAGGATGGTACAGCGCATTGGCTCAATATGCTGGTGAGTCCACAACTTATGTCGCTGGGACCTTCCTTGACTGAATATAGGCTTCTTCCTTGTTCCCTGTCTGGGGGTCTTTATTGATGTTCTTGGCCATCGCGCCTCTGTCCGTAAGTAACCATCTTCCGCTGTTTGCGTCTACGGTTACTCATTATATGTGCAGTATGCGTGTGCGGACTCGGCATCTTCATCAGTATGGTGCTGGTGAACTTCGCCACAACCAGCCAAGGCACGGCGGCAGCATTCGGGATGTACGCGGTCGCGGTGTCCCTGGGTCCGACATCAATTATCGACGGCATTCGCACGACATTGTGGCATCAATCCGTCTTTGGTACTGCATACTCACTCAAGGTTACCATGAACAACGCGTACGGCGCACCCCCCTTGGCATCCAAGAATAGAAGACAAGCGCTAACCTTGTGTCTCCAGGATGTCCATCATCATTGGAATCATCACTGGTGCTCTCCAAGACGCCGATAATGATTCTTACCGCCGATCTGTGCGAGTTTATCTTTTCCTAGCCATTTGTTGCTCGATCATCTCCCTCCTTCTCCTAGCCGGCTCGATATTCGGCCGGAGCCTGGCTCCCTTGCAATGGACCCGCAAGCAACGCCTGACCGTGGGGCCGGAGTTTATTAGTGAGCTTCGGGAGTATCATCTGGGAACACACTACCAACGTAGTAAGATTATATCGATCTGCAGTTTCACCGGCCTGGTGCTGCTGGTGCTGGGCAGCTGGGCAGCGTATATTTGGGGAGCCGTCACGGGGAATAACGCATGAAGAGAGCTCTGGGAGTCTCCAATATATAATGATATGGAATGATATTAATGATGGCCTTTTCACAAGCAAGATGTTACTTGATGGTGCTGCGTAGAATAGATGCAAAAGAAGGACGAAGAGTAGGGAGTAGTAAGGAGAGAGTACTAGGCTGTGCTGCTGTTGGGGGGGGAAGCACCACCACGCTAGGCTGGATCAGGTCTAGCCGGCCAGGATCGGCCGGCTGGTTTGACTCGGCCAAATCCCAGGGACTTCTTGGAGCCATCTTGGATCCTCCAGGCAAGCCGGTTTCTTGTCCAAGTATATATATCCTGCCTCCATGATCGCAGTGCTTCACGGCTAAGCAAATGCCGCGTCTGGGTCCGTTAACATTGTTAGTCATCTCGAAAGCATAAAGAACCATCCCCGGCAATGTTCTGGATGAAAAGAACCATCATTAATCCCCGTGGATAACCCAACCCATCCCATCTTTTAGCCCAGTTCCCAAACACCCGGCGCTTCACGTCAAGGCCTACCCGCCGAGATCGCCGGGCAAAGACTTGATGCCAATGCGTCTTCCACTCGAAATAATCCAACTCATCATTGAGTCGATTATACCGCCAAACCCGCCAGTGGCCTATCCTATCTTTTCGGGAGAAATCGACACGTTAGTTAACCTGACGTTTGTTTCCCGCTTCACTTGCCAGATAGCCAGCCGGCTTCTGATCAATCACTGCCTTTTGATCGACGATGAGGACTTGTTGAAGCGCCTGCTGGAATGCAAACCACCGGCCCTAATTGATCAAAGGTTGGTTGGGCCCGGCGCGGATGTCCAGAAGAATGTAAATACTGGACTGGTACTGGCACTGCTCGAGCCCGATAGGCCTACTGTTGCGCAACATATAGACACGCTGTCATTCTATCTCTGTCGCCGTCTGACCCGGCTCGTGATCGATTTACCGTTGCGCTTCTATCATCCCTCACTAGATGGTATTGAGGTCCGCCCAATGCTCCGTAAGGCGTTCTTACGCTTGACGCATTTGGAAGAATTTTGCTCGGCCGCAGATGATCTCTGCCTTGACACACAAAGGCTGCCTTTCATCTGGGAGACTCACTCGGATCAGCTTCGGGGAGAAGACTATGAACCGGCGGTTTGGTCACTATGGCCTCGTCTGCGCCGCCTCGCACTGTGCGAGGTTGATGTGACGTCCATGCAATTCATCGACGGGCTCCGTCGGTGCTCCAACCTAACACATTTGGTCCTCGTTGCGCCTTCTGGCTTGGACAGACCTGTCCGACCTGGTTGGCAGACAACGGACTTCCTGCCATCACTCGAACGGCTTTTGATTGTAGATTCGGTCGATGAGTTCGTGATGGTTGGAGGCAAGGACAATCTCGGAGAAGATTCGGGGTTCGTGCGACAACTGTTCCAGTGCTACAAGTCCCGAGAGAAGGGAAAGCAGAAGGAGTGTAGCAAGGACGACACGGGTGTGGCCTTCGAATCGCTCGTCAAGAAAATCGCCTTTCCAGTGCCAGAGTACCGGAAGGGGGACGACGACATCATCTGCCATGGATGGCTTCTCGACGCGAGTATAGACGGGACCATCTGGACGGAGCCCTATGGGATCGGCAGGCGATATCTGACTTATTCTTGAGGCTGCTGTGTAGATCTGCGCCATGGCCGACCGGCCTCGGCACTGCGGGGGAATCCCGCCGGGACTCCCATTCCTCGGGCCTTTTATCCAGCTTCCGTCTCACTTCTTCTCTCCACTCCGGCATCTGGCGGCATTCCTCCACATTGCTGACCCGAGAGGGGTTTTTACGGTTTTCTTTCTTTGTTCCCCCCCTCTGTCCTGTGCATCACTGGTCTCCGATTTCCTTGGGTGGGTGAATTCCGCTCCAAGTCAACTGTCATAATCTCAGCCCCCGCATGACTCGAGCCGTTGCTGCCTAGTTGATGCAGCTGCAGGCGCCAACGTTTTGTTTGGTAATTCTCAACGGCGTCAGTCAATCGGCATGCGAGCCTCTGCCGATCACCGGACCATGGAAGGTGTATGGACCTGTCAGTTTTGCACTGCTGTCTTCCATCGCTTAGACCATCACAAGCGACACACAGCCACCCGTACGATAGGCTCATCCCTTGGGGAGATATTCGGGTGACGGGGCTAATTACTGCATTCAGACAGCGCGGAGAAGCCCTTTAAATGTGGATTTTGTGGCTCTCAGTATAAACGAGGGTGCGTATTTTATGGAAGAGGAGACAGTGCCGTGAACTGACGTTGGAACCCTGTAAAGAGATGTTCTGCGGCGACACTGGAAATCTTGCTCGGTTCGTATACGCACCGGCCAGGCCATCCCATGGCCTCGAATCGGCGGTAAAGAACGACATGCATGTGATGTCTGCGCGAAGTTAAAGAAGTCCTGCGATGGGGGGCAGCCTTGCATCGAATGTTCCACTCGGAGGAGGCCCTGCACATATCTGCGGCTCCAGAGTAGTGGGGGACTCCCACTCAGGCAGGCCACCGATTCCAGTGTCCTGACCCCGGGGCAAATCTATCCAGAGTCGGCCCATCCAATGCCCATTCCGGAACTCTCCACATGGAGTCTTGGGCCTCAGAATTTCTATCCGGATCAAGTGGCTCGCCTGAGGGCTCAGATACTACGCAATCGTGCTTAAACAAAGGCAAACCTTGAAGTACTGGGACTTTCACAAGTGCGACAGAAACAACCATTGTGCATCAATCAACGATTTGTATATAGAAATAGCCTGAAATTTGATCGTATATGGTGCTATTCTTGTTCATTTTCATCGTGTTGTGGTGCCTGCATTACATGTCGGCAAAAGTTGAGTCTTCTGAGGCGGCTCGTCTTACTCCTCCGGCGGGATTCCCCCACCTCCACCTATCCATCATCCATCATCCATCATCCATCACCACGTCCTCTCCCTTGCAGGCAGCCGACCACCGGCTGAGCTGAGGGTCGGCCTATAAAGCGTACGTTTATCCCAGGTCTGCTTCTGTTCTTTTTCACCTTGCAGTCATCTCTCTCCACACGAACAGTTCCATAGCTTACAATCACCCGCTCACAATCATGTCTACCATACAGGAAATCCACCAGGGAGACCACTTCAACAACTGGCCCAACGTCAAAGGTGTAAGTATTCCATCCTGACGCATGCCTTGCTTTCTGATACCAACGAACACAAGTTCGATGCCAACTACGAGGAGAAAACGCCCGTTGAGCTCGATGTCGAAGGCCAGATTCCCGCCTATGCCACGGGTGTGCTCTACCGCACTGGACCAGGCAAATACAAGGTCGACACTGTCAACGGAGACACCTTTCGCGCCAGCCATTGGTTCGACGGATTCAGTGAAGCTCATCGATTCCAGCTGGTCGCTCCGGACACCACGCACCCATCAATGCGCGTCTTTTACAACTCCCGCTTCTCGACCGATAGCCTCATCGAGGAAGTGAGACAGACCGGAGATTTAATCAAAATAAGCTTCGGACAAAAGCGAGACCCATGCAAGACTGTCTATCAGAAAGTCCAGTCCGATTTTGAACCCGCTAAGCCTCCAACCCCTACCTCCGCCAACGTGGGGGTCACTCTCAGTATCAACATGCCAGGTCTTGATGCGTCTTCGACAAGCCGAGCCAGTGATCGCTGGGACACTTCTACGGGGATTCAGACCTTGCACGCCAAAACCGACTACAACGTCTTCAAGCAGCTTGACCCGGAGACCTTGGAGCCAATCAGCCTAGCCACGCAGCAAGACCTCCATCCAGACCTGGATGGACCCGAGACAGCCTCGCATGCCCGTTCCGACCCCAACACGGGGGATGTCTTCAACTACAACCTCGCAGCCAAGCCATCGCCTACCTACCGCGTCTTCCGCATTTCCGCTTCAACCGGTGAAACAACCATCCTCGCGACCTTCCCTGCCAAACCAGCCTACCTTCACTCGCTCTTCCTAACAGAAGAATACGTCATCCTCTGCGTCTGGAACGCCCATATCTCCCTCTCCGATCTAGGAAACATGAGCTTCCTCGACTCCATTCAACCATTCGACCCATCCGAGCCAGCAATCTGGTACGCCGTCGACCGCAAAACCGACAAAGGTCTCATCGCCACCTACCAAAGCCCCCCCTTCTTCTGCTTCCACACCATCAACTCCTGGCAAGAAACCACCCCAGACAACAAAACCGACATCATCGCCGAACTAGTCATGTTCCCTAACTTAGACATCCTGCACAAACTCTACTACGAGAATGCCCTATCCGATTCCCCCAGCGCCAAAGCCCTCTGCGAAGGAAGAACCTCCGCATCAAGCTCTACCATTGCCCGCTTCCGTCTCCCAGCCATCCCCTCCACACCCAACTCCTCACCCCTACCCACAATCCTAGAATCCTCCCTATGCAAATCCCTCTCCCCCGAACTCCCCACCATGAACCCAAACTACGTCACCCGCAAACACCGCTACACCTACAGCGTGGCCGACCGCGGCGAGTCCACTCTCTTCGACAGCATCATGAAACTCGACAGCGAAACCCACAAGACCCTGATCTGGGCTCACCACGCCCAGTCACCAGGCGAACCCATCTTCGTGGCAAACCCAGACGGCGAGTCCGAAGACGACGGCGTCTTGCTTAGCGTGGTCCTGAACGGGATGACCGGAAAGAGTTATCTCCTTTGTCTGGATGCTCGGAACCTCGTCGAGCTCGGCAGAGCAAGCGTCAATGGTCCGGTTGCGTTCGGGTTTCATGGTCAACATGTACCCGTGAGGGGAATTCCGACGGGGGATTACTAGTTCAACACGCGGGGCACTGTATAGATATATTTCTCCTTCTTCTCTCTCTCTCTTCATTTTCATAAGTTTTGGTTTTCGTTTTGTTTTATTATCGCACTCACTCCTTTGATATTGTACAAAATCCGCTTGGAATAATAGTATATCATTGTTTCAGTCATGGCAAGATATGCTTTGCTTTTATGGCCCGAGAATTCTTTGATCCGTTTCGGCATGTACCAACTAAGCGATACCGATCACAGCACACGAGCAATATCGGGTAGGTTAGGTACTGCGTAGCAGCTAGAAGATATTGAGACATTCGAAGTTCACTCATATATTTGTTCAACCGAGTTGGATTGTAGTAGCACATAAGCGGTCATATTACCCTATTTCCTCGATCATGAACTGAACCGAACTAAACTGTGTACATCAACCAACGAAGATCTCAACAAGGACGTCATTGCTCCATCCAGCCTTCAGACTCATCTCGTTCCAAGCCGCTTGGATATCCACAGCCAGGACATTGCTGTCATCGCCGCCTTCTTTCCACACGGTTTTGCGCGGAACAGGTTTCCCGAGAATCGTGACCATGAAGTTCTCTTCAATACTCCAGTTCCATAGATCCGAGAAATAGATTCCTACGGTCCCGAGTGCTTTCAGACTGATATCGAATCGGATGCGGCCGTTGTTTTCTAGGTAGATGTCGGAGTAGATTAGTGCGGCGGCGCCAGTCATTTTGCCGATCAGGCCTAGGACCGCCACTTTGGTTGGGCTTGTTGTTTTCATGTTGAAAGTGTGAGTAGGATAGGTAGTCAGGATCTCCCAGCCTTTCTGGGGTAATGCTACGGAAACCAGCGAGCCCGTGTCTGAGACTTGCAAGTTCTCGGTAATCATGCCGCTGGTGTGGGCGCGGATGATGTACTCGCCCTGGGAATCGTGGTGGATTCCGGGGAAGTCTAGCAAGTGGACCATGGTGGACTTCTCGGTTGTGGAGATATTAAACAGGCCCAGGATTCCGCTGCCGGTTCGAGCCCAGCCTGTGTAGGTACCCACACGGACGATATGGCCCTCGTTGTAGTCGTGGTACATGTCCATAGAGCGGCCGATCAGGCTTGGTCGGAGGATTACGGTTCCCCCGTGTACGGTCGAAGCGGTCATTTGGTCAATCAACGAGACGTCATGCTTGCCTGGCTCATCTGTGATATAGACCGGGCCTCCAGACACACAACGCGCCGCGGCATGGAACCCGGCGTAGGGGTGGCTTGTCTGAAACATGTCCCAGTCTGGAACAACGTTCAAGTACCGGGTGAGCAGCGCATTATGAGCATTGCAGAATATATGCCAGGGGTGAGATGCCTCAATGTCGGGGAAGAAGTCGTCTGAGTTCCGTAGAGGAATGGTTGGCTTATTGGTTGGAAGCTGTGAGTGGAAGATGGCCTGTGGGAACATGGACATGCAAGATATGGCCCTCGCGCTGAAGTGTCTCAACGTGGAGATGGACCAGGCATCCTGGTAGGCAGTGATAAACCTCCTCCGGTCTTCTGGATCTTTGATCAAATCCAGGAAGAACTGAGCATCCGCCTTGACGGAATCCACTCCGATCGACGCAAGGTATCTGTAGAAGTCGTCGTAGAACCGTTGGACATCATCCGGATCAATCGCCAGAATCGACCCGTTCTCGAACGCATGCGAGATAGTGCCTCCTACAGCTGGTACTTTGAGCTCGACTCTTTTGGTCTTGTACTTTTTGGCAAGATCACCCCCCGACGAGATTCCTCCCCAGTATCCGAGCATAGCATGCCACACTGCGATGTGTTCAATGTTTGGATGACTTCGCCGGATCGCTTCAATCGTTTGCTTGAAGCCCTTGGGGAAGGCATTGGGGTTTCCTTCAAACTGCCTCCAGCCCCTCTTAAACTGCGAGTCTGCTTCGTCCAGTGTCTGCCAATTGTCGTCGATGATCAGGTTGGCGATCTTGATTCCATGGGACTTGAGCGAATCAAGACCGCGAAGGATCTTGTCTTCCGTCAGGTTCTGGCCGAGCCCATTCCAGGTACAGTAGGTTAAGCCGTCGTACCACTCTGCCAACCATTGGGCCTTCACGTCCTTTTCAACCACCACGATGTCGTCCGGTGGCGGTGAAACCGGAGCTCTGATTGGTTCAGGTTTCTCCTGTTCGGCATATGGTCTTGCGAGCTTGCGTGCCTCGTATATGATTGCACTCATAGCAACCTCAAAATCCTCCGATGCAGATGCCAGAATCTGGAACTTGGACGGCTTCGTATTGTCACTGAGGGATTTGACTACTACTTCACCGTTTTGGCCCGATCCAAAGAACGTCAACACATTGTCGGTTCCAGACAATCCCAAAAGAACGACGTGAACGCCATCTGTCCGAAGAAAGGAGCACATTATCGCATCCTCAGTCAACGCAAATTTGCCTTGTCCATGCCTTGGTCCGAGCCATGGAGTCCAGATCCGTACCAAGGAAAAGTACCGCAGGACTGATACCGGCACTCCCAAAGTCAGCTCTTTGCACCCAGATTCACCTTCGCGAGCTGGATCAGCTTCTCCAGAAAGATGCCACAAATTTGACCCTGGGGCTTCGCTCTTCCTGGGCTGGATTTCAATATTTGAAGACATGCTGTCGAAATATTTCTTGAACTCCGCGGAAGTCGACTCCAGGGAGTTGAACCCCGGATTATGTGAACCAAACACCAAGACTCCGTCACTTACACTCTGATGCTGGTTCACCCACTGCCACTCGGCGTCCGGATTGATTCGATACCGAACTGTAAACTGTGCATATCCAGGGTCTGCAGGGAGAGTAATTTCCCCGGAGAAGACATGGCGGAAACATTTATATGTTTCTGCACTGCCAGTCATGAGCGGTGCCACGGAAGGCTTGGAATGCGCAAGTGAAGAAGCGGTCCATTCAGAGCTAGCGATGTTATGCCATACTTGGACATCCCACGGCTGCACGGGGAATGAGGTGCTTGATTCTAGCACCACTGTGAAAGTAATCTATCGAGTTCAGCTATCCGCGGGAGACTGGCAAAGGGAGCTACTACCTACCGTATCAGGCTCCTGGGACCCCGAGGGCTTTCCAACCCTTGGACAACAGGTTACTTGGCCCAATGGCGGATAGCACGTCACTCGAGCGAGCAAGCTCATCTGTGCTGGACGAATGAATTTGATCTGGGATTTCTTGATGTTGTTGCGATCGGGCCCGCAGATCGGCAGGGTAGATCTATGTCTTGGATCGGCTTGCATCTGGACTGGTTGGGGGGGTTATCAAGGGGGGTTGTGTAATAAAGTAGTAGGATGGCAGGAGAGAGTAGTCCATCTAAGCTCAAATTCGTAGATGGAAGAAGCTGGGGGCATTGCGGAGATGGTGGTGAGCGAAGAAGAGGTGCAGGATGAGGTGGCGATGCGGTGAGGGGAAGTACCCCCATCCTTGATTGGCTTGCTGCCCTCGTGCATGCAGTCGACATGTTGTTGGCCAACTGAACCTCCACGAGTCCATTAACCGGGACTCTACACTCATCCTTGATGCATGTCAGCATCTAGGCTTTCTATACGTCATCATCAACTATTTAATTACTAGGCCACGCTCCTATCCCCGGCCGAGGTAAATCTACCACTAGAAGGTAGAAGGCTGCTGCCAGCATTGACAATGGTACATATATTTTAACCAGCGATTCATTAAATCATATAATCTACACTTTATCCCCGGGGGTTTTCGCCTCGCTTACTCGATCTTGATGGCCAGCTTGCCAAAGTGCTTCCGAGCCCACTATTGTAATTCGTTAGCATCACGCCAATCGCCCTGTCAGAACACTACTCACCATGTACTCGTAGGCTTCCCTAGTCTGTTCAAGGGTGAAGACCTTCTCATCCACAACCGGGTGGATGTTGTTGGCCTCAATCGCCTTGACCATGTCGTTCATCATGGCCTTGCTACCAACATAAATACCCCGGACAGTACAGATGTGGCTCAGTGTATCAAGGACGTTCGGCATAGTCTTGGGGTCAACTCCTCCAACAAACCCGATGATGCTGATCACACCCTCGAACTTGACGCACTTGAAACTCTGGTTGAGGGTACCGCTGCCTCCGACCTCGACGATGTGATCGACACCAGCACCATCCGGGGTGAGGCTGCGGGCCACATCTCCCCAGTTGGGCTCAGTCTTGTAGTTGATGACGTGATCGGCTCCCAGCTCCTTCAATTTGTTCTCCTTTTCTTCGGACGAGGTCGTGGCAATGACCTTTGCGCCGGCGGCTTTGGCAAACTAGTGAGACAGTCGTATCAGTTTACTGCGCGTGTCACAAGCCCGGATGAGCACCTACCTGCAAAGCAAAAATGCTGACACCACCCGTTCCCTGCACCAACACAGTCTGGCCAGGCTGCAATGGCTTCAACCCGTACAGAGCATTCCAGCTGGTGAGAGCAGCGCACGACAATGTGCTAGACTCGAGGTAATTGAGGTTCTGTGGGCTTTTGACCAAGCCATTCTCATTGAAGACACCATACTGACGGAGGGTGCCGTCAATAACGCCACCGAGACCAGAGCTGGCAGCCTTGCCATCAATGGGGCCATACTGGTGATCCTGGTTGAACAAAGTGACGACCTTGTCACCCTTCTTGAACTGGGAAACCTTGGATCCGGCGTCAACCACCTCACCAGCACCATCGGAGCCGGGAACGACGGGGAAGCTAAGCGCAAAAGGGTATTTACCCTGCAGCCATTAAAGGATCAACTGTCAGTAAGAAGGCATGAAAGGGTGCCAATGAGTCGGGTGGAATTGGAGACGCACCTGTGGGATGATCAGGTCACGGAAGTTCAGCGAAGCAGCATGGAACTTCACCAGAACCTCGTTTTCACCGACTTTCGGGACAGGCGCATCACCAAAGGTGAGGCCATCAAAGCCGTTGTCCTTGTTCAGGACGGTCCACTGCTTCTGAGATGAGGAGCCCATTGTTCGCGTTTTCTTGTGCTGGGGGAAATACAAAAGCAATCGAGTGCATATGTTTTATGACAACAGAATCCGTTGGAAACCGCTGGGCTTGACTTTGGGTGGGGGATACATAGCTTATAGAGCAGCTCTTGAATCTTGACGTAAGTGGGCAAGCTCCACTTGAGTGACCGTACGCTTAATAAGGACCACGATTTCTAACGGCAACGAAGGTTCGGGATATGGAAACCGGATGGGAATCAACAAATCATGGCACACAAAGAGCAAGCTATTGTCTCCATGATGTTCCTTGCTGATAAATCCAGGCTGTGCCGAATTCTTGGATTCTTCCATGCGAGTGGAGGTTCATGATCTCAAGAAGCTAGAACATTTTGTATGAGCTTTTGTCTTCCACAATTATGGGTTATCGCTATTTGACGAATCATGATTGTCCATCGTGATGGCCATCCAGACAACCGTGATTGCAGGCCGGCACTGGGTATTTCTCCTGAAGTGGTGAAGAAGATGGAAGAACAAAGTGGTTGCGATGAGGCCGGTGGGCCGTGAGCCCCGCCAGGGCGAGCGGACTTTTCCTGTTTGGATTCAACTTTCTCCCTCTCGGTTGCTTGATCGGGTTAATTCCACCGAAGGAGGATCTTTGACCAAGGCGATACAATTTGTAGCATAGCTATCTAGGCATTAGCATGTATGCCAGCGGGATGCTATAGTAGTCCGAAGAAAAGATAAGTTGGGCGTACGCCTGTTCCCATGTGCCGAAGTGGGACACTACGTAGTGGACAACTGCCGTGGGGCACTTGGCCGTTGGAGGGACAACCGCTCGCCGTGGTCCGATTTTAAGGAACATAGCTTCTAGAAGACTGGAGAACTGTCTGTCAGCTTCGTCAGAGACATATGTAGATAGCAAGTGACAAGGATAAGCTGTCCTTGAAGGTCGGTCCTCCGTGCCAGGCCCAAAGAGCTTATGCACCCGTCTTCTGCCGGCTCGCATGGCCAGACGCGTGCCCCACCATCTGATAAGCCGAGTGTTCTCCGCGCGTCGGCGCCACGATTGTGTCTGCAGACCAGAGATGCTTGGTGTGTCAGGCCACTGACTTTATCCTCTCGAGAAAAAGCAAAGTAGCATTACTTAGCTCCCTTTCCCCATTTCCGATACAGTTCAAGCAATAGATGACTCGGTAACCACTCACTCGCTTTTCAAATGGCAACCCTTTTGCAGAAGTTTAATGACATCTTACGAACCGTTTCTGCGTTTTTTGCATCCAAACAATCATGTCCTGGACGGTAAAGACTGTTACTTGTCCAAATTTAAACCAGGAACCTGGACGCGTATAGGAAAACTAATGTGTCCAACTTTATCACTGTTGGTGATGGTACCATCCCTGAAACGATAGTGTGAGCGATGTGCTCCTTTGCGCGATCGGAAACATCTTGCGTGCTTGAGCAGTCCTGCTAGCACCACCCAACAAGCTAGGATCTAAAATATCCTTCTGGAGACAGTCAATGATCTGAAACATCTCTCCTATCGGACCTAAATTACGCAGCTCTTTTGCATCAAGGAGACAATCTCCTGTATCTTGGGTGCAGAAACAGTCTGATCCTGTTGTGAAGTGGGAAGTATAGACCAGGGTCCCTGGTCATTTGTTTGCCGAACTAAAGCGGGACCATCAAGTATCGCGCAATCACTCAACATGATGAGCTGACAACAAGAAAAGGTTAAGCACCGTATCATCCACCAGAATATGTGGATTCATAGGTGCAATCGTGAACGTGATTCGATGTCGCATTACGTGGACGGGATCAACCGCGGATGAGGGGTAATCTGCAATCCCCTCACTCCTGACCATGGTCCCCATCTCCTTTCTCCCGCCCTTTAAAGGCCGTGGCTGCTGGTTTCAGGCCATAATCCGCTGGTAAACTTTTCACGATATCTATATCAAAGGACTTCCAACAACATGTCTTTGGGACGCACCTTCAGACTCAACTCGGGATACGAGATCCCCGCCGTCGGTCTGGGGACATGGGTATGCCAACTGTTCGGCTTATCGCATCGCATACTGACACATCCAGCTATCCAAACCTCATGAGGTAGAGAACGCAGTCGAGGCAGCCCTTCGCGCTGGATACCGCCATATCGACGCCGCCGCAATTTACCAGAACGAATCGGAAGTAGGGAGTGGCTGGAAGAAATCAGGAGTACCTCGTGAAGAGATCTTTGTTAGTGCCTTTGTCGCATTTACTGTTTCTTGGGCATTTGACTGACAGTCTCCTTGACATTGGTTTCTAAATCACCAGCAAGCTGTGGAACACCCACCATCATCCTGAGAATGTAGAAGAGGCCGTCAACAAGACCCTCAAGGATCTCCAGACGGACTACCTCGATCTGTACTTGGTATGGTAGTACTCAACATCGAATTCAGGCACTGCTAATAAACCCAGATCCACTGGCCCGTGGCTTTTATTTACCAGAACAATTTTCAGCCTCCCCTCGACCCAGTCACAAAGCGCTTCCGGCTCGCAGATGTTCCCATCTCCGAAACATGGAAAGCACTGGAGAACCTCGTCGATTCGGGCAAGGTGCGGAGTATCGGTGTGAGCAACTTCACCCAGGACAAGATAGAAGAGCTTCTCAAGACCGCGAGGATCCCTCCGGCTGCGAACTAAATCGAGGCGCATCCATACTTGCTGCAGTCCAAGCTCACGGAGTACTTGAAGGAGAAGGTGGGCAATCCTCCGTAAGACCAATTGATCGAGATCGCTAATGGATAACGCAGAACATCCTCCCTGTCGCATATAGCCCTCTGGGCAATAATATCTTCGATCTCCCTCGGTATGTCGTCCATGTCAAGTCCTACCCACACACTAACCATGCCACAGTGTCATCGACGACCCTCAGGTCATTGAAATTGCGAAGAAGCTCAACAAAGACCCCGCTATCTTGCTGATCTCGTGGGCTGCCCAGCGCGGCACCGCCGTTTTGCCCAAGAGTGTTACCCCATCCCGAATTGAAAGTAACTTCAAAGGTACTGGACCTCTCTCCGTTACATCAAAAACCAGACAACTAACGAAACCTCAGATTTCATCATCCCCGACGCCGAGTTCGAGGCTCTGAACAAGCTTGATCGCAACACGCGATACAACTACCCTTTCCGTTGGGGAATAGGTATCTTCGGAGAGTTAGGAGCCGAAGAAGCAGAGCGACGGGCCGAAGAGTTTGCTGTGAAACTGAGAGAGGAAGCTTAGACATTACTTTCATGTAGACGCCCGGTTAAAATAAGACATCAACTGGCCAATCCATGCGCTGCGATCAAAGAAAAATAACCCCCATCATGATGAAAATAGCAATCACATAAAAAATCACAAAACAGCATCTTTTAAAGACAACAACCAAGTCGAAAGCACACACAAATACACAAAATAAAGAAAAATGTCCAAAACTCGACACACATGAGTCAAAGCATGCATGCCTGCATACATGTACAACACCGCCAACAACGCCCCGACGGAAATCCCGACCCATCAAATATTTCCTCAACCAGAAAAGCAACGCAACTGGAATAAATCTCTAACTGGAAGTTTCTCATAGCAACCTAATCCAATTCAATCCAATTTAAAATACTACCAACAAAAAACCGGAAGCAAGAAATATTCGACCCACCAAATCAATAACCCAAATGTCCTCCTCCGTCCAAGAAGGCCGAGTAACCAAGAACCATACACGTCGGAAACGCGTGCGCGGCCAAGTGCAAAAACCGAAGATACGGGCTAGTAGCTCTACCACGAGCCAACAACGTGATCAGTTTACAGTTGATTGTGATGATGAGGAACAATGTAAGTTAGACTTAATTCCATATACTACGAATAAATAAGTGGGAATGGTCAAATCCCAAACCAGACCATATTTCCAAAACCAAAAAAGAGATCAAGTGAAAAGCTAACCCCATCCCCAGACCACCATCTACTCCCACTAGTCGAACGGACCAATTTACTCGACATTGAAGAGTTCGCATCGAAATACATTCCCTCAGAATGCTTAATTTACAAGGGTCGTAATGCGGCAAGTTCTGATAAATCCCAACCCCAATACAAAATATCCATCTACGATGCATCCACCATTCCCAAAACAGATCTAAACCAATGCTTCGATCTCATTGAGGAAACGTCTTCGAATGCGTACCGGGAGTCTTCTACGGGTTGGTCCCCGACCAAGAAACGCAAGGAGATGAAACTTCCCGATATGAAGTATTTGGTTGTTTGTCGGGAGGGGTCCGAGTATGCAGAGGATGGTGTGGTCGGATTCCTGTCATTTATGGTTACGTATGAGGATGGGAAGGAGGTGATTTATTGCTATGAGGTGCATTTGGCGTCGAAGGTGCAGGGGCTGGGGCTGGGGAAACGGCTTATGCTTATGTTGTTGGAAATTGGGAGGCGAGTGGGTATGGAGAAGGCTATGTTGACGGTGTTTAGGTCGAATGGGCTGGCGCAGGGGCTTTATGAGGCTCTTGGGTTTAAGACGGATGAGTATAGTCCGCGTCCGAGGCGATTGAGGAATGGGACGGTCAAGGAGCCGGATTATAGGATTATGTCAATACAATTGGATGGTGGGCCGTATGTATGAGGGGGTTTGGGGCCATGAGGTGAGGCTTTGTTATTGTATATACTAGAATATAAGTTACACTTGTCGCACTTCTTTGCCCCGCAGCTCGGGGTTATCATGCTCCCATTCGTCTCGGAGAGCCGCGAAGATGGTGTCCGCCAACAATATCGAGAGGCCAAGACTCCATACCAGGGTAATGGCGTAGAAGAAGTTGGCATTGCCAGAGCCGGCGTAGATCCAAAGATGGTAGAACGCGGGACCCAGGAGAGTGGCGTAGAGTAGGGCGGAAATTGCAAAAAAGGTGTATCGCATCACTGGGTAGGATTAGCTTGGATCAGCACATGCACTGGCAGAGGTACTTACAAGGGAAGAGGTGGCGGTAGAGTGGAAGGAGGGCGAAGTATAAGGACGCATCAGAGATGCTAGGATAAGGCTTGAAGATGGCGAAGATTCCCAATAGAGATGTGAGCACAAACAAGGGCTGCCGGCGCAGTCGCACAGTAAGCCCACCCATGTATGCAGCTAAATGGAGCCAAAACACTCCAAGGAAGAACTCTCGGAACGAGTCAAAGATCTCAATGAAGAAGTACCACCAAAGGCCAACATTGGGGGTCAGGTCAGGGACCAGCAACTGGAAACCATATGTCGCAGAGATGAATGTGTAAAGGTCACCAATCAACAGAGTAGATATCCCAAGAAATCCTGCAATGCATGTAAGAAAGATTGCGAAGTGTCGCAGAGCGAACGATGCGACCCCGGAGGACGCCTTAGCCTTCTGAACGCGCTGATCGTAGCATAGGAGAACAAGCGGAATGAAAAGAAGCGCTGGGTATATCGACAAGTATGACGCGAAGCCTAGAGCAAGCATTGCATTCAAACTGTTTCCGCTAACGGCGCTTGAAAAGGAGTATAGAATTCCAGTTGTAGTAAACACCCCAGTTGACCGGCCTAGGCACGTTGCGACGGTGAAGGGATTGAACAGGAACCTGGCAGCGTTAGCGGCGTAGACTACCAAGTATACAGAAACCACCAAAATACCATGCTGCGATTGACACTCCATCCCATCTAATATGCTTCCGCAATGCCGAATAGAATCTCCCCGAGACCGCCTGTCCTGAATCCGAGATGGTAGCCAAAGCGTTCGCATTCACGAGATCTATTAGCGAGTAGAATACCGCAGTCGGTAGAGGGAAAGATTGAGCGTTCGGGAGGAGGGAGAATAGAGGAAGAAGTAGCGGTGCCTGTGCTTGGTCAGAAAGATCGCACAGTCGGTTGTCAAGGAATCGGCCAGCCATACCTGGTGGAAGACGCCTCCGTCGTAGGGGGAAACATTGCGCGTGTAGAGGAAAAGGCCTTCTTGAACTATACGATCCATGGTTAGTCGGTCGCCCATCCCCTACGTTCCAATCTCCAACTCACGTCGTTTGAAGCTGGTCACCGGTGTCGAGACCTCGACCCTGCCCGTCAACAAGTCGGGGAGTGAGGGGAACAGCACTAAGAGAAGAAGTCGCAGGGCCAGAGCACCGCCGAACACGGCTGCTTTTCTGTGATCTATGCCCATGCTGACTTCAACAGAGCTGTATAATCAGGGCATGCCCTTCCGGATCAAGAGTCGGTCAATGCAGCGGCCATAAGATTAGTCGAGGGGAATTCAGTTGGAGGCGGAGAGACCTCAAGCTGTCGGAGTGGCTTCACGTGCCCCGACGCCTCCGCGCATTTCCCTTTTCCGCAGCGCACGGGCCACCCCGAGCTGCTGATCCAGAAAAGTAAAGGAAAAAAACTTATCGAGATTTTTTCTGGTTATCGTATTTTCTCTAATCTTCAACCCACCAATTTTACACCGGCACCGTCGCAAAGATGGCTAAGATCAAGAAGAAGGGTATGTTTTCTTCTCTTTTTGTTGCGACAATATCAAACTGACAATTCCCTTTTCCAGGAACCTCTGGCCAGGCCAAAAACTTCATCACCAGAACCCAGGCCGTGCGCAAACTTCAGATTTCCCTCCCGGATTTCCGTCGACTATGTATCTTCAAGGGTATGCCTTTTCTGTGCTCGGATCAAGCGTTTTAGGCTCGAATGGTTCTCATAATACTGACCAAAACTTCGAAAAATAGGAATCTATCCCCGTGAGCCTCGCAACAAGAAGAAGGCCTCCAAGTCTTCCACCCCCAACACCACTTTCTACTACACGAAAGATATCCAGTTCCTTCTGCATGAGCCGCTCCTCAGGAAGTTCCGCGATCAGAAGGCGCTTGCGAAGAAGATTGCCCGGTCTCTTGGGCGTGGAGAAGTGGGAGATGCATCCCGCTTGGAGAAGAACCATGCGCCCAGACTCACCTTGGATCACATCATCAAGGAGCGCTACCCAACGTTCATTGACGCTCTCAGAGATCTCGACGATGCTTTGTCTCTGCTGTTCCTCTTCGCTAACCTCCCCTCTTCTGCTCACGTTCCTCCCAAGACCATCGCTCTCTGCCAGCGGGTCTGCCACGAGTTTCAACATTACCTGATTACCACAAACTCTCTGCGCAAGTCCTTCTTGTCGATCAAGGGTATCTACTACCAGGCGACCATCCAGGGACAGGACATCATGTGGCTTGTCCCCTACCGATTCGTGCAACGTGTGAACGGCGACGTCGATTATCGTATCATGGCCACTTTCGTCGAGTTCTACACGACTCTTCTCGGATTTGTCAACTACCGCCTCTACTCGACGCTTGGTCTCCGTTACCCCCCTAAGTTCGATACCCGGAGCGACGAAAACGGTGCTGAGTTGGCGGCTTTCACTCTGGAGGGACGCGGTGTTGGCGAAGCCCCTAAGGCTATCGAAGCAAACAAGCAGACGAACAAGTCTTCCAACCAGGAGGTCTCCAGTGAGGTCCAAGCTAAGGTAGACAAGGTCATCAAGTCGGCAGGTCTGGATAAGACGAAAGACGAACAAGTCGTGGAGTCAACTGAAGAGGCCTCTGATGCGATCGACAAGTTCGAGCCTACTGCCCCCGAGGCCGACACACTTCCCCAGCCTGACTTGAGCGGAGAGCAGGCTGGCTCTCTGTTCGCTCCTTTCGTCTTCTACGTTTCCCGTGAAGCACCCAAGGCACCCTTGGAATTTATCCTTCGGTCCTTCGGCTGCACTAGAATCGGCTGGGACACTGTCCTTGGTGACGGAGCTTTCACACACGACGAGACTGATACCCGCATCACTCACCAGATTGTCGACCGGCCTTCTTTGCCTGAGTCGTCGCTGCCGGCTGTTCCTGCTGCCTCCGCGGAGGGAGCTGCTCAGAAGGTCAGACCGGGCACTCGCATTCCCGGCAGAACCTATGTCCAGCCTCAGTGGGTGTGGGACTGCATCAACGAAGGCAAGCTTCTCCGCGCCGATCTCTACGCCCCTGGTGCCACTCTCCCTCCCCATCTGAGCCCATGGGTCAAGCCTACCAAGGGTGGCTACGACCCCCGCGCTAGCTTGGCTGAGCAGGAAGAGGAAGGCGAAGCTGAGCTGGATGAGGAAAGTGGCAGCGACGAGGAGATGGAGGACGCCACCGAGGACAAGAAGGCCGATGTCATGGAGGAGTCCGAGGCTGAGAGCGAAGATGAGGATGATATCAACGGTGGCATGGATGTTGCTGAGACTGACGAGGACGAGAGTGGTAGCGAGGAGGAGGAAGATGAGGACTTCGGTGGATTCGAAGAGGAGGCTGCTTCCGAGTCCGAAGATGAGGATGAAGCTGCCCGGACACAGCACCAGAAGGAACTCGAGGCTGAGGCTGCCGGTCTTCCTTTCTCGTCTGGCGGTGCCGCGGGTGAAGCGTCCAAGAAGAAGTCTTCGCAGGCTAAGAAGATCGCCTCGAAGAAGCGCAAGGAGGAGGAGGAACTGGAGAGACAGAAGATGATGATGAGCCGGAAGAAGCGCAAGCTGCTCGAGAAGATGATGTACTCGAACAAGAAGCAGTCCGACGAAGCTGCCAAGCTGCGGTCCAAGCGCAGAAAGCTTGAGAAGGGCGAGAAGGGTGGCCAGAAATGAACATAGGCACATAAAAGTTGGCTTTTCTGTGAGAATAGAATGATATCCTTGTTGGGATTTGGAAGCATTCCTATAACGGCGTCTTGAGTCTTTATTTCATAGCATCAGTTTCTAGAGTGTTGTCAACAAGTCTACACATCTGCTGTTTGTTCAAAATAGGCACACTTAGTGTGATAAAAGAAAAAAATATGCCAATCCCTATCAATTGAGACCTGCAGTGAAGTGCTGACCAAAAGCGCCGGATGTTGTTCAAGAGGATAGACGCTATATATCCGTAGGGATGAGTACACCAACAATCGACCATCTGATCCCACAAGCCCCCGTAATACGAATACGATGTGTAAACTTGATAGCGATCGGAGCCAAGACTTATTTCCTCCCCAAAAGTGGTATTTGATGTTTCAGAAAGCATAAGTTCGTGAAGATGGACTGATCCAAATCAGACCTGTATCAAGTCACGTGCAGTCGACTTTTTCTCCAGATCCGCAAGCATTCAATCTCTCCATCAACATTCCCAATTCATTTCTAGAAGTGCGCAAAATAATTCTAATTTGGCTCGCTGTAAGTATGCCGAACCTACAATAAGATCCGATGGCTAATTCTCCGAAGATAAGTTCATGTCCACGAGGCAAACTTTGACGAATATCGTCAACCGACAACCATCTAGATTGTCACTGTCTAGCCTAATTTACGATTTTCTTGGCTTGGCACAACTGGATATTCACTGCATGTGCTCAAAATAACCACAACTGCTATTTCACCATTTCATTGAGGCATGTCCTCACTTTCGAACAGGCATTCACCGCGCTTTAGCCCGCCACAGTCAGCGCAGCCTTATAGGTCCATTTTCGGAGGCCCTAGCAGCCAGGATGTTGCTGATTTGGCACCCTACCCAGAGCCTGGCTTTGGTGGAGGAGATGGCCAAGCAGACCTTGATATGGTCATGGAAGAGGAACCGTTGATCGAGAACGGTCTCTCCGACGCTACGTACGTCGAGAGTGATGACGGCGGATCTGCCTCAGATGGGAGTAGCTATGCATCTCGCCATCAGTCACCCGAAAAGAAGGTTCCGGATCGTATTGAGGATTTCCAACGTGAATCAGAGAGCCCATCCGAGCCTTCATATCGTCCCAATAGGTTTCGGGGGCCTGAATCTACGTGGAGAAAATTGACTGCCGAAGAGAGACAAAATGCTCAAGCTCTGGAAGATATTCGAGCTAAGGATCTTGCTGCGCATCTATACAATGCTTATGCACTCCGGGTCCGGGCTCGGGAAATAGCAAGACGGGCAACGGAGACGAACGAACAACTACACGACGAGATGGAGGCTTTTGCTCCCCCAAAGCGCTGGGCGGCGTGGCCTCTTCCTTCAGCAGAAGTACCGAGACCGGACGAGGAAATTCGGAGCAGTGTGGATGATGTTTGGACGTTGAGAATGCAGCCAGATCCTCGACCGAGTGCCGAATTGGAGGAAACTATAATGGCCATCATGCTCCAAACAGCAAAAGAGAGATTCATGGCCAGGGACTGGGAATCTAAAGCGAGACCATATACCCCACTTCGAAGAAAAAGGTCGGCGTCTCAGATTGAGACGCAAGAGGAAAGCACCGGCTGGGAGAGTGAGCGTGATGGTATGGATGAAGTCCCGTTACGTCCTGCTGTTCAGACAGATGACGACAAATCACGTCGACAACTACGTCCGCTTACTCGGAATATACTATCGCAACTCGACGATCTACTCATGGGACTTCACCGTGCCCGGAAGGGCGGAGTGGCCATGGATGACAGCTCCGCAAGTGATTGGCAAACCGACACCGAGAGCATGATCTCAGTCGGATTATCTCCCAGGAAGAGAAAAATCGCTCTCCAGAGAGAGAGGAGTCAGTCTAGAGGAAGAAAACGCACCCGACGGTCGTCCTGGAAAAGCGGTTCAAGCGATGCTCGTTCTCAGAGCACGCATGTTTTAAGCGAACCGGAATCAAGCGTACTTGCCTCTTCCCAAGCGGATTCACGCTACAGATCACGGTCGCAACATTCTTCCCGCTCACGGGGACGCTCAATCGGTAGCGATCGCCGACGGTCGGGGAGTCGTGCTCGCCTTGGGATACGAGACTGGAGTGAGGTATTGGGAGTCGCGTCCATGATAGGCCTGCCACCAGCTGTGGTGATGCGGACAGCACAGAGATGTTCGAACCTATTTGGCGAAGATATGGCATTCCAAGTCCTCAAAGAAGGGAAAGTCAACCAAGATGTACAGGATGAGGATGCGAAGATATGGAGATACGCAGAAAGCGAATGGGAGTCCGAGCCGGAGCCTGAATCCGAGGTTGAAATCTCACAACCATCTCGACCGGCAAGCAGACGGTCACGCTCTCGTGCCACTTCCACGAAGGGATCTACATCACGAGCCAACAGCACAGCACCAGAAGACGCCGGTGATGCGCCTCGACCAAAAGGCAAAGGGGACCATCGTAAGAAGGATTTGGTATGTCCTCTCCGGGCGTGTTCTCGACACAGCAAGGGCTTCTCGCGGATGTGGAATCTTAATCTACACATGAAGCGCATGCATCCGAATTATCGATCTAAAAGTCTTGATGGGCGATCTTCGACCGGCACACATGGTGAAGGAGATGTATATGACGAGTAATATTTTTATAGACAATATACTTGGGCCAGTTGCCCTTTTTCATACCTGGGAAGGAAAAACAGTTTTGTAAACTAAATGCCGATTGATGATGTTGAATATCAATATGTAATAAAAATGCAATAATACAACTCGAGATACCGGAGATCTAGCAGAGCCCGATTGGTGGAGGGCTCCGGAGCTGTCATCAAAGCCATTGCCGATTGGCTCTATCTACCGAGACCAGGGATAGCATATCGATATGGTAATCCTGATACATCACTGTATTTTGAGACGAAGTATAGACGATGGAAGGCCAAAAAGGCCATATATATCCTTCAAATAAGGCTATTTACACCGTGGAACTCCAAAACAGTAATATATACTGCTCTGCATGCCCTCAAACCGGACAGCAACCCTGAACAGGAGTGAAGGCGCCACCCGAAGCTCCGAATGACGTCTGCCCACGTGACCGGGAGCTCCCCGCTGAACGGCCACCGGTAAGATTCGCGACGCATCGCCATTGCGAGAATCCACTGCTGGCGCCGAGAATAAATAGCTGGTCTTGTCCGAGGCCCGTTGGAAACTCCTTCAGTTCTTCTGTTCTTAGCAGACCGGCAAAGTTGTGGCACAGAGACCCCAAAGCGCATCCCGGAATCCCCTTCTCACCCGCAAACCGAGGTCTCCCCGCACCGACTTCGGAAAGAACAGCGAAAGAGCAGCTGAAGATCTGCTCGTCCGCCAATTGCGATTGTTGGGACGATTCGCTTAGCTGCGACTAAATTCAATATATATTTAAGTCATGGATAGGCTTGCTCGTCCAGTCTCCCGACAGCTGTTGAGACCGCGCCTTCGTTATCCCTTCTCCGTTCCTCCTCCCATCTACGCTAAACGCCTTTACACCATGGGTTACACCGTCCCTCCGGTATGTGCTCATGTCATATTTCAAGCCCAGGCAAGCTAATTGCTAAACTCGATCACCATCACAGCTTAAGGACAAGTCCCTCTTCATCCAGAAGGCGTACGTCAATGGCGAGTGGGTAGACGCTCAATCCGGGAAGACCTTTGAAGTCCACGGTAGGCCAAACACCCTTACGACCCAACTCCAGGATCGACTACTCATCACAGAACTCTCTCTATAGACCCTGCATCCGGAAAACTCATCGGCACATGCCCCGAATTCACCGCTGCCGACACCGACAAGGCCATTCAGGCCGCCCAAGAGGCATTCCCCAAGTTCCGCACAACGCTGGCCCGCGAGCGCGCCCGCATGCTGCGCAGATGGTACCAGCTCATGATCGACAACGCAGAGGACCTGGCCACCCTGATAACCTGGGAGAACGGGAAGCCCCTCGCTGACGCCAAGGGCGAGGTGAACTATGCCGCCAGCTTCTTCGAATGGTTCAGCGAAGAAGCCCCCCGTATCTACGGTGACACAATTCCGTCCTCCGTGGCCGGTAACCGGGTCATCACCCTCAAGCAGCCCGTCGGTGTCTGCGGTCTTATCACACCATGGAACTTCCCCGCTGCCATGATCACTAGAAAGATCGGTCCCGCCCTGGCGGCTGGTTGCACCGTCGTTGCCAAGTCCCCTGGTGAGACGCCCTTCACCGCGAATGCCCTCGCCGAGCTGGCCCACCGCGCCGGTATCCCCAAGGGTGTCGTCAACATCGTCACCGCGGCACAGAACACCCCCGAGGTCGGCGAAGCCATCACTACCCACCCAGAGGTTCGGAAGGTCTCTTTCACCGGCTCCACCAACGTCGGCAAGCTTCTTATGAAGCAGGCCTCTTCCACCATCAAGAAGGTCTCTTGGGAGCTGGGTGGCAACGCGCCTTTCATTGTCTTCGACGACGTTGAGGACCTTGATGCCGCCGTTGCAGGTGCTATCGCCTCCAAGTTCCGTAGCTCTGGCCAGACCTGCGTCTGCGCGAACCGGATCTACGTGCAGCGCGGCGTGTACGACGAATTCGTCAAGCGCTTCGTGGCCAAGGTCAACGACTTCAAGCTCGGTGCGGGTTTCGAAGAGGGCGTCACCCACGGCCCTGTCATCCACAACCGCGCCGTCGACAAGGTCGATGAACATGTCCGTGACGCTGTGTCCAAGGGCGCCAAGGTCCTTGCTGGTGGCCAGAAGGCTCCTCACCTCGGCCCTAACTTCTACGATCCCACCGTCCTCGCCGAAATGAGCAAGGACATGCTGATCGCCTCCGAAGAAACCTTCGGTCCTGTGGCCGGTCTCTTCCCCTTCGAGACCGAGAAGGAGGTCGTCAATCTTGCCAACCGCGCTGAGGTCGGTCTGGCCGGATACTTCTTCAGTGGTAACGTCAAGCGCATTTTCCGCGTTGCGGAGGCTCTGGAAGTCGGTATGGTTGGTGTCAACACGGGTCTTATCAGTGACGTTGCTTCTCCGTACGTACTCTCTCCTCCAACTTAGACCTACTCAAGTTTTAGTACTAACAAGCTACACAGATTCGGCGGTGTCAAGCAGAGCGGCTTCGGTCGGGAGGGAAGCAAGTACGGTATCGATGAGTTCTTGACGATCAAGAGTGTGACTTTCGGTGGAATTGAGCCTCTACAGTAAAAGGCCTTTGCACAAATTACGGTTTTATATGATAGGATAGATTGGTCGGATACTTTTTTTTTGGTTTATTATGGGATATGGGAAACGGGGTTATGTTACATTATGCTACCGGCTTTACTTACGGCGCTGCTTCTTATTCTGATGATCCTTCTTTCCTTTCTTTCCCTTCTTCTTCTTCTCCTTAAGGCCGGACTTGTCACCCTCACGCTTCTTGCGCTTCTTGCCCTTCGCCTCTTCCTGCACTCCATAGTCACCCACAAAACCGGCATCCTCTGCGTACAAGCCGGCTACCATCATCAAAGTCTGCCCCACTGTCGACAGTCCTACAGCAGCCGCCTCAAACGAAGCACCGGCCGTGTTCATCAGGCGATAGATTCGCTCGGCCTGCTGGACATCAACTGACGACTGCTGGACGACTTGCTGTTCCTTCTGGCCGCTTGCATTTCGCTTCTTGCTGCTGGACTTATTCCCCGACGGACCTTTCCTCTCACTAGCCCCCTGCTCATTATCCCTCCTCCCCCTCATATGCGCAATCCTAACACTCTTCTCTCGCTTCCCGGCTTTATCTTCGCGATTATTAACTAAAGACATCCATCAGCATCATCAAACCCCCCTTCAGGTCTCCACAAGTCTAACACTTACCATGATACTCACACCGGAACCCATTGCTATTGAAATGACAATTCGCACATTCTTTTCGCCAAAAGTCGTCCGACTGTACACACTCGGCGAATGGCCCGCGATTGTTGGCGCAGCACTTGCACGGAACCTCCGCAACAGGACCGACGCATTGAAACATCACCGCTTCGCGGTTCTGCCGGGGTTCGAGATTCAGACTCATATTTCGACTATATTTTCGAATTTTTCGCAGAACTGGTTCCCGCACAACGGGCATGGCCTTCGCAACTCTCATGTGCGAACTGGGGTTGCGGAGGCTTGTTAGGTCCATTGCTATGGCCGAGGGAATCGTGTATTCGTCGGTTGTTGGCGGGGAGGGGGAGGGGGAGGGAGAGAAAGAGATAGATGGAGAGGGAGGGAGAGAGAGAGAGAGAGAGGAAGACGGAGAGAGAGAGGGAGAGGGAGAGGGGGGAATCGGTAAGGCAGGCAGAAGATTGTTGGTGGCCATTGTAGGAAGAAGTTGTTGATGGGGATTGATTTGAGATATGTTAACAAAACGACAACAACGATATTAGAGAAAGGATGTATCTCGGAGGATGATGAGTAATCGTTGTAAATGAAGATGAAGTGGAAATCCGTGGCTTATATACTAATTCTCAGTGTTACTGTCCTGCAGTGTTGGTCAACAGGTGTTCGATATATGTGTGTTCAACGGTAAGTATATGTGTAATTTACTTCCATTGAATCGGAACATCCCAGTACTCTCCCTCCTCATCTACTCAAATGGAGGGAGGCTATACGACTAGTTGTGTTATGTTATGGAGCTAGAGCAGACCACTCTTCCTTCCTTCGAAATCCAAGTTCACCATTGACACACCCTAACCTATCCAACACCCCTAAGCCAACCCATTACACCTACTCCCATTACGATAGTTATCCTTCGTCGAGGTGGTATAATTCCACCAGAAGTTCAAATACTGCGGTTCTTCAGCCGGAACCTCACACTCGGATACAAAAGAAGGCAACCCCCGCACAAACTCCGTATAGTTGGCCAAGGGACATGAATACCCGGGACCATCCTGGCATTCCTGTAGAGGTACAACGGCTTCGTTAAGCACGAGTCGGACGAAGGAGCCAGCAGGTGCGAAGGCGGAGTCGGTGCAGTTTAGGCGCTCGATGGTGAGGCGGCCGCCCATGGGAACGATGTCTTCGATTTTCCAGGGGGAGTTGAAGGCTACGCGGTCCGTGGGGAGGTCGGTGGGTGGGGTAGCGATGCCGAGGGCGGTGATTATGGGGGTTATGTTGCTGTCGTGGGCACTAGGGAAGGAGGAGGAGGTTAGGGGTTGAGAGGTAGAGGGGGGAGGAGGGGTTCGGTACAAGTTGAAGAAGAGAGAGTTGGATGAAGGGCCTTGGTTGAGGAGGGATAGGGTGGCGTTGACGTAGAGGGCGCCGACGGCACGCATGTAGGAGTTTCCGGGGCTGGATGGGTTGGATGACATGTTAGAGTGGGTGTGGAGGAGATGGGGAGGGAGGGTACCCTGAGCAGTAGTAGAAGTTGATGTTCCAAATGTGTGAGAAACTGATCCATTCGTCGGTGGTGAATACGTTGATCCAGTCTGATGAAGAGCGCGTGTTTAGCTCGTAGGCCGTCATTACTGCTGATTGTTAGAAGATAAAGGAGGTAATCCGGATGTTGGAGATGTACGCATTAGTGAAACCACATCTGTCCAGTTGAGGTTCAAGCCCTGATACTGAGCATTCAGTCGGTCTGCAGCTGCATCGAATTGTGGAAGGTAGTATGGCATGCTGTTGCAGATATTCTGTGCGTTGTCGTCTTGCTTGTGGCATGTAGGAGTCAGACTATCTGCGCCTTGACTGCTAGATTCAGAGATGATATTGAGCGCTGCTTTGGTCGAGTAGCTGTCATTACCGACAAATCCTTCTCCAAATTTCTGGGCAGTCTCGATGACTCTTTGGAAGTCGGCAGTGAATATCGGGAGAACGGACTCTCCGTCCCAGAGGTGTCCGTAGCGTTGGCGATATTCCTTGCCATGATTGTAGGCGTCTGTTAACCCTGCATAGGGACCTGTCCAGGTCTCTGCCTCGTAGCAGTCGGAGGGCACGAAGTAGGTCCAGTTCTTCAGGAAGGCTAGATCTCCGCTATAATTTCCTGCGATGGTGTTGTTGACCTTCTTTAGAGCCTGTTCGATGGAAGTTCCTTCCCCTGATGCGGGATATCGTTCTCCATGTCTTTTGATCATAATGACCTGATCAACGGAGCATTGCGCAGGGGTGTCGCGACTGACCCCGTAAGATACATGGTCCACATAAGGACCACGGACTCCGTCATATTTGAGGAAATTCTCCCCGTCGAACACTTTCTGGGAGATGAGTGAACTGGAGAAGATGGATGAGTTGGCTACTGCAGTGACTGCTGGGATGGACCACAGAAAAACGATTCCGACCCATAATCGCGTCATGTCGATGGTGCCGGTCGAGGATTGAGAGCAAACTATGCTTGGGGGTCTGTTGTTCAGGATTGAGCATGCACGTATATGCGCTTTCTAGATCTTCGGTATGCAGGGCAAAAGATGACTTCATTCAGGCATGCAAGAAGGGGCCTGTGGGCAATCAGACGATCGGAGGCATGTCGTAAATAACTTTTAAATAGTATGGCCAAGTCTAGGACACCCCCCTTGCATGCTGCCACGGGAATAACGCAATCCTGCGGAGTGTACTCCGTACCGCTCAGTGACTTGAACAGATTGGAGGGGCTCTTACCCTGATTAAGACCTGGTGCGAGGATGCAACAAGAACGGAGCGTAGAAAGATCCAGCCTGGGGGTGTCGCGTGAGGAACCCCGCTCGTCCGAAATGCAATTGCCCCCTCAGATCGACACCCAGAAAAGGTCCAGTCGGGAAGAGGCAGCCAAAGAAAAAGACAATTCCAATGTATAGACACAATTAATGTACAGACAATGCAACAAAGCGCCTAACCAACCAGTTGGTCGTATCCCATAGCAAATGCGCGATTTTCCCAGTGTCGAGACCCCGTAGCCGTATACCCACCCAACATCTATGCTTTCACTATCACCGTGGCGATATCATGTAGTGGGATTGGTCTCCTCGGTGTCGGCTTGATGTTCAAGGCAAGCAAATCCCGTTTGAAGGTACGCTCATTCTCTCATGCTCTTGCTGTCGTCCCCACATCTATTTCCCTTGGCGCTGCTTGTGCTTCGGGTTCTTGGAGCTATTGAGCACATATGTCAGCCATCATGCCGTAATCAACCTGCAGCTCATATCGATGTAACCTTACCAGATGATGTAGACACGGTTCTTTCTCCGCACAGGCTGTAGTTCCCGGTTGGTTAGCCTCACCCCACACCAAGCGAAGGCAGGTCTCTTCAGACGCCAATTTCTCCAATCCTGGGAAAAAGGCCTATCCAGAGTATCATACCTTGCACCCCTCACAAAGCCGCTTAACCGATGAGCGCGTCTTCATCCCCCGGACCTGCTCAACCTGTCTCAATGTTGACCCCACGCTAGCGACACCCACATTGCCGGTCTGCTTTCCGGAGCGCAAAAGACGAAGGCCATTGCCGAGGGAGAGCCTGGCGATTTGCGAAAAGGGGCGCGAAACCAGAGCGGCGGACCGGCGAGAGAAGGAGGGGAGAATTTGGCGGAGGGCACCGGTCGAGGCCCCAAGGACGGAACGGAAAGACACCATGTTGTCGGATTGCGGATAGACAATCCTTCTAGAGCCGCCGAAAGGAATGCAAGAAGACAGAAAAGCTCGAGAAATGTAGACTCGAGACCGCCGAGATGCTCTATCTCGATCGATTGTTCGGAAACCCTTCGGAGCAAATGCTGGCCGGAGTTTCTGTACCGCCGGAATCCGAGCTCCCAAGGTTGCCTGCCCTTGATTGGTGGATTCATTGGCCAATCATGCAGCACTCACAGAACCAGAGCATCTATACAGTATGCGAAAGAGCGAGACATCTGCTCACAGTACAGATAAACACTTAAGAATGTTTAATATGTAATTTATAAAGTAGTAATTTTAAGGTGTCAATATCATGCTGCATTAAGATATATACGAACAAAAGTTCCTAACGTAGGTACACAGATCTATCATTCCTATGCCCAACAAACGCCTAAACACTTCCACTTGAGATCCATCAACGGCCCACACTAAGTTTTCTAGAAAATCTAACAATAACAAAAACGAACAGAAAGACATGGCGCATTTCCGCTAACGAAGAAAGGTCGTGTAGGTCGGGGAGTCGGTATGTTCGGTGAAAGGGTAGGCCAGGTCGCTAAGGAAAGCTTCCAGGTCCGACTTCTCGTCTTCAGGGCACTGGATTCCTGCGAGAACCTTTCCAACATCGCCGCCGTAGTTCCTGTAGTGAAACAAGGAGATGTTCTGGTTAGGACGAAGAGTCGTCAAGAACTTGGCGAGAGCACCGGGGCGCTCAGGGAACTCGAACATGAATAACCGCTCGTCAGCAACGTTGCTGCGACCACCGACCAGGAAGCGTACATGCCTCTTAGCGAGCTCGTCATCACTCAGATCCTTTGCATCCATTCCACCTCTCGTCAATTGGGCGATAATCTTGGCCAAATCATCCCGGCCAGTCGAGGCGGACAAGGAGATGCCCATCAGAACGTCGGCGGACGAGTCATGAGCATAACGATAGCTGAAGGCCGTAACTGCATGAGGAAGAACAACCTCGACGAGCTTGGCAAAAGCGCCCGGCTTCTCGGGGATCCTGACGCTCAGGAGCGCCTCTTTCCGCTCTCCCAGGGCAGCGCGCTCGGCGACAAAACGAAGACGGTCAAAGTCCATGTTGGCTCCGGAGGCGATAGCGCACAGCTCCCTATTCGTGTCGGGGCTGGGGTTCATGGCGACATACTTCTTAAGACCGGCCAGAGCCAGGGCACCTGCCGGTTCGATGATAGACCGTGTATCTTCGAACGCATCCTTGATGGCGGCACACGTCTCATCAGTCGTGACCTGAATGACTTCATCGATCACTTCACGTGCCACCCGGTAGTTCTCTTCTCCAACAGTCTTGACAGCAGCACCGTCGGCGAAAAGTCCCACATCCTTGAGGAACACGCGCGAGCCAAGGTCGAGAGACTGGGCCATCGCATTGGCATCCCGAGCCTCCACACCAATGACTTTCACATGCGGTGCGATCCGCTTGAGATAAACGCCAATGCCAGCAATAAGGCCTCCACCACCGACGGCACAGAAGATAGCCTCGAGCTTCTGTAAGTTGGCCTGGCGCAATATCTCCATGCCAATGGTTCCCTGACCGGCGATCACGTAGGGGTCATCGAAAGGCGGGATCATGGTAAGTCCATGCTGCTGCTGCAACCGAACCGCTTCTTCCTTGGCTGCATCGAAGTCATCTCCGTGGAGGACCACGCTACCACCCAGGCGCGCGACATTCAGATGCTTGATAGCCGGGGTGCCCGAAGGCATGACGATAGTGGCGGGGATCTTCAGTTTGCGAGCCGAGTATGCAACGCCCTGCGCATGGTTTCCTTTTTGATCTGTATTAGCCGATCGGTCACCATGACCAGTACACGGACGCCCACCCACCTGCTGAGCATGCAATGACTCCTTTCCACCGCTGCTCGTGAGTCAGATGCGCCATCTTGTTGTAGGCTCCACGGAGCTTGAAACTGAACACGGGGAGAAGGTCCTCTCTCTTCAAAAGCACACGACACTCCAGGCGATTGCTGAGGTTGACTGCATGATGAAGCGGGGTCTCGTCGATAATATCGTAGACACGGGACGTCAGGATCAGCCGGAGGTACTATTATACAGGAATTATATGAGCATTGAGGTCCAATACAAAGTAGATAGTCACAAAAGTCTCACGTCTGGGGTTCCATTGGGAAGCAGAAAGGCGTCAGGGATGCCAAAGTCAGTTGTCGATCGCTCCTGTCCATCCTGCTTTTCCGAAGTAGGAGACGGAGGCGAACTCTCAGTAAGAGTCAGATTGCTCAGCTTTGCAGGGAGGGGAGTCGGAACGCCATTCTCAGCGACTTCGCCCGGCATGATGGCGTCTTCGTAGAATTGACTTGAGGGGTTGATTGCGATAAGAACAAAGACAAAGTCCAGAATCCGGCGGAATTCCGTGAGTCAACCAAGTAAAAAAACGGCCGGTGGCACTGGCCGTCAAACAACGTATTCCGCGGGGACAAAATTCCGTGATCGGAGCGGGAAAGTTTATGTCATCAACCCTGGACCTGAGCCCTAAACAATGTATTTTGTTGGGGGAAAAGAGAAGCTGGAGATACGAGGCAATTGGGAAAAGACGCGCATTAAGGACTTCCAAAGTTATTTACAATAGCGAGCTATCCCACCATTAGGCCCCATGTGCATTCCGCGTGAGCGGGAACGGATCGCCTTTATCGCCAGGCATTGTGAACTTACATACCCCGTACCCATACTGCCATGGATGGCCGAGGTGGGCCTGGATGAATCGCAACTTGCAAGGGCTGTTACGTACATTCAGATCCTTGACCAATGAACGTGAGCCTTAAATGATGACCGGTTGATGCAGACCCCTTTCTGGTTCTTTCAAGGTCGGGAAAGTAACAACCAAATTCTATAGATACAAGTCGATGTGTACCTGCTCTAAAGTTGTAGTCGAAAGTCAAAAAAAGGAGGGATGAAAAGAGAGTTTGTTCCCGTCGATCCGCAACTACTTATTTGAGGCAGCACATTGACCCAGAATTGACTTGGCTTTAAGTGAAATAGCCTCTGTTGAGGCACTTAGTCAAGTACCTTCTCGGAACCTTTCCCCAGCGTTCATTATTGACCGATATGCCGCCTTTTGAAGATCGACCCTTGCTAGAAAGACAATGAAATATGCGGTATTTTCTAGACTTACGGAGTACCGGGCAGACTATCGGACGATCTCTGTATGGTATGATCGGAGGGTCAAGGCTGGTATAGTGCCTTACGTTCCTGTTATGTAATGTAATGTACCGAATAGTACGAAAATTATCTCCGCGGGTTCCTTCCGACGTCATGTCCCTCCAAGTTTACGCGCATTGCATTTACTTTTGTTGAGCCGGGCAAACATCAAAAAGGTCGGCAGTCATATGAAGCTCAAGTCCTTTTACCCATTAAAGCGCTACTTGGCTAACGCTTAGCAGATTTGATTGACTCCTACTCCTGCGGCTCCAAACCTTTCACCCAATTGCCACTTCGAATCGCAGCTTTTCCTGTGACAGTCAAGATGAGCGATCCTCTCCCATCATCGTTCGAAGAACATCCGTACGTTTATGGTGTCATTTGCGCAGATCACGAGATTACACTGTCGGAAGTATCTAACAAGCTCGCATCTCCAGTCAATTCCAGGAGGAAACTTCGCTCCAAAAGTTTCGCAGACGACTCAAGGAAGAGCCTCTGATCCCACTAGGTAGGTTATTGAAGCTTGGATTCGCCCTCCCACCAACCTGCTTTAGCTAACTCTAATCAACTATAGGATGTGCTGCCACTTCCTACGCCCTTTACCGGGCCTACCGGTCGATGAAGGTCGGCGACTCCGTTGAAATGAATAAGATGTTCCGTGCCCGTATCTACGGCCAGTTTTTCACCCTTATCGCCGTGGTTGCCGGAGGCATGTATTACAGAACCGAGCGCACACAACGGAGGGAATTCGAGCAGATGGTGGAGGCACGCAAGAGCCAGGAAAAGCGGGACGCTTGGCTGCGAGAGTTGGAGATTCGGGATACGGAAGACCGGGGTTGGCGGGAGCGTCATGCGGCTATTGAGGCCGCGGCCAACGAAGCTGCCCAACCCAAGAAACCGGTCCCAGAACAGGATGCGGCTCGGTCTGCTATTGAGCCCTCTGAGCAGAAGTCAATTGGAGTATTGAGTGCCGTGAAGGATTTGCTGTCGAGACAGAAGTAAGGCTGGCAAAAGCTGGCATGGTGAAGCTGTATCTCTTACTTGATTCTCATATTGATCTGGGTATCATATTGTACATATATATGCATTCGATTTTCGTCAAAATGACACTCTGTATCTTACCCTCTTGTTCTCGGAAGTTTTGAATCCCCGGCTCCTTGATTCATAATTGATGCTCGAGACTTTCGAGTATGGGATCTTGTCGGTCTCAGTGAGGCCATGCATTTTAGCCTACGACCTGCTCATCGACGTAGCGCTTCATCATCTCAAACTCAGACTTTCCAGTCTATAAAATGTCAGACATTGCTTATTCAATGAGAACCAGCGATCATCATACTGAGATTAGATACCGTATATGTTGCTGCGGGAAGCTATTAGTATAATTTTAGGCCTAGAGCACTGACGCAAAGCTTACCAGATCTGTAATATTTCTATTGCGCTCAAACTCACGTCGAGCATAACTGTGTAATTCGTCCCTGGTCGACGAACTTGGTATCTCTTTAATCCAATTAGTATACGAGGCACATCTATATTGCGCACAAACCACGACTAACTATTCAGTGCTCGAGTTATCTCCCGCCATAGTGAGATGACACGTTGTCTTTGGATGAACTATCAATTCGTCAGTATATGGAATTTGACTGGTGGTAGAGATAATCCACATGATCAAGGCTAATGGTTGGCTTTTTGAGCTTCGACGGCCGGCTGCGGGATACGGAAGCCAGCAAGTTTAGGGACGATCGCATCTGGCTGGAGAATTATGATGTACACCACTGGTCGTCGAACAATGTTGCTGAGGGATATCAATGTAACCCTTATCCTATCGCAATCTCTTGGAAACGATCATGCAACAGTGGCGGAGAATAAGGCGGTCAAGGAAACTGCCATGCGGTACGGCTATGAAATATTTCAGCGAAGTTTGTAATTACAATACACAATTTATGTCACCGTCCCGTACCTGATGGTCTAGAGCACGGGGTCCGACTCCGGGATAGACAACGCCTCCAGACTGACATGCTCTACTGTAAGAGGGCAATAATATAGAGGTATGAGTAAAGACAGCAATATGTCATACAATACCGCTCGGTGACTCGACAGACTACATCCCGACGAAAACAAGTCAAAGAGCATCGCCTGCATAGAGTCCGAGACGGCGGAGGCCAATCATACCTGGTATATCTCACGTGACCGCGTGCCTGGCTTCCCCGAACTTTTTTCGGAGCCGCAGAAAAAAGATCGCGACGCTTGGGGATCCAAAGAGCGTCAACATTCGATTGAGCCTCGGTGTGCACGGAGATCATCATGAGGACCCCTTCTCTCGCGCGGTTGCCATACCGTGCCGTCTCTGGCCTGACCAGGTCTTCTGTCCGTCTTCAGTCCCAGAACTTCCTGGCTCGGCGATGCGCTTCGACGGCTGCTCTCCGTACTGTTGCTCCGGCTTATCAGTCTATCCTGAGCAGCCGCTCCCAGCAGAGGAGAAACGCTTCTGCTACTGCCGCTGCTGTGTAAGCATTCTCTGTCGCTTTGTTTTCACTCGCTTTGCCCTTGTCTTGCCATTCATCTATAGTTGATGCTCGATTGCTGATTGCTGTATGTAAATAACTATAGCCTTGAGGCTGCCGCCGCCACCCCCGACTCCCTATCCCAGGAGGCCATCATTGAGAACCTTGATCCTGTTGAAGCTGCGCGTCTTGACAAAGTCCGGAACATTGGTATTGCTGTAAGGCTCATGGTGGATCAGGCGTGGTTGTAGAACTAGCATCTAATATTTGTTTTAGGCGCACATCGACAGTGGTAAGACCACATGTACCGAGCGAGTACTCTTCTATACCGGACGTATCAAGGCAATCCATGAAGTCCGCGGTCGTGATTCAGTTGGTGCGAAGATGGACTCCATGGACTTGGAGCGTGAAAAGGGTATCACCATTCAGTCCGCTGCTACTTTCTGTGACTGGGTGAAGAAGGACGCGGAGGGCAAGGATCAGAAATATCACCTTAACCTGATCGATACTCCGGGACACATTGACTTCACCATCGAAGTCGAGAGAGCGCTGCGCGTTCTGGATGGTGCTGTCATGATCCTGTGTGCTGTTTCTGGTGTTCAGTCTCAGACGATCACGGTTGACCGGCAAATGAGACGTTACAACGTCCCTAGAATCTCCTTCGTCAACAAGATGGACCGTATGGGTGCCAACCCCTTCAAGGCTGTTGACCAGATCAACAACAAGCTCAAGATTCCGGCTGCTGCTGTTCAAGTACCCATCGGTGCAGAGGACGAATTCGAGGGTGTTGTCGATTTGCTTCGCATGAAGGCGGTGTACAACCGTGGGCAGAGTGGTGAGGAGATCTTCGAGACAGACGAGATCCCTGACAAGGTCAAGGATGTGGTGGAAGAGAGAAAGCGAATGCTCATCGAGACCCTCGCCGACGTTGATGACGAGATCGCCGAACTCTTCCTCAGCGAGATTGAGCCTACCGAACAGCAACTGAGACAAGCCATTCGCCGGGCAACTATCGGCCTGAAGTTCACCCCTGTCTTTATGGGATCCGCACTGGCAAACAAGTCTGTTCAGCCGATGCTGGATGGTGTTATTGACTACCTTCCCAACCCAGCCGAGGTGCAGAACCTCGCTCTTGACAAGAAGCGCAAGGAGGCTCCCGTGAAGCTGGTTTCCTACAACTCCTTGCCTATGGTCGGTCTTGCTTTTAAGTTGGAAGAGAGCAACTTCGGCCAGTTGACCTACATCCGCGTGTACCAAGGTACTCTCCGCAAGGGTTCGTTCGTCTACAATGCCCGCAACGACAAGAAGGTCAAGATTCCTCGCATTGTTCGGATGCACTCCAATGAGATGGAGGAAGTCAGCGAGGTCGGAGCTGGCGAGATCTGCGCCGTGTTCGGTGTGGAATGTGCTTCCGGTGACACCTTCACTGATGGACAGCTCGGATACACCATGTCCTCTATGTTCGTCCCCGAACCCGTCATTTCCTTGTCCATCAAGCCCAAGAACAACAAGGATGGTGCCAACTTCTCAAAGGCTATGGCCCGTTTCCAGCGTGAGGACCCAACCTTCCGGGTGACCTTTGATGCGGAGAGTGAGCAAACTCTCATTTCTGGAATGGGTGAATTGCACCTTGAGATTTATATCGAGCGTATGCGTCGTGAGTACCGCGTCGACTGTGAGACTGGTCCGCCTCAGGTCGCCTACCGTGAGACGATTGGCGAGCGCGTCGAGTTCGACCATCTGCTCAAGAAACAATCGGGTGGTCCTGGTGACTATGCTCGTGTCGTTGGTTGGATGGAGCCGACTGGAAGCCTTACCGAGAACCACTTCGAGGAACAGATTGTTGGAGGAAGTATTTCGGAGAAGTTCCTCTTCGCTTGTGAAAAGGGTTTCCACATGTCTTGTGACAAGGGTCCTCTTGTTGGACACAAGGTCCTTGGTACCCGAATGGTTATCAATGATGGTGCTACCCACATGACTGATTCGTCCGAAATGGCCTTCAAGATTGCCACCCAGCAGGCTTTCCGCAAGGCTTTCAAGGAGAGCAACCCCTCTATCCTTGAGCCTATCATGAAGACCGTTGTGACGGCCCCCGCTGAGTTCCAGGGTGACGTTATCGCCCTCTTGAACAAGCGTAATGCTACGATCAACGACTCTGAGGTCGGCGTGGATGAGTTTACTGTGTTTGCCGACTGCAGTCTAAACGGCATGTTTGGTATCAGTTCTCAACTGCGTGCGGCTACTCAGGGTAAGGGTGAATACACCATGGAGTTCAGCCACTACGAGAAGGCACCTCCGCACCTACAGTAAGTTCTTCTCTCTATTGCCCTCTGTAACACAAGATCGATGCTAATTCAACACTCCAATTGTAGGAAGGACCTTATCGCGAAGTACCTGAAGGCCCAAGCCGACAGGCACAAGAAATAAGCTTGTCGCAACCCTGCAAATCAACGCATGGAATGACTTCGTGAAGGCTGACCCACTTCCTGAAGCTACGCTACGTCAGTGAACGCAGTTCAACGGGATATCTCATTACGCCTCCTCTCGGGACCTTGAACATACCATCCCCCACCCGTGCCCTATTCCCCCGCCTACCTCTTTCCCTTCTCGGCGTGTATTTCACTACGAAGACTATGTTTTCATTTATGTTAAGATAATTTGGCGCCATGTATTATTTATCAAGCAATATAGACGGGCCCTGTGGGCATTGAAAAGCTTCAGTACCACTGGGCCGGGTGGGTAGGGTACCTTCGGCCGTCTATCCCCGACAAAAGCGAGGCCGGTTTCAGACTGTACATATTGGACCATTTTGGTCGTTATCATCTCCTCTCATACATTTAAATTAGCACAAACTGAGATTATGTCTCGACTATCATCTCCTGATAAATACAAATGCAAATAATGCTCCAATGACCCATATCATAACCAATATCTATTAAATCCCAGGACCTTGACCCATCTGTAAAACATCAACTTGGAAACACAAAGCTCTACAAACACTTCATCCCACTATGCAGAATAAAGAACAATTCTTCCGCTTTCTCATGCGATCTATGATATCTCTAGATCTTCACCCACTAGCACCCATATACAAGACATTCAGTGAACCAGACCCCCACACCCCCCACACACCATATCAGGAACATACACATATCGTCATTCACTGCGGAAAGAAAGCCGAAAGCTCTAGAACATCTCACACGTGGGTTTAGTCTAGAAGGCCACGTCGACGCGTCTCCAAGCGCCTTCTTGATTGGTCTGCCCTACAAGTGGATTTTCGCGATTCCTTTAACATCTCTCCTCTTTCTAGGTTTCTATTGGTTGGAGTGTGAGTCATGGTTTAGCCTGGCCGTCCACGTGGATTCAGCTTGTACTAGGTACGTCAGGTAAGGGTAATGCCGAGGTCATTCACTTCTCAAAGGCCCTCAAGACGGAAAGAGCGGCGACGGAGAAGGTCGCCACGCGATTGTGGCCTGAGTCAACTATCGTTAGCATGTTGTTGTTCTCTACGTTGAGGCTTTGTTGCTTGACGTACCACCATAGCTAACACGCTCCCACCGGACACGCTTTACAACTGCAGCGTCCTTCTTCGATTGGTTCTCCCAGACCTGTATCTCGTTGGGCCCGTTGTGGTCCTTCTTCGAATGAATCATCTTTCCAGGGGTGTCCTGCATGTTCTCGCCTGTGGCGGCGGCCCAAACACGACGGCCTTCCTGCCAGGGGATCTCCACATCATTTGCCGCGTGGATGATGAAGAGGTCCAGACCCTTGTCCGTATAAGCGGGGTTGGGGTCGTCCTTGACTGTGGTGTTGACTCCGGACAGACGTGCGACTCGTGCAGCGGTGTCCCAGCGATCGACGATGTGGCTTTTGGCCCAGTTCTGCAAGCGAGGGTAGGCAGTCAGTGGAGAGAGCATTGGGGGTGTGATTCCCTTCATGCTGTAGGTGTCGATGAGACTTGGAACATTGCTGAAGCATGCTAGGAGGATGACGCCCGCGAAGGGCTCCGGGTCTTTCAGTGCTGGTTGTATAGCGGTGGGATCTGGAGAACCGAATGCGAAACGCTCTGCGACTGCGGCACTGACGGCAGTTCCTAGACTCTGGCCCATGATTACAATACGTGAGGGGGGTATGTGCAATGGGCCGGAGGTGAGGTAATTGAGTAGGGAAACTCCATCGGTGATTAAGCCCTCTTCTGTGGGTGTACCGGTCGAAAGACCGAAACCGCGGTAGTCAATGGCAAACACATGAACGGGATTCTGAGGTGTTGATAGACCAAGAGTCTGTCGATAGATGTCTGGTCGCTGAGCGGAAGCGAGGTGGGCAGCATTGCCGTGGACTGGGATTAAAAGATTAGCTATGTCAGGTCCTATATGCCGCTACATGTCGCGATCTACACCCTCTACTTACAGCTAACTACCACCCTAGCATTGGGGTCGCTTTTAAGGAGCTTGAATGCAGGCGTTTGGGTATAATCGTCCGGTGGTCCGTTTGGTTCGTTCGCGTTCAGCTCCTCCTCATGCTCATGGCACAAGTGCAGGGGCAGGAGATGCCATCCGTACAGCGTTTCGTTGTCAGGAGTCACCAGATTGAAGGGCTGCACCTGAGTCTCTATACTTCTAGTCAACAAGCTTGTTCCCCGAGTATGGCTTGGTCACGTAGACCGAGTTCGTCTAACGTACTGAGAAAGCCGAATGACTCCACCAAGTTGACATTCTGCCAACGAGTGGGATTGATCTTATTCACGTAGAGTGCACTGAAACGATTAGAAGACGGGTCAGTTAAGATGCACTCGTATATTATGAGTCCTAATCCATGAAATGGAAAAGAAGCATACAATCTCTGGACTACGGGATACGTCATGGCGCAGACGAAGATCATATAGAACAGGCCACCGGCGGCCAGCGTCCAGTAGGCCTTTTTGAAGATGGACTGAAGCTCAGCCATGGCTGTTAATATCCTACACGTAGTTACACACAGATTAGCGGGTTTGGAAGGTCGGTATGGAGGCAAAATGCAAGTCGAGATGTCCCAGAAGTCGCTTACTTCAAAGACCCGTTGATGGATAGTAGTTGCGATAAGCAGACTCAAGTCATGCGAACGTTCAACAAAGCGTCATAGAGATAGCACAAGAGCTGGGGAGATTCACCTAGGAGCATTCACCCAACGTGACTTGTGGAAGTGACAGAGTGAGTTATTGAATGTGGAAGTCCCATAAAAAGGCCGGAGATACTGAGGCTCGGCGGTGGTTTTCCCCGATCACGCCTCAACTTCCTTTCTTTCTCCGCCGCCATTTTTCCCTTCTCCGCAACCCCCTTCCCCCCCTTCATCCCAGCTGCTCCGGAGGCTGCGAAATGACAGCCGTCCTAACCTATAGGCTTACTTATTGGCGCGTAACGGCTCGTCAATAAATTAATTATAGCATGGCAGAGAAACGCAGACTCTCCGCCCGCGAACGTCGCGAACCCGCGGCGAAGCGACGAGCTTCCGAAGCCGTTTCTCGACCATCCCCTCAACCTCAACAGTCCTCCAGAAAGAAGGCTTCTACTCCAGTTGTCGTCCCTTCACCACCACCGATACCCCCGGAACCTACCGAAACCCCTTTGCCTACAAAGATAAAGGATGGAGAGGGTCTTCCGACTACGGCCTCGCCGCAATCAACCAGTCTCACGGCGATAGAGTATCAGTCGTTCGCAGAAAGGTACGACTATCACCTTGGTTGTCAATTACAGAGATTATATGCCTGCTTTTGCCCAAATTCCAAGCCACTGACCAGCAACAGTGCGGTTCTTTTAGCTTCCTTGGAACGATCGAAGAAGAAATGGTTAAGCGATGGCATCCTGGAGAGATACTGGACCAAACCCAAGAAAACAAAGAGGGAGCAAATTGAAGGGAAAAATCCACCTAAGGAGACTATGTCGAAGGTTGGAGCTTGCAACATCGTGGTTGGACCTCATCTCTTCGACGCGATGCTGTACACTGTCAAAGATCCCAATGCGCCGCCGCCGATCCAATACACCACCCCCCAACGCCCGATGGTCCACTACGGCCACCCGAACAACTTCCAACAATACCACCCCTATCCTCACTCTCCTGCTCCATCCCAGAATGCACGACAACATTCCACCCAGGGCTCTCCGGCGACCCCGGGAACACCTCAGCCCGGTTACTCTTCTGGCAGTCACCCACCCCCTTCGCATCCCGCTCGAACCCCGAGTCAGCCACCCCACCGTGCTCCTGGCCCCCAGTCTGCGCAACGACCATCACCCTCACAGAATCCTCAATCCGCTCAGCCGCCAAAGCCTAGTCCTGACCCCGTCATTCAGATGCTTGCAACACGAGCTGCTTCCGACCCTGACCTGAAAGCCTTAATGCGAGTGGTGGCGTCGAGCAAAGCGTCCCAAGAGCAACTGCGTGCTTTCCAGGCTCACATCGACGAACTCAACGCGATCATTCGTGCAAGGGAACAGCAGCAGCAACGACAACAGCAGCAGCAGCAGCAGCAGCGACAGTCTCAGCCTTCCACTGCTGCCCATCCGCCCCCTTCTCGACCGTCACAGCCTCCACCACAAACCCCCCAGCCTCAGCAAACGCCGCAACAGTCGCAATCTCAGTCCTCACAAAAGCCTCCTCAGCAACCGGTTCAACAAAAATCTCAAGGGCAGCCACAACCTCAGACTTCGCCGCGTGTTGAGGTACAAGTTCCGAAACCCTCCCCGTCCGCCGCCTCTGCCCACCCTAGCTCAACCCCGAATCCATCACAGCCACCCCAGACTCCCACTCCTCAGGCACCGAAACCGACACCCCCGGCTTCAATAAAACAAGAACCAGGTGTGGCGACGTCAGGCCAATCCACTTCTCAGCCGGTATCGAGCCCCAATGTTACTCCAGCTCCGGCCGCTACCCCGGATCCGCAAAAGCAGTCAAGCCCCGCTGTACGGCCTATGCCACCTCAACAACAGCAGCCCGGTCCGCGACCGGGACCCCCATACCCACCATATCAACAGGCTTCCTACCAAGGCCATCCACCTGCTATACAATCTCGTCCTCCGCAATATGGGTCGCCGGCACCGTATTATCGCCCAGCGCCACCACCGCCCCCTCCAAGGCTCAACTACAAATCTGTGGTCTTTGAATTTACGTCGCCACTGACTCCATATGGTAGTAGTACTTCCGGACATGCAGGTTCAGGTGACCGCTATCTATTTCCCGAGTACACGATCTTGGAATGGCTCCCTGGAGGTAATACTGTTCTTGCATCATTTTTACTCGTGAAAAAGGTGGATCCAAACACACCCTTTCCCCTAGAATCAGCCTCTGAGACAACCACTTCACGAGCTAAAGGAAAGGCCTCGAAGTCCAAGTCTAAGAAGGCGGACAAGAATAAGGAGCAAGCTAGCGAGGTAGACAAGGAGAAGGATAATGACAAAGACAAATCAAAAGAGAAGGCCGATAATAAACCCGAGCCTTCTGCCACTGATGCCAAACCTGACGGCGATAAAGCCGCAGGCAGTGCCCAACCCGAACAGAAAGCCGAATCATCCGCAACACCCAACAAATCCTCCGCCGACAAAGAAGATTCAAAGGGCAAGAAAGGAGACGCCAAGGACACCTCAAATCTCAAGGAATGGTACCAACCCGTCACATTCCGCATCTTCAGCAACAACCCCAAAGTCCTCGAGCCTCTAAGCCGTGTCGTGAAACCCCCAGAGGAGGTGCGCAAGCACATGAACGAAATCATGGACCGAGCGGAACGTGCCCCTGAAGGATTCCTGGCATATCGTCTACCCCATGAAGAGCAGGACGATAACCAGGGTCGCGAGGCAGAGGATACAAAGAAGAGCGGAACGCCAGTCCCTGGTGGACGTGGCCGGTTACAATCCAGAAGCAAAACAATAGATGAGGAATCCGACATCGAGAACATTGACAAACCCGCTGCGGAAGAGGAAGAGGAAGAGGAATTAAAGGATTACTATGGCCCACCCACTGGACTTCCGCCTTTGGGTGCGTGAGAGATAGATACAAAACGTCCATAGGAGACGCAGAACTAGATTAATGCATTCAGGATATGAATACATGACTTTTCACTCTATTCTCGACATAGCTCCCATTCATTCAACCATCCTCCTCCCTATGTAAGAAGCATGTGGTGTTGGATATCTACATACTTGGGCCTCCGGCCTTTACATTCACGTCACGTGCAGTTGATCAATATCAGGTGCTTTTGTATGAGCGGTGGTGCAGAATTTCAATCCTTCTTTCTTGGGTGTGGTGGTTGAAGCTTGATGTACTTGACCTCGACATCATCCACTCCTGTTTTTCGTTCTTTTTTTTCAGACAGGTGAAGTTTCCCCGATAAACAGCTGTAATATCAATTTTGACACGGTGGTCACGATGCAATATGTTCTGATTTTGGGAGGTTTCATGGAGATAGGACCAGAAGGAAGTTCTCACTCGCAAGAGATCACACGTGTCCAGATAAATCATAACACAGGTAGTAAGTATAGACAAGATTCTGATGGGCCAAATGCTATTAAACACTGCCTCCGGCTCGTCCAGTGCCACTGCCATCACCAATTAAGCCTGCAGTTTCCAATAACCATCTAGCACTGTCGACGTCAGAACCGCCTGGTCCGGCCTTCAGGTTAAGGTTGCGTCTTCGCTCTGCCTCGCGAGCTTCAAATTCCCACTTGGCCTGTTGTAATTCAACAGCGCTTTTGCCGCCATCTGCGGAGGTGGCTGTGGGATCAGGGACTAGACCCCACACTTCTAAGTTGTAAATCTCAATTTGCGTTTTGGCTGTGTTCTCCGGAGTAGATCCTGAGGGTGGGGGGAGAAAGACGCCGTTACGGCCGATTGGCGAAACATGGAACTCGGCGGTTTCAAGACTGACATCGATGGTTAAACTACCGGCCCCAAGAGGAGTGGGAGGCTTTTTATTGCTTCGTGATGAAGGGGGAATTTGGCAACCTATTGAAATGCCCGAATTTGCGGAGAAGTAGGCAACAGGTGCATTCGGCTGTTGTACAGATGGGGAATTGTTTCCTTGTAGAAGCAGGTGTTTGGGTGAGAGTTGGAAAAGACATGGAAGAACTGAATCAGAAAATTTGGAAGTGGTCTGAGTTGACGTTGATGACTTCCATGGCTGTGGTAAGTATGCACCAAGAGTTACCATATCGCCTGTTTCGGTGGCACCTTCGAGTACAAGAAGGGTACCTGAGGACCAGGTAAGCACGTGGTGGGAAAAGGAAGTCAGAGAGGATCCGTGTGCGACTGTTGAGAAGACAGGGTGTAGGCGCGAGTTTCCACGGAGGAAGTTCAAGCTTTCGGAGGATGAGGGAAGAAAGAATGAAAGATGTGATATGGTGCTTGGGTCCAGAATCATTGATTCAAAACTACCCGGGAGCGTAATGGCGGGAGGCGAAGATAGATCTTCCGGAGGTTCTTCGACCGGCTCTGACGCGGCCGAATCAGCCCTATCGCGTTTTTGGGATAAGTTGAGATTTCTGCTGAAAAGAAGATGCTCAAACAATGGTGTCAGAGGATCAAAAAGGTATGGGAATGATGAAGTCACGATCCGAGAGAATTCTTTGTAGCTTATCCCGCCGGATGGCTCCTGTCTGAATGCCGCCATGATACTATCGGCCTCCGCCCGAATTGCTTCCATGCGCTTTCCATTTAAATCGGATGTGTATGTCCTTACAGGCTCAAGGAACTTCAAGGGCGAAATGACAATAAGTAACATCAAGAGGCGACGGAGCGTATCAGCGGATATTCGAGCTTCGTAGACGGCCCTGTCCATGCGGGAGTCGTGCTTGAAGACTTCAATGGCATCCAAAGATTCCAAAGCAGCCAGTGCAAGGTCATCATCTTCCTCGTCCTCATAATCATCATTAAGTGGCTCGTCGACAGCAAACCCTGGAGCATGGGAGCTCGCCGCAGATGAATCTGCATCCTCTTTCACTTCATCGTCATTACTTTGCTGATCAACATCTTTCCTTCCAACATCAGCAAGACTCCCAAAAAGCAGCCGTATCCTATCTCTGCGCGCTCTCCTCAGAACCTTTCCATATCGTTCAGTCAGCAAGACAATCACTTTCACCATAGCGTCAAATGTTAGAACGCTTGGCGCTAACGTATTTTGGAAAGGAAATGCCCCCAAGTACGAGACCATGCGGAAAATCACCGGGCCCGCGTCCAGAGGACATTGAGAATCACTGCTATCTGGAATCCCCAAGAAATCAGAGAGTATCTTCTCATTCCAGTATTTCCAGCCACCTTGGTCAATAGCGCGTGTAAAGAAGTTGTCTTTTAGATGTGTCAATTCCAAAGGAGAGAAGCATTTTGTAGCAAAGCGTTCCGCAAGCATGTAGCTCAGCTCCTCTATTTTCTTGTTAGAGACAGGCTTGTTCTGTAAACATTCGTTGTTATAGCATAGAATAGCCCCATAGGTACAATCTCAAAGAAGAGGATGGACTACTGACCTGGAGAGGACGCCTGGTTCTCAGATTCAGTCGACTGGCCTAATCCCATCTTGGCATACAACAGGGTAAAAATTGACAGCTATGAGAATATGGAAAGTATCCAGGCAAGATTGAGCCGTGAGTGGATAGCAGTGGACAGTTGTAGCTTAATCGGTATGCTCCGTAGTGATGACGAAGTGAAACCCACTTTATGTATATGGCTGACGATCACCATCAACTACTGGAGGTCGACCCGACAATCGAGGGATCTGCGTGGGATAAGGGAAAAGGGACGCGTCAACCCATCAAATCTCCGAGAGACCGAGAAACAGCCAAGCAACTTTGTTGATGGGGAGAGAAGGAAAGTCGGGGGGGATGCTTGCTAACAATGGGAGGGCGAGTCCCGCATGCGGGAACCAGACAGCCTTGGCACCTGAGGCATGACACAAGTGGGTTCATCTGCACTAACTCCTTTCGGGACAGGTCCAGGCACCCACGGCACCCAGGCACCTAGCATCGCGACAGCCACTCCAGCCATCTCTGGGAGGTATCAAGGGTTCTGAAATCATTTATATTCATGTTAAATATCCACAGCTCCTTTCTCATGCCACCACTCACTAGCAACAGATACGGAGGAAGAGAAGTCCATATGTCAAGAATGCAACAGAGTGCCAGACCCTACAGCATAACTATTCCAACACCACCCATCTTATTCTCGTCTGGAAGGTTCTTGTCATTAACACCTCCAGGAACGGGGACCGTCCGATAGTTGTAGAGATAGTAATGAAGCTGGCCGTCACCTGCTCCAAATTTGAGTTGTTCCAGGAACAGAGGGTTGTCGTGCAAGGTCAGCGCGTTGAAAACGTCGAAGCGAGCCTATTGTGAGAATGGGATTAGCGACGTGTCTAGGACCCCGTTGGATGCGGGGAAGTCCATATAATACCTTCTTCGCGAGGATGAGAGCGTCATTCATCAACAGCAGCAGTCTCTCTTTTAGAGCCTTGAGGTCCCCGGTAAAGGCAGTTTCCGTGGCATAATAGTACAGATAAGCTGCGCGCACATTGTCGTGCTTGGGGTGTTGGATCACGGTAGACTCAAGGTTGTAGAAGGACACGCAGTCAGTGATCTTATGGGTTTCGGCGTCCTCAACCACGTAAGACCAAACCACCTGTTCCTTCCCGTCCTCGTCTTTGTGTAGCAGCCAATGCTCAATTTCCTCACGGGTGAAAGCCTGGTTCAACGCAAATCGCTGGGAATACCGCTCCAACAGATCCTTGACAGCATCAATGTCCTTAGCCTCCATAACACGTAGCCCGGGAGTAGAGGTATGGCTGGCAAGGTGGTTTCTGGTGATCTGACGGGCTTTGGTGGAGCCACGAGGAAGATGCGAAAAGCCGATCTCGTAGAGCTTCAGCCAATCCAACGGACGGTGGTAGTACCTGCAAGAGCTCACAGGTGTCGGCAAAACCACACCCGCAGTGTAGACTGCCTGGTAGATGCCACTCAGATAGCAACGACGGGTGATCTCCTTGATAAGAACAGGGGCTAAGCGCTTGGAGCGCAACTTCTTGTGAATGCACAGGAAGTTAATCTCCGTCACCTTGAGCTTTTGATCGCGCACGCGGATCTCCGTGGGGACACCGCAGATGGAAGCAACCAACTTCTTCGACTTGGTAGCACGGACACCGACGTGCCATTCCTTCCTCCAGCCCGGCGACATCAGAGCCCTGAAACCCCATTTCAGTCAGCAATGGGCGATAATAATTTAAGGGAGTATAATGCTGTGAACCAACCAATGCAAAAAGGACTTCGAGTATCTGAACCGGAACATAGCATTGTCATCTTCGACGTAGTGGTATGTCAGCAGGTCCCACAGTTCCTGGAGTTCGTCGTCATTCGTAAGGTCCAGTGTAGTCCACTCGAAACCTTCGATCAGCGCATCGGGGGTCTTGGACACCTTCTCGGGATCGATCATCTTGATAGGTCCGCCAGCATCGTTGGCCGATTCATCGAAACGAGGCACCGGTTGTGTCTGCCAAAACTTGTACGAAGCCATATCTTTCTGGTTCTTTCCACCCACCGCCAGACCGGTCAACAGTTCAGAAATATCCATCTTTCGCAGAGCATCCGCAGCCTTGTCCTTATCCAATCCAGCCAATTCGTTCTTCAGGGCGGGGTTGTTCTCCAGCAGCGCCTCCGCCGCCTTGGAGGTCAGCTTTTGACCTGGCACATACTATGGGCTACCGGTTAGAGGGTCTCGATGCATTGAGGGATGGAAACGTCAGGCTCAGGGTGGGCAAGATACTTACTTCGGTTTTGGGCGCCTCGGGGGCCTTGCCCTTGTTATCCTTGGGGTCAGACATGACAGCTCGCGCGATGGGAATGAGTTGAAGTTCGAGGGTCGGACCAAGGTGGGCGCGGGAAGGTTTTCTAAGCCCCACGTAGCCGTGCCTTGCGCGGGGAGAGAAGCTTACAGTCTTACACGGACTGCCGCGGCAATGACAGCCACCCCCTACATTTACTATAATAGCGCCACTTCGGGACCTTCCAAGTGATTCTAGAACTCGTAGATAAAATATAAGATTAACTTTGTTGAAAGAGATTGACCATCCCGTCTAGTTCTATCCAGGCATCATCAGACATTAAAAAACATGCAACCAAGGCACCAGCCCTTGCTTGCGGGTATCACCAGAAATGTTGTTGAAACCTCATGGTGAGGCAGAGATATTCCATTCACATGCAGTAAACAGTAGAGGTGGAGAGGAGAGCTTGTTCAGCTCTGCAGACTGGGCTTCGTCTCAATCACATCCAAAAATCCACCGACGAGGAGTAGACTACCAGTGACAAAGGTCATGACAGGCGCCTCGTCTTGAGCTACAAGGCCCCTTTCTCTTGTCGCGAGCTCCCGGGCAAAGTCGACCGCTTCTTCGATAGTACCGTAAACCTTGACCTCGGTGCGTGGATCAATTGAACGCCATTTCTCAGCAAGGCTCCTCTGGACCTGTAGTCTCTGCACATCGTCTGCATTCGTGTTCATGCTAACGAGGTCAGGACGGTAGCCTGCATCCTTGTAGGTGACGTTGGTGCAGAAGAGAGCATGGGTGAACGGCTGCTCTGAGCCCAATGCTGCAGCTAGAGTCTCGTAAAGAGCCTCGGCAAGGGCATTGCTATCGCGGGTCTGCTGGTTGAAGATCAGAACGCGTAGCTTTTTGTTCGCGGCTGCAGTTGAAGAAGAGTTGGCGTGGATCTGAGAAGCAAACCACTGGCCAGCTAGTCTGATACTCTCCAGTGTATGACCCCCATCAAGATACCAGGTAACATGCTTCTCTTGCCGCGTCTCACAACGACCTCCAAGTCGGGCGGACTCCAACCCTTTCCGGAACGCCGGTGGCAAAGGCTGTGCAAGGACATCGGAAGGGATGTCCTCAATTCCGACCTTCTTCAGAAATTCGGCGGCCGCTGCTACGGCTACTGCCGCATTTGTGTATTGGAAATCTCCAGCCAAGCCAAGCTTCACATCGCCGTCGCTGGTGAGTTCGGGGTGGCCCCTCACTATTTCCAGTTGAGTGCCCCTCTCTACTGCGCGATCGTACAAAACCTTCTCCGCGGTTGGAGGTTGCGGAGCGCTGAAAGCTTTAGTACCAGGCTTTATAATACCACCTTTATGCCAAGCTATCTCTTCAATGGTATTTCCAAGCATAGCAGTGTGGTCGATGCCCAAGCTGGTGATCGCAGTCGCAGCTGGCTTTTCAATGACGTTTGTGCAATCATATTCTCCGCCAATTCCGCACTCGATGACCGCAGCATCTACCCCCTCGCTGATGTAGGTGTGGAAAGCCATCAAAGTCAGGTACCGGAAATACTGGGGTTTTGTTCGTAGGCTTGTAGGGTCCTCGCCCGCCTTTTGGGCAGCCTCTTCAAGTCGATCCCATACCTCGAAGAAGTATTTGGTGAACTTTTCTTCGGAGAGTGGCGTATTATCAATCTGGATACGCTCGCGGGCGAATCGCAGGTGAGGTGATGTATAAAGCCCAACCTTGTTGAGCTTGTTCAAGGAAGTATTTGACTCAGGAGACTGGGACGAAGTATACTGGGACAAAATGGAAGAGATGAAGGCAGAAGTCGAGCCTTTGCCTTTCGTCCCGGCAACGTGAACAGGATTGATCTGGTTGAGGTCCGAAGGCTATATGTGATACAGAAAGTCGGGTTAGTCATGTCATAAGACCATACTATGCGACAAATGACTCTGCGCAGCGGAAGAGGTGGCAAACCTGGTAGCCAATGCGTCGAAGCCACTCTATAGTCTCCGGCAGGGAGCGTAAGTTCATGTCCTTCCTAGACACCGACTTTCTCAATTCTTCAACCACTGCAAAGTTGGTTTGCAGCGAATTGAGGGCTTCAATCGCAGCCTGCAGTTACGTTAGAAGGTTATGCCATCATTTATGTAACCAAGACTCGGTCGGATGCGCCCATACCTCATAATTCCGAGACATGTTGGTAGTACGAGATGAAAGTCGACGCAGCTGACGAGACGTAAAAGGGGAAGAGAATGATCGAAAGCCCCTCATTAGGGTCGAATAAAAACCCGCTCACGTGCCTTTTTCGAGGTTGAAGGTTTGCAGGCCGATTACCACGCCGGTACCAATAGATAGAGGCCTGAAATCGAGCGATGGAGTTCAGACTGTTCTGCCGGCAGTAATGACGCTAAGCCCGAATACCTATAAGACCGAGGTATCCGACAAATCAAGTTGGCCAATATGGGCATTTGTGGGCCTTCCCGCTATTGTCTACATAATACCATTATTAAAATCATCGTAGCTGTTCATATGAACCGGTTACCGCTTACTGCTTGTGGCTGACTCTCTGCAAAAGAGCCCCGTAATGGCATGTGGAAGCTGGAAGTTGGGTGGAAACCCGACCCAGTCAATTATCGGGGGCTGAGTTCTAGATAAGGAGACACTGTCCCGATGAACTAACTACTTTTTAATAGCAGAGGCCAGAATTCATCTAGGGGCGACTTGCTACCTTGGCGGTCTGCTTGAAACAAGGGTGGGATGAAAACAGCCAATGGAGTATCTATCCATCGGGAAGAAATCACATTAAGAGTTGGTGGGGTTCTATGAAAGAGAAACAAAACGAAGGCCGGTGCAGAACTTGAAACAGTAATGAGATGGGAAGAGAGGAAGATATAAGAAATGAAGGGATCTAAAACCAAGTACACGAGTAAGTAATACTAGATGTACAGGAACACGTAATGGACATGCAACAAGAATGAATTTTAGAAAGGGATGGGTGGAAGATACTGGCAAGACACACTACTCGATCCTCGTTTTGCCCTCCTCAAGGAAGACCAGCCGAGCATTGCTGTAACCTCTCTGGTGCCTTCTTGCAGGAAGTAGCTGGCCAACTATCGGGTCTGAGCGAGCTTTTATGAGTGCGTCTTGATACCCTTCAGAGCCTGCTGTGGGTGTGTTCAACTTGGGCCAGTTTACCTGTTCCGTTGGGTTAGCGTGAATAAGAGCAGGTACTTCGACTGACCAAACTTACATAGAGCATTCCATGAGCAAGGATGAAACGTGCACACCAGGCGCTGACAATGAAGCAGAAAATGACAAATAAACGCAAAGGCCACACAGTGGAGTCTGGAAGACGTCTGGTGAATGTAGCCACCATAATGAGGAAAACGCCGGCAGCGAAGATATACGGAACGGATTGGATGATGAGCGGTCGGCGGTCCAGGAAGAGCTGGATGTTACCCAAAGTGGAATTTGGGGGGAGATAAGTGCCCAAGAACACGTCAAATCCATCCTGTCGGGGACCATCCATGAAGTTGTTCCGCACATATCGTGTAATGGAATTATTCAAATCCTGGAGCATACCAGCTCGAGTGCGCTCACCAGTCCGCGTGAAATCGGTCTTCAGTGCCCCAGTACCGGAATAGGACTTGGAGACAACATCTGCATTATCTGCCCAAATGTTACGGAACAGATTCTCGAACTCGCGATCGTCATTCGCTGCTTCCCCTGGCCGCAAGACCCCTGCGTCAATGAGCTGGCGTGTTATGGCCCAGCGTCCCAGCATACTCTGAACCACGTTTGTTCGATCCAAGCAGTCCATACAATTTGTCCGGACCACGCTGGATTGCGCGGAGCGTATGTCCAACTGACCACCAGGGGCACCCGGGTTCTCTACACCGCGGAAGTAACCGCCTCGTGTTAGACCATCCATCAGCCGTTCCAGTAGCAACTCTGCGCGATGCCATTTAAGACCCTTGGTCTCATTGTGGAAGTCGAAATATACGTAGTGAAGTCGGTCCATCTCCTTCTGTCTGACACCTGGCTCTACAGCGTGCACCTTCTCCGAAGTTGTCTCGTCAGCTTCGGTGGTCTCGGTGGAGGAGGACACTAGAACGCGAACCAACTGCTCGTAGGCACTTTTAACACGCTCTTCCCTGCCCTTCTGGTTCACTAGATTGACCAAGTAATTCTCGCCATAGACACGAATTTGCTCGGCAAAATGTTTGCGAGCAGCGTCAACAGCAGTTTCAACCCCACGGACTTGGAGTTTCGGGGTGTATTTGAGGTTGTTGACTTCGGCCCAATACACGGGCACGCTCCCTCTGGTTTGCACGAACGCCATGACCTGGAGATCTTGGGCTGAGCCGCCGGCTTTCTCCTTTGCCAAAGGCTGACCCCCGGAGAATCCGGAGAGACCCCCCGTCGCATCATTCAAAATGATAATTTGCTCCGTCTCGTTGTAGTTAGACACATGACCTTGTTCATCTATTCCGCGTGAGAAATATCTTGTTCCAGCACGATGACGGGACCTTCTGGTAATGAGAGCGAATGTGAAAGAAGTGGATTTGACCTTTGCTGGCGTGATGCGTAGCATCCCGAACATTACAGGCAGGATGTACGGGTCAACTCCAGGTTGCGGCCCGTAGCGCATACCTGTAGTATCTTGCTCTCCAAGACTGAAGTCTATTAGGTCTGACTGGATAAACCGGTTCCAGAAGAATCGATCATCGGCCCGCTTCCACATGGGAAGATTAGGGTCACTCTGTGACTGCCGTTGGAAGCTGTTGGTAATGTCTAAAGCGTAGGAGAAATACATCGGGCCAGTACGAAGCAGCTCTTTCAACAGTGCCAGATATGTATCCTCATCATAGTCGTGAAGAGAGCGCTCGCGCAGGGGTAGGAACTCGGTCGCCGCAACTTTATAGACCATGTGGCCGCGTAGCCGTCCTACGGGCAAGGCCTTGGTGATAACTATGATGTATTTATCTGCGTGAATTAGCATGAGTGCATCGTCAGATCCTGCACCAGTAGAGACTTACCCAGCTTCAGCTTGATGATACCCAGGATGCCTGCAATGCTGGAGATGCGCTTAGCACCGGAAAGGGTGCCATTATTGACCCGCAAGTCGCCGGTCGGGCGCTCAATAACAAGGGTCGGAGCATTCGGAGATGATGGTGAGGTGAAGGCATAATGAGAGGAAGAGGCGTGCAGATTGATGTCGCGAAATGGCAGAACGGAAGTAGCCATTGTTGGCAGTTACCCACTAATTGGGATGAAGAAGCTCAGAACCGAGAAGGGGGGTTACTAGTGAGTAAGAAGGATAAATCAGGGGAGGGTTAATGAGTGTGTTGAAAGTTCAACGCATATTGCGCAGAGGTCGGGAGTCTGAAAGGAAGGTAGGATCAAGCGGACAGCAGGCAGAGACGTAATGTCAGGAGCCCGGGGTTGATCTCCAGGGAAAGGCTCGGGTAGACAGGCGTACGTACATACCTACAGCGCCTCGTTGTGCCAGCATGTGCTGGTGGTGATAAGCAAGGCTGGCCGGACGGAACAGGCCAGGGGCGCCACACCGCCCCGCAGAGCGGCCAGTCGGCTTGGGCCAGGTGTGGCTGAATCCCTTCGTCATCTACCACCAACAGGCCGCCATCTAACCTCCCAGCATCCCGAATCCGCCTCCAGTACTTTTATTCTCCCTCCATCTCGAGCCATCCACCTCGTTCGACTCCCTCTCGTTACGGTACTGTGTGCGCCACGTTTCCCTTGACATCTCCCGAGGAAGTTTTCCCCCCTAAACCATATTCATTATGGCCTCCAGAGCCGCAGCAGGCGCCCGTCCCGGGGCCAGATTCGCTCAGTTCAAGCTTGTATTGCTGGGTTGGTTTCCCCTGTTTCTAGCCCCACTGTGGTCTCAGTCAAAAAGTACTGACGTTCGCTTTTTTCGCTTTTTCTAGGAGAGTCTGCGGTCGGAAAGGTTCAGATACCATCATCTTTTACTGTGCTAAACAGCGGTCGCTGACTTTCTTGCTCCACGACAGAGTTCGCTAGTTTTGAGATTTGTCAAGGTGGGATAAGTCCCCGATATTTCCGCAAGATTGAAAATTTTGTGGAATAGGTTTCCGGTGGTCTTTCTGTAACTTACACCGGACAGGATCAATTCGATGACTACCGCGAGTCGACCATTGGCGCTGCATTCCTCACACAAACCATCTCTTTGGACGAAAGCACGACGGTCAAGTTTGAGATATGGGACACGGCTGGTCAGGAGAGATACAAGTCTCTGGCCCCCATGTACTACAGGAACGCCAACTGCGCGGTTGTTGTCTACGACATCACTCAAGCTGTATGAACCCCGATCCAACCCGTCTAGTTTCCACGGAGAACTAATCGAGCGAAACATCGAATAGTCGTCGCTGGATAAGGCCAAGTCATGGGTGAAAGAGCTGCAGCGTCAAGCAAATGAGAACATCGTCATTGCCCTTGCGGGAAACAAGCTTGATCTGGTGACGGAGAACCCAGACAAGAGAGCCATTCCCATGGCTGATGCCGAGGCCTATGCACGTGAGGCCGGACTACTCTTCTTCGAAACTTCTGCAAAGACGTCCTCAAACGTGAAGGAATTGTTCACAGCAATCGCAAAGAAGCTTCCCCTGGATCAAGCAGGACCACGAAACTTGCGGACAACTCCCCGTCCGGGTGTTGACCTGCGGCCAGAAGCACCCGGCACCCAAGGTGCTGGCTCTTGCAATTGCTAGATTCCCAACTTACTTGTTTCAACTGTTGCCTATCAATTTTCCCATCTACTTCATTCCCTCTTCCGTTTTTTCCTTCTCTTGCATCGGCTGTCGTTAGATGCGGAAAGTGCGCGTCTGCTGGCTCGAATGTGAACTGGTATGTCGGGCAAACAGTTTGAACCTGTCAGCAACTCTGAACAAGACTGCTCTATGTTTTTAATGGTGCCGTGGTGACTGCAACTCTGGCCGACCGGCGTCGTATAGGTGTCTCTTGCTTCCCTGGGAATTCAGTCGCCCTTATGGGTCTGAATCTGATGGTCCATTTGGCCTTCGTCAGTCTTTTGTCACTGGGCCTTGATACGATCGAGCGAAGTCTTCAGTTACCGCTATTGGACATGGCAAGCTCGGATACTGTAAGATCGCACGGTTGGATTTGACTGTCTAGACATTATGCGACAGGGATGACCTATGATTTCTTTGTTCCGCCTTGTTCTATCTGTCTCTGTTTCCTCGTTCCCGGCGTCTGTATCCTTTCTGATGGGTTGAATTCATGTTACTTTCTTACCTTTCATTGTTGCCCTCTCTGAGTCTCTCAGTATGCTATGCCTATATAATACTTCATCAGTCATCTGATTTGAACTAGCTATCTAATTCCAGTGCCATTTGCATAGTAGGTGTTCACTTTCAGGCGTTGAAATGTATGCGTGATTTGGTTAACTCCCTAGAACCTATTCATATGGCAGACAAACCCTTATAGACCTTATAGTCCGCTGCTAAACGAGGTTGGTAGACAAGATAAGGATGCTGGGTCTATCCGGGCAGCCGGCGCGGGCGGTGCGACGTGACCCGAGCTGAGCCACTGGTTGGCGGTGCAGGATCGGAGCGGATCCTAAAAGCACCTTATCCCAGTTCCGGTCCGCGTTTTCACTCTCGTCAACACCAACCCCTCAACCAAACCCGCTCTCAGCGCTCATCTCCACAGTAGTGCGGCCCACGATGCTGCGCTCTTCTGTTGCACCGGGACGGCAGTTGTTGCTGTCCTCCGCTCGCCAGCGGACCGCCCCCCAATGGCTGTCCAGAGCCGGAGCAAGCAGCCGTCTCTCTGGTCAGGTACGGTGACGGCATATGGGATCGATTCCTACACATGTCAGCTAACTGGCTCTAACTCCATGCAGAGATTCTTCGCCGACTCGAAGCCCCCTACCACCGCTGCTCCCACGCCCGCCACTCCATCCTCCGAGTCGGTTGTGCCCCCAGAGACCGTTCCCAAGCCGTCGCCCAGCGAGCAAGGTACGAATGCTCTTTTCAGTTGGGTTGCGATGTTTTCCAGAGCTGATGTATGACAGGCTCCGAGATCCTCACACCTCCTCCCCCGGCTCCCAAGGGTGGACGCTTCCGACGATTCCTCCTGTACTTGCTGCTTACCTCCGGATTCGCATACGGCGGCGGCGTCTTCCTAGCCCTGAAATTCGACAACTTCCATGACTTCTTTACAGAATACATTCCCTACGGAGAAGAAAGTGTCCTCTACTTCGAAGAGCGTGACTTCTACCGTCGATTCCCGAACACCTTGAGGAACCAGAACCGCCTTATTTCTAGCCCAAGGGATGAAGGGAACAAGATCACTATCCCCAGCAAGAGTGGACTTACCTCGAAAGTCGCTGAGGAGGAAGCTTCAGGAACCGATGTTTCCCAGAAAGGACCCCATATGAGTGCCAGTGCTCAGAAGAGCTCCGAAGCGCAAGTCAAGGCTGCCAGTGCCAAGCCCGAGGATAAGACTACAGCTGTGGTGAAGGCTAAGGAGGAGGCGCCTAAGGCTGCTGAAAAGAAGGAGGAACCCAGACAACCAGCACTCCCTGCTATTACGCCTCTCGAGTTCGCCCAGGTCAACGAGGGAGACGAAGCAATTGTTCAGGAGTTGGTGAAGACATTCAACGACATGATTACTGTCATCAGTGCCGATGAGAACTCCGGCAAGTTCTCGGCACCAGTTGCCAAGGCCAAGGAGGAGCTTCAGAAGGTTGGAGAGAAGATCATAGCTGTCCGCGACGAAGCACGTCGTGCTGCTAAGGAAGAAATCGACCAGGCCCATGCAACTTTCGATGAGTCTGCTCGCGAGCTCATTCGTCGTTTCGACGAAGCGCGTGCGGCCGACGCTGCCCAGTACCGCGAGGAGTTTGAGGCTGAGCGTGAAAAGCTGGCATATGCTTACCAGGAGAAGATCAGAACGGAACTGCAGAGAGCTCAGGATGTGGCTGAGCAGCGCCTCAAGAATGAACTGGTTGAGCAAGCCATTGAGCTTAATCGCAAGTATCTCCATGAAGTCAAGGAACTCGTAGAGCGGGAGCGCGACGGCCGCCTCAGCAAGCTGAACGAACTGACCGCCAACGTTAGCGAACTGGAGAAGCTTACTTCTGGCTGGAGAGACGTCATTGACAGCAACCTCAAGACCCAGCAACTTCAAGTGGCTGTCGACGCTGTGCGCTCGGTTCTCGAGCGCTCTGCGGTTCCTCGTCCATTTGTGCGAGAGCTTGTCGCCGTGAAGGAGTTGGCTGCTGAAGACCCTGTGGTTGACGCGGCTATCGCATCCATCAACCCTACTGCTTATCAGCGCGGTATTCCTTCGACTTCCCAGATCATCGAGCGCTTCCGTCGGGTCGCCGATGAGGTACGGAAGGCTAGCCTTCTGCCCGAGGATGCAGGTATTGCTAGCCACGCAGCCAGCTTCGTTCTGAGCAAGGTCATGTTCAAGAAGGATGCTGTTGCCGGTAGCGATGATGTCGAGAGTGTGCTGAGCCGGACCGAGGGCCTTTTGGAAGAGGGAAATCTTGATGCCGCTGCTCGTGAGATGAACAGCCTGCAGGGATGGGCCAAGATCCTGAGCAAGGACTGGCTAGGAGATGTTCGCAGAGTGCTAGAAGTCAAACAAGCCCTGGAGGTAAGTATCCCACCCTGACGTTCTATGTCCGCTGTGACGAGGTCGAGCTCACACATGCTTTCTACAGGTGATTGAAACCGAGGCCCGTTTACAATGCTTGAGAGTTGAATAGACAATTACCTTCTCAGCATTAATATAGCTTTCTTGTACCTCATGCCGCCTATCTACAGGAATTGTACCTCTAGTTGTCCGCTTGCGTTGTTAGATTCAATGCTAGATTATTTTCCTTTGTACCATGTATCGTGCCAAGGAATGTTAGGCCTTTTAAGATCTCCCCCAGATACCTGGCAACGCTTGATAGCGAGACCATGGTTGACGTTCCGTGATGACGAGCTGTTTGCCATGTTTGCAGCTCCACGTGCGCGCATGATGCGCCTGCTGCCTAGCGATGGAATAGCGATCATCGGAGCATATCTCGACAGCAAAGACGAAGGGGGTGGTCCAGATCCGTCTCCTTCTACGACTTGAATGCCTTTTTAAAGCCATGGCTGGGTTCTAGCTATCTTCTGCAAATCCTCATGTCTGCTTTCACTCGTGGACGATACCCCTTTCCTATCCCGCGGGACGGGCCACCTCGTCACCATAGCTCTGATGTCCCCGAAGGCCGATGAATCCTATTCACCTTCACCTCTTATGCCCAAAACCCATGAAACGCAGTCAGGATTGCCTCTACATTCCAACACTTCTAATGATATCTCCGACCGACGAAAAGGCTTGCACATGAACCAAGGACGACCAAGCGGAGAGCTAGAGGGCAGCACTCTCGGTAACAGCTCTCGGGATGGTGATAAAGGAGGCCGGTCCCAGCGCAGGACGGCCAGCTCGGGCGGATTCCTTGTCGATTCATCCTTTTTACCCAGATCGAAGAGCCTAAGGACTAGTCATTACCGCCCCCGCCGTTCAGAATCCGACCGTAAGGAGAAGCGAGAAGCGCCCGAACCCGACCTGGTGGTTCCGAAGAAGCGATCGCGATTCCCTTGGATTCGGCCGAAAGAGCCTAAGGTATCGCAGGTGGATCAGACAGAAGCTAAGGCACCGGAGGAGATACCTGCTTCATCACTTGTGGAACAGGATGCGGCACCGCATGAGTCACACACCCAGGCGACGGAAAGTCAAACCCCCGTGGGTCTTGATAGAGATTCTCTTCAAATAGTGAATCTTGCCTTGAATCTCAGCGAGTCGAGGAAAAGAAACAGCCTGGGTCGCTCCGCTTCAAACCGTCTTTCGGGAGGTAGATGGAATTTGTCAACTGGTCAAACATCCGCTCCATACACTGATAGACATGCGTCAGTCCCAGTAAACGAACTTGGGCAAGGCGCTCGGAATGGCCGCAATATCACACAATCTCTAGGAGACGATCGTTCCAAGCTAGTCGGCGCCAATCATCTAGATCTACCACCAGTTCATGCTCCGTCTTCTGTGGCGAGTCTACTTCCACATTCTGCAGGATCGGAAATCTTGCCGCAAGGGTTCTCAGAGAGCACCCTTGCTCGAGCTGAAAAGGCTCGTCGCCATTTTGATCTATTCTCGGAGTATCTACGACTACTCCCTTCCCTTCCTCCTCTGACGCGGGTCAATGGTCATCCTGCAGATTCGGCATCCTTCGATGCCAGCAGCCTTCCATCATACCGGGTGTACAATCCCCTTCAATGCATTCGTAACCGCAAAGTGAGGTTTCGAGAGCGGTGTGCGATAGACACGGGGGCAGAGGGCTGGTACGATATTGACAAAGTACATCAATGGGTTGATTCGGTAGAAGCGCAGCACAGTCAACACAGTCACAGTCCTCTCGAATGTCTGCAGCTTCCATCGTTCCATAGCTGTAGGGAGACTAAGCCGCGTGAAGAGGTGGATGAAGCCGACTATCTTGCTGTCTCCCCACCTTCAAGCTTGAGACGTGCCAGCCGCGCTAGTAGTGTCAAGGCACGCAGGCCACGGTCAGACTGGATCATTGGCCCGGCAGAGTTTCTTTCCGACGCTGCATGGGTTGAAGAAGGGAAGAACAAGAGTAAGATTGTTGATAGAGACGGGAATTACCTCTATCCGGACCCCTCCATCCTAATAACTGCCGACGCCAACCAGGAAACCATTGGACTGCAGGAGCAGCTACAAAATAACCGGGTCTCCTTGGATTCGGAACTTCCCACTTCTCGTACCTCTTTATCTGATGCTCGTTCCGGTCTGGCGACAGAGTTCAAAAGGGTCGGACGTGGGCGGCGACGGCACAGATTTCGGGGCTCTGGCCGTAGCGGTCATGGTAGCGAGGTGGCAGGGAAAGCGACGGGTCCCAAGAAGCATAAGCTTGGATTGCTCTCAAGTAGCTCTTCGAGCATATCTAGTGCTGATGGGCGGTTGTACCGGCATTCCCCTATGCACAATACATTGTCCTCCGAGAGGGACGCTTCCCCACTGCCAGACGCTTCACGTCTTCGAGCTTCAGGTGCATTATCTGAAGATGACAGTGCCGTGGACGCCAGACTGACACCAACCCATGACACCTTTCCCCGGTATAAGTCCAGAATATCTCCTGCCTGGGCCCTGTCAGAGGGAAAGCGGAGCTCTGTGTCCTCCATACCGAGCGTTGATGATCGCTATGATCCTCTGACGAACTTGGCGACTGCAGAAAGCAGGTCGCCCGATTTGCATGCGCAGGTCGGTGTCTTTCCGAGTATTGCGGCCAATTTATCCCCACCGTCCAGCCGTTCACCGTCCCCTTCGAAAGGTCGTTTCTCTCGGGCTATCGGATCTCGGCATGAGCGAAGCAAGAGTAATATTCGGACGAAAGATATCGCAGATGATAGCTCTCTGGATTCGGCAGCTTTGCGCAAGGATAGCTTGTCCGCACATCCCGAGGGCATATCTTACGGCGGCAGGCTGGAACCAAGTCCGATTCCGGATAGAGTCTCTTCGTTATATCAAGAAGACCCACCAAGGATACACTCACAGACACGTAAAGACGCATTACAGCCTGAATCCAAACTACGGGGAATCTTCAAGGGACCCGGAAAGATTGCAGAAAAAGTGGGCAACGAAATGTCGAAAGTAGGAGATCTAATCTTGAAGAAGGATAACACGACACACTCGCGGAGATCTTCTATTTCCAGCACGAGTTCTTCCGATTCTAATCCTCTGGATGATTTGGAAGAAGCTCGTGGTGATAAGATATCTGGTGCCAAGTCTCTTTTGCGCCGATTCCCCACGTTCACCGATGATGCCAATCGGGCTTCACGCAAGAATCTGGAGAAGCTGAATGGGAAGCACAGTGTGCCCTCGGTCGGACAAGATCGACTAGAAGAGCATCGGCCATCGGAATACAGCAGTCCCCCCAAGTCTGGTGCCGATGCTGGTACCGTTGAACCCCAGAGAGAGGCTGGGGGGTTTTCCACCTCACTTCATGCGCCAGTCACTCGTCACGAGAGTTCAAGATTTGGTCCCGAACTTCACACTGTCCGGGAACAATTCAAAAAGGGCAACATCAAAGATGCTGGAGTTCCTTTTAGCCTCACGAGGCCTCCTATCACAGGTCTTGCACAAGCGAGAGCGGACACTATGTCGCCTGAGGAAAGACGCCCAAGACTCTCCAACCAGTCAAGAAGCTGGAGTATATCTAATCGCAGCCTTTCCACTTCACTGGTTGTCGGTGTTCCTGGGAAACAAGAGGTCGAACGGACCCGAGCCCTTCTCCTCTCTTCGGGAATCAAGGCTCGCGAGATCACCCGCCGAGCAGACTGTGTGCGGCATCCTCCGCCTGATTTCCTTCGGCGCGCATTTGACACGGAAGCATCCATACCACAGGTGACCCGGCTTTATGAGTATGATGTGGCAGCGCAAGGTCTACTCAGGAGGGTTGAGAAAACACATCATTTGTTCCAGCAATCTATGGACAATTTCTCCGGTTCTGTTTCGTCGCCTTTGAAATCCCAATTGAGCAGACTCGAGGGCTTAGTGAACGAAACCATCTCCCCACGTGTCCAGGCGGCCACACAGGATGCAGAGGACCTAAGCATCCAGCTCAACACGACCAGCACCCTTGCGGTCAAGCAGTTAAGCGACACTCTCGACAAAGGGGTCCGGAGGCGCCATCGCCGGCTGCGCTGGGTACGGCGCACTGGATTTGTGATGCTTGAATGGGCACTGGTCGGTATGCTGTGGTGGGTTTGGCTGATTGTCATGGCTTTCAAGATCTTGCGAGGCGTTTCACGGGGCGTGCTTTCTGGTATCAGATGGGTTTTGTGGTTGTAAATGCAATTGGTTGTGGGCAAAGGCCATTGATTCGTCATTATTATACCCCTTTTTGAATTTGTCACGTTCCTAGCGTTTGTTTTCCCTCTGTTTCACGGTTTATCAACCTCTTTCTTCTAGTTCATATCTTCCTAATGACTCTTACTTTAATCGGATCTCATGTGAAACCAGAGGCGATAGTGGTCTACACCCTCGTTATGTACACGATCGGCTGGATCGAGGGTTCCTTAGGGGGTAGGTTCAAAATCCTTTGCTAGACATGAAAGAACTGAATGTTTGAAATAAAGAACCATAGCTCACAGGAGAATACCGATGTACTGAATCAATGAATGTGGATCAGGTGATGCCATCGAAACATGATCCGTTGTAACCACAGGTCGAAGTTACACCAGTCCAGGATTAACATCATGGTATTACTCTCACGCCTGACCTTTCCATCAAGCGTTACCATCTAAGATGACTATATGTCTGTTTGTAAAGAATGCCATGTTTGCGTGCAATACCCGGTCCAAACAAAGAAGCTGCCATCCACTGAAACATTGCCGGTCAGCTCTTTGTTTGTGCATCGTGCAAGCTGGTTAGCAAGCAACATAAAAACATGCCCAATCCTCTTCAATGGGGTTCTTCTTCTCATAAATCATAATCACTCCTTTTCAGATACTGTTTTCACATCCATCCCTCTTACCCTCATACAGCCATTCCTTGAGCCTTGCCCTTACCCTCTAACGACCATTACAAGCCAACCCCACTGATTGTCCATGCCATCTCAAAGCCAATTTAACACCAATACCGGCCCCGGATTCAATACAAATCCCGCGGTGAGTGCAGGGTTGAAACGTTCAAACGCATTATTCCGCAAGCGTGAAGAGAGGAGTCCACTGATCGACCGTCAACAGACAATGACATTCAACTCACCAATGTCTACAAAATCGACTTCCTGGAACAAACATGATCGCAAGGAGAATCTCCATCCTGATATGAATCGGGATAAGGGCAAGCGCCCCGAGAACTATAACGCTAGCGCCTTTTTCAATCCATCGACGAAGAAACAAGCAGATAGCTCTGCTATTTCATCTCACAAGCGTGGTGGAGTCCAATCCGACCCGAGCAAGGTTCGCTGGCCCTTTTTAGGTTGATTCTGGTCGGCTGGATCCGTCAGAATAAGGTATGGATGGAACTGGCGCACAGTACGGCGCTAGACATGTCCGTTATGCATGCCGTGATGCTTCATGAGATTCTGCGATGATTTATGACATTGATGGTTATGATTTTGATGCACCGTTCTGTTTTTGACTGGAGTTGACCTTTGTTTCTGTGGCTTACTAGTTTCTCGCATGATCTAGTTGGGTTTGGTGTTTGGAATACTGCCTGATTATATTCCTTCGATCCTGCAATGCAATTCATTCGTCCACTTTGTATTACTGCTTTCACATCATGTGATTTAGTCACGTTATCTTTGCTTATGTTGCCTATATCTACGATTTCTATAGCTTTGCCCCTCCACCTTTTTGAAATAATCTTGTTCCGCAAGAGTCATCATACCAGTCGGAATCCATGAGTATCATCATTAAATTCATCTTCCAGTCAACCTTTGATATGTTGTATGTTTTCAGATTCCAATTTTCATATTGTCTGCTCTTACTATAGCCCCCCAAAGCTAAGAAAGTCATACAAGGGCCCGCCACCTGGTGTACATTTGTAGTTCTTGTTAGCTGAGATATATATCGGTCGGCAATCCATGACTTGAACCGCAATGATGTCGCATAGCAGTTGGCTTGTAAGGAGCTCAGAAACCTGAGCCGGAGTTTATCAACAATTTCCAAAAAGACCAAAACTTATTCCTTGGACAGTTAGCCACACATCTTGAAGCCGTTGCTCTGGTGGTGCAAATAGGATAAAGATCACGTGGCATATATTGCCGATCAGGGTCTCCCACCGCCCGAGGTGGGGTTTTCATACTGCCCGTCCATGAGACACGGCGGTCAAGCTTTCTGAACCAATGGTTGGGCGGCTAAATAAGACGCATCTAAGAAGTGCGGCAGCGCGCGTCATGCCGCACCTTCCAAGGAACAGGCTTCAGTGGCAAACCAGGAACAGTCTACTCCGTGCCTACACCGTACACCAATAGCCGGTTCAATTTCTAGCCCGTCAGAGGGAATTGCCTGGATCCTTGTTCACAGCCAAGGGGCACTAGCCTGCCTCCCCTATCCCGTGGCGGGGAGAGTATCTCGGACAAATGACGCATCCTGGGGGGGGCGGAGGAGCAGCCAACCATGCCGAGAAGCATGTGTTTTAGGTAGAAAGTCGCTCAATGACTCAAATGTCAGGTCCACTAGAGTGCCTGGACGCCCTAAGATTCGGACGACGGATCTTCAGGGACTGATCTATTGGAAGTGAGGGAAAAATTGGGGGTCGTCAGGCCGAATAACCAGGCACGGGATCTGCCAGATTCCCACGGAACGCAGACAGGCAGCAACCATGAGACCACGTCAACCCAATTACTTGCGTGAACGGGAGGAGTAACCATACTGTGCGGAGGGCCGAGATGCAGGCTGGGGTACGTTGCCGGCGAGGGGGACGGGCATGGGCAAGCGAGGTAGAGGTGGAGGTAAGATACTGTGTACAATACGGGCAGTGACGGGGAGGGGCAGCGCGATCGGGAGATGCCGTAAGCGCCCCCACGAGAACCACTCTTGCTCTTTCGGCCTCTCTTCCTCTGCTTTTTCCTCCTCGACTCTCCTGCTGCAGCATCGTCCTTCCACGTCCAGCCATTGCGGTAAGTCCCCTGTCCACCCTCGCGCGTTCCTTGCCGGGTTTCCTGCACACCTCCGGGATTCCTCGTATTTTCGATTCATCGAGATCGTCGGGTGTCTGCCTGACGCCGTGCCCTTTGCCCTAACCTCCGCGTCCACCGGTCGAGTCGTTAAAACTCTGCACCGCACCTTTCCCTCCTCCTCCCACTTGGACCCCCCCGGCCCAGAAATTAAATCTCGCATCCCTGTCGTTTCTCGTTGGAGCTGTCATACAAGCTTGCTGATCCGTTGGCTGCTCGCGTCAGATTTCTCCTTCTTGGGAAAAACCTTTTTTTTCCCCTCATTCAACTTCCACGTCGCATTTTCTAGGCCTTTGGAATCCACCAGTTCCAAAGGCTCCCGGTCACCACGGCTCACGTAGCCTCGCATCTCGTTCTTCGTCACATTGTATCTCCGAGACGTCTCCGCGACACTCTTAACAACATTCCCCCTCCTGCTGGTCTCGTTTCCTGTGTCGTCCGGTGCGCCCTTTTTTAACGACCTGACGCCCTCGGAACCTTCCCCATCTTTTCTTGAGCTGCCGCATAGGACTTCTCTGAAGGTTCTTCCTCTCAAGGAGGAAGGGTCTAGGAGGCTTGGTCCAGTCAACTTCGGTTGCGAATCTTTTCGCCCTCCTTAACACGCAGTCGCGTTACTCGATTCTTCTTTTTCTCTACTTCTTCTTCTAAAGTCCTATCCCGTGCTCCGTCGCAGCGCGCATGGTTATGGCACCGACTGCTTGTGTACCTGCTGAAGTATGCACTCCGAAATTCTATTCGGAGAAACACGACTATAATCTCAATTGGGATCATGGTCAATTCAGCAATAATGGAGGGGACGATATTTCGCAATCCAGGTTGGCTGCCAAGGAATTGGTCTTGGACATCTTGAAGAAGCGTGCAGCGGAGGTGAATGTGGACTGCTGCGCGCCTGGGGCAGAGGATCCGTTTTATGTGGCGGATATGGGCGAGATTTACCGCCAGCATCTGCGCTGGAAAATGAACTTGAGCCGAGTTCGACCTTTCTACGGTAAGGATTCGTATTTCACCAGCTGATATCACGGAGCGGTGACTAACATTGAATGAACAGCGGTCAAGTGCAACCCGGATCCGGAGATCCTGCGCCTCATGGCCAAACTCGGAAATGGCTTCGACTGTGCGTCCAAGGCGGAGATCGACCTGGCTCTCGAGACAGGCATCGACCCGAGCCGCATCATCTACGCGCAGCCCTGCAAGACCAAGTCCTATCTGCGCTACGCCGCCCAGGTGGGCGTCAAGCAGATGACCTTTGACAACGCCGACGAGCTGTACAAGATCAAGGCCAACTACCCGGAGGCTGAGCTCTACCTGCGCATCCTCACGGATGATTCGAACAGCATGTGCCAATTCAGTATGAAGTTCGGCGCTTCTATGGACGTGGCTCGTCAACTCCTTGAACTGGCGTACCAGCTCGAGTTGAAGGTCGTCGGCGTGAGTTTCCATGTTGGTTCCGGCGCCGAGGATCCTAAGGCTTTCTTGAAAGCCGTGCAGGACGCACGCCTGGTGTTCGATCAAGCGGCGGAGATTGGCCACGAGCTCCACACTTTGGATGTCGGAGGAGGATTCTCTCAGGATACGTTTGAGAAATTCGCCTGCGTGCTCAGTGAGGCTTTGGATACCTATTTCCCGCCCAACATCCGGGTCATTGCGGAACCGGGCCGCTACTACGTTGCCAGCGCGTTCACTCTGGCAGCTAACGTCATCGCTCGGCGTGACGTGCGGGACCCGGAGGACCCGACCAATGACGCCTACATGCTGTACCTCAACGACGGGGTGTATGGAAACTTCTCCAACATCATCTTCGACCACCAGCATCCCGTGGCCCAGGTCCTTACGTGCGCGTCGGCCGCCAACTCCCCTTATGCTGCGACTTCGGGGGGTATTACGTACTCCATCTGGGGGCCGACCTGCGACGGCATTGATGTGATCTCCAAGCGTATCCAGCTGCCGGCTCTGCTGGCGGTTGGAGACTGGCTCTACTTTGAGGAGATGGGAGCCTATACCAAATGTAGCGCGACCCGCTTCAACGGCTTCTCGGATAACCATGAGGTGATTTACATCTCTAGCGAAGCCGGGGCTTCCGCGCTCCTCGAGTACTAGATTTATTATTTGTTGATTTTGGTTGTTTTTGGTACTTAGATATCGCTTATTGATACTCAGGTCATCTGACCTGGTTTGGTAATAAATGTTTGTGTCTTTGTCTTGATAGAGTAGATGTCGGGGCTGAATGCAGCCCAATTAGTGGTGAATTTAGTGTCATATAGCCTTTGTTTGTTCTACTGTGTAATGTTTTGTCTATCTATGTCTATCTACCAACTCTTATCATTCCAGCATCATCATCAATATGCGTCTAACATGCAGCAAGTCATCAGATGCAGAGCCAGCTCCAAGCATCCTGCCCCAAATCTAGAACCAGAGACCTCTATACCAGCCTCTCCACCACCAATTCGGTTCCCTCACACCCCTCTCCCACCTGAACCAGGCCCCCGGCCTCCAGCCTCTTCTTCCACTTGCCAGACTCATACCGGGCCAGAATGAGGGTGATCCTCGCCGCTACCCCAGGGTCCAAACTCTCCGCCACCGCATCCGACGCAGTGAACGTCCAACGCCCAAAGGCCCAATTCAAGATAAAGTGCTTCGTCGCTCGGCCTTCCCCATCCACACCAGCATCCGTACCCACCACCGACTGCTCCTCCTCCGAGGCAGCAGGCGGCTCGGCAGTCGAACACCGCATGACGCCCTTAATCCGATACACCTCCTCCTTGGACGCCGCGCGCAACAACTTCTCCACCAACGCCTTGGTATCCACCACCGGCCCTTCACTCCCAACAGGCCCCTTCAACGTAACCGACAACACCTCCACCTCGGACTGATGTCCATGCTCATGTCCATGCCCATCCCCGTGTTTATGCTCATGCTCATGCTCCTCCCCAAGCAACTCCACCCCTCCCTCCTTCGCCACCAACGCCCCATCAATCCCCAACAACACCCCCATCTCCACCCTCCCCTTATCCGACTTAACCCACGGCGTCTCCACCTCCAAATCACCCACCCGATCCAAGCAAACATCAAACCTCATCTCCCCAGCCGCCTCCCACTTATTAAACACAATCAAATCCGTATACCTAGCCTGCAACTTCGCCGTGTAACTCGTATCCTCATACCCCTCCCAATTCTCCACATCAATCACGCTGATCACCCCATCAAGGACAAACGTCCCCGGATGCTCCCGCGCAAGCCGATTAACCTCCATCGCCAACGTAGCTGGGAACGCAGACCCCGAGGTCTCGATCACAATTCGGTCTGGGGAAACGGTCTCGAGAAGTTGGAATAGCGCATCGCTGAGTTGTCCGACGAGGTTGCAGCAGATGCATCCGTTGAGGAGTTCCCGGACGCCGCTGATAGAGGACGTCGTGGCGAGTTGGGAGTCGATTGCGACGTCGCCGAATTCGTTTTTCAATAGCGCGAGGCGGTAGGTGGGGGGGAGTTGGGGGATGAGGTTTAGGAGGAGGGTGGTTTTGCCGGAGCCGAGGAAGCCGGTTAGGATTGTTATGGGGGTTGGTGCCATTTTGGTTTCGTTGGTCGTTGGATTTGGGGGGTGGATTTATGGGGATGGAATTATGTGGGGTTGGTGTCGTTGTGGTGGTGGTGGTGTCTATGCAAGGTGTATGTGAGGGAATAGAAATCTAAAATCTATGTTGTACAGGTCAAAAGAAGGACCGGAGGGAGATAGAATGCAGTGGATGGATGCGGTGGTGAGGTGAGGTGGAGTGGTGGAGTAATGTCGGAGTTGGAGGAGCAACTGAAGAATTGTCGGCGGATGGAGGGGGAGCAGAGGGGCCCGCTAGCCCCGATCGGGGTGAACCCTAACAGTCTGGCGTGGGGTTGGAGTCATATTAGACATCATTTCTCATGAGATCATGGGATAGTCTTCGAATTGTATCCCAAGGTATAGGTAGTTCATGCCTAATGTCCATAGTATTCAGGTAGGTACATAAAATAGATAGCATCAGAACACCCACCTACCCGAACACAACCTCCCTACATACCATCCCCCTCTCCCCTCCCACGGAAACCAACCACCCCCCTACCTACCAACCAACCAACCCAACCCATCAAGGAACCAACCGCCCAGTAAGGCTGAACCCCCAAGTACAGACCATTCAACGCTCCCGGCCCAAAATGTCCGCAGGGATGATGGGGATCCACAAGGCTGACAACGATGATATCATCCCACCCGCTTGATGTCATCCATCGGCCCGGGTGAAACTATATCTCCTGACACCTCTACCTTACCTCCCTGCATTCAAACTCCTTCAACAAGCAACCACCAAGCCTACAAAAAGAAAAAAGAAAATGTCATCATGAAAACCGTCGACGATACCGCACGAGAAACCGCACGGGAGATGGGATATCAGGAGCCACGGACCGATCATTCAGAAGACTCGATGTTGAATGCGCAGAGCTCGTTTGGCGAGATGAAAACTGTGTTTCGGGATGTCACCCCGGGGGATTTTCTTAATAGTACGTGGAATCATGTACGGTCGTTGACCGGGGGTGGGGAAGGGGATTATGGGGAGGGGGATGGGGATGGTGGTGGGGGTGAAGGTTGGTGAAATGTTCTCTTGGTTTTGTTTGGATGTTTGGTTTTGTTTGGGTGTGCTGATGAAAGGGTAGATGTTGTTGAGGCGACCGATCCGGAGGAAATTCGTTGCATTGAGAATTTGGAGAGGGAGAAGATTGTTCAGTTTCTACAGGAGAGGCATAGAAGTGATCCTGCACATATTAAGAAGAATGTGTGATTTTCAGATACAACTAATATTTATTGTTGGGACATCTTCGACTTTCTACGCCTAGTAGACAGAAGGGATATATCTCTTTTGGTCTATGGGTTAGTAGCTTTGATATTTATGATGCCGAAAATAACTCTGTAAAGGCTTGCTCGAACAAAAGATGGGTAATTGAATTGTTGTAAATGTCGCACGCTCACAAAACAGCTCGAAAGCCCCTGTCCAGCTTAATGTCCAATCCCAAAAAGTCGGCGACTTGTCCCAGATGATCAACTCCCCAGAAACCCTCGGTTTCACCCTTGGTGTTTGTGCACTCGAACCACGGTATGCCAAATGCGCCAATGTTGAACGCTCGGTTGGTGTTTGCAGTCAAGATTGCCTTGATCTCTGCATGATTCATCTGTCATGCTATTAGCATATACGAAATAAGGGGCATAGACTGCAAATAGCGTACGGCTTCCATGATCGTCTGTGTTTCGCTCTTTCCGAGCACCCTTTCAAGCACTGGACCGAAGCATTCAGGCTGGGCAATGTTAGGATTCCCCTCCACCCAGAACGAGCGATAGAGCGCTTCGAATGCCGATACAAGCTTATCTGGAGACTTCTGAGAAATCGCACAGAGAGCACGTTGGGTGGCCAAAGTCCGTGGGGGAAATCCTTCAGGGGTCGTCTGGACTATCGGAACAGAGAAGTAACGAGCCCACCGAGTGCGTTCCTTGTCGATCCAAGTATTCTTATCTATATGCAATTGAATAGGGTTAGTTATAGAACGTACTCCAGTCTACAAGGTCTCGCCCACTCGTAATATTTATAGGGGCAGTGTTCTGGCACGCATGCATGAGACCACCCAGAAAGATGGGGACATAAGTGATATTGCATTTGGCAAAGACGGGCGAGTTCTTGATCCTGTTAGACTAGGTGATAGACTCTTGAATGGCTGGATGCTGTACTCACTTTCAGTACGCTGAAGGCAATGTAGCCAAATGGACTGACAACGTCCAGATATACGTTAATGCGAGGCACAGCCATGACTTTCGGGACGGGGACGACGAGGAAAGCGAGACAAGCGGTATGACAATCAAAGCTGAAGCCAGCCAACAAACCACACACTACGGACTAGAACAAAAGGAGACTTGAAGGTTGCACGAATGCGTCCCAAACCTGGTAGACTCCTTGACCGGATGAGTCAGCATCGTCAGCCGAGGTGCTCGGATGTTGGCTGTTTATCGCACTTGATTTCTCAACCCCTCGGTCTCAGGACGTCATCGTTGGCTATGCAGCTATGCAACATTCGTGCCTGCCTCAACGGCCCTCTCTCCATTGGGCAGCTACGATGCTGCTGTACTTTAGTGGCTTGCTTCTGGCAGATCGACCAGACCGTACTCCGTAGCATCTCGTTGTATCTGGCCAAACTGCATAGTACTTGCATATTTACACCATAGATGGCTATGTACAACATGCTTAGCGTGGGCTCGTTTGCCAACCGAGACAGACTTTCTAAGGCCGACGGGAATGTTTTTCTAGTACCCTTCTCAACCCTCAAAAGCTCAGAGGAGTCGGTCTATGACTTTGACCTGTCCGATTCAGAGTACCTCCAAGATTCGATAACGAAAAAGCGCCGCCATGCCATCTACTATCATCGGCCTCCTGTGTGGTGTCCCGCACGTCAGACAAGGATTCCGTCGAGTGTCTCTGGGAGCAGCAGTAGTTGTTGCTCGGGAGAAATGTGCAGTGACTGCGATGCTGACGATAGTCAAATGCAGGACGATGCATATTCCTGCATCGTGGACTGCTGTGACACCACAGCTGCATTAGCAAGCACTGTACCTGGCACAGAAACCAACATGTCTCAATTTAATCAGGACACCGTCATAATGGTGAGTTCCCATCATCTGCAGGTGTACGTTGCGTGGATCCGTGCTTATCTTCAAAGCACGACTGGACAACTCAAGACAGGTCCAACGCATGGAAACAGTTAAGCTCGGCCAAGAGATATGCTTTATCGGATCGGCGAGTCTCTTCGGCAAAACCATGTCCGAGTCGGGTGCTATTGCAAAGCTCTCTTCATCAGGATGGGATGGGCTCCGCTGCGCGGTTACAATCTTATAAGGATATACGATTAGGGCTGGATGAAAAGTGGGCCATCCATGAAGGCTCCCTAGTGATCTGCGTTGATCCTGCGTATACCTTGTCCGACCACGACAAACTACGGTCCGACGAATTCGAACTTGTCAGCGGAGATATCTTCGTTGTCTGTAGGATGTATGCAGATCTGTGGGCTCTGTGTGCCAATGCTTCGTCAGCTCAGCCCGAGAGACCTTTCGGTGAGACATTGACGGCAGTTGAGCCTGTGCGACTAGCTTTCCTGCCACTCTGCGCAGTGACATTAGCAGCAAATTTCAGCGCATTCAATCAGAGATGTATCAGTTACGCTTGTTGCGAGACCGATGAACCTAGATATCCGGGGAACGGGCTGCCGGTTATGCCTCCCCCACGCTCTTATAGCCTTTGCGATGGCAAACAGATCTACCGCGGAAACAGACGTCACATTCCATTTCCAGAGGTGGTATATGATGCTTTCAACCGCATCTCTTTGGAAGGTAGCGATGCCGATCATGTGTTGGCAGACTCTCCTTCTCTGGAGAACGTGCTTTCTAGCTTGACCGATCGAGGGAGTCGTCGGCTGCAGCGCTTAGGAAATCGGATGTCACTCCGGAAGCTTTGGAGCGATAATAAAACACCTGTGCTGGGGAACGCGGAGAACAGATTCTCTCTTTTACCGGTATATCGTGATGGGCGTCAAGAATCAGGCGCAACGCAGCGTCATTCAGACACGCAGCGGCGTAATTCTTCAAAAAGCCCGAGGCTGAGGGACCTCATTCGGATTGCCCGATAGGCCAGGGGTTCACTAAACAGTTGCTTCATACTTCATCAGGTTTGTACTGTTAGCGACATTGATATCAGTGATAGCAAGTATGGGCATATTATGATTGGCGCACATTAAATTGCACAAGCTTGTACTGGACACTGCCGAGGTGAAAGGGGTGCAAGGGAGGAATGAAGGGGAGCGCGTGAGAGGGAGACCGGCGAGGGAGACACTAGACAGATGCCTGCAGGCCACATCGGCCCGAATGCAAGCCCCCTTGGATGACACGCGGCTTCCCCGCCCGTTGTCCTTCACCTCTGCTCACTTCCCTGATGTAGTCAAGTACTTAGTAGATAAGTCCACACTTCAACATGGAATCGGATTCACTCTTGACTGTAAACCGTCAGCCTCTCTCGCCATGCCGTCGTTGCGAGCCATCCTCTACACCACCTTTACCCTCACTACTCTCCCTTTCCGCATCCTCGGCATCTTGGTCTACTACATCCCCAAAGTCACCCGTCCCCATCCGGCATGGACCTACCGTCGAGCTGTCGGCTTAAAGATCTTCGCCATCTGGTGGAACTACGCAACAGCAGTGGAATACCGTACCCCGAAAACCCTCACCCCCGGCCGTGAAGGGCAGCGCTTCGTAGTCATCGATCCACCCTCCAACCGCCCAGCCCTCGACCGCGGCATCCTCCGCAGCGTGCCATCCATCCGTCCCAACCCCATCGGCGCGGTCTGGTACCCTGCCCTCCCATCCAAGCCCCCCAACTGCGTAATTCTCCACTTCCATGGAGGTGCCTACGTCCTGGGTGGTGCGCGCCGCAAACAAAATGGTTGGGGCCCTCGAATCCTCAGCCAACATACGAACCTTCCCGTCCTGCAACCACAGTACCGTCTCTCCGTGGAAGAGAACGCCTCCTTCCCTGCAGCCCTTCAAGACGGGATTGCAGCCTATGTATATCTCCTGGATACGTTGGGCGTGACCTCCGAGAATGTCATTCTTTCCGGGGACTCGGCCGGGGGTAATCTGGTCCTTGCGATGCTGAGGTATCTGACCGAGGAAGTAGATGCGGGGTTACCATTGCCTGGGGCGGGGTTGTTGTGGAGCCCGTGGTTGGATTTGACGGATCAGGCGGCGCGGAAGGTCGACGCGCATCCCTGTCGGAGGAATGATTATCTGACTGGGAACTTGGTGGCTTGGGGGGTGAGACGATTCACGCCTGTTGGATGGGAGAGGGGACATCGGTTTTTGAGTCCGTTGGGGAGGGAGTTTCAGGTTAAGACGCCGCTGTTTGTGCAGACGGGCATGGCGGAGGTGATCCATGAGGATCATGTGAGATTTGTGGAGCAGATGAAAGGGCTAGGGAATGAGATTGAGATGTGCGAAGTCAGGGACGCGCCGCATGATATTTTCGCGGCTGGGGTGGTTCTTGGGTTTGTGAACGAAGCGGAAGAGGCGATCGAGCAGACGAGATTATTCTTGAAGAGAGTGGTAGGGAATATTTGACGGTAGGGTTATATATGGAGTTTATTCCGTGGAGTAGGTATATAAGATGTCTTTCGTCTCTTTCGTCTCTTTCATCTCTTTCTCTTTTGTTTTTTTCGCCTGTTATTGATATATACCGAGGGATGATGGGGCCGCTAGCCACGACCATGGCAGGGTGCTCCACCCCGCATGTTTGATACTGACATCGTATTTGTCTAGGCGATAGTAGCTTTGTGCCTAGCTGAATCAGTCTAGGCACTTGGTCTCTGGCGTAAACCGTCGAGCCTGGGGCTGGGAAGTTTCGTCATCCTGAGATGTGGCGAGGTACATATGCCGCTAGGGAACTTGCATTTTAAGCCTTCAGATATCAAATGTAGCTGAGTAATGATATAGAGAAGCCTGCAGCCTATGCACGGACATCAGACATTAGCCCTTTACGCAGAATCCATGCAATAAAGGAGAGCAGTCCACAAAGAGCACACGAAGGTTAACGAAGAATGTGCATGACGAACCATGTTGTGTTTTACCAGGCTTTGATTGCCTTGGGAACTGGTGGTCATCTGCACTCTTTTGTTCTCGCAGCAAAAGCTCAACCTCGAGAAGGGTGCAGGTACTTGCTACTGGCTGTCTCCATGCTTGTCTGGTATTGGCTAGATTAGGAGTATTATGTTCGCAACCACCTATTGATCTGGTTGCACACTTCTTTCCTTTCGTCCATAACAACGCAGTTCGATCTGGTCGAACTGATCATGCTGTGATGGAAGCTGTTTTTGGTCCAGGTGCAGGTTGTGGAGCCCGGCAGACTGCATCAGGTCAAAGAAAACAGACTCGCTCTCATGGCGTCTCTTCAATGCCACCAGAATGATAGCATATGGCGACATTTGCACTAAGCGGCTTAGTACTGAAACCAGGGCCGGTAAGCTGTCTGCATTGTAAGTACAATCTGAGACGAGAACCAGGTCTATCGAGCTTCCACATAGGTCTGCTGGGAGCTCATCGTCCCAGTCAAGTGTGCAAAATTCGAGTTCAGAGGAATTAGCCGGTCTCGCGACCGCTATGTTCTGCGTTACGATCTCCTCCACCTCGGGCAAGTCAGTGAGTACCACAGAACACTGAGGGAGAAGCTCTGCAAGGGCAATTCCAACAATGCCACATCCTGATCCTAGTTCAAGGACATGGAGAGGAGAGCTGCGCTCGCCTCGTAGAAGCTCTTGCAACAATGGTGCAGATACCGCAGGGTCTCCCGTAACTATCTGCTCAAGGTATATGACTGAAGCCACCGCTGCATCCCTGAAATTGTTAGGTTAGATTAGTGATGATAATCCTGTTCGCGAGGAAGATGCCTCACCAGATATGCCGGGCGATACTGTTCCCAGTCTCCTCCCAGATCCTCAGGCCTAGGCGATCCTTGGGTCCAAAGCGTCTCTCAACAAGCTTCTCGGCGACCGAGGATGATGACCCGCCAAATGGTGCGCTCCAGGCAGACATGACTAAAGGAAGACTGGAATTGCCCAGCAAACGGTCTGGTGAGGGTGACCGCCGCTTCTGCGAATCTGTGGCAGCAACGCCTAGGACGATCGTTTGCTGAAAGATATTGGCAGAGAAGGGCCCAAGCAGTATCGGAAGTTCGCGCTTGCCAGCCTTCCAGCTTAGTGGCTCTTGGTATAGGATTTTATCAGAGTCATTGAGGCCCAGCGTTATGAGTAAATCCACATCCTGTGCAAGAAATGCGTCCCCCAGGTCGGTGGTAATGCAGATCAGAGCGGAGACGGATATCGACCCGGGTTTCTGCTTCTGGAACCTGGGGGTCTTGAGAAAACGAATGTAGTAGACCATGATAGATACAGCCAATTACTAGCAACAATGGGATATCTGAAGATTGAAACAATACTCCGGAGTGATTGATTGAATGAAAGCAGTAGATTCGTGATGGGCAGGTGTGGGCTGACTAAGAGCGGGCCGATGACATCGTGCGCGGCCCAAGGTGTTTCTTCCTCAGGCTCGCTCCCCCGGTGGGCTCCCCCCTCGTTATTATCTCCGGTTATCCAATGCAGGTCCCATCGTATCGTCTCACAGCCCTTTCTCGCCAGAAGATATCTCCAGATATCCCCATTCCCATCGCAGCTGCTCTATGGGGCTACCTGACTTGACGTTGAAGTGAACCAACCGCCTTGCTCCTTCGCCCGCGGCGTGGCTTTGGCCAACGTCGCATCCCTACCGCCATCCGACATGATGCGATCAAGAGACCCTCGGGTCCGCCAGACAATCAACCAAATTCATCATAACCTCGAATCCGCGAACGAGACGGCTCAAGAGGGTCTATATGCCTTCTCCCACAACTACCTGGTACCATGCTTTGCAGCGATTGGGAGCTGCGTTTACTCATGCACTGCGCCTTGTCTCCCCACCCGTGAAGACCATCTTCGACGCCGCCGACGGGGCCGTGCAGAGGCTAATTTCGACTTCTACGATGACTGGGATAATGAGGAGTCAAATGATGGCCTGCTAGGATGGGGTACTGACGAACTTGACCGTCTGCTGGCTGGAAGTGGCTTGACTCGCGGGAGTTCAGAACAGCCTCGAAGGCAGCGGAAAATGAGCTATGGGGCTCGGCGCATAAGGCGAAAGAGCAGTGTTATAGTATCTGACGACCGTAATGATCCCACTGTCATCCCAAGCTCCTCATTCTTGGGGTTTTTGGAGCGCTTTCCATGGAGATTTGGCGCACGGGGGCTGAAATACCGCCCGTCGGCGGCCGATCTTCAGGAACATCCCGCAGGATTGCGACGGTTTGAACACGAGGATGAGCCTCTCATAGAAGAACCTGAAGAAAACGAAGGTCCAGCGGCCTCTGTTAGGAATGGGAGATATCGAAGTTCGACACAGTCCTCGCGGGACACAACTAACTCCTTAAGCTCGCGGGGAGATTTGATCCCCAGCGACGAGGAAGAAGATGCAGTGCCGCTAGATGACGAGTTTGCTCTAGCTCTAGCCAGCCGTCGTGGGACTGGACTGGATTCAATTGATCTAATAGGGGATAAACCTGCAAGTATGAGGTCTGTGTCTGGAACATTTAGTCTAAGGACAACTGCCTCTTCAAAGGAAACCAAGATGAAAAATAAAAAGAGGAGCAGCCGGCTGCGATCTCCTCATGGGTCTTATGTAGAGGTCACTCACGAAGTCGGCACCCCTACACTAGCCGATCTAAAAAAGGAAGAGGAGCGAGCTGCGCTCGAAGAAGAATCGGAGATTGCGAGAAGACGGCTTGCTGCACAGCAATTGGCCTCTAATCGTGGCCTAGATCAAGCGAAAGATGAGGTGGGTAGTTCAGTAACTGCTCTATCACCAAAATCGGGACGGGCTAACAAAACAATGCCGTAGGTGTCACAGGCTTTACCGTCGCAGCCTCATACCGTTTCGTCGGACGTTGCTCATCACGAGACCGTTGATACTCCTTTAGACCCAACTGTAGAAGACTCGCCAACTAAAATTCAGGGTGTGCAATCTCAACCCTCATTGAACTCGCGTTCCCCCGGAGACGAATCGCAAACAGAGCCTTTCCCGCCTTTTCCTTCCACCCCCGACTGTCACGAAGATAGTCCTGCGTCGCAGCCTGGTTATTTTCATGACCAACCCAACGGTATGAATTTACTTGGACAGGACAACACAGCAGACGCCCATAGGGATCCGTCTTCTGATTTAATGAATGGCGAAAGGTAGCTTTGCGAAGGGAGGACGCGGGTAGCCGCTGATTTAGGTTTGCAGGTCAAATCTAACAATTTAGTTTGCATTTCCCTGGCGATTTTTCTGACATATAGTGAGACGCTGCCATCTCCTGCTTTTCATGGCACCTTCGGACTGTATATTAGTATGATATGACTCACGAAACCTGAATATACAACCTATCTCGAGGGTAGGACAGTTAATTTGTGCATTTTCCTGTGTGATATACTTTCATGCTGATATTTTTAACTTCTATTCTGGGACAAGCAGAATGCTACAAGATGCAGACGGAATCCATGTAATGCCTTCTCGAATTCGTTAAACACCCCCCATAAGTTCGATTTATAAGCCTATGAAAACCGTATCCCAAAACATTTTTACCGTGCACGATTCCAATACCAATCGTTTCTTTCATGTTGATGCCTTAACTGACCAAAAACGAATACAATCACATTCGATACCCACTCTGCATAGTACTGCTACTGCCAGCTACAGCATTCGGACCTCCCTGCGTCAAAGCATAATCATACCGTGCTGACAACCCACTTTGATGGTCATCCGGCTTTTGCACCTCCCCAACAGGGAGTCCTTCAAGAAGCCACGGCGGGTTTGCGAGCGACAGGATCTCCTGATCAAAGATCGCCCAAGAATAATCTGCACCCGGGCCGGGAATTGCAAAGTCGGATCCAATCTCCTGTGGTGTATGCATGCTTTGCAATCCCGATTCCAGTCGATTTGCCAGTATGTTATGGATACTTGGTATGGATGGATGATCTCTTTTCAAACCGTCGATATGTTTTTCGATCAGGAGGAGGTCTGTACCGGGTGTTTGTCAGAAGGGAAGTCCTGAATAGTTTGAGGGATGGTATACAGGGGAGGAAGATCATACCGTCTTGGTGGGACATACCGTCCTCGATTCCTCGGAGCAACAGCATGGCTGCGAAGGTTACCATCTGTAGAGGTGAGTTGTGTTGCGTGTATGGTTTAAGGGGGTTTAATCCTTACTATTAGATCCCAGTTGGACCATATGCTGGCGTCGTCTAAACGAAGTCGTAGAACTGCGCGGGCTGAGACCAATAGTTCATGCCTTTCAGCGGGCGCAATATCTGTGGATCCGAGATCAAATCCTCGAGCTGGGTGATAGATCGATAAAACGTATAACTTGTGGAGATGGTACTGGAGGAGGATGAGTATTCCCTGACGATCGGATGGAGACGGTTCTGGAAGTAGTTGGCTGCGTTAGGGATGTCTCATGTATAAGCCATCGGCTCTCAAGGGTATCTTACGCGATGCTACGTTGTATCGGACCAACCAGTCGTCTAGCTTTCGGGCCCAGAGTCGAATGACTTGTCCATCTTTATCGGTGAAGGGCATTCTAACTGGAGATAGAACTTCGCGCTCTCTCGCGCTCACGAAGGACCATATGGTGGGGAGTCCCCTTCCGACAAAATGGCTGAGACCATGATGCATCATCTGGATGAGCCTGTGAAACGCATTCTCCTCACGAGCATTAAACTGAGCGAGAGCTGGTATGGGTGGCTGTTCCGGCAGTAGCGGACAACACATGTGCATAGAAGCGTGTTCGATATCGATGACCTGGAGGCCTGAGAACAGGCCGGCCCAGTTCAGAGTTGTGTCGTGTACATCGCGTGGGGTGTGATCGAGCAACAGGCGATAAGCAATGGCTATCCACATGCCAGTCGTTGGAACATAAGCTTCTGAGCTCAAGCTCGCCATGATAAGGCCAAGGATGTTATGGAAAATCATTGAACGGTCCGTATACAAGGACTGACCAGGGCCTCCTGGTGTGTCTTCCAACCCATCCCTTAGACAGAGCAATGGATCTGGATTGACAAGCTCAGTAATTGCGCAGCACTGCGCGACAAAATAGCCTTTCGTAAACTCTGAGAGGTCCCTAGATGGGCCATGAAGAGCAGAGATGAATAGAACTGATGCAAGCAGAAGTGGTGATGGTGATGCAAATGCACTCTGATCCTTCAAAAAGTGTAGAAGCGGTAGGTTGTTGAGAAACCTGGGCCGGTATCAGCTCTGTGCCAGACAAAGAACATGTTCATTATTGAGAAATTTTCGTACGAGTGCCACAAGTGTTTAATGACTGGACGTGACCAAATAGCTTCATCTTGATCGGGCCGCGTTATCTTTCTCAGATGCTTGACAGCTTTCCACAGTGGACGAAGAGACAAGTTCTCTAGATCTTCATCTTGATCTGAACTAGGGCTTACTGCTGTAACGGAGATACTTTCTTTGCTGATACCGAGAGCACTTTCAATTCTGTCCAAGCGGCCAAGAATGGCATCAATATCCTGAACCTTGTTCAGTGCGCCTTGATGCAGCGCCACCACGTCATGGATTGCGGATGCCGCCTGAGAGTCTGTGAGCATAATATAAACTAACATAGTACACACATTATAGATGGAAATCTAACATTCGATCTTGGCCTGAAGACACAGGCAGCCTTGGTGTGTCGACACCGGCGACACGGGGGATCCCCGTCCACCTCACATTTCATCTTAGGACTATCAGCCTGCTCAGTCATATCATACAGGATTAGAAACTGCGTCTGACCTTTAACCTGCGGCAATTGGCTACATAAGGTGATCAGCTCACTATTCAACCCAAGCCTTTGCGTAGTAATACTTCTTACCGCATGCCTTTGTTGGCTTGGGACCCAAAGTGATTGCTTTTGTCCCCGTCATGGTGATGGGTGTTGCGATGACGGCTGTCCGTCAAGGCCCCCAATTCCAATAGGCATATATGTGCCGGAGAGCATTAAAGCCATGCACTATAGTCGACGGCCTGATTTGCCGCGCGCCACGTGAGTCGGGGCTAACCGTTCGACCGACAATTCTGGCCTCCGATAAGAGACGATCGAGCTTATTGGGACTGGAGATAACGGCAGAATCCTGGACCCATCCAGGCTGGTCCGAGACCGGTCCTACTACTACTGCCCGATTTTGCCTTCAAGGAAATGACTATTCATTGCTAACCTAATTCTTTCACTATATTCGAGGTAGACGTGTTACGACCCAGCCCAAACACTCCCACCATGTCGCTACCATCGAGACTGTTTCCTCGTTTTTAGTCCGCTCTGCGTAGGCTGATAAAGATCAGGGCGGGTCTGAAAACGGAAATAAGAAGTGTACCATTGCGGTTGCTGGCAGGCGTCTGCTCGTCGCGGGTTCACATTCCTTTTGATCTTGCGCCTGCTCCTTATATAGGAGGGCCAACCATCTACCGGCCATAGTGTATAGACTGGAGATGGAGCTCGTCTGTTCTTGATGCGCGTGTGCGTCAGAGACGCTGGGCTGTGTGGGCAACCCAGGGCCTCGAAGGCAGAGAGGGCTAGAAAGGGTATTGTACAGGCGAAATTCTTATATACATAGTCTTGTCATGCGTATAGAAGTCGTCATAAAGTACACGACCATATAGAGCACACGCCCACAAAAGGTGACACTGCCGTTTCTATCAAGAGTCAAAAATTAGTAGCACTTGAGTAAAGTAAAGTGGTCAACGCATGCGCAGGCAACAACATAAGGGTTTGGTTTCATTCCTCAAGAGGAGTAGTCACCATTGCGCTTAGGCAGATGCTGCAACATCGTCTCCACGGTAGCATGTTCACTTTGGCCAGAGACGTTCATACGGAGTCTTCGCATCTCCCGGTCTTCTGATTTCAACCCGAGCAATTTTGTCACCGAGTAGAAAGACGGATCGCTGCGAGCCTTGGACTAAGGACTCAGCTGCTGTGTTGATGTCATTCGTTGTTGTATCCAGAATCTTTTCTCTCCAGTGTTGGCCTATTTCATGGGCCACGCTATTTATAAAATAGCTTGTATCCTTTTCATCAACGATCATGGGAACAACGAGATACCGAAAAGAGTCTAGCTTAGTCTCATTGAGCTCGTTTCGACCAAGCTCAGATATAGCGAATCTTCCACTGCTCTAAGAAACCTTCAGGGTATTGACAGGATCGAGGTCCTGATAGTTAGTGCAGGCGAACATCCCTTTATTCGTCAATTGGGCATTTCGCGCCATAAGCACCGCCTTGTCTTCCCTAGTCACATCAATGGAGTCCGCATCGGTCTCGTCAAGCTTCAATCGGATTGCACAGGTATGATTGTGGGACGTGCTTCTTTACTTGGACGGCGAACCCATAGGACCCTTCTCCGAACTCTGGGAAGTTCTCAAGGCTCGTGACAGTCGAAGCAGATCGTCTAATCTACTCCAGCGGAGCAGAGCGCTACCCGTCCTCAGTAATCGTTCAAATTCCTCCAAAACCGGGGTCCGGCTCGGCAAGACATATCCCACGCGACGTACGGACGCCACTTTAGCGAGTCCGCTGCCGGCTATTAGGGTACCAAAGATGGCCCGAGGCAGCGATCCCGAGCGGACCGGAATCAAGCGCAAAAGCTAGAAGACGCAACAAATCGGCCACACTTCGGGTGCTATCGGCAGGGTCGTGGGAGCATCCGATGATGGCAGGGAAAGTGGAGGGAAAGGGGAAGGAAAAAGGGAAGAGGGAGGGTGAGATGGGCCGTGTTTCTCGGAAGGCGGACAGTGAATTAGAATGGCGCCAAGAGAAGTTTTCAAAAGAGGCTAGTGCAGGTCAAGTGCGCATCCCCCCTCTTACGACTATTCAATCCTCCCCGGCAAGATCCTCGAACCGTCCGGCGTTTCTGTGTCGACTCTGTCGCCAACCTGCATTTCGACTCCCAGAACACTCTGCATTCTGCTCAAGGCCGTGAGCTTTTGGTCGGCTTGGCAGAACGGGGTTAGTAGAGGGCCTTAGGGATCCATTACCTACCGAGTTCTCCAAGTCTGGGAAAAGGCCACCCAGGTTCTCCGCTACTCTGACAGTGAGATCACCAAGTCACTGTCGATCACCACACCACTCCTGAATCTCGGAAGCTCGATCGTCAAACCAGACACCCTTGCTGTCGACGTGTTGCCACAGCTTCGTGGCGGAGTAGCGAATCCATTCCCTGCCTGTCCCAGCCAACCGTTCCGTCTTCGCAAATTTCATTTTCGTGGATTGGCCACGCGACCACCACCAAAACAATCGCCCAACAATAGCTCGACTCGACCCACTCCGTGAACACCCAGGAGCAATGTCGTCTGCAGCAATGTCGAAAAAGAACAAAGGGAAGAAGGTCGCAGACCCCAATGAGACATCAAAGCTCTTGGCTGCCAAAATATCACAGTTGGAGCAAGATGCTGCGGGAGAGAAGGACCAGGAAGCCGAAATTGGTGCGTGACTCATATGGGCGGTGGAATAAGCGGGATAATTGTTGTTGCATGGACGAGGGCTAATGACCTTTGGCCTGTAGAGCGCGAAGTCAAGAAGGCTACGAGGGATCTGAACCAACTTTTGAGCAATATTGAATCCCCGATGACACGGCTCGAGACCGTTCATAAGAAGTACACCGAGCTGCTAGCCGATATGAAGAAACTGGATCGCGACTATTCTAAGAGCAAGAAGCGGGCCGATCAATTGCAGAAGGACCAGGACAAGGGAAAATCGGAGCTCAACAAGACCGTCACCATGAAGGACAAACTGGAGAAGCTTTGTAGGGAGCTTACGAAGGAGAACAAGAAGGTTAAGGTGTGTTGGTCCGAGCTCTTCAATGTCGCTATTTCGTTACGCCGGGCAGGACGAGGGCTAAATACAATGATTGATAGGACGAAAACAAGAAGCTCGAGGAGACTGAAAAGAAGGCGCGGCTGATTGTCAACGAACGCCTCGATTCTCTCTTGTACGACATCCAAGACGTCATGGCCGCCAAAGGAAACCCGCGCAGCGAGAAAGCGGATATTGATTTAGATGAAGCGTGAGCCGCTGCTGCCCTCTAAACAGGCTCATCCATTGCTGACTTTGCATCCTAGTTTACGCGCAAAGATCAAAACCATTGGCGAGAAGTTCGAGATGCGTGAGTTACATTACAAGGCACTCCTTCGCAGCAAGGATGCGGAGATACAATGCCTTACCGCCAAATACGAAGAACAACGCCGTGCAGCAGAGAATGAAGCAGCTCGTTGTCGAGCTCTGAGCTCCCAGGTCTCGACTTTTTCGCATACCGAAGCCGAACTACGAAGCCAACTCAACATCTACGTGGAGAAGTTCAAGCAGGTATGGACCGATGTCGATGGCTTGCTCGGCCTCAGCCTCGTTTTGACCGCTGGTAATAATAATATCGCAGGTGGAGGATACGCTGAACAACAGCAACGAGCTTTTCCTTACATTCCGCAAAGAAATGGAAGAGATGTCGAAAAAGACGAAACGACTGGAGAAAGAAAATCTCACCCTTACACGGAAGCACGATCAAACAAACCGCAACATACTTGAAATGGCCGAGGAGCGCACGAGGAATCACGAAGAGTTGGAAAAGTGGCGAAAGAAGAGTCACCATCTTGAAGCACTATGTCGCCGAATGCAGGCCCAGGGTCGTGGTCAAGGCCTTGCTGCGGATTTGGATGGCGACGATGAAGGAACGGAGAGCGAATATGACGAAGATTACGAAGACGAGGAAGATGATGAGGGGATTAGTGAGGATGACTACGAGCTCGAAAGCCCGGATGGCGACATGAACGGAGACCGCAGTGTGCCTCAGCAGCAAGAAAAGCCAGTATTCGGGCCACCCCCGCCCCCCAACCTACTGGAAGCGCGAGCCAACGGAAATAAGGCAATGATTAATGGATGCCATTAATGCAATTTCCATCTATATTATGTTCCCGTTGTTTGTTTCCTTGGTCTGGTAGCCAATAGCGAGTGTGGGGGGGCTTTCCGTTTGCGCTGGCGACGCCGCAGTCGTCTCGGATGCTCTTTACTTCTCCTGTTCAGCTGTGTCGCAGTTGACCTTGATAAGTTGAGAATATGCTTCCCGAAGTATGTCCTCTGGCAACTGTACAGTCTAGCACGGTCTTTCCTCTTCCGTATGCAGATCTTGTAGCGGTCCCAGCTCTTTGCAAGAGGATATATGCCCGCACTCCTCTAGGTTACTATCAGCCCTAAACTGCAACATGCACTATCACAGCTGTGGTGTTTTGCAAGTCGTGGTCCTACGTTTTGTTCGCTTTTCCTTTCGTGTACTTGTACATGCTAGATCACCAACATCTAAACGTACTTATTACGTTATCATGAGAATTACCGCAATACAATTCATGTCATATATGTCAAGGGCTTGTGCGAATTGAGACAAGGTCGACAGCTCGATCAAAGTCTACTCGTCGGACCGTTTATATAAGACCCTCCTGTTTTCAGCATATCCACAGCCTGCTGAACCATCTCCCGGACAATCACACCGGCGGGTTTGATTTCTTTAATGCCGGCAGAGACGTCGCCCATGATGAATGGAACGTCGACATCCCTATCGTTCTTGAAATCATGCTCAATTGGAACGATGCCTTGCGACGTCAACCTGGCAATTTCCTCGGGGCGTTTGTTCCACTCTCTGATATAATCGTTAGGAAGCATGCGTAGCGGCCTTCCAGAGATGACGAGCGTCCGTTCCGTCTCTCCATATTGCGCTCCAACAACGGCTTCCTTGTGCAAACGACTTGCGCCGCTTTCGTCCGAAGCAACGAACCGGGTGCCAACCCAGACGCCTGCAGCGCCCAGCATCAATGACGCGGCCAAGCTACGACCGTCGTTGATACCCCCAGCAGCAACTACCAAGGCGGGCTGGCCCGTAAGCGGGCTCGTGTACTTTTTCGCCACGTCCACAATCGCAGGGACGAGCACCGAGAACGGAATATCACCGGTGTGGCCGCCTCCCTCACCTCCCTGCGCACAGACGATGTCCACACCCAGCTTGAATGCCTTCTCGGCGTGCTTGGGCGCTCCGACCATGTTCATGATGAGGATACCTGCGTCATGGAGTCGCTTGATAACCTGCTCCGGTGGCACACCGACCGCGCAAACAAACAGCTTAACACCGTGGGAAATGACGACGTCAATGAGTTCGTCCAGCTTGCCGTGGGTGTAGTCATGGTTGGTGGCCCGTGCTCTGCCACCGACCTGCGGCAAGGCCAGATCAACGCCAAATGGCAACGACGGGTCTTTCAAAAGTGACTTCAGCTCGGCCAAGATCTCGGAAAGTTGCTCAGGGGTATATCCCAATCCGCCCACAGTTCCTAGACCTCCTGCGTTGGAGACGGCGGCGGCGAGAGGTGCTCCGGATGCACGAGCCATTCCTGCCAGCAGGACTGGATGCTGGATTTTCAGCAACGAGCAGAGGGGTGTCTGGAGTGACATTTTGACGAACTACGGTGCTAGGAGGACTGTAAAGGGGTATCTCGAACTTGGTGGTAGTTTAGCGTGAGAATAGCGTCTAGACTTGAGAGTCTGGAAACGGAGATGGGGTCAGTAAGCTGATGTTGTCTGGTGGTTTGTGTGTTGTTTAATCAATAAGAAAAACATACCTAATGTACCGTAGAGAAGCTTGGCTTTCGATGTGAAGGCTCTGCCGGCACAAGCAGTACAAGTATGCTCGGTGCCATAGCTGGATGAACTCCAAAAAGCATTACTTTGGATGTGCAAAGCATATGATCCGCAGGGGTAGCGAGGTTGCACCTGAGGAGGTGAAATGCGGGGAAGCGGAGCCTCCAAGCCCAAGGCCCGGCCGGACCGAGGCATTGGCCTCTGGTGCCACCAACCTGTTTTCCTCTCTCTAACTTGGCACCTACTTAACTGGTCGTCGCTGCTTTGCCTTGAAACTGTGCGCTTTCCCTGCCATATACATATTTATCAAGTTAGCACGTGGCAAAACCGTTTTATAGCCCTTCAAGAGGTGCTGCTAGGTATGAAGGTTTTGTTTACCTGCTTCTTTCAATATATAGCACAAGCTAGTTCTTTTCGTTTATGGACTCAATACTCCAATTAATGAGAGAAAGTGCTAACAAATAAGCGTACAGATAATTCTAATATTTGAAGAAGTCTATATGAGTATGGACGCCTTCAGCATTGATCAACGATTGAAGCGCAACGAACAAAGAAAGATAAAAAAATAGGGAATCAAGAGAAAGAAAGGTCAAACACACATCTCTATAATTGATACATGATTTTGTTCAAAATTGCAGTATGCCCAGCAGAATTGAGAGCAAGAAGCCCCCGGAGCCCAGGGTCAGGTCTCTATTTGCCATCGCTGATTGCGTTGCTTCTATGATTACATGAGTTCCAGTCACTGTTCCAGAGACAAGAGCGATGTTTTTTCGTGGTCTGTCCCGAAGGTTGTCAGCTACAAAGCACCGTTTCTCGAGCTGACAAGGCAGCCTTACCCATTGGTGCCTGAATTTCCCCCAGTCGGCAAGACTGTCCCTCCTGTTGTCGTTGCAGATGGGGCAGAGGTTGTTTGGAGTTGGTAAGGGTAGTTGACGGCAGGGCCCGGAGGGGGTTGATAGTAGCCCACTGCGCCTTGAGGAGCCGTTGCGAGAGATGCCGGGATACTCCTCTTGAGAAGGTTCGACTGGATGCCGCGCAAGAATGAATCAAGATACGCTGAGGTGAGAACACTCGCTAGAAGGCCAATGACTAGAAAGTTGCGCAGCAGGCGATTGAAAGAATGTAAGACCCTCATCTTGAGGGCAATCACGGACTGACGTTGAGAACGCGTTGCGACCTGCTCTTAGGTAGATGAGTTGTCAGGCTGAGCGAAGGTAACGCGCGGGAATTGGGGAATCAAGCTCATACATATTGCATGCTAATGTGATTCTACGAGGGCAGGGCGTAACGAGCATTCCCATCCGTTCGGCATGCCACAATGCCACATCCCTCGCCAGCCACTGCTCATTTCCCCGGTATCCCGAAGATTTCTGTTGTAATTCGGCAACAACATCTTGATTGGTAGACACTGCTGCTAAGCTTTGGGGCCAAGGATTTCAACCTTCAGAATGAAGGAAGAAATGTTTGGGCGGTTGATTCAATGAAGGGATGGCACAGTGGCAAGAATGGACCAGACCATTTAGTCTCAGTTATCGCATACCATTCTTGACAAATCTTGTCTAAAACCATGGAAAGCATCATACGAGCTCCCCTGTAGCACGCAGGGGTTCTTATCGTGCGCCTGAAAAGATTGTAGAGCCTTCAGTCTCCTTCAGTAGCTTCGAAACACAACATTGTCGTAGGTCTGATATAACCCAACCAGGTTCTAAACAGACCATTCGATTAAGTGAGCTAAACCGGATACCTATCGATGCGCCCCGTTAGATCCTTCAATAAAGGCAAACAAGAGTGGTGTTCCAGGGAGAAGCTAAAGGTCAAGGGTCCTAGCATTAGTTTTAGGAGCCAGAAAGCTTCCTCGAGGCTGAAACAACAATACAGGGGTAAGAAACCAATTTCAAGATGCTCGGTACTTGATTGAGTCCATGTTTTCTGAATGCACAATCGCTATCGATGTAGCTAAAGGTGGATTCAGAGGAGTTGACCCTTGAATTGTTGAACAGTCACATGAGCTAAATGACGTGCAGCTCCATAGAATATCACTGTGTGGTGTCAGCCCTATGAAGCATCTGGTTGCAGAGTATGTTCTTAAGTCGCTAGCTCTTATCGTTGTGACAACTACCATTGCTTTCATTCGTGTACTTCGCAAGTTGCCGGCCTACTTTAATAGTGGAGAACCCCAAAGCGGTACTGTAATTACGGAACGCCAAAAGACGCGTGATTCGCGTAGGCGGAAGCAGCACAGGACAAAGCTCCCAGCACCGGCAGCTGCGTGCAACAACACTCTTCAATTACTTTATAGTTGTGGTATACATACAAACAACTACACTTAACGCTTTCCTCAGTGTAATTATTAGCCAACACAAAATGGCGAGCAGCACTGCAGGGAGCGAGTTCTTGCGCCCCCCAAGGTTTGTCCGCATACTATCACCCTCTCCCCTGGGTTTCTTAGCTATGAAGACTAACAATGCATTCGGTGCCTTTAGCGATGAAGATTTCGATACAGTCTGCCGCGAGCCCTCACATTATAACCCCCTCGACACATTTCGACTACCCAGCGGCCAGGATCGGCATTACCAGCAGCAATATGGCGACATGTACTTCTTGCGACTGGCAAAACTAAAGCCCGCCGTTGAAGAGATTGCAGTGGATACATGGGAAGGATTCAGTGTAAGACGGCTTTCTTCCAGAATTGGCGACGATCCCAAGCGAGAGATACGATAATATAGCGATGGGAAACGGCAAGCCTCTATCGACAGTCCGTGCCTGCTAACGAGTTTCGGCTTGGTGATTAGATCGCTGGAGAGAATGCGCGTCGCGTGGAGAGAGTCCTTGATGTGAGACAGGGAGAGCTTTGCTGGGTTGCAGGCACGATATACATGGATATGCCATTGAAGCCTAATATTTTGGATGATCTTACAAAAGAGGTGATTTAGAACTCCGCCATTCTCTATGCGGCCTCTATTTCTGACCCCGACGGCAGAACTATACATTAGCACCACCTCCTCGACCGACTTACCAAGACCCCGCCAATCCTGATTCGACACAGATAATGTTGGAGGACGAGTCCGGTCGTTTGCGCTTAACAGGAAGCATGCTCCGGAACGCGCAATTATGCACAGGAGCTATCATTGCAGTTTTGGGAACCGAAAATTCAAACGGGGACTTCGAGGTTATCGATATTAAAGTTCCCGATTTGCCGCAACAGCCTCGTCGATGGGAAAGCGAGGGAGGGGACGCACCACAGAAGGGACCAAGCAAGGGTAAGATTGCCTTTGTGAGTGGGCTAGGAATCACGGGAACATCGAGCGATACTCTTGCTTTGGAGCTTCTGACGGACTATCTCCTTGGTTACACCGGAACAGCATCCGCCGAAGGTGTGCCACCGAATGCTTCTGCGATTACAAGGTTAATTATTGCGGGAAACTCTGTGGGGGCCAGGATGACTGTGGACACCGATAGTTCGACGAAGAAAAAGTCTGGTCCAAAGAAGTACGGATATGATGCTTCTGCGTATAATGCATCTCCTATAACACGACTTGATGCTTTTCTGGCAGAAATCCTGCCTAGTGTACCCGTCACCCTTATGCCTGGTGAATCGGACCCCGCGAACTTCTCCCTCCCTCAACAGGGAATTCACCGCGCTATGTTTCCGCAGGCCAGGGCATACTGTGCCCCGCCTTCTTCTGGTGAAGAGAAGCAGGAGCCCGGTTGGTTTGATAGTGTTACGAACCCGTGGGAGGGTGATGTCGAGGGGTGGCGCCTATGGGGCTGTAGCGGTCAGAATGTGGATGATGTCCTGCGGTACCTGAACTTCGCGGACGGGGAAGGAAATGTTGGTGACGGTGCTGGAGATGCCGAGGCAAGGATGAAGATCATGGAGGCCATGCTGCGCTGGAGATGTGGAGTTCCCACCGCACCAGATACGTTATGTGAGTTTCTTTTCTGCCTCAATCTCTCTGATGCAAACGCTGATTCTTCACAAAATAGGGTCATACCCATTCCAAACAGACGATCCATTCGTTATGCAGACCTGCCCCCATATTTTCTTTGCTGGAAATCAGCCACAGTTCAAGACAGCCACGATCGAGAGCGATTTGCCTTTGAAGCTGAACGGAGCTGACACGGAGATGACAGGTACGGATGATGATGACACATCTGGGCCTCGTGTGCGTCTTCTCTCTATACCCAAGTTCAAGGAAACTGGGGAACTAGTTTTGGTCGATACCGAGACACTGGAGGTGGAAGTGGTCAAGTTCAGCACATTTGCCGGACAACAAGAAAAACAATGAACAGCTGATACCAATAAGATAGATTAATGAGATATAAGTCTTATGAGTCCCTGATTCATTGTTTTTATTCCTTCCCATCCATTGGCTCCACAATTCTAGCTAAATAGATAAGATTATAGCTTAAAGCGGGCAGTGCCAAGATCCGCGCAAAAAAGTCACGGCTCTTCGATTCAGTCTTCTACCAACACATATCGCAATCTATAGACCAGCTATCTCAATCAAACCCATCGTTATACTATAAACAAGTCCCCAACAACATCAACTACCAAGCCAGACGTCCCAAAATGCTCCTAAACGCCAAGACAGGTACGCCAAAGTCCCCAATCGCATGCGCCACACAACCCAGACTAACCCGTAATTCCCCTCTATAGCCATTTCCACCTCGACAGTGCTTCTAGTCCCATACTCCAAATGGCACGTCCCCCGATACCACGAATGGATGCAAGATGAGGTTTCTTTCCCCCCCCCCCCCCCTCCCTCTCCCTCCCCTCTCCGTACCACCCACATACTCAACCCCACAACCAGGAAATCCAAGAAGCAACAGCCTCCGAGCCTCTCTCCATAGAGGAAGAATACGCCATGCAACAAAGCTGGCGCCAAGACCCCGACAAACTGACCTTCATCGTCTGTCTCCCTGTTCCCGAATCCAGAGCTGAGTCTTCCATCAAAGACACAGACGACACACCCGATCGAATGGTCGGGGACATCAACCTCTTTCTTCGTGTAGATGATGGCGAAGAAGGCGATGCTGAGCCCCAGATCATCGGGGAAATAGAACTAATGATTGCGGAGAAGGGGAATCAGCGGAAGGGGTTTGGGAAGGCAGCGTTGAATACGTTCTTAAGGTATATTGTTGAGCATGAGGGGGAGATTTTGGGGGAGTTTGTGGGGAGGGATGAGGGGGCGGCGAAGGCTATGGGGAAGGGGAACGGGGAGGGGGTGGTTAGGTTGGAGTGTTTGAGTGTGAAGATTGGGAAGGATAATGAGAGGAGTTTGAGGTTGTTTGAGGGAGCTGCGTTTAGGAAGGTGGCGGATGAGCCGAATTATTTCGGGGAGTTTGAGTTGAGACGTGGAAGGGATGGGTTGCGGAGGGAAGCGGTTCAGGCGGGTTTGGAGAACGCGGGGGTGAGGGGGTATGTTGAGGTGGGTTATGGGAGGAGTGAGTGATTAGGATTTGTTTTTCTGGTAGTGGTTTTATTTTGCTGCTGTTGCTGCTGTTGCTTGGTTTGATAACTGGGTTGGTTTTTGATTTCGAAGAGTTTCATAGGGTCATGCCTATATACAGTCGAGGCCAGGCCATCGGCCTGTGACAGTTCGAATTCAACTATGACATCAGATGGGGGTAGTAAGCTCTGAAGACTGACAACAGATCATCCATTCGAGCCAGTGTGAGCCCTGGCGTATGACAACCGGTATATAAGCCAACACATAGAGCCATAGGCAGTGAAGCCGGGCATTGTCGTTGCAAATTTTGGGTAGAATACTGCTTTGGCAAGCGTAAAGAACCCTCTAATACTCAAGAGTTTACGAAATGAATACTTACTAATAACACTACAACCTACACCTGCAACAGGGACTGCATTCCACAGAACGATGCCCGTCCAAGCACAAGCTAATCGGAGAACGTACCGCATCATCGGGAGAAGTCGAGGTATCTTGTAATTTTCAACGGTTTTCTCCATATAAGTTGTAAGGCGTAGGGTGCCCCGACAAAGCAAACCCCAGCAAAATTTCCATTTATGCAGGTCGTCTGGTCGGTGAGTGTTTCGCACTATATATCACAGTCACCGACTTTCAGACGCGGAGGACAACCACTAATCGGATAATGATCAATCAAACTCCGTGTCGGCCCACAGGAGCAATCCATGCTGCCAAATCCGAATCGACATGTGACATCTCCTGTTCCAATCCTGCCATTTCGTAGAATCACAGAGTATATCGGCAGCCCCAGAATTACAGCGCCTTCTTCTTGTCACCCTTGGAGACATCGACAACCTTCAGAGCTGTATGAGACAAAATGACGTCAGTATTCGATTTGAGGTCTGGAACATTCCATGTCGTGATTCAAGGCCGATAGATGTATCGTGTCCATAGCTTTCTATCCAATCTAGCAGTTGATCAGGTGACGGGAGCAAACGCACCAGGGGGCAGGCTCTGCTTGAGCTTGTCGGCCTTGTCGGAGTCCTTCAGGACAAGAGTGTAGACGAAGCGAGAGCAGCGGACCTTGAACTTGATCTCATGGTCCTTGGGGTTGCGCTTGATGCGAGCAGCTGTAGACGAGCATCACGCGTTAGCCTCCATCCACTCCGCCATGCTTCCTTAGTATATCGGTTCCGTCGAGCTTCCTTGGGAGCTCCGCGGAGCTCCCACCTCCACCATCACTAAGCTAAGCGGCTAAAGATCGGGTAAACGTACAGGACGCATCCTTGCGGCGGCAGACCTCGATAAACTGCTTGATGTCGGAGATTTCCTGGGGCATTGTGACTGGCTATGGGGGTGAGGGGGGTGGGCTTCCGGTTGAAGAACGTCGGGACGGAAGAGGATGACAATCGCGGGTCTCGAAGCTCGACGGTAGGCGGTGGTCGGGGCCACGCCAGCTTCTGTGGGCTGTAGGGTTGCCCCCCGGAAGCCCTTAGTTCCCGTGCCACGCCCGGGCGGGGGAACCGCTGGTGTGGCGGTGCACCGATAAGGCGGCAGCCTACGAGGATCGGCATACTACGGAGTATTTGGCCACCGCAGGTATCTACATATCTACTGGGATATCTGGCAACAACCTTATGTCACTGTTACCAGACATCGTGACGCTTTTTCTGACATCGTGACTTCTACACCCTAGACGGTTGCGTGTATATACAGCAAACAGTTCCTGAAATAGAGCAGAATGCCGACGCCTTTGGATCGCGCACTGAACTCCAAGGTAGTATACCATACCCACATTGGGTGCACAGCGATCATCAGCTAACCAGCCCTAGAACCTATTCCTAGGTATTTCGATCTAATTAGCAAGTTATTGACGGGACTCCGACCTAACTCCACCAGGTTTTACTGGAATGGTCACAGCGGCCGCCGTCTGGGCCATCTGGGGTAGTGACATGTTTCCCGCTGCATCTGACCCGACTGGAGGTATGAATCGACACCCGTGATTGTAGGTATACCAAGCTGACGTTTTAAAGACCCTGAGAATTGGACTGTAGATGAAATGTTGGGATGGCTTCGTGTGGTACGTCTTCTTCCCTCGTAAACAAAACAATCAATGCCTCCGAAATGAGCAATGGATTCTAACTCGCACTCAAAGAGGGGCCTTTTGCCCAATGAACACGCAACGCGCGAGGAGTTGCTCGAGCGCATCAAAGCAAATCTGCGAGTGCCGCGAAGATCCGCAGCCTGACCACGGTAGCGAGAAAGGCAGCAATTCATTTGTTTCGGGATTTGTTCGCTTGGCGTATCAGGGATGAAATTTCCTTTCGTTGACCAGCTTTGGCCCAAATTGCGTAATCGTGTGGTTGGATAATATCGCATAATGTTCATCGTCTCCATCGAACGTCGGTGAGATGCTGGGCTTATTTCCTCGTACATAGTTTTTTGATAACCATTCAAACGACAAGTCGAAAATTTTGGGTTTGAATAAGCCATTCTCGCTTGCGCTTTCCCTTGAGCCCCTCGGTTGGATTCGGCACCAGCACAAAAGTCTCGCTGAACCCACGTTGTGGCAGATCTCTTGATGCGCCAAAGCGCACATAGCCGCTAACAATCACCAAGATGGACATGTCCTTGAGAGTCGTTTCGGTGGGAAGTTTTACGCCGGTTGATGTAGGTGTCGGATACGCCCGGTTGATGATCTGACAATCGAGCGACTGCACTTCGTAATGCGTTGGGGACATCTGATTGACAAAAATCTCTTGCACAGCGGCTCCATCGGCCACGTGGTTTCCGTTGAATAGGATCATCGAAGTAGGCTGGTTGTAGAATGAGCTTATCGTAGCACGGTTGTTTTCGAGCGCAGGGTAGAAGGACTGGACAAATTCGGTTGCGGCTGAAAGGGAACATGGGTCAGAGATTTCGAATGGAGCACTGTATGCAAGTCGTCATACCGTCTGTGGACACCTTTGTCAACGTATCTTCTGATGGAGGGGCCATCGTGTAAGTTGAGGTCGTCAAAGTTGTCGCAGGCGAATTCCAAATACGTTTTATTGATATAGTCTGAGAACGAGCGGTAGATTCAAGAGATGTATGTTGTAGGGTCCTAAATGGCCAAAAATGGGTGGTAATAATAATAAGGGAGACAATAGACCTGATGTTGGGAAGAAGCACGCGGAGAAGAGGAGCAAACATCGGACGGCAGAAAAAAGGCACGGAAGCTTGGACCACCCCGCCCGGAGATGATGATCGAGCTCCGCCGAAAACGCCGCCTTGAATAAACCACCGTTGCTCCTCTCCGCAGTCACACGCCAATGGCTATCTCGAGGGCGGGCATTCGTGCGGCTTCCTGGGCCGGCCAATTCCTGGCCTACAACCGAGCCTCTTGGAGATGTGTTCCCAGCACAACTGCGCGTCCACTGACGACGGTCCGCCCGCGTCGGTTTGCAACGGCGGCCTCCGAAAGCGCTCCTAAGAAACCCTACTATGTCACGACGCCCATTTTCTATGTTAATGCTGGTATGATATCATCTGGTGCTGGTTTATTTTTTTTCTTATCGACTACTGACGGAACTGGCTTATGTAGCACCTCATGTTGGTCACTTATATACTATGGTTCTTGCCGACGTGATCAAAAGATGGCGGACCCTCATCGGAGATGCTGACGCTCAATTGCTCACGGGAACGGATGAGCATGGTATGAAAGTATGAGATCATACGTGGTGTTGAGTATTTCGTTGTACTGATGTGGGATAGATTCAGCAGGCCGCTTTGGCCGCGGAGATGGATACGCAGGCCTTCTGCGACATGAACTACAAGACGTTCGAGGTTAGCATCAAGTACCTTCGCCATTGATGATATTCAATTTCAAAGTTGGTGCTAACCGTTGATGGTAGAATCTAGCAGATACCGCCAATATGGATTACAATTACTTCATTCGGACTACGGAACCTGCGCACAAGGAAGCTGTTCAGTACTTTTGGGTACGTGGTGTTGGAAGCCTTCGCGAGCATAGTGTGAGCCTAATATGCGCATAGGAGATGCTGAATCACCGGGGCTATATCTACACCGCGAAGCACGAGGGCTGGTACTCCGTTAGCGATGAGACATTCTACCCTCAGACACAAGTACAAAAGTCGCTGGACCCAGGGACGGGACAAACAAAAATGGTAGGCACTGCACCAATTTACCTATTGCGCTTTAAAGCTTACCCAAACAGGTCTCCATTGAGACAGGAAAGGAGGTAGAGTGGTCTTCGGAAACCAACTACCACTTCCGTTTGTCCGCTTTCCAGGAGCGTTTACTGGACCTATACAAATCCGGATTCGTTACGCCCACGATGTATACAGCCAATATAGTCAAGTCTGTCTCCTCGGGCCTTCAAGATCTATCGATCTCCAGACCGGCGGAGCGGCTCACCTGGGGCATTCCGGTTCCCGGCGATGACACACAGACCGTCTACGTTTGGCTAGATGCGCTGGTCAACTACTTGACCAAGGCAGGCTATCCGTTCGCACCCGGCCAAGGAAGCCGTCTTGGATGGCCAGCGGATGTGCACGTAGTCGGTAAGGATATTGTTCGGTAAGTATCTGCCCTCATGGTTCCTATGGGCCAGGTTTTGACGAACTGGCAACAGCTTCCACTGTGTATATTGGCCCGCATTCCTCATGGCTCTTGACCTTCCTCTTCCCCGTAATGTTCTCGTCCACGGACACTGGACTATGAACCGTGAGAAGATGTCAAAGTCGACGGGTAACGTGGTGAACCCTTTCTTTGCCATCAACCGCTTCGGAGTTGATTCGATGCGTTTTTTCCTTGTTCACCAAGGCGCTTTGGTCGGAGACGCCGACTACGACAATGCTTACATCATTCGCGACTATCAGAAGTTGCTGCAAAAGGGACTCGGAAATCTTGCGCATCGGGCGATCGGCTGTGCCAAGGGTAATCTACGGTCGTACATCGAAAATGGCACGTGCGACAGGCTTCCACCCGCGACTCCGGCCGACGAGGCGTACGAGTCCATGCTCAAAGACGTGCCCAAGAGGGTTGCGGAACAGATGGAAAGCCTGAATCCTCGTGCCGCTCTGCAAGAAATCACCTCTTTGATCGAACAGGTAAGGATTGATCCGCCCTAAGGTCGGTACAAATTCCAGAATTGTTCTAACGCGCTCTAGACCAACAAATATTTCCATCACGCGGAGCCTTGGAAGAGCCCGAACGACCGCCAGCGACCAATCTACAATGTTGCCGAATCGCTGCGGATGGCCGGCATCCTCCTGCAGCCTGTCATGCCCACCAAAGCCAACGAGCTCCTGGACATGCTCCACGTAGACAAAACGGATCCGGCCAAAAGGAGCTTTGCGGCTGCGACATACGGCTCCGATGCAGACTACGGAGTGAATGCTGAAAAGAGTATCCTGTTTCCCCCTCTTATCGTGGAAAGTTAATATGGCCGCCTTTCGATTTAATAACAGGAAAGGTTCGGATCCAATCACGATCACCAGATTGGACGTTCGGTCAGCCAGGAAATGGGCACGGTCTCCGCCAGGGGAGGGTCTGTGGAAGCGCAGCCGGTGTTTTGCCGCTGCTGGTTGGGCCTGCGACAGGGTGAAAGCCTGGTCATTCACACGTATGCAGGGGGTTTATGTTATGTCATGGTATGGTAGAAATATGGAGCAGGATTCCGCAAGTTTATCAGCGGGAAAAGGATGCCGACTGGGGCTTACATGATAGATATCGGGACGGGAAACTGAGTGTTTCCCGCGGCAAACTTGAGTGGACTATATCGGAAAGCGACCGTTGTATATCAAGAGTATGGGTTTCAGCGCTATATCATGGGGAGTATATGAGGTTTGTACCATATTCTAGGGTTTGTGTTCATAATACTTATTATCATCTTATACCTAATCTCCCCTCCTACATCTCCGATAAGATTCCTCTCTTAATAACCACCTAGATCACCATATAATTCACCTATCAGATTACATTTTATCTCAGACCAGTTCCATCATTCCTATCAATTGAATCCTCCATCCCCCAAATCACCTTCTCACTACCTCCTCTCCTCAAAGAATCCCTCCGTCTTCCCCTCTCATTGGGAGTAAACAAACCAACCATGGGCAGCATCCTCCCCTCACCACCCACCACCACCATCACACCCCAACATACAAAACCCCATGGAACCCAACCCCCCTTGTCGAATCCACGACCCTCTCCCGCGCCGCAGGATGTAGAATCTTCCTGAAACTCGAAAACATCCAACCCAGCGGCTCCTTCAAGTCCCGCGCCATGGGCAACCAAATCCTTTCACACCTCCGCAAGCCCGAGAACTTCCACAAGCCCGTCCACTTCTACGCCTCCTCTGGCGGCAACGCCGGTTTGGCCGCCGTCTGCGCAGCCCGGACCCTAGGCTACCCCTGCACCGTGGTGGTACCCGTCTCCACAAAGCCATTGATGGTGCAGAAGCTCCGGAACGCCGGTGCCGCGGACGTGATCCAGTACGGGGAGACGTTCTCTGAAGCGGGCCAGTACATGAAAGACGTTGTTATGAGCGGCGGTAGCGGTGATGGTGGTGAGGAAAGCGAAGATGTCGTGAAGATTGCTCTCCATCCGTTTGATAATGAGCCGATCTGGGCGGGGAATAGCACTATTGTTGATGAATTGGTGGAGCAGATTCCTCCTGCCGTTGGGGAAGAAGAAGAGGAAACTCATGCTGGTCGTGCGTTGCCTGTTGATGCGATTGTTTGTAGTGTTGGGGGTGGGGGGTTGTTGAATGGATTGGTTATGGGGATTGAGCGGTATCGGGATGCTGCTGATGCTGATGCGAAGCCGGTTCATATTGTTGCGGTGGAGACGAAGGGTACGGACTCGTTGGCTACGGCGTTGGAGAAGAAGGAGCTTGTCTCGTTGCCGAAGATCACGTCGCAGGCTACGTCGTTGGGGGCGATCAGGGTCTCGGAGCGGACGTTTCGGTATGCGGTTGAGCCGCCGCCTGGAGTGAAGGTGCATAGTGCGGTGTTTTCGGATGCGGAGGCCGCGAGGGGTGTGCTGAGGCTTGTGGATGATGAGAGGTTGTTGGTTGAGTTGGCTTGTGGGGTTTGTGTGGAGGCTGCGGTTGGGGGGTCGGGGGCATCGAGGTCCTCTGGGTTGGTGTCTGCAGGGCAGAAGAGGAAGAGGGGTGTTGAGGTTGAGTATGTGGGAAAAGATGAAGGGTATGGTGATGATCGGCTGTCTGCTGGGGAGAATGAGGATGATAGTCCTGCTCCTTCTGTGTCGTCGTCATCGTCGTCATCACCCGGGGGGTTGCAGTCCAAGCTTAAGCAGTTGGTGCCTGGCTTGACTGCGGATAGTCGAGTGGTGATTATTGTTTGTGGTGGCAGCAATGTCACGATTGATATGGCGGCGGAATGGAGGAAGATGCTGGCGGAGGGCTGGGCCACGTTGGAGTGATTGTTTGATATCAATGGTCTTGTTTGGGTTATGGTGCATCTCATGGTTTTGTTTTTGTTTTAGTGATTACTTGGGTCGCCCGGGATTTACTGTACAGCTTAATGACGTTAATGACACAGCGTGCTTTTAGATATGGACCTTATTAGTGATATTGACAAAATATTTCCAGAGAATCAGGAATCACTGCCAACTTATTCAGTAGACATATGTTCGTCCTATACCCCTCGCTATCGATACATGCTATTTAAAAATGATTTCATGCGGAAGCAGGAACTTCTGAGCCGGTGATCGTCCGAATCCGATAGTCCCAGTAGTTTGACCGGATGGGATCATACTTTTCCTTCAGCAGAGTAAGCATGCGGACGGCTTCCTGTGCTGATCCACTTTCTTCGGCAAATACATCAGCAAGCCACTCTATAGCATGGCTGCTCTTGACCTCAACATCCCCGTTCTTTTCAATGACGAATTTGCGTGTAAACTCCTTCCATTCCGAAAGAGGCCGACCCGCGGCGCGCAATACACCCCGCGCATACGACCACGGGCTGCGGTTTTCGGGTGCTCGGACAATTTTGGACTTAGCGTACTGCAGCTCAGCGTCGATGACATCTTCGTCGACAACGGCCAGCCGGCCCTTCTCAGAAGGATCCCCGCTGCTGTTTGCCATCCCGGCATCTGGCTCGTCGTCACGCGGTCCAAACCGGAGCATATATCGGTGGTTCCAAGCGGAGTTGTTGCGGACATCGGACGCAAGCAAGGCGTCCACGTCCTGGATTTCGCGCGGGGCATCCCAGAGCTTGAAGTGACGGACGTACCAATGGCGGTAGGTCCAGACATGGTAGTTTTTAGAGTCTTGGGCGAACATCTCCATAAGAAAGTCCGGTTCCTTGGCCGGCGGGGTTGGAAAGAACTCCCTGCGAGACATAAGGACTTGACGGTGATGCCTGATGGTGGCTGTTAGATACATTGACAGGAGACTGGTGAAGGGAGCAGTCGGCCATACCATATTTGATAATTTTTCAGGTACTTTAGGGATACGCCATTCAGCCATTCCAGCTCATCTTTGAGGTCTTTCTCCAAAGCAACCAGGATCTTAGCTCGGTAAATCCTGTGGCTCGGGTCAGTTTCTGGCTCCATTGGGATATTGACAATTAGTCTGGTTGATCCTACCATACGGTGTAGTGCGCAGGGTTCATCGAAATGATGTCTTCGGTCAACTTCAACACCCTTTCCGACATTTCGTTGGCCGCCATGACCGCTCGTAGATACGATGTGGCCTCAAGGTATTCTGAAGCATAGGCAATGGTGGCCAAGGGCTGTGCTCCAGATTCGGCGCCATCATCGAGAGGAATCGGCTGGATGGAGGCCCACTCGGGGTCTGAAGCGTATTTCCCCTCCATCTTAAAGGTGTGGAATGGATATAGTGAATAATAGCCGGTTAGGCAACTGGGCAGATCTTCGGTCGATCACGCTGTATGCACCCGGAAGGGCTCTCAGCCTTCCAGCTTGACGTAAGAGTGTGTTTGAGGGTGATTACGCCCTTGATCTAGGTTCGCCTGAATATCCTGGGCAATTCAAAGCTCGCCCGTCAACGGAGACCAGTATGTCGATGACGTCCGGTAGAAGTCGCCGGAAAAACTGAAGGCCAGGCTCATGCACCTATACTTCGTCACGCCAGAAACAGTCTTGGTCTGGAATGAGCACTCCGGTTCCTATTGGATCTCGGAGCTACTGTCAGATATGCGGAAGAGCTGCACGATCAAGCCTCAGTTGAGGATGTTGACGGTTTGATATGGGCCAAAGAACGCATCCGTGGTGGGGTATGCCTGCCTGAGGCAGACACCGAACAATATCAAGGCGGCCAGATATTCTTGGGATTGTTCTGGCCCTTCTGCCGATTGTTTCCTTCCTCCTTCTCTATTCCAGCCCCCAACTGAAGGTCGGTAGACCCGAGGTTCCTGTCTTCATCCGATCGACTGGTTGTCACCAGTGAGCTAAAAGCAACCAATCCGGAGCATCTGGGAAACCTCCAGGCCACCAGCATGGATCCACGATTCTCGATGGCAGCGTGCATTTCCCGAAGAGGATAAAAAGTCCCAGGCGGTCATTATTGGCTCGCGATAATGCCTGGCCAAGTTCTCCCCGCATTCTCCCACTTCACATCGCCGTCGCCTCCTCATCCTCCACCATGTTGTTCCGTTCGCTTTCCTTATCCTCAATCTACCATGAGCCCACCGCGGACCGATAATGCGTCGTGTCAAAAAGTCCCGTAATGGCTGCGCCCGTTGCAAGAGCAAACGCGTGAGTTTAGTACCATTCTAGCCGTGACTCATCCTGCCTTTTTGGAACGAACAGTAAATTAATCCGCCGCTTATTAACAGGTAAAATGCGGGGAAGAAAGACCTCACTGTAGTCGATGCACCCGCCTGGGCGTCAATTGCCCCGGATACGTTCAGTCTCTCCGCTGGGTTACCAAGTACCCACCGCTGGTTCATGGGGAGCCTAACCAGGATACCGCTGAGGCTGAAGATATTCCCGATGAATCTCGCTCCACCCCCTATCAACATTCCGATCTAAAGAATCTAGCTACCAGCCCTCTTAATCCTGACTTTGTGGACCCACTGGTAGTACAAACTTTGACTGTGGACGGTGACAGCCTGAACCTCACCGCTTCAGACGATCCGGCCAACCCTAGGAATCTGGACGAACCGAATGGTATATGTGACAGCTTATGGGATCTACAGCAAAATGGTTCACTACCGGAACTCGCAGATCTCCAGTCTCCGGTACCAACATCAGTATCATCATCTGGCCAACCCAACCCGGCTTTGAACTATGAGTCCTCGGGGAGTCATGTGGAGGACCCTTTTGGGCTGTTCTCCTTAGCCGCGCCGGCACTACAGGATGAACCTCACATCTTTTCCGGATTCTCACCATCGGCCATTGTACGCCAGTATCCCCCACCTGGCTCAAGGCCACCGCAGCGGGACTTCGCAGCAATCCCACAGCCCCTTAACAACCCTTCCTGGACTCTCATTGAGTACTACTTCAAGGAGGTAGCTGCCTTGTTTTCAAGCTACGATAGCCAGATGAACCCGTTTCGATCAACGGTTTCCCGGCTATGGGGCTCGTCGTTGGCCATGTGTCGGACCATGCAGAGCATGGCGGCCGCAACGCTCGTACAAGACTTTCCCCAGTTTGGGCCGCTAGGTCGGAAAATGCGCGACGAAGCAGTGGACATCATTACGAAAGAATCTACCCTGGACGATAAGTCCCTTTTAGCTTTGCTCATGCTTGGCCAGACTGCCAGCTGGCACGACCCCAAGGATCTCGGCATTTCCTTCTTCAATCTGCTGCGAAACCACCTTGACACCAAGCAAGCAGGACCGCCAATACCAGGCCGTAGCAACAATCATCAGTTCTTCGAAGAAGCTTTGGTCTACTGGGAAATGCTTCTATCATTCGTGGCCGATGATTCGGCGGTATTATCTGGGTCCGCGGCTGTAGCAGCCGACGAATCACTTGTTCTGCAACGCGTTCCTCATCCATGGACAGGCATAGCGCGCGACACCCAGTATACCGTCCAAGAAGTAGGAAGGCTCATACGTCGTGAGCGGAGGCGAATCCGCTCTCGATCCTTTACTTCAAACGCAGACATCGCGCGAGCCCAGCAAGCCATGGAGAAGGCACGCGAACTGGAGGAGCGACTTCTAGGTCTCGCTCACCCAGCTGAGGCCGAAATTGTCAGCCCAGGCGATGATGAAACACCTGTCTGGCATCTCCTCACAATGGCCGAAGTGTACCGCTGCACGGGTCTTATGCAGTTATACCGGGTCTTTCCCGATCTTCTTCGCCGTCGACTACCCCCACAACGTCCTCCCAACCCTCACGATCCAGCAACGACCATCCGTGACCCCTTCCTCTCTCCTCCGATGGGTGGTACGCCCTGGTTCTGCGAAGCCTCTTATGCGCCTTCAAATTCAGAACCCACTGAGACGGCCGATCCAACGACAGCACACCCAGAATCCTACTATGACAGTTGGCTGACTGAGTTTACGCTCACCACTCTCTCCCGTCTCAAAACTATACCCCTGGAGTCCCGTACCCGGTGTCTTCAGCCCTTCCTTCTTGTTGCCTCGAGCAGCGAGCTCCGCCTCCCTCGTCTTCCTCCACTCGACACCAACCTAGATAGCAATGGACCAAGTATTTCTTCCCATGCCGTTGACGTCTCTCGAACTCGCCGGTTCATACTTGGCCGGCTCACCTCATACCTGCACGTGTTACCCCCTAAGCCCATCGGCGTTTGCCTCCAACTGGTGCGGGAGGTCTGGCGACGCATGGACGCCGGAGAGCCGGAGATCTACTGGATGGACATAATGATAGAAAAGGGGTGGGAAACAACGATGGGATAACGACGTCATCTTTGCCTGCTCAAATCAGGTGTTGTAACGAATATGAACATGACCGTTTCGTTGCCTTTGGAGCTGTATGTATACTACTTTGTTCCGGGTAAAAATTGCGCAGCGATATTAGCATTGGTACTTAATTTAGTATTTGGAAATACTCACATATACAAGATACATAGATTGTACAAACTTTACATTCAGCCATACAGACATTGGTAGAATACTTTTCGAGCATGTCCACATCACTTGCATCACATTACCCACATGACTTAGCTACATCCATAAAGAATGCAAACAAAAACCACTAATGACCGTTTTATCCCTTGTAAAGCATATGGAGAAAAGAATGTGCAAAGCCCCGGAAAGGCGAGGGAGATCTAATAAAATATATAAGGAGTGGGGGCAGTGCAAAGAGGGAATATATTGCGTAATTGAAAGTAAAAGGCGTGTTAAAGTGTAGAAGAATTATTATACACAGAAGGGAAAGTGAAGGGGGCCGTGAGAACAAGTCATAGGATGAAGGGAATTGAAAGCCAATTAAATACGTAATAAGATGCAGTCATGCAATGCCCTAACACCAAGCTCGGACGGAAGGGGAAATGATCATAAGAGGTTCAGGAGAGGTAAATGAGTGGTGGTGGAGAGAAACCCCCATGTGGTAGGGGTGGGAGTTGAGTTCAAACGGCTCGTTTCCAGAACTTCCAGCCTTCCCGTCTTTCTTGCGCGCCGACGCCAACGAGACGCTCGATGCCTTCGGGGCCGTCGGCGTTCTCGAACTTTTGTTGGTCGATCTCCTCGCCGCCCTCTTCGTCAGAGCCATTACGTAGCACCGCTGGCCAGAGAATTCCAACACCGTCTCCACCCAAGGTTGTCTCATATTTCTGGAAGTTCTCCTCGGCGAGCTGGCCTTCGAGTTTGCGGAGTGCCTCCTCGCTGGCATCCGGGCGCAGAAGGGTGATCGCACAACCACCGCCGCCCGCACCAGTAAGCTTTGTCCAACCGATATCCGCAAAGTCGACCAATTCCCGAATTCGCTCCAGTCGCGGATGGGACACCCCCAGGGACACGAGGAACCCGTGGTTTACACGAACCAGCGTTCCGATCTGTTCGAGGGTTTCATTATCGATGCTCTTCCCATCAGTCCCTTGAATCGCCTCCTGCGCGGACAGGGTGACCTTGTCAATCGCATCGAGGATAGTTCCGGTAACGAGAGGGTGCTCCTTTTTGAGCTTCCCTACTTTGGCAACTTCAACCGCAGTCGAGCGGCTCTGTCGTGTGTCGACCAGCAGGAGGGGCAACTCAGGAAAGTTCGGCAGCGGCACGACCTTCGGGGGTTTCGAGTAGTCCTCCCTTCTGAAAATCACAGCCTTGCCGCCCGTAGAGACCGTATTGTCCACACCACTGGGGTTCCCATGTATACACAATTCTCCGACAAAGGCCCATCTGTTGATTCGCTCTATCTGCAGCTCCGCCTCATCGGGCGGTTGGTCGTCATGAGGACCTGCTAGAGTGCGGATCTGTAGAAGCAATGCAGCACTGAAGCAGGTACAGACACTGGCACTGCTTCCAAGACCTGCGGCCATGGGAATGGTAGAGCGCAATGTGTATATGGCTCCAGGATTCTGAGGGGAACCCAGGGAGCAGAATAGGTATAAGAATGCCAACGCTGACCCTTTGTGTTTTTTCCGCAACTCTTCCGGTGCATTGGGCGAAACATCTTCCACACATGGTCGTAGTGAGTTGTATAGTTCTTCATCGAGGGTTGTCACCAAGTCGTAATAGTATTTCTTCTTGGACGACTGCTTGAAGAGGTCCCAAGGCAGATCATCAATGTTCCATGTGTGGTTGAAATCCATGTCCCTGAGATTCAAGGTGATGATGCGCTGTGATTTGGACAAGGTGGTAACGAGGAAGTAGGAGCGGAGAGAGATGGCGGCGGCCATGGCAGCCTTGCCGTGCACGACGGCATGTTCGCCGAAGACGATGACCTTGCCCGGCGCAGACACCATGAAAGGGGGCGCCATGGGCGACGAAGCCTTCCGAGCCATGGCTTTCTTCACGGAGTCGACACCGTTGGTGGGAGACGAGGCAGAGGGGCTGGAGGTATTGGTGATAACAGTCGTCGCCGACGTGTTCGAGGCGGCATCGGAGATATCAGGACTATCATCGCTAACTGTCACTGTTTTGGGACGAGCTAAGGGGACTTGATCGGGAATGAGGTGAGACATGTTGCGGCGCTGGCCTGCTTTCGAGGCTCTAATGCTGCCGTTTTTGCGACGTGCGCGGCCGTTGTGCATCACTGAGACGATGAGCAGGGGTGCGCAGTAACTTAGGGGGTCGATTGGCGGCTGAAAGTCGGGGGTTAGGCGTGCGAGAATTGGACGGTGAGCATGGCGAGAAGAGAAAACAGGGTCGCGGGAGAAAGGATTCAAAGAGAAGAAAAGGCCGCAGAAGGCGCCCAAGCCAGCATAAGTGGACAGGCAATGGGGGGAGCAATAAGATTGAGAACACGAATCGCCGGCGTTGTCGACGGAGCGATCCAAGGATGCCGGAAGGGGAAACCGGGGTCGCAGCCAATCACGGAGCCACAATTGTGCATTAGTCACCGTTGGGTCGCGGGCCATCTGACAATCTTCCTGCTGGGCGTCCTTTGCGCTGCAGCTGCCCATGCATCATGGTCTAGATTCTACACGGTAGCCCTGAGTCTGATTGCCCCCGTTGCTCCCCATTGGCACCAGTTGCAGGCATCAGCTTCCCCTGCCAGCGCCCGGACAAAGCAACCAGCCTTCCCGGCGCCGTGGGTGGAACGGCGCCAATCAGACTGCGATCGGCTGGAGGTGCCTAGACCGATTGATTGAAGCATGGGAGCCCACTCCTTGCTACCTTACCTTACTATGAACGATGAAGGTCAGGTATGTAGGTAGGTAGGTAGGGAGTGGTTCTGGTTGGTTTGGAGGCCTACGCACCCGCTTTGGGTTCGGTTGGAACACGGACTCATTCAGCCGCAGATATACATACCCCACCAAACCCATGGAGAATTGGAGATGGATCTCTGGCCGGGTAATCCCAGCAAGGAAACTGGAGCTGAACGGACACGGCATCCGGAGTATATCTGTTCGAGATCGCAGCTCGTCCGAACCAACTCCCAGGCAAACACGTCAGTGACATTCCACTGCATCAGGTCGGTGTCAAAGCTCATTGGTATGCGCGGTCTCTAGATACCCCTAGACTTGAAAAAAAGCCAACCTACGTGATTTGACTGCCCCCTAAGATGCGCCGAGCTGAGCGAAAATTGTCTGTTCTACGTCCTCTTCGGTCCTTGCTTTACCCGATCATTCTGTAGGTGACGTTTTCTTCTTACAATGGACCTAGCACTACACCCAGGAGCACGCAAGATGGTATAAAGAGTAAGGGCATTTATACTGTTTTTAAATAATGACAAGTGTAGGCCAGGATAGGAAGGGACAGAGGCATGCAATGAATGAATGCCGCTTGGATAGCTCTACACGCCGATAGGCTGTGTGAAATCTGCAACTGCAATCCAATACATGCCATTGTCCATGGCACATGCCTGGCTCGCACACTTTCAAACCAGTTTCAGGTTGACTTCTGTATCTGTACAGTTTCAGCTTCATCTATATGAACCACCAACTTGCTCCGATCGTCAGTAATGGTCACCAAAGAGTTGGCCGAGATGGTGTAGCTCGCAGATCCTCTCATGTTCAATACTGTGTTCAGACCCTCCGGCTCCCACAGATGGCAGTGCTATAGACAGCATTAGTCTGCATAATCACGATTCTTAGGGCTATAGATAAAGAAACTTATATTTCAATCGTGAGCGCCGCAACGCAAAAGTTCCAGAAACGAGTTTTACTACAACTAGCAACAATCGTAAAGACAGTTGATATTATGGGAGGGGTTAAGTTCATCAACATCCCAGGCGCTTACTGCTAACGAACTATAGGTTTCGTCATCAACACTAGTCCTCAGCCGGACATATCAGCGTCTAGATTATGCAGGCGATTAGGCTGACTAGAAAGCGGTACTATAAGATGGGTGTCAGACACCTTTTCTCTCCTCTAAAATGTGATTTCCCTTCAATTCAAGGTCGCCCTCTCATCGCTCACCATCCGCAAAGAATGGGCATAAAAAGCTTTCTAAGCCTGACTCGACTCTTGAACGCGACCAGCCCTATCACAGAAATTAGCCAACCCAAACCTAGGTCAGAATGTCCTCTCGTTGATGAATACACCATTGGTTGTATCTGCGCCCTGCAAGAAGAATACGACGCTGCTTTCCGGATGCTGGACGAGGAATTCGAAAATCCAGGTACCAGCCAGCTGCGTGATCCCAACACCTATGGTTTCGGTCGCATTGGTGAACATCTTGTAGCTGTGGCGTGCTTGTTCCCCTCTGGTCATTACGGGACCTACGTGTATGCCCAGGCTGCTCGAGACATGGATCGCACGTTTCCCAATCTTCGGTTTATCTTGTCCGTCGGTATCGGTGGTGGAGCTCCAACTTCTGCGAGAGACATTCGGCTAGGAGACGTGGTGGTCAGCGTGCCCAACAATGGACACTGTGGCCTGGTGTCTTACGGAATATTTTCTTCGGAGAAAGATCCGTCAACTCAGCTTGAGACGGATGAAGGCCAGTATGCTCACCCGCAAGAGCTCCTCGCAACAATTCCGGAACTACAGCGCCTTCAGGACGACCCGTTGGAGCCAGATACCATAGCAGAGCATATACGACGGATGAACAATATGCCTGGATTCCAGCGACCTAATACAGACCGGTTGTACCGTGTCGATTACGGACACCGTGGTGGAAGAAGCTGCGAATTTTGCAGCGATGACGGGCTGGTGAAACGCAGTAAGCGCTTAGGTTCACGTGAGATTTTTATCCATTACGGAACAATAGCCTCGGGAAATACTGTTGTCAAAGACCCATTCCTGAGGGACAAGTGGGCAAATACCTCTAAGTTGAACGTTCTGTGCTTTGAGATGGAAGCCTCGGGGATGATGCCGACCTTTCCTAGTCTCGCAATCCGTGGTATTTGCGACTACTCAGATGATCATAAGAACGACGACTGGCACAACTATGCTGCATTAACGGCTGCGGCATATACAAGGGCATTGCTTCTCCTTTTGAAGCCCAAGGTGATTGGTGCTGTGCCATCACGGGTGAAACATGAACCTAGACAGTTCCTTGGACTCCTCGATTCTCTCAATTCTTGCTTGAGAATTATGATGCGACACGCTCGAAAACTCAAAGGATCTGTTTTCTTTCATCCATTCGTTTCCTTCCCTATTAGATACCTTTTTCCTTCATGGTTTGCATGATATGTGTGCAGCTGGTGATGCTTAACATTGCAGAGACTTATCCTAGATCTGCACGACTACATGCATGACGTGTGAGGTGAATTAGGTAGGAGTTTTGGGTATCAGCTTACACCATGCTTGAATCATCTGAATAAAGTTCGTCGTTCCTTGCTCTCAACCATGACTTTCCCTTGCTCCTTAAACAGGTACAGGCAACTGGCCAGACAGACTGCGGATTGCCAGCCAGAAACCCGCACATGGCCGCCGGCAACAAGTCCGTCGACCATACTTCGGCTAGATCTGTCACATGGTACAGTGACATCAAGGGCTCTCATTGGCTAGGGCTGTGAGCTTGTATATGGTGCTAAGGTTGTGGATCATAAACACCGATCTCAAGCTGTCCGGGAATTGAAGCCGACGGGACTGTCCTGCCAAGTTCCAGTGAGGCTGGGAAACAGCAACAAGATTCTAACAAATACCGCCGGTCGAAGCCAGTCCCTGGCAGGGCGTTATCAAACCGGCCGATCGAGCACATTGAACCAGTGTTTACTCCGTAGTGCACCGTGCCAAACTGCGCGATTTAATTAAACCTTGCACTGCCGCGCAGGACTTGATTGAGAAATGCAGTTCAGTATCAGAGAGCTTTTCGATAGAAGTTTGCTTGTATAAATTTGCATTCAACACCACACAATCCTGTATAGACATTGTCGAGTAATGGACGATAAAGACCAAAATGACCAGAGTATTGAACGCTGTTACATTATTCGGTGCAGGCACACAAGGTTCGCGCCTTGCCTACATGGTACGTTTAGTCCTTCTGCTATCAAAGGACCGCATTATCCTAAGGAGTAACCTGTATAGTGGTCGCGCCTAGGAAGACCAGTCTACCTTGTCGATAGAACCCCAGCCCAGCTTAATCTGGCACTGGCTACGGTAGAGAGACTGCGAGCCAGCAACCCACCTAGCGAACCAGGACAAGTGATCAGTCTCACTACAGATGAGCTGGACAAAGCACTCCATAACTCCTGGCTGGCCATCGAGGTAGGAATACTCACAAGCTACTGAGTGCCCTAGCTGACTCTTGTTAGTGTGTCCCAGAGGACTTAGATTGCAAGCGGCCCGTGATGGAGGAGCTCGACAGGAGATCTGATCCAGAGACAATTATTGCGTCGAATTCGAGCAGTTACTTCATCTCGGAGATCTGCAAAGGACTGAGTCTGAGGACGAACGACCGATTCGTCAATCTACATTCCTGTTAGTCTCTGATCTGTCCGTACGTATTTCGAGTCATAAAGCTAACAACATACTAGTCTGGCCCCCCGAGACACAAGGTACGTAGGAAAAATCATATCCCCGTCCGCATTATAAACCACTAACGTATATCTCTCAAGCGATTGAAATCATGGGGTCTAGCCAAACCCGAGCCGATATTATCCCTCTTCTCATGAAAGAAACCCAAGACCATGGGTTCCAGCCCTTCCATGTCCGTAAATCTTCTACCGGTTACACCTTCAATCGGTATCTTGCGAACCATGTCGTCTGGGACAGTGCCATTCACACCAATCATGTATAGCATCTGGACTGCCATCAAACAGGAGACCCTTCTACTCTTGGAAGAGGGTATCGCCACGCCTGAGGTGGACAATATCTACAAGGCTGTTCTATAAACACCCCGAGGGCCCTGCGAACAGATGGATATTGCCGGATTGGACGTGATCCTAGATCCTAGCCATCGAGGAGCATTACGCGAAGGATTGGATTGGAATCCCCAACGAGCCCCGCAAAGTCCTGCGAGAGATGATTGAAAGGGGAGACTTGGGTGTCAAGTCCGGGAACGGTTTCTTCCACTACACCTGAACCCCATCACCAACCAGCACTAGCATAGTGTATTTACAAGTATTAATGAATTCGCGCATTTTCCACCACCACAAACCTCTTCTCCTCCTCCTCTACCACCCCCCCCCACAAAAAAAATCGAAGAAAAAAAGAATAATAAACCACTACTCAAAAACATCACTCTCCTCCATCAACCCCCTCGCAACCTCCAAATCATGCCCAAACACCAACCTCGCCCCAAACAACCTCTGCAATCTCCTCACCAGCCCCAAACTCCTATACCAAGCATTATGATCCCTCGCCAACCCACCATGCGGATGTCCCAACTCGTAATTCTCCTTGACATGAAACTGATCCGTCGTCCAAATAAACGTCCCATCGCGTTCCAGATTCACCTGCATCACACACAACCCTGGCGTATGACCCGGACAATGATGTAACGTAATCCCCTGATACAAATCCAACCGTTCCTCAGGAAACGTCACCCACTTCAACCGTTCCAAAAGCATGTAATGTCCCAAGTATACGCCTAGATCCGCCCCCGTTGCTACGGCCCAGCACGCGTGCTTGAATTCCTCTTCGTGGACGTAGATAGGCACGTCGGTGTCGACGAAGTGCTCTAGTCCGCCGGCGTGGTCGAGATGTAAATGTCCCAGGATGATGGCTTTGACGTCTTTGATGGAGTGGCCGGTGGCGCTGATGGCAGCGGGAAGTTTGTGTTTCTCAGTGTAGACGGTTCGGGGGAAGATGTCGGTTATGGGGGCGCCCCATTTCTGTATGGGGTTGGGGTGGGGGTGAGTTGGTTGTCTGGGGGAGGGATTGGTGGGGGGGAGGGGACGTACGACGTCAAGGTCCTCTGCACAGCCGGTTTCGAAGAGAATGAGACCGACTCCGGGGTAGTCGATTAGAGCGGATAGGAGGATCAAGTCTCGACGACGGTTCACGGGGTTGGGGTTGCTGAGGGTGCTGACGTTGGCGCCGCGGAGGATCCTGTGTTTGCTTAGCGGGGGAATTGTTTATGTGGTGATAGGGAGGGGATTTGGCTGACCAGGATTCGTCAATTTGGAGGGTTCCCAGGTCGAGGATGTACATCTTTGTCCCTGGGGGACATTTGAAGGCTGGGATGCCGGCGGAGACGAGCATGGAGGCTGGGTCGGTGGAGGTGGCCATTGTTAGTACGTTGGGAAGCAGGCTCAGAGTACAGATTTGAGGAGTATTGGAGGGAAGAGGGGAGAGGGGGCTTCCTTCTGGTAGCACGCATTCTTTTATATAGGTTACATTGGTAGAAGCTAGGTGTATGATTGGTGCGGACTTGGTCCCAATCCTGGTATTGGTGCAGTAGTCTAGGGCTTTAGATCTTAAGCTGCATGACCCCGCACTTGATCAGAGATCCTGCAGAGACCGAGGTCTATTCTCGGAGAAATGCTTACAAGGGGTCTAGCGGCCACTGGAATTGGCGGTGACTCGTTGGGTGGGTTTGGAGATTATAGATACGTATGTTTGGAGTAATGTCTAGCTTATCTGCGGCTGTTTGATTATCTTCAGGTCTTTATTGACATTCAGTTACAATTGCCAGATGATGATTGTACAGGCGGTCGTATATTTAATGGCTTGGCGTATGTGTTATATGCATCCCCTTCTATTCATGCCGTTATAGATTCATCGTCACCGTCATGCTGTTGCTGTGAACCAGCAGACATGGCGGCAACCCCTGCCAGAAAATCTCCAAGTCGCTAAGATACGAGGCGCTGGCAGCCTCACTTTGTGCAGTGCCTTCGGACGGCGATGGCAGTGTTGTAAAAAGGACTGCCGTGTCGCTACTGTGTTGGTTCATCAGTTCATTCAAGATCAGGTGTTGTGCCCGACTGGGGAGATCATTGAATGACAAGGGAACTGACGCCCGCCGTGGGTATCCAGACGCAGTCTTCGTGACGGATGGTCCCGACGATGAACGTCGTGTGTAAATGGAATCAACTCTGTTCGATATACGTGGAGGAGATGAACTAGGGGCAAACATGATTGATGGGCCCGCGCCCTCTTCGGTGTTGACACGAGCTTCAGGGATTGGCGACGAGCTGAATCGGCTGCTGGACGGCGAGCGAGTAACCTTCGGCCGGGATACGCTTGATTGGCTTCTCGGCGATGTCCCATCCTCTGCAGTCATGATTATAGACGGAATCGATTGGTCGGGAGCAACCTCTTCGTCAACTTTTTGTTTCGCCTTCGATGGGCCTGCCTGCCCCGATCCAGGACTCTGGGTTCCGTAATCGATATCCTGGTTGATATCTTCGTCTGCCTCCTCATCATCGACGTAAGGCGGAAATTCTTCTTCGTCATCATCACTACTATCACTTGTGTTACTGTCGCTGCTATCGTAGTCAACAAAGGCATCGAGCAAACGATGGGTTTGCATGCCTAAGCTGACACTTCCAAGCCCCTTGAAACTGGATATGGATCGCCGTCGCTTAGATGACTCCATGAATTTCTTCAGTCCACCAACCAGCTGATGCGATGGTTTGGGGGCGCTTTCGGGACTCTGCATGGGCCAAGTCGGCATCCGCTCGTTCGGCTTCTTAATAAGGCCTTCTTCGGCTCGGTGATGGGTCTCATGCGCACTTCGAGCTTTCTGGACTTCCTGCCACCACTCTTCGTCGCGCAAGGCTTCGTGGACTCGGGCTTCGTGATCCTCGGTCTCCGGATGGACGTCACCGTTGACAATGATACGGTAGGTTTTAAGGTCGCCGCATGCGAGCCAGAAAACCATAACCTCGGCTTCTATCCTTAGCTTTTCGAGGAGCGCTTCGACTCTGCCTCTCTCGTCCTCAACGTCGGTTTCATACTCCACGAACACTGCCACCCGAAGCTTGTATGTCTTTTTCCATGATGGCACCGTGTTAAGAATACAACCTAGCTGTAAGATGAGAGTATATGTGTCGAAGTTGGTGGTCAAAACATTTTTCTTGCTCTCGCTGTCTGCACCGAGCTCTGCGCTCATCTGAATCGGCCAAAGGTCGATGTATTTCTTCTTATGCTGCCCGTGTGGGCCGGGAAGCTCAAGGTCTTCAAACCCTTTGGCCACGGCAACATTCATCCGAAGTTTGAAGAGCAAGTCCTCTAGAATTGTCACGTAGGTTTTTGAGGCCATGGGATCCTGTGAGCCGTCTTCGGAAATCACAGGTACCAACTCACGCGAAATGCGCTTTGCACTTGATTCCCTCCGAGTTGAGAGCTGCAGCCTCTCACCCAGCGCTTGGCCTTTGCGGAACTGATCAAGGATGACTATGTTTGGTCTCATACCTCCTAAACCAGCACTTAAGGTGACATTGCGAACACCCCACTCAGCAGTAGGGGAAACTGTAATGTTGACAAACGCCTTAACTCTGGAACTCTCAACAAACTTGGTCCATGCTGTCTGCTGGCGCCGGGCTTCTGGCACAGCAGCTGAGAAATCATCTGTTACGAGGACATGGCCCAGCACAAATAACCCTCCTTTCTTCAGAGAGTTACAAAACGAGATCATCCTGGACTGTTCATTAAGGTCATTTACGAACAGCAGGATCTGGGGCCGCCAGAACTTAACATGTTCTTGGCGAAGCCGAAGCAGATACTTGCGCACTTGGTGATAAATCAACCCTTGGCTGACATCGCCCCACGGCTTGGGAGGTGAGGTATAGTGAATCAGCAGGAATAGCATCATCAATATCACAACACAGCCTGTGGCATAGATCCCGTCGACGAAGAACATGCTTGCCCCACAAACCAAGGTGCCTATTGCTGCAGTTTTCCAGTTGAAGTAATGGAAAGACGGACGGAAATTGGGAGCCGATCCGATCTTCAGAAGGAAACAAGCCAGATTGGTTACAAGGAATGTCATCAGATAGGTCATTGTAACGAAGGACGCAATTTGATTGATGTCAAATAGCATTGTGAGCTGTGCAACCACATAAGTGACAATGATCGCGTAAACTGGTTCGTCGGTCTTCTTTGCACCCTTGCCGAAGAAACCCAGGCCAGGAAGCAGAGCATCTCGTGCAACTGCTTGAAGTAGCTTGGCTGAGCCAATAACACCCATCAGAGCTGAGAAGAAACTCGTCGCAAATTCACCCATGAGGATAACTGCGCCGGAAAGATTGGCCTAAGTCTGGTCAAAAAAGTACGGCATGCATGCCAGATAACGGAAACATACAACTTGAACAACATTGGCATTCTTGTAGAACGACTCGCGAGTTATGGACGCAGCCATGGCAAGAATTACGATGGCATAGGTGATGAATGTCAAAGCTAGCCCATACAGCGTTCCCTTGGGGATCGATTTGCTAGGGTTCTTTAGGTCACCAGACATGCTCGCGCCGCTGCTGGTACATGAGCTTGGAGTTCTTGGAAGCTGGAAGACGTACCTACGCGAATATACCACCAGTAGCGGGGAATAGAATTCCAAATAGGTCCTGGAAATTTTCTCGTCCACGTATCTGGCTACCAGCGGCACCCTTGGTAAGCTTTGGTTTGAGATTTTCTAGCAACGTCTGAACCCGAAATCCCGTAAATTCTATTCCAATCTTCGGGATACTGAACGGCTCCATGAATATGGCAGACACTGGTATGCTGAAAGTTGCGATGAGCAGAATGATAAGCAGCCCGCTGCTAGCTCGGGAAAATAGGGAGCTTCCCGCTAAGCATATTCCGGTACACATAACCAGGATGGCAGTTCCCCAGAGGTATTGCCACCAGAAGCCTTCTTCAAGGAAATTGCCCCAAGTACCAGACTCAGTCCCGAAGTTCTGTGTGAAACAGTCAACAAGACCAACGGCGTTCATACCAGTGTTCAACACAGAGCCCAAGTAGAATACGATCCCTATAGAACCACCAAACTCTGGGCCTAGCGATCGAGATATCAGATAGTAAGCGCCACCTCCTCGTACTGTTCCGTTGGTTGCGATAGCGGATAAAGACATGGTGGTCACGAGATTGATCGTGTACGATATGGCTAGCAGACCTTGGCTGTGTTAGCCCCTGTTTGAATCAGACTGATGGCAATAGAAGGGCGACATACCTAACATCCCTAACAGACCGGCTTGTCCCAGAACAAACCCAAAACGAAGGAACATCAGGATACTAAGGACGTTCAAGGTAGTCGGCACAAAGACACCAGAGAACGTCCCAAGCTTATCGGGATTTTCAGAAGTGCGGTCCTTCTGGCCATCTCGCTCCTTTTGGCCCATAGCAGCCTCTCTAAATGGCCCAGAGGGTGGGGGATGGGGACGGATCCTCTCCCTCGGGAGATCATACCTCGCATCACTCCCACGCCCACTCCACCAACGAGAAACATTCTCTAGGACGTTCGGTAGCGACTGATGTCGACTCTCTGGTGAGTGAATGGGTAGATCCAAAGACTCTGGCGGACGAAACGAGAAAGCAGTTCTCCAGTGAAGATACTTGCTACCTTCCTCGGGAGATGCATGGGCAGATTCGCTCGGAGCCAGTCTGGAAACGTCCTCTTGAGCCGATCGCGTGGAGAAATTCGGCCTCCTTCGAGACTGAGACCCTGAGGCACTTTCAGCCCGACCGTCGGTCATCGGTTATAGCGCCTCCACTCCTAATTGTAGGAGCGCTCCTCTTCGCAATAATTCGATTGTGGGCGGACGAATCGGCGGGACAACGATGTTGAGGAGGGGCGCTAGGACCTGGTAATGGCAAATCGCCTGCAAGCATAGTAAGGGCTTTCGTGATGCGAACTAGCAGCGACCTCTCGGGGCCATGCACGTTGAGTGACCGTGTAACAAAATCGATGCTGAAGTTGAGAACCCCCAAGGCCAGATCGTCGGCGATGACCTCATGTGCCGAAACAAACAATGCAAAAGAGGTCACTGGGTCACGGACTCGGACTGCCTCATCTGATCTTCCTTATCTCACCGCGCTCGCTCCATCCCTCGATCATTCTCTTTGTTGACCCTTCCGAGCTTCTGTTTATGATTGTCATGGTCGACAAGGCGCGGGGTGCTTTGGGGTGCGTGGAAACAACAGCGAGCCTAGTCTCTCCGCATACATTGCGGTGAACGACTGCGCCCTTCTCATTATCGACCCTCTCTAACTCTCTCTCCGCTCTTATCAACCCTTGCCAGCCATCCCATGAGCCTGGTTCGCCTCCGAAAACTCAAATAGACGAATTGTTTTCGGGATTAACAAGGTTTTCTACGCCGAGAAAACTCATTCTTGTCTTTTGTCACAATGTCATCTCCCAGGATGTCTGACAACGGCGAGGGTTCCTCGTCTCAGCGTCACCGTTCATCGTCGCCGATCTCCACGTCCGCGATGCGCTCCGGATCCCCTGCACCAGATGCTTCGTCCTTCAGGCAAGCTTCGATAGCGCGTCTAGCATCGCCAATCCCTTCTCCTTCGACCTCGTATTCTTCTAGGCAGTTACCGCTTCCGATTCAGTCAACAGCAGGGACCAACCAAGACCTCCGGAGAGTCGATAATCCATCCTCTCTGCCGGGGCCCGGGCAATCTATGATTGCATCTGCGCTCCAAGACCACCTAGGCCGATCGCCGCCCCCGCGGGTGGGAACCCCTCCGAGGCGGACTGCGTCGCCTGCCCTCCTTAACCAGCCCGTGAGGTCGATTTACGGTTCCTTTGATAACAAGGCTGGAAGGGAAGGCTCGATATATTCGACCGGCCCTTTTGAGGACCCAGAAGTCATCAAGAGGCATCTGGTGCAGCCCCAGATCGAGAATCGGGATATCCATTCTTCTGGGGGTGTCACCAACAATACCGAGGACGAGTTCTCCAGTCTGCAACTCCAGGGCGGTGATATTACGAGGCAAGTATACAGATGGGCAGAGGACGCAGAAGCCGGGAGCTCTCTGCGGAAACCCAACCGGAGCAGGAGCTTCAGTCACGCTCGGCCTGCACCCGAGGATGACACGATGAACATTAACAGCATCCGTGTGCCAGGAGGTTTCAGGAGAGACTACCTGCGGAGGGCGGTAGGCCCTGGAGATTTGGATGGGACAGGGTCGCAGACTGCTGCTGCTCAGCAGTTTCCAACAAGCAGCTTTCTCGAATTTTTGACACTCTACGGTCACTTTGCTGGTGAAGAGCTCGAAGAGGACGATGAGGTCCTGGGCCCCGATGAGTACTTTTCCTCTGATACTTATGACGAGGCCGAAGGCAGAGAACCAGGTGAAGACTCCGCCCTTCTAAGGCCAGACACAGCTGGCAGAAGGAAGCGTAAGCCACGCGGCGGAACGGGGACCAACACGAGGACTGGAGCAGCACTACTTCTACTCAAGTCCTTTGTTGGCACGGGTGTCTTGTTCTTGCCAAGAGCTTTCTTGAATGGCGGAATGCTTTTCAGCAGCCTAGTACTGCTTGCCGTATCACTTCTCAGCTTTTACTGCTTCATCCTTCTGGTTAACACTCGGCTGAAGATTGATGGTTCTTTTGGTGACATTGGTGGCGCACTCTACGGAAAGCATATGAGGCGCATCATCCTCGGTTCCATTGTTCTGAGTCAGTTGGGATTCGTGTCCGCATATATTGTTTTTACCGCCGAGAACCTGCAAGCCTTCGTCTTGGCCGTCAGCAAATGCAAGTCCTTCATTGACATCAAGTTCATGGTGTTGCTGCAGTTGGTCATCTTCCTTCCTCTCTCGTTGGTTCGCGATATTAGCAAACTTGGTTTCACTGCTCTCGTTGCCGACCTGTTTATCTTGTTGGGATTGATTTACCTCTTCTATTACGATTTCCTGACCATCTCGAACCAAGGGGGTATCGCGGATATCATTTCATTCAACCCATCCACTTGGACGCTTTTCATCGGAACGGCCATTTTTACGTATGAAGGCATTGGCTTGATCATCCCAATCCAGGAATCGATGAAGCATCCCCAGAAGTTCCCTGGTGTTCTTGCGATGGTGATGGTCATTATCACGATTGTCTTCCTCGGCGCTGGTGCGTTCAGTTATGCAGCCTATGGATCCGCAACGAAGACAGTGGTCATTCTCAATATGCCTCAGGATGACAAATTCGTAAATGCGGTTCAATTCCTGTATTCGCTGGCAATTCTCCTGAGTACCCCCTTACAGCTCTTCCCAGCCATTCGAATCATGGAGAACGAGCTTTTTACTCGCAGCGGAAAGTATAACCCCAGTATCAAGTGGAAGAAAAACTGTTTCCGATTCTTTCTTGTCATGATCTGTGCGTTCATTGCCTGGGGTGGAGCAGAAGATTTGGACAAGTTTGTTTCGCTTGTGGGAAGTTTTGCCTGTGTCCCCTTGATTTACGTTTACCCGGTAAGTAAACCCTGTTGATAGTCTTCACTTGACTCATCATGCTGACTGCTTGTGCCATAGCCTCTGCTGCACCTCAAAGCTTGCGCTCAGTCGAGACGACAGCAAATCGCCGATATCGCACTCTCCATCTTCGGCGTCCTCAGCTGCCTGTACACGACGGCCCTCACCCTTAACAATTGGGTCAACGGAGAGGATGTCAAGGCTCCTGGATACTGTGACTCATAGTCTGTATAAAACTCATATCAATTGTTATCCTATTCCTTTGGAATCGGCGCTCTGGATATGAACGATTGATGCTATGTTGCGATACCATCGTTGATACGATGACTGACATTTGTTGCTTTGGTTACCTAGTAACCCCCCTTGTTTAAGTAAGCTGCTTTCATTGCTGTTGAGTCCTCATTTGCTTTTGGTATAGACTAGAGATGAAATTGCCAGTACATATCTCTCCTGTAACATCATCTGTCTTCCTTTTCTTAAGCTAGCTATCTGTTAGAAAATATCATCGAAAACATAGCTCTAGCATAATCGTTAGTGTCTAAGTCTTGTTGATTTGCAAAACAAAAGTCTATATACAGATAGAACCGCCATGCCCAGCTGCTAGATACAAAGAAATCTCATAGTCAACAACAGACCCCATCCAACCACTACTACCAATTCCAGCGCCAGTCAGAATACAAACAGCCAGAGCCATAGATAGTCGTGCTCTGCGTCTTACCCAGATCAATCTGCGAAGTACTGTGTTCCCATTGGCCTTGACCACTTATTCATAATATTGTGGTATTGTCTAGGTAGGTAGGTAGTGCTGCTGAAGAAATATAAGGGATTCATAAGCCGCGCAGCAAGCGGAAGCGCGCGATAATGTGAGAGAACACGGTTCAAAAAGAGTAGATGGCGTCGCTTAAGCGCCAGCTTCGGTGGCTTGCTTGCCCTGCTTAGCGGCCTCGGCGAGCTGAGCTTCACGGCCTCCCCAGCTGTTTGGTTCATTGATGTCAGTATGGTTTCTGGAAGAATATATAGGAAACAAGAGTAGAGGCCTTTTCTTCGACGTACCTCCAGTAGTTCATGTAGCGGTATCCTTGAGTAAGCTGGGCGGAGAAGTTGACGGCGTGGCAGGCAAACAGGAGGTAGTTCTGGGGGGAGACGGCGAGAGCGTATCGCATGAAAGTTGCCGAGTAGATGACCAGAGCACCGGTCATCTGGCCAGAGATACTGTAGAAAGGGATAACAGGTCAGTGATCAAGTCATCTTTTTGTACGATGGTGGTAATATTTTGTGCATGCTCTTCTGCGGAGCTTCCGGGACATGACTCCGGTGTTGGAAGGCCTTTATGGGAAAGAGCTTCAGAAAGGAAGGCAACGATAGCGACGTACATTTCAGGGTCCTTCTGGGTGTCCATCACAGCTGCAATGGGGATACCGAAGTTGGAGGCAGGGCCCCAGAAGTCTAGTTGGGATCATTAGTCAGTCAGGAGTAATTATTTTTGGCTGCCATTATCTGTTGTTCAGGATAGTTGTGTGCTTCTGGCCGGTTCCATGTGCTGAAAGGGTTCATTGAGGTTGCTCAACCCCTTCAGAACATGTCTTACGGCAGGCATCTTTGCCGGCCGATCTCGGTCAAGAACACGGTGAGGGAAATCGTGAGATTGAACGTACGGGTGGAGCAGAAGTAATCCAGGGCCTTGTTAGACCGGATCTTCGCATTGATTGCCTTGATTGCAGCGGCCATCTTGACGACGAGAAGGCGAGTACTGAAGCGAGGAGTGGAGAGTTGATCAGAGTTGAGGATGCAGGCCGAGCGGTTTGCTTTCCTCACTCCGTCACCTGCAGTCCGCGCCGGGCGGAGCTACCGGAGACGGTCACGTGCACCATGTCCCTGCTCGGTCATTGGTAGTGCTTATCCTGAACTTACACCTGCAGCTAGATACAGTATCCAGTCTCTAGGGTATAAGTATGGCCTACAATAGAAAAGAAATTCGAAACTTCCGAGCGTCATGGGGTTTCACTAGTACAATTGAGTGCTTGAAATATATCTAGCATTACTTCTGTCGGTCCTAGCCTTTTCGGTCGACCTTTTCTTTTGTCAGGGCATTCCCTGCATCCGCACACGCCGCAACGCCTTGCCTGGTAAAACTCGGGGTGCTATGCCTATTCGCTTGAGGTTCGTCAAGTTGGCGACGAATAGGGAGTAAATGTTGTTGCATGGGTCGTAATTCGAAGTATCTGCCATGCTTGTGTTATGGCTAGACACCAAGCCATCATGTCGTGCATATTTCAAATCACCGTCCACCAAAGCCGGGGGGAGGGAAGCCCCGTCCCTGACCGGGAGGCTGGAATCCCGGAGGAGGTTGGAAAGCGCCCGCTGCAACAGCATCCTAGTCAGCTCAATACATCGTAGCACGTGGTACGTGAGATACTTACGAGGAGCACCCTGGGGCGCGAATCCCGGTGGTGGGGCGAAGCCAGCTGGGATTCTAGGTCAGTAACCAGGTTCAATCATCGAGATTAGACGTGTGAGCTTACGAGGTCCACCTGGGGCACCTCCACGGCCAGCGAATCCCGGAGGCGGGGCTCCAGGGAAACCACCCGGAGGGAAGCCAGGGAAGCCGCCAGGCGGAGGAGGAGGTCCACCAACACCTGCAGCAGGGCCACCCAGGCCAACCGGCAGACCACGTCCAGCGGGTTTGCTAATTCCAGGGCCAGCAGCGAGAGTGACAGCCGCGGCAGCAGCGCCGGGACCGGCAGTACCAAGTCGGGCAGAGGGATCGGCGGGGGGAGGTCCATCAACGGAGCAGGAGACGACATGAGTACCGCGCACGATGGTAAGGCCAAGGGTTCGCTTTTCTTCCGCTTCGACGAGAGGGGCGCTGGTCGAGCCGGCGGCGGGCTTAGATTTGCGCTTGACGCGACGGAATTCTTCTGTGTCGGCGAGGACGAGGTTCATATGCTACATGCGTTTGAGTCAGCGAACAAGCTAACAAAGGAAACGAGTGACCTGTGAAGTCCTGAGGATATGTACCTTATCGAACGCCAGCATCTGTCCCGTCATCTGTCGGCCATCGTTCAAGGTAACTCTCATCCGATAGTTGATCTGCAGAAAACGTTAGGTATGCGGCGCGGGCAGGACGAGTATCATCAGTCACTTACGAGGTTTTGCTGTAAAGAGGGAGGGAAGAGTTAGCCACGCGTATTGAGTGAGGTGTCCAAGCTGATATCAACAGCAATGGGAAGGATCAAATCAACTTACCATCTTGCCTTGCTTATTGGCCGCCATTCTGGGCTATGAATGCGCACGAATGCGACTTGAGAGAACCAAAGAATATAGCGTGAGATGGTAGAAGAGGGGAATCTCCTACGTAATCGTCACTTTTTCCTTCTAGAGCTGTCGCGCCCGGGGTGAAGGTCGGTCGAGGTCTTCCGTAGGACTTTCTCCAAGCGGCACCAGCTCGACTTGCTACGGGTCGGAGGTCCATGAGGCGCGGCTCTGCGGCTTAGCGCCAAACGACGGCGCCAAGCCACTAAGGGCTCTCGCTTCCCACTTCCAACCCACACACTTCCCTTTTACACACTTTTCGATCCTGACTTTCTTCTTTTCAACCAGTCGACCAATTCACGCCAAAAGCAGTCGCCATGGTATGTTGCCCATCGCCATCTCACCTTCCAGCCCTGATATAGCCTCGATTCTCGATTTTCCGAAAATTCCAAACAAAACTTTTTTCTAACATTTTGTCGCCATGCAGTCGGAAGCTAAGGACAAGACCGCCAACCCTATGCGCGAGCTGCGCATCCAGAAGCTCGTGCTCAACATCTCCGTCGGCGAGTCTGGTGACAGACTTACCCGCGCTGCCAAGGTGCTCGAGCAGCTGAGCGGTCAGACTCCGGTCTACAGTAAGAACGCCCGATCCCGATGAATACAAGGACGTCGAAAAACGAAGCAAACGATGAGGACTTTTCAACAAGGCTATGGAATGGGATGGCTGATGGGAGATACAACTTTTAGGCAAGGCCCGTTACACCGTCCGTACCTTCGGTATCCGTCGTAACGAGAAGATCTCCGTCCACGTTACCGTCCGTGGCCCCAAGGCTGAGGAGATCCTCGAGCGTGGTCTCAAGGTCAAGGAGTACGAGCTGCGCAAGCGCAACTTCTCCGAGACCGGTAACTTCGGTTTCGGTATCTCCGAGCACATCGATCTCGGTATCAAGTACGACCCCGGTATCGGTATCTACGGCATGGACTTCTACTGCTGCATGTGAGTGCTTTCCGAGCTCTTCAACGGACTGGATCAGCAGATCCATCGGATTCGACCAGAACAAGGCAAGCATCAGGAACTGACAAGGGATAATAGGACCCGCCCCGGTGAGCGTGTCGCTAAGCGCCGCCGCTGCAAGGCCAGAATCGGCTCCCAGCACCGTATCAACCAGAACGAGACTGTCAAGTGGTTCAAGAACCGCTTCGACGGTATTGTCCGGTAAATGCCTCATTCACGGGGTCTTCAGGAGTGAAAGCTCCGGGGTTGTGTTTATGATGAAGCGATCAAAAATGGTCAGAAAAGAGGCAGGCGTTTTTGAAAATCATTGTCGCTCTGCTCTGCAATATGGCTTTTCTACCACGGCATGATGTTAGGCGTGTTAGAGATATCAAATTCCCAAATTTTTCATACGCATCCACTTTTCACAATGAAGGCTTCACAAAGGGTGATGATTTCCGCATAACCATTGATGAAAAGTATCCCATGATGCATTTGCTCTGCTTGCCGCATGTACCATCTTTATGGTGGTGTCATCGCGTGCATTTGGCCTGAAACTCGTCTCTGCTCCGAGATTGAGTGTTTTCTCGCCCAAGATCTGCCTTCGGCATACTCTCGGGCGTTCCATCTAAGGGATCCAAGAGCACGGGTGTCAGACCCTGCTCTATCTCAGTCTAGATATTGTAGAGATACCTGGTCAGTAGATAAGCCGGCCGATTCGTAGCCAGACCAGCTAATATCCGATCGGGCTACTAGCCCATTATTACCCCGGATCTTCCTAGTCAAATGTCTAACGGGGCAATCGACGCCTGCCAAACGTCTGATTTCGGGCCTAGCGCTACTGCACAAGCCACATTCATCTACGTCGACCTCGTGTGGATAGAAGAGCAGACGCCATCCTTGGAACCCACATGTGAGACTCAGTTCTGCGACCGCTCAACCCCACGCCCATTAATGGAATACTATATAGTGCTTCCATTATACTCAAGCATGTCATCAAGTAATGATTTCACCAGATTTATTGACATTTCATAACTTTCATCATACGTACATGCAATCAAACTTTGTCATCCAGATAACATCAGTATATCTCACGCTTCCTACCCGCTATCCTCATTCGAATTCTCAAATCACGGTTGCAGAGATCCCTCATAATCTTTTGATGCATGTCCCAAACTAGCAACGCATCACAGGCATGATTACTTGAAACTATTTACCACCTCTCGTATATCCATCCCACCACTTCGAGAAGAATCCACCTTGCTGACCCTGCTCATTCCAGCTTTCGCGACGTGTATTGAACGTCTGGTCCGTAGAGTTGCGCTTCTGGCTTGTCAAACTCTCGAACAGGCTCGAGGGGCCATGGCCGCTCGACCGTCTCCTATCTCCAATACTAGGAGGGCTGTTGCCCGCGTTGGCCGAGTTGGAAGACATGTCTGATGAGTTGGAGCCCTTTGATATAGAAAGGCTAGTTAGCACTGATCTAGGTAAATGACCTCAAGCATCATTCTTGGATTGACAATGACAAAACTGTTCAGACATACACGTCTGTCGGTAATGTCAGGTCTAGCAGCAGTGGCCTCGGTGGTACTGGGAATCGAGGGGCGACGGTAGGTCTGGGGAGGACCGCCGCGCACCCAGACATTATGGTGCTCGTAGCGGTCACCGACGGTTCCATGCCAATGACGGGGAGACTGGGGCTGCTGGTCGCTCATCTTTCACTCTTGTCTTATATTCTTGGTTCTCGTTCGAGATCGAAGGAGCAGAATTAACTGCGTTCTTCGTAAGTTGACGTGGGGAGATTATATGAGTGGGACATGGGACGAAACACGGGGAAACTGAAGGCATCCAACGCGGAAAAATAGTAGCGAACTCTCACGAAGGACAATGAATGACATAGAACTTTCATCATGGATCCGAGGGTCCCGAAGCCATTTTGACAACGAAACATAGAAGGAAACGAGCCCAGACCGATAGAGATAGGAGGGGACGGGCCTGAAATCAAGACTTCTACTTACCGGTTAACTTGTTTTTGGTAATCTATCGGTATAGAATGCAATTTCAATGATCAGTGCGATTATCTGGGACGACAGCAGCTCGTTATATGGGAAACCCAAGGAAAGAGAGGGGTAAGTCAACCACCCCCGAACGCTGTGAAACCCTGGCTATGATGACGCGCCAGGGAAGATCCCATAGGTCTGGGGGGGCAAAAGTACGGGCATTAACCAATGATGGCCTGTGATGGCTTGGGAATCCCAGCCATAGGAATGCAAAAGCTTCTTTGGCGACGGCAATGATTCATCGTCTCTGGGTAATCGATCGGCTCGATCCACGGATGGTGTGCCAGAGAGTCATAGGACTGTAGAATTAATCAGCTCATCCGACTGAAGATTATCCAATGGAACCATGTGCATTCTTTGATCGTGTTGCCGATAGACTATCGCCATGACAGCTGACGTCAGGTGTTTTGACAAATGCGGGGATCGCAGAGTGTCTCGACCGTGCAGAGACTGAGAGAGGCAATGTAGACTAACATATCCTTTTCACGTGAAGCAGCGTCAGCCGATGTACTGTGTGTACCATGTGGGATATCGGGTTCTCCGCCATGAGAGGTTAATGGACTGATCAACTGTTATTTGCACCTGTTGGTCATGCTGGGTCAACCTAACATACAGCGAAACAGTGCTGTAAAACGAATTGATTCCGAATCTTGGACCGTCAGGCGGTACTTTGTGAGAGTCAACCTGAATTTCGCAGAGAGAGGGAGCATCAGGAGGGGCGTGAGAGGGGGGGAGTTGAAATGTTCCGATCGCCTGTCTCCAAAATGGACCAATGGTTAGGTGCCTCAGGCAGTACACGGTGTTCAAATCTGGGGCCGACGCGGAATGACCTCGGATTTCCCCGCAGGCCGCTTCGATCTATCCTACCATTTATCATCCTTCGGTGTCCGAATCCCCTTTCTTGTCCGGTGATGTTCCATCACGCCATAGGCTATATTTGCCGACGATTTAACCTTCCTGCCAATCCCCATGGGATTCGCTGAATTTCCTCTTTATTCCCCACCACTTGTTATCGTTTCGGCTCCTATCAGGATCCTTATCTATATATCTTGACGGCCCGAAAAGGCAAGGAGACAGGCACCCTTCGTGCGGGGATCCAGTAGCTCAGGATCAACCTTCCCAAGTCTATATCAAGCCATTGGGCCTCGCGTATTACTCCCTCCGACACCTACCTAGTTCCTGAGAGATTCAAATAGCTCCCAAGACCCCCCATCATTCGTACTAGAATTTTCCGGACCACAACAACAGACATGGAGACTTTTCAGCATCCCTATTTAAAATCACTAGGTCACCGTGGCTACGTTCAGGGCGTCACGCTGCACTCAAAAGCAACTGACAAGCCGCTTTGTCATTACTTTGGGGGCGTACGGTATGCACTACCTCCTCTTGAGAGATGGCGGAAGGCTCTGAAGCTTCCTGAATCCTATTCCTACGGCACGAAAGACCAACCCGCTTCCTGCGATGGAGATACTGGGGTCTGTCCACAACCCAGCTTCATGAATCGTTCCTACACCAAGGGGTACACCGAGGATTGTTTTGAATCCACTGTATGGGTACCTTTGGGTGAACCCCCTAAGGGCGGTAAGTGTCAAGATGATGACGGTCAATTATTGCGCGAAACAGATGAAGCTAACAAAGTGTCCCCCTAGGGTGGCCGGTCCTTTTTTTCATCCGTATGCGCACCCTCTCTGAATATCCTGAGACATATTTCAGAACAACATCCTAATAACTTGCACATCTAGACGGCGGTTGGCTACAATTTGGTCACCCAAACGGATTCTCGGCTGCAGCCCTACTAGGTGATGCTGGTCTCAATGCCATCGTCGTTGTACCTGCCTACCGTTTGAATGTCTTTGGGTTTCTATACTCCTCGGAGATTGAGAAAGACGCCTTCTCGGTTGGGGAAACGGTAGGCAACTATGGGTTCTGGGACCAACGTCAAGCCCTCGAATGGACCAGAGACAACATTGGTCTCTTCGGAGGCGATCCTTCCCAAGTCACCGTCTCCGGATACTCAGCTGGTGAGTTTTTCAATTCCTCTCCCAAAAGCAGAACTCACCATCCTAACCTAACCACACCGTCAGGTGCATACTCCACGTTCTACCAACTAGCCTACGACCTCCAATTCCCAGACGACCAAGCCATCATCAAACGAGCCTGCATCTGGTCCAACGCAGCCGCTGTCCAGCCCAAGAACCCAGCATCAGCACAAGTACAATTCAACCAACTCCTCTCAGCCCTTGATATCCCCGCATCTCTCTCCTGGACCGAGAAGCTCTCCCGACTCCGCGCTATCCCATCAGAGACCCTCATCTCCGCTGCCACGAGCGTCGAAATCCACCAATACCGCCCCACTTCCGACTCGGTATTCATCCAGCCCACTCTCTTCAAATCCTTGGACAACGGCGAATTCGCACGTAAAGTCTCCGCCCGAAACGTCCGTATTATTCTCGGCGAATGCCGCGATGAACGCCACCTCTATGCAGCCTGGTTCCCTCCCCAGAACACACTCCCATCTCTTCGCCAAAGACTCCTAGCCGACTACCCCCGTCCCGTAGTTGACACCATCATCAACCTCCACTACCCGGACGGCAAGTTGCCAGCCTGTTGCAAGAACTGGGATAACGATGCATTCGGCCGGATCTACGCCAATATGCAAGTCCACCATATGCAACGGGGACTGATCCACTCCCTCGCCAGTGGTGGAGCGTCTCATCTACTCTATCGCTACCGCATTGAGTATCGGGTCAAGTGCGCGGACACGACTATCCCACCTAGCTGGGATGTCACCCACGCCACCGATCAGTATATCTGGTTCTGGGGCAATGGGGAAATGCTTGAGCCTGAGGAAAAGACCATCGTCCGACGTGCCCTGATCGACCCCTTCATCAAGTTCGTCCATGGTGAAGCGGACATTCAGTGGGGAACGACTAACCATCGAGAATTGAGGACCCTGAAACCTGATGGGTCGGTCCAGGTTGTGCAGGATATGTTATGGAATGAGGCAATGCGCGTCTGGAAGGCGTTGTGTGAGGTGGGCGAGCCGGATGCCACTAACGCGAAACTCTAGAGAGGTCCACGCAGGCCTTTAATTTAGTGGGATGATTTAGAACACTTGTATGCACTGCATGTATATCGAGATTTCCCATACTGGTATGTCATAGTAAATCTGCCTAAGGTTATGGTGGCTTACCCATACGTTGAAGTAGAAGTAGTATGTAAATCAGTCGGCCATTCATTTTGCGGAAAAAAAGTCCTTCACAACCATGAATAAAAATGAGAAACGTAATGGACATAACCCAAGCCCAGCCCAAAATAATTCATAAGCATAGCAAACGCTCTAATCTAAATATCAAACATGCAGTCCTTGTTCAACATGGACAGCATCACGCCCGTTGTAGACATCAACCTCGGCATTAGCTTTTTCAGTTCGTTGACTCTTCGTAACGGCGTTACTCTAAGCCTTGGTGATCTTGCAGATGAGATCCTGGCCATCGACCGAGTCACCTTCCTTGACCAGCAAGCTGGAGACCTTGCCGCTGTGGGGGGCCGAGATAACCATTTCCTAGAGAACGTTAGCAGCAGATCAAGCAAACTGTGTTAGTTGGTTGGGATATACACATACCATCTTCATGGCGCTCAGGACTGCAAGCGGGTCGCCCTTCTTGACTTCCAAGCCATCGTGGACACGGATCTCAACGACCACACCGCTCATAGGAGCACCGACCTGGCTGCTGTCGCCCAGCTCAGCCTTAGGGCGGGCCGTGTTCTCGACGGACGCCTTCTTGTCGTCGACACTGACCTGACGAACCTCACCGTTGACTTCGTAGAAGACCTCACGCTGACCGGTCTGCTCAGAGAGGGGACCGATGGCCAACAACTTGAGGATCAGCACCTTACCCTTCTCCAATTCAACGTGGAATTCCTCGCCGATCTCGGGCTTGGCCAAGAAGTAACGCGTGGGCAAGACGGACAGATCACCGTACTTCGCGACGAACTTCTTGTAGTCCTCGAAGACCTTGGGGTACATCGCAAAACTGGCCACGTCGTACTCGGTGGCAGCACCAAACTTTTCCCGGATCTGGCTCTTGATATTGACCAGGTCCAATGGCTCCAGGTAGAGACCAGGACGCTTCTCAAGCTTGCGACGATCGCGCAGAGCGCGCGAGCGCAGGGGCTCGGGGAATCCACCGTAGGGCTGGCCCATGAGACCCTCGAGGAATTCCAGCACGGAGGCAGGGAAGTCAAGCTCGCCTGCGCGAGCAACAACATCTTCAGCGCTCAGTTTGTTCGAGACCATGAACTGGGCCAGGTCACCGACCACCTTGGAAGTCGGAGTGACCTTGACGACATCGCCCAACAGGTCATTTGCAGCTTCGTAGGCCTTCTTCGTTTCCGCCCACTGCTGACCCAGACCAAGCTGACTGGCCTGGAAAATAAGGTTGGTCAACTGACCACCGGGGATTTCGTGCTCGTACACTTCGGGGTCGGGACCCGTCAGACCCGCCTCAAATGGCGAGTAGAGCAGACGCAACTGCGCCCAGTAGGTATCAAGAGCGCGCACCTGGGCAGCGTTGAGACCAAGGTCTTGCTCTGTTCCCTCGAGAGATGCGAGGATAGCACCAATGCTGGGCTGGGAGGTCATGCCGGAAAGGCTGTCCGTGGCAGCATCGATAGCATCAGCACCGGCCTGCGCGCAAGCAATCATGGACGCCACACCAGTTCCAGCAGAGTCGTGAGTGTGCACGTGGATGGGAAGATCGGGGTAGCGCTCGCGAATGGAGCCGATCAGCAGGCGAGCAGCCTGGGGCTTCAGCACACCAGCCATATCCTTGATACCCAGGACATGGGGCTTGAACTGGACAACCTTGTCCACGAGGTCCAAGTAGTAAGGGAGGTTGTACTTTTTGTTGGGGTTCAGCATGTCACCACTGTAGCAAATGGTGGCCTCGACAACACCCTCAGCGGCGTGGACGGCCTTGATACCGACCTCAAGCTGGTCAACATCGTTGAGGGCATCAAAGACACGGAAGATGTCAACACCGCACTTCTTGGCCTGTTTACAGAAGTGGTAGATGGCGTTGTCGGGGAGGGAGGAGTAGGCAACTCCGTTGGCACCACGCAGCAACATCTGGAAGGGGATGTTGGGGACGGCCTTGCGCAGCTTGCGCAAGCGGTCCCAGGGGTCTTCGTACAGGAAACGCATGGCAACGTCGAAGGTGGCACCACCCCAGCATTCCAAACTGTAAGAGTTGGCCAGGGCATGACTTGTCTCGTGGGCGATGTTCAGGAGGTCAATGGTACGCACACGAGTTGCCAGCAGCGACTGGTGGGCGTCACGCCAGGTAGTGTCCATGATCAGACAGCCCTTGTTAGCACGCACAGCGCGGGCAAAACCCTCGGGACCCTCCTGGTCCAGGATCTGCTTCCATCCCTTAGTAGCGGGGGCAGAGACATCAATGGGCTTGCCTGCCTCGTCGAGAAGGACGGGCTTGATGATATCGCCCTTGAGCTTGGGCTCGCCCATCTGACCCTTAATACTACTCCCATTGACAGCCACGTCACCCAGGTACGCCAACAGCTTCTGAGCACGGTTCTGACTGCCGACGAGGGCAAACAGCTCGGGGGTGTCGTCAATGAAAGTGGTCCAGCAGGTACCGTCCACAAACGTGGGGTGACTCAGCAGGGAGGTAAGGAAGGGGATGTTGGTCTTCACGCCACGGATACGGAATTCAACCAGGGCACGAACGACTTTACGGCGGGCGATTTCGTAGGTGGAACCGCGGCAGGTACACTTGACCAGCATGGAATCGTAGTGAGGAGTGATGATGGCACCGGCGAAACCGTTTCCGCCATCCAGACGGACACCATTACCACCGGCAGAACGGTAGACCTCGATCTTACCAGTGTCGGGAGAGAACCCCTTGGACGGGTCCTCGGTGGTGATACGGCACTGAATAGCGAACCCGCGAGTGGAGATGCGGTCCTGGGTCAAGCCCAGCTGTTCCAGTGTAGCGCCTGCAGCGATCTGGATCTGAGCGGCAACGATATCGATACCGGTGATCTCCTCCGTGATGGTATGCTCGACCTGGATGCGAGGGTTAATCTCGATGAAGTAGTAGCGGTTCTGCTGGTCGACCAGGAACTCTGCGGTACCGGCATTGCGGTAGTTGACGGACTTGGCCAGCTTGACGGCATCAGCCAGGATGCTGTCACGGACATCAGTAGGCAGGTCCTTGGCCGGCGCAATCTCAACGACCTTCTGGTGGCGACGCTGAACGGAGCAGTCACGCTCGAACAGGTGCACAACGTTGCCGTGGTTGTCACCCAGGAGCTGGACTTCAATGTGCTTGGGGCGGTCGAGGAAACGCTCGACGAAGACGGTGCCATTGCCAAAGGCAGAGCGGGCCTCAGAGGTAGCACGCTCGAAGGAATCACGCAGTTCGGCCTGGTCGCGGACGACACGCATACCACGGCCACCACCTCCAAAGGCGGCCTTGATAATGATGGGGAAGCCGTAGGTGTCGGTGAAGGCCTTGACCTCCTCAAAGTGCTCGACTGGGCCGGGGGTACCGGGCACGACGGGCACCTCACAGCGCATGGCCAGCTGACGGGCGGAGACCTTGTCACCGAGGCTATCGATAGTGTGGGGGGTGGGGCCGACAAAGACCATGCCGGCCGCCTCGACCTTGCGGGCGAAGTCGGCGTTCTCGGACAGGAAACCATAACCGGGGTGGATCAGGTGCACGCCATGCTCAAGAGCAATCTTGACGATCTCATCACTGGCCAGGTAGGCTCCGACCGGGGTATATTGGCCGCGGTGGCCGATCATATATGCCTCGTCAGCCTTCTGACGGTGCATGGAGAGACGGTCCTCGTGCGAGTAGACAGCAACGGTCTGCAGGGACAGCTCGTGGGCCGTCCGGAAAATACGAATGGGAATTTCACCACGGTTGGCGACGAGGATCTTCTGGAATTTCATGATGGCCGAGTTGGCACGCAGACGGGTGTGGACGGAGTCCCGGTGGTGGTCATGGTGGTCATCGATGAACTCGACGTCATCGACCGCCTCCTCGGGCTGACGGGGGGCAGCCATGGCGAATATGTGATAAGGATGGAAAGATAGGAGGTGGGGGAAGAGGAAGGGAGGAGGGGAGATGGAAGGGAGGGGGGATGAAGCTATTCAAGAGGTTCTAGGAAGAGAGAAGGCACAGGGGCTGGGAAAGAAGGGAATTTAATACACGAGTTAGCCGATTGAACCAATAGCGCTCGGAATAAAAGCAAGCCAGAAATGGAGTTGAAGTGATGAATGAGTCACCTGGGGAGAAGGTGCTTCCGGGGAAGAAAAAGGCCCGGTTGCGGAACGGGAGGGTGAGGGAAAGCGCGGGGAAAGAGTGGGAGGATTAGGAAGCTCAATTGGGGATCGGCTACTCACCCGAGGGAAGGAGAAAGAGAGGATGAGGATGGTCTTTGGGATGGGAGGATCACTCGAGGAGAAAGAGAAGGATTTAAAATAAAGCAGGAGGGGAGGAAGTTGGAGAAGGGGAGGAGACGAGGGCATAGAAGTACTTGGATGCGGCCCCGGCTGCACGGCAGCTGCAGCTGCAGCAGAGGAGCGGAGGGGCAGGACAACCCAAGGCGGAGGAGGGGGTCCCGGACAACGATGACGCTGCGGCATGATTGGCAGGTGGTAATGTAATCTGGTTACGCCGCCAGGGCCTGGACGGTAAGCTATCGCCATAATGAAGTGGCGACAGTCCGGAGGAGGGTCTGTAATTCCGTGACGGCACTAGTAAGCGCCCCCCAGACGCTCGACTCTCACCGGCACACCGGGCTGCAGCATGTGGGATGGTGACCCATGGATGTCATGGCTGTCCTGCCATTCCTTTTTTTCACTTCTGCTTCTTTGCTTCTCCTGGGCAGCGGTGCAGCCTCCGTTCGTCCGGGTAATTGGCTGTCAAGCATATTTCAGTTTGGTGGGGATTCACCCTCCAAGGTTGGATCTTCACTACTGACGGTGATTCAATGGCCCGTACCGCGCCAACACCAGCTGCATACAGTGACTTTCTTACGAGTCTCCCATCACCGTCGTTGATTGCTTGTACATGAAGATAACCGAATCTGCATCGGGTGGTTCAGGCGTTGCGTTCTCTTGCTACCTCGGGTGTTCGGGCTAATTCTGGCCAGCGTCTGAATCCCAGCGCGCGGGACGACGACGTCTCGTCAAGGTTACCTAACAGCATCGGTCCTCCAACCCTGATATCATCAGCCGTCAGTAAACGAACCGAACCTAGACCCTCCCCACCACATTTCCGGCGATAGGCGACGGGGATCTTCATCCAGAAAGCTAGCAAGAATCATCCGAGCACACCAGCTCGGTATCCGTACTTTGTGACCCAGCTGCATTGTGCCCTTTTTGCACCGATCCAAAGTGCATCTATCAGCTTGGCAGCTTCAGCGATCGTCGCACATCCCCGCTCCGGCGGACGGTGTCTAGGCCAGGCTACCTACTAAGGACATAGTAGTAGTTATATGATCTACCTCGGTCAAGCAGGAACTATCGTATCCAGCAAGTCGGCTCAGTAGCTCCTAAGTAAGCCTTTCAGCCTTCTTCGGCTTTCATCTGAGGGGCAATTTCCCCATTGAGTAGAGAGCGATACCCATCTGCCCATATAAAGTGAGACCTCGCCGGAGTGGATGGGCGACTCCATCGATAGCCTGGTTTCCACCGGTTCCCATGACCTGGCTGCAGAAAATCCCACCCGCCGGGACAAGCCCTGCCTTCCCTAAATCTCACACCGGGCCTCACATCTCCGGTTCTAGATCTGCTTGGTGCTCCCCCTGGTGCGCCAGTCCCTAATCTGGCCCAATTATTATCGGATAATTGGGATTATGAAACGGCATGTGATAAGGTACGTCTCCGGCTCCTTGTGCCGTATGGACTACTCCTCCAGAGAGCCAATCGTAGTGCCTGTCTGGGTTTCCTCTCAAAGCCATAATCGAGCCTCGTCGGAGGATTGCATATATAACAGCCTTTACATCCACCCTCCTCCGTACTCCGGTCTCCTCTCCGCTGCAGTATCCCCTCCTCCATCCGTCCGTTACCCCGGGATAATTGCTTATCGCTGCAACCTCGTCCACGCAAACCCTCCACCCGAAACGTCACTGACTCCCTGCCTGTCAACTCGGCTGTTCCTCCAATCCTCCGTAGTCGGGGCTAAATCCTTTCCCTGGCACCCAGGCGTCCAGACCCTTCCTTTCAACCGAACGCTTTCATCTCGAGATCCCAGATTCCAGATCGCCACTTAGGCTTAGTGTAGGAGTTAGCAGCTCAGACTACCGAGTACCTTGCTTTGAGTAGTATAAGAAATGTCTTTGGTGATGGGTTGACCCCATCGACGGCGCCATCTGCCGAGATCCATTCGTAGATCATTCGCTTTCCATTCCCGAAACCCCAAGCCTGCACTACAACCCAAATCTCAAATCAGGATCAAATCTCAAGTATAATTGAATTAAGTACGACAAAGCCCGTGACCGCCCAGGATCTCCCGGAGACTGAATGCACAGAATTTTAAGGCCTATGAAATACATCGAGAGGGGTAAAGTTGTAGGTGACATAAGCAGGAAATTGTCGAGAAGAGGAATACAAACGGATCCATGAAATGGATGGGAAGAAGCATCAAGTAAGAGTAACAAAGCCCGACCGGGCGGAAACAGCGGGCCCGTCAGCCGACAGACAGAGCCCATCCAGCCATTATCCCTTCACAATAATAGCTGGTGTCCCACCCTCACCCGGAAGCAGATCAACCATCGCTCATGCTATACATACAGGGTGTTATTCAAAATGACAAGGGTGCGTAACAAACGTTGATCTAGAAAGGGCGGAACCCAGTTGCCTGTGGAGCGATGCCGTTGGCCTGGCCAAACGCCATGGGACTTGGCGCCGGCGCAGCCGGGCCCTGGGTCAACATCAACCGCGTGCCACCCAGAATTGGGGTATTGTCCTCCTCCGTCTTCTGAGTCACTTCCCGTGCCTTCCGTTCCTCGTTGTCCTTCTTGAGCATCTCAATTGTGCGCGTCTGTTCACACAGGAAGTTGATCATAAATGGCATAGTGAAGTCGTGAAGGCCGTGGCGCCACGAGAGCTCCAGGATCACGTCAGGCCGGATGAGATCGTAGCAAGCATACAGCATTCCAACATAGCACTCCCGGCTGCCAATGTCCACGAACTAAGAGCACAGTCAGAAAAGATTTTATGAGACAATTGACCCTAAAAGAAAAGAGATAAAGACAGAAAGAAAAGGCAGGATTGAACTCACATAACGAAGAAGGTCCTCGACAATCTCAGACTTCCCGGAGATGGCCGAAGTCTCGATCGCGTCCTTGTAGAGCTTGTCCTGTTTCGACAAGGCAATCGACTTCTCCCAACGCTTGTTGTTGCGGTAGATGTTAGCTGCGACCTGGCGGAAGAAGATGAGATCATGCTTCTCCAGTCGCTGGGCAAGTGCCACCGCATCGAAGTTGTCGTAGTTATCTACCGAATCGCGGAGAGTCTTGTAGTCCTCCTCCTCAATCAACAGATCGTTGATGGCATCATTCACTGCCTTCTTATTCTGGGTCTGCACATTGAGCAAGAAGGGCTTGATTAGGGGAATGTTGTCCGAAGCCTGGAAAATGCGCACGACACGGTTGACGTCAATTCGGGAAGTGAGCACCTGCAGCAGGTCGGTGAGAAGCAGGGGCTGTTCCTGTAGGTAGAAGTTAAGCGCACGGTAGTAGATCTCCAGGTTGGCCACCTTGACAATGATGTCCTTGAACGAGTGGTGCTCCCAGGCGTCGGCAGCACGCTCCATCATTGCCAATGCAGCATTGTCCCATTCATCGTAATGGCAGTACAAGAAGACCAGTTCTGGCCAGAGATTTGCGTCTTCGCAAGCCCGGATCATCTTAGGGATATTAATGCGAGACCAGAAGAGCTTGAGGTGCTCCATCACCCGGTCGGGGTGGTACTTGGACAGAGCAATGCCCAGCTCAGTGAACATGCCCATATGCGCCCGTTCCAGGCCCAGACCAGCCTCCAAAACCGCGATAAGTTCGTCAAAGTATCCATTGCGCTCATACTGGCGCACGAGGTCTTGCAGCTCTTCCGCATGAACAATCAAGTTGAGACCGCAAATCTGAGCGAGACGGAATTCCTTTTTGCTGACACATGCTTCGTTGACCTGCTTCCAGACCTTAACGCTGTTGGCTTTGCGTGCACACTCCACTGCTGCCTGGTAGTCTTCCAAGTGCACCAAGGTTGTTGCCAACTTAGCCCAATTCGAGATGCTAGTGTAGAAGATCTTAGCAGCCTGGTGGAAGCCTTCCTCGTAGGCCTTATCACCAGATGCCTCGATATCTGCGACGTTGGTGGTTCGCAAGAAGTCCTCGAGCTCCGAAAGTTGGTCGAGGCGGGCGTAGCAGAATGCGAGACCTGTGTCAATGGCAGGCTCGCGCAGAGTCTTACGGGCCATCTTAAGATACTTAACAAGATCATCGTCTTTTCCGGCATGTGTTGCCGTTTCGATAACCTCATTATAGTTCGAGGGATCACCAGCACGAATATAGGACTCGATGGAGTCAGAGACGCGAAGACCATCCAGCTGGGCCTTGGCAACTTTGCTCCACACCTCCGGTAATTCGACGCGCTCTGCAAACTCTTGTGCACGGTCAATGCTGACAATGTTCTCAACCAAGACATTGACAGCAGCAATGAAGTTGTTCACCTTCTTGTAGATCTCGAACGCCTCCTCGTACAAGCCGACCGAGATGCACATTTCGGATATCTCGTCGGGGCTAAACTCGTTGAGCTGATGGATGTAGTCCATCAAACGTCCCTTATCAGCCTTGGCCGCAGTAAGCATCAGCAGATTCTGCAAGCTGCCGTTATCACTGAATGGCGAGGGCTCGAGGATAATTTTCTCGAGCAATTCAATCAGCTCACCAGGCAGATCCGCTTCTAGGAAAGCCTTGACAGCAACTGACACCTTATCGGGCTCGGTCGATTCAGGCACGGCAGTTGCAATGACCTGATCGACAAGTGAACGGCGGTGCTGGTTGTTTTCACTGAGAACGAAGGACCAGATTTCCGAATCGGCGCGCTCCACAAGGTAGCGAGCCTGAGCACGGTACATGGCGTTCTCGTTGGTGATATTGATGAGTTCAAGATCATTCTGTCCCTTGCGGTAGGCGATATATGCCAGGTTCGGATCACGTTTTTCGCAGTACTTTCCAACAGTGAGGGTGTCGTATAGATCGTTCTCCTTGAGGAATTTCTCGGGGTTGTTGTTGCTATCGATGTAGATCTTTGCAAGAGCATTGTAAACTGCCTGCTGCTGGTTGCCCGTGGCAAGAGTAGCCTCGAGGAAGGGCAAGAGTAATTTCAGTCTATTCCTGCTCTCAACCTCCGAGACAAGTTCATCAATGGGAATCACGGATGGATCGACAGTGGAAAGAAGGTTTTTGATGATGCTCTCTTCGCAATCAACGTCTAGCAGACCGCCGACGACCGCGGGAGCGCGCGACGGGTTGATACGCTGTACGTACACCTCGATGGACTTATACTGTTGGTTCTGGTAAAGATAGAGAACCAGATCGTGGACAAAGTTGAAACGATCGCACACGATAATCAACGGGAGCTGCTCCGTCAACTTGGCTTCCTTCAGGAAGTTCTTCACCTTGTCCGGGTTGTAGTAGTTGCTCTCACGGCAGATACGCTCGACCTCATTGGTCTGGTTCATAGCAGCGGCAGCCTCGATGTACTTGAAGTGAACCTCGGGGTCCTCGCTAAGGTTGACAATACTTCCAAGGTAAAAGAAGAGGCCTTCAGCGGTACGATACTTCTCGAGCAGGCTAATAAGGCGAGCAGGTCCCAACAGGTCGGAGAACTTAGTGCAGATCTGAATGACCGCTTGTAAGTTCTGGCGAATATTAACCTGCAACATCGTGTCCATGCAGTCAAGGGTCTGCTCGACTGAGAGACGACCAAAGTAGCTCATCAACCACTCGGGGCTCAGCTTGTCAGTACAGACAATGTTGCGCTTGATGGCGACAGGGTCGTCAGTGTTCTCGAGCGCACGTTGGATGAGACCGGCATTCTCACAAAGCTGAGAGATGCGAGGGCGATCGTAGTGAGTAAAGATCTCATTGCCAAGAATGGCATCGGCGACCTGAGGAGCATTGATGAGGTTCATCTCAAGTAGGCGTGTCTGCAGGTGGCCGTGCTCGGGCTTGTTATCCTTCAAAGCATCTAGCAAGAATGAAGTGGCCTGCTGGATCATGTTCTGGGACAGGAAAACATCCACGACGCGTTCTAGATCGATGAGAGCACCGGATTCCTCATTGGCAAGCTGAGAAGCAAATTCAGCACCCTTTTCGGGGTTCACGCGAACGATATGCTGCAACAGCTGGGTATAGTCCGGCTGGTATCCAACCTGCTTCGAATAGCTGAGGATCTTGTCGAACTGACCCGTCTCGGCGAATCCAGCGATGACCTTATGCGAGACGTTGGCCTGCAGGTAGATGTTGAGGGCAAGGTTCATGTCGTATGGCCGAACAATATCACCTAGTTCCTCTGAGCCTTCCAATTTGTTTTCGCGCATCCACTTCTCAAGAAGGTGCTTCCTGTTCTGCTGCAAAACAGGACGGACGAGCTCAACACTCTCATACTTGTTCAGAGAGCCCTTATCCAAAAGCATGCCGAAATACTGGAGGATTACAGACATCCCCTGTCCGGATTGAGGAGCGCTCTTGAAGCGGTTAATGGTCTCCGGAGTGCGCAAGAAACCACGGGGTGAGTTGGCGGCAATCTTGGCGGCTTCAGAGTAGTTGCCTTGGGCGACAAGGTTGTCGAACTGCTGCTGGTACAGGTGGTCTGCGCCAGGAAGGCCTGCCTTAGAAGCAAGCTTCACTGCGAGGCCAGACATAGCCGGGTTCTCCATCAAGTACTGGATGATAGTACCCTCATCGACACTGACCGACAGAACTTGACCCTTGCGGTTTACGCCGACCAGACCAGCAGAATCGGAGTCAGGGGCAGTTGTAAAGATCGTCTCGCTTGAAATACGGTTCATGAAGATGCAAGTACCGGTCTCGAGGTCGTAGAGGTGGATAAAGCCATATTTGGTAACCAGGTACACAATATCGTACTTCCTGGAGACCTGCATAGCAACTGGGAAGTCATTGACCGCCTCCTGAGGGAAGTATACCTCTACGGCCTTCTTCTGGAACCTCGGGTTTGGCTCCTGATGGTCGATTTCGGCGATCTGCAATTTGGCACCAGTTTGCGTCCGAACAGCGAAGGTAAAAAGCTTGTGTTCGAGGGGAGAACCTTCGACACGGATCGAAGCAAAAGTAGCTGCGTGGCCTTCAATGAACTGCGAGATCCCACGATCCTTGGAAAATAGCTGCATTGAGCCCACAACGCGACCTTGCTGCTGGCTGATTCCGACCACCACCATCCATTTCTCGTCATCGTTAACCCGGTAATTGATGATTTGGCATCCCTGGTGGATAAAAACCCGCGTTAGTATGTGTACGAAAATGCCATCGCCTGGCGAGATCAGATGTACATACATTCAGATTGGGGAGCCTATCGAAAACCTTAATAGGCTGGGACTGGGTAGGGTCGAAGACATCCCAGTGGTAAACAGAGGACTCTGTCACCAAGCCCAGGCACTTCTCACTGAACCACTTCCAGTAGACAACATCCTCATTCATGACCGCTGATTTCAGCTTCTGCTTCGCCGTCAGGTCGAAGATCTGGATTGTGCGGCCTTGAGCCTTCAGAGCGATGATGTTGCGGTTCCAGTGCATGATAGCACTATCCGCATTGATTGGTCGCTTGATGACCTCATTGTTGTTCTTCAGGTTGATTATGATAACTTGAGGTTTATCTTCTTCGGAGAGCTTTTGCCGAACACACACGAAGTGGTCTGATTCTAGAGTCTGTCCAGTAGTGATATCATCATTAGCGCTTTTGTGTCCGACATTGGCCATGAGGTAGGGGGTTCTAAGGGTATTACTCACACATGAGTTGAAACCAATCGATGCCGGCTACAGGAAAGTGAGACGTAAGTAAGATGGCCAGCTACAGTTAGGAGGAACGAGCGGGCGCGTCTCCACGGATTGGGCGTGTAAGGCAATCGCCCGATTGAGCATCAACACATACCGCAATTTCAGCAGCCGTCAGCTAGAGAGGTAGGAGATGATTGTCAGTTCTTATTTCACAGATGCTTCAACGACCGAGGGTTGACAATACTTACATTAAGAAGCTCCGTAAACTTGATCGGTAGAGGAGCCATATTTACCTAAGGCCGCAAGACGACCTCATCCACCCAACAAAACGCCACGCAAAGGAATCCACCGGATAGCAAAGGAAATGAAATCGAGGAAGGAGGATTGAAGGTATGGGTGAGGAAAGAGGAGGTGAGGGGGGCGGAGGAGAGAATAGAGTAAGATAAATGGGATTGGGGAATGGGAAGGCGAGACTGGGGAAGCGGAAAGTGACCTCAGGAGGCCGGCACGTTGCTGAGGTGTCGCTTATGGGGGGTGGCGTCACGTGCAGCCACCAGGGGTACCGGGCGGTGCCTGGTTCCAACGGCCTTGTTGGAAACGACCTGGAAGAGATGAGAGGTTCAGACGTTATAATTAGAATGAGACTCAGGTGGGCTTGAAAAGTAATGCATAGTATGTGTGCTCTGCGCCTGGTGGGTGCTTGCTTTTTTCTCCGAGCTCTACATGTGGAGGCATCGGGTCTTTGTATACAGGTGTCTTCTCTACAACTTATTAGTGGATGTGCTGTCTCTCAAGCTACGACCATGGAAGCAGGTGAATGCTGCTGTTCTTGAGACCCGGGTGTTAAGCAATTCACTTCAGAGTCTAACTCTTCTAAATTGATTATTCTAGATAAGGTGGATGTTAATCCGGGTTGTTGCTCCAGGTTTAGCAAATAGCGTTTCAAAAATATGACTGCTACTTAGCTTCTCAGTCCGATATAGGATCTATACGCACAGCATCAATCAAGCCAAGCACATATGGACAGACAATTCAAGCAGTATGATGGACAGACAATTCCGAGCATAGCAGATATTTCAACAATCCCATTTCACCTGGGAGCCTCCAACATAAAGTCGCCCATATGTCATCATAGAGGCTCGATTTTGGACCTTACAGAATCGCCTGATGTTGGCCATTGAGGTAAAATCGTGCTACTATAGTCATCTGGCCTTGCATTCTTTTTGTCTCCTTTGACTCACTTATGAATCTCGTTGGGGTCATCCCGACAATCCTATCTCGTTGCGGGAAGAAAAGACAAGAATCAAGATTGGTTAATGTGCTGCAACTAATCCGCAACTGGAACGATAAAATAGCCATATTTGATAGAAGAGGCACTAGGCAAATATTTGTGATCACCCTGTTGGTGACTGGTGCGATTGACTAGACATCACTGGTTCTCGGAAGTTGTACTGGACCACGGTGTACTGACCTGCTGCGTATTCCCAACCTCCGGTTTCTCCGACATAAACACTATGACGTCAGATATAGGATAATACTATGTACTATGGTAACACAACCTCGACTAATCAATCTTTCTTCCCCTTCGAGCCTGACTGAAGCGGCAATAATTCCATAATCAGGCTATTCCTTATTTCCCCCTTTTTTTCTAATGAACGCCTTTGCCAGGTAATTCACGTAGCAGATTAATTCCGCTATCAGTCCTAGTAGTGATATATAGAATTTCAAAACCACGGTGACTTCCCAGTTACACTATTTTCATTATACCCACATAAAGGCTTTGTCCTCCCTATCCTTTGTTAGTTTCTGCCCTTTGATTTCTTTCCCATTGCCTCCATGCAACCTTGTCACAATCAAACTCTAGACGCGCTTCCAGAGGTGAATCAGTATAGCGGGGTTGGCCCACCCAGCCTCCCCTCAATCTGGCAAAAGATTGGAGTTCTGAACCACACAACACTGATAAAGTTACTTGGTCCTGTCGCTAATGTGTACTAGCTAAATAGTTCTACCTTTCAGCTCCTCCTTTCTCCCCTCCCGTTTCCGCTTCTGCTCCTAGCGCATCTTCTATCATTCGGAAATCCTTTCACACTCAAGCAAGACTCTGGGAGACTGCAGATTTCATACGTCACTGTGAGCTGACGTTTGCTAAACAATTCAAGAGGGCGCTTTCAGCACTGACCAATTGTGTACACGTGCTATCAATTTAAACCAAACACACCACGGAGCGACGAGAATGCCCAGGTCACCTAGATGATATGAGTCTAAGTTTTCCCAGATAAAAAACGACTCAGACGTACAAGACTTGAACCAGTATCAATCTGATTCAATCCTTCGATGATATCCCGCCGACTGTCGCTTCTACTGGTGGTATTGTAGAGCAACAGTGCCTCCCGATAGCAATCAGGGCTGCTCTTTGCGTACCCCCGGGCGTCGTCCATGATCATTTCATATACAGGAACACTCACTTCCTTGACAGAGCCATCCCCAATCATGCTAAGACTTTTGTATTCGCCATCGACCGTTCTTCCATCCATATTATATCGCGCCCAGATTGCGTCTCCGTACCGCTTGTCCGAGACGGCCGCGCAGTACCGGGAAGCCCACGGCTCCACCCATGCTCGCCTGCTGCTTTTATTCAGGACGTGCGCAACTGGATAATCGAGAAAGAGCGGCTCGGGCGATTTAGGTGGGTTGTCATCGGCGCTGATGGTCGACATCGCAAAGGTTGATGATACGCAAAGGACTATAGATCTAAGTCGCATCAAGAGTGTTAGTGGATCGACCAACCGACCAAAAGTATCCTAATACAGACATGTAGTGTTGGAAGTTGGGTAGAAATATTAATTAACCGGACTTATATAAGAGAGTATTGCGAGAGATGCCTAATTTTGCCTTTGCGCGTCTGCCTAATCGTTCAACTTATTACTGCTAAATCTCTTTCCTACGCTCGATATTACTACATAACAGCCCCGATAATTAACCCACTGGGCTAGTTTACTCTGTCGTGATTGGTTAATGGAAGGGCTATTTTCCGTCTTCGGTTCAAGCAAGGGGTGCCTGTCACAGCCTGTATTAGATGCTGCTATACAAGTGTCATGTAGTAGACGCCAAGCCTAAATGTATATGTCTTAGATTCCAACAACATATAAACCTATCACATACCATAGAAAAAGGATTGTGTACTACTAATCTAAACCACAAACACTTCAGCAGAACACAAGTTCACCACAGCCTCATAGTACTACGGCCACATGCCAAATGCCCGGTAAAGCAAGGGACCCACGTATAGGGTCTCTGGGTGCCTACATTAACACTGCACCTTTCCAGCAAGTAGAGAGCACAGCATCCAGTTCTCCGTAAGTCCAGCCGGCATGGCGACTTTCTGTGAGGCATCGGCTTGCAGATTGCATGCATCCTGCAGCTTGCTTTAGTTTGCGTTTGCGGTTCCGGAAAATATGGAATGATGCATTCCTGCGTGTTGCCGTAGGTAATCTACTGCATTGTCATTGGGTCGACTTGATGGCTTAGACAAACTGCAACTCTTTGTTGCATGAGAACAGCCATGATCAAATGACACTGCATCCAAACGCCCCCACCAAAAAAGTAAAAAAGAGTAGTGAGGTAAATACTAAATAGAATTGAAGGAGGGGCAAAAAAATATAAGATTACTCCCACGCGGATTCGAACCACGAAGCTCATGATTAATAGTCATGCGCTCTACCAACTGAATCATAGGAGGTGTTGATAAGAACAATCAAGGTGGATTTCTTAATATAACCAATGATTACTGTGCGGGTTTATTAACTGCACGTAATATTTGATGAGGGAACAAGCTATTTTGTACAATTGCCATGCTTCTGAGGGACCTAAGACACTCTTTCAGAGACTGACAAGCATTATAACATCACTGCCTTAATGAGCGAGCTCCTTGTGCTCCGGGTCGCATGCAGACGCACATTTTGACCTTTGTTTACGGAACACTTTCAACCCAACCAGGAAGCCTAGATCATATCCCCAAGCCCCAGAATTAAGTCCTAGAATCGAATTTCTCTAGTCTTTCACCAAAGATGTAATATCAGTTGTTCTTTTCCAACCATGTTCACGAGTCAATGCATTGGCCAGGAACAACAGAGAACTGGTCCTTAATTCTGTGGCCACAGGTCTATTTTTACAGCGAATAGAGCACATCACCCGTAACCATGTGGTGCAAGGTTGACACGTATGAGTGTATGTTCTGAGGATCTATGGTTCCTCCCCACAGCTTGCGCTGCACATACGACAACCCCACTGCATCACTGAGTGATGAATTTGAGGAGGATCCTATGGCATACTGCGAGGTCCTCCTTATGCCCCATACATTGGGTTCCCAAACCCCGAGTCCACGATGGAAGTCACTTGAAGTCACTTTTGAATTTGGGATATCGCTACTACAGGCCTAGCTTCTTTCGTGGAAGATGTAGGTATAAAGTCATGAGAAAGACAGGAGCATCATGATGCGAATAGCCTTAACATAAACCCGAGCCACTGAACAGGAAAATACACTGCTTAGTGGTGGAACAAACGAGTGCCTTGCTCGACGAACACAATGCCAAGCTTCTCAGAAGTCTCGAAGACAGCACTGTCATTCTGGCTGCCACTCGGGGCGGCGATATACTTAACACCGGAGCGGGCGGCACGGAAGACGTTGTCAATGAAGGGGAACTGCGTTATTGAAGTCAGTATTTGTCACGCATGCATGGGAAATGCACTTACGAAAGCGTCCGAGGAGACAGCAACTTCACCCAACTTCTGGAGCCACGAGTCGCGCTCTTCCTGGGTAAACGGAGCGGGGACTTCCTCAAAGACACGCTCGTACTCGACCTTTTCGGCCTCGGTACGAGGAGTCTGACCGGAACAGAGCAAGTCAATAGCGTTGCTCTTATCAGGACGCTTGGTGCCATGCTTCCACTTGATGTTGAGCACACGGTCGTGGAAGCGCATCCACCAGTTGTCGGCCTTGTCACCAGCCAGACGGGTACAGTGGATACGGCTCTGTTGGCCAGCACCCAGACCGATGACCTGACCGTTCAAAGCGTAGCACACAGAGTTCGACTGAGTGTACTTCAGGGCAATAGTTGCCACGGTGAGATCCCGCAGAGCAGCCTCGGGCAGACCCTTCAGGTCCTTGGGGGTAATGATCGTGTTGAAAGTCTTCTGGGGGGTGATCACAATGTCGTTGCGGTGCTGAGTGAGCTGAACACCGTACAGAGTACGGGTTTCCTCGGCAGCAGGGACATAGTTCTCATCCATCTGCAGCACAAGGTACTTGCCTCCCTTCTTCTTCGAAAGGATCGCCAGAGCTTCAGGAGTGTAGCCGGCAGCGATGACACCATCGGAGACCTCGCGGGAGACAATCTTAGCAGTGGGTACGTCGACGATGTCGCTCAGAGCGAGAATGTCGCCGAAGCTGGACATACGGTCGGCACCACGGGCACGAGCATAGGCCTGGGCCAGACCGGACGACTCGATACCAGCAATGTCATCGACCATGTAGACCTTACGCTCCTTCTCATTCAAGGGCACGCCCACGGCAGCGCCGGCCGGAGACACGTGCTTGAAACTGGCCGCAGCGGGGAGGCCCAGCGCCTGCTTGAGTTCCTTGACAAGAGCCCAGGCGTTGAGAGCATCAAGCAGGTTGACGTAGCCAGGGGCACCGTTCAGGGCCTTGAATGGAAGCTTGCCTTCGGCCGTGAAGGCAGAAGCCGGCTTCTGGTGGGGGTTGGTACCGTAGCGCAGAGCCATGTACTTCTCGCCGTTTCCCGCATACTGCTTACGGAAGAAGCCCGAGATAGCAGTATCATAGTCTGCGGTGTGTTCGAAAGCCTTGAGAGCGTAGGCTTTCCGGCTGATGTCGGTGATCTCACCGGCTTCCAGCTCCTTGAGGAATTCAGGGTAGTCCTGGGGATCCGAGAGGATGGTAACGCGGGAGTGGTTCTTGGCAGCAGCACGGAGGAGGGTCACTCCACCAATATCGATCTCCTCAACAGCCTCCTCAATGGTGACATTCACCTTGTTGACGGTCTCCTTGAAAGGGTACAGGTTGCAGACCACGAAGTCCACCTTGGCAATGTTCTGGTCGGCAAGGTCCTTCTCGTCAGACTCGATATCACGAGCAAGGATACCACCGTGGACGGCGGGGTGAAGGGTCTTGACACGGCCACCGAGCATCTCCGGGGCATGGGTGATGGCGGAGACATCTCTGATCGACCATCAGTTTGAGGTCTTGGGAGACCAAGGGAAGCATAATCCCAGTCATGACCATAACAATATGGTGACTCACTCAACGGGGAACCCCGCCTCCCGAATCAATCTCGCGGTACCACCAGAGGCAAGCAGCCGAACATTGTGCTTGACAAGGCCTTTAGCCAGGTCAAGCAGTCCAGTCTTGTCGTAGACGGAGAGGATGGCTATAGGTTATATAAGAGATTGGATGTCAGCCCCGGACACTTTGGATTCTCACAAGTAACAGAAATGCCAAATTGTGGGGACAGGTATCGGACCAAGCCCACTACATGACAGGCCTTGGGAAATCCCCGATCAGGGAAATAAATGCAAGAGACAGAAGACAGAAATAATCAATTGACTTACCAGACTTTTGTTGAGACATCCTGAGATACCGACAGTGAAGAAGTCACTAGAGCAGAGAAGCAGAGTCAGAGTGATGACGAGGGAAAAATTGTTCAGGTCGAATAAAACCCCCCCACAACCCCTCGGGACGATCAACTGGAAGCTCCGCACACAGAGCAAGAGCAATAGCAAGAGCAAAACCAAAAGGCATACGTACCTGGAAGTTGAAGGAGCGTTAATGGAGGAAAGATAGTCAGAGGCCTCTAAGGTTGAGGTATCACCGTCTGAACTGCAGACTGCACAATGGAAGAGAGATTCGACTATTGCTACCGATCGATAAAAGGCGCTGCAAACTGAAGTTCCCTCATTTTCTCCTCCATGTCCCACCGCGGGGTCCTTCGCCGCTTTCGGACCTGGCGGGTGACCAGGGTGCTATCGATTACTAACCGCCTGCTGTCGTAGCTCGAACCCGTGGGTGAGAACGATTGGGTCCATGCCGGCCGCGGCTTGACCCCAGCGGGATTAGCGCTATCGCATACAGTAAAACACGGTTATAAGCAATTATATGAGACACGCCACCAAATTGCTTATATCGAGGTCTTCCTTATATTGAATATTCTACCTAAAGTAGCCACGAATATCACTTTGCTGCGTGTTTAACACCTTTCTTCGAAGAATATCACGTTCCTGGCATGCTAGCGAGTGTAGAGATGCTTGATTAGCATCATTTTGTTGTTCTTCGTACAAGCGGAGGTCATATAATGCCTGCAGGGCCCTAGTAGATGATATAAATGGTAGAGGCTCTATCATTTCATCATCCTCTTCAACCTCATCTTCAACTGCAGTGTACTGGCTTAGAACAACATCATCAATATCAGTAGTTGCATCATGAACCTGCTCTTCTAAAGGATTCAAGAACTGGTCAAGCTGCATCATATCTTGAATCCGTGCAGTATTCTGCAACTTCTGTAGACTAGCAGTCAAATCATGTAGGATAGCAGAGTCAGGCATAGGATTATAAGTGTCATCTGAAAGCGCGCGTGTAAAGCAGTGGCGGATTGTATCATCTTTCAAATCAAGATTCCATGCAGATATTGACCAACGGAGCGCTTGCAAAAGGTTCATCGTAGTTATAGGATCGTATCCCCGGTCATATTCAGTCATCATATAAACCAGCCATTGCCGTTTCCAGTAAGCCTTCCAGGTCCGGATGATGCCTTGATCAAGTGGCTGGTATCGTGATGTTGAATTGGGTGGCAGCCATATAATCAGAGTATTTGATAACTGTGATTTAACCTCTTCGTACGCAGCAAGATGAGATGAGAAGTTATCACATAATAAAGCAACCTGCCGGCCAACCATTCTCTGGTCAAACCAAAGAAGCCATTCTTTGAAGATTGCAGTAGTCATCCAACTCTTTCGATTGCTTCGCCATTTGCAACCTAGATTCTCTGGGTTTATACCTGCTGCTTGGAAGACTCGAGGCTTCTTTGCTGTACCAATAAACCATAAAGGAAGGCGCTCAGAGGCATCAGCATTGCAGCAGAAGTGTATACTGATACGTGCCTTATCTTTCTTACGTCCAGGGATTGAACGCGTAGAAAGACCACGATCCGGAGGCATTCTCCAATATAAGCCAGTCTTATCACAGTTGAAGATATCACAAGGCGCGTAAACACGTAGTGCTTTGCGTATCAAGATCATCTGGTCTTCAGCATCATTTCCCAGTGTTATCTCCCTGCCCTCTCCGTACTGCTTGAAATTCTTGATATTCTTCCTATATTGGAAGCCTCGAAGCCAACCGTTGCTGAATGACGGCATCATCTTATCAGGATAGATAATCGGCCAGTATTGCTTTGCTTTCTCGCGTATGACTTCTTGTGAGATAGTAATATAGGATTGCGCGCGTTCAAGCCAGTCAATAACTGCTGCCTCTAGCTCTGGCCACAACTCTGTTCGACGTCGTTTATCATTCAATCGGTGGTCGGGAATAGCATCAAGATAATCACATCGGGGAGACAGGATACGGGATACGGAGGAGGGAGTAATCCGCTGGTTGTACGTGGCTTCGAACCACTTGATAAGGTCGATATTAGTGAGCTGAGGCTTCAACTGGTGTTGAGTGCGTAGAGCAGCTTTTTGGCTGTTAGAAATGCAACATCGCGTTTGTTTGGAGGTCTGCTTTGGCATGATTCCTGAATAATGACGTTCAAATTAGCTATTCCGAGCATCCAATATAGGCAATTTTGTATGGGGGAAGGTCAGGATCTTAGCAATTTGCTAGTAATGGAGGATGAAGCAATTTTGTATGGTGTAGCAATTTGAACACGGTGGCCAGTTGCTTGTAATGGAGGATTCCCTATATCGGGTGTTGCTTATAACCGTGTTTTACTGTACAACTTATGCGTTCCTCGCTTAATCATTAGTGTACAGAAGCCGATATGCATCACGTGTTGTCACATGACAAACGCACAGGCCATGCACAATCCACTACAAAACCTTCGCTTCGCCGCGTCCGTTCCATTTTCTTTTTTTCTTTTCTTCACATGAACAACGCAAATAACAACATTCTTCAAAAAGCGTTCCTGCGAGGATACTCTTTCCCTACGGGGTTTGATTAGCCGATGAAGTACGGAAATCGTCATACAGAATGGAGAGGAACTGCCTAGCAGAGTGTCGATCTTGGGTGCAGTGTCTGACTTGAACTCAAAGAGTTCGGTGGAAGGGACTGCAATGATTGACTCTACAATCTCTACTCCTTTAAAGTTTTAGAACATGGATCGCGTGGTCGAAGCTCGTAGTCAATCTTTCGTCATCTCGTCACCATGATCTTAAGCATGGCGGATCGTCTATCTAGCAACAGACTCGTCGGTCCCGATGCAAAAATGAGAGTACATGAAGGAGAAGAAACTTCCGAATTAGGAAGTGGAGGGGTACTGGGGTATACAAAGTACCCGATGCTATTAAAATGGTGGAATAAGAAGTGAGCAGGCCCGTTGTCGCGTCATTTTTTCAGCGACTCTGGTGCAAGCTGTCGGCCAATGTTTCCAAAGCATACGCATGCGCAGAAAAGGACGCTGGCAACCCAAGTCCGTACTGCAATGCTTTCCTGCGACATCTCAACTGCAAGTCCGTAGTCCCATCCGGTGATGTTTGAGATGGGTGCTGAAGGAGCAGAGGTCTCTGCAGATGGTATCAAGTCGGGCTTGAGTCCCAATATAACTCCCATCCCGGCCAATCCAACCACAGTTGACAAGAAAAATCCGGTTCGAGTACGGTCGATGAGGTACCATAGCACCGGGTTGACGAGTGCGAGAGTCACCGATGCTTGAGTAGTGGATTCCCAGGGAAGCCGGCGCTGTAGAACACAAAGCAGGCTTAGTATGGAATAAAAGAATCTTGACTGCTGATAATTTGCTTACCATGGCAAATGCGATGCCCACAAATGCGCCAACGCTGCGAACCACTGCAACCCACGATACAGTACGATCCGCAGCCTCCTGGTCGCTGGACCTGCTCGTCTTGGGGTTATCAATGATTTCGCCCGAGAACTGGTCGAACCAAGGAAGGACATTTCCCAAAGCGACGCCGGCTACACCCCAAAAGGCGAGGTACTGCCATGATCCGTAATAGTGAGTATTTTCCAATTTCACCGGGGTAATCCAGTGATTCTCATGCAGATGAATTGTGATGACCCCGTAAACGATGCCAAAGCCAAACAAAAAAGCGCTCTTCAATGCCTGCGGAAGGATAACGCCACGAAACAGACCGTGGCTGAGGCGTGAGCGCGTCCTCTGGAGTTTGCCTGGTGCTGGAGCTTCCGGCTGGATTCTCGGGCTTCCTGGCTGGGGTGTGTGGGCTTCTGTCCCCCAGGGGCTAGAGTCGTCCCGAGGGCTTTCGAACGCCGTGGGAGAGTAGATACCATACAGCGTCGAGGAGGTCAAGTTCATAATCGAGGCATTGCGGCTCACACTGGTAGAACCACCATCTCTGGGCGTCAGCAGGTCTGGGTTGGCGGGTTCCGCAGGGGTAGAGGGCTCTTCGGGCGTGAGGTCGAACACACGTCGCGGACGTGGGCGAAGGATCGTAGGCTCGTCAGACATGACAGGCAGACTACTGCAATCGGATATGAGGGGGAGCTATGAGAGGTGCGACGAGAGATGTGAGGCAGGTGGAAAATCTCCTTCTATTCAACACTGTCACCAGATATGATGATCCACCGGCTCCAGCAAGGTTAGCCGTCAGCCCACCCGCGGTTAAATATCGGTAGGTCGACTCCTTTCGAACAATTGTCCTGTCCGTGTGAGAGAAGCGTGCCCGAGGTGGGGAAAGACAAAAGGAGAAAAGAAAGGCCAGAGCGTGCCGGAGCTGCAAGCACACAGACGGCCAAATAATAATAACGGAGAGGCTGGAGGCAGATCTGTTCGTTCCAGCGGCCTAGTGGAGCACTACTGGCAGTAACTGGGGGTGCAAGATTTGTGGCGGATCGGCAATGAAGGCGCCCTGAGGGGAAAGAATGAGGACCACCGAGGGAATTGACAATGGCTGTCAATAAGGGAAAGGATTCAGTAAGAAGGTATGCGCCCCCTATAAGGTATGAATATATAAAAATGAAGAGTCCTATTGAGTCGGAGACCCGAATCAACTGGAAACCGTGAGGAAGCGAGAAAGGCTGGAAGAATGTTGGGGGAAGCCGTACTCGTAACCCGTAACCAGTAATCGGCGATCACATGCAAATGTCTTAGCTCCGTCAACTCCAGCCGCCGCCACAACCTGCCTGCCAAAGCTTCCTAAATCCCAACCGATCATGACAATGAGAGTCAGCTGGCTGCTGCATATGCGCCTTCTTTATTACACAGCATATACAGAGCGCGCAAGGCCATTGATGCCCTCACTTGCACAGGATACAAAGTGGGCAAGGGGACCAGAACTGAGAACACTGACCTGAACTGATGGTCTCCTGGCGCCCTTGCATTTCTGGCACATGATGAACACTGTTTCGGAGAAAATCGAGAGTGATATGCCTGATGACCTATGGCACACAGAAGCCAGCCTACCTCCAGAAATAGCGACCATACCACAACCTCTTACTCATCAACGTGTACACATGTTACTGTGGTTTTAACAGCCATCAAAGACGATTTTGCCGAGTTTCCCCATCCATCCTGCATGCTTATGTCGGCGCCCTTGAAGAACAACTCTGTGCAGTTGGTTGAGACGTGCATCAGTGTAATCTTCCACTACCCACGGTATCCACGCAGGATGTCGTGCTGCGGCTGAACATGGCCACTTCGTCCAGGATCGTCACACCTTCATCAATGGATATATAACGAAGCAAAAGGCGTTCGATTTTCGACGCCTCGTTATAGACACATGCTGCAACTTCGATGCTATGGCTATCCTGCGCCCTTATCGAAGTCAGCCTAGATAATTCAGGATCGGGAGCAAAAGATAGAGTTTCGAAATTGGTACACCCGCTTGTCTTGGAACCCGTGTTGTCGTGTCTGGTTAATGGCCACTCCTGTTGCCTTACATATTAGGCATATGCGACAGCCCTAGTACGTATCAAAGTGGAATAACTAAGCCGATCATCAGAAGGGAGTACTATATTGGGGAGGCCTGGATGATGGACGATGGCGCCTTTGAACGAAGCTTAATACTGGGTACAGTCAGTTGAATGAAATGGGGAGAACATACCAGAAGCACTCCCGATTAAGCGTTAGTGGATTGGCTCGCATTGAGTTCCAAAGACGCTGCGCTCGTCTGGGTAGACAAATTTAGACTCGATTGGAGGGCTTCTTTCACTGGACCGGCCTCTCCTGACCAAGGTTGGCAGCGACTTATTACTGTGCTTAGGAGTGGTCATGACCTATCATCAGTTTAGAAGCTAGCTACTAGTAAGAGCGGGACAGTCTGTTACATGGGTGCTCGAGCAACAGAAATAGTTGTTACGTATGTCAACCTTTCTGTGGAAAGCTGTGGGACTTATAGAGGACAACTTTCTATGTATGTTGTTTTGATGGGTCCATATATGTTGTTCGTCAGGAGCCTCTGATGCGTGACACCGGGCAGCAAACATTTGCCTTTTATCTCGGCTGTATGGAAGGATCGGTGTGACCACCACCCTTTAGTATACCACTCAGTTATCTATCTGATATCATTCCAGTCTCCACCTTAGTACTGGTGCCCACGTTCCTTTAGATAAGTTCAACCTGGTCAATGTATTTGCCTTGGCAGGCACCTCGTGCTTCAAACAGGGAGTATACGCACGCAAAGCAAGGCAGCCAGCTTGACCAAAATCGCTGACGTTCACCGTTAGGCCCTCAGTCCAAACTGAAATTTTCACGTCGCGAGGCTCTTTCGGCCCTACTCGGTGGTTAGACGTATGCCAGCCTGATAGGTCACAGCACAGTGAGGTTGGTATCAAACAAATGGGCCATGCAAAGCGAGTCGGCGCTAACGATATCAACGTTCTAGATCAAGCAGGTACCTTTCCCTATGACCTCCGCTACTCGACCTTGATTCCAAAGTCAACCGAAAAGGCATATGCACTAGGTCCGTGGTGCCTGGGCAGAAGTAAGTGCAAATAAAAACATACCCCCAACTTCAGCCGTGGTATGGCCTTGCCCCTGAGGTGGGCGGGGTCTCATAAGCCATAGACATGGCAAATTTTCGGTAGATGGCTCCCAACTCGCCTGCAATACTTGGGGACGGACTCCTGCTAACTTATATTCTCAACATTACTCATCAGTACTGTGTTCCCGGACACCCTGCCTTACTAAAGTAGGACTGGACTAAACAGTGATCAAATGTTTTGCACGCTAAGACGATCCAAGAACACGATGGAATCCTACGCTTCAGAACTGACAACTCCCCCTTTCGCCAAGCCGAAAAGCAAATTTAATGCTGCCTGTGCAAATTGCCGAAAAAGCAAGGTGCGGGAGACACTGCACCTGTATGTCTACATGTCCTACTTTCCAGCTGCTAATAGCTCGAAAAGCTGAAATGTTCCGGCGAGCCACAAGGCTGCCAGCGCTGCTTGACGAAGAATCTTCAATGCAATTACCTGAGTTTTCGAGAGGGAGTCAGCCACAACAAAAGCCATACCGGACCCTCAGAAACATTCCCAACCGAGGGAAATGCTGTTGTTGAGACAGAGAGCGAGGTCCAGACTCATGATAGCGAAGTCGTGTCTCTCAGCTTTGATACACTTGGCTGTGTTGACGGGTTTCCCATATTTGGGCTCAGCGCAGCTATGCCTTCTCGCGGCGGTTAGCAAATGCCCTTTTCATATATGAGAATGACCGCTCACTTGTGCAACAGACTTGGATGCGGACTTGTCGAGTGGTATAAGTCCATGTTTCGATTTCGAGCAGCAGCCCGCACTCGAACCGCGGACCCAGACGACTGATTTGGACTTAAATCATCTTGTGAACTACCACACCCAGACCCCGATGGAAGTGTCAACTATAGCCGAGCATGTCTGCCTTTGCTTTACAAGAGCTGTTAGGATTCACGAAGCTCTCGAGGTCGATCTCCTGTGGATCAACAAGAAACGGTGCCGCGACGCGCTCGATATGCTGCAGCACCAAAAGCGAAACTTGGTCAACAGTAAGATACTATTCGAGTGTCAGCATTGTGAGATACAGTCTCCTTATGTCATGCTGCTTCTGTCCATTCTCAGTAAGACATCCAGTGCCCTGGAGTTTGTTTTCCGCGATTCTCGCCTGGGACACACGGATTGCATGTTTGAGGTACAGCAGGGAGAGAATGATCATCATACGAGTTGTCATCATAAATCAACGTTTGCGATGCGACAGCTTGACGAAGAGGATGAGCGCCTGGTTCTGAAAAGCTTGTTCAAGTCCCGGGTAGCGATGCTAAAAGCATTAATGACCCGGCTTGAAAGCATGGTCCGCGATCAAGATTGGCCGGCTCACAAGATCAAAGTTGGGGACTTGAAAGACAAGGTAAAGGATATGGAACAATTTTAAAATAAGGCTCTCTGGCAAGACGATTGAACGGCCTTGTATGCATCGCGTGAAAATGTCGTTTTCAACCAGGATAAGAAGGGACCAGACAACAAGAAAGAAAATCATAGACAAGCATCAATAGAGGACAACTAAAAATCTCCATATTCAATTGACATCTACTATGCTTACACAATTAAATCATCTCAGTTGTGCGGCTATCTAGAGTATTGGCGGGGCCCCTTCGGCACAATCAGAAGTTATCGCCTAGAGGCAAGACAAACTTCCAAGCGAATGCAACGTCGATACTCACTAGCTCTTGTCCTCTTAGAAAACCAAGGCTAGGGCCGCCATATCCCTACTGTCCCAGTTTCTCTGGCGCATCAATACCTTTGCACTAGGGTCTGGTACGACATTCTCCGAAAAAAAGCAAATTTTTGGGGCGTGTCTTGCCTTCCGGAAGGCAGAAATCGTATCTGAGAAGAAGGTGACAGAGGACAAGTTTTGCCTGACTGCTCGCAAAGAATCGTCCAGGACAAGCGTGTTTACCGTGGCCAAAAGGTAGGCTGGTCACCTCAGTAGTCGCCAATTGGTATCGCTGGGCATTCTCAGGCTTGCCAGGGTCTTCGCGGGCCCTCGCATATCTAAATGGGTCGAAGGAGTCAGGGTCAGCACCACCGGAGGGGAGGTAGTGAGCATCGTGCAGCATTGCATCCGTTGCAATTGCCACATGGGCTCCAACCGGAAGTCGTTTTCCATCAGAAAGAGTAATCGGTTCGCGGAGGATTCGGTCGAAGGTCACTGTGTATAGGTCGGTCAGATGCCTCCTTCTGCTGAATAGTAGTACTTACTCAAGAACGGTGGATTCAGACGCTGCGACTCTTTCAAGCAACTATCTAACTTGCGCATCTTGTGAAGCATCGTTTTCTGGAAATCTCCCCCCTCTCGGAGTACGGCGAGGATTTCTTCCCTCAATGGCACCAGGTATTGAGGATGTGCACAGAGATCGTAGATGCAGTGAGTGATTAGGAGGCTTGTGGTCATGATTGACGCGTCGCTGACGAAAAGCAGCCTGTGACCCAGCTTATCTGGACGGCCGTCTCTTTCGTCTGCTGCATCCATCATCCACTGGAGAAGGTCGTTAGGTTTTTTATACGCGCCTTCATGCTCGGCGCCGGCAGTTCGGCGCCGCCTCACAATGGCCCCGATGATGCGTTTTGCAGAGGCTAGGTTAGATTGCGTATGCCAATAATGAGGGAGCAAAACAGCGATAAATGGGCGGAGAACCACGGGTACCATGCGCAGTGCCATAGCAGTAGCAAATGCGTTCTTTGGATATTGGGTGCTAGTCGAAAGCCATTCTTCATCACGAGAAAGCTCAGTCCCTCCAAAGACACGAGAAGAAAGGAGACTAATTAGTCGAGCAAGGGTTGTATGTATATCAACCGAGACCCATGTATCTAGACAGTCGGGGAGGTCTCCGCTGTGGAATGCATACTCAAGTTCGTCTTTGACTTCGCCCATAACCGTGGCCAAGGTCGGTGTCAACCTTTGTTGTATAACCTGGATGTGTAGCCGGCTCTCCAGAATGATGCTTAGACCCGTATAGCTGCCGAGACCCTTATTGAAAAGTGCCTTGGGGGGAGCTTGCCTTCTCCTCCGGCAGGCTGCGAAGCTCATCGACGTATTTGTGAGGGAGGACAAGGATATCGGTGTCGTTACAGCGCACTTTGAACATTGAAATTTTGAGCTTCGCACTTGTCAGCATCTCGGCTACCTGTCTTCTCACACTCAGCAACATGCCTGCTGGTATCCCTGGCGGAGCATCTCCTGGCCGCCACGCGTGAAGCGGAACCCAAGGAGCCACCTGGGCTCGAAAAAGGACCTGTATCCCACGGTTGACGGAGCGTTGCCAAGAGCCCAACTCCAAAGTTCTACCATGATACAGATTAATGTGGCCAACAAACCTGTTAGAAGACCCAACAGGATGACCTGGCCCTGACGGGATGGGTCGATCAGGTCGACGGCGCGTGCAGAGATCTCGTGTAGAACCATAATCAATGTCTCGCTGATGTTGGAATTGCAGCATAACTTCGCACCGAACCTCTCGCCTATAGTGAGCTTGAGACCTTGCTTACTTCTCCATCATTAAAGCCTCTGAAGCCGAGGCCGTGTTACTGTTACACAGTCGACTATTTAGGAAAGTCCGACAGGAAGGACCGCCGAGCCCTGAATCCCTGAATCCCTGACTCCAAGACCAACAAAGCCAATCGGAGTAGGGCTACCCAATGCATCCTGGCCTGCGACGCGTGTTGTTTTTGCTGCCTGTTCGGTCCTTGTTGCCTTCTCTTTATTCACGCGTCGCGCGGAGGAATATAAATCAGCCTCCAGAAATCAGCCTCCCCCGGAACTGAGAGAGCCCAGCAATCTCTCAACCGTCAATCAACTAGACTTCGGGCTCCCAGTTCCATCCCGACAGTCTGCTACCATGGGGTCATTAACTAGCCATTCCGATGAATACCCCAGAGGATGGAGATTGGGCCTTCTGACCGTGGGCATCTGCTTAACCATCTTCCTCATTTCCCTTGAGTAGGGCTCTACAGGCCTGTCGATCGATCAATTTGGCTGATTCTCTTCTATCCAGCTTTTCTATCATTGCCACGGCGATCCCCTCCATTACCACCGAATTTCACAGTCTAGAGGATGTGGGCTGGTATGGAAGCGGTATGTTTGCTTCACCCTGCTGCTGATCCACCATTGACCAATTCACGCGGGTTTCAGCTTATCTCCTGACCGCTGCTTCCTCACAACTACTTATGGGAAAGATTTACACCTGTCTCGGTGTCAAATGGGTCTTTCTTACCGCACTACTTGTGTTTGAGGTCGGCAGTGCCATTTGCGGCGCGGCACCCAACTCCCTTGCCCTGATCCTTGGGCGTGCCATTGCTGGCTGCGGCAATGCTGGTCTGCTTTCCGGTGCACTCCTCATCCTGGCGCATAGTGTGCCACTTGAGAGACGTCCCTTGTTTACGTGAGTGGACCTGCATGCACGGAGAAACAATTTCCTTTGACCACCAACCAGTGCTATGACGGGCGGCACGTATGGCATTGCTGCTATTGCTGGACCCCCTCTCGGAGGACTATTCACGGACAAACTTGTAGGTTCTATATCTCTTCTTGGTATTCCGTATGCAGACCTGAGAAATCTGCTGACGGCTCGGCAGTCATGGCGCTGGTGTTTTTACATCAACCTTCCCATTGGCGCAGTTACCTTCTTAGTTGTTGCCTTCTTCTTCGATAGCCCGGCCCAGTCAGATGCTCCGACTGGCCAGACATTCTTTGCTTCCATCAAGCGCTTTGACCCGCTTGGGACCATGGTCTTCATGCCTGCCGTCGTTTGCGTGCTTCTGGCCCTTCAGTGGGGGGGTATCACTTACGAGTGGAATAGCGGTACTATCATCGCCCTGTTTGTCCTCTTTGGCGTCCTGCTTCTTGCATTCCTCGCCATCCAATGGCGAGCCCAAGACAATGCCACTGTCCCGCCCCGCTTGTTCAGATTGCGCACCATCTGGTCATGTGCCATCTACGAATTTACCCTTGGCGCAGGATTCTTTATCTTCGTGTACTATGTACCAATCTGGTTTCAAGCCGTACAGGGTGTTAGTGCCATTGAATCAGGAAAGCGGACCTTACCCATGCTCATTGGCAACATCGTGGGGACGACGTTGGCGGGGGTGGCCGTCGCTGCCATCGGTCAATACGCCCCATTTATGATTCTGGGCACCATCCTCACATCTGTTGGTGGCGGACTATTGACACTGTTTAATCCAGGTATTACCAGCGCAGCCTGGATTGGCTACCAAGTTCTCGTGGGCGTGGGCATCGGGGTTGGATGGCAGCAGCCCATTGTAGCTGTTCAAACAGTAGTCGGGATGGAAGACGTGCCAACTGCCACAGCCATCCTGTCCTTTGCCCAAACAATTGGGGGATCGCTCTTTATCAGTGTGGCACAGTCCGTCTTTTCGAGCCGATTGACACAGGACCTTGCGGCAAAAGCCCCCGGTTTGGACCCGTCGCTGGTGTTGGATGGCGGCGCGTCCAATCTGGCTGGCTACGTCCCCCGCCAGTATCTATCTGCTGTCATCTCTGCATATAGTGATGGGCTGACCCGCACATTTGTTGTGGGTACAGCTCTTGCCGCGTTGTCTTTGATTGGCAGTATGTGTGTGGAATGGAGGAGCGTCAAGGGCAAGAAGGTTGAGACCGGCATTGCTGCTTAAGCGTTAAACGAAAGCCTATCTGCTTATCTGCAGATGTTTCTGTACCTCGAATTCAAACCAAGGTGATGGTGGTGGCAGTGGCCATGGTAGGGTTGAGGGGGTGTCATCATCATGTTCAGGCGGGACACGACGGCTATACCGCGCCAGTGTGCAATCCTAGAGACACAGACCAGGAGAAGCCGAAGCCCAGTCATGTAGAATAATAACAGAAATGCATAGTGAAATTTCACATCTTGCATCCTTGATTCAGAACTACAAGGCAGATATGACGTTCCTTCCCAAATAATGCACCTAATCATCCAATTTGCGGGAGGTTTTGATTGACTAGGACAGCGAGTAGATAAGGACAACTAATACTATATCACGCACTAGGGTTTCGGTTTCTGGTAAATAGAAATCCACTGTCGTGGTGGAGCCTACAGTTTTCAATCTAATATCATCGGACAGCAGGCACCAAACGGACATTCAAACTGGGCGGATCCCAGACGAGGTACGCCTTTTGGACACCGATCCAATCCTTGCTGGTTTCGCACAATTCGAGGTCAAAATTGTAGACAAGGCGAGCGAGAATCAAACGGATCTCGGCGTAAGTAAGGCTAATAATATCCGTGATTGTCAATTTTGATCTAAACCTGGCGGGTATGGACTAGGAGGTTTGATCAAGACTTACTTTCTGCCAATGCAATTCCTTGCACCAACACTGAATGGCTGCAGGGCATCGAGCCGATCATCGGCAAACTTAGGATGGCCGAGAAACCTCTCGGGATGAAACCCGTCTGGATCCGTCCAAAGGCCAGGATCATGGCAGATGGCCCATTGCCAAATAGCTACCACTGTCTATACAAGCTCCTTTAGTGATGGGAATGCGGGGATGCAGGTCCACAGAACTCACATCCTCCGGGACGTGGCGCCCGCAGATCACCGCTCCCCCTTTAGGGGTGCACCTGGGCATGCCGTTTGTAACAGGGGGATAGTAGCGAAAGGTCTCGTTCAGGCACGCAAGCATATAATCAAGGCGCTGGACCGAGGTCAAGGTGATCTCTTGCTCATTCCTGAACTGGGACCGCACCTCTTCTATCACCTTTTGCAGGCATTTGGGATGCGTCAGTAGGGAAAATACCACCCCAGATAGCAGAGTTGCTGTTGATTCTGATCCGGCCCCTATAAGGGCCTCAGCGTTGGCTGCTATTTCATGTGCGGACTAAACATCTTATTATTCCCACGGTATTCACATATATGCATGAAGCATGAACGTACCAAGTCGTTTTTCCTTTGTACCAGACCCTCAATGAAGTCTGGCCGTTGGTCACCGGCGTCTATCCGCCGGCGAACCTGTTGCTCAATATAGTTTAGATATGTTTGCGTTGGAAGTAACCCACTATAAACAAACCACCTCACGAGCACCCCAAGTCCGATGCCTCTCAGTGACGCCAGTATGGCACTCAATTTGTTATGCTTCGCGCTCATTCTGACCCACGGGTGCCAGTCTGCACCACCCAAATTCTTGAAGTCGGATCCAAACGAAAGGTTGCCGATAATGTCAAATGTGACCCAGTTGAACCAACTATTCAGGTCCACAACCGTTGTTCCATCGGCTGCATTCCCTCGGAGTCTTTGCATCAAAAGATCGACGTAACCACCGATGATAGGCATCTGCGCCTGCATAGAACGCTCAGAGAAACCATGAGACAGCAGACGTCGAAGGATGCTGTGTTGTTCTTGGTCAGCTGAGATGATGTTACACGGCGCAGACTGATCTAGACGATAAAGGCTATAATGCTTGGGTAGCTCCCCTCCGGTCCGATGTCCGTAATTGTCTTTCCACGCCTGGGGCTCGATGAAGCTCAACTCGTTCGGGGCAATCCGAACCACTGGGCCGTACTGATCGTGGAACAACTTGACCTTGAATTGCAGATTCCCCGAAACCATATGGCCTGCTTTCATGAGCCCGGTCGCTTGAAATAAGACTGGTCCCGGGAAACACCGTAAAGGGTGTAAAAATATATTGTAGAGGATCATCATGAAGACGTAGACCGCAGCCTGGAAAGTGAAGGGTCAGTACCGAGGTGACCTGATCAAAGGGGTCCCTTCTTTGCTAACCATGGCGGACACGCCCATTACGAAGCTTCCCCAACTTCCGAGACAATGAGAATGTCCAACATGTTCAGCGATTAGTGAAGCCAGTTCCATGTACCCCATGGCGATGAGCAGAGCGGCGGAAGGTGGCCGGCGGAAAAGCACTCGAAACCCAGGGCGTATATCAAAAGTGAATAACTGTTCCGACCGCGTCCAATTTGGGAAACACCGTGATTGATGTCGATCGGTTCTGTTTCGAACCCCTCGGACTTTGCTCAATATGGAACTCCCGATTCCAGGGATCACCACTGTTGTCCATTAGAAACACAACCAGGCTATCTGCAGGCACCCCATTTTCCGCAATATAGGACTCGCGAGGCGAAGTTGGTGCTTATCTTCGTGGATCAACCATATAAAAGGCTTATTTGTTGATCGAGATGCCGCAGTCTAGATTCACAAGCGAGCTCTTCCAGCAAGATCTTCATTTGACTTTTCACGATGAACTTGAGAAATCCCAACCTCGACGGCAATACCCAGTTGATCAGCAATGCGAGGTCATTGATCCAGAAAGTGGTAAGCGACACCGACGCGACGTACGGGTTTGGTACCTTGACCTGCACAGTATACGACACGGCGCGGGTGGCTCTCGTCACCAAGCCCTTGAAGGGAGAAAGGCAATGGCTTTTCCCCGAGAGCTTCCGATACATACTCAGCACCCAGGCGGATGATGGGAGCTGGCCCAGCTGTTCAGGATCCCAGATTGATGGTGTCCTAAGTACGGCAGCTGCCTTGCTTGCATTGCTGCGACACAGGAGACAGCCTCTTCAATTACTGGGTGACACAGATGATTTGGACTCTCGCATCACCCGCGCAATTGCCACGCTGCGTGATCGATTGGCAGCGTGGGACGTGATGACCATTAACTATGTCGGCTTTGAGATGATCGTGCCAGCCATTCTAGATCTTCTCGAGAAAGAGGACGCCTCATTGGCCTTTGAATTTGACGGCAAGGCGACGTTGCTTGACATACACAAAGCCAAAATGTCCCGGTTTGAGCCTAGCCTAGTGTACGACAAGAGGCTGATGACAGTCACCCACTCCCTCGAAGCCTTGATTGGGAAGATCGATTTTGATAGACTGGTCCACCACAAGGTGCTGGGCTCCATGTTTGCATCTCCTTCATCCACTGCAGCGTACCTGATGAACACCTCGACGTGGGACGATGAGGCTGAGGCGTACCTGCGATACGCCATCAAAGGGTCCGTCGGCCAGGGCAGTGGCGGCGTCCCCGGTGTTTTCCCCACGACCAACTTTGAGTATACCTGGGTGAGTAGATTGCTGGTGCATCTGATACTCTCTAGCAAAGAGCTAACAGACGCTTGTAGGTCCTGTCCACCTTGCTCCGAGCCGGCAAGCTGCTCACAGCGGAACCTATGCAATGATTATCCCATTTACCTGGACAAGCTGCAACAACCGGACGCGGACATATGCAGCTGCATCGCTCTTGTATGAGATGATGGTGTTATCCTTCAGGACCTATCATATTGACGATTTCATGGAGTCTGTAGCCAGACCTGCTTTCAAGTATCACATAGAGGGCCTTCGCCATCTAGTTGGAACCGTGACAGCGAAGGCGTCTAGCCAGTCAGATGGCGTGGGATATTGCACCGACGTCAATGGAGATCATATGGAACACTCGAAGTATGGGGACCATATCCATACATTAACTCGTTGCGTTCGCTCCATCCTTGAGAACCCGGTCTTTCAATCTGCCAGCCCTAATGACCGCAAAACGCTCGAACAGGAGCTCAGGGTATATCTTCTCGCGCATGCAAAGCAGGTGGAGGATAACTCACAGTTCGAAATTGAACTCAAGCAGACGAAAACGCTTACTTCTGCCAGCAGCGCCTATTTCCGTTGGGTCTACACCACCTCTGCTGATCATATCGCTGCACCGATGTGTTTCGCCTTCCTGGCCTGCGTGATTGGAGCCACTCTGACACCGAGTACTAATAATGACTGCTTTCCCAGTACAACCTCCAAGTACCTTGCTGCCGCAGCATGCCGTCACCTTGCGGTCATGTGCCGCATGTATAACGACATCGGGTCTTGGGTGCGTGACCTTGATGAGGGTAACTTGAATTCGATTCACTTTCCCGAGTTCAGTGGGACGGACGATGGTACAAAGCAGGCGGTGCTTTTCAATCTGGCTCAGTATGAGCGCAAGTGCTTAAATGATGCCTTGGAACGGTTAATTAAGGAAATGCTCAATGGTCCGGACGCTGAAGCGATTCGATTGAGTGAGAGACGCATGCATCTTGTTCGGATGTTCTGCGATGTGACAGACCTTTACGGGCAGATTTATGTTCTTCAGGATATGTCGAGCTTTATTCGTCGTAGGTCCCTCTGATTTCCAGCAGGCGAAGCGATGATGGAGTCAGTGCGGGTGATGTCCTACATGTACAGATTCACTTTCGAGCTTATCTCAACTCATGCCATTATGGTGATTCAAACGCAAGGAGTCAAGTAGAATCTACGGTGCTGGTCAATCTAGAATTGAGTATTATCTTGCGGATGATTGCGACAAATGACCGTGGCATGGGCGAGAGGAAGTGAGATTATCCTTTCCCATCTTGGTCTTCCGACTAGACATCCCACCGAGATGGAACATTGTCTGAGTAATTGCAGCGATAACATAGCATAAGTTTATTATCGAGCTATCCTGGATGTGTGTGCCGGGAGCAATAAAACAGAGCAAGAGAGCAAGATAGGAACGAAGAAATGAGGGAGGCATCAAAAAGGCAAAGTCAAGATAGATAGGGCAAATTAGTCATATGAAAGGCACACATAAGAAATGGATGCAGCCGAAGGAGTAATCACACCAACATGAAAACAGACATCAATACTATGGCTCTCTAATCTTCCATGGTCTCATCTTTCACCTCTGCTCGGCGGGTTGTCTCGCCTCCAGCTTCAGCTGCTGGCTCAGCGGCATCCCCAGCGACAGACGAGATATCGCTGGCAGCATAGCCGTTTCCGCCTTCCAAGGTGGAGGAGTTGTCATCTCCGTCGACGTCCCCTTCTCCTTCTTCAAGGTCATCATCATCAGCTTCCTCGTCATTCTCATCAGAGGACAGCGGCTCGGCCTCCTCGTCTGGATCACCTCCCTCGCCGATAAAGCTGTCCTCGTAGCCAACTTCGACTGGGTGAGAGGTACGAGCTTTCCGGGTCGGACCAACCTCTTCCTCTCCACTTCCTTCGCCCAAGATTTCCCGGTCAATATCATCGAGTCCTTCCTCGGCTTCGAGGTCTCCGTCTTCATCACCCAGCTGGGCCGAGCCAGGCATCGGCGAAAGTTCCTGGTCTCGGGATGGCACGTCAAGACCATCCTTGGTGACACCATGAGTGGCCGTCTCTGCACCCTCAGCATCGCGTTGCGCACGGTTTCGGTTGGATTTAGCACGAGACGACGTCGACGCGCCTTGTTCCTTGAGCTCCGCCGCTGTACCAGAAGCCGCCCCGGCAAGCTTGCGCTTGGCATTGCGTGCAGCGCGGGCTCTGCTACGGGCCGAAGATGGGGCGCGCCCACCAAGATCTGCGGAGTTTTCCATGGCCAATCTGATCTGCCTTGCCTTCTGGCGCTGTTCCCTTTCCTTCTTACGGTCACGCTTCGGACCATTGGCATCGTCATAATCCCATCGATCCAAGCGCCTGGAAGCCTTGCGGATGACAGAAAGGTAGTAGCTGGCGCATTCACCGAAGTCCTCTTCTTCGTCCGGCTTTGGAATGAGCCCACCTTTCCCCCATGAGTTTTCCTCATCGTCCGTATCGTAGTCATCGGGCAGAGTTGATAGTAGACGACCGTGACGGACAATTGGAATTTCGCTCTCTCGCTTCGCACGTAGAACACGATATGCTTCGCCCTTCCGCTTGGCTAGAAGATATTCAATTCGCTGTCGCCGATTCTGCTCCACGGCCAATTGGTGCTGTGTAAGGGGGCGTGGGCGACGAGCGGAGGATTGCTGTGGTAAGGAGGGTTCTGCGACGAACCGGTTTAAGATTGGATGACCAGAGCCTGGAGGAGCTGGAGAAGCAGCGTCAGGTGTGTTTTCCATCTTGGTTTTTAAGATGAGACGCTGCTGACCAACAGAACGGTTGAGAGAAGATTCTCGCTTAGGTCTCTTATACCGAGACCGGGCAGACTGTCCAGGAGTCTGATAATCATCATCATCATCCTGCGGGTAGCGCTTGGATGAGGGATGTAATGGGGTTGACATAGTAGAGCCGCGACCATCACCCCGGCCTAGACGGAACTTATTAGTTGCCTGAAAAGCCTGGGTTCTTGATATGATGAACTTGCCCGAAATATCTCCTGAACCGTCCTCTTCAAAGCCAAAGTCTGGCAGGCCTACCGCAAAATGTCAGTCAAATGTGGCATGATGCACTGGGGCAAGGACAGATACCTTTCTTGGAGCGTTTAGTCACTCTGGGAAGAGGTTCATCCTCCTCCAAGATGCCTGTGGGTCGGTGTTAATAATTGCGCAAGCAGATCCAGGAAAAGATGTAAGCAACTGACGTTTACGTTCCAGGCGTTTAGCTTCTCCATATTCAATCTCAGACTGAGTATCAACATTCTCTTCATTTGCCTGTTCTTCGGTAAGGCTTTCAAACTGAGGCACCTTGATGGGCAAGCCACCGGTTCCTTCACCATCCAGACCAGGGCCGAACGGATTATTGAGTGCAGCTTCAGGGCTAAAGTCACTCTCTAGATACCACCACATCAACCAGAGGAAGGCCTTTGCACGACTTTGACTGCTCAATGTGCCTCGCATAACAAGGTCGAAGAAGTCGCGAGGAGGGAAGAAGTGCATTTCAGATACCTTAGGGGCATATTGTGCTAGAACGAAGATCAGGTTGACGGGGTTTGTGCGGGGAATTGCATGACGCTTGATTCTCTCCAGAGTATTTGGCTGGTCCACATCCTCTGATGCACCCTTGAGGATCGATTTAAGACGGGGGGCGTCTTGCAGTTGCTTGTAGGCATTCGGGTCTTGGTGGGCCTGTAGCGAAGGAATTGAGTGATAGGTTCGCAGCTGGGCACGCATCTCAGGGAAGACTGAACGATCATTAGTTGGTGAAGCAGTAAAGGTAGGGTAGATAGACAAGCTAGAGATGGAAGGAGGACATACAATTGAGGGTGGTATTCATCCTTCCAAAGTTGACCAGCAAACAAACCATAGCCATGCTGATGGCTGCCTGCTTATCATTCTGAAGTTTATCCTTCAGGATCTTGCTCGTCTTGCTACTCCTCGCCATAGCATCGATGTAGATGTCCGCGAAGTCTAGATTCTTCTCTCCATCCGGCCAACGAGTGAAGACCTTGGTTTGATCCTCGAAGACGAGCTTGAGGAACTGATACTGAATGTCCTTGCGCCATAACGGAATGCCATCTTCTTTCTTGAGATGCCGAATCTTGTTTCCCGAGTAGACCGAGCCAATAGTGCCATTCGCCTGGCGTCTGATACCGACTGTCATGTTGTGAGTTTGCTGCTCATCCTGAGGCTCGGATTGCGCAAACGACTCGTCTGCGGCGGCACTTTCAACTTCGGCCATCTCGGGTGTCGCGCGATTTTTAGGTCCCAACGTCTCTCTGTAATGATGCGGTAGCCTGGAGCCTCCCAGATGGCGACGTGGGTGTTCGTTGTTCGCGTGCCCTGGGAGCGGAAGTCGCGAAAGGAGAAGGAGATGGCTGATGGAATCGATAGCTTAGGGACGGTTCAATGGATGAACAGGCGGAGGCGTGGCCGTTGAGGGGACGGGAAAAGCAAAGGAGGGATGAGAAAAGAGAGCTGGGGAAGATTGATGCGGGTGGAAGATGAAGGGAAATGGAAGAAATTGGGAGGTGGCAGGGAACGTGATCCTGGATGATCCGTGACTTTCTCCTCTCACTCCCTTGGCTTTGATCTCCGATCGTGGGCGGGAGTGACTAAGTTAGCCTTATAACTAACTATAACTAGCACCATTCCGGGCCCCGATGTATCATGTCATGTAATACAGTTCCGGCCCTCTCCGCATAATTTGGGAGGTAAGGACTACTAAATAAAATAAAAATACCTTCATTCAGTATTACAGGCTTCGCCCAGGATGCAACTGGCCAATTTGACCTGTTCGTACCGTGAAGGACCAACAGCTAGATTTCACCATCGCCAGTCACCGAGTCTGCACTGGCCAATCTAGATTCAAAGCATCTAGATAGTTGTGAATGCGACAGGATATACAACAGCATTTTGTGGAGACTGGACGTGGTTCTAGGCATTGGCCAACCAGTTCTACAGGAGTCAGTTCTACAGAACTACGTTCCAGACAAGCAGGTGGTAGCCTCCGGTGCACATCATTAGTTCAGTTACACATAAACGAGCTTCAAACTTTTGAGTCGAACAGAGAATAGCTAGCTCCCTTCTTTGAGACTCGTTGTCTCCATAAGCAGGGCCGTCTTCGGCATTTTTCGTTGAGCCCAAACTGCTACTGACAAGAGACGATGACACCCACAAACAGCGCCAGCAAAGCAGCTTCCCATCCTCCACGGATCCGAGATATGAACCAGAAAAAGAAGATCCCATTCGATGTCAGCCTCCACGGACCCCAGTGCAGAGAATATTTTTGTGGACACAGCAGCTCAAGCCAACGCCATACACAATGCAAAGAAGAATCCCATCTCTATCACCCGCATTCCCATTTTTGTGCACCACCGTTCCTTGATGCCTCTTCCGCACGGTGCCAATGCTTGGCCCAGACAAACCATCCCCAGCCGAAGAATAGTGACACAGCCCGGAGAAGAAAGCATGTTCTCGAGCAAAGCACGAAACAAAAACGGACGGAAGAAGAAAACGGAATAAGAGAAACCCCGCCATGAGAAACCGAAACTGTAAGAGATCTATTCGCGAGACACGGTCGATGCAGCTGCCTGGCACCAAGCAGGGAAAAATCATAAAAAGCACTTTTCTGAACACGGAAAGCCGGCACCCTCGCTCGGCACGCGTCGTTCAAGCGGATCTCCGCATGGCCGCCTGAGAACAAAAAGGGTATCTGATGAAGCGGTCGCAGGAGAAAGACAACGCATTCTATGATATCCATGCAATGCCGACCCGAATGCTCTCGATTATAAACGGGTATAACCAGGAGCAGCGAGATAAGGAGAACGGACCACATCGAAACCCATGTCTAAAACAAGGCAATAAATAGACGACATTGGCAAAATGCTCAGCAGAAAAAACACCTGCACATAGAGAAGAAAGCAAAGGAAAAAGAGATCCTTAGAGCGTATCTAAGTAAACGTCGTGGCGGTCATGACAAAGCCGGTCCTGAGAAACAATAGGAATAAAGGAAAAAGGAAAACTCAGGGCTCGTTCTGATCGTATCCGTCAAAGGAGAGGCAAATGAAGAAAAAGGAGCCAATCAAACCCGACGGCCTCGTCAGAGACCACAACCTCTTAGGTCCTAGCGGGCGATTTACCACCAGGAGGAAGGTCCGGTAGGGCCGGATGGGTTGCCGTAGCTACCACCACCACCGTAGCTGCCGCCGCCGCCGCCGTAGCCACCGCCGCTGCCGCCATAAGAGGGCGGGCCGCCGTAGCTGCCACCACCGCCGCTACCGCCATAGCTGCCACCGGGGGCACCGTAGCTGCTGCCGCCGCCAAAGGAAGGAGCGCCGCCCATGCCGCCGCCCACACGACGCATGTCGCGGGTGGCATTAGCACCACGGCCACGGCCGCCGCGGCCACCACGACCGCCATAGCCGCTACCCTCGCGAGCAATGCTCTCAAGGAAAGAGGGGACCTCCTGGTGAGCCTCCTTCAGAAGGTCAATCAGATCGCGAACGACACCGCGGTTGCCACGGTTGAAGAAAGCAGTGGCAATACCAGTGTTACCGGCACGACCGGTACGACCAATCCGGTGAACATAGTCGTCAATGTCAGTAGGCAGGTCGTAGTTGATAACGTGAGTGACATTGGGAATATCGAGACCACGAGCAGCAACAGCCGTGGCAACAAGGATGGGGCAGCGGCCGGAACGGAACATCTCAAGAGCACGCTCACGCTCACGCTGGGTACGGTCACCGTGAATGGCGGTGGCGGGGAAACGCTGGTTGAGCAGGAAGTCCGAAAGGGAGTCGGCCATACGCTTGGTCTCGACGAAGATGAGAGTCAGACCGGTAGTGCCGTGGGTGTGAAGGATATCCAAAAGGACGGAGCGCTTGTCGTGGTCTTCGACATACTCAACCTTCTGGGTGATGTTCTCGGAAGTAGAACCCACACGGCCGACCGACAGGAAAACGTAATCCTTCAAGAAGTCGCGAGCCAGCATCTGGATGTCCCGGGGGAAAGTGGCGGAAAACATGAGTGTCTGGCGGTCGTTCACGTGGGGCATGTCCTCGCCCTCCACAATGCGGCGAATCTGGGGCTCGAAACCCATGTCCAACATGCGATCAGCCTCGTCAAGAATCAAGTACTTGATGTTGACCAGAGAGATACGACCACGTTCAATAAGATCAACAAGACGACCGGGAGTAGCAACCAACAAGTCGCAGCCGCGCTCAATCTGACGGAGCTGAGAACCGATATCGGCACCACCGTACACAACGCAAGGGCGGACCCAGGAACGATAGGCGAACTTGCGGGCTTCATCAAAGATCTGGGAGACAAGCTCACGGGTCGGGGCCAGGATGAGGGAAGTCGGGTACGCCTTGCGCTGACGACCGTAACCGAATTGGCCGGAGGCCTGGGCAGGAGCAGCGGAAGGACCGTTCTGGTAAGCCTGAGACAAGATAGGGAACAAGAAACCGCCAGTCTTTCCGGAACCGGTTTGGGCGCAAGCCATCAAATCGCGACCGTTCATAACGATGGGGATGGAGTACTTCTGCACGGGTGTGGGGGTCTGGTAGTGGGCAAGACGGATGTTCTCGATAAGGTGATCATCCAAGGGGGGGTTGGTGAAAGCGTTAACCGGCTCGGGCACATCCTGACCAGAGGCTTCCACAGGGATGTCGTCGTAGTTGGCGAAGTTGATACCGGTGTTCTGCTTGGTGGGATCGTTGGGAACACCGAACAGTTCGCGCTCGAGGCGGGCATTGGCGGGACCGGGGATATGCTTGCCGTCACGCCACTGGCCGTCTCCAGAGCCTCGGGCAGAACCACCACCTCCACCTCCGTAGGAGCCTCCGGAACCTCCGTGACCTGGGTTTCCGTAAGCATTTGGGTCAAAGGGTCGACGTTGAGCTTCTTGAGGGCTCCAGGTTGTGTTACCATTGGGACCGCGAGGGCTGAAATCAGGGGCGTTAGCATTAGCCCAGTTACCACCACGGGGACCGCCTCTGAAGAACAAAGACAGTTAGCCACTTCATGTGACATGGGAGAGATATGGCAGGGATAAAGATCACATACCTAGGAGCACCCCAGGAGTTGCCAGGAGCAGCAGGAGCAGCAGGAGCAGGGACAGCAGCAGCAGGACCGGGAACAGGGGCGGCGCCGTCCATGTTTCCACCCATCTGGCGTTGGCGAAGATGAGGAGGGATGTAAGCGGCGCGACCCGTCGAGGGAGCAGGGGCAGGAGCGTGTTGGGACTCGTTGAGGGAGAGGTTTCCCATCTTCAAGCTGTCGGCCATATTTGCGGGTGGTGCAGGATATCGTATCGTGGGCTGTTGAACACTGAAAAATTCTTTTCTTCTGTACACGACAAAAGGAAAGAAGTGGTGAAGTGAAAAGTCCCCGTGTCTCTATCGAGTGGCAATACAGAGGGGATCGAATAGGAGAGAAGAGTGACACAGTGCGAAAAAGAGGAACAGGTAAAGAAAGACCTTGGGGAGAGATACTAAAAGAAGAACAAAACGATCTCCCAGATCTAATCCTCTATTACGGTGTAGAAAGAAAGAAGAAAAAAAGGGGGGGAGGGGAAGAGAATAGGATATAATGTGGAGATATTGGAGAAAAAATTGAAACCAGACTGGATTAGGAGGGGAGGTTTAGAGAGGATGGAAGAGAAGAAGTAGGAAGAGGGAGAAGGTTTGTGGGACGGAGAACGGGGAGGAGAGGCAAAGAAGGAGGATGACTACGAAACTACCTAGAGGAAATAATGCACTGGCAGTGGTTGGCAGGCCTGCGCGCTGGGAAGGTTATGCTTGCTTATTGGCAGCCCGTCGATGGGATTATTGGGGACGGCCGGGTGAGAAAAAAAGGTTCAGCGTGTAAAAAGAAGCGAAGGGAAGCAGCAGGAGGGCAAGCCAGCCAGCGAGGGAGGGAAAAAAGGGTAAAAAAAAAAAAAAAAAAAAAAAAGGCTAAACGAAACAAAGTGGCGGCGTGGTCTGGCTGTGTTGCCGGATGATGATGGGCTGGGCCTTGTCGACTTTGCCCTGTTGTACTTCGTAACTTGCCTACCTTTTCACTGCCCACAGGGTAAAGCTTGTTAACCCATGAAAAGTTTGATTGCATTTTTTCCTCTGAAAATTCCTATTATCAATTGCATACCACCATGCGACTGTACGGAATAGACTTAGCATATTGATTGTGAAAGATGAGAAGTTGCACAGTGCTAGGGTTGATGGCGGAAATCCCACATTCTATACTATGTTTGGTAGTAGTAGCAGCGACTTGTTCACCAGTTGATCCCGTTTGGGCCAATCTGACGAGGTCTAATAAAACTCTGTTCTTTGCCTCAGGCTGCCGACTAGCCGTAAATACTGTCACGGTCACATGATCTTACCCTTCCAAGCAAAGTGCCTCCTCGCCACTTCGGCATCTGCATCTGCATCTACAGAGTACAACTGTCTACTTGATCTCAATCAACATAGTATGTCCAAGAAACAAACCCATCTCCCGAGTTCTGTACCCAGCTGGTCTGCCTCAAGCTAGAAGGTATACAAATCAATGCGTCTATTCCCCTTACATCATGTTCTAGTACCAGCAGATACTGTTCTCCATAGACAGTTTTCCATCGAGATTGACGTGATCACAGCATCATTGTGCATCTGTAAGCCCCGTTTAGAATGTCTATATGTTGATCACAGTCCATAACAGTGTGTACTATGGTATGGTCGTACTGTGTACTGTCACCGTTTTCAGTAGATTTATTGTGTAAACATCCTATGGCCAGTGGAGTGTATATTTTTGAAGTTGCATCGGCCATGTCAAGCTGAAGCTGCATATAAGTAGTAGTACTGTATAAGTCTCAATCAATTCTTGAAGGCGCTCTACAGAGTGGTAGATGCCTCTGGGAGTACAGTGTACTCCGTAGGGGAGGAGACCCGTTCTGCCGTAGTACTCCAGAGGCGCCCGCAGTACTTGGTAGTACAGATAATGGGCAAATCCTTGCCGCTGTCTGCCAGTGGAGCTCACTACAAAAGTACATCGTTATCCCGATTGGAGGCCAAGCCTCTCGGCTTGCCACCGAGAGATGATCTCACTGCTACTGTCTATGGGCACCCGCCACGACTGATCAGATCAGACATGAATCGTGCGTCAATTATATGATACACAGCACAGCAGGATATGTACATACTGTGTACACGTTACTATGTAATTAACACTATGTGAAGCCATGGAGCTTTTACTAAGAAAGTGGGATTGGCAGCCTGGAATTAGAATCTACTATGGATCTGCTCTCGCGAATTCATCAGGTTTTCAAACAACGCTCCTCTCAGCCTTCTCCTGCTGTCTCTTGAGGCTGCTTCGGACCAGCACCACCAAGAGACCAACAACAATGGCAAGCGCTGCAAACTTCGGGAAGATATAGGGAGTGTTGTCAGATGTCATTGGCAGAGGGGTTGGAGAAAGAACATCAGGGATTGCTGAGGGTTGTGACGATTCTTCAGAGCTCGATTCTTTACGAGTAATCAGCACATCACATTCTTATCGAGGAACAGGCCGAGACCACAGGAAACAGGTCTACAGCTCCTCGTGGCTGCTACCTTTCTCTTCGGCCTTCTCTTCCGACTCCAGTTCTCCACTCTTGACGATCTTGACAGTCTCCACAGGTCTGTCAGCACGACCCTTGGGCACATTCTCAATCTGTGCGATAATCTCGTAGCCCTCAAGCACTTCGCCGAAGACAACGTGGCGGCCATCAAGCCATCTGTTACGGGATCAAATGAGCTGGGTGTCAAAACACTAAACTGATTGGGGTAGACTTACGGGGTAGGGACGGTGGTGATGAAGAACTGGGATCCGTTGGTGTCCTTGCCGGCATTAGCCATGCTCAGGAGCCCCTTGCGTGTGTGCCTCAGCTTGAAGTTCTCGTCTGCGAACTTCTCGCCGTAGATCGACTTTCCGCCGGTGCCTTTTTGCGCGAACGGTCAGGATGAACACAAATATTCCGACTGGTGTGAATACTGACCATCGCCACGGGTGAAGTCACCGCCCTGGATCATGAAGTCCTTGATGACACGGTGGAAAGTAGATCCTTCATAGCCAAAGCCCTGCTCCCCAGTAGCGAGAGCACTAGAAGCGATCAATGTCAGCAGGTTACAGAAGATTTAGCAAGCTAGATCCTCGAGATCATACCGGAAGTTCTCAGCAGTCTAAGCAACCGTAACGCATTAATCAGTATATGTACCAAAGATATAAGTACGGCGGCCACCTACCTTGGGAACAGTCTTGCCGTACAACCCAAGCACGACTCTGCCCAGGGGCTTGTCTCCGTGTTCAATATCAAAGTAAACCTGTACAGGGCGTAGTTAGTAGGCAATGCTCGAAAAGTGACACGGATTGATTAAAGCGCCGAAGATCACAGCTATACATGCCTTACTAGTGATCTTGGGGCCCCGGGGCTGAGCTTCTTCGGCGTGGACAAGAGCAAGCCCAACCGCCAGAACGAAGAAGAAAGACAAGAAAAGGTTTCTGAAGTTCATGGTTGCTCAGGGTGACTCCAGCGTAGGAGACTTCTTTTCAATTGCTTGTTTGAGAGCGCAGGAGACTCAAGGAGCAATCGTTTGCGCGGATCGAGGCCAGCTTGCATTACTGCGGAGGTGCCAAGACCACCATAACCGGTTGGAGGTTAGCGCATGCGTAATTTGGTGCTTAGAAATTGAAAATCTCCGCGCAAATTGCCGCAAATGAGACATAAGACTTGTATTATGGGTAATTGTAAATGAAAATTACATTTAATTTCCCGGAGAAACATTGTTACTGGTTAATTTCTTCCGCGCTTCAACTGCGGCGGTTGATAGTAGGGTAGCGCAGTGCATAGGCAATTGAAGAAATACCCATACTTTTCCAACAACCCAACGCACAGGATCGATCAAGATGGTATGTATCAATGTCACCAGTCATGATATGGGTATCAAGGCCACAGGCTCACAAGCAGTCAGGTCTTCATTCTAGGCGTGAACTTCCCCGAGCGAAACCTCGTCAAGGCAAGCAGCTCCGAACGCTTTCCTCAACCCTCGGTCTGACTGAAACCAGAAATCGCTCGAGTCCTTCTTCGGCATCGGTAATCTTACTTCGACCCGCCTACTTGCCCGCTTTCACATTCACCCAACATGCAAGGTTGGAGATTTGGGAAACAAGCAGGTCCTTGATATCACGGCCGCCTTGTCCGACATGAAGATTGAGAACGACCTCCGGAGACAATACCTTGATAATATCAAGCGACTGAAGGAGACGGGTACTTACCGCGGTCGGCGTCATGCGCTCGGTTTGCCCGTTCGGGGACAGCGGACGAGGAGCCAGGTTGGTTTATTCCCTGATATTGTTGCTTTATGCATGCCGCGGCGGAAAGGGTTGATTCCATATACCCACTGGTGGATCTGGTTACAAGAGATGATACAAAACGAGATAATATACTGACATTTATTTCAGATCAAAACCGCTGTTAAGCTCAACCGCATGGAGAGAAGAGTGTAAGATTGAAATGATGGTTCTATTATTGCCCCCAGCGGGTCTTGCGTCCGATTTCGTTTTAGTAGGGGCATGGAATGGCGTTAAATTTTGTTCTTGTACTCTAGTGTCCTGGCTTGATGATCTCTTCCCCCGAGATGTATTTTATGTAGACAATGAAACATCTGATCGAAGAGATATAATAATGCCGTGTTACTTGGGTTTGAAGCAATTAATGATATATTGCAGGTAGAAATGGAAACACCAGCTCATACAAGTGGCTTGTTCAACAAAAGCCAGAACCGAACTTTTCATAACGCCAAAACCGTAAGTACAATTCCTCTTAAGCGGAAGATAACACGCCCTCTCCCCGGTTGATCTGGATCCTCTTGTCCTCGCCCGCACTGACAATGCCAACCGATCGGTCCCAGCACACACTGAAGACCTTGACTCCTTCTCCGCCAACACGCTTGACATCCGCCTTGCCCTGCTCTTCCAAACTTTTCCGGGTAATCGAGTACACACTCTCACCAACCACACCGTCCTTATCCGTCTTGGTAGACCGCATATCCCAGATCCGACACGTGCCGTCATGACTGCCACTGATGAGGCCGTAGCTACTGTTAGGATCGCGGGACAGGGAAACCACGGCATTGGTGTGGCCTCTCAGGGTCATGGCAGAAATAGTCGTTGCTGATGTACGAGGATCGATGAGGGTGATGTGACGAGCGGAAGTTCCTGTCGCGAGGAGGTGATGCTCGGGGAGATGCTCGAGACATAGCAACGAATGAGATGTCGTTCTGGTGTCCACTAAGGCGGCGGTGACCAGGTCCCATGTACGCAGGGAATGATCCCACGAAGTAGAGTAACCAACAGTCGAGTCGTTCGTGTCAAAAATCGCAGATGATACCGGAGCGGTATGGGATGACAGCAGCGCAAGCGGACCGCGTTGCGGGATGCTGACAGACGTGCTCAATTTTCTCCGCTTGGAGCTTCGTGAAGCGGCAGACGGCAGCAGACTTTCAGGAGCAGCTGGGGCATCTGACTTCTTTGTCGACCAGAAACCTATGCTGTGGTCGGACGAGGCGGATAGAATACGGTTCGAGGGTGCATGCACAGCCAATGAATTGATAGCAGATTTGTGCCCGTATAGCTCGATCTGGGGCGAGATCTTTCCAGAAAAGCCATCCTCGCTTTCGGTATATTTCCACAGTCGTACGGTACGATCGATGCCCGCTGATACGATCGCATTCGGTGAGACGAACTTGGCAGCTTTGATGGATGCACTGTGCCCTCCATCGGCTGGAGACGGTGAAGTCGCAACAATCTGAGATGACATATTCCATACACGAAGCAAACCATCATAGCTTCCCGAAAGAATCCTTTCCTGACCTGGAGAAACGACTGCAGAAGCCCAAGAGGCGGCAGGCGAGGTCGCAGAGAGCACATCCACCGAGCCGACCCAGTCATCATGCTCGAATGAGGCAATGTGCAGCGGGGGAATCAACGCCCGTATGTACTCGATCTCCAGAGTGGTTTCCGCAGATATGCCATTGGCCGTCAGATATTCATCGATCGAAGTTCGAAGGAATGCGCCGTTGATCAAAAACTCGAATGGCACCGGCTTGTCGTTGGCCAAGAGATTGTTCACTAAGGTGGAAAGCGCATATCTCCGTAGGCCTACAATATATTACAAGAATTAGTGAGCACGTATGTATATCCAAAGCAGACCAACAGTAATCTGTCGCAAAGCAATCTTACCTGTAGGAACCAAGATGGGGCCGGTGTTCTCAGGCAGCGCAATATCTTCTTGCTTGCTAATGAGCTGCACACGCACCTGCCTCTGCGCGGACTGGGACGAGGCCGCAGCAGAAGTTGAATCATGAACACCGTTCATAATGGCACTGCAAGAAATTATTGGGGATATAAAAAGCGTGATCAAAAGCGCATCAAGTCGCAGTTGAGAAAACTCCACCGAGTGAGGAAAAAAATACGGCGGCCGATGCGGCCACAGGTGCAAAGCGCGGAGATTCCCCGCGGCAACACCACGCGATAAGAAGTCCCATAGACAAAGCCAATCTACGCGTCAGACAGATCGCAGAAAGGGTGGAATTGCTATATTTCAAATACTATATACAGCTTGTTTGATAAATGATCATTGGCCTCGGGATGCTCTTCGGATATCTGCGATAGCCTTTCGCCGATGGTCGGATTCGGCGAAAAGTGCTTCAATCAGATCGACCACTTCTTCTGGCGAAAACTCCAAACGCAGTTCACCTTCCAGCCAAAGGAACTTGATGTCGGCCAGAGAGCTTTCCAGGATATTGATTAAATACTGGAATTTTAGCCAGTTCTGCACATAGACAGCTGTCATGGGCGAGCGTTCAGTGTCTCCCAATGCCTCCGGAATGAACAAATCTTCCAACTGGGACACTTGGTTGCAGAAAGACACGAGTCGCTGGGACTGTGGTTCTGAGATGTCACCCAGATCCTCGATCTCAATGATAATCTTGCTGATAACAGTCGAGACCAACGAGCCAACTGATTGAAGAAGCGCGGAATGTGACAGGATTGGCTGCCATTCCTTGAAAACGTCCCGGATCCTGTCCACAGTCGCGCTGATCGCATTCTCGCATTCGCCAAGGAATGGTTGTTCTGAGCACTGGCTAAAGCCTTGTGCCCCATCGAGAAGGTCCGTGACAATTGTGCGTTGGGTCTGCATCTCCTTGCTGTAGGCCAATTTGCCATATTTTTCAAGTGCGTCAATATCTGCATGAAGCCTCGTGAGCTGATAATCCTCTGCGATATTATGCACTTGGTCAGCGAGATACAAGCTATCATTATAAAGGTACATTTGTCCAGCGTTTAATTTGAGACCGTAGAACGTCGAGGCCGTAGCCTTGAACATTGCCAGTATCAGAGTTGGAAGCGCAAGAAGTCCTGTTCCAGAGGAAACCACACGCGAGTGGGCATGTCTGCAATGTATTAGCATTGTGATGGTGAGGATGTAAAGGGAAGTCTTACGCAGGCTGGGATATGGAATCGAAATCCGTGACTTGTTGCTTAACAATCCCTATGATAGAGTTTGGAATGTCTGTTATAGTATACTTTTCCTTCAAAGTAACCTCTCGTGGAGAGGCATGATGAGTTACTTCCTTGCCACTGGCAGCCCCGGTTATAACCGGTACCCTGGACTGTGATTCTTCGGCATGTTGTTCTTCATCCTCGTCTCCCCAGCCCCAGGCATCTCCAGCATCATCATCATCCGCGGATGTCGTGGTTATACTTTGTTTTGATTTCATGTCATGTTCTTCGGTATCGTCGTCATCCAGACCCCAGGCGCTCATGTCTTCTTCATCGTCGGGAGTAGCAGACTGCTTCCCTTTGGAACCGCTTTCGTTGTCGTCTTCCCAACCAGCATCCCAGTCATCAGGGGTAGCATTCTCCAGCAAGGCTTCGTCGCTCTTGGAGACCTTCTCGACTTCAACCCTTTCTACTTTTTGTGTGATACCTTGGGATGCAGCGAGAATTCTGCGGACCTGGTCCAACGAGTCAACCCGTCGTCTAGCCAGCCAGAGGCGCGGGGCCTGATTAACCCAAGAATTGAGTTCTTCTTGGCCGTGCCAGCCAAAACCCTCTATGGATTGGGTGAATTTGAGGACACGATCCAAGATATGTTCGAACTGGCCCAGGCCTTCGAGTCCGGTTGGGATCGCAGGTGATAACCAGTACTCAATTATCTTGGACGACAACAAGGGAATGGACATATCCGAGAAGGAGTCTGCGATGGAACCTGGCAGACATTGCCTCAAGAACCCCAACACGTTGACTATGCGATCAAGAAGCTCAGGAACCGAAGCCACTGATGGCTGCGGCTCAAGACAGATCGAAGACTCCGAGACCCGGGGATTGTGGCTGCGTCCAGTAACTCCGGGCAGCAAGACCGGATCGATGATCCTAGACATCAATTCCTTTTGAAACTGATCTTTGGTTGAAGAGAACATTCCTAGCCGAGTCAAAGCCACGATAGACTCTTCCAGTGAATCAACTATAAGTCTGTCAGTGAACATTATCGTTAGAACGCTACCACGCCAAGGCATCCTACCGCTGTTCCTAGATATCACCAGCTTTCCCTCTCTTTTGTCAATATGCAATTGTCCGTTCCAACTGTGACGGACAGCTTCCATTACGTCTTTCCGCAGACCAGCAGTATTCTCTAACAATATATGTAAGACGTTCGTGTTTGTAAAGTGACTGCTCTGCTTGACAGCGTGCTCAGTAGCCTCCAATGTCTCAATGGCAGCCATAACGCGGCCCTCTCTAATAGCCGTCCGTCCGTCATCAAGTTGCCCACAGAGCTTTTGTACTTCTGTCAGTGCGCTGGCCACGGCCTGATTGAACGCGATTTCGGTCTCAATTAACCCAACTTTAGCGGAAGCATCTTCCACCCTCAATTGTAAAGGCTGCGTTTTCTCATGTTGCTCGACAATCTCCCGCGCAGTGACCCTTGAGCGTTCGATGTCGGCATGGAGCTGTTTTGCTTGTGATATCCACCCGTCGGCGTCGAAGTTGTTTTCGCGACTAAGAAAGCTGATTTCGGCCTATTGTATATCACAATTCAGTATACTATCTTCTAAGCTGGTATAATGCGGGGTTCTGCAGTTGACAGTGCTTACCTCAACTTGCTCTCTAGCCTTTGATATCAGCTCCAATTCTTTCACTAGTAAAGAGGTTGGAAAGTCGGAAGCAATTAGATGTTCCGACTCTGGATAGGTACCGTCGGTCACGAAATCAAGTACCGACTGGCTTATCTCCTGCTCCGATGCCTTGGCGGACATCTTCCTCAACACGAGATCTTGTCTCTGGATATTTGGCGGATTGATGAGGAAGGCAGATGTGATAGCTGTTGGGCAAGGAAATTCCACGCGCCTGTTGGTCGAATCCCTGTCTGGTATCAATCCAAAAGATGCATCGGGGACTTCAGTACAGCTGCCAGCAATCGAAAAGCAAGGCGAGCTGTCAACACCGCCATGTGACTGCCCCGCTCACCGCCTTGGCTGCGATAGGCAAGACCGCGAACGAATTCGTCTCTCCCCACGGTCACAGTGAGACCAGGTCAGTGTGTTCAATTGACTGCTAATATCTTCGGCCTTTTGTCCTATGAAGGCATTTTGGGACTGCTCCTGGGTTGACTGTCTGTGAAGAAGTGTTGGCATGGTGATCTCTATCAAAACGGGAAACTAAACTCCACTCCGAACCGTTACAGTTGGGCACCTTCGTCCAGCGGCCAACTGTGTGCCCACGAAATTCTTGAACCTGTCATAACCGGCGTCAAGCAGAGTCCATCGTGTTGTCTCATATATTCTTGAGAGGCCTGACTCGGGCAAACGCTTCTCGATCCATGTGAGTCTATGCTACCAGTCCTCAACCACAATGAATAAAAAAAGAACAAGAAAAAAGACTGCCCCTCCGCCGTTGTCTCTACCAAACATCCAACCCCTCAGCCGGCCTTGTACCGGCTGTCACAATTTTAGCCATCATACAGCATGCTTCGTGACCTTCATTATGTCGTATTATTACAATTTTCAACGCCCTTTATATTGCTATTGGTATTCCAATCATGGAATGGGTGCTTTACCCCTCCTAATCTTCAGCATCCCAAACCCCAAGCATTGCTAGTTTCCCTAAAATGAATAATAGTCCACTTGCGTTCCTAAGCATAAATTTCGCTGCTCTATGGAGTGCTGACCATCTTTCAGATTGTTGCTACGGGGAGTGATTACAAGATTTGGTATTCAAGCGCACCTTCAGAGGTCATTCAGCAAAATGCCACCTAGCCAAAACAGCCATTTCAAGCTGCTCCAGAGGTTCAAGCCGGACTATTCGCCTAGCGAGTTCGTTCAGTATGAATCGGAGAGGACAGGCATGAGAGTAGTGGTCATCGACCAAAAGGGTCCTAAAGTCACAGGTTATTTTGTTCTAGCCACGGAGATCCTCGATGACTCTGGTGCACCTCATACATTGGAGCACTTGTGTTTCATGGGCTCGCGGAACTATAGATACAAGGGATTCCTTGACAAGCTTGCAACGCGTGTTTACTCGAATACTAATGCCTGGACGGCCACAGACCACACGGCTTACACGTTGGACACGGCTGGTTGGGAAGGTTTCGCTCAGATCTTACCCGTGTACCTAGAGCATGTCATAGCTCCAACTCTGACGGATGAGGGGTGTTACACCGAAGTGCATCACATCGATGGCACTGGAAACGATGCCGGAGTCGTCTACTCGGAGATGCAGGGTGTACAGAATAACTCTGCAGAGTTGATCGATCTAACTGCTCGTCGGTTGACTTACCCACATGGTGTAGGTTTCCGCTACGAGACAGGCGGTATGATGGAGCAGCTCCGTGTCCTCACAGCGGAGCGGATTCGAGCGTTCCACCGTGAAATGTACCAGCCTAAGAACTTGTGTTTGATCATCACAGGCGAGGTAGACCACGAAAACATGCTGGAAACCTTGGACAAATTTGAAGATACCATTCTAGATGTTATTCCTAGTCCCGACTCGCCTTTCAAGAGGCCGTGGGTAGACTCAAAGCAGGCTCCGCCCTTGGAGAAGTCCATCGTGCAGACTGTGGAATTTCCGGAAGAAGACGAATCTTTTGGGGAGATAGAGATAAGATTCCTTGGCCCGGACTGTTCTGACCCTGTTCAAAGTGAGTTTGCCGCAACATTCTGCTTTTCTGGACTGGAACTTACTTCGTCATAGCCGGTGCCGTCAATGTTGCACTGCTGTATCTGGCTGGTTCATCTGCCTCTCTCCTGGATAATATCCTGGTTGAGAAGGAACAGCTCGCAAGTGCTGTCTATTATGCCACCGAAGACCATCCCAGCATTGAGATCCGCTTCACCCTAACCAGCGTGGAGACGGAGAAAATCGCGCAGGTAGAGAAACGATTCTTCGAAGTGCTCAAAGATGCTATGGAGAAAGAACTCGATATGAGGTATATCAAGGAGTGCATTGATCGGCAAAGGCGGACATGGAAGTTTTCCACGGAAAGCTCCGCTTCATCCTTTGCGGAGTACGTAATCTCTGATTTCCTTTTCGGAAAACGGGACGGGTCGACTATGCTTGATGTTGCGACCTTGAAAGAATACGACGTGTTGGAAAAGTGGAGCGAAGGAGAGTGGCGTAGCTTCATCAAGAGATGGATCTCCGACGCCAAACATGTCACCATTCTGGGAGTCCCCTCTGTGAAGATGTCCGATGCATTGAAGAAAGAGGAAGAAGCAAGAGTCGCGGAGCAGAAGAAGCGCTTGGGTGAGGACGGCCTGAAGAAGCTGGCTGACAAACTGGAAAAAGCGAAAGCCGAGAATGACAAGGAGATCCCTAAGGAGATGTTGGAGAGATTCCAAATTCCCGGGATCGAGTCCATCCATTTTGTGGAGACTACCACAGCAAGATCTGGTGCTGCCCTGGATTCCGGACGCCCAGCCCACAAGACGCAGAAGCTAGTGGATGCTGACGGTTCTGATCTGCCTTTGTTCATCCACTTTGAGCATATCCCTAGTAGCTTCGTTCAGCTCTCCCTCCTCATCTCGGCTCAAGCTGTACCTGTACAGCTCCGTCCACTTTTGTCTGTGTATACAGAGGCATTCTTCAACCTACCTGTCAACCGTGGCGGGGAGACTATTAACTTCGAACAAGTTGTTGTTGAGCTAGAAAGGGACACGGTGGGCTATTCAATGGAAGGGGCTAGAAGCCTAGGCAACTCCGAGATGCTGCGTATCTCGTTCCAAGTGGAGATTGAGAAATACCGCACCGCAATTTCATGGATCCAGGAGCTTTCCTGGAACTCGATCTTCGATGTTGAGCGACTGCGAGCAATCACCAGTCGACTGCTTTCCGATGTGCCCGATTCCAAGCGCAGTGGTGACGACATGCTTGCGGCTGTCCATGTGATGGTTCACTACGCAGCAGAGTCTGTTGTCCGTGCTCGGAGCACTTTGGTGAAGGCCCGCTACCTGAAACGGATCAAGAAGCAATTGGCAGAGGAGCCGAAGTCTGTCGTTGCGCGCATGGAAGAGATTAGAGATGCACTCTTCCGTTTCGAGAACATGCGAGTTCTTGTTATCGCTGACCTAGAGAAACTCCAAAACCCTGTGTCGGCATGGAAACCGTTCACCGAACGCTTGGGTGCAAGTGCCCCTCTGCAACCTATCACGGCCAGGAGACCATTGCTTAGTGAGACTGGTCAGAAGTTGGGCGGCGAGTCGTATGTGGTCCCTATGCCAACCATTGATTCATCGTTTGCGTATGCAACGGCACGGGGTCTTGATTCGTATGATGACCCGAGACTTCCTGCCTTGATGGTTGCAATCGCATACATGAATGCGGTTGAGGGACCCCTCTGGGTTGCAGTCCGTGGCAAGGGACTGGCCTATGGCACCACATTTGCCTACAACATCGACACCGGATTTGTCAATTTCGATGTATACCGCTCTCCCAACGCCCACAAAGCCTTCGATTCGAGCAAGCAGATCGTTGAGGATCATCTTTCTGGGGCCATTCCCTTCGACCCTCTGATGTTGGAGGGCTCGATTAGCAGCATTGTTGTCAACTTTGCTAACGAGCAAGCGACGATCGCTAACGCTGCCTCGGGCAGTTTTATCCGACAGGTTGTGCGACGCCTGCCCAGCGACTATAAGGAGAGAGTGCTCAAGCAAGTACGCGCCACTAGCGTCGAAGACGTCAAGGAGGCTCTGCAGCACATCATTCTGCCGTTGTTCAACCCCACTACAGCGAACATCGTGGTTACGTGCGCCACTGTACTTGAGGAGGTACGTATTTTATAGGTCCGCCAGTAACTTCTACAACATTGACTAATGTTGGCTTAGACGATCAAGGAAGGCCTCGAGGCATCCGGGTTCACTCCGAAGGTGCAGGCACTCAAGGAGTTTGAAGACGACTATGGACTGAAGGGTGGTGATGATGAGGACGAGGAGTCTGACGACGATGAGGATGAGGATGAAACCGGATCCGAAGATGAAGAGGATGAAGACGACGAAGATGATGAAGAGTCTGACGACGAAGATGATGAGTGATGTTTTTGATGACTACGGTTAGACATGACAAGAATCTCTCAAGGCCGATGACTCAATGACCTCTAGATCAAGCCAACTACCATCATCAGTCAGGAGAAGTTGAGGGAGTAAATATGCAGACCCGCTATCTGTACTGTTAGAAATGTCTTTAAGCAGACGCGCAATGACTAATGATATGTTGTTGAGTTCAGTGGCCTTGTTTTAACAACAGCCCTAACAATCAAATTGTATAGCAGTGAATACGAAGTACTCCAAATGACTACATGCCCTCCTTTCCCTTTTATGTCTATATATTCGCGGTGGTTAAAAGCATTGACAAGCTTCATGATGTTATTGCTGGGCGAACCGAAATATATCCGAACGTTTGTAGACTACCAGATTGGGTTACCCGCAGACCCCGATTCATAGCTGGCACATCCCAAAGAACAGATCACAACCGTAGCACCATGCTTTTGGAGCTCTTGTTTTCGACAAACAAACCCGCCAAGATCAAATAGACTCGAAAAACAACCATTAGATCAATGGACAATGGACTTAACCCCATGACAACAGTATGATATCTATGTATGAATGTATATGGTACACGTAGGACAACGTCCTGTTGCTACTAGTAGATAGCGTATCGTATAAAGTCTGACCCGCACCACCACCACCACCCCAGTAACGTTAAAGTCTCCCTAACCAGACTCAAATCCGTTCGAGCAATCTATAGGATACGACGTATCCTAAGCCAGCCAACCCCTCTCACCCCATCAAGGTCGATATGTCATCAATGCTTCCCCACAAGTAAACGAAATTTGCAAAAAAAAAAAAAAAAAAAAACAAAGGGCAATAGTTCATGGTACACAGCACACACATGAAATTAAACGCAGAATCAGCCAACAGCAGCAGCAACAACAACCGGCATCAGAAACACCCAATCTACCAGCTCAGCGACTTGCGACCCTTGGCCCTTCTCCGCATGATAATCTTCCGACCTCCTCGTGACCGCAACCGAGCTAGGAATCCGTGACGGCGCTTCTGCACCCTCCGCGAGGGGTTATAGGTGGCGCGCTTTCCGGCCAACGAGGCACTAGCGGAGAACGAGCGGGTCTGTTGGGTTGTGAAGGGGTTGGTGGTGAGCAGGGGGCGGATGGCGGAGGAGGTGAGGCTCTGAGAGGGGATGTATTGTTGTTGGTTAGAGACGCGGAGGGAGGTGAGGGTGGTGGAGGAGAGGGTTCGGAATGGTGTAGATAGGGAGGTTGCGACGGGTGTGAGCGGAGCCGATGAGAGTCTAGTATTGGAAGCCGGTCTGTCAGCCATTCATTCATCACTCAATATATTTGCTATAGTTGTTTCTTCTTCTAATAGCCCGGTCCGGTGGTCAGATACCCAGGGCCTGTATATAGGCCCCCATTGGGTGATTGATCATCTGATTGGATGCTGAATGGGAACATGGACCGGACGTACCTGGTTGCCGAAGCCGCATAGGACTTGAAAGCGGTCGGGAGAGCTGTGCACCGGAAGCACAGCATTGTGACGAGCAGATTGGACCGGAGGTTGAGACGGAATTGAACCACGCCGACGCGGAAAGCTGGAGATGGAGATGCGAGGAGATGGAAGTGACGGCGGACTGAAAATTGAACTCCGGCGCCGCAGTGCACGGACCACCTCCGACTTTTTCTCTCCGCCGGCGATGCAAGTCCGCATCTACAGTTCTCCATATCTGCTCTTGATTGGCACAATTCAAAGGAAGAAGAGTGCGCTTTCTTCTGCTTCTATGATATAGTTTCATTACTGGCCTTGTTGTCTGACACCTGAACGGGATTCCCGAATCACAAGCATCGAGATCGACACTTCGACCACGACACTTTACATATACTTCTACATCTACAACAACTGAACTTGAGAAACCATATATACCCACAATGGCCGCCCAGGGTCCCTCCCCGCTGCCCCCCACGACAATCCTCTCCTCCAAGCCCATCTCCCAAGCCGCCGCACATGATTTCCTGGCCGCTTACCTCGATCGCGCCGCCACAGACCCCGCACTCCAGCCCAATGCCGGTATCAGCGAACATGGTCCCACCTCGCGCACTACGGCCGCAGCCCCGAATCTTATCTTGCACAATCTGAAGCGCGTCCAGGCTGGACTGGCTGGTGAGGTCCTGGGTCGGGATCTGGCTCTTGCGAAGCTCAGCGCCGGAGAGGAGGCGCAGTCTGGAAATGACGGGTGGGAGGATCCGAAGAAGCTGCAAGAGGTCGTTGCCGAGGATGATGATGAAGGTCAGATGGAACTGGATGCTGCTGAGCCGGAGCAGGATGCCGAGGCCGTTGGAGGTCTTGATAAAGAGGAAAGGAAGCGGAAGAAGAAGGAACGGAGACTGGCAGAGAAAAGGGCAAAGGCCAAATCGGACGCTTGAGTTTGAAGAGAAAGTAAAAGAAAAGTTTGCTTTGGCTGATACGGGTTTGTAATGGGTTGCATCAGCTCTATTATGGGATCTGCTTTTCTGTTGTTGTCTTGGGTTACAAAATAGACAACGTGCATACTGCATTGGCGCATTCAAGGCGAAACTGTCTTATTGGAGGACGATTATGATTTGCTTATTTTACTTGTTAGAAACTCAAAAAATCATCCACGAGTAAAAGGCCTTCGAAGCCCATGCCCGGGCCTTTCCTCAACCGGTCCCCAAACACCGTACCAGAGAACAATAAGGGAACTTTCGAAACCAAATCTTAACAATCACAGCTCGCGGTCAGACGCCTTGATTGGTGTCTCACTATCCTCCTCCTTAAGGCCGGTAACCTTTCCGCCCTTCCAGCCGAGCGCCTTGAGTCTCTCGGACAGGATAGGGTGGGAGTAGTGGTAGCTTGCGTACATCCAGTCGGCGTCCATAGTGCTCAGGTTCTGGATCTGCAGCTTGAGAAGGGACTGCGCCAACTGTTCGGAATAGCCGAGACCGACAGCGAATGCGTCTAAATGAGTTGATTAGTATATCACCATGAACAAGGCCAAAGATGCCAGGGAGACATACCAGCTTCGAACTCGAATTTGCGGCTGAGAATATTCATCAGAAGTTTGACAACGGCATCCATCGGCGCGAGCGCATCTGAGAACAAGAGGAATCCGATCATGATGGGCTGTTGACCATAGAAGCCAAATGACTGATACAGGGACTTGTTGTTCACGAATGCAGAGAAGAGCGCAAAGATGTAGAACATGTGGAACTAGAATGCAGAAGTCAGCAAATTGTTGCGTGGTGGCTGTTATGCTATTGCGTCTGCAAACGTACCTGAGCAATGCCAAATAGCTTTGTGGTGTGGCTGAGACTCCAGTGACCCAGTTCGTGACTCAGGACTGCAACCACTTCCTCAGGCTCGCTCTTTTCAATCAGGGTGTCATAGATGACAATGTGCTTTTTCCAGGGGAGACCATAGAAATAGGCGTTGCTGTGAGCGCTCCGCTTGCTACCATCAATAACATGCAGCTCCTGAAGGGGGAACTTCAGCTTCTTAGCGAGGTTCTCGACACCGGTCTTGATAGCACCGGGCTCAAGAGGCGACAATTTATTGAACAAGGGCAGGATCACGATCGGGTAGATAGTTATAGCGAAGATCTGGAGGAAAACGCCAAAGAGCCATAGGTAGTAGAAGAACGAGTTGCCTGTCTTCTGAACAATCTTGAGCACCGCACTGATAATGGGTGTTCCAAGCACGATACCCAGCATCTGTCCCTTGAGCATGTCTGAAACCCAAAGACCGAAGGTCTGCTTGTTGAACCCAAACTTTTCCTCAAGGACAAAGGTGTTGTAGTACGAAATCGGCAAAGAGAGAACCGTGCTGATTAAATTGAAACCGAAGACGAATAGAAGCGTCTGCGAGATTTCGCCCTGGAACCGAGAAGGAAAGTACTGTGCCAACAGGAGACCGCTAAGCCCCCAAAGTTTGGGGAGAACGTCGCCATAGATGAATGCAAGGTTTTGGATTTGACCGTAAAGACCTGCAACAAGACCGAATTTGGCTTTCGCGCGACCGTAAGACTAAGGGGGCAGAGAGAGCCACTCGTCAGTATGCCCTGATTGGAGGGCCCAGTACAAATGACTTACCTGACTCTGATCGAACACCTTCTGTGATACTTCACCTGCCAACACTTGCGGGGGCTTGGTCCGTTGCAGGACTTTGTACTGGCGAAGAGACAGAAAGCCTTCTAGGAGAAACTGACCCAAGGAGAATCCCACGAGGACATTCTTCCAGGGGATGAATGGGCGGTCGAGAAGACGCGCCAGTTGCTGTAACGGCCACGGTAATCCGAGTTAGCTGGAGCTTTCCTGGAGCTATAGAAGGGAAAAGCGAATGAACTCCGATTAGGTTGGAAGGGCTCGATCGGAAAGCATTACCTCGAGAATATACATTGCGACGCTGGCAGCACAACAGCAGCCTGTATTGGAGCCTGCTGTGATGTGGCCTGTTTGGTTGCAGACAAAGCAATGGGGAGTGAGAGAGGAACCGCGGAAGAAGAGAGGAGACTGGGCCGCGCCTTAGTCAGAGGCCAGGCAGTCAGCACCAACACGGGCACTGGTTATTGTTCCACTCATGGTAGAGTATCCAAATGTATTGGACATCGAGAAATTCTGACTTTTATTTCGTTGAGATCATCATTCCCCTATACAGCATCTACATAGAGCCATGCAAGCCGGACCGAATAATAATAATGAACAGAAAAGATATAAGAAGAATTTTCCACGAAACAGCGTCGTAACACACGTCAAAGAAGTGGTCTGCGCAACTCCACCCATGCCACCTTATCCTCCAACTTGCCTATCCATCCTGCTTCTTGCCTGTCCGCCTCGCGTCTGCGAACCTTCCAACTGGCTATCGCAGCGGACATGCACCACTTCCTGTTCTTCGCACTCATCAACAGGTGGAATAGGCGACGATTAGGCTCCATGTGGTCTCTAATCAGGGAGTAAACGGAGCCCCCCCCTTTCGCGACTGCAAACCATTCTATTTCATTCGTGACTTGATCCTACCAAGTTTTGGTGCCAGAGACCCCTTGACCTCTCCGTCAGCCGTAATTTGGCGGATACAAGCCCGGCAATCCAAGCAAAAATGATAAACCCATCTAGTTCAGAATAGGCTCAAGGGTGTTACCCCTGTGGAAAAGTTAGCTCCTTAATCTCAGAAGCGGGGGTATAAGAAAAGACAAAGGAGTGAGGGGTAAAACTTACGCAACAATGTTGGCCCAACCGATGAGACGCCAGTGCTTCTCGATTCTCCGACTGATGGCGATCTTCTCGCCGATTTCGGTACAAGCTGGGCTGGTCAAGCTGAGCTTGGCGGCATCAGCCTTCACACCCACAACCTTAGCACCAGTAGCCGTGGAACCGATGTTAACCATGAGAACTTCGTTCTTGGTAAGCTTGGCAACCTTGGCCTGCTTGCCATCAGCAGTCTTGACACCGAGCAGACGACGAAGCAAGAAGTAGTTGACTTCAAGTTCGGTGTAGATAGCAGGAAGACGTCCACGGTGACCCAAGACGAAACCGACGAGACGATCGGCACGGCAGAGAGTAGGGTCCACACGAGTACCAACACCGATCAAACCACCGGGGACGGCAAATTTCAGGTCGTTGTGCTCGGCAAAGAGCGACATGACCCGGGAGAAGATGGGACGGCACTGAATCTTGCCGTTCTCGTCCTTGGTGACGAGACCGGGGCGAATCTCGATTTCATCGTCCAACTTTAGCACACCAGTCAGGATGGAACCACCGGCAACACCACCCTTCAGCTCCTCAATTTCGGCACCGGGCTTGTTCACATCGAAGGACCGAATGACCATCATGTGAGGAGAAGCGGTGAAATCACGGACGGGAACCGGAATATGCGATACCAGGTATTCATTGACAGCGTCGATGTTGTACTTGAGCTGGGCGGAGATGGGGATAATGGGAGAGCCATCGGCGACCGTACCACGGATGAACTTCAAAATCGACTGGTAATGTTGCAAAGCACCATCCTCTCTCATCAAATCCACCTTATTTTGCAGGATAATGATGTGGCTGAGCTTCATGATTTCAATGGCTGCCAAGTGCTCGGACGTTTGAGGCTGAGGGCAGTTTTCGTTTCCGGCAATAAGGAGGAGGGCAGCGTCCATGACGGCGGCACCTGACAGCATGGTACTCATGAGAATATCGTGACCGGGGCAGTCAACGAACCTGAGTTAGACCACTGAGTTAGCATAGATGAACTCGTCTAGACACATCCTTCGGGTTGAACATACGAGACATGTCTCAACAGCCTGTACCGACCGGCACAACCATCCCTCTCACAAGGCGGGTCGACCTCCTTCTCACTCTTGAAACTCTTGAAGCATGTCGGCCGAGGGCACTCGGGGTTGTCGCACTTGTAGATCTTGGCGTTGGCATAACCCAGCTTGATCGTGATGTTCCGCTCCAACTCGTTCTTGAACCGGACCGTCTGGACCTCGGAGATAGCTTTAACAACCGTCGACTTTCCGTGAGCGACATGACCGATAGTGCCAATGTTGATTGTGGCCTGGCGCGCGATGATTTCCGGGGTCAGGGGGGTCAGCGTGGACAGGTCCAGCGTCTCCGGGTCCGGCTGCTCGGGCAGCTCTGGCCGCTTGGGCTGGGGAGGAGGGACCTCCTTCTTCATTGCAGACTTCAGAGGCTGGTCGAGGGGTTCTTGCTCTTCGATGTCATCGTGACCGTTCGCTTCGAGAATGGGAGAACCGGGCTGGGACTCGTCGTCAGAGAAGTCGCCGTTGGCAGCCATGATTGCTAGCGAATCGAGAGACAACAGCGGGTCGAGAAAAGGGGGGGTATGGGGGGTGGAGGGGGTGAGGGTCGAGGGTCGTGTTGTCAGATGAAAATTGCTGCTTGAGGACGGAGGCGATATGATACGGTTCGGCCAGTGGGGTTCTGATTTGTGCAGTGGAGAGCGAGTGGGCGGTGGGCGGCGGCAGGATTTATACTGACTCACCTCTGGTCGCAGCCTGAACACAACCGGCATTTGCACCTACAAATTTTGGAGATACAGTGAGATCTATGCTTTGCGTATATCCTGTGCCCAAGCTTGGTCTCTGGCCTCCGAAAACTTCTCCCAGAACCTGCACTCTATGAGTGTAAATTTAGACAGCTGGACAAACTGATCGCAGCAAGATGAAGGGAGAATAAGATGAAACTTGGAAGGGCAGAACAACATTACAATGATCCGTGGAATCCTATGTACAAGACAGGCCACAATTCTGAGCGCACCTCTGTAGAATGAACTATCCCAGTGGCATGAGTTTACAAATCCGTTTGCCTAACATCAAGGGTTGGGTATATAAGACAATCATCAAATAGGCGGTAAACCCTATTCTTCATCGCTCTCTTCGCTGGAGTCCTCGTCCTGGCTCACTTCATCTTCCTCTTCCTCTTCCGAATCCTCCAGCGTAGAGGGATCTTCAGGGGCCAGCATCACAAATGCTTTGAGGCAGGTAATCCGATTTCCTGTTCCATAAGCATTCAGCAGCTTCCCCACTTGGACATCCTTCTTCTCCTTGTTGCCAGAAGACTTCTTCTTTGTATCCCCTCTCGTCAAATCATTGCCACGTAGATGCCACACACGAACCAAGCCCTCACTATTTCCAGTCACCACTAGAAGGTCATCCTTATTGGCGGTCCGTTGATCGTTCAGACCCAAGATTTCGAAGTCTTTCACTCTCCCGGGGAAGCCTGCTGCTCTACCGCCGAGCTGAGCTACAGCTTCAGCATAAGGGATGGGCGAGTCATCCCCTTCTGGAGCGTCCTGGACCTGTTTGGTGGAGTAGAAGATAACCCTGCCGTCTTCCGTGGAGACGGCAAGCAACTCATCGCTATCATCCGACGAGGGGTTGGGGTTGATATACTTCATTTGATGAAGCTTACTTCGGGGATTTGGGAAAACTCTACAGACAGGGGTGGAATCCTAAGCAATTAGTTAGAGATGGCCATGCCTCGACATGTAACAGAAGACTTACGATTCCAAAGACGACAGCACCCCACTCGAACGCAACAGCGAACTCATCTCCCTTCGCGTTCCACACAATCTTCCTTCCCTCGCCAGTGCTCCACTTGCCTTCTTTAACACTTTGTAGAATTTCTCGGTTGAAGTTCAACACACCAGCTTTCTTTCCAGTGACCAGATTCCAGAGTCTCATGCACTTCTCCCCCTTGCCCACACTCAACATAAGCTTCATACTGGGGTGGACGGCAATATCATTGACGCCTGACGGAGAGCCTCCGGGAGGTGCTGTATCACCACTGGGCCTACCCTGAACTTTCGGGTGAGGCGCCTTGATGGTAGAGACGACGGAGAAATCCCGAGTCCTAGTGATAGAGATAGTATTGTCCTCAGAGCCGACTAGAATTTTCGAGCGCGAGGGGAATTCCAGAGCTGAGATAGGAGCGGAATGATGCATCAATGTGCCCACCTCGCGGTTCTTGGGGTTTTCAAGGATCTTGTTACCCGCAAGAGTCGGTACGGTCGGATAGTGCTCGTTTACCGCCACTGGAGCAGCGGACAGGGAGTAAAGGTTGACGCGCTCATCTGTAGCACCACTCCCTAGAATAACCTGGGGGCTTTCCGTCGAATCGGCTTTGGGCAATGGTGATAAGGCGAGACACCGAATGGCAGAAGTATGGGCCTCGAAAAGAAACGTATCGACGAATTGCACTAGATTTGAGTTATCACCAGCCTCCTCAGCATCCTGAGACATGAATGAGGCAGGCGAAACAGCTGCGGTGAAGCCATGCAACACCCTTTCGTAGGATCCAGTGATAATTTGCAGCGTGACTGATGGACTGTCGGCCGATGAGGTAGAAGGGGTTTCCTCGCTGGCTGTAGCCTTTACAGCCTTGGAAGTCTGCTTGGAGCTCTGACGGTCCTTCGCCGTCTCCTCTCTCTTGCGCTTTACCATGACTGTTGACGGTCTGGAAGATGATATTGTAATGCAATGGATTTCTTTTTGCGGATTGACTATCGGGAAGCATCTATCTGAGCGGGCAACTTTTTTTTTCTGCCGGACGTTATCACCGTGTTGGGGCGGTGAGCTAACGCAAACTTGTGCCTGAGGTGTCGGTGAAACTGAATGCGGCAATCACTCAGGAAAAAAGGATCGGGGAGCCATTTCCTGCCTCAGGCGGCCACATTACTGGTGGCCAGCCATTCAGCGGTTCACATCATACCTACATAAGGTACCTACCTACAGGCATGGAATGGTGGACTATCGCCCCTAGTAAGGAATCTAAGGATAGCTAGGGGACTCCTACCCGCCTTGCTACCTCCCATCGCAGTACCAACACCCATACCTGGCGCTCTCTGCTGCTCCCGGCACTCACCCAGATCCTCCAACCAACCAACCAAAGTTCCTCCCATACTACCCGTCCAGAAGTCTCATCACCACTAACACCCCCCAAAAATCCCTTCCAGCGAAATCTTCGCGTTGTGTCCTCTGCATCCCATAACAACACAACCCCCTCCTTTCCATCATTTCTGAGCGATTTTTTCCATCTGGATGACTTCGCTCAATCCATTCCCCTTAATTTTAGCGCGTTAATCGGATGCTGTGTTCCCCGAAATAGACTCCATGCTCCGTGACGAGCTTCTCCGGTCTAAGAAAGATGAGATCGCGTACGTATTTAATTTTCTCTCAGCGATGCAAACCGCTCCCCTGGTCTCTGCGATATTGAATTATCGCTTACTTGGAATTTTAGACATTGTTTGTCGTCGCGGAAGCGCAAACTGAGCGAGCTCTACTTTGCGACCGTAGGCTTCGCGGGCGCGACCGAGAACGCTCCGGCGGGCTCGCCATATCACCAGAAGGAACAGGCGTTTCTTGACGCCAACGACCTCTCGAAGTAAGTTGCTCACGCCAACGCAGTTTTATAAACGTTACTTTCTTTATCTTGATTTATTCCCGCATTCTTTTCGTTACCATTGCGTGGCTATAATAATTCCAGTATCTATATCCACCTTCACCGAGACACATTTATTAATTGTCATCAGAGGCCGATATTTTAATGAAGCTACTCTTCCACCGCTACCAGATTATACATCTATTCTAGCACGCAAATTCAAGCACCAAGTGGAAGAAGAACGCAAAGTTCATGATGCTGCGGTTGCCCAGAATGCTGGTGCGCAGGCTACTGCGGCTAACAATGAGCGGCAGTCGAAGCCCCGGCAGGGTTCAGAACAGAAGCCTTCTGGTTCCAAATCTGAGTACTTAGCACCAAAAGCTTCTAACCAAGTCGCGCCTGCCATCGCCTCTCAGGTGCCCGAGATACCTCATGTGTTAATCCCGGTGGATACACATCCTCAACATGTCGGTACAGAAACGAAGGTGCCTCTTTCCAAACAAGACAGCTACCGACCTCTCAGTATCGGCAATGCCCCGGTGGAAGCTAGTGCATCCGCAGCCCAGGCTCATCCAACTCCTGCCGCCAGTGTTTCGTCACCTAGAACTCCGGACGTATCGCTTTCATCAAAGAAAGATGATGTTCGCTCAATTCTCCCTCACGGCCGGACCGCCCAGGTTCCTGAACAACCACTGTCTCCCGTTTCTTCAGCTGGCCCGTGTTCCAATAATACTCCAGCCCCAGTCACCGTATCCCCTGTTACTAGCCCTGCGGAGGAGATGAATAATGCGACTGATAAGGTCCCAACTCCCAAGGACGAAGAGGCCGTTAAGGCACCACCACCTAGCTTGGTTCCTTCTACGCCTGACGAGCAACTTCGTCTGGAGGAGGCTCAATCACTTCAGCAGAACTCTCTTGCAGCGGTTAAGACAGGCGGTGATGGGATTGATGGAGGCGCTACTACAAGCGAAGTGATTCAAGAAGACGTTGTTCCGGCCCCGGCTGCAGTCAAAGAAACACCAAAAGTAACAGCCGAGCTGGCACCAATTGCTGCGCCGCTGGAGCCGAAAAGACACGATGGTGTGGTTGAGCCAGCGGATGAGTCTCATCCTCCTATCCACCAACCTGCGCTTGTTCCTCAAGCCGAGGCAGGTGCTAAAGTGCCTACCGAAATGGCTCCAGTCTTGAAGAAGCCCACACCTCCAACACATCCATTACCGTCTCCCCCAGAAAGAATGACAACCAGGGTATCTTCTGGAGCCATCAGACATAAGTCCGTTTCGGAGATTCTCGGCGAAGTTCCCAAAACACCCGTTTCTCAATCAGATAAAGGAACCGTCGCAGAGAAACCTGCGGAGATGGCGCGGGATGTGTCCGCTGCGACCCCCGACTCTGCAGCACGGATGCGGTTCAAAGACAGGAAAGCACGAGAGAAAGAGAGGACCAAACTGTCCACAGTTGTCTTTCCTAAGCAGCAGCAGCAGCAACATCAAACACAGGAAAAGAATGATTCTATGGAATTGGTTCGCCAGCACGCTGGTGACCTTGCTAAGCTAAATGAGGAACAAGACTATCTTTTTACCTTGTTCCAGAATAGAGCATATGCACCTCCCCGAGGCACAAGCCTCAGTACACTAATCGCGTCCGCTCACAAGACTCTAACTACATCCAACCACTTCCTTGATTATCAAGAACAAATGGACTGCCGTACCTTACGTCGAATATATTCTCTGCAGAATGCGAACAGGTGGCCTTTGCGCCAGTTGAAGCGTTCAGTTGAACCACCGCGAGCGGGAACACATTGGGATGTGCTTCTAAACCATATGAAATGGATGTGCACCGATTTTAGAGAAGAGAGGAAGTGGAAGATCGCAGCTGCGAAAAGTTGTGCTGACTGGTGTGCGGAGTACGTCAATACTGACCGGGAGCACCGATCGCTACTGCGCATCCAAGTCAAGGGTCCGGCATTGGGGGCCGAGAATAGGGTTGAAATCAAACCCAGCATGGCCTCTCCACCCCAAGAGGCAGGTGATGAGATGTCTCACCCTACACCAGACCTAGTACCATCAACCGAAGAAGATTCTGTCAGTGAAGGGTTCAACGACGAGCCGCGTCATGATCTGCATGACACAGTTGCACCTGCTGCGATTTTCTCCCTTGGCATCGACGAGTTCACATTCTCGTTGGACATGACGCCCGCGGCTCAGAAACTTCTCGATGAGCTGCCAACGTATACACCAGTCACCATTACTTCGGACACTGAGCTACCAGCATTCAAAGAACCTCCTGACTCTGTATGGAAAACCGAAATTCTGCCTGTGTCAAAGTACGCGTCAGGCAAGATCACGTTTCACGATGACGAACCTCCTCCAAAACGTAGCCGCTACGACTATTCGCAGTACCAATCGGATCCCGAGCAAGCCGTGCTGGATCTGCCACCCGAGCAAATCAATGTTGCACTTTTCAGACCCGAGAACAGACACATACGTGATAGAATCCACCCGGGCCATTCATTCCGGCCCCCTACTGAGCATCCTATGCCTTCCGTTGGATTCTTTGAATCCAGACAGTCATCTCAGTGGACGTATGCAGAAGACGATGAGTTGCGGCGTCTAGTGAAGGATTACTCGTATAATTGGTCTCTCATATCCAACTGCCTAACCCCTTCATCCCAATTCACTTCAGGAGCGGAGAGGCGGACGCCTTGGGAATGTTTTGAGCGCTGGGTTGGTTTGGAAGGGCTACCTGCCGACATGTCTAAGACACAATACTTCCGTGCTTATCATCAGCGGCTTGAGACAGCACAGCGTACCGTGCTGGCTCAACAACAAGCTGCTCAGCAGCAGCAACAGCAGCAGCAACAACAACAACAACAATCCACTACCAACAACCCCCAGTCACTGCCCCCTGTGCGAAGGAGGACCACGCAGCCCCTCAGGGTCGACCGGAAAAGATCCTCTAAGCATCTTGCATTGCTTGATGCTATGCGTAAATTAGCCAAGAAACGAGAGACGATGCTGCAAAAGCAACAACACGGTAAGATTTGAAGCAAAGTATTTGCTTTGGATGGTGCTGATTCATTTGATTTTGGTTAGCCTCCCACTTGGCGTCATTGCGAAAAGTCAATGAAGCAAACCAGCCCAAGCCTCCCATCTCATCGCCCGCTGAATTCAGCCGGCTCAAGTACGAGCGTGAGTTGAAGCTTCAGGAGAGGCAGGAACAGTACCGACAGCAAATGATTGCCCAGCAAAGAGTATGACCGTGTTTCTATCATGTTAACCCAATGCTCCACTAACATCTTTGATCAAGGCGAACATAGCGGCTCAACGTGCTGGCCAAGTACCTAACCAACAGCCGATGATGAACGCTCCTGGACGAACCCCTGGTGCCATGGCTCATAACCCTGGAAATTCGGCTATGACCGGCAACGCTACGAATGGAATGCCAAGCGGATTACCAAATGGGTTGCCCAACGGAGTGACACCTGCAGTCGGCGCAAACCAAGCGCGACCTCACATGCAAGGCATGCCCAATGGCACGCCTGTGAATCCACCGACTCCCCAAAACCCAATGACTATGAAGATGATGCCACAGTCCGGAATCCAGCAGAATAGTAATGGTGCTCGTCCTGGAATGCCGATGCAGACACCGCCAGATAATACGCGGGTCATCCGGGAGGCAAATCGCCTTCAAGAGCAGCAGCGGATCCTACAGACCAGACAGCAACAGCCACACCAACAACCCTTGGGTCAATCGCAACACCCACAACAGCAATTTCATAATCAGCCCCAGTTTGTGCCTCAGGGGTCCCATTCTCCAAACCCAAATATGCCTAACGTCAACGGCACTCCAAACAATCCTGCGATGATGGCGGCACTTCAGGCCGGAGGAGGGATGCAAAGTCCGTCTTTTCATAACGCCACCCCTCAGGGAGTATCGACGCCCTCTCCTCGCATGGGTCAACCCAACCTTTTATCTGGTGGTGTCGTTCCAACTATAAGCAACATCCAAAGTCAGATTCAGCGGAATAACCCGAATATGCCTCCGGAACAAGTTAGTAAACTCGCTACGGACAGGTTACACCAATACCAACAGCAGCGCATGTCCCAAGTTGCCATGAGCGCAGCTGCTGGCAACATCGGCAGTGTGCAGGCCAACTACCAGGTCGATGCCAATTTCCAATCCCCTCAGCCCGGCCTCAACGGTGGGTCGGGGATGCAGGTACCTCAAGCACAAGGCTTCTCCCCAATGATGCGTGTTCCCCAACCAGCTCAGCAAAATCGTGTCGGTGTAGGGGGCTCTCCTGCCATGAACGGAGCGATCCCTCAGCCGAGCCGGAGCGTGACCCCGCAAACCCAGCGCAGTGGCAGTGCCCAGGCTGGCGCAGTGGCCGGGACGAGCAAGAGTCCCAACCCTCCGCAAGCTCAGACGGTGACGAACTGACGTGCCCTATCGACTTTCTCTTCTTCGCTTGTAAATATTTTTCCACCCACTTTATTACCTTTTATTCGTCCCCCCTTGCTTTGAGCGCCCATCGTTTTGGTCGGTGTCATGGAACATGCTATCTGACCCTTCACCCTTATCCTCTGTTTCCTCACTTACCCTTTACCTTACCCTTCCATCTTTTCAGCTCCCTTGACCTTTCCGCCTGTCCAACTCGACAGGTCTCTCCCAATCTCTCCAGTTACCGCAGCACCCTTATAGTGGCTTTGCTTTGCATGGTGGATTTGCTTTGCATGGTGTCTTGAATGAACAGTCAGCTTCCAACTTTCATCGTCCGGGGCTTTTCCCCTTCCATTTCCAATTTTGTACTACATGTATTGATAGGACGGATACAAAAAGGCCAGGAAGCATTTGGAACCTCAGTTGGAATGGACGCATTAGAGCAAAAGAGAAACTAATGACTACGACTGTACGAATACTATTGGTTCAATCAATTCTGCACAGGATCTTTCCCACGTTAGCGAGTAACGAGATATTATCATTCATCTAGATAAGTAGCTTCTATCGAGTAGTAGCTGTAGACTAGCTCCGCCCGGATGGATCTAAGCGCGCGCCTAGCCCGCCTCTTTTGCCACCGCCTGCTTTTATCCCCATCTCAGGTCCACCACCAGCTTCAATCATTCACAACCTCAGAACCCGCTCGCCGTACGCTGCGAGTACTCCTCACGCATTAATGGGTTGAGACCGGCTCCAATCTTCACTAAACTCCCTTTTTCGCATTCGTCACCCAGGCCAGGACTCCGTCCCAATGTCGTCCTCACAGCCTCCGCAAAACGGCAATGCAGACTCCCTAGGGAAATCCTCAGCAAAGCCATTTTCCCTCTCACTAGGCGGCGGAAACTCTACCACAACACCAGCAAACGGCCAGCCGAAAAAGACAGCCTTTAATATCCAGGGCTCAACGCGCTCCACTGACTCGTCCAGCCGAACCCTCGCCCGCCGACCTCACCACCTCCACGATGACGAAGACTCGGACGAAGAAGCACCGCCCGCCCACGAAGCTGTCACCGGGTTTGACACCTTAACCGGAACCGCCATTCCCGCAGACAAGCCTGCCGAAAAGCGCGAACTAGTTATCCCCGTCGCGGGGAACAATAACTGGCGAGACCGACCGGGCGTGAACGTCCGGAAACCCAAGGGAAAGAATCTCCTCCCAAAGGAAGTCCAAGCGATTCAGGAGGCACAGAAACGGGGTGAAGTTGCGGGCCAGAATGTTGAGACGGAACGGCCAAGTATGGCCTTTGGTTTGACTTTCGCGCAGCGGGATTCAGAGCAGGTGGCGGGGGATAATGATCGACCCATGGAGGATGCTCCTGAGCCTGCTGCTACCGCTGTGGTTGAGGAACGAAAGCCGCTTACCCAGGATGAAATTGCTTTACAGGCGCTGATCCGGGAGACGAATGGGGAGCCGGAGAGGAGGTCGGATCTTATTATTGAGTCGGCGAATCGGGATGATGGTGATGATCGCGCGGGTGGGCGATATGATGAGACGACTTCATTTCGGGCTGATATTGCTTCGCGTCCGGAGTCTGCGAGCCTCGATCAGTATAATGCAATTCCCGTGGAGGAGTTTGGCGCGGCCCTGCTTCGTGGCATGGGGTGGAAGGAAGGTCAGGCTGTCGGAAGAGGAAAATACGGCGGTGCTTCTGGGAACCAGGATAATAAGCCCCGAGTTCCGGAGCGTCGGCCTGGGTTCTTGGGAATTGGAGCGAAGGATGCGTCCGGAGGGAAGGGTGCAGAGGCTGAGCTCGGTGCATGGGGAAAGTCTGCGATGCGCAAGGGGTCCAGAAAGTCAGGAAAAGAGGGCGAGACCAATACGGAGGGCGTTTATATGCCTATCATGATGCGGAATACGAAAACAGGCGAGTTCATAACAGAGGAGGAGCTCGCGGTTCAACGGAAAGAGGCCAAGAAACGGGGCGATGACGATGAGTGGAAAGAAAGGCGTGACCGCAACTTGGAAAAGAGTGGACGCGATAGAGATCATGATCGTGACTCCCGGCGCCGCGATTACGATGACGATGATCGTGATCGCTATGACAGACGGCGGACAGGGTCCTCGAGGAGAGATCGGAGCTTGTCGTCCAGCGACCGACACTCAAGGAGGCGCAGATACGGGGATGAAGATAGCGACAGTCGAGATGACCGCCACTATCGGGACCGAGACCGTGATCGGGATCGTGACTCTCGCCGGGATCGGGATCGAAATGGGGACCGGGATCGAGATCGCGATAGGGATAGAGATCGGGACCGAGACCGCAGCAGACGGCATCGCGATGACGATCGCTATTCGAGCTCAAGGCAGTCGTCGTCGCATACATCGAGTAGACATCGTGACCGGGATCGAGAGCGCGATAGCGATCGCGACTCGTACCGGAGGAGAGACGATGATCGATGAATGAATAGCTCTTATTCTTGCCCCCCTCCCCCCCCCTCCTATAGAGAGATACAAAATTTCCGCATGTCATTATTCTGATACCATTTTGTGCGTTTATAAAAGACAGGTGGGGATGGTTGCATGGCTGGCAAAAAACATCCTTGATATGGACTTCAAGAGTGACGCTGATGATGTTAATGATCTATGAATGTCTCGTTCCACAAACATGTAGTTTAAGGTCTGAACAGCTTCTATTTGAAGCAGGTATTGTATCATCCAAGAGACAAAACTTTTATACCAAAACAATAAGACAGCAGCAACAATACTCCTCCACTGAAAGCGCCAGCATACCACGGTATTTGCAAACATGCAGATTAACTTGGTCTATTTGTACATAGTCTCATTCACAGGTTCTTTTTTCAATTGTCCGAAATTCAATCCCTTTATACCCCCAGCATGACCACATCTTTTTCATGTTCGGGTACGCTGGCTTCGGGGATGCTGCTATAAAGATCATACGGGGTTGAGACACCCAATCCTCCCAGTCCCACGCCGCCGTCCATCTCTGCGAGAACCCATTCCACGAGGTAGCTTTCATCGGAAAGCTCCTCGATGCGTCGGTAATGGCGGTCGGTGTATGAGGCTAGGGCTGTCAGGATATCCTTCATGCCAGCCGCGGTGCGCCCATCGCTGCGCCGCTTCGCCATGCTTGAAGTTGCAAGCTCGATGAATGTGGAAGCAGGATAGGAGCGGAACAGGGCGTACAAGATGCGCTGAGAAACCCTGGAGGTGCGGGCGTTTGTGTTCCAGTCACGGAGTCTTAGGAGTAGGGTGCAAAGGTTTTCGGGGTCAAGGGATTGGAGAACCTCGTCGATCGAGGGATCGCCGGTTAGGCTGTTAGCACGTTCGCTAGCTTCCGGGCCGGTCGAATGCGGGTCATCAGCGGCATCCATCGCCGTAGTAAACAATGAGAGTAGCCGGCCTGGGTGGTTGAGTTGAAGTGCAAGAGTGATAGCTTCGCGATATGCGCCGGCGCGAATGTAGTTTTGGAGCTGTTGGTCTTGCTCGATACGGGCTGAGTTAGCGTTGACCGTAGCTGTGTAAGTGGCCGACGTAGTGTCGGTCCAGAATGTGACGGTTGAGTCGGCAGAGCCAGAGGCAAGGCCGTAAGGAGAGGAATGCTGGAGTGTTGAAGAAGACAGAACATCGTCACGGCAGCCAGATGGCGTAGGGCTGGCTAAAGCCCAGACACGATCCTCGTGGTTGTCAAGGGTCGTCTCGAGCTCGCCTGTATAAGGAGACCAAACCTTCACCAAACCATCTGCGGCCGCAGACGCAACTAGAGGCCGCAGTTGTGAAGATGCGTTATGTGCCAATGCTTCATCTTCTTCGTCCTCCTTGTTGGACAAGTCCGGAGGTGGAAGCCAGATCACCTTGAGCACGCTATTCGTGTGACCTTCAAATGTGAGAAGGCAGCTGTAGTCCGACAAGCTCCAGATCTTGATTGTCTTGTCGCCTGATCCTGTAGCAATCATGCCTCTGTTCGTGCTCGTTCCAGAGTCGGAGTTGAGGATAGGAGTGCCCCGAGGCGCGAAACGTGCCGACCAGACTCCCCTCTTATGTCCGCGAAGAACACCCACAACGGAACCATCCTCAATAGACCAAATCTTCACAGTACGATCCTGAGAGGCGGATGCGAACAGAGTTGACGACGGGTTGACATCCAGCGCATTGATGTCTTTCTCGTGGGCTTTCCGTGTGAAAATTGCCTTGGGGTTGTGGGGCTTGGAGGAACTGAGAGGAGCTAATTTACCCGTATCCCATCGTTTGATGGTACGGTCCTGAGATCCTGTGAGCAGGAACGCGGGGGGGTGGTTCAAGGGGTCATTGCGTGCCGGGGTGTTGGCTGGAGGTGGAGCTCGGGGGAAGCTGATGGCACCCAGGGACTCTGCATGACCAGTGAGGACTGCAAAGCACGTGTAAGAGGAGTTCTTCGGGTCAAGGCGCCAGAGACGTGCGGTGTTATCCTTCGCGCCCGTCACCAACCAGTGGCCGGACCAGTCCACGTCGATACAGATGATGATGTCGTCGTGGCCTTCCAGGTGCGTGACATCGGCACCGAAATAATCGCCCTCCCCAGTAGTCGGCCTATCCTCGGATGGACCGACTGAAACCACCCGGATACTTTCTGTGTTGGTTGCCAAAGCAAGCATGGACCGATCGGGGCCGACATATGCAAGATCGATGATATCATCATCGTTGCCGGATATACGTCTAATGACCGGCAGAGGGTCGAGCATAGACCCGGCCTTGTAATTGGATAGAGGCTCGAGTGAGTGGAGTCGAATAGTCTGGTCAGCGTGTACAGTCATCGCGAACGACATGCCTGCGGAGTACTGGATCGCTACCACAGCCTCGAATTCGGCCGCAGCTTCTTGCTCATGGGTGACCTCTCCGCCGCGGTTGCAGTCCCACACGCGCAAACGGCCGTTTTCGCCTCCCACCAAGCACAATCCGCTATCTGCAACAAAGGAGGCGGCTTCAACACTCTCGAGGACGGGAATAACCCTCCGTGTCTTGAAAGTCCGCACATCCCACACGATGACGGTTTTATCGCGGCCGGCAGAGAGCAGCGCATTCTCTGTGGGTGAGTACGAAAGGCTCCGTACAACTGAAACGTGAGACTCCAGGGATGCGATAGGCTTTCTCTTGTTCAAATCCCACACGCGCACCATACCCTCCTCATCACCCGAGGCAAGTCGAAAAGCGCCAATTGAGTCGGCCGCTTCATTCATCTCCTCATCCTCATCAGAGTCATAGGACTTGCCCTTAGACTTTTTCTTCTTCTTTGAGGACGATTTGTTATCGTTTTCCTGGAAAGGCACTTGGAAGAAGCACAAGGCCGAGATAACACCGCCATGGCCGTGGAAGGTATGTGTAATGAATCCACCCCGAATATCCCAAACTTTGATCGATCCATCTGCGGCACCGGTTGCCAATAGAGTACCTGTGGGGTCAATCGTGGTCGTTACAACAGGTGCTGTGTGAGGCTTCAAGCTTCTGGCAAGTTTGGCCTCGACGGTTCGGGTAGACTCATCAAAGGGCGTTAGAGCGTAGATGCGCATGGACATGGAGCGTGAGCAGAGAACGACGTGTGAAGCCGACGGGGTAACTAGGCGCGGTTAGAGCATGCTTTTCAGCGAGCGTGAAAGGGAAGCCAAAGGATGGGAGTTGCATACTGGACAAGCTAGTGATTATCTCGCCATCCTAGAACATTTGGATTAGCAATTTGCGACTGGCGGGTGGGTTGAAGGAACATACTCCTTCAAGGCTGGCGAGCTGATCGCCGGTCTCAAGGTCGACCACGAGAGCATCCTCGCCGATGCAGGTCGCCAATAGACGGCCACTGGCATCCAGCGCAGTGCTTCCTCCGGTGTAGATGGGACGAAGAGTTCGAGACGCCTCGAAGGTCGTCTTAACCACGGCTTTAGACATGATGTGCAAAAATTCTCAACAACCAGGTATTTAGAAATCTATCGCGCCATCATCCAAAAGACCAGATCTGCACCTGCAGAAAAATTGACAGTTGCGTAATGCCGTCCGAATCGCCGTCGCACCGAAACTTTTGGGTCTTTTTTCGAGATGTTTGCTTTGTTTGTCTGGACAGCGGGACCCCGCTAGCTCGTGATCTTGCCGCCCCAGGCGCCATATCCGCCCATGTGATATGAATGGCACTTGCCTTTTGGGGCAGGACCATCATCGATCCGTCCTTCCATCGAATGTCTTCTGCTTCTTCTTCTTCTTCTTCTTTTTCTTCTTCTTCTTCTTCTTCTTGTTCTACTACTTCTTCTTGTTCTACTACTTCTTCTGCTTCTGCTGCCGCATTTGGTTCTCCCAAACAAGGAGGAAATGCCCGTCACGGCTACTCCCCGATGAACTCTGGAACTAGGCTCACGCGATGGGGCGTCGAGCATACCTGAATCGGCTGGCTTTGGTAGGCTCACTCTCCGTTCTTTTGTATATGCTTTACGGCGAGTGGAAATACATCTGGCATAATTTCTACTTGGAGTAATTTTCAGCTATTGTAAAGGAATTCTCTTTCCAAGGATGCCTGCACCTTTGTTCACCTGTCAGCCTGTGGTTATTCCTCAGTACTCGCTCATCTCTGTCTTGCATATCACCACCCACTATTAAGGACTAAGTATTAACGATCACCAAGGGCCGGTCTCCTTACGAAGCTCCCGAACGCCCTGCAGGTTCTGCAGTGGACTCAGGAAATGCTACGCAGCAGACAGTATCAGGCGTACATGCGGACGGATATGTCCAGCATTACGATGAAAGGGGCCATCCTGTTAACCCAGAATCCAAGTCGTTTGGCAAGGAACTCCGCAGGGCAAAGAATGATATCCTTTCCACGATGGGAATTGTCGTCAGCGAAGATGGCAACGTGGGTGGTCTTGATGAACAGCAGAAGCTTGATATCATAGCTGCCGAGAACGACTATGGCTTGGTCATGGCCACTCTGGACCAGGTTTCGGTTTTCCTAGGCTCATGGTGGACCTCATCCCTCTTGGGTAGAATACAGGTAAGTCTTCTGTGCAGTAGAATGAAAAACTTAGCTTGGGACAATGCATTGACCAAAACATCCACCAGACATTCAAGAGCTACACTCGCCTTCCCCTGTTAAGTATTGTACGCCTTGAACGCCCAGCTTACGGGGTTTTGGGTTTTTACTTCGCCGGAATTCCGGCATGGGCAGTGTCCACCTGCATTTCTTTCTGTCGCCATCATCCTCTAGAACGTTTGATTGCTTCCTTTGAAAATCAGTTCCCGAACAATGATGTGGGTTCAAAGCTTGTGCGAGCATTACTAAATGTTTTACACTCATCGTAAGTGCCCTGGCTACACCGCTCCACTACTTTCTAACAGCATCCCTACTAGGGCAAGAGGGACATTACTGGTTCTGGCGATACAGACGTACATGTATTCTGTCTTACAATCCCTTCACATCGTCCCCGCCTACTCTATGCCTGGAATTCGCTTCTTTCTGCCATTCGGAGAGCTGGCTTCAATGCAATTGTCAGAGTTGCCCACTAATCTCTCGATTGGATCCCTTGGCGGATTCTTCTTGAGCCTCCTGAAAACGCCGTCTGTACTCGTCTACCTATCTGTATATCTACGCCCAGTATTCGAAATAAGACTCTATCGGTTCATTCGGCGCAGACTGCCGAAACCTATCTATGCGGACGCTCTTTCTGTCAAAGTGGCGTACGACAATGATCTTATCGATTGGATGATGCCTTCTATTGGGCGCCGGGCAGAGGAAGAAAACATCCGCGGCAGTCTTCCCTTCACAGAAGACTTGATGTATGAGGTCAATTTTCTCCGATCCTGGGTACTATCCTGGTTCGGCTTCAAGTCATTGCGAACGGCACGAGCGTCAGAGCAAGCGGCAGATGCTCGCCGTAGGCAAGAATGGTTAGAGTCCCTGCCTCAAAGCATAGAACAATTGCAGCATGAACGTCAGTCCCGAACCCATCGACCACGAAGACGGTCGGCCGACCCTCCGCTTATAGAGGGCCAATTGGATCATGACCCAGCCGGTTCCAGTTCCCCAAATCGACGCTCCATCGGTCAAACTCCAGACCTAGATGTTGATTTCCCGGTCAATCAAGTCCTTGCGAATGAAGAGAATCGTATGTCGCAGTCACCAACTGAAATGAGTAGCGGGGATCTCGCAGAAATGGCTCCTCTGCGACGGGCAACAACCTTGCTGCCACTAGACGACAACTCGTCAACTTTACCGAACGCAGAGTCACAGCACGGTGCTACAAATGAGACTCACCGGAACTCACGGTCTAACACACTTTTCTCCCGTCCATCATCACCGGCAACCTCTTCCCCAACTTCACCCCGAGTCCGGGCTTCGTTGATTCATCAAAATTCAGATGTTATTACCATGCAACTGGAGCTGCTGGGGAACCGTCACACACAGAACCAGGGACAGGCAAATACAAGGCCGGATAACAATACCGGACCACTGCCTTCCAACGGTGAAACGGCGGATGGGCAAACGATCTCCGAATTTCTTGATAATCTTCTGTCCAACCAGGGTCGGCATCTGACTACTGTTGTCAACTCGGATAACATGAATAGTGATGGACTCTCTGAAATAACCACGAGTGCATCACCTAGGCCAGTGGACGACGTTGCTCCTGACTCTCAGAGTCAATTGCAGAGTCTGAGAGCGGAACGGCCATCTGCTGAGGCATCTGCATCGGATCCAGTCAATATATTGCCTGAAAGCATAGAAGAACCGACACAAGGGGATACACTCCATCAGGCTTCTGAAGCAGAACCAGCCCACGAGAATGACTTTGATTCCGAGATATTCCCTCACATCTCCGACCCCAATATTCGCCAAAACATGGCAACTAGTCCCTCAGCGACTGCACATCGAGTTACTATCCTGTCCTCTCACCCTGTTGATTCTCTAGCATCACATCTTGCGTCTATAATCACTAATGTGATGTTCATCCCTCTCGAGTCTCTCTACTTGCGGTCCCTTGCTACGTCATATCTGCAGTCTACTCGTGCTCCTGTCGCTCTTCGGGCTGATGTCCGGGCGATGGGAGATTGGGGATGGAGCCCACGATCTGATATTTTTGCATACCTGGGCAAGATTGCTCTTATCATGGGGATTCAGGTTGCAGTAAACGCCAGTGTATGGGGTGTAATATCTGGCGGCGCTATGAAGATTGGAAAAAGGTTCTGCGGCTGGGGATCACTGTGAGCATGTTTTCTCAATCATCTAGCAGCTGAAACACTCCAGCTCGTTTAATATCAGCTACTGGTTCTCGTTATCCAACAGTATGGCTTTGCGCGACCGGCACCATTTAATTTTCTTCGCATATATTACACAACATAATGAACATCTCAAGCCAAAAGTTATTCTCTTGTGAATTTTACATAATTCCGATGGCCGAAAGGGACAATGGCGTCAATCATGTTGCTCGTGTACTACTATAATGATGGCTTTACTAAATCCTATGACGTTTAGCCTACTAGAACCAATCCGAAAAAGGAAATTGTATCTCTATCATCATCGTAAGTTCTTAATTATACAGTAGGCCCTCCATTATACGGCTTATAATTGGGACCATTAGCAGTGTTCAACAAGATTCCACGTCTGTAAACAGTCCGATATCATTTAGCCGGGTTTTTCCCCTTGCGATTCGTCATGCCCGGGACCTTCCGACGCTCCCACACCATCAAGTAACCCTCCTTCGTGAACAGTGTTTCGCTTTCTGCCCGTTTGACAAACAAGTCTTGAATCTCCAGCCACTCGGGTCCACGCTGCTCGCCTGTATGATCCTTCTGAAGACGGCTATTCTCTGCTGACATGGCCTTGTCATGCAGTTGAACGAGCCAAGAGACTTTCTCACTTGCGGCACCAGCTCCTGATGAGGCTTTGCCGCTCGCTGCGTTGACGCCTTTGTCTGCGGCGGCTTCCTCGTGAGCACCTGGGGCCGCAACGGTGGGGTCGAGGATAATGTTTGCGACCAGATCGTAAAGGATCGGTTCGCCTGGGGGCCAGATATTCGGGTTTGGCTCCACATAGGGTGACATGTCCAGGGAACGAGGGGATGGGAAGGTGACGATTGTGGGGTTTCGTTCGGAGACGAAGCGGTTCTTGCTGAAACGCTTGATGTGGAACAGGAGATAAGGTGGCAGGGGGTGAAGGAGCCGGTGTCGGACTCTGTGGGCCAGCTTTTCGGATGCAGTGATGCCATTGTACTTGTTCAGGAGCGTGGTCAGGGGAACTTGGGGGATAATGGATTCCCGGTTAGCGGATTGGAAGAGAGGAGTGGGTGGTAGATCTAAGGTAAGAATGAGGAAAGGGGTTGTTTGGCTGTTGATGCTGCCCGACTCAGTGAACACTAGGCGCGCGTTTTGGGTATCTGAATGAGCTGTGATAGCCTGGCTTTCGATCCTCAGGTGACCCTGGAATGCGGCATGGATAACACTTGTAGGTGTTTTGGATGGCTTTTTGGAGCCTCCGAGTGAGAGATGAAGGTTGTTCAAGAACCAGGATAGGAAATCCACCGGATCGGACTGCTGTGTGAGGGTGAAACGCTTAGATGAGCGCAGAGCAATCTCCTGCAACAATTCGTGCGGAGATACGTGGGAGCGGAATGCCTTGGGGTTCCATAGTTTCCGGACCAGGGTGCTAAAGCGGAGGGCTAGTTGAGGCGTTCCTGGTTGAGGAAAGTCATGCAGCAGGAAGTAATTGCGGATGGGGAAGACGTGAGCTAAGAGCTGGACCACCACGTTCAGATAATCGTTGGCTTTGATGTTATTCATCCCCACAAAGCCTACAGAGAGTCAGTATCTCGTGCCAACAATATGATTGTGAAGGAAATCTTACCAGGCCTGTAACGACTTCCTGCAAGATCGAATGCGTCGTGGACCTCTTTGTCTAGCTTTGCCACCTCTTCCTTGTTGTAGTACGGGTCAACGACATACTTGATGTCGTCCAGACTCTGATTCCTGACTTCATATCCTTCCGGGAGAACGTAGACCTTCTTCGTACCCATATTGACGAAGACATGGTGTCCAACCTCGAGCGCATGATAATACGCATGCGACTTGGGCCCTCGGCCTTGGAAGTATTTGCCGCACACCAGACAAGCATATACATTAATGTTCGACAGGCTCACCGAGCACTGTTTTTCGAAATCAAAGTCGAGAATTTCGCGGTTGATCGTATCGAGGTACAGGTCGCCGTAGCCCTCCATGGGGGCGCTCTGGCGTTTCGGGGCTGCGATAACCGGTTTGTCGTCATCGCCGGCCTCGTCGGAGGAGTCGGAGCCTTTGTCTTGCGCAGCTTCTTTTAGCTCTTCCCTCTCTTGGTCAGCAGCTGCAAGCACATTCTGCCCACTGCGCTCATCCTGCTCCAGCTCTTGTCCTGTCGCCCCGCGAATCGGCAAAGCTCCACGGCGCGGATCGTCTTCCGGCAGGTTATCATCCTCCACGCGCGCCCTCTTCGAGGCAGGGGAGCCTGCCGTAAGGTCGTCCTCAAGCGACAGCTCAGCTTGTCTCTTCGACATCATGACGGGGTAGAATGGGGAAATTGCGAAGGAAGCTGCTGGCTTTGCGGGATCCAAACTGCGAAGACGCGATGCAAACCGCCAGATGCAAACATGCCAAACATCCGCACAGCGTCATAAGGCGGCTGATTACAGCATCATCGCAACCGTCGCGGTCAAGCTTGGCGGAATATTGCTACGATAGCACGGAAAAGGAGGTATCTCAAGCAATCGTGGTCATTGGTCTCTACCTCAGCTAGATAATAGGCGAGACTACATCTCGGTCAAAGTCATGGAAAATACCCTGCCATGCAAACCGATCTTCTCTGAAACCCAAGTCCCGTGAAACCGCAAACATAAGACAATCATTGGTATGATACAACGCATTAGGCACTCTTGACGATCCTGTTATTATCGAACTCTACTTCTTGCACGCCGTCTTTAGTGACCACCTTGACCAGGACCTAGAAGCTGTCAGCTAACCAAACTCGCACTCCACGACTAGGTGGCTCGGTAACGTACCCCCTTGTAATCAATCGGTAGTCTGCGCTTCAATTCATCTGTGCACATCTCCAGGAGCTTCATTCCTTCTTCGAGTGTGATGTCGGGGTGGTGGTGTTTATCAAGGGTGGATAAGCAGTAGTACCTAGAGCATCTTAGCATACGTTCCGACGACCGGAGACCGCTGATACTCAGCGCCCGGACTTACTGTGCATAGCCGTGGGCAGCATATGGGACAGGAGCCAGGGAGGCCAGATAGTCTATCCAGTATAGATGGGGCTTCTCGGTGATGGGATCGACACCTCCCAGTAGGAGGTTAACGGTATAAGGATTCCGGGACCGCAAACTCCGCGCCATTTCTCCCCGGACAAAGCTGGCAACTGCATTCGGACCCAGTTCGGTATCGTTCCGCATCGTGTATAGCTGGATATTGGCTTGGATGTACTCCGCAAATTGTACTATTCGAGCTTCAAGTTAGCTACCGTGGTCCCAGGCGGTTCCGCGTCTCCAGCCGTTGGGTGGGCTGCACGAACCTGTGTCTCCTGCCTCTCCTGAGAAGGCCATAAGGCTGTGTTTGTTCAACTGTTTTGTCTTATCATCTTCGGCTTTGAGGATGGTGGGGCCCCTCATGGCAGCTTTGGAGGCCGCCAGAATGACGAAGTCCTTGCCAGTGATGCCCAGTAGAACCTCCCTGTGAACGAGAATGAGTGAGCGGGTTTTCCATCAATTTGATATGCGGCATACCTACATATCTGCAGTAGCTGAGGGTACGGTAAACTTAGGAGAGGTATGAAAATGAGGGGGATAATGGAAGACGAGATGGGGAGATGACAGTCAAGAGCCCATCGTAGGCCGCGCGGAGCTTTGACTGCCTGGAGCTGCGGCCTCAGCTGCCTTGCTGCCTGAGGCTGGAGCTCAGCGCTGAGTCAGCATTTAGGCGTAAAGTTGATGCGCTTTCCGCCTGCACGGTCCACCGGCAGAAAAAAGTGAGAAATCGAGTATCTCCGTCGGATCGGCCAATACTACTTGTGACTTCTCCCCCTCCAGCCCCTTGGATTTCCCCGCCTTTCACGCCCGGAGCTTCAGCCAACTACCCTGGGTGATGTCGTCTTTTTTCACCGTACCCGCTTCGCAGCGGAAGCGCAAGAGAGAAGACCGCGCCGGAGCCCCCGCATCTAAGAAACGAGGTGTCGATGCGGACGGAGATGCGAGAGGAAAGAGTGGCAGCAAGAAGAACAGGGAACCGTCAATTTCAGGAAGTGACATTGATGAGGATGAGCTCAGTGCTGTGTCTGGATTATCGGGTGAGGAAAGTGGCTCGGAATCCGACGAAGGAGAGACAGCCGGAGACCGGAGGTTGAAGCTTGCGGAGCGATACCTGGATAATGTCCGGGATGAGGTGGATGATTATGGCTTCGATGCGGCTGAGATTGATCGAGACTTGATCGCAGAAAGGCTAAAAGAGGATGTTGTATGTACTTGTCTTCTCATTCTGCCCCTGCCGGGCTGGTCAGGTCTGTTACCCAGAGCTGACGAGATTTGCAGGATGAATTCAAAGGACGTGTTTATCGCCAGATTGCCTCCGATTTGGCCTTCTCGACAGCTTCTCATACATTCTTCCGGGCAGACACACAATCAACCACGTCAATTGCAGTCCACTCACCCTATGTTTACACCGTGTCGAAGGACAAGACCTTGATCAAGTGGGAACTCGCCACACCCACTTCCGCGGCATCTACGACAAACGGAGAGACCTCCAAGCGCCCCCCACGGCCACAGCGCAAAAAGCCAAAGCAAGTGAGATTTGTTCGGGGTTTGCGAAAGGTTGCGGAAACCGGAGAAGAGCATGGTCATACCCAGAATATCTTGTCCGTCGCAGTGTCGCCGTCCGGAAAGTTTGTGGCTACTGGAGGACAAGATCGGAAACTTATCATTTGGGATGCGGAGAGTCTGACCCCTTTGCAAACCTTCACGCAACATCGCGACGCTGTCTGTGGTCTTGCGTTCGCTCGCCACATATCTACCATGAGCTCCGGAGAGCAGCTCTTTTCCGGCTCCTATGACCGGACCATCAAAACCTGGTCTTTGAGCACGGCCGGCCATGCATACGTTGAGACGCTCTTCGGTCATCAGGACCATGTGACAGCAGTCGGCGCAATGACTATCGACCAGTGTATCAGTGTCGGAGCACGCGATCGCACGGCCAGACTGTGGAAGGTCGTCGAAGAATCCCAGCTGATCTTCCGCGCCGGCTCCAAGGGCGCCTCTTACCAAGAAAACAACATTGACTGCCTGGCACCTTTACCTCCCAACCATTTCGTTACCGGATCAGACTCGGGCTCGCTCTCGCTCTGGTCCGTCCACAAGAAAAAGCCTCTCCATACGATCCCTCTCGCCCACGGCCTCGACCCCTTACCTCCACTAGACGAACTCTCTGCCGAGGTCGACCAGAACACCGCAGCACACAACTCCCGTCACCTCCGGCGCATGCCTCGCTGGATTACCGCATTGGCTACCGTTCCCGGCACTGATATCGTGCTCAGCGGCAGCTGGGATGGTTTCATCCGGGCATGGAAGATCTCGGAAGATAAGAGAACCATTATCCCACTGGGCCCTGTCGGAGCAGGGTCCAGCATCCCGCTACCCCCCGACACACCGTCTGAACAACTCAAGCAATCCCTTGCATTCGACACACCGGATCGCATGGCAGTTGATGATGCGACGAACCAGCAGACCGAAGAAGAAGCAGAACCGCTGATCAAGGGTGTCATCAACGACATTGCCGTTTTCGAACGTCGCGCAGATACCGCCAAACCGGGCCAGGCGCCCGAGCCGAAGTCCAAGTCCAAGTCCAAGTCCAAGTCGAAATCCCAACCCACCGCTCCCGAGCAACGTGGTGTGTGTATCGTAGCCGCCGTTGGCAAAGAACACCGGCTAGCACGCTTCAAATGCTTTTCCAACAACTTCCACGACGGTCCCTCCGCAGACGGCCGGAACGGCGCCGTAGTCTTCGAGGTGCCATTCATCTCCGATAAGCAGCCGAAATAGGCGCTAATTTCGACGACGGCGGCAGCGACGGCGGCGGCGATATGAAATGTAGTGAAATGGATGGCGTCCCGTGTATCCCACATTTTCTTCTTCTATGCATGTACTATCTTATTCCCGGGCCGGTGGTGTCTGCATACTGCTTCATTGCTTTTAAAAGTTCGCATTAGAAGAGGCTTTCCCCCTCATCTCCGTGATTTTTAGCCGGTTTGTACTTATGTATATACTTTTCTACGATATCTTTTTTTTCTCTCCTTCGAATGGATGCCTATCACCCCATCAGCATCGAAAAAAAAAATTACAATAAACCAATAATGTGAAAACAAAAGCCAACCATCCAATCCAACCCAACCCAAAACCAGGCCCTAAAAAGTACCATAAACCCCTCTCTCCCCAAGACCCGCTATACACATAGTACTAGTAGTAGCCTAGAATATAGATAGATCAGGCCCGCTCACCAGGGCCCAGACTTAAGCGCCGTTGGTGACTCTTGTGCATTTCTGCAAGTGCAAGCCGCAAATGCCAAGGGTGGCAGGGTGCAGCGGCGGTTCCATTAAGCCCCGGCACCCGGGCACTAAAGCCGGCGACTAAGCTGAAGGCGGATTGGAATACCCGGACTCCGGAGGTGGGCGGGGAAAATCAACTACTACTAGTATACAGCGAACTATTTATGGGTTGTGCATTATGTTGGTCATCGGATGGACTGAGAGCCAGGACTTTGACGCGCGATGTGATGAGGGCGGTTCTTTCATTGGGAAGGGGGGGGGTTCTCATTATTGATGTTGGGGAAGGATGGATGCGGCGTTACGGTTGTGCATGGGGTGATGGGAATATGGACCGTGGTGACTGGCTGGTTTGATTGGTGGCGAGCGAGGTGGGCTCAGGGCTGAGATGTCTTGATGCATGATAGTGAGGGGTTGGTTGGCTGGTGTTGGTCCCGGTCATGGGGAGATTGTCAATTCTTGCAATCTAGAGTAGAACAGAAGAGGGGCAAAGTATGCCCTAGGATACCTGATGATACATGCGTCCTGAGAAAGAACCGAACTTCGCTAGCAAACAACCCCTACCCAAGGTACAGAAGAAGTGGCAAGGAACAGCGGATAACAAACGGGGGTATTTTTAGATGGCTTGTAGGAAAGGCTAAAGTCTCGCCATTCAATGATACAGAAGAATCCCTAACACCTGTAGAACACAACACCTTGGTCCTTTTCACTAGCGCGATTGATGAGGTGCAGGTGTCTGATATGGCACAGGAAGGAGTTTTTCAAGTCTCATGCATTGGTGGCTAGCACCAAACAAGAGAGTAGTCACAGTCGGGCTGTCATTAACAAGAGATTATCAATCGTCATTAGAGTCGTAGAGAAGATGTTGAGCTGGTTTAGAAAGCCGAAGTTCGGCAGTTTCCCCTATCCCTTGTCCTCCTTGTCGGTCGTACGGGGCCCTCGTCAGAATCATCTTCCACGCTGATTGCATTCCCGCGAGACGACCCGGCGGACACCTGCTGGGGACGCTGTGTGTCCCCAAAGGATGTTGCTCGGGAAACAGATCCGGTCTGTCTTGATGCTGTAGCAGGTGTCCCGTTTTCGCGAGGTGGAGAGCTGGACTGTATACGGTAGGTGGGGATTCGATTGCGTCGAATTCCACTTACGGGCGGCCGAATCGGCTCGTCATCCTCATCCTCCTCGTCATCATCATCATCATCATGCTCCTCATGACTTTCATCAACCTCGCTTCCGTCTGACATCTCGTCAAAGGCGTCGCTTCCGATAGTTGTTGTGCGAGTAATCGAGAACTCATGCGGCCCTACTACCGTAGATCGGTCAGACTCGGAGTAGTTGTCATTCTCGAGGTCATCGTCGATGAATGAATCCATGTCCGCGTCTTCATCCTCATCGATGTCGCTATCCCCATCGAGGGCCGAGGAAACGCCCGAAGGCCAGTTGAAGAGATTTTGCCGCTGAAAGGGCGCGTTTGTGCGCGATGGAGGAAGATCACCAGGACCCAGGCCGTACCATTGACGGTAGAGTTGATCTAGTTCGGCGGGCCGGATATCAAGAGGCAGGTCATCAGGATACTCGTCCCAACCATAGTCGTCAGTGTCCCCAAATCCATCTTCCAGCTCGTCATCCAGATAGTCTGTCATTTCAGAATTTTCTTCTGAGTCGCTCCAACCAGAGCTGTCTGTCACAGAGTCATCGTCTTGCCGATATCCACATTGCACACAACCCGAATCCTCCTCAAGCTCCCACGAACAACGTGGACAACGGACGACATTGTCCTCCAGATCCACAATAGGTTGCGCAGTTGGGATCCTCTTGTTAAAGGTGCCCCGAAACAGACCTCCTTCTTTCGGGTGTGTATTCAGTTTGTCTTTTTCCAGTCGCCCCGCCTCCTCGCGTTGGTGGCGTAGGTGTTCGTCTGTTGTCTCGCCCTTATCGAGCAGCTCCGGGCGGCTTGTGAACATTTGAACAACGGCGCGAACCTTCAGCACACCAGTTAGTGCCCATTAAGCACCCATTCAAAATGACAATACAGCGTAAGACTTACCAGGTAAGCGGGGGCGGGTTGCGCTTTCACCGGCGCCCGACAATCCGGACAGGTCTTGTTGTGCCTCCCACCGACGAACCATGATGTCAAGCACTAGGAAGAAAGGTCAGACATGGCCAAGATAGGTACGGCATAGGCGGGCTTTACTGACACTATAGCAAAAGGTATGTCCGCAGGCAAGGGTGTAGGGTTCATAGAGAGGTCGGATGCAAACACCACATTGTAGGATGGACCGAATATCGTCGACATGACCTTGCAGTGTTTGAAAGAGCTGGGAGAAAGATTATCAGCATACAGAAATCCAGAATTCGAGTGGAGCAGCTCACTCCCGATGCGTTGTCTCCATGGTTCACTTTTGGCGCGTTGCTATCGGTGCCATTCCTAAAGGCAGCGCCAGCGGGAGTGAGTTCGGACATCGCGTAGATTCCCGGATCAAATGTCTATGGTAGTGGCCGTATATACTGAGAAATATGTTTCTGTATACAGCGCGATAGACGGGGTCGCCGATATAGAGGGGACGCGGTTCGCGGTTGGGGAGGAGGAAGGAGGTGGCAGATAAGTATCTATGGATGGACTCTCAGGTACGCGAGAGAATTGCCGACATAACTGGGTCCCGGAGGTGCTCTGGCTGACAGAAGGAACTCCCCGAGAAGCGCTCGAGACCAACAAAAAGAAGGGAGAAAGGCCGGAAACGCCGAGATGAGGGGCCTGTTGGCTGGAAGGAACTAGGAAATATGAGCAGCACCAAGCAGAAGTGCACTGAAGATCAAAGAAGAGTGAATCGGCATCATTGGTCTGGACAGGGCGGCCGAGCAAGACGTGAGCATGATTTTCTGGTCGGTAATCCGCGCGCAAACCGAACAAACACGCGCCATCAAATCGGGTCCGATCATGGAATGGATCCATCCAACACTTCCCTCAACCGCAATTACGCGGGTCACTAGGAGCTTCATCTTCTTCTCAGCCCGAAGCGTTGCGGGCGAAATCATGGCCGATGATTTGTCCTTGGACGGGCTAGGAGCCTACTAGCAGCCTGGCAGCGTACCCTAACAACTAACAAGGACTAAGGTCGAGGGGTCAGCTACTAGTAGTATCTTACCGGCTCCGTCTCGCCGTCGAGACGCCAATCCATCGCTCCCGCTTAGATACCTAGGTAGTACCCCTTCACCTCCGTCGGGAGCGGCTGTCATCAATAACAACAACAATAATATTGTACACCCATCAGTTCGGGCAGCAATCTTCCAAACCACATTCTCAACGAGCTGGCACAGGAGAAGTACCAACCAACATTTTGGCACTTGCCCCTTTCAGACCAGTGCATCTGCCTGCACTTGCTGGTGCTTCACAGGGCCACAGGGCTGCTGAACGCCGGCTGCGTGTGATCATGGAGGGTATGGTGCACCCAAATGCATGTTGGTCGCTTCTGCCGTGGCAATAACTAGGCCTGCATCTTTCCACCTGGCGATAAGACTATGGCAAAAATCAGGGCACGAATGACTACCGGACACACTTAAGAACCAGAAAGCCCCTCAGTCAAGTCCTACCGCTGTCCTGCTTACTATTACTCACTCTTCCCTCGTTGTACAAAGATTCTTGCAGCTATGGATGAAGGTATTGACAAGACAAATGACCGTGCATCGACGTAAGTCCTGTACCTATACAGCACTTAACGAGAGATGATTTTTTCAGGCTCACTTTGTTCAAATTTCACATGCTTCGGGCCATCGCCTGGTGGTCGGCGGTTAGTACTTAGCCTGGTAAATGCATGTCTTCGGCTCACCACCTCCTTTAAATCGTCCCCGTTGGACTGAAGCGCTTAGTAGGCGCTAAATGGTCTAATCATTTCGCATTACCTTGGCCTTATCAAGTTCTTTCCACGAGATCAGGATTTGCTAATTGACTACCGATTACTGTTACGCAGACTCGAGTATAATGGGAAAGAAGAAAGGATAATAATGAAACTTTGTTTCAACCTGACATCCTACTGCACGATATCAAGGAAATTAAACGATCTTCCAATGCTATATCGCTGAATCATTCAAGCCCAGTAAAGCTACGAGCTGAACAATTCCCGTGCAACAAAACATCGGCATGCTTGATCAACAAAAGAAATTCATCAGATCCCAGTGGCCCAGTTGCAACCATTGTCATTTGTCACGCGCAAGTCCAATAGCACCCAGCACCCAGCGCGACACCGAAGCCATAAGCGGGAAACCCCTAAGAAAGACTAAAAAAAATTACCTAAGAATAACATCTCGAGACCAGCCGGACTTGATTTTTGAGAAGATGAAGGGGAAGAAGAGAAATGGCGAGGCATCACCAGCCGTGGCATTGCACCCGAAGACCGGTCTAGTCCACAGCAGCAAAGGCACGCTTCCTGGATTGCTGCAGCTTGAGATCCTCGGAGATCAGGTGGCTGTCATCGAGAAGGCCCTTGATAACTTTATCGTCGTCCACGATTTCCTTGTCCATATGCTCCAAGAATTCGATCTGCTCGCGGATGAATCGTTTCATAGCAAGAGTATCGAAAGGCCGTTTAGATCGCTCTCGGTCCCGCATGAGTTTGTTGGCTGCGCGAAGACGATCTTCAAGGATCTCGAAGCGGTATTCAGCGAATCCATGATAAAGCCCGCCCAGATCTGAGATGGGACGGACAGTGGTTAGAACAGTGTCGTCCTTGGTGGCCGAAGCACGAGGTCGGAACGACGTCACCATGGAGATCCGTTCAGTCGTTCCCAGCGCACGGAGAGCTTGGTGTTCAATGTATCGTCCCTGAAGAATCACCGCGGAGCCCTAGAACAGCCTGTCAGCCTTGTTCGCTATCGGTTAGTGGTGTTGTACTTACCATCTGTGGACCTCTAACCTTCACGACCTCGCCGTTGCCCTTCCTAAGGGCTGTTTCTCCGCCGACCATGTCCTTGCAGTCGGAAAGCATGGTCACACAGACGAAAGGATAACTGTCCGTATGCCAGTCCACAATGGGGTTTTCATCCTCCCAAGGACATCCTGCAACCCCCTCGTCGGATGCTCGGCTGGCCTTCTCCAGAACTTCCTTGAGGGCTTTGTTCTTCTCCTCCTCGCTATTCGTGGAGACATTCACGTGACCGATCTCGAAATCCATGGCAGGGACGAGCTCAACACCTGCAATCTTAGAGATGATAGCCAGTGTCTCGGGGCTTTTCCAGGCGTCATAGACAAAGGGTGCGCACCTTGTTCGGTATGTCAGCGCTGACCTTGGATGGTGGAAGAAGCTTGCTACTTACTCAGCGGCATATCCCCGCAACTGACACTGGGCGATGTTACTCGAATATTTGTGCTTAGAAAACACTTCATCACTCAAAACCTCTTCGCGCATGAGCTGGATGGCCTCAGCCGAGAAGAGCGGGAAGGGCTCGGAGACACCAATCGGCGAAACGCCACGACTGTCAGGATAGCCGAGCTCTTTCATAGTGTGCACCTTTGAAGGGGGAGTATGGGCGAGGTGCTTGGAGGGATCGAAAGAAACATGTTTCGGTGCCAGGGTCGCTTTCTTCATCTGGGCAGCCTCATTTCCATTGAGCTGAACAGGCCCGGTGGAGGTCGAGACTGAGGTGGCCGCGGGCGCCATCGTTCTGAGTAGTGAGAGCTTCAGGAGGCTCTCATCAGCACTGTTCTCCCATATGGCGTACTCAGAGACACTTACCGTTTTGTTTCTCTTGCAAAGATTATGAGTGGTGCTTTGGCAGACAACCTGCAATTGCTCGAAGGAGATATACGAAGAAGATGGATGAAGACAAACTCTCAAGGCGCGTCAAGGTATTTATACACCGGGTATAACGACCTCAGTTGTTGGCCAGCTCCGATGATAAATGCCTGGACTCCGTGCGAAAGTGCAAATAATCGCTCAAATCTCCTCTCATGGAAGGTCCAGATGATGTTTGGCTGCTGACAACGGTACCTAGCTAGGGAATACCGCGGGATCACTCATTGTCCAGTGAATGCAGATGCGGTGGGTTCCTTCCGTTCACACCTGTACTGTTAATGCATACATCAATATGACGGAGGGTACCCGATAATACCTGTATGGAGGGGGTGGGTTTCCTGCTATCCGGCCCCGATATTCGTTCACTTCCGTTGCTGATTTTCCTGAGGATTGGCTGGGCTTCACTATCCATCATGCAAAGGGAGTGACAGCGGCATAGACACTCTCTTGGGCAACTGTGGGTCAGCAGAGAGACCCGCGGTAATAGCCCATGGAAACTGTTCCTATGTTCGGTTTGGCACCGTGAATTGATGCTCCACCAAGGCATCCTTGCTGTGGCGATCAGTCACTGCTTGATTGGCTCTAGGTCTCCGATTGCCTGGAATCCTCGGTGCAAAGGTGACAAGATGGTCCCTACATGCGTCCGTTCCATGGCCAGAATAGCGCCACGGAGTTATAGTATTCCTGTCCACCATTTTGGAAAGTCGGACCAGGCAGCATTCAAGCCGATACTGCTTTGGCTGGTGTCCAAGCATCCGACTACGCCAAACCGAGCCCGATGCATGCTACTATATTTCCTGTTTGGGATAAGAGCCGCCGATGATTTGATAAGGGAATTCCAGGATCGGTCGGGCACCAGTTGACACTCTGCTTGGTCAAGATCTGAGCTTGGGCGAATAGATGGAGGGATGTCAGCAACCTGTGTGCTGGGCTCCGCTAACATGCCGCTAGATGGGACTTTTTGACTTGATTTGGGATTAGGATCGGAGCGGATCCATTTGTCTAGCTCGGCAAGTTATCAGAGAGTTTGGTGCGGCTATCAGATAACGGCGACCCCCTCTCTCTCCGTCTGTTGGCGACTTGCGACCTGCACGGCTCTCGCGGCCTCGCGGGCGCTCTATGGCCCTTGCGCTCCCCGCGCATATCCAGGTGTCACTTGATCTCTCTACCCCCGGTCAAGGGGCAGTTCGGAATAATTAGTGGTCCTCGTATCCCGACAAACATGTGCTTTAGGGGTAGGGGTTCTAAACGCCCTTTGCGTGACAGCGCCGACTGTTGGGATGTCTTCATCACCACTACCACCAATCGCTAACGAGTTCGAGGCCGAGTAAGGGAGGCTATCGTGGTCTACTGAGGAGACGAAAAGAGGATAAATTGTAGGGACATAATTCATATCTATCATTGTTGTGGTAGTGGTACAGATGGCGGGCTTGGGGTGGACTGTTAGTCTTCTGCATAAGTCGACTCCACTCAGCGTATCCGATAGCAACTAGGTAGGTACTAGATACTAGGCAGGTTCATTGCAATCCTACTATGTATTGATGTTGCCAAGTGGGGTTGTTACCTTCTCACGGGGATGGACCACGCCCCAGACACGGCAAGTATGTGTTGCGAAAGTTTGACCCAATTCCATGTGCTCTCTCTCTTCGATCTTAATTAACTTCCTCGAGTCAGCGCCCTGTATCATACTGGCTCGTAACCATGTGACGAACGGAACCGATGTCAGGAAGCTTCAGCAACTGAAGTGGACGCGATTCAGAAAACGCCACTGAAGCTTTAGGGATTGCGTCGAGACCCGGGGGGGTGTCCACGAGGAAAAAGAAAATAAAGTAACTTCCAGAACGAGCTTGAGGGGAGGGGTAATCTGGGGGCATGGAACTGGTGCAAGGAAGATAGCCTGGGAAGTCAGACAGTTCACGTCAAGTTCCTATGGACTATTAGCTCCTGTGAAGCTAATTCTGGAATACCCCGGAAAACGTCCACAACATGGCTCGTTCACATCCTCCAAATTCGAATCTCGAGTCTCCAATCTCCAATCTCCGAGATCGAGTCTAGCCGGCTGTGAGAGCACCTTGGGCAACGCAGCCACCTTTCTCGAAGACCACCGAGTTTATCGGCAGAAATTCCCCCTCACGCGACCTATCTTTATCTTTGGCGAGTTAGGAAGTACATTAGCTGGAAGCATGGGCTCGTCTGGTAGTATCTACTATCTAGATAGAGCGTAACAGTACGTGGGCTTGGTCGGGGCTGGACCTCCACGCCAAGACTGGCGGGTCTGGATTTTCGTCCGGCCGCTTCGATTGGTAGGTACAGCGCGGAATCCTCTCCATCATCAACCATCAACCATCAACCATTAACAATAACAACATCCGCAGTCCCCGAGATATTCATCCGTCTCCCGACTAGGAATTCAGTCCATCCTGCCCGGCGCCACCTCCCTTGATCTCCGTATATCCGGTCTCAAAGGCTTGTAGCTGCTTACTGGTCTGACTTATCACGAACTATGGCCTCCCCATCGGATCAGCAGCCATCCTCTTCGGAACAATCCCAAACCAATGCCTGGGAACGGGTGGAGCGGAGATTCACCAGGTATTTTTTGTCTCTCTACGGTCTCTTTCACACTCACCGTCTTTTTACTCCGGGGGTCACACTTAACGGTGCCTGCCACAGGGTCAGCTGAAAGATGCCGTCGGTTCCTTCATCATCATAATCATTTTCGGGAAGCACCATGTCTCTGCTCACCCATGGTGGCTCTTGGTAATTACAATCCATGACTGACGGTTTTCTCTTGTTTTCAGCAAACCTGCGAGTGAATACTTCGACCCATGTCAAGATTTTGCGGATCGAAGCCTAAAGTGTATGAAGCGCAATGGCTTCGATAAGGAAATGTGCTCGGATTATTTCCAGTAAGTTCTATGGTTTCTTACATCATGTAACCTTGATTCGCGTCGGCCCCAAAGGATGGACACCTTGCAACTATCTCTAATAGACTACATTCACTACCATCCCATCCGATCTTGTGACCGGAGCAGCTCCTTTTCCGAGTTCCCTGGCTATTGTGGATTCTCTGTCCCGCTCACTGACCGAAAATCCTTCAGGGCTTATAGAGATTGTAAAAAGCAGTGGGTGAGTACGAACCATCAGGCTTACCCTTTTGCGGCCCTGTCGACTCGCTGGTTTTTACGACAGCTCCGGGAGTTGAATGCGCGCGCGCATTGAGGGTATTTCCGTATTGGTTTCTGTCCTGTACACTGACACATCACTGCAGTTAACTCAGAAGAAGCTTGGCTTGTCGCCGGCTCAAAAACAGTGATCGAGAGATCCCTCCGGTTTTATATGTGCTACATTAACTCCGGGATCCCAGGCAGCAGCCCCATCAGAGTTGCCATGTTATCAGGCCTATGTTTGCTGATCTTTATTCTTCACTCTTAAGTGTGCCAAAGCTCATGTGTTCAATAATCTGTCTTCCTTCTAGGCCAGGTATCTAGGCTTTCCGGCGCCATGGCGTCAGGATAAGCCCTGGTTATCGGCCATGCCATTCGTGGACGAGGAGGCCACGGTTGTCCTCATTTTTCAATAAAATACTCCTTCCTAGCACTAGCTTTCAGTCACCCAGAAAGCAGCTGCGACTCTCGCCATGGCGCCCTTATCTTTGCTGTGTGTTGGCTAGCCTGCAAGATAAGGAGTGTCTTATTTGGGCATGCTATCCTGGCATCTTGATACATGGCTTTCGCCTCCGGTCTTATTCCCAATAGCTGTATATTATTTGTGTCTATACCGAATATGTCTCCTTTTTGAATTAGTACAATCTATCTTACGGTATTTTCATAACGACTAGATGTCCTCAACGGAGCAGCTGGCATGAAGTGCACAGAATATATATCAAGTTCTCGGAAAATCGTTGTAGTATTCAACTGCGTACCCTAGACATCCCAGGATCTCTGAGATTAAACTGACCATTCATAGTTGCCTGTAGAGCTATTTAATTGCCACCTTCGCCTTTCACTTCCAATCCAACCCACCCCCTCCCTTGGTGCATTGGTTAATGTTAAAGTGGCATGGGGATATGGAGCCCGTCACCGCCTTCCCGCTGAGCTTCCCCGCCCACCAAACTCAGCAGAAAGCCGATAAAGAAAGTATGGAGGGCAATCTTAATTTCTCCCCTCACCCTCGCTGTATAACCTTCCCCGCACACCGTGTGCTGTGCTTGGACGCGCAGCATACGCTCCTTCTTCCCGATCTGGGTATAGACAGAGGCTCTCCTTCGACCCCTTTCACTCGACTCTTCGAGTTTCACTTCTCATCATGTCTACCAATGACGCCGTGTTCCATCGCCGGAATAAGCAGGTTCAAGATGCCATTGACGGGCAAAATCTAAAGCAGGCCCTTCAGCTGATTGACAAACGCATTAAGAAGGGTGAAGATAACAGGTTTCTCAAGGTAGGTTATTTTCTTGGACTGATTTCTTTTCGCTGCACTCTGTTTGCGTGGCGTCTGTACTAAGCAGACCACTGCCGAAATGCCTGTTACAGATCTCTCATAGTACACTTGCTGACTGGTGAAACTTGGCCCAAAAGGCATGGAAAGCAAACATTCTGTTCCGCCACGCCGACGAACCAAACCGCAATCGTGGTATCGCGGAAACCCTGGAGCTATGCAAAGCCGAACCGCCCACAACGGATCTCGACACCCTGGATATCCTCCAGGAGACGCTGGAGAGGATGCCTGGCCATGGAGATACTTTGAGGAGCATCTGGGAGAAAGCCTCGAAGGCCAATCCACGGGAGTTGGATATCCAAATGAGATGGTTTGACTATGCCTTCGACGGTGACGACTGGAAGTCTGCACAGAAGGTCGGTGTCCTATATGTGCCTCGGGGAAAAGGTCTATCAGGCTGACTTACTCCATATGGTCGAGACTTAGGCTGCTATGGCTCTTCAAAGCAACTTCCCTAAGACAAGAAAATATCACTTGTGGGCTATCTTCCTTAGCTATCTCATTTCAATTGATGAGGCTAGCTCGGAGACTGACCGCAAACTGTTTGGAATGTTGGCCTACCGTATGGTATCTAAGGCTGCCGAAAGTGTTCCTTCCGACTCGGTATGTTCCCCTCAAGCTAGCTCCAGTTCTAGTTGGGGCATCCGGTTGAGTGTCGGACGCCCTACTATGACCTTTTGTGACAGCATGGTGATGTGTGGAAACAGAAAGAACTGCTGAGCTCTCCCAGAGCTATACAATCGGCCGAGGAGCTGCTATTACTCATCAAGATTTTCGAGTCTCAAGGACGGCATGCCGAAATTGTGAAGATCCTCAATAGCGAGAATCTCGGTATCAGCTCGCGTCTCATCCAGAATGACTGGTCTTTTGTTGGAGACAAGCTATCAAGCCTGGAAAAGGCTCAAATGTGGACTGAGGGGCTGGCGTACACAAAGGAGTTGCTTGCGATCCCGACCAGTGAAGCTGAACGAAAGGCTCTCCAAGAACGTGACGACTGGGCGGTTTGGCACCTGCTCATTGTCGCAACCAAACAGATCAACAGTTTAGAGTAGGCTCTCAACTCAATTGTGGAACATCACGCACGTTGGCTGATAACTTTCCCAAGTACCACGACCGAGACACAGAAGTTCCTTGACGATTTCATCGCGGCTTCACCGAAATCTCGCAATGCGCAATTGGCTCGACTTGACCTTGTGCACTGGTCCTTCCAGTCAGGTAACCTGAAATCCGACGACTTGATCTCTGCTTGCCAAGAGTACTTCGACCATAACAAGCATAAGCTCTATTGCTTTGGTGATTTACGGAGCTATGTGCCCGCACTGGACAAGCCCTCCGTGTTGAAATTTGTGGAGTATGTCTCTAAAGGCACAGAGGGACAAACCGATGTAAGCTTCGAACACTTGCATATGCTGACTTCAGCTGATCCCCAAATCTAGGGACAATCTCCATTCAACGATGTTGGGAAGATCAATGCGCTCAAGTCCGAGTACTGCTTTTTACTATCGGCGGACGAAGCCAATGCATCTAAATCTAAAGTGGAAGAGTTCGTCTCCCGCTGCTTGCAGGTCTATCGTGAGGTCGAACGACCCGAGAAAAGCTCGGCGCCATCTACGATCGAGAGCCAGCCCAGTGATGACTTATGTCTGCTTGCGGCCATGAGTCTAATCCGCTTCAGTGGTGCGTGGATTTCTGGCAGCAGCGAACAAGTCCCGGATACTGTTCTTATCCGTGCTGCAGCAATCTTGGAACGCCTTCTAGTTGACTCACCTCACAACTACCAGGCGTTGCTGCTCCTTGTCCGCATCTATCTGCGTCTCGGTGCAGGGTCTCTTGCTCTTAAGACTTTTAGCAAACTTTCCGTTAAGCAGATACAGTTCGAGACGGTTGCCCATAACCTTTTCACACGTCTTGCAACTATCCACCCACACTCTGCACCGCCGATTGAGGGAGCAGAGTACAAGGATTTTAACCCCCAGTCTGCTTTCGTCCAAGCCCTCAATTTCTTCAGGACGGCGGATGTCACCACTGTTCGGAACCGCTCCAAGGGTCTGGACTATGGAAGCTATGTGAACATACAGGGCACCATTGATCTCCAAAAACGTCTTAAGCAGAGTATCTGCCGCAGAATGTGGGCATTGGACGTGAGACGCATACAGCGCCTGGCTGGTGGAGAGCCTATGGGCCGCTACGAAGACATGGGTAAGTTGGGGACCCCACCCGCCCGATGAACCATTTTCTAACCTAACCAACAGCGAGAGATACGTCACCTCTGGTCGATCAGCGCATTTTCGATGCCTTCATGAACTGCGAAGCACCTGGCCAGCCCACGTTTGAGGAACGGATGCGCGTGGGACCTCTGCCTCGTGTGAGTTACCCTTTCTTCCCATGACTTGCGGATGCGGCTGACTAGTATAGGACCAATGGGTGAAATCTTCGAGGATGACAGATCATCTCTTTGACCTTCTGAAATCAATGGCGGCTCAGAAGTCGGTGTCTGTGGAACCTGAGTTGCCCAGTCTTGGAGATGTTGTGGGACCCAACGCGAAAGCCGAAATGACACCGTCGGAGATCGAAAGTGCGAAGGTGAATTTAAGCATTCTAACCCTGGCTCTGTTCCTGAATGGGTCAAAGTCAATCACCTCTGATCAGGTTGATGCCTGTCTCACCCTAGTAGAAGATTGGTTGGACTCGAAGACCAAGGACATGACTGTGAGCGACACCAATGTTTCGCCGGCCATGTCCAACACGGCTATCTACTTGAAAGCAGAAATGCCTACTGCTCCATCCTGGAGGTACTTTCACAGCTTATTTATCGTACTCGACTCCCTTAAGGCCGTGTCCCTTCTCTGTACTGTTGCGCTGAGGAAGGGATCCAAGGGCAAACTACCGAAAGCTCAGGTTGAGAAGCTGGCTGACATGACGCGTCAAGCCCATCAGGGCGTACGAACTAACATTCGCGCTCTCAAATCTCATATCTCTGCCCCTGGGGTCCTGGGTTCCCTGACCGACTTGGTTGTGGCTGGCTCTGGCAACGAAGACGGCCCCCAGCTTCGGGCTGAACTGGACAAGACGCTGGACATGTCCGCTCTGGAGGTGTTCTGCGGTGAGTTGATGGAGAGCTGGGAGGAAGGTCTTGGTGGTATGTTCGCTGTGTCTCTGTAAAAGCCAACCAAGGCCATACGCAATGAAGTCATACATGTGAATTATACAAATGCCGAAATCCACGGCATCTCTATCTTCCGCTACTGATAGCATGGGAACTTGATCCCAGATGGACTTGTCGCTATGTGACTTTGCGTCGTCGATCGACAGGGGGTATTATCACCTCCATTGGGTTGATATTACGGGAAGCTCCCGACCTCTGTCGCACCGTTGAACCCCGGAAGGCACCATAGTCAACGATAGAAATGTAGGACAAATGTGACCTTGATATTAGAGTGCTCACGCGGCCGAAAGTTGGGAATGTCGATCTCCTTCTGCAAGGGCGCTTTTGCGGACTCTTTCCTCTCCCTTGATTCCCGGCCTGGACCCGGTCCTGATTCCAATACTCGCATGAGCGACATGGCTGATGAGTCTGGCGACTGAATATTGGCGGAGGTGTCCTGGGACAGGCCTGGTGAGAAAAGAGAGGGTCACACTGCAGCTGCAGCCGGAGCAAGAATCTCCCTGGAACACTACGTGGACAATTCTCTTGCCGTTCCATGCTTGTGCCACGCACACATTCTCCGGCAGGCGGCGACGCCTTGCGTCTAGGGGGGCCCAAAGGCTGCCTAGGTAAAAAACACCGGGTGCCAGATGCGCACACTGCCATGCCTGATCGAGTGCTTGATACTCATGGCCTGGTCCTGTCAATAAGCATGGCGAGGAGCCTGCAGTTACACCTAAGAATGTGTCACTCTGGCTGCCTTGGGGCCCACTGCTAGACTTACTTTAAAACTCCGGCCCTCAGCCTGAGTGCCCTAAGTGCATCGTTGGTCCCTCCGTTTCTCTCGCGTGATAGGGGATGCCATGGCCAGCCCTTCTCCACTTTCCTACGATTATCGACACTCGCCCCAGTTTTGGGATGTAGTCACTCAGACCGTATGTCTTACTGTGAGCACCGGCTTTGTCGCCATGCGTCTGTATTCAAAGTTCCATATCACAAAGGCGCCTGGATGGGATGACTGTACGTGACATTCCGGGACCTTCTTTTGTCCGCAACGACGACGGGCTGGATAAGACGCTGAGCTTGATGTTTGCCAGGGACTTGTTGTCTGGCTTGGGTATGGAGTCCGAGCCGTTACTCCCGCTCGCCATTTCATACGCTTACAAGAACCTCACTAGTTCGGGCTGATAGGATATGTCGTTCTGGCTTTCGAAGCAGACAGACACGGAAGTGGTGTCCATCAGTGGGAGGTGGACGCCTCGGATCTGCGCGAATTCTCCAAGGTACGAGAATGCCAACTTTGTGATCTGCAACCTCAACTGCTGCTGACAATTGTATAGTTGGCCAATGCATCCCAAATTCTCTATGGACCTTTGATCTTCTTGACTAAATTGTCCATCTTTCTTTTATATGTGCGGGTATTCGCGCCATCGGCAAAGTGCAACCCATTCTGGTTTATACAGGTCCTCATCGGGCTGAACTTCTTGTTCTACCTGGCAGATACCATCGTGAAGATTTGCGAATGTACCCCGCGTGCGAGAATATGGGACAAAAACGTCCCGGGCCATTGCATCAATGTCAATATACCGATCCTTGTGACGTCGATTGTGAACGTCGTCTCAGACCTTATGATGCTCCTGATGCCCATCAGGTGTGTATGGCGTCTGCAGATCCCTGTGCGGCAGAAGATAGGGATTTCAGCGATATTTGCAGCAGGCATCTTGTGAGCTACCTGGTGCAGATACCTCATAGCTCAAGTGATAGCGCTAATTGTGAGGGGGGTAGCGGCTGCATCGCTAGTATCATGCGTCTTGTAGTCAGCATCGGGAACAGTGACACGCCTGATAAGACATACGACTGGTTCCCCGAGTTTTTGTGGACGTAATGGCTCCCCGCTTTATATGTGAACTGGCTTTAGCGTTCATATAGCTAATATCGTGTAGGACTGCGGAAATCACGTCGGGAATCGTCGCCAGTAGCTTACCGGCTCTACCAAGCTTTTACAGGCACACTTCTCAAAAGGCAAAGGCTCTGCTGATGAGTATAAGCACAGGAAGCTTAGCGACTTTTATGAAGAAATCAGCTAGCGCGAGCAATGCATCTAGAGCTAGACAGTCCATTTCGCGCCATCCTTGGCACTCTGCTCTGGATCGCAGCGGGAGCAATTTGGTGTCTGGGTCGGACTGGGAGATGGGCGAGGTCGGGCCGTTTCATGGGACGTGCTATACAACTACAGAAGCTACGGCGGAGAGAGATGGGGAGAGAGGGTTCCACTTGAACGTCGATGGTCTCCGGGTCGGGGAGGAATGCGGACCGAGGGCTGGGATTCTGAAGATCGTGGAGGTAGATGTTGAGTCCGGTCCGGGGTGAGGACCTAACGCGATGACGGGTGCATGATATGTAGCTTCTACGAGATGATAATGATACTGATGATGAAATGAGCCAACGAGCAGTATGGTCTAGTTCAACTCCGCAACTATCTTAGTTAGGGTCGAGACTCCATAGCACCCAGATATCAGACACCTCAGGCACCAGGGCTGCGGCGGATGACAAAGCGGGCGGGCAACCCTAAGCCCTAGGCTCTCGCTACGCACGCCCGCAATGGCCAACCAAAACCCGGCAAACACTATCGCGATTCCATCCGCACCGACGCCCATCGACTCGACAACTCCCAGCAGCAACCTCCGTCGTCGCCAACCGCAGTCGTCCCAACCGTCGAGATGGCGCAAGAACGTTCCGGAATCGTGGTCGGTCTGAACAAGGGCCACGTACGTTGTCCCCTGTCCTGAGCTTGGTTTTTCCTTTCGCGTGGAGATTTGGTCCGGTCGAGTCGACGAATTTCGCGATGTTTGAATGGATGGCGGAAATATAAAATCATGGAAAAGTGAAAGTTTGGGGGATGAACATATGCCGGGAGAAGTTTCTGCGCAGGAGAGGTTCTACAATCGCCCGGCATTTTTCTCGACCTTGAAATTTGAGCTTGAATTGAAATCGTCCGACTCGGCTGGATCAAATCGGGACATGCAATTTTTATCTTGTCATCTTTCGATGATGGCATCGCGAACAAAGGAGACCAAGGACGACCGGACTAACATGGCTTGAATCTTGCAGAAAACCACCCCTCTCAACACCCCCAAGACCCGGATCAGCCGTACCAAGGGCCAGTCTTCCCGCCGCACGGCTTTCGTTCGTGAGATCGCCCGCGAGGTTGTCGGTCTTGCCCCCTATGAGCGTCGTATCATCGAACTCCTGAGAAACGCTCAGGACAAGCGCGCTCGTAAGCTCGCCAAGAAGAGGGTACGTTTGTCATTCATGGAGGAAGGGAATGGAAGGGAGGTTCGATTGCTCTCTCGATTGCTCGTTCGTCTTGCTTGGTTCGGTCCGTGCAACACTTGTCTTCCGCAATCTATCGCAACATATTATCCGACATCTCCACGAAGCCACCCGACCTTGAATATCCACCCACCATCAAACCCGATCTACAATGCGGAGAAACAACAAACCCAACATGCAGTCAACTACCAAGCGCTCCCCCGCACCATTCAAATCAGACAAGACAAGCCAAGACAAACCAATCAACCAGCCAGCCAACCAACAAGCCAACGAGCCATCAATCGAGCAACTCGAACCACCATCCCCACCACCCCTCCTAACCCCCTCAAACCCAACCTCACAACCCCGCTAACACTTTTCCTCTCTACAGCTCGGAACTTTCGGCCGTGGTAAGGCCAAGGTCGAGGACATGCAGCGTGTCATCGCCGAGGCCCGCCGCACTGGCGCTCACTAAACTTTCAATTTCTACCCATCCATCTCCTGTTTCCAGTTTTCTCTCTCTCCTATTAGCCAAGAATGAGATAACGAAAACATCATCCCACCCAACATCAAAAATGAAATGAAAGTGAAAGTGAGAACAAACCAATACCTCCTCTTCCTCTTCTCGAGTAGTTGAGCACGTACGTGCACGTACGTCTCTGGTGGGATCGTGCATAACTCCATATCCTATCCTAAGGGTCATTGGTGTGACGGATGGAATGGAGTGCATTGGATTGGATGCATGGATGCTTGCTTGACTGGCTTGGTTGGTTGGGCGGTTTTGACTATGCGGTGTTTAAAAAAAAATAGAAATCTGTATGGAATATAATACGAGGCTGCTTCTGGGAACTTTTTTTTTCGTTTTGGTTTGGGGGTTGGGGTTGGGTTTGGAGGGGGTGAGATCTATCGTAGTAGGTATGTTCTCGCTGCGGGGGCTCGACGTCATGCATAGTAGGTATTTGTATTCTCCCTGCAGTAGATTGGGTTCATATCATTCATACGTCCTAGCTATCTAAAATTTATTTCTTGCCGGGCAGTTTCAACCATTTAGGCATTCCGCCCGGTTTCCGCTTCTCTCCGCGTGACCCGTCCCCAGTGCCTGTCGGCTTTGGTTTGATCACATCCTCGGAAGTATCTATCACGTCCCGGGGCTGTTCTACTTTGAGTTCCTGCGCGCGCGTCTGCAGGGCGGGTTTCAAGAGCTCACGGCTCTGTCGGGCGGTCGGAGATGCAGTCGGATCCCAGGCGAAGTTGACCAACACCCGGCCGATCATGGATAGATCCTTGATCAAGAGATGTTGGTCGGAATCGGGGACGATGTTTTGGATATTCCGCCCATGTCCGCTGGATCCTGCAGCCCCGGAGAGTGAGGATGTGATGTTGAATTTCTCGTTGGCGATTGGCGCCGCAAGACAGTTCCGGACAAAGTCGTAGAGTGTTTTACCCGTGTCCTCTTGTCCGAACTTTGCCACCACTTGGCTCTGGTCCGGTAGACGGACCTTCACATCTACTTCCTTAACCGCGGCGAGCCGTTCCTCCTCTGCGGCTGCTTTGGCGGCGAGTTCGGCGTCCGTGGGAAGTCGCTGGGGGCGGGAGGTTGCGTTCAGCCGTCGCTGATGTGCTTGTGCGTGTTCGATGGATGGGACATAGTCGGTCTCGTTGTATGTGGTTTGTGCGGACTGGGGTGTAGCGTTGGACGGAGGAGAGAACACTGTTACAGGTCGAGAGAAACCAGCTGGTACCTCGGTAGGTTCGGCGGCAGGTGCAGTAGATGTAGGGGCTGCTGGAATGGCTTGTTCCGAAATCGAAGGGGACTCGTCCGAAGAGACTGGCTGTTGCTGTGGCTCCTCTGCTTTATTGGATGGGTCGGCTTGGGGTGGTTGCTCTGTAGGTGCAGGCGATGCTTCGGTCTTGGGAGTCTCGTCGTCGAAAGGTCTGAAGTAGTCTTGAATCTTGGCCATCGCCTCCTCCAATGGTTCCTCCGTGCGCCGGAAACTCAGTCTCAGCAGTACATTTCCGCTGTTGAATCCCAGCTGCGCCAACGATTTCTGTAGATCGGAGAATGAGGAGAGCTCTCGCTCCATAATCTGGACCACAGGTGTCTCGTAGTACAGTCTTCCGGCTCCCTCATTACCACTAGGCACACCTCGTCCTGTCAAATTCCGAGCCGAGGCACCTCCCGCGACTCCAGCTTCGAATTTGCGCAAAAGCAGCCATATCGTCGTCGTACTGGGGAACTTATCCAAAAGACGTCTGTTGGGGGGTGCCCCTCGTGCTTCCGATTCGGGCAGTTGTAAAGCGACGGTGACGACGGAGGGCGACCGGGAGAGTTGAACCAACTCCAGCTTTGCGCCGGGCGTAAGTCCCGAGAGGCGAAACACCAGTGAGAGATCGAGTTCTTTACCTTTGTATCTTGATAACAGTCGTTAGTCTGGGAAGCTTTGACGCGCTAGCATAGTTGGGCCTTACTTTAGTCCATGTTGGCTGGCCTCCACACCTAGCTTTTTGCAAGCTTCCTGTAGAATATCAGTCAAGTGCTTGCCCGGGGTCGTCTTGACTGTTGCCCTCCGGGCTGTTGAGTCTAGGACCACGACATGAGAGCTCATGGTTTGAGAGACTGGCGGGTTGCGGGGCGGGGAACTGAAGTTGAAGATGGGACAAAAGCGGCGACGGTTGCGTCCCTTCTTTCAATAGTAGGGCTTAGCTATGTAGTGGGTGTGTCCAACTGTCTGGATCCAACCGAAAAAGACTAGATAAACTGAGGGGGGTAAGAGATGGAGGAGGATGCTTGGTCAGGTCGGATGGATTAGTGATTGTAGGCAGCGGGCGCAAGCGTCATCGGCAGAAGCTCGGCGGCTCCACGCGTTGCTGGCAGAGCTTCAATCACTCCTCCATCCATCACTCCTCCGCCCATCTTCCATCTCCCATCGCCTCACACCCCCCTCTTCCTACTCACATCTCCCGTTGCGCCTCTGAACACGAACCGGGGAGTCATACTCTATCATATTCTAAGCTTCTAGTTTTGCAATTCTTCGTCAACCATGGTATGTGTGCTGCGTGACCCTCACCTCTCCCTCGAACCAACCTAGCTGACAGACCTCCCCCACAGAGTTCCCCCTTCGATATCAGTACGTATCAGCTGCGAATAGCTTCTCATCTCGCTTATTAACGCTCGGGTGTACAGATGGTGGTGCCTGCGTCGCCATGGTGGGCAAGGACTGCGTCGCAATCGCCTGTGATCTCCGGCTGGGTATGCAGGCCCTGACCGTCTCCAACAACTTCCCCAAGATTTTCAACTACGGCCCCTCCACCTTTCTCGGCTTGACCGGGCTGGCCACCGACGTGTCGACCGTGTCCGATCTTTTCCGGTACAAGGTGAACATGTACCGCCTTCGCGAGGAACGGAACATTGCCCCCCAGACCCTCGCCAACCTGGTCAGTTCGTCGTTATACGAGAGACGGTTCGGTCCCTTCTTCGTCAGTCCTGTCATTGCCGGTATCAACAGCACGACGGGGAAGCCTTTCATCTGCGGATTCGACAGCATCGGGTGTATCGATTTTGCGAAGGACTTCATTGTTAGCGGAACTGCCAGTGAACAGTTGTTTGGTACCTGCGAGGGTCTGTGGGAGCCGGACTTGGTAAGTCTCTCCATGATGGGGAAATGGAATCAGATGGCGTAGTTGTGTTTGTGCTAATACCGTGATGTAGTCTCCGGAGGATCTGTTCGAGACCATCTCGCAAGCCCTGCTCAGCGCCGTCGACCGAGACGCCCTCTCCGGTTGGGGTGCGCAGGTGTATATCATAGAGAAAGATAAGGTTACCAAGCGTCTACTGAAGGGAAGGCAAGATTAGATGGCATTCTCTGGAGTATTTCTGTTTTCTAATGTCACGCCGTTCGTCCGTTCTAATTTTACGTTTCTCAACCTTGGAATTTGCTGTCGAAAGCAGTCTCTGGCGCCGGGATCTCGACTCGCAGATGTGTGCTGTCGATAGTGATGGGGCAAGATGAAAATGAGTATGGTCTATGATCGAACCCTGAATACGATGCTTGGGGTCTAGACCTGCTGCCTGATGTATAAGCCTACTTGGAGTACGGGTTATCGTGCTCGCGTACCTCTCTTTACCTTCCACGTCTAGCCTGGTTGGGATGATCAACGGGCTTAATAATACGAGGTGGCTTTCACAGCAGGAAGGGTGTCGTCTTCGTGCGTCGTTCTTCCCAGCTCGTCAAGGCATCTACATACCGGCGGCAGATGAGTCGCGCACCCTCGCATGCTGCAAAGCACACCCATGACCGGGTGCCTTGATTCAGTGCTTCGAGGTCCACCGATTCCACGCCCCGGCAAGGGCCGCATGACGGGGGTGGCTGCTGTACGCTTTAAGATTCTATGCCGTGGGTTGCCGGGCCCGTGGATTCGTAACCATTCCTGTCCAGTGGGGACCTCATACGTAGTATGCCTGGATGGCACAGTTGCAGGTGGCATATGCCACCCCGGTCGAGACCTCGCCATCCGTGCATACGTGGTCGGGACTACCCCTGGAAAGCCCAGGGGTGGGGAGGGGCATTCTAGCTGGTAAATGTGATTGCAGGAGGAAGAGATGATGCAGAAGTCGTAGGAGATGATCGGGTACGCTGGAAGGGAGTTTGGGTCGGGAGGCCTCCGGGCGACGGGCAGAGCCAGTGAGAAGGGCGGGTGGACGGTCGTCCTTCAGGATACCCATGGATCCTCCCAAATAGGCGGCTGGTGACTCGTCCCTGGAGAGTATGGTACATTGTATGGGGAGTACACAGTCGATACTTGAAGAAAGTCCCGTGTACAACGCGCGAATGCTGAAACTGGGCATTCAGTCCCCGGGGGGCCATAGTGCAGTAGTGCAGGTTCTAGTAGGCAGGCATGCAGACCAGGCCACGGGGTCCCAAGCGATTCTCACCTCCCCGGCCGATCGCAACCTTGAATCCTTCCATCCATCCCCTTCGCTTCCTCCCCTTTGTGATTCCTTCCCTGCTTGTTTCGCCGGAGGAGAGCGAGCGCGAGCCTGCTTGGGGGGCCTAGCAAACCTGCGCTGGATTGCCAGACTTGCCAGCATCTTGCTCCGTTTCAGCCTCCCCGCGTCTAGACCTGGCGATCGGCCCAAACTGGCCCCATCGATTTCTCAGGCTCGCTTCTTCCCCTCTTCATCGTCCCATTCCTGTCCGCTCCATCCCATCCGGCCTTTCTTCTGACTCGCTTCTCTTTGCTCTCTGCTCCTATCCCGCCTCCATCTTACCCCCGATCCTCCATCGCCCCTATCCGCATCTCCCACTGGCCCATGCTGTCGGCCCTGCTGCCACCCTTTCCCTTTCCTCCCACCCTGTCAACACCCGCCCGTCTCGCCGGTGGTCTGTGCCATTAATCTCTGCCCCAGAAATTGTCAACCAGTCGTCGAGGGCGAGCACAACAACTACTGCGATAGAATCCAGAACGGCCGACTGATCCCCAGGGGTCTTCAGGAACGGGACACGAAGAACCGAAACTATACCTTAATCCGAAGCATCCAGCGAATCACCTACAGAGTCTTCCAAGCGGAGCGAAAAAAAGCGAAAAAAAGGGAGAAATCCCCGAGGATCAGGACGCCGGTCTCCTCTCCACCATAATCATCCTCTAGAGTCACCCAATCCGTTACCTTGAACTTGTCTGCGGCCATTATTTCGAAGAGACGGTGCCTGCTCTTTGCAGAGCATCCCCCGCGGTGCAGCTCAGCGTGGGCTTCATCTTTTCAACCGACCCCAAAGTGATGTATGTATTGAAGAGCCAGAGCCATCTAGGACGGGCATTGTGCTTGGTAGCCTCCTTCTATCCCTACTGCTCATGGTAGTGCTTGGGTCGATCATAGCTAACGGGCGCCCCGATGACTGGTGATGCAGACCGAAAGCCATGCGCTGTGTCCTTTCCAAAAATCCGGGTCTTGATTCATTGATCTTTTACCAATCCCCCTCGGTAACCTGGCGACCGCCTATATCATCATCCAGTACTATATCTCCACCTTAGATTTGATCTTCAACAACAAATCAAGGATACAGAAGGGCATCGATCGTCCGGCACATCATGCCCGACCCAGCGGATTCAGAATGGTCTAAATCCTTCGCATCCGGCCCAACCATGTCGTTACTTGCGTGCAAATCCCAGTGCCTCCCCGGTGACGCGGCTGCCTCAACCCTGCTTGATGACGATGCGCAGGCCGACTCGTCCGGTCGCAGATATATCGGCGCGCCTCAGAATGTTGCAATTGACCGGCTGGTGAAATTAAAGCAGGAGCTTCGAACCTTGGGATCAGAAAAGTTCTGGCACCACCTGATGGAACAGATAAGCTCGATCTGCGACGCTCAGTATGTGTTTGTTGCTCGCAAAGCCCGGGACGACGAGTCTGTCAATGAAATCGGAGGCCACAAGCCCTATCTATTCGGCACGGCATTCTATTACAATGACGGATACCAAACCGCGGGCATGCACCGACACCGATATTTTGCCGGCGGTAATCCTCTGTCCCATATGGATCATGAGAAGCCGTGTCTAATCCCGGAGAATCTTGGCTCCTTCATATCGTTCGATCACGATCAGCTACCGTTCGCCGCCGAGGGCTATTTGGCTGTCCCACTTTTTTCAGAAACTAAATGTCTCGCGTATCTTGGTCTGATGTGGTCGGAGTCTGGTTTGAAGAAGCGGAACTTGGCGTGGTCATTTCTCGAAATGATCCTGTATTCATTGGAAGATCTGGTAGTTCAGCGTATCTGGGACGATCTAGACAGTGCAAAAACACAGCCGTCAAGCAACAAGGCTCGAAATATCTCCACGAGCCACACGATCGTTGACGATGCACACATCAGCATTCCTCATGGACTAGCCGACTTTGCCTCACACCCTTTGAAGCCATATGCTCGGAGCTTGTCCCACGAGCTCCGGACGCCAATGCAGGGTGTCGTCGGGATGCTGGACGTTATGCATGCTACAGTCCGCGAAGCTATTCAGGACAAACCATCTCCGAAGGCGGGATACGTCTTCCGGACCCTCAAGGAGAGTATAGAGATGGTTCAAGGTTCGTATCGCCTTCACCCTTGAAGTGGCCTTTTGGATGCTAATCTGCATATTCCGTTCTTACAGATAGTGCAAGACGGGCAGTCGAAGCAGCCGACAATGTCGTCCATGCCTACGACCTGAACATGCAGGTTCCCAAGACGCCACAGCTCGAGCGAGACGATTGCTTTGGTGGACCAGTCCAGTCCCCAATAACTGCATGCGACAGTCGACCGAGCGTCTTTGTCGAAGGGAGCAGCATCGCGGTCAACCCGTACAAACGGCGACGGAGCAACCCGCCCGAATGGAATATTGGTACAACGCCGAAGCAGAAGATCTCACGCGTCGTCTCGCCCAAGGGCCTGTCCCCACGTAGCGAGGAAGTCAAGAATGCTGTTCATGAGAGTGAAAAACTGATGAAAGCCACTCCGGTTCATCAAATAGAAGCAGTAATGGCTAACATGGTGAATCCCCGTCCATCCCTGGCGGTGCGGCGCTCGGCACCGCATCTTCTATTGGAAGGCATCAACGTCAATGCCGTGCCTGCGCTGAGGTTCACCAAGCTGCGCGATCTGCTCCGTCTCGTGATCAATGAGTCCTTGCACGTTGGCGGACGACCCGACTTTGCTGTGAGCAATGCGACCGAGACGGGGGAGAAAATTGAGATCCGGTCACGGTCATCCAACGGCGAGGTGTTCTCGAAGACCATCAATTGGTCGGTGGATCCTGCGCTACCGGACACACTATTTGTGGATGACAGAGACCTGGCCAAGTTGATCTCGTGCGTTTTCCTCAATGCGGTCAAGTTCACCAATAGCGGTGTGATTACCGTGTGTGCCACCGTTGGCCGCAAGTCCAACGATGTCCTGATCGCCGTCAGGGACACTGGGCCCGGCATCCCCGAGGCCTTCTTGCCCAAACTTTTCAAGCCGTTTGCCCGGGAAGACACCTCCACCACCCGGAGCAAAGATGGGCTCGGACTGGGCCTCCTCGTAGCAAAGGGCCTGGCTAGGAAGATGGGCGGCGACCTCACCTGCGTCCGCTCCTGCACCACCGGGCCCGATCATGGCTCCGAATTCGAGATCAGAATCCCGGCCAACCAGCCCGAGCCTACGGGACCACTGGCTCCCCCCAACAAACTGCTGACCCCACCCCAGCTCTGTGATCCTTCGCGTATGAGCAGTGCGAGCAACTCCACGGTAGAATCCTCGTTACTGTCGCCCGCCCTCCGGACGCCCAGCCACCCGATTCAACAGCCGTCGCCCAGCCTGACCGATGAATCGACCTTGACCCCTGCGCGCTCAGTACCCAATTGCAAGTCAATGCCACGCCATATAAATGGCGACACACATGACAGCAAACTTGGGGAGAAGCATCCGCTGACCTTCCTGGTGGCCGAGGACAACAAGATCAATCGGCGGGTGTTGGTGCACATGCTGAAGCGACTGGGCTATAAGGACGTCTACGAAGCCTGTAATGGAAAGGAGGCGGTCCGGATCATGCAGGACGTGTTGGTCTCCCAGCGCTCTGCAGCGGAGGACTCCCCTAGGTGCGAGAGCACTGCCGATGGCTTCCCGATTCCCAATCTACCGAATCACCGCAAGAAGATGAAGCCCGTGGATGTTGTATTGATGGACCTCTGGATGCCCGAAATGGACGGATATGAGGCCACATACAAAATCCTCCAGCTGGTAGACGAATACCCCGGCCACCCGCCTGCCATGGTGATGCCTACAGCCCGTCCGCTGGTGGCTCCGACGGTTCTTGCGGTCAGCGCCGACGTTACCGACGAAGCTCTCAGCCGGGCTTCGAAAGTCGGCATGAAAGGCTACATGACCAAGCCATACAAGCTCTCGGATCTCGAGCGATTGATCCTTGGCTTCTGCAGTGACACCACGACCACCAGACAATCCGACGACTCGACGACGAATACATGACATAGAATCTCCGGTCTTTTACGTTCTTGATTCCCACCCCCCGCTTTATACCTCTTTTGTCTTTCTTTTTCTGTCAGCCATTGAATCTGATTTGGTACCACGGCATGGGCGCTGTTCTGCGTGAGCAGTTGCATTACTGTTAGAATAATTTTTAGTGCTGATGTATTTACGAGCGATCCCCACATCCTTAATGATCGATTATGACTGGGGGCAAAGATGGAAACGCACACGTTTCATCCAACTTGAGAGAGAATGCAGTGATTTTGGATGTTCTTGTTTCTCTTCATGACCCTATCCCCTACTGATACTGATTTCTATCTTCCTTCGGATACCTTCTACAACACATAAGCCTTCTCAAGCAGCAGCCCCCCTCCTCCTGATCATCTTTTACTCCTGCTCATCGAGCTCCGTTCATGCAACCGGCGCAGGTCGTGTTACTGGCGCAGCTGGCACAGCTATCGTAGCTAGCATAACCGGTGGAGCTGGAACATCTGGAACATCTGGGTCCTCCCAACCCTCTGGTACACCATCCCTTTCCATCCACACAGCAAAACATCCGAAACAACTGATCCCCAATCCAACCCACCAGATCATCCTCAACCCCTTGACATACACCCCGACGATATCTTCCCACACCCCCTGGTTCAGGGACTCTTTAATACCATGCATCTGACTCGCAAACGCATAGGCTCCTCCCTTGGCCAAATGGGCCCTCATCTCCGGATCCCGCACCTCCCCCAAATGGTTACCCACGACCGCATCGAACACCAGAGACGCAATTGTCATCCTCCAGATCCGCCCAAACGAGTAGATGAAATCATTGATCGATTGTGCAGTTGGGTATTCCGCGATTGGCGAGGTCGTCGCAACTGTTATATATGAGAAGCATAGGCGTATCCCATGCCGGAGCCGGCAATGAGCTGAAAGAAGACCCATTTAACAGTGCTAGAGGTCTCATTCAGGAGAGTGAAAAGGCCGAAGGCAAGTGCAGACAGCGCGAACGAAAAGGCCCGGATGGGTCGGTGTGCGCCGAGTAAATCGAGATATGCGAAGAACAACCAACACAATATGGCCGGCATCACGATGAAAACGGTCGCGAGGATTAAGGGCAGGAGGCAGACACCGGAACGGATGGCAGTGGTGCCCTGGACGGCTTGGAAGTAGATTGGGAGGAAGGCCAACAAGGCTTGATCGACGATGGAGGACAGGAAGGTGACCAGGTAGACGATGCCCGTGGAGGAGTTGGCGAAGAGACGCAGAGGGATGCTCGGATTAGAGACGAGTCTTTGCTGGAGGAGGAAGACGAGCCAGCCGACGGGGCCCAGCACCAGCGGCACAATGGTCTTCCACGAAGACCACGGCTGGTCGTCGACACCACCTCGGGTAACCCCTAGGAGCAGACAGATGGTGCTCGCGATGAGGAGGAGGGTGCCAAGGTAGTCGGGATATGTGAGGGATGTCTCGTTGGGGTTGGGGTTAGGGTTGGGGTTGGGGTTGGGGGTGGTATGGAAAAAGGGCAAGATCATCAGGGCAAAGAGGGCAAGGCCGCTGAGGGGGATGTGGAAATAAAAGATCCAGCGCCAGCTGCTCCCGGCCAGAGCGCCCCCGACGATGGGGCTTATGATGATTCCGATTGTGCTCAAGGAGGATGCAGGATGGTCGTGTCTCTTGCGCTCTTGACGAATATCGCGGTTTCCGTAGGTCATGACCCACGACTCACTGATAGCTCCGATGGTCAAACCTTGAAGAGTGCGTCCGAAGATCAGCTGGGCTGCGTTGCTGGCGGCGCCTGCCATGCCACTGCCCACGATGAACAGCGTTATCAGGCCAACCAGCAGGTGTCGCTTTGGGAAGACTTGGAGGAGCTGTGAGTAAAAGGGACGGAGCACGGCGGCAGCAACATGGAACGCGTCGGCTATCCACACATATTGAGTCGAGCCCCCGATCTTAGTGATAATGGTGGGAAGGGCGACATTGATCATACCTGTATCCATGGCCGAGAGGAAGCTCAAGACATAGAGAAGCAGACGTCCCTCCATCTTGGTCAACCTGGAGCGATCAGGAAAGATGGGAATGTGGGTTCCTTCTATCCTCTGGATAAGAAGAATGAGGGCATATATAGTCCCAATTACTAGGCTGATGCCTAGGACGAGGTCTGCATGGAACAGTGGTAAAAGAAGCAGGTCTCACAGCCACAGCCCAATCCTTTGAGTATGCGATGATTCCCGTCAACCTCCTCCAGCGTGTTGTATGTACCCGCACGAAACTCAATAAGAATTATTGGCCGCGACCAGGCTCTACTGATAGAATCCTCAGATGGATCGGGCCATTCCTCAGAATACGATCAATTCGGCCAATGCCTGCAGGAGAAGAGGAAGGTTCCGAAGCAAACGGTGTTCAGCTTGTCCGGGTCTCAGCATTTGGCTGTGATAGGACATGACTTGAGGATTGCCGTTTGAATCAAAGTCTATTTATCCAATGGACATTCGAGTAATCAGTGCCCAAAACTCTAACATCATCAGCCAGGTAGATAGCTCCCATATTAAGGTTGGCTCCATCTCACATACCCATCTGTCAGAGCAATGCCTATCATCTCTCTGTTTGAAACAAGCATCTTCCCGCTCCAATTCGTAATTGATAGCCTGGCCATGCTAACAGGCAGAGTGGTATCCTGTTACACCAAAGCAGCAGCAGCTCAACTCAAACGCCACAACGATACCACCTCTGTGACGTGGTTGATTCTTCATGGCTGAGATGCGCCACCGGACAAGTCGCCTGTCAATTTAAGCTTAAGCCCATTATCGTATGATGCCTCTGCCGTCACAAACTTTATTGCAGAGCATTCAGGGACTATGGCTGCAAATTAGCCCATGCAGCAGTATGGAGAGGGCTAGTAGACGTCAGCGTGTTACCAAGCTTTATGCCTGTGGTCATTTCTAGGGTTGAGGTTGGTTTTGTGAGTACCATCAAAGTTCCAAGGAGAGGAAAATCCACGTCAGTGGAGGAATACATCCCTGCTCTAGATGGTCACTGCGCGAATTAATTCCCTCTTTGTGAGTGGTCGACATTGTTGGAGCTGGACGCTGTTTGCAGTCGATGTCTGCCTGTCGGCAGGGTTACGAACAAAGAAATCATTTAGTGGCATGGATTGATACCACTGAAGAGCAAAGAATGTGCATGATGACTGCAGTTCCTCATCCTTCGCTCAGCATAACCCAGTTATCACAATGCATACAGATATGTTGGATCAGGCTGCGGTCTTTCCCCCAAGATATAAGTTCCTGGATCTGACTCTGGCTGTAGTCTCACTTCGAACCAGATCCATCTTGCATCCACTGACCAACTCACTCCCAGACTCACCATGGCCATCACCGATGCTATCAAAGTCCTCGAGGAGACCTTCCTCTCTCAGGTCCTCCTCCCAGGAACAGTGGAATACACCGAGCTCAACAGCTCGTACCTCTCTGCCCTCGAGAACGACATCACCCCGGCCTGTATCTTCCGCCCCACGAGCAACCAAGATATCTCAACCTTCCTGAAGCTGACCAACAATACTCACTTTGCCATCCGCGGCGGCGGACAACAGCCTCTACCCGGCTGCGCCAACATCCCCGACGGCATCACCCTCGACCTGGGTCTTCTAACGGGCATCGAGCTGAACGAAGACACCAGCACCGTCTCCATCGCCGCCGGTGAGCGCTGGGGTAACGTATACAATGTCCTCGCTCCCAAAAACCTCGCCGTCGCCGGTGGTCGTTCTGCAAATGGAGGCATCGGGGGCTTGGCCTTACAAGGTACATCCAACTTCCCCCCCCAAAAAATAATCAAAGCCCTCAATCCTCCAACCCACTCCCTAACACATCCCAGCGGCCTCTCCTTCTTCTCCTCCCGCGAAGGCTTCATCTGTGACAACGTCCTCAGTACGAAATCATCCTCGCCAGCGGCGTCCTCATCACCGCCAACGCCACCTCCCACCCATCCCAAATTGAATATATGGTTGACGAGCTCACCAAACCGGATGCCTCGCATGATACTCATTTGATGCTGAGTATCGGGTACGCGGCGCCGTTCGGGGGAACTATGTGTCAGAATCAGGTATATTTCACCAAGGCTGGGGACGGGGAAACAGATGTCCCGAGAGTGTTGGAGAGATTTGTAGATATAACCCCCCGACTGGAGGAGTTGAGTTCGGTCAAGTTGATGGATATTAAAGAGGCAGCGGGGGGGCAGGCTGCTGTTGCTATGGAAGACATGCGGTGTACCTACAGAGTACCTTTCCCCTATTTCCTGGATATATCTATGACTTATTGATGGATTCTATTCTGTTAGCTCTGCATATATGAACATAACCCTCAAAGCCTCCTCCCCGGCCCTCGAAACCGCAGCAGATATCTACACCTCACCTCTGGACCCTATTAAATCCAAAGAAGGTATCATATGCTCGCTAACACTCCAGCCTCACCCGGTCTCCCTGTTAGAGAAGTCCGTCGAGCTGGGAGGTAACTCTCTCGGCTTGAGTCCCGAGGACGGCCCCTTGATCTCGGTGCTGTTGCTCGCGTATTGGAAGGACAGGGAGGATGATGAGCATATCATGGGTCTGATGAAGGATACTCTGGGGAGGATTGAAGCTGACGCGAAGGAGAAGGGCCAGGCGGTTGGGTTTACGTTCATGAACTATGCTTCTGGGTTTCAGGATCCGGTTGCGTCGTATGGGGTGGAGAATGTGAGCAGGTTGCAGGGGGTTAGTCGGAAGTATGATCCTGAGGGGGTTTTTCAGAGGTTGGTTCCTGGGGGTTTTAAGTTGTTTGGTTAGGATGGATGGGATGGGATGTGGTGGTTTGAGGTGATATCATTGGATTGCTTGGTGGCATAGATAGTATACTCGTGTAGATATGACATGCTAGCAGGGCATGTCAGAACCATCGGCCCTTGTATATCAACATCCTAGACTTACCAGCTCAATCAACTAGTCCCATATAGAAGCTCATTTACATTACATCCCCTCCCTATCCCCCCACCCACCCCTCAAGTAACAAGATATATCGCTAAACAACCAATCATAGCAAGGTAGTTTATCTGTTCTGTAATGAGAAAAAAAAAAAAGTACAACAAACCAGGCCAGGTACCTGCCCGCACCCACCACATCCATTCTTTTCTCACTCGCCATAGCCATAGCCATCACCTCAATCCAATCCCAGGCGAAAACCCCCTTTACGTCAACTTCTGCTTGATAAAGAACGACCGCAGATGCGAGAGCTGCCAAGCACAAGTCACCGACAACACGGCCAACTGAATCAAAGTCCACCGCACAACACGTCCATTCGTGGCTTCAGACTGGTCCCGGAATTCGGCTTCGCGTTCCTATTTGATCCATCATTAGTTCATCTCATTTTCTTCACCACCCCCCTCACTCTTCATACCACACAACATAAAGATATGTATGTATGTATAGGGGAAAACTCACCCGCTGAAACACCTGTTCCCTACGAATATCCTGCAACCTTCCATTCAAATCCTTAACCTTCTGTACAATATCCTGCATCTTGTCCTTATCTTCGGTCTCGATCTTGCTCGTCTCACCGATAGCCATGTCCAGGGTGACTTGGACAGCGCCGGCCGGGGCACCGCCCAGCCAGCCGCTGCCGACGGCGGCGTTGGTCTCGGGAGTAACGCAGATCTTGTGCAGACCGGCGTCAGCGGCGGAGAAGGTGAAGCGGCCGGTGTCGCTGTCGCGCTTGGAGACGACGCGGTGGTCGTTGTCGAAGACCTCTTCCACGGTCACGAGCATCTTCAGGTTGGGGTCCACATTGTAGGTGTTGGTTTGTTGGTTGATCACGGCGGTGGAGTAGGTGCCTTTACATTGATAGGGTTTGTTAGGTACACGGAAAAATTGAGGAGGTAGAGCGGAGAAGCATACCAACGACCAGGGTATCCTTAGGGAGCTCCTCGAAGAAGCACTTGGTCTGGCGCCCGTCCATGTAGAAGTAGAGGGCGTTGGCGGGCACCGTCAGACACAGGATGGCACACACGGCCAGGGCGGAGGAGAGCCATGAGGCGGAGGATCGGGACGGCGCCATGGTGTGGTCCTGGGGTTGGAATTGAGGTGGAGAGAGAGGAATGGAAAGAAGGAGATGGGGGTGAATTGGTGATGTTAACAGTTGGCGATGAATTGCTCCAATCTGGCCGATCCCGTCTTGGCGCGAATTCTCACGTCGCCGTCGCTCGCCGCCTTCTCTCTCTCTCTCAACTCCCCCTCGTTCATTGCTGCATCGCTGCATCGTCGTGGTTCATTGAAATACTCATCACATCTACTTTAATTTCTTCTAGAAAAGACATCCCTCGAGTATCTCCCGAGCAGGCCCCTCCGCCATCATGGCCGCCGCCGACGTTCGCGACATGCTGGATCTGCCCGCGGAGGGCCAGCCCCGACCTCATAAGAAACAAAAGGTCGTCGAGAAGCGTCCAGGTAAGCTACTTCCGGTCTCACTTCTCTTGTTAGAACCCATCTGACCCGTCTCCTCGCCAGAGGGTATCACCCGTGAGCTCTTCGCCCTGCTCGGCGAGCGAGCCCCTCCGATCGCCATCAACGAGAACCGATACAAGGGCCGCCCGAAATGGATGAGCAAACTGCGCGTCCGCCCATGGTACGCCCCTGATGCCTGCTGTCGTCGCATTCTACTGACCCCATCAGGCGCATGACCCCTTTCTTGAACGGCGCCCGATCCGACGGCCTCGTTCTCCGCCACTGGCAGCGAACCCATGAACCCGCCAAGGTCCCCGCAATGGAGGATTCGGAGATGGAAACGGACGAGAAGAAAGATGAGGCGACCGATGCATCATCCGCCGACACGCCGCAGCAGGACTCGATGTTCTCCAAATACAACGTCAAGGCCCGCGTGCCCAACCGCTATACCGACGAGGAATACAACCGCCATCTCAAGAGCGACGATTGGACCCGCCAGGAGACCGACTACCTGATGGACCTGGTGGAAGAGTACGACCTTCGCTGGGTCGTCATCGCTGACCGCTACGACTACCAACCGCACCCAGTCGACTCCGAGTCCAATGCCAACGCCCTAGTCCCCGCCAAGCGGTACCGAACAATGGAGCAAATGAAAGCCCGATACTACTTCATAGCCGCCAGCATGCTCGCTCTCGAGCACCCCCCGTCCGAGATGTCGGAAGCTGAATTTGAACTCCACGAGAAGATGCTCAAGTTCGACGCAGACCGTGAACGGTCCCGAAAGGAGCTCGCCGCTCTACAGCTGAACCGGACCGCCGACGAAGTGCGTGAGGAAAGCATCCTCCTCGAGGAACTCAAACGCATCACCGCCAACGAACAAGACTTTATCACCGAGCGCCGCGAACTCTACTCCCGCCTTGAGGTCCCTATCAGCGTCGGCAACACCACCATGTACCAGTCCAGCCAAGGCCTCTCCCAACTCCTCCAGACCCTCCTCCAAGCCGACAAGAGCAAGAAGCGCCGCTCCATCCTGGGCCCCGAAGCCGGCGCCGCTCCCAGCCCAGCCAGCCAAACCCCCGCCCCCAATGCCCCCAGCAGCACGCGCGACAGCCGCGCCGACACTCCAAACGCCGCCCCCGCAGCCCCAACCAACAAGAAAGCCGCCGCGGCCGCGGCCGCAGCCGCAGCCAACAAAGAAGCCCAACAAGCCGTGCGAACCCTCACCCCAGCTGAAGAAGCCAAATACGGCGTGCAACACCACGACCGCCTCGCGCCAGGTGTACAGTTCCGCAGTGACCGCGCCCAGAAACTCACTCAGGCCAAATCAAATGTCCAGACACAGAAACTTGCCGCGGCGCTCGCGGAACTGGAAGTTCCGCTGCGCCTGGTCATGCCGACGGAACGAGTCTGCAAGGAGTTCGAGAAGTTGATCCACTCGGTGAATCTGCTGCTTGAGGCACGCAAGGTCGCTGAGAAGGTGGAGAGCGAGATCCGGGTTCTGGAGGCTGCAAAGGAGGAACGCGAACGGAAGGTCAAGGAGGCTCAGGAGAAGGATAAGCCTGAGGTTAAGTCGGAGCAGGAGGATCAGCCGCTTCCGGCGGCGGAGGCTACTGATGCTGGTGCTGGTGCTGAGAATCCCGATGCGGCGGAGGAGGATGAATCGGGGGAGAAGCGTAGAAGCGGAGCGGCTGGTGGGGGTCTGGAGGGGACGTCGCATAAACGCTCGGCGAGTGTGCTGAGCAATACCAGTGATAAAAGTACCAAGCGACAGCGGAAGTGAGTGCAGGCATCTTATGGGCGTTGGAGTGGGCGTTCTTGTGATTCAATATACCTTTGTACGACTACATGAACTTCGGTCTGGATAAACATTAATTCTGCTGATGCAATACATCGATATTGGTCCGTTCCAATCTTCCCGAGCACCTTGGTGGTGGATTTTGCTTTCTTGGAGGCAACCAGCGGTTGCAGATGTAGTTGAAAATAGTGATTGGTTGGTAACAGCTCATGTTGCATCCAATCCTACGCTGTTAATCATGCTGTGGAGGACCTTGTGCGCTCTGGCGGCATCAATATATAGATGCCCGAATCCTACCCGAGCATTTCCTGGCAGTCTTGGTAAGTGCTCTTCCAATCGTCTGTGATAGCGTCCGATCCAGTCTTGTCTGAAGAGCGGTGCCGATCCCTTTCTGCCATTCCAGCACCTGTGTCGATCATCTGTTCCTTGTCAACATGCCCGTCCTGGCATTCTCCGGAATCGGCGCTTCCATGCGACTGCGCCATGGGAACGATAGGGACATTATCGTCAGCACTCCTGGCCTTCTTTTTACGGTCTAGGACCTTGAATTTTAGCATTCGACCCTCCTTTCTTCGTGCCACGGGATATCGCCCGGCCGGCGTTGTCATCCTCGTAATCGCTTTTGCCTCAAGCCCGCGCGTAATCGCCGACACGCTGCGGCCCTTCGTCAAGAGACTCCCTGTACGCCGCAACGTCGCCCATCTTCCTACAGGTCGTCCTTCCGTACTCTTGGTGGAGACTGACGAGCTCTTCTGCGGGCTTGATTGGCCACTCACCGGCTGGTTTGGGTCAACCCAGGAGCAAAAGTCCCAAGGGTTTTTGGCATCTGCGACCTCATCACCCTGGTCCTTCTTTCGCTTGAGCTTCTCTAATAGCGAGAACTTTATAGAATCACTCCCGGCTTCGCTAAGAGCACTAGACAAGCTGCGAAGACGCATGCGGCTCATGATGCTCGATATGTCAAAACTGGGATCCCCCGTCCTGGGAGACGTTTTCCTGGTCTGCCCAGTAGATCCACTTTCAACACGCCTTAACAAATCACCTTGGGAACCGGCATTTATGGCTGCCATTTCCGACATACCGGTCTCACCAGGTTTGGGACTTCCTGAAGGTTGATCGATTCCATCATTTGCGGGAACCATGGTGTACCCGTATCCAAGGCGCCGTCCGCCCGACATCCATCCAACACTCACCTTGCGAGGGGATGCAGGATCGGTATCTGAGCCATGAAGGCCATGTCCAAGAGAGGCCATTGACCGGTCTTGCTCAAATCGCTCGGTGAACTTGCTTTTCTGCGACTCAACTTTCTTAGTATCGTAGCTGTCTACAGCAGAGGTATGATGAGGGTCCACGAGGAATGAACCAGGGGAGCAGTTGAAACCTGCAATAGGCTCTGCAATCAATTCCTTGGTAGTAGGCTGATAATTTCGTTTATTTGCAGAGTCGATTGGGATGCCGGTAGACGACAGGCTGGTCTTGGGAGAATAGCACGAGGAAGACTGGTCTACCGGGGCCCTTCTAAATCTTGGACCTGTCGTATGGCTGAATAGTGTGTTTCCTGGTGCATCCCCAGAAGAGTCATAAGAGGGCTGGGGCGCATTCCACGTCCCTGCATTGCTAGCCCACCTGTTCTCATCAAATGAGTGTTTGGGGGATAGAATACGAGGCGATGTCGAACAAGATGCCAACATCGTCGGGATGTTCATGTCACCAAGGTGAATGGAACAGTTATCTGACATGGTTCCTGTTGGGGGCTGCCGCCGTCTTTTCCTGACTGAGATCTGTGATGGCCCAGCCAGTGAGTCTGCCGATGTGGTATAAGGAAACGGCACTGGAGAAATCGGACTCGAATAACCTGAGCCATGTCTAGGTATACCGGGGTCAGGTGTAGCCATTCGAAGTGGCGGACGATATCCTTGCTGCGGATACACCGGTCCATTTCTCTTACTCTGAACGGGACTGCCGCCTACGCCTCTCTGAGGTCTTGCAACTCTGGCTCGACGACTCCCGTCGTCCGCACGAAAAGCAGAAGAGCCTGATGACTGGGTAGCCCAAGATGTCTGGTTCCTCGAATGAAAAGTCGGTTGTGGTTCTTCCATTACGGCACGGTCTACTCGTGCGTTTGCCATTGCTTCACTCTCCAGGCCATGACCTTGCTCATATGATTCTTCCCGCTCGATCTCCTGCCTCAAAGGGGAGACAGTTTCCTGGACGATACGTGTATTGGTTGGATGATCTCTGGTGTGGCTAATCTGCTTCGGTGTGCTGATGAACTGCGCATCGCTGTCATATCCTCTTTCGCTCATCAGACTGCTCCCAATGTCGTCTGGAGTACTCACTCCCTTACTGGTGTTGGCCAGTTTGGACGAGAACGGAAACCCAGGGGACCCCGACTTTCTCTGCGTTCTCGGCTTCACACGCAGGTCTTTGGCTTCTCGGGAGAAACGCCTGCGCAGTCTGTCAGACAAGCCACTGGAGCCTCTGTGGTGATTAGAGTGCGCATCTTCCCTCGTCGAGGAAATGCCTGTGACTGTCAGCAGTGCCACAACAGACGGTCCCTTGCGGCTCACCCTCAGGGTCTCCATCTGGTGACGGCCTAGCCGGATTCAACTGGTAGGAGCGTCCTGTGTCCGAGTCGGAGGGTTTCCAGTATCTTCGAAAACGGGGACAAATGAGGAAGAACGCCATTGCTGATTGGATGTATCAAAGTGAATTGTATGGCCCTCGTCAACAAGGCGATGGTTTCGATATGGATCCATGATGAGTGGTCCGGGGACAGTTCCCGCAATTGCTTTCTTGAAGACTATACAACGTACATAAAAGGAAGGTGGGAGTCAGACAAAAACAGCAGGTGCGTCCATTGTTGATGCCTTACAGTTGTTGCAAAGGCTCTCAGCATCTTTTCTTCTATCGGTCAGTCTGTAATGGAAGGAACTAGGAATGCGGACGGGCATGCCCTGACGACAGCATCGACAATGCGAGCTTCCCCAGATATGCGCGAAAGATACTCCGCATCCCGAATCATCCCCGAATGTCATCTTCGGAAGCCGAAGGCTCAGCTTGAAGCGAGGACCGGCGATACCGCCAATGCATTATATATTCATATTAAATCCACCGGTTATCACAGACTACTCCGACTAGGAGACCTAGATCGGACGCCGAACTTGGACTCAATTGCACCGATTCTGGCGTTTTTCATCTGCGTGATTCTACGGGCGTCGACCAGGATTAGCAGCGTTGAGAAAAAGCAAACTTGCACCTGGTCGATAACAAGCTCTAGTGGCAAACGGGGCGGATCTCACCTCAGATTTGGCCAATTGCCCACGCTGATAGGCTCTTGGGCTGCCTCGTGCATCAGCCATCAGCCAGTTACTCCAATGGGGTCCATCGCCGATCAGTTGCAGGTCCGAATCGGCTCCATTGTCCCACGATCACTGAAGCGGGCAGCCCAGAGCCTCGACTGGGCCAGAGAAGGGGCGGAATACTTGTGTAGTAATGGGCGTGGCTAACAGCTCGTATCAGGCTGGCACCCACCGGCCAGAACTTTATTAGAGGCCGATCCCGGAAGGGAGGCACACAGTCACTAAAGGTGGTCCGAGGGACACTCCGGACTTTTCCACGGCGCTGACTGGCCGGGTCACGGCCGGCGGGCGGTCTCGTCTCCGCGCTAAACATCCTGGTGCTCTTGCAATCACGCCATTTGACGCTATGCACTGGAGGGGTTAGTCGTGGCCCCTCAACTCAATTTTTTCCAGGATGACACATAGTACATCCTAAGACATGGGAGGCAATTCGTGCTTTCAGGGAGGTAGTTCACTTGCATCTCGCTGCAGCTGAGGGGAATTTGGTAATGGAATCGAGGAAAAGCTGGCAAGGGCGAACCTTACTTGCCTCGTGCGGGAGTTTGTTTGGAGGACCATATCTTACCTTACCAAACGGAAAGATGTAAGTCTGCCTGACATTGTGTCTGGAACAGGTTAGGTCGACAGGTACGGTCCTGTACGTGGCCTGTAAGAGGTCAGCCCGACCCCTCCATTCCCTCCGATGTACCCACACCGGAGGGGGTCGACCAGCGCCCTCCTCCCCTCCGCCCTCTGCTTATAATACCTCCCCTCCATCCCCCTCCTCTCCTCTCTTCTTTCTTTCCCTCTCCATCCCTCCTCTGTTTCCCCCCCCTTCTTCATCTTCCCAGCAAGAGACTATTGCATAGTCCTTGTCTGTTTTTCACCCATTCTCCCATTTTCAACCCTTGATCCTTGTTCTTATCTCTTCACACACACAAATCCATCAAGATGGTTCAGTCCTCCGTCTTGGGTTTCCCCCGTATGGGAAAGCTTCGTGACCTCAAGAAGGCTACTGAGGCTTACTGGGGTGACAAGATATCTCGTGATGAGCTCTTGGCTGAGGGAAAGAGACTCCGTCTGGAGCACTGGAAGATCCAGAAGGATGCTGGCGTTGATGTGATCCCCAGCAACGACTTTGCCTTCTACGACCAGGTCCTCGACCACATCCAGATGTTCGGTGTATGTTCTCACTTTCTCCTTCATGATCTTGATCATAGCTGACAGTTCTTTCATAGGTCGTTCCCGAGCGTTACTCCAAGTACAACCTCCACCCCGTTGACGAGTACTTCGCCATGGGCCGTGGTCTCCAGAAGCCCGCCAAGGATGGCCAGGCCGCCATTGACGTCCCCAGTCTGGAGATGGTCAAGTGGTTTGACTCCAACTACCACTACGTCAAGCCCACCCTCCAGGACAACCAGACCTTCAAGCTCGCTGCTGAGCCCAAGCCTGTTGTCCAGTACCTCGAGGCCAAGGAGGCTGGCGTCATCACTCGCCCCGTTATCCTGGGACCTGTGTCCTTCCTGACCCTCGCCAAGGCTGACCGTGGTCAGTCCGTGGACCCCATCACCAAGATCGATGAGCTCCTCCCCGTCTACGTTGAGCTCCTCACCAAGCTCAAGGAGGCCGGTGTTGAGGATGTTCAGATCGATGAGCCCGTCCTCGTCTTTGACCTTCCTGCCAAGTCCAAGGCTGCCTTCAAGCCCGCCTACGAGAAGCTCGGTGCCCTCGGTGCCCAGGCCCCCCGCCTTCTCCTCGCCACCTACTTCGGTGACATTGTCCACAACATTGATGTTCTCCCTGCCCTCCAGAGCCTTTACGGTATCCACATTGACCTTGTCCGCAACCCCGAGCAGCTTGACGCTGTTGTTGCTGCCCTTGGTCGTAAGCAGGTTCTGTCTGCTGGTGTTGTTGACGGTCGTAACATCTGGAAGACCAACTTCAAGGCCGCCATCGAGAAGGTTGAGCTGGCCATCCAGAAGCTCGGCAAGGAGCGTGTCATTGTTGCCACCTCCAGCTCTCTTCTCCACGTCCCCCACACTCTCGAGAGCGAGAAGAACCTCGACGCTGAGGTTCGTGACTGGTTCAGCTTTGCTGTGCAGAAGCTGTCCGAGGTTGTTGTGATCGCCAAGGCTGTCACTGAGGGCCCTGCTGCCGTCCGCGAGCAGCTCGAGGCCAACGCCAAGTCTGTCCAGGCTCGTGCCTCCTCCGCTCGCACCAACGACCCCAAGGTCAAGGAGCGCCAGGCCGCCGTCACCGAGGAGCAGCACAACCGCAAGTCTCCTTTCGCCACCCGTATTGCTGAGCAGAGCAAGTCCATCAACCTCCCTCTCTTCCCCACTACCACCATTGGATCCTTCCCCCAGACCAAGGAGATCCGTATCCAGCGCAACAAGTTCACCAAGGGTGAGATCACCGCTGCCGAGTACGAGAAGTTCATCGAGAAGGAGATCGAGGAGGTCGTCAAGATCCAGGAGGAGCTTGACCTCGACGTTCTTGTCCACGGTGAGCCCGAGCGTAACGACATGGTTCAGTACTTCGGTGAGCGCCTCACCGGTTACGTCTTCACCACCCACGCCTGGGTTCAGTCTTACGGATCCCGCTGCGTGCGTCCTCCCATCATTGTCGGTGACATCTCTCGTCCCGCTCCCATGACCGTGAAGGAGTCCAAGTACGCCGTGTCGATCTCCAAGAAGCCCATGAAGGGTATGCTTACCGGCCCCATCACCTGTCTGCGCTGGTCTTTCCCCCGTGACGATGTCCACCAGTCCGTCCAGGCTCAGCAGCTGGCTCTCGCTCTCCGCGACGAGGTTGTTGACCTCGAGACTGCTGGCGTCAAGGTCATCCAGGTCGACGAGCCCGCCCTCCGTGAGGGTCTCCCTCTCCGTGCTGGCAAGGAGCGTGAGGAGTACCTCAAGTGGGCCGTGCTTGCTTTCCGCCTGGCCACCTCGGGTGTCACCGACGGTACTCAGATCCACTCTCACTTCTGCTACTCTGAGTTCCAGGACTTCTTCCACGCCATCGCTGCGCTGGATGCCGATGTTCTGAGCATTGAGAACAGCAAGTCGGATGCCAAGCTGCTCCGTGTGTTCGTCGAGGAGGCCTACCCCCGCCACATCGGTCCTGGTGTCTACGACATCCACTCTCCCCGTGTTCCCAGCGAGCAGGAGATCAAGGACCGTGTTGAGGAGATGCTGCCCTACCTCAAGCCCGAGCAGCTCTGGATCAACCCCGACTGTGGTCTGAAGACCCGCCAGTGGCCCGAGACCAAGGCTGCTCTGACCAACATGGTCAACGCTGCCAAGTTCTTCCGTCAGAAGCACGGCAACTAAGTTTAATATCTACTTTTTTAATAACCCATGATTGGGGGCGACATTCTCAACCTGTCGTCTCGGGGATTCGGATTGTATCCGGTCCCGTTTTTTGATGAGTTTACGATGATGATACCAAAAGTTCAACATATGGGTTCGGTTTCATTAGAGGGTTACGGAGTTCAACATATCAACGCTTTCAACATCGGCGTTTGACATCACGCCAGTATCGCATGCGGACGTTGACGTCCACGCCGATCAATAATTTCAACAATGTTGTGTATCAACATGGTGGTTACAATACCGCCTAACAACATGGTAGCTACTATACTACCTTAATCAATCACACATTCTGTGCGCTTTTTGCATTCGTAGCACATCTATGTAGATGTAGAGCATCATACGTGATATGATGTCTTACAGCAATTATCCAGTAGACCTCATATGCCAGTCTCAGTCATGCACACCGTCCATACCAGGCCTTGATTCCATCCGTCTCAGACCACATCCTGGACCCCATACCCATACCCCCATATAAACCCCATATCCTCCACCTGACTGTCCACTGATCACAACATAGACATACACCCTCTTTCCCTCACCACTCTCCCAAACCCACCCAATCGCACCCACATTCCATTTCCCTCTCCCTCTCCCCCAACCCGACCCCAATATCATACCCATACAGATACAAATACACAAACCCCCAGTTCCAACCCAAAAAAGTAAGATCTACAACCAAGAACAAAACGGCACCACCGCCCCCCTCCCCATAACCCTCTCCTCCCCAAACCGTTCAACATACCACCTCCTCCCCCACCTCGCATGAGGCAACATATTCGTGACCGCATTCACCACAAACACCACCGCCGGGACAGGAAACCCCACGCCCAAGTACCTCGTTACCCTCGCAGCAGGGATAAGCCACGGCGCGAGATGCAGTTCCGGTTTACCCATCCCCATCCCCATCCCCATAGACCCGGGTGTAATGATAGGTGTATAAGAAGAAGTAACAAGCGTCCCCAGCACGGCAAACCCAATCCACTCAATCCACTCGAATACATAATGCGGGTAGAGAATTGTTCTGAAGAGGCCGGTCGGTGGCGGGATGGTGTAGATTTTATGGTAGATGTTTTCGTTTCCTTCTTTTTTCTCCTTGGGGGTTTGCTTGGTGGTGGTAGTAGAGTCAGATTTCTTCTCCACTCTGCGGAGGGCTTCTTCACGTCTTAGTCGAAACAAAGTCCGTTCTGAATGGATGTTACATCCCATGCCTAGGATGAAAAGGCCCGTTCCTATCGTTCCTAGTACTGTCGTTTTCAACTCCCGAACCCTAGCAGGCGGAATAGCCCCATCTGAAATGGGAGAAGTATCAAGCTGATATCCAAGTAACCACCCAGCCAAACCCCCGGAATTAAACCAATTGAACAACGCGGCCGAAAGCACAATCCCCAAATGAATGGGGGACATGCTCGGGGCGGCGAAGAACGGGGAGATGATTGCGCGGTTGATGTAATGGAGTGTGAACAGAGCAGCGAGGAGTTTATTTAGGAGGGGGAGAGCATGGAGGGAATGTTTTTGGGGAAGGGAGTAGAGCAGGTAGATGAGGTTTAGGGGGGAGATGATTTCCATGAGAAACCAGGCCCAGCGGCCGGGGAGGTTAAATCGGGAGGATTTGAGGGAGGTTTTGCCGGCTGGGTGGAAGGAGGTGAGCCATTGGATTAGGGAGATCTGGGGGTTTTATTGGTTAGATTATTATTGGGTTATGCTATTGGGGTTGGGCTTACGGCTGGGAAGTATTGGAAGATGGTGAGGATGAGGGCGTAGGTTTGGGGAGTGGGATGGATGAGGTCGTCTAGGGGAGGGAGGTGCTGGATGCACGAGGAGAGGGTGGAACCCATGTTGGGTTGGGAGTTGTGGATAATTAGGGTATTGGTGGAGGGCTCTTATTCACTCCCCCTAGTAAACATGCAGGAAAGTACTCTGTAGAAGCAATGGATACACGGTGAGAGTGAGTGGTGAATGGATGTCAACTTAAGAATAACTAGCAGTGTCAGGATGAGTCAGCATGCTCTCATCCTCTACAGTTATACAGTGAACGACCTTGTGCTATCATAGCATTATAAGCTCTAACCCAATCTCCGCAGACTACCACGATCCACACAGCCAAAACCATAAGATATACTCTTCTCAGTCTCTCCCCCCTGGTCATTCGATCAGCCACTCGTATCCATCTGGTTCGATACCAGCCCTCGCCTCCGCTCCGCCAGCCTCTCATTCTTGAACGCCTCAATCTTCGCCTTCATCTCCGTATCTATGCAGGTTAGCCACTATCTCGTCACCCTAAAGGCGGACACCTACCAGGTATTACATCCTCCATTTTCAGCGGTGCTCGGTTGAACGGATCGTGCGGATCGCTCAGCAAATGAGACCGGATTGTAGCGCGGTCAATCGAGACCCGCGAGCCTGGCAGAATGACCGGGTCCTCCATCAACGTGTACATCAACGGATCTAGATAAGTAAGCACCATCCAGGAGTAGCAAGCAGCGACACGACCTACCTAAAAACTCGTCCGGAACCTCGCCAAGATCCTCTTCGGCCTGGTCATCGGCCTCCTTGGCTTCCTTCACCTTTTGTTGTAATTGTTCCCACCGTTGGAACTCTTCCGGGGACTTGAGCGAGAATTTCTGCAAAATCTCGGCTGCCTTCACAAAGTTCGCCGGTTTGTACGACCGGCCATCGCGAGCCACCGCAATGATGAAGTTCTCCTTAAGCATCAGGTTCAGGTAAACGTCGACGATCTCGCTCAAGAGCGCCCGCGGGTTGAAGCCGTATTCCTGCAGATTGTCTACCCGGAGACTGGCGCTCTTGGGCCCCACCATCGTCTCCAGGTTGTAGTCCAGCATGTCTGCCAACCGCTGGACGATTTCAGGCATCGTGAACGAGTCCGCCAGAGCGTCTGTGAACAGCTTGAGCATCGCCACCGTCTCATTCGTCAATTGCATGTATGATTTGGCGTTGCGCTGCGCCGACGCCAGATGTTCTTCTTTCTGTTGCCGCACCGTCGGGTCCATCCCTGCTGCGTTGCGCAGCTCCGTCTGCGTCTTGTAGATGGTGATGAACGCCCCAAAGGACTCATCGAGCACAAACGTGACGTCGTTAAGCAGCAGATTGACGAAGCGCACGAAAAAGTCCAGGTTCTGCTTGGACTGGTTGTATAGCTTGTTGCGGTAGAGTGTGTTCGGCCAGATGCACTTGATGATCTGGAAGATTTCATATCGGATGTTGAATTTGTCGAAGAACTGTGTATGCGTGCCCGTATGCTCGGCCTCGATGTAGAACTTCATCAGGGAGTGCAGCAGGTGCTCGTTGGCAAACGGCATCGAGTTGAGCAGATCGACCAAGACCCCGCGAGCGCCCCCAGGGCGTGGCCAGGTACCGCGGAACAAAATCGACACCAGACCGGCTTTAAGGTAGGGGTTCTTGATGTAATCCGAACTCTCCAGGAAGGTAATGCAAAGCATCACCAGCTCGTCGCCCTGCGTGGCGGTGATGATCTGGGGCATGCACCACATGATAAACTTAAAGTTGCTGACAATGTCATCCAGGAAATACTCAGGCAGGCACTGGAAGACCTCGGGCTGCTGCGCCGGGAGAGGGAGACGAATTGGCTCCTTGGGGAAGTTCGTGCCCGAGACTACTCGCAGCAGCCACACAATCACGTACCGCATGAACAGCATCGACCGGGCCTGCCACTGGTCGTCAAACAAGACACCCTGGAGACTGTACTTCAAAGCCAGGCCGAGATCCAGCCTATCCTTGTACTTCTTCAGAGCCTGCTCGAAGACGCGGAGCTGCATCGGGTTGTTGATCCACCGATGCCGTTCCAGTTCAAACTTGTTGATCGTGGATTCCATGTGTCGGAGGTCTTTCTCGAGTTGCTCCAGCTTGGACGTCAAGGACTCGCTGCCGTAGTGATGCGCAGCAACGGTCAAAAAGAAAATCTCGGTGATAAAGTTAGAGGCACCGTCTGCCTTTTTAGAGTAAAACGCATCCGAAGCGTGCTTGTCAGCATTAATCTTGGTCTCATCCTGCATGTCAATACGAGGGTTGCGGTGAAGATAGTTGGCATCCACGCGGTCGATCTGGAACAAAGCTCGTTAGTCTGAAGACATCCCCACGACGCAGCGCACTTACCTTGGTGAAGCTGGCATCCATGAAGGGCTCGCAGAGCTGGTCCAGGCATGTAGTCAGGTTGAACATGAGCCCGTCCGATGACACCGTGTTGGGGTCCACCTGCATCGCCCGTCGCTTGTGGTTGATGTTCAAGGCGGCCGCGAACCAGTCCAAGACCCGCTCCCTGGCATCTTTCGATGCGCGAATCAAGTGGTTGATGATATCGAGTAGGTCCGAGCTGATCATGTGCTGCGTCATGCGGATCGACCGCTGTGCGTTCAGAATGTACGACTGATCCCTCGTCTTGGGGCTGGAAAAGTATGTCATGGTCACGCTGCTCTGCAGCGGCGACAAGCGAAACCATGGCCCAAGGAGCGTGCTCTTCTCAAACGAAGCCGGATCCCTAGACTCGTTGAAGATTGAGGACTCGGTAATCGCAGCCGCAATGACCGCGTGGCGGACAAGATTCCGGAGAGCCTGCAAATTAGACACGCGTTCCTAGCGGAAGGGTGACCTTCACATACTGTCATATATGGCTTATAGTCATCATTGATGGACATGGCCGCAAGTTCCAGGCTCATCTCCTCGACAGCCGTGATGAATGCCGGCTTGAGGCTCTCATCCTCCTCGAACCGCTTGACGGCCTCGCTGATGAACTCAAAGTCGACGCCCTTGTCATCCTCGGGGTCCAAGAGGAGATATGGCTTGAGCGGGGATTTCTCCGATGGCTCGAGCCTGTACACGAGTCAGCCGTATCCTGGAGCCAAGAGGGCCACATCACCACACGCACCCGAACATCTCCGGCATTGTGATCGCAAATATACAATAGCTCAAGCACAGGCGACGGGCCTCGCCGATGGCGTTGAACTTGGGGTCATCCTCGCGACTCCGGCGGAAACCCTTGTGCAGCCTCGAGATCCGTCTCCAGCATGGTAACAGATAATCCAAGGGCTTCTGCTGGGGGGCGTTGGAGGCCGCTTCCAGAAGGGCCTGATCCAGCACTGTGATATCCACGCGAATCTCCCGACCCTGATCCTCGAGCTCGCTCCGCAAGCCCGGCAAATATGTCAATCTCTGCCCGTGAATATCCTTCTGACGAGCCTCATTCAAGGACAGCTTGAAGACGGCGCTTAGCGTACGATCCTGGAAGGCCTCAATGGTTTCCTCCGCTCTTGACGGAGGTGGTGTGCCGGTCACTGGGGTCACGGTTTGTGAGCGGTCTGGCATCGAACTGGCAGAGGCTGCTGGCGTGATTTTTATCCGCTTCCAATCGGACTGTGGCAGCAGTTGTGGTGAGGGGGCCGACGAGCCGGGCGCACTGGCTGGATTCGACGATGGCAGCGTCTGAGGAAAGCGAGAGGACGGCGTCGACGGCGCGGGGGAAGCAGGCCGGCTGGTTGCTGATTCTGCGGCGCCTTCATTCTGCGCCGGCGGTGTTGGGTTGCCCAATTTTGCCAGGCGCTTGCTGCGGATCTGGAGGGGGTCAGGCAGGGAGCGGGCGGGGAAGCGAAGATGATCGAGCCGGACCAGGAGGATGCACTCACCTTGTCCGCTTCAGACTGGCTCTCTGACATCTTGGATGATGCTGATGGGGCAGCCCGAAGCAGAAGGGCGTCCGTGTATCAGCGGGGCTGGAGACGGCAGGTCGTGGGCTGGAACCGAAAACTCAGATACGAGAGGGAAAAGAGAGATAACCGAGAGAGGAGACTGCCAGCCGAGGCGCGGAGAGAATCAGAGAGAGGTAGCCTGGATGACCCGAGGCGAGGCAGAAGAAGGGGAAAGTCACTGGGCGTCGTTCTTCTGGCCTGCTCGCTGAGGTTCGCCCGCATTAACTAAGCTGGTCGGGGTTTGTTCGCCGCATCCACCCTCGCGCCTATCAGTCTCGTGCGGTGCCTATCGTACTGCCAATCGTGCCTATCGTGCCTATCGATTTCGGAACCTCGCAAATGTACATTATTCCCCCCCCCCTCCTCTCAAGGCTACTAAACAAAGCTGTTACTTCCAAAGCTTGGGTCATCACTCCGTCAACGCCATCAAATCCTGCACACGTATGGACATCTAGTGGGAACAAAGTGCTCGGGTCGTCAAGGACACAAAAGAAAGAAGAAAAAAAAAGAAATTAAGGTATAATGGCCGCAGAGATGGCACCCACGTGCCAGGTAAGTCATGCTTCTTAGTATTTCCCCTTCAGGGAATCCAGACGCCGGCAGTTCTTCAGCTCCATCGCCCTCGCTTCCTTAATCTTCTCTACGTCCGGGAAGAACCAGCCCTGGGCGTCTTGCAGCATGCGATCGCGGAGGTGGACCTCGCTCTCACATTCATACCGAAGTTTCGAAACGTAGTCCACCTCCACCCGTTGGTCCAGTTGCCGGAATTTTCGCGCACTGTAGTCCTCCACATCACTAGGATTGACATAGTAATCGATATTCAGCTTAGGAGTCGTCCGATGCACCGTGTGGGGAGGCACAGCGGCGTCAAATCTATACGAAGGGCCAGCAGGAGTCGATGAACCAGAGAATAGCGAAGAGATCCAAGGGAGCACGAAGAGGAGGATAAGAGGAAGAAGCTGCTGGAAAGTCGACCACGTAGATGGCGCAGGTTCGGCCCGGGCGTTGGCTTCGCGTGGCCTTCTCCGTGGCCGAGCGCCTCCAAACTGATGGACTCGGAATCCGGGGCCGCCACCCATGTTGAAAACGAATTGGGGTCCACCTAGACACCGGGTTAGCCAGATTCTCGAAATTCCTCGCGACGCGCCGGGCAGGCTAGAACATACCGAAGGGGCTGAATCCACCACCCATGTTGCCAAAGCCACCGCTGAAGAACCGCTGGAATAGCTCCTCCGGCGAAATCTCCTCCTCGTACATCGAACCACCAGCACCAGACCGCGGGAATCCACCGCCGCCGAATCCGCCAAAGGGTGAAGCGCCTGAGGGACCAGCGCTCGGGGTAAATCTGCTGTCCGGATCGCCTCCAAACTTGTCATACTTGCTTTTCTTCTCTGGGTCCGATAACACCTGGAAGGCACGCGCAACCACTAGTCCGCGGTCATTAGCAAGAGAACAACACACCTGATCCATAGCGACTCCGACTACTCACATTTGAACGCCTCGTCCGCTCCCTCATATCCGTTCTTATCAGGGTGTGTCATCAAACTCAATTTGCGATAGGCCTTCTTGATTTCGCCATCCGAAGCCGTCTTCTCTAGAGACAGAATCTCGTAGTACGCCGTTGTAGAGCATTTCCGTATCCTCAGCACCGCCGCCTTCTGTTCGGGTGTGTATTTCCGGTCCTGATTGCCCTGATTGTGCTCGCGGGATTTCGCAGAGCCCCCAGTGTCAGCCCCAGACGCGGTGGCGGACGACATGGTAGGAGCGCTGTGGCCTTCTCTCAAAAAATGTCCTCCGCTAGTCGACTGTACAATATGTCACTCCGCCGGAGATGTGATTGCGGAGATGGAGGCTGAGGCTGTCGGAAGAGGGAGGGTGGATCAGCGAGAACGGACAGATTCCAGATAATAGAGGGGGCCGTTTTTGGCGATCGATCCAAGCGGTATCAGCGACGAAGAGACCAGGGGGCAAAGGATTGGCTGGTTCTGACTGGTGCGAGCCACCCTCGATCTGGGGAACAATAAACTGTATTGGGATTGATAAAACGTGGTGAGTTTCTGGAGGTTCAGTTGTTGACGCTAAGCCTCGGGCGAAAGACTGAGAGTGACCGTTAAGGTTAGTCAGGAAAGCAATGGCTGTCACAAGCCGCGCCATCGCCTTCACTGCACCATCCTACTACACAGTAGATATACTGTAAGTTCCACCCGTCTCTCTAACCTTTCCTTTTGTCAATGGCGCATTTTTAGGATCAGTTCACTGACACTCTTATCTTCCTTCCCCTCCAGACTCAACCCACCGCAATCATGGCTGGTTCGAATTCTCCGATAGATGAGACGGAAAAGTCTCTAGTGCAGAAAGCTAGAGCTTGGGGAGGTAAGTCATTGTCCATGCGCATACACCTTATTCTGAAACATTGTGTTTGGAGTATATCGCTAACCCCTCCTTGTTGATCGATTACAGAGAACTCGTTCCCGCCCACCCTGCTCGCAACTCTCATCACAGCGCAGCACATGCGCCCGTTCCAGCCACTTCCGATGCTGTTCCCTCCGGTCCTTCTGTTCACAAGCTATGCCAACATCCAGGGGTTCAAGACTGATACGGCTGGCATTAGCGCGGCGTGGTCCGGGCTGTATCTGTTGCTGGCAGCTCGCCGCAAGCAGCCGTTTATGAAGAAATGGGGCGCTCGGGGCATTGTCCGCGGCATGACCATGGGTCTGGGCTTGTTCAACATGGTCTGTGGTGGTCTGGCCTACACCCTGGGGAAGCGAGAAGATGAGGAGGAATAAATGTGATACTGCATATCCGGACGGTTATACGGGGTTAACCTCATGTACGATATCAACCGAATGGGAAAAGGCGTCGCTTTGGGCATGGTGTTTGGTTCCTTTCAACGGCGACATACGTCGGTCATATCTTGACGGATGTCCTTCTACAAAATATACATGAGATTTTGAGCGACCGACTCTAGTCTTCTCCGTCCGACCCAGCCATCGCATGGTTGAGTGTATGATTCCATGGTTTATTGCCATCAATTACTCCGTGTATGGCCGTTCAGATAGGATGACCTCTCGGACGCTGGGAGATACCAGCCATTCGAGATCCTGTGGATTCTTCACGGCAGCTTCCCGGGCCCTTGTCGAGCTCACCGACGGCGCTCCAGGCTTTTTTCCTTCAACGAGCTTGATGCGTTCAGCCCATTCCCGTTTGCCACCCACGTTGTCTTTACCTCCCTGTGCCAGGTCGGCCATAAATCCCTCCTGCTCGTCTCGGCTGCCCCAGTCACTGTCCGGACGCATGGTCACTCTCAACCGATGTTGGGAAAGGAAAGGCCCCAAAGGCTGGAGGGTATGCTCCGGCGGGTAGTACTTCGGGTTGAAGATGCGGATCAGCGTATCATAGCCTGTCAAATGGACCTGCTCCAGTGGCTGGGGATATACACCCGAGCGCTCAATTTCCGCAGCCTTATCCACGAAGTACGGTTTCTTGGTGACTCCAATGTCGATCACGGGAAGGTTCCGGGGCACCGGGACGGACTCATTGGTCCGGAGGGACGAAAGAAGATCTCGAGCGAACAACTCCATCATTACGAGACGGTCCTCGAATGAGGCCGGTTTGGATGGCTTGTCGGCATTCTGCGTGGCAAGAAGCAACAGGAGGCGTGCGGGTTTGTGAGGGTCTTCTAGAATAGCGGACGTCGCGATCCTGCTGTGGGCAAGAGTCGGGGGGTTGAAGGACGAGTCGAGCACGTACAGGACATCAGTGGTAGGGGTGGGATCGTGGCGCTCGGAGGGGACGGAAGCCAGCACCTCAAGGCTCCGGGTTGATGCGATGAAGTGTCTCAGTCCGGCAGCGTACTTTTCGCGCAGAGTGTGAAAGGCGGGGCTCGTCATTCTGGGAGTGGATGTGTCAATATGGCGTAGTCCGACAGCTCATAAAAGTGTAATCAAAGTGGTGTGCGAGGCTAGATACGAGCCAGGATGCCCAAGCCCAGTCACGTCAGAGGCAGAGCTCCGAGGTGGGGTTGTGGACGGGAAGCATCCATGGGCGTCGCTGGAGGGAGGAGGACCCTTTGGCGCGGGTGGCTGCAGGACCCGGACTTTCGAGGCCTGTCGCATCCGTATGGTCGGTATAGTGTAGACACTGGGCAGGTATACTGGGTACTGGGCAGATAGGGTCTGTTGTCGACGCTTCGAGACTCTAGCCCACACGGCAGGGCCGAGATTAATGCTTTATCTGGTTGCAGTGGTGTATGGCGGTCTGTGAGCTGTCTTCGATAGGATCGCAACATTTAGATTAAATGGGATGATCACAATCAGGGACTCGGGTCCATTTCTCGGTACTATCTGTTGGGACCCGGAATTTTCTGGACAGCGAGATTGGGTCATGGGCCATTAGGGCCATTGATGTTCTCGCTAAGTGCCGCTTATTCCGTTGTGCTGTTCCGGTGGAGTTTCAGGGTCACTCGGTGTCCATGGGGAGTATTTCTAGCCAGTTGATTCTCTTGTATTAACAGGCAGGTATATACGCAGCAAGTCCGTACGGAGAGTACGGAGTAAGCATGCAAGTCAGGTGCAATTGGACAGCAACTGGACACGAGTGTTGCCCCCGAGCTCTAGATAGGGCTCAGAGACTGACCCATAGGTAGCCGATAAGAGCCGAAGGCGATCATCTCCTAGTGCGCCGTGAGCGAGTCACTGTTCAGGCAACCAAATATCTTAACCAGTTAACCCCCATATGAATGAAACGCTGGCGGCAATCGTCCCCGGGCTCCAGTCAGGGTCGAACACCTCAGAGGTTCATCCCCCATCATTGCCATTTGCCAGGTCAATATCCCGTCCCGGACAATATCATTTATTGCCGCTGGCTTTGAGCCTGGATCCCCAAGCAATCAACCGGTGTGATATTCTTTGTTCTGAAGGAAAATCGCCGTTGTCTAGGCCCCCATGCCCGGCTCCACTTGGTGCACCAACCATCAAGGCCTCGTAGGCTCAGGATCATCGCGCGTAGATTCCTTGATCAACACTGTCAACGCTTCTGGCGCGCCCACTGACAGAACAATAGTGTCGGGAATCGGGTTTGACGATGTGTTGAGCCTCCTGTGACTTCTTCCCCATCGTTCGCTTCGAGGCGTCTCAGAGTTGAGCGATCTTGGTTACAAAGCGTCTCACGCTATAACCATCATGAGTCTTAGCTGAGAGTCAAAGCGACTAGTCCGAACCATTTGGCCCCGGGGCATGTTGACCCAGAAGTAAGAAGCTTCGAGTGGCAAGCAGCTCCTAACTGAGCGATCGGGTTGGGGGAATCCGAGTCGGGGTGTTAACCGCCTTGGCCAGGATGAGGATAGAGCTTCGATCCTTCTCGACAACCCCTTTTCCATGAGCTGGGGACCATCGTACGTAGCTCCGACGGCGGGAATGGATATTGGATGATGTTGTCATCTCCGCACGGTTAAATCCACAGCGGATTGTTGATTAAGCGTGTCCACCGGTAAATTACGGTAACGGCAATTCAGCTCCGTCCCATAAATGAGGTTGAGTCAAGCGCTGCGATGAAAATCTGAACGTATGATTGTTCCATGGATGCTCCGTTTGAGGGCCTACGGGGTTGCCCGATCGGGGCAATGTTGACACCCACGCGATCTACTTGGCCACGATTCTTAGCATTCCTGCCCAGCAGGACGTTAGGAACTAGGTAGGTACGTAGGCATGAAGCGCATGAGCCCTGCGCCGTCCCTGAAAATGGCGGTAACGGTGCGACTCATCTCCTGTAAAAATCCTGCTGCATGGGCGCCCTGGCAGACAACAGACAACGAGGACCGAAAGAGGGAACACGGGGAGGAAAAGCGTAGACAGCAAGCCGTGCGGTTGGCCCGTCGGTCAGGCACAATGAGATTAAGCTGGCAACGCGGGCCAATCACGGGTAGCCATGACGGGATGAAACGGGGCCTCATCTCTGGCGCAGCTAATCCGCGTGTGGTTCCTGCGCCGGGACCCACCCGGACGGAGGAAATTAAAATTAAGAACAATATCAGGAGGAGGACAGCAGCAGCTGATTCGATGCGGGTTATCACCACGACACCACCTCGTTCTGCCCGTTCTGCCTAGATGAGACAGCCTAGCGCTAGCCGGCCGATTAGCGTCGTATGAGACGGTCCCATGCGTGCCATTCCATACGACGTTGGCGCCTTGGTAGTTGGTACGGTGCCTGGTAACCTCGCGTACGATAATTAACGATTTTATTCAATCATCTCCTTTTGTCCCCCGAGCGTTTTCTTTTAACTCCTTCGATTTCTTCCCGGCCTGTCCTCCGTCAGACTGCTACATTCTCTTCTGTTCAACTGTCTTCTGTGTCAGAGACGTTGCGACCTTCCTTCTTGCAATCAGTCACTCTTTACTCTGTTTTGCTTGCTTTGCGAATAGATTTCGCATCACTCTCATTGAGCAACCCCCCCGCAGTCTCTCAACAACAATACCAACAAGAAGGAATCGACTCCACCACCACCACAATCTCTCACAATGCAGCTTACTACCAAGGTTTCCGTTGCCCTTCTGGGTGCTTTCGCCGCTGTCGGTGAGGCCAACAACCACGGCTTCCAGGCTCGCCAGGTGAACTTCCACCCCGGTGGCTACAGCAACCAGACTGTGTCGACCTCCATCGTGCCCGTCTATCCGACTCCCCCTCAGTCCAGCGCGGCTGTTGTTCCCAGCTCTCCCGCCGGCGGTGCCCCCAGCTCGGCCCTTATCCACCCTGCTGGTTCCAGCTCGGCTCCCGGTGCCGGTGCCGGTGCCGGTGCCGGAGCCGTTGGCGCTTCGTCCAGCGTTGCTCCCGTGCCTGTTCCTCTCAGCACCGGTGTCTACAGCAGCGCCCCCGTTTCCGCCTCTGCTGTTGCTCCTACCGACGCTGTTTCGACTGATTACGAGACTGTCACCTCGACCAAGGATGTCACTCTCACCTACACCCTGGGCACTGGTGCCTCCCAGACTGTTGTCACCACCACTATCCACCGCACTGTGACTGACGTCGAGACCGTCTATGTGGTATGTGCATCTGAACCATTTTGCTCATGAGATAGACTAACCCATGTTAGACCCCCTCTGCTACTGCTTCCTCCACCGCCAAGGACACCACTCTCACTTCTGACACCACGGTCACCTCGACCTCCACCTCCTACGAGACCTACACCCTGTACGCCGTCTCGTCTTCTTCTGCTGCTGCCGCTGCTGCTACCAGCTCCGGCTCCGCGGTCACTGCTGCCGCCAGCACTGGCGAGACCTGTGCTCCGGTCACTGTTACTGTCCACGACACCGTCACTGTGGTATGTACCCGCTGCATGTCTTGGCTGCATGACTCCCTTACTGACGCATCCCAGACCGCCACTCCTGCTGCCCTGTACACCCCCGACAGCATCGCCAAGATCGGTGAGACCAGCTCGTCCCCCAGCCAGGCCGAGACCACCTCCGAGGCGGAGACTTCCACCGTGGCCGAGACTACTACCTCGGCGGTCGAGACCACCACCCACAGCAAGCCCACCGTGGTGCCCACCCCCAGCGCCCCCTACGGCCACGGCAACGGCACCTTCCCTTACCCCAGCGGAGCTGCCCGGCCCACTGGCTTCCAGACCAGCAGCAAGGTTGCTTTCCCCTCTCACTTCCGCCGCGTCTACTAGACGGTGAATATGGGTCTCGTTTGACGTCACGCCTGTAATGAGATTCCCATGTGGCAGAAAGACGGGGCCTGTACCTACGAGAGGATTATTGTTTTGCTTCTGGTACAAACTTGACATTTCATTTGGACAACCACTTTTCACACTCCTAGACTTTATTCTATTCTCACTGCTCCGGCATGGAGCTTTCCTTCCATTCTCTGGGATCTCGATCCTCCGCTTAACGAACAAAGCTTTTTCTTCTTTACGAATCTTTCTCGAGAGCACCTCATCGGACATGATCTGGTGTCTGCCGGCGTGGGCTTGCCCACGCAGGGATGGCGACGGCGTCTAACGGGTTACATCGGCTCTACTGTACATTTGTTTTGTGATTTGAAGTAGATATATTTTCTTCGCGTGGGAAGATGATGACTTGATTACGAGAGCGTTTGTCGTTAGTCAAGCGAATGACATTTTGCTACTATCTACCTAGTTGATATATCCAATCTATCGAACAGGGATCATTCAATCCGCCCCTCAGCCAAAACCACCTTTTGGCGCATCCGCTGCCACTCAAGCCAAGTAACTCCCTGCACCAAACAATCCGCCAAATCATCCAGTTTCCCAATCTCCACTTTCCCATCTCCCTTTTTACTTCTCTTCCCTTGATACTTTTCCAAAAACGCATCCACCCATTTCCTCACTTCTCCATCCTCCCCAACCACCACCCTCCCACTTTCCTCTCCCAACCATCCCCCAACCAACCCAATCTTCATCTTCTTGACATCCCGCACGCTCTTCCTCTTCTTCTTACCATCCCCATCCCCATCACCAGCATTACTCTGATCACCCTCCTCACCCCAAAACCGACTCACCCTTCCAGGCTCCATACCCCAAACCTCCACTTCACCACCAACCAACCCCCCCTCTCCCCCTCCGAAAAACACCCAGAACCAGAACCAACAGCAACCCTCAAAGTCCTCAAAACAGCATACAACATCCCCTCAAACACACCCACTCGAATCGTCCACTCCTGCACCGCCGACCCACCTCCACTTCTGAACCGTTGTCGTTCAATCAGAATGTGTGTAGGTTTATAGAGATCCAAAAGTGTCGTGATGAGGGAGTATGCATGGTGAGCGTAGACAGCGGGGGAGAAATCTTCTTTTGTGGCTGCTGGGGAAGTGATACTATCCCCAGTATCTGTGGTGGTGGTGTGTTCCTCCTCAGACGCAATCAACCGAATCCCCGTCTTAGCCAACGACTCAGACATAGACATAGACACAGGAAGATTAAATTCCTCCCTAATACGCGGAATAGACAATCGTCTCCACGCCTCCAGAACGATTTGATTTCCAGTTCCACCTCCACCCTCATAATTCTTCCCAAGATTATCTCCTCCAGACAAAGAAGCGGGATCAGGCGGCACGGATAAACACGCAAACGCCAAATTCCGAATCCCCATATCAATACTCAGAATCCTAAGTTCCCTTGCCTTTGGATTCTTGCGAGTAGAGCCAGATCCAGACCCAGACCCATGATGCAGGTACTCACAACGGGGAAGTTCGCCCTCTAATCTTTGAATGAGCAGTGCTTTGGGGCCGGAACTCTTAATCCCGGTTTTTTGGGCGAGGTGTTGGAGGGTCGTTGCTTTGAGGATTTGGAGCCAGGGGTAGGATGCTTTTATACTAGTATTGTTTGTGGTTGGTTTGGTGGGGGTGATGGCTTTGAGGGTTGGGGTTGTGAGGCGCATTTTTGGTTTGTTTCAGATGTAAGGATGTGATGAGAGTGTTTGATTTGTGGTGGTGATGTTGGTGGTGGTTATTGTGGATGGTGTTGGGTCCATGGGTTGGTTCCGTGGTATAGAAATAGAGGTGTGAATGAATGGATGTGGTTATTATCTATGAAATACAGGGTATTTACTGCTGGAGGATATATCTATGCGATGATGCTGAAATTAGAGTTGCATTGTGATGGATGGGGAATGGATGGATTACGTAAGGATTCATTGGGGGATATGCAGGATACACTGGAGTCTGGAGGTAGTGGTTCAGTTCGGGTTTGAGTAATGATTGATTCTGAATTATGTAGTATTGTTGAATTCAAACGGATCGGATAGAATTAGTAGGAAGAGGTTTCCCTATCAATCGCTGAGATTCTAGCAGTACTACATAGTATCTTCGGTGGTTCTTATATGAACATGTAGGTCTACTGTGCAGAGAGGGATATTTCTGAGGCTGGGGAGTAGTTTCGCGCGGATTGAGACGGTGTATATGCAAGGAGATGATATATGGAGGTGAAGTAGGGTTAAGATCCTAACATTATGTCATTATTGCGCTCTCTGGAAATCAAATCCTGCATCATCTCTTCCATCCCCCCAGATGTGTCCCAGGAGAAATTCAACCAATCCATGTCCAATTCCGGCTGAGAGCCCGCAAAGAATGACAGAAGCTCTGACGTTGCAGCTGGCTGTCCCGGTGGCACGTAGTACGGATCGAGTGACTGTTGGGCGTTGGAAATATCAGACGTAAATGGTCCAATTTCCAAGTTAGAAAACCCGGTCGACCCTTGATCACTGCGGCTGCCTATTGAACATGATAATTGCCTCAGTCTCTGCGAGAACCACCGCACCGTTGCCCTCGTGATGCAATCCAGCACGTCCCGGCTTCTTTTGGCTTCAAGCCAGTATTCCCCTGTAGCGCTGAGGACGTCAGAAGCAGACTTTAGCGCATGCAGAACGGTATCAAGGTCGGCCTCCTCGCCTACCCCGTCGGGGGCCCACACACAATAGAAGATTGTCACGACGCAGAGAAACAACGACTGCACGTTGACCCAGTTATAGTGCAACATGCTGGTGACATACAGCTTATTATAGAGCTGGCTGCATTTCAGGGCGCAGTGGAAGCACTGCCGAATCAGGGTTTTGGAAGGGCGCTGGAAAAGAGGGCTAGGGCGTACAACCAACATGACAAGCTCATAGTACTTTATGTCGAGCAAGTCATTCAGATAGCATGCTGGGCTTTCTGGAGGATGGCGCGGGATTGCCGATTTCCACTGACCCAAACGGTGGAGCATGTCTTCTTGCCATCGCTTGACATCCGTAATGGCGGGCTGCGTATAAGGAGGATAGTTCCGGTCAACACAATACAGGACACATTTGATCTCGGCTTTAAACCTGGCAAGCTTGAAGAGGTGAATTGCACTAGTCATGTTGGTTATGGCTGCTGGGAGTTGAGCCGGTATCGGTTGGTTGGGCTTCAAGTCCTCATCGTTGATATCTCGCGGTAACTGTGAAAATTAGTGCCTACCTTTGAAGCTGTGAGTGGCCGGGAAATACTCTTAAATCGCATTGCTCGTCCATTATGCCTATTGCTCTTCCTAGCAATGTGCTCAAGCAACGATCAATCGTATAGACGCACCAGAAGACCCGGGTACGCATTTCCTGATCGAACCAGGTGAGTGTAGGGCCTTGGATATTGCGATGCAATCCCAGCTCCATCACATGGGCCAGGCAGTTGTAATGAAGGCTCCAAAGGCTGATCCCTGATGACGGGTTGTTGATCGTATACATCTGTAAAAGTAGCATGCATTGTACACTACGCTGGGAGGCTTTGTGAAAAATAGTATCCAGATGGACCATCGCAGAGGCGCAATACCCTTCGGCTGGAAGTAGCACTTTCGCCTGGCGTGATCGAATAGTGGCCCCAATAGCCAGGACCATGTAAATCTGAAATTGATCCGCCGGCGCGACATCATTACCATTGTAAACATGTTGCAGAACTTCCAGGTGAGTTGGTCTGTGAAGAAACGGAAATTGCAGATGGACTGCCTCAAAATATGCCTGTGTCAACCATTGCGCCTGTTTTATATCAGACGGCAATTCTCTCGGCCGGACATCGAGAAGCTCCGCAGGGACAAAGTTGCTATCTTTTGAACGAGGAAGCGATTCTCGTGCCAGCTCAGCCCTCCGTCCCAGGCCCGTCAGCACAAACCTGGTAAAAAACAACCCACTAGAAGGGCCCAAGTAACGAAGATCCGCCCCTGCATTGACAGATACCACGCCCAGTTGATTGCTAATATCACGGGCGTGATGCCACCCATCCCTAGCCTGTTCGGTCTGAGTAGCCTCCGGAGCGGTCGCCTCGGTTGACGCCCCAGGACGACTCAAGTGAGCACTATCAGGACTATTGAGGTCAATGTGTGGCAGGTGCTCCTGGATAAGCGACTCTAGCCACTCGATTCGCACCTCTAGTTCATCCACGTAACTAATCCAACATTTAATATCAATACGGGCATACAAGTTCACCAGGCTCACCTTCGGGAAATATCACGGAAAGATGTCCCTTCAATGCAATCCACACGGGCTCGTTGGCAACCCCCGCAGACAGGGGCCACTCCGTCACACTAGGACTTGTTATTGCGTGAGTTGGTGGAAAAGTCACCTTCATCCATGATGCTATGCAACTCACCCGAATCTTCCGTTTCTGGCAACGAGCGCAGGCGGTTGTGATGCGGCCTCGGGCAGCAGCCCGACGCCGTCGGCCGGGTACTGCGGGCCGTTCTGATCTGTCCCGCTCCATGGTATGATCTTGTAGAGTGTAGTCAGGAGATCGATGACATGACGATGGTCGCGTTCTGAGAATATGCCGACGGGGTTTATTCCGCTCGCCGCTACTTCTAACCAATCACACACGAGAAGGCGGCCCAGCGGACGGATCTCCGGCCGTCATATGGTTCGGTCATCCATATACATGTAGTTGGATCCCTGATCTGGCGGTAATGTTTAGGCTAGATCTTATGATGGGGTTTTAGAAACATTAATTCGAGAACTGCGTTAGTCTTCTAACCTCGTATGGCAGATAGATAAATCACGCATGTCCCAAACTCGCAATCAACGGAGATGTACCCGCAACGGAGAATTCCCGCAGGAACTATAGAATAATACTATACTATACCACGATCTTATATAAAGTCCATACTCTACAACAATTCTACACCACTTTCTACACAGTCTCTCACACACACACACACACACACACACACACACACAGCAACCAGAATAATACTACCACCATGACCTACACCTACAACGTCTTCCGCGGCTCCCCAACCGGCAAAATCACCCCCGACACCATCACCATCACCAGTCCTCCCCCCCTCGACCACAACGAAGTCTTCATCTAGACCCTCGTGTCCGGCGTCTGCGGCACAGACGAACACTACCGAACCCACCCCCAAGTCCTCGGCCACGAAGGCATCGGTATAATCCGCGCCCTGGGACCGGGTGTCCAGACCGTGAAGATTGGCGACAGGGTAGGATTCGGCTTCATACACAGTATCTGCACACGATGCGAGAACTGCTCCAAAGGCAATCCCCTCCTCCCTTTCCCCCTTCCTCCCCATTCATTCACATTCACACCCAATATTATACTGACAAAAAACCAAGACCAAGACCAATTCTGCCCCCACAAAAAACAATACGGCCTCAACGACACCAACAACGGAAGTTCCAGCACCCACACAATCTGGGACTCGAACTGCGTATTCCCCATCCCCGAAAACATCTCCTCCATACACGCCGCCCCATTAATGTGCGCCGGCGCTACGGTCTGGACCGTCCTCACGCGCTTCAACATGCAACCCGGAGATCGGGTCGGAATCATGGGGGTGGGTGGACTCGGCCATCTCGCTATCAAGCTCGCCTCTGCGATGGGATATCGGGTGGTTGTGCTTTCGGGGTCGGAGGCGAAGAGACACGAGGCGATGGAGTATGGGGCGGGGGAGTTTCATGTTTTTCGGTCTGGGGAGAGGGAGGGGATGGGGTTGGAGAGGCCGGTTAGGCATTTGTTGCTTTGTGGGAGTGGTGATGTGGATTATTCTGAGTGAGTTGTGAATCTTTTATCTGGATTATGGAGGAGGGGGGGTGCTGATGGGTGTATAGGTTGCTGCCGCTTATGGATAGTCCGAGTGCGATTTATCCGTTGACGGCGACGGTTGAGCCATCGAGGATTCCAACGTTGGAGTTGTGTTTCAAGGGGTGTAGGATTCAGGGATCGTTGGTGGCGTCGCGGCAGAGTACTCGGGCGTTGTTGGAGTTTGCGGCCGACAAGAGGATTGTTCCGACGGTGATGACGTTTCCGTTGACGGAGGAGGGGATTGAAGAGGCGATGGGAAAGTTGAGGGAGGGAAAGGTGAGATATAGGGGGGTGCTGGTGAGGGAGATGTAATCTTATACTAGGGGTTTTTGTCCTGTTCTCACCATTGTTTGGAATACTAGGCTTTCCGATGTCTAAGCATTCATTCAGGAAGTCAGAACATACCTCCATTATAGGGTAGATGTCTGATGGTATCCGTACATGCTGATCTGTGTTGAATCCTACCCTCTGCAGTGGGCAAATTGTCTATAATTTCGATATAAAGACTATTTATCAAGTTGCCATGGAAAGTCTCTACAGCACGTAAAGGCTAAATACCTCATTAACACTTATCTAAGGATATATCAAGTTATCAGACAGTGTCACAACTCTCCATCTATCTTTTCTGCCGAACAAACACCACCATTAATCAATATATATGCCCTCCAGGGACGCCAACCAAAGCCAATGCAACACGCTGAACTGCAATCAGAAGACAATCACAAACTCCACCGAACCCACAAGCATTTTCGAATCCACAATCAAAATGTCGACGACCGTGCCACGTCAGTCGCCCTCGCGCTCATCGCCACGTCAGTCAGTGTCACGCTCTCGCGCACGTACAGAATCGGCGCCCAAACTTTCCAGTGTAGCACGCCCATGTGCGCTAGTCGCATCGAGATCCTCTCAACGTCATAGTGCTGCTGCCCCATCGACGCCTGCGGTTGGTTGCGTTGCGACTCGCAGATCGCCAGGGGTGACATGTTCAGGTACTTTTTCGCCGTCGCAAACGTCGCCCCAAGCAGCTTCTCGCGCAGAGAGCTCTGGAAGTACTGGAACAAGTACGACTCGTTCGAGAGGTGCCACTCCAGCGCCGTTTCAATCGGCGCAATGACATCATCTGACACCGATCCATCCTGGAAGCACGCTGCGCATGCGAACCGTGCAATCTCCAGCGCAATGCACCGCACGTTCTTTAGCCAGAGAGGGGACCCGCGGGGGCACTCTTCGTTCTCTTCCATCAGTGATCCAATGCGAGTGCGGAACGTCGCGTACGTTTGCACCGGCGCCGATAGATATCGTTTCTGCGCGTTGATGTATGATTCGAAGATGAACCAGCAGATATCGAGGCTGATCAGGTTCTGGAGACACGACCGCAGCTGCCACAGCCGGTCCGAATCGAAGACGAACGTTTCAGGGAAGCCCTCTGGATTGTGAAACTGCAGTAAGAAGTCGGATATCCCGCCGAACAGCAATGAGATCGGCCAGAACCCATCCACATGCGCAGGCTTCGGCATCCGGCGCAGTTCTCGGTCGCGGAGATCCAGATACCAAAGTCGCGAGGTCTCGACGCGGAAGTTGTCCCTCTCAATCTTGCCCCGGAAATACTCCTGCAGGAACGGAACCGTGTCTTCGATGAGCAGCACCCGGAATGCGCGGATCTGGTGATTGGCAACATCCTAGACTTGATCAGTGACCTCCCTGTAACAAGCGCATGCCAATTCTTACCAATTTCATCGCTTCCAGAATCGAGAACAGCGTTTGGAGTCCACCGACAATCTCGAGCGAGTTTTGCGTCTCCGACCCGGACCGAATCTGCTCGACCATCCGATCCGCCCATTCATCGCGCATGGGCGCGCAATGCGTTTTGAGCAGTGCCGCCAGCCAGCGTGCCACTCCGACCATATCCAGAACCCCCTTCTGTATTTGCTGCATCAGGAGCGTCACTTCGAGGTTCTGCACCACCCCCGGATGGTCGCGCTCGGGAACGAGCGTTTTCAGGACGTCTTGCAAGGTCTCGAACATGGCAGGGAGTCGGGGCTCGAAGGTTTGCGGCGGGCCATTCGGTGAGTTGTCGGCTGGATTCTCATGTGCGGCGCCAAATGCGTAGATGGCGATCTCAACGGCCATCGCCTCCCAGTAGTCTGCGGCCTCTTTTCGTTTGCGCCGGCCCTTTTCACCATCCAAGTCGGGTTTGAAGTGCAGATCTCGGTCAAAGTTGGCGTCCATCCGGAGGTTGATGTTGCTCATGATGCAGGGAAGGTCCAACTCGCTCAACGTGCTCTTGGTCACGGGCGGGTACCGTTTGGCGGCCAGTAACAGGCGGTGCTGATTCGCGCTGAGACCCAGGGCCGTGGGGATGCTCATTGCTTGCGGCGAGGGCACCAGAGCTCGGGCTGCTGCCTGCATGGACGGAGATAGAGTCAGGGCGACACCTTCATGGTAGCTGAATTTGCCGGGTTGGCGACGCTGGTGCATGTTCGCTGAATCGGAATTGCTACTCGCATCTCGGTGATCCAAGGAGTCGTTCTTGGGCGAATCCTTCGCATGACCACTTCCTCCATATGCTTCCAGGGGGCATTCTGAGTTCTCTTCTTGCTTGCCCGGCGTATTCCGCCGGGCCTCCTTCGTTTTTTGAAGGTCCATCTCCATCCGATCGAGGGTGAGAAGTAGAGCAGCAGCAGCAGAAGAAATGTCTGGGGTAGGCTCGGAAGAATGAACGAGGAACCTGGGGACAGCGATTAGATCGTGGGGGTCACGGGCATTTCCTGGGCGACGGACGCAAGGCACCGCAGCCCTATACAGACGGCGGGTTGGATGGGATGGATCCCTTCGCAGCGGTCCTGCGATCAGTCCTTGCCTGGGGTCGACAGGAACCCAGCGAGGGAGGGAGAACTAGTACGCACCCGAGGTTGGTCAACGAGGGCGATCGTCAATGCCGATCATAAAACGGGCAATCGTAGACGGCGGTCTTGTCAAAATAGTGTTTCGATAGTAGTAAGACCCTGGGTGAGCCTTTTGGGTCAGGGCCACTTCCCTGTTTTGCCCTCGGTTTTAATTGGGATTATCTTCACCCTGCCAAGTGGGAAACCACCAAGGGACAGTAGCAGTAGATAGTAGCAGGCAGCAAGAGGGATGAAAGGGAGCAGGTCCAATGGCTACGCGACAGCAGAAAGGCAAGGAAATAGCAAACAAAGGTAGTCGTCGTTGACCGAGTGGTTTCAATGCCGGCAGACGTCAAGGAAATCGGGACGGACCACTTGACAAAGAGACCGGGATGTCAGTGTGTTGATATAACCAATGATGGTGGTGGGCCCAAAGCCATGCGGATGAGTAGTAGTAGATAGTATGTATAACGGCGTTCGGAGACTGAGAAAGGACGGCCCTGCACGCAATAATAAAATTTAAGAAGAGAATTACACGCCCGCAGCAGACCGGACAGGACACGAGCCAACCGATGAGGACTAGAAGGAAAGAGAAAGCGAGCTGTGCGGCAACATGGCAGTAGAAGACGGCCAGCATCGACTGGACTAGTCAGAGGCACCACTGCCTTTTGCAGGTCCGCTGGGAAAAGTGAGGCTGATCTAATCTAGACGCTTGCAGCTGCTACGAACTTTCCGGGGGGGGCTTGTTTCGCAGTTTCGCACCTGGGAACGGGCTCCGACAAAAGGGAATTTTGGAAACGTTAAAGCAAGCTGGTGGCCACCGGTCCAGTGATCCCTTAGTCACATAGTGGATGACGTGGGATGCTTGGGGGGGATGCTTGGGGGGAAAGTGTCGGTTGCGCTCTGGCAACTTGCAAGCGAGTGGGTAAGAACTAAGAACAGGATTGATCACGATCCTGATCCATTCCTTAACGGCCGCCGCGCGAGGGCGCGAGGGAAAGTCAAATTGATCCCTGACTGCTGCTGCTGCCCCCCTCCCTCCCCTCTCTCCCTCTCCCTCCGCCCCAGCAGCATTCCTCAACAACGGGGCCCGGTATCGTGTGCGATCTCAAGGCCCGGGCGTGTGCCGGTGCCACTGCTGGTACCCGGGCATTGTGCCAGAGCCAATGTGATAGGGAGGGACGCCCTCCCAACAGCCCGGCCACTGACGCCACCAATTCAATGTTGTTATCAGGTTATATTCGGCCAGGATGAAATTGTGGGAGATCATCGAAAAAGAAAAGAAATAATTTAGGTGGGGATGCAGAAGGGGCCGGACACAAGCAACGACCCAACAGCCCAGCAGCACGGAGTATACATGCGCCCTCCGTCTCCATAGAGAGACTGATAGAGGGCATTCGGTGTATTCCCACTGAATAATGTGCAGATGGACAATGCAGCCTGCCGTCCCCGGTGTTCAGATCAGTTTGGGCGACGGATCCATCTTGATCCGGCTTTGTCAAGGGTATATTTGCTTTTTGTCTGTTTTTTTTTTTTGTTCACTTTGCTTTTTTTTTGTTTTTTAAATTCCCTGGAAGAAAAAAAAATAAACAGGGCAAAGCAGGGGGCATCAATAGCATCCGGGCATTCCAACCCTTAATGCATCCAGAAGTACCCCCGAAGATGTCCTTGCAACCGCCCTTGAAGACTGACTGCCTTTGTCATGGTCGAACATACTGAAGAAGCTCGGGATATAACCCTGTCCAAACATCCATGTCCACTCCCATCAGATCATTCTCATCCTTTTGAGTTTCGTTTCTTGGTCTTTCCGCCAACGGCTTGATGCGACACCGATGGGGGTCACCACCATCATCATCATACCATCCAGGTTGACCTCGTGTTGTGGATGGGAAAATCTAGTGGCCTGTACCCTGTCAGGTACAGATTAATTGTCCCTGTGGCCTGCGCCTCCAGGCCCCAGGCCCCTACAGAGTGCTTCCCCGTCTGGGACCGAAAAAAGATCCCGTTGATTTGTTTGCGATCGAAACATTGAATAATGCTCCATCAAAACCTTAAAGCCCGTCGTAGGACTCATCATCTACTCCGTTCTATCGCATATGGGATTGACAATGATAGTCGTCGACTGAATTCCGTTTTGGTCCACCGACATTTCCAGGCCGCGATCGAGTCCTGCTCGGTGACCGCCGACGGGACGATTGCGCTACAGTGACCCCTATTATTCATTATTATTCCTTCACCTCCGCCGTCCTCCGTTGTAGTGGCAACGGGGAGGAGGCAGAGGGGAAGGGGGCACAAGAAGCCCGTGACCATGTTTCCTCCATTGTTTCCTTTTTCTCCCTCAGGGTGGGACATGGGGATGTTTCCCGATCCACCCGCCCTAGCAGAGCAGATTGATAGATAAAAACCCACCAGGAGTCTCGGTCGGAGTGGATCACACGCGTGGTGGCATCGGTAGGCCAACCCGAGTCAGCGACAGCCCTGGACCCCCGGTCTTAACAGCAATATCAGAATCCGGCCGGGTTCCCCCCTGCGAGTGGGCTCACGCGCGGGATGAGGAATGGACTATTGACTCCGACCGCTCCGTAAGTCGGTGGGATAGAACTATCGATCGGCATCGTAAGATTATTATTTAAGCTCGGAGTCTCCTGGAGAGTTGAATCTTAAAGTGCTAGGGGTGGATCCCATGGAGGGTGCCTGCCGACGAAAACGGAGGGCGAAGTAGAAGAAGCAGACAATGTGGCTGGATCATTATTATCATCCAAGGCCGCGCGCGAATAAAGGGGCTTGACGGCTGGAAGCTCTGGCGTGCGCTTGGCGCCTCACTTTGGTAGCGCACCGATCACAACGATTAGATACTCCACGCGAACTCGCCTCATTATTCCGGACCTGGTCGGAGAAACAGCAATTGGGAAGCCAAGGCCGTTTGCAAGCACGCTGGTATAAAGAGCGGTGTTGGTTCTGACCCAGTTCCTCTTGCCATGCTGCAGGCGACACAAGAAATGTATGCCAGCCCTGCACCGCCATTGGCTCCAGTTCTAGTATTCTACACCTGTCGAGGCGGGGCGGGAGGGCGAAGCCTCAGCCCTGGCCAGGACAAAGTCCGTCAGGGCGACATGAATGAGTGGTGGTGATGGTGGTAGTGGTGAATGGTGATGTTATGATTCTGGCTCCCCTCACGACACCGACTTTTCAGTGGGGTTGTTCGGCCCGTAGTCTGACTGTCTGAGATCTGCTGCATCGTCTGTGATGATGATCCGGAAGTGATGCTCCCAGCCCGGCGACGACACGGGACAGACTGACAGGCAGCCGTGAATTGATGCTAAAGACGAAGAAGTGAGACGACGAGACGATGGATCCCGTGACAGCAGAATTGGCCCTAGCCCTGTGCCCCGTGCCCTATGCAGCGCCGAGGGGTCTGCAGCATCTCAGCGAGTCAGCTTCGATACATCCTGTCACTTGGCTATTCTCGCCATGGCTATCCCCACTGCGCCAGTTATAGATCTCAGGCCAGGCTGACAGGAACTATCTTCCATCGGAGTTACGGGAAACGATATCCGGCAATATACTATATGGATCCATAGTAACACTTCAAGGATGCCATTCCTTCAGTCGCTCAGTAATCCGTACATGCAATGACAATAGATTCGTTACTTGTTTGACTCGACACTTGCTTAGCTTATCCAACCAGATGATTGATTTTTCACATACATCAGTATGATCTCGACCTTTTCTCGGATTACTGCCGCAGTCTCTTTATTTCCGCTCCGTTGAACAGCTCCTGATAAACTATATAAAACACCCGCTCCAGTCTTTCTGCATGATAAAATAAGAGTATATCCAAGAACTACAACTGACGACTGATCCTGACAACATAGCCCACCAAAATTCCCCTCCAGGCGATGATAGAGAGCAGCCTTCCAGTATTCATTGACTGCATCTTTCCATTCCACCAACCTCCAATCCCCAATCTTCAGGCAATACCACTTCAAAAACTCCACAAGTCATCTGCCCCCAAGATCCCCAAACAACCCCTCCCCTTCAAACCCCAAACCTACTGCTCCCTCTAGTCTCTACTGCCCCCCCTAAACCCCATTCCAAACCCCACCTTCTGCACCAGATGTTGTGCAACCCAAGCCTCCACAACAGACTCCCCCCCCTCCCCTACCTGCACTCTTCAGCAGCAAGCAAGCAAGAAACGCATCACGTACGACACCACCACCAACGACCGTCCCACCATCTCGTCCTCACCCGCCCCCCGCCCCCGACCCCTGCTGTCTTGGTATTCCAACCGTACCAACGACAACGACGGTCACACCAAACCCGCCGTCTCCATCCCCGGATGACAGTCGTAATGTGAATCCCCACCCACTTTGCCCGTCACATTCCCAATCCCATTTCATCAAACGTACGGAGTAGCTTTTTCCCCGCATACCACCGGGAAACGGACCACGAGTGATACCCCCGCCCCTTGGAGATTCACATAGATAGTTTGGGATTTGCTTGGGGTTGAGTAGTACCCTATTTCGCGTATCATGTATAGTATGTATGTACATTTTATGATTTATTATCAGGTATACCTCGCAGATTCACCCTACTCTCTTGATCCTGGGATGAAGAAAGAAAAAGGAGAGAGTATACAGTATACTTTGCTCGATTCCATCATCAGTCAAACACTATGACTCACCCACAAATAAGCTCTAGCAAGAAGTATTCTACCGTATACGGCGAGGTGCAGGATATAAATTGTTTGCTCAGACGCCGACGCCGACGCCGCGGTGAGAGATGTTTGCCTGCCAATGTGGGTATGTACATACCTCACTATGTATATGCATGACATGGATGGTTTAGAGGGAGGGGTCGGGGATGGCACTTCTCCTTTGTTTGCGCGTAGGGAGCGAGCAAGCAAGTAGGTAAGTAAGCGAAAGTGAATTGAGGAGGTGGGGCTAGGTATTGATTGTAGTATCGGTGTGTGTTATGTATGTCATAGACAAAGCAGGTACCTTTTCCGTGGCGGTGTCCTGCGTTAAATGATTTAGATGGTTATGGAAGAAAACGAATGATCTTCAATTCGCTATTGTCATCATCCATTAGAATTGACACGCTATGCAAGGTTCCTAAGATGATTAGAGCCGTACGCCGTCCGTTCGCAAAGCGCAAAACGTAAACACATTCGAGTCCTTTTATCCCCGACTCCCTGCGGCCCGAGTGCTAAATGGAGGCGGCCTGAAGAAATCGTGAAACGGAAATGAAAAACAAGGCCCAACATCAACAACATAGATCGGATGCGGTTATACACGCACCAAGGACATCAATCAAGTCACGGCTGGGATAGGCTGTTCGAGGCACGACGCGATCCAGATCTATCGAAAACAGCCGTGACCGAGCTCTTCATTGTATCTCCAAATATGATAGGGAGGACTGCGTGGCCCCAGGCCCACGAAAGTCTACACTATCCAGGTTCGAGAGTACGCACCTCTCGCAGCAGACAGTAATAGCACAATGATATGGTTACAAAACGAGACCAACCATGCAACACATACCAGAAGAGAGGCGCCTCTTTTGTGAGGCGAAAATAAAGTTGGTGGGCGCTACCACCTCACCGTCGACTGAAGAACGGTGCCTGATTGGGCATCGAGAGCAGTGACTCAGCTCTCTGAAATACATCTCCTTCGAAGAATTTATCACTGTACGCACTCGCGGGGGTAGATGGCACAGTCGCCTGCGCAGCCGGGCCAAGGGCAGCACTCAGCGGTGTGGCGGGGAGATGAATGGATTGTGGTGATACGCTCGAGTTGATATGAAAGTTGCTCGAGTTGGACACGGATGGCTGGTGCTGCAAATGCTGGGATTGCAACGGAGGCCCGTATATGTTTGCTGGTGCATTGCCTGGGGCCATATCTGCTAGATAAGACCAGGGTGAAGCATCAATCAACCGACCAGCTTCCCTGCTGGCTCTCTGCACTGGACGGAGAAGCACAACAAGGTCACCAGGAAGAAGCTGCATGCCTCGAACTTCTCTCATGTCGGTAACTAGGTCGACAAAGGACTGCATGAACGTCTTGCAGAGTTGCCAGAACTCGCGCTGGTTCCGCATGCCGCCGCCGGGCTCCTTGACTTTCATGCTGGACAGACGAAGTCCCAGTGCCTCAGACACTTCCAAGCATACCCGACACCGGCGAATCAGGTTATTCCATAGCATCACGATGCCTTCAGATTCGTGTCCTTGCTCCGCTGCCTCATGGCATCGCACCAGCTGACGGCGCGCCAAAGGCAGCGCATGCAGGGCGGCGGTGTACGCAGAGGTAAGCTGGTAGAAGATCTTCTCGAAGATGCGCTCCTCCTCAATTTCATCCAGACCCGTCAAGGGATTGATCCGAGGTACAACGGCGCTGGGCATCGGGGGAAATGACTCGCCTGAACGAGGAGTTGCGAGTGAAGAGGGCACGGAGGTATTAATATGATTAGACCTACTGCTCGACCGACTCCTTGCTCCATAGCTAAAAGGCGTTGGAGCAAAACCAGGCGAGCTGACAGCAGACTGGTAGTTCTGGGCCGCCTGGAAGGGTCCGGTCGTAGTGATCAGAGGGTGCTGAATTGTGGTGTCGCTTCGGAACCGACGCGTCGACAAAGATTGCTCTCTCCCCCTTGTCGGAGTGACGGTAGGCCCAATGAATCGGTCCGGACCCGTCGACTCTTTGATTTCCGGTATAGATGGTTTCGCCACAGAAGGCCGCTTGCGAGTTTGGAGTGGAACGCGCAAGCTTGCACAGGCGTTGCGCAGTTCAACTACGCTGCCAAAGATCATAAGCATCAAGGAACGTAGATAGCGTGGATCCCCATTGGTGACTATCTTGTCGATGCTGTTACGCAGTTGGATTCCAACATGGGTGTACGCGATTATGCATGTCTCGCATTCCCTTTTAACAGCCTCTTTCGCCATTCGCGCTGCGTCCGCGTCGTCGGAACGATAGTGTTCCGCATTTTCAATAGCCTCATTCAGCCGCTCCACGTGTGTAGAGGCATTGTAAAAGACGATTTCGAGGCTATTTCGCCGAGCGTCATCGCGTTTGATCACATTGATCAGTGAATAAACGTTTGATTGCACCTGGAACAGGGCAAAGAGGATTCCCTTCGCGCACTCGATGATAGGCTCTACTGTTTCTTTTTCGCCCTTGTGTTCCGGCAGACTCGACATTCGATTGACAAAGCCATCCTTTAAGCGCCTGCGTTCCCTCGGGCTACTGGGACTGGAGGAGTTGCTGTTACACACGGCCGCAATGGGCCGCGTCCGAAGGATCGAGCCGTAACTGAGACCCCGTAAATGACTGTTTCGATACGGCCGTGTCTCATCCAGCGTTCCTAAATCGGTATTCTTCCGAATGACTCCCATCCGTTTGTTGCGCGCCGCGAGAGAGGCCTGGATGATCCCTTCACTATTGCTCCGGTTGCGTTCATTGACTCCAGCAATAGGCCTGGCACCGGGGCGTGGGAGGAAACCGCTGTGGAAGACCGAGTGTTGGCCCGAAGCGATGCGATAGTGAGATTTGAGAGGGATTGGCGGGGGTCGAGACAGCGACGGCGACTTGGGATCGGACGAGATGTCACCAGTACTTGGTATTACGGGAAACCGACTGCTCACTCCGCGTTTGACGGGCTTAGGCGTGTCCAACATGCCCTCGCTGGAAAGCCAGTGTAAGTTGGTGGCATCTGGATGAGGGTCAAGTCCGTACCTGAGCTCGTTCCTCTCAATTTCCAGAGCCGTAACGGGCTGTTTGGTCTTCAAGAACCTCTTGAGTTCGGCAGTGACTGCGACTTCTTTTTCATTGTCAGTCATTGTCGAGGGGGCAAATTCTGTCTCGGAAGTCTCGAGAAGCCGTCGCAGGGGGCCCCGCAAGGGGTTGCCGGCGACTTTGAGAATTTGAAGTTTATTCATATCGGAGATCCCCAGAGGCAAATCATCAAGGCGGTTTTGCATTACCGATAAGACCCGGAGAGAGGACAGTTTCTTGATTTCTTCTGGGAGATGGCTGATCTTATTGCGACTGATGTCTAAAATCTCAAGAAGCGGCAATTTGTATACCTACATGTAGAGTCAGAGCTTCACGAACCACCACATAGGATTGTACAGGTCACTCACCCCTTTGGGGAATTCTCGAAAACTATTTGCCCGAATATTGAGATATCGAAGATGGGAGCATTCTGCAAATCGATAGGGGATATGGAAAAGATGATTATTCGATAGAGAGAGACTGTCAACTGTTAGTTTCCTTTCGTACAATAGCCATAGCGCTCATATTTGAAGCCATTATGTACTACACACCGTTCAACTTCATCCTTAATGGTGTCCACTACCGTCTCCGGGATGCGGACAATGTTGGAATGACCCAGATCGATTGTCAACTTCGGCTTCACCACATCGCTAACTGCCTCACTGCCGGCCAAGGAGCGTTTGGTCTCTTGGATACCATTCTCCACCGCACGCTGAGCCAGTTCAATCGTTTCATCTGGCGACAAAAGGCGGGGCCCCGTCTGATGCTTGCCCAGACTACTGCTGCGCCCATCCCCGGTAGACCCATTCACCAGTGTAATTTCATCCTCGCCTTTTGCCGCTCCATCATTGTTGGAAGAAGACGAGGAAGAGGAAAGCATATTGTGTTCCGGAGTTCGCCTGCTAGCATCGTCCTCGTCCACGTCACTGCGGTACGAACGAGGCATCCTGATGGCGTCCTCCGGGCGGATCATTGTGGAAAGCATGGCTGAGGATGTTGGAAAGGAGCTAGCCTACCGGTCCTGTCTGACGCCGCTTGACTTCGGTTAACTCCTAACGTACTTGAAATTCGAACAGTTGATCAGATAATCAGAGAGTCTCCGAGACGTTCACTGAGACCGGAACAAAGCATGATCAACAGGCGCTGCAATAGCGGCGAAACCGTCAAGTCCGAAGGAGGTGAAGTGCCATGCAAAAGCGAAAATAAGTGTAGGGTTGACGCCAGGTTCGACGGCGGCGCGAGGCTGGCCAGAGCGCTTCCGTTGGGCTTCGAACGAGGACCCGCTCGGGTTCGAAGGAGGGAACGAAGGTAGGGAGGGATCGTAGACTGGAATTCGGAGCGATCGCGGGTTGAGCTGTCGATTTGACAGGTTGTATCAGAGGGCTCAATCACACGGTCGGTCGTCCTTGGTGCCAAAAGATAGGGAGGATGAATAGTGAAACGCGAAAAGGTGCAGCTGTCAGATGAGAGCCACCGCCCGACCGATCATCCAAGCATGCAGGGGAAATGACCTCCAGACCGTGAAGGTGCACGCTGCCAAGGAGGTAGATGTCGATGTCAATTGTCAGGATGCTCAGCAGTCTCTTGCAGGCCGAGCAAGTCGACTGACAAGCAGGTCAGGATGGATGAAGAACCGCCGTCGATAACTTTCTGGGGGTGCCGGGCGCGATAAGTCCGCCCCAATGATTGGTCCAGGGGACATCCGGCAAACACACCTGAAACACCACTATTGTTTGAGGTTCGCAGGCTCACGAACTGCCCGCTGACCTTGTCTGTTCCAGAGGTGGGATATAGATATCTACAGCTGCACTTGGCCGGGTCAGCATAGCGGGCGCTATCAGAATAACAAAACTATACATATGACCCGAGGATCTTATTCACAACAACAGGGTAAATAAGAAAGAAAGAAAAACAGAGCAACCCAAGAAAAAGAATATGAAAATAATCCAGTAGTGTACATAAACCATTAGAGAGTCTGGCAAAGCCCCTCTCCTCTGGGGTTGACTATACTAAACTCCCAGAAAGGACCACCGCGCCGGGTTCATGGTGCTTGCCCAAGCTTCTCCTGGGCGTCATCTTCCAAGGCTGGCTCCGATTCCTCAGCAGAAGCAGCAACCTGAACTTCTGGGTTTCCGAGGAATGCAGCCAGTCTCTGGTCCGAAAGCTGGGCTTCTAACTTGGCCCACTCCTTCCAGCGCTCAAACTCCTTGTTCTCGAGATCCATACCGACTTCTAGGCGTGTCGGTCCGAACACCGCACCGGTAGCTTCGGCCTCTTCGGCAGCAACACGTCGTTCAATGTCTTGCTGTAGACGGAGTCGGTAGAACTCGCGGCGTGCAATATCATAGGCGGCGCTCTTGGTCATATCGGGGATATTATTAAGGAGCCAGAGCTGGCGCTGAACAACACTATTGGGAGCAAGCCGAGGGCGTTAGCATCATCGGACAAGGCGCGAGACCCTCTCGCTCAGAACAAGGACATCAGACGTACCTTTCACCATCCAGGTTCTTTCCCGGCTGCTGGAGCCGGCTCCAGTTGTATCTTTCGAAATCCTTGCCGGACTTTTCGAGGACGATCCGGGGTCTTGCAAGTTCCCAGGGATGGTCGCGGAAGAATTCCTTGCGCAGCTGGTCTTCCTCGTATTTAATCTCGACCGGCATAAACATGCGGCTTGCCTTCTTCGGCTTGATGCGTTTCTCCTGGACTTCGAAGACGGCCTGCGGCTTCGATGCCCCGGGAATAGTTTTCAGACGCTGGCGAACCAGTTGGTGTTGTTGGGGCCGATTCCGTACGAGGACCTGAGCCGGGGGGATGTCGTGCAATACATCAATCCATGAGGAAGAATCTGTTGTTTTTGAAGCCTTGGTGTTTCCGAGGGCCGCCCGTGCATCAGCGAGTTGGCTAACCCGGAGGGCCGCGAGATTATATCTGCCCATCGTGAAGGCCGTGCAGGATCTGCGGGGGAGAGGCGGACAGTCGGAGAGCCACCCTAACGAAGGAAGCAAGTGCCGGCAGGATCAATTGGCCTGGACACGCAGGTGGTTCGACTCGTTCGAGGCAGGCTTTGGGGCGTACGGATGGTGGTTCGGGAACCCGATGGATGGATGATATGAGAGCCAGGTGCAAAAAAGAGGGATTGGCAATGCGCGCCTCCGATTGGCCCGCCGGCGGCTCCGCCCCGGTGCAAAGCCAGAGACAAGCCCGAAGAAAGCCATAATAATAATTTGACGCGGAGCTCACCTCGCTGTCTAATACTTTACCCTGCAACCCTCTACCCTCTGGGACCCTTGCCTTCTTCCCCCCAACCCGCGGCTAGCCACGCTTGAAGAGCAGCCGGCTCCCTCCTCGTCAAGCTGCTCGAGTTTTCCTCGGGACATGCAGGGCTGATCCAATGCCACGATGTCTGCCATCTCATGCCTCCTCCCAATAGGTACCAGAGCTCGCCCGACCTGCGACTACCCCCCTCGCAGCGGTTGGATACGAGCCTCCCCGCCCGCTACACTTCGATGTCAACTCCCGACTCGTTCTCCTACAATGCCTCTATCAGACGACTCGGCTCCAGGCGTGCTCGCCCTTCCGCGGCGTCGCTAGCAGATCTTTTCGTCAGCTCCTTGGTCGTGGCAGGTTACTGTCATGAGCATGCCCCTCGCGCCAGGGGGCTGTCCACGGTTCCCATGAATACTACAGGGGGGAACATGGTTAGATGGCAGGACCGGCGTTTGGCACACCGTAGGCAATTGTCGTCGAAGCATCGCCTTGATTGTCTAGGCTCATCGGCGGGGGGTCTGCATCATTCAAGTGCACAACGAATGATCAATTCCGGGGTTGCATTGAGAGTAGAGGATGATGATGGCGATGAAAACCGTTTTGCGAGCAGCCCGTCCGAGGGTCCTTCATTCAACAATCGCTATCAAGGCACGAGTACGAGTTCAACATTACATCAACATGCAGGATTGCAAGAATCATCACTGGAAACATTAGAAGATGAGATACCAACGGCAGATACGAGCCCAACTAGCGGAGATGGCTCTACCGCGAGCCGCATCACCCCCGAAGGTGAAGGAATCAACCGCCTGTCGGATTCTTCGAACAAGCCGGAGAAATATCGCCACTGCAGGAGAACGAGTCCAACCAAGAAGACATACATATCGACCTCACACGTATACCGAGCTGCCTTCGGTGATTCACTAAACTGGAAACAGGCAGTTGATCTTGTCGCAAATGAGCCACCGAAGGGGTTGCCCTCTATTGAAGTGCCCCAGAAGAAGGTGGACAACTCGCGCGATGCCTTGGAGTACCATTCCGTGGAGGTTTTTCTAGACGCTATGTGGGACGAAAAGATATCGAACCATTATGTGTTTCGACTCTACAGAGATCTGCCTTCCCCCGGAGTTGCCTGCTTGTCCAAGCGCTCCCGTGGGGCTCTCCTACGTCGATTTGCTGATCCTCCCCATCGCCGCTGGGTCGATGCTCGCCGCTACCTTGCGTTGGTGGAAGACATGGTTACTGCAAAGCTGCCCATGTCCCTCTCACTGTGGAGTTCCGCTATACATCTTGCGGGACGGGCAGCAGGCAAGGTACGCAAACGAGATTTGGTGAAGGCAATTGGTATCTGGCAGCAAATGGAACATATAGGAGGCATCAAATCTGATGGTGTTGTATTCACCATCCTCTTCGATATCGCCATCAAAGCGAGCCAGTTCACTGTTGCGGAGCGACTATTAGAAGAAATGAAGAAGCGTAATATCAAGTTCCGGCGCTTCGGGAAGGTCTCCCAACTCTATTATTGTGGCATGCAAGGGGATATTGCTGGTATTCAACAGGCGTTTGACGGTTTCGTGTCGAGTGGTGAGATCGTTGACACGGTCGTGATGAATTGCCTAATGGCGTCTTTCATTCGCGCGGGAGATGTGGAAACGGCACAGCAGCTCTATGCACGAATGCTGGAGACTCAGGCAACCTCACACCAAGAAGGCGACCTAAGTCTCGGGTCCAAACATCCAGGAAGCTCCAATCTTACATCGGAGATGAACCTATACCGAAGCCGAGTTAGGAAGTTGGGTCGGGTTCTGCAAGAATCCGCGCCACTCCAAGGTATCCTGCCCGAACACCATCGGGCTCTTCAGAATTCAGTCCGGGCGATCCCTGACACACGGACGTTCCATATATTTCTCTCACTGCACGCCCACCATACGGCTGATATACATGCATTCATGTCTATTCTTGCAGACATGGAGAAAGTATTCGTGGTTCCCCCACGTGGCATGATCTACCTTTTACTGTTTGATGGATTCGCCCGCAACGGGCGCCACCGAAAGGGCTGGACGGCCGAACGGTTGCAAGTGACATGGAAAGCCTATCTACGTGCCCTCTATGAGTCAAGGAGGAGACTCACTGAAATGTTCCGCATTCAACCGGAGAAGCCCGTCGCAGAGAATACGTTACGCCATGGCCCTGTCGTTCTTGAAGTAGGCTGGCCATCTATCTCGCGAAAGCCCAGTGGCCTGTACACACCATTACCATTGGCTGACACCGCTGTCAAGGAGTCTGATGAAGTTCGAAAACAGGAACAACAGGTGATGGATCAATCGGATGAGGACGTCGACATTGACGAGTTGTTCAAACAGCAAGCTCAGAATCCACAGCCTGAGCCGCAAGCGTTGGAAGAAAATGAGCGTCGGATTGAGAATGGCGTATTTCTCGGCCGCCGGATGGTCATCATCATTCTCCGGGCGTTTGGTGCTTGCTGTGGACCCGAGGAGCTCATGAAAGCCTGGCTGCAGATCGAAAGGATCTGGCAGCCCGAGAAGCGCAAGGCGCAGGACGTCCTGGCTGTCAGGGAGGAACTAGAGAGGCAGATGAATAGAGTTCAGAGGCGTTATAACTAACGGGGACTGGGAAAGGGCCGGGGATGCATGTACATTATAGACCTGTTATATATACCCTCAGGTGAAGCCTGATTGCGGTGTTTTCGACGGCAACCGCTGAGGTTGCCACTTGTTATCCTGTACAGTGAACAAGCTCGTGTGTTAGTACTATTAGTGTCTTTTCTATCTTTTTTTTTCCTTTCTTCAGATCGTTCAGCAGGCAAAATCCACAGAATTCAACTCTTAAATCTTATCGTTTAGTATAGAACTTGGCATCCCCATCCGCCATCCCGATTGGGACAGTCTGTGTCACGTGGCTCTGGTGGTCGTTCCTTCCGCCTTCTCCAGGCGGTGGATCGGGTCCCGACTTTGGCAGTGTTCGTTTGTCTTGCAATCCAGCTCTCCGATTCCATCGCCGGTGCCTCCTACCTACAATGCTGCAGAAATGGGCAGCAGGAGTGTCAAGCGCCAGAAAGTGGATATAGATTTCTACCTCCGCCGAGTCTTCCAGAAGAAGTCGTTTCGGTATGTTCCAACCCGTCCAACAACTTCTGATCTAGAACCCGAACTAAGACAGACTACATATATAGTCCCCTTCAGCGTGAAGTGATCTCCGCCGCTATTGACGGCCACGATGTGTTTTTGCAGGCAAACACTTCCTTTGGGAAAAGCTTGTGCTTCCAACTACCTGCAGTAATTAGCCATGGCGGTTGGTCTCCCATCATTCGTCTGGCCCTCTCGCTCCCCGAATTGCATCTAACGTCCTCTTTAGTAACCATTGTGATTTGCCCTTTGCTTGCCTTGATGGTCAGTATCTAGGTTCCTTCGCGAGCGGTTTTTAATGCGTCACGCAGACAGATCAGGTAAAAGCACTTCAGGCTTTAGGAGTTACAGTAGCAACGATCAACTCGACGACTCCTATTGCCGAAAGACGTGTGGTCTTGGATGATCTACTGTCCGGCCATCCAAGAACCCGGCTCCTCTACGTAACGCCGGAACTCTGTCAGACAGAGATGTTCCGACGCAATCTCCAAACGATTCACCGCCAAGGAGAGCTGATTCGTGTTGCTATCGATGAAGCCCATTGCATTAGCGAATGGGGTCATGACTTTCGGCCCGCATACAAAGAGTTGGGTTGGTTCAAGCGAACTCTGACAGATCCACCGGTCCCAATCAGTGCCCTTACAGCGACTGCAACGCCTCGTGTCCGGGAAGACATCATCAAGCTTCTTGGATTGGACGCTTCCCAGTTGAAGATTTTCAATACCCCTTCTGCACGCCCAAACATTCACTACGAGATTAGGTACCTCGATGATTTTGCTAGTGACCCCACAGAGCCGGAAGGTTTCCAAATCAACAACCTCGTCTCATGGCTGCAGTCTGTGCAGGCTCGAAGAGAGGCCATAACAGGTGCTGCTCCTGCCGCTCTTCCCCCAATATCTGGGATTATCTACGTGCCTCTCAGAACCGTCTCCGATAAACTTGCCCCTGCCCTCGCAGCAAGTTGGCCAGGCCGCATCCACGCGGTGGCTTACCACGCTGGCTTATCCTCTGAAGATCGAACCCGTATACAGTCCGAATGGACATCGTCCAAGATCTTCCCTCAGCGCTCAAACAAAGACGAGTCACCGAAGGTGCCAGCATTTTACGTAATCGTCGCTACTACTGCGTTCGGCATGGGCATTGACAGCCCTCATGTCCGATTCGTTATTCACTGGAGCCCACCGCGGAGCTTTGAAGGGTTTGTCCAAGAATCTGGCCGTGCAGGCCGTGATGGTCGTGCTGCAGCATCAATCGTCTACTACAATACTCAAGAACGCGACAGGATTCTTGACCGTCTGCAGCGAGACATTGAGAACGCTCGCAACCGCACTGGTGGACAAATGAACTACCAGAACAACAAGACACAAACCACCGTTCAGAACCAGCTTTCTAGACTCGCTAGCTTCGAGAAAGTGATCAGCTACTGCGAAAATACTACACGATGCAGACACAACCTGATAAAAGATTTCTTTGGGGACGTCGAGCTTGAAAAGATGGGCTCCCAAGTCCCTACATCGTCGGGGGCGCATTCCAGTGGGCCCAATGCCTCACCATGTGACTTTGCGTGCGATTTTTGCAAAGAAGGTCCGCATGCTCTTGCTAAGCGGAAGGCGAGAATGGCACCCGAAAGTCGCCTGGAGGACTTTGTGGATATGAACACCCCGTGGTACATGCAGAGGATGTTCCCAGGCGTCTTTCCGTGAAGCTGGGGCATGGAATTGGTCTAAAATCTTGTATAAGGATTTTAATTACTATTCTGGGAAATCTTAAACCACACAGGATATCGATGCTATATCTTGCAGATCCACCACTCCAGTATACCGATACGTTTTGTGATCGTTCTTTCTCGGGTCAGTGTACGTAAAAAGGATCAGTATGATGATTCAATGGCTGGAATGAGATTCTTACGCTAGCCTCCTGAGAGCAGACGTCGTCCTACCAGAACCAACACATTGATAAAGCCAGATATTTCGCTGGGCAAAACAGCACCAGATTCTTTTTTAGCATCAAGGATTAAGCGCAGACTTCCCGATTTTGGCAACGCAGACCAAACCTCTGTTGAATGAGAACGACAGATCCACCAGGACGCGAGGGACTAAAAATACAGATGGCCAAGATGCGACTCTGTGGTCGATTGGTTCGCTGGCAGGCAAAGTAATCCATTGCACCCGCATTGAATTACCTGTTTTGTATTCGTATATAAGGATAGCTATCCTTTAGCTCTAGGCTATGTTGTGATAGCTCCTTGATCACATCGTCATAGTCATCACAGTCCTGGAGGGGGAGGGACCTAAATCGAGCAGTACAGTCAGTGCCGGCGCTTGGATATACGATATACATCTGCAATATGGGACTTACAGCGCTGTAGCTACCGCCGGGCGGCGGAGGGGGCGGCGGAGAGCCGGATCCCGGAGGCGGAGGAGGGGGAGCCTCACTGGCTGGCGGGGGCGGTGGAGGAGCAGGGCTCTGGGACTGTTGCTGTTGCTGCTGTTGCTGAGCTGCAGCCTGCTGGTAATACTGATAATAGGCGACGTAGTTCTGGTATCCGCCGTAGGCAGCATACGGATCGGATCCGTAGTACTGGGCATACTGAGCGCTGTAGTCCGGAGTGCCGGTCCCCGAACCATTCGCTCCCGCGGCTTGTGTCGACGGGCTTGCCGTCGCAGAGGGCGAGTTCTGATGCTGGTGATTACTACCATATCCACCGCCGCCGCCACCACCACCGCCACCACCGTAGCCTCCGCCGTAGTGATACCGGTCTCCGCGCTGGCCACTGTGGCCACCGTAGCCACCGTAGCTGTGCTGAGGCGGGTTCTCCTTGAAACGCTGGTACTGTTCCCGGACATTGGCTAGCAGATCCTCACACAGAGACTTTGCGCCCTGGACATCGTTGGGATCGGGGCCACTGGGGAGTGTTAGATGTTTAGTTCGGAGTATTGGGTATGTTAGGAGTGATGTTACTCACGCAACGTGCAGAAACATCGGCTCATCGCTTTCCCGGCCAGTGCTGGGCTCCATGAAGCCCGAGCCACGACCCTTGATCTGGACCTTGCATCGGGTCTTCTGCTGGATGTGCTTGACGTATGCACCGCCCTGCCCGACAACCTGGGCGCGGAGGTTGAACCCAGGGATCGGTTCGAGATCGACAGGGATCCGCTCCTCGGGCCATTTGCGCTAGATTCAATTAGTTCCCGGTCAAGTAGGATAGACTGATATGACCTGGTAGTACATACACGGCCGTATTCATCCCGCTCCACTTGTTCGGGCTCCCGCCGACGGAATCGGCGCTCATCGACGAGGTTGGGGAGCTCCTTCTTCATGAGATCGTCAATCAAGGCCACGGCCTTTTCGAGGCCTTCTTTGTTCGTGCTTGTTACGTGGAGATATAGTGGGGGGTTCTGCAGAAATACCGGTCAGGTCTCATGTTAGATGACGATGTCCCAGCCACTTGAAGTGCAAGATAAACGTACCGCAGCAGTGGCCATGGTCTTATCCGGATAGTAGTTTCCTCTGGTCGTGACATCTTAAAAGAAAAATCATGAGCTTCCTTCTTGAGTCAAACGTTGATAAAAGTATAATATGGAATGAAGGCGTACCGGCGCCAGTTTCGTCTTTGATCTAGATGTCACGCAGCGGAGGTCAGCAGATGCAAATGAGGGCAAGTGGGATGCTATGCATGATGTTGACTTGGGTAAGCTTTAGCCATAACCACAAAATAAAAACGAGGACAAAAGAAAAGAAAACCAAGCAAAGGCGCATGGCGACGACGGAAGCCAGCTTGCGACATGTGTGCCTGGAGGATCAGCGGATGCAATAGGAGTAATTACCATCTTCTGAGTAGAGCCTTTAGTCAGCGTGTAACGGTTGCGCAAGTCATTAATCTCAATATCCTTGATATAGTCTCCATCAGCAACGTAGATATCCGTGTTCAACTTTCCCGAAGCGTCTGCGCCGGCCGGCGAGCCGGATGTTGGCATGGGGCTGGAGTTCTACGTAGTAACAAAAGTCAGTCTTGCTTGTGTTGATCAGGTACCAAGGACTATCTGTCTCATGCTTACCGAGCGAATTGGGGGAACGTCAACATGCTGGATCCCCTTCTTGGCCTGCAACTGGGCGTTAATCTTAGCGGCGGCGGCAGCTGTGGATGACTCCGGGTTAGTTCTGCTAGTCCCACCTCCAATTCTTGCCACTATACAGAGAGTCGAACATACCAGCTGCGGCGGCGGGATCGGCTTTCTTCGCAGGGTCTGCGCTAGGGCTCCGAGGCTCACGACTGAGAGGACTGCGGGCTCGAGTCGATTCGGACTGTCGCGATGACGGGGATCGAGAACGGCGGTCGAAGCGCGATGGGCGTCGCACTTCCGGCTCGGTCTGGTCGAAGCGGGAGCGTTTCGAGCGGCGGTCGTCCATAGTATCGGGTTTGCAGAGGGCGAGATGAAAGGGGAGAGGGATCGGAAAGCCCAAGTGAAGTGGGAAGGCAAGGCAGCAAGGAAGGCCCGAAAAGGCCAAGATAAACTTGCACAGGACTTTCGCAGGCGGTGGAGTTTAACGATCAGCCCGGTGGACGCTAGTGTAACAACCGCAGAACAACAGCAGCAGTTGCAGCACGGGGTGGACGCCGGCCTGGGACTCCGGAGAAGTTAGCGGCCAATGACAGCGCCCATGTAGGTAACAGACGAAAAGGGAATCCATACAGACAAACTTTCTCCTACAATTCCCAGAACAAGTGCCAGTCGGACGTCCAGGCTTAGACTGGTTGATGTCGAGAATCTCGCCCTTGAAGCTGGGAAGAGCGTGTTATGTCACCGATAACACCAGACGAACAATAATCGATGGACTTGAAGACGATGAAGGAAGAAAGAGCCCCGATCATGTGAGAGAGGCTAACCCCAAACCAGCCAGGCGGTATGGTCACGGACTGGTAAAGACGGGACTGAGTCAGCGGCGTCCCCGAGGTCGGAAGGCCCGCCGGTATAAAATGCGATCGATGACTGCGGACTTCATTCTCCGACCCAGTTGAAAAGGACTGCTGCCCATTTCGCTCCGCCTGCCTTTCCTCCAAGGCCAATCCGCGGCGATCATGGCTTTCCGGCGTCCTCTGATGCTGTCATCGACAGCATCGGCGCCTTTCCTCTCCGTTGCGAGCAGAACCTCGCGACTGGCCGCCTCTCTCCCCCGATTCACCACCATCTCCTCCCGGGCCTCGTCCAGCTCGACTTCAGCTCTGGCCTACAAGGCCCTGCATCGCCGGTCTCCTCTCCCCCTGCCCGTATCTGATGCCTCTCCCCAATGGGATGCCCCCACGGCCGTTTCGTCCATCCTCTACGAAACTCCCACCACGCCCACCAACCCTCCCAAGCGCCATATCCTGAACTGTCTGGTGCAGAACGAGCCCGGTGTGCTATCCCGCGTGTCGGGTATTCTCGCCGCCCGTGGCTTCAACATCGACAGTCTCGTCGTCTGTAACACCGAGGTGGAGGATCTGTCTCGTATGACCATCGTCTTGCAGGGTCAGGACGGTGTCGTTGAGCAGGCCCGTCGTCAGCTGGACGATCTGGTCCCCGTCTGGGCTGTCCTCGATTACACCGACTCGGCTCTGGTCCAGCGCGAGCTGCTCCTCGCCAAGGTCAGCATCCTGGGTCCCGAGTTCTTCGAGGAATTGCTCCAGCACCACCGCGAGATCACCACCCCCGGAGAGCCCGCCGAAGGTCAGAAGGACAAGGCCGAGGGCCAGATCGCGAAGACCGAATTCCACCCTCGCAACTTGCCCCACAGTCAGGCCCTGAGACACAAGCACGAGCATCTCGATGCTATCACTCGTCTGACTCACCAGTTTGGCGGCAAGGTTCTGGACATCAGCACCAACAACTGCATTGTTGAAGTGTAGGTTTTGTCCCATCAAAATAACTTCAGGCAGCAGTGCTAATCAAAATTCAAACAGCTCCGCCAAGCCCTCCCGTATCGACTCCTTCATGAAGCTCATCGGCCCCTTCGGTGTCCTGGAGTCGACCCGTACCGGTCTCATGGCCCTTCCCCGTTCTCCTCTCTTCGAGCCCAGCGAGGAGATCGAGAAGGACGCCGCTGACGTCGTCGACGCCAGCACCCTCCCCCCCGGTTAATTGCCATGTCTTATATCCCGCAATGAAAAAGCCGAATGTATTTTCCTCCTCATCCTCCTGGGCTTAATCATCTGTAAATCGGACACTGCCCTGTCGAGTTAGGCTTTTCTTGACTTATTATGTTGAATACGTCTTTCTGCATCCTTCCTTCTTCTTTTTGGATATTGCGCTATGGCACATAATGATAGTTGGATTGATGGGTGTAGAGCCGTAGATTTGGGGCTATACTATTATTAGCCGTATCTTTATCGTTGATAGTGGTGCCGTCAGGCCAGTCTCTTCCCATGGAAGGTTAGACAATTTCCATCAATTCCCATTTTGTTGGCATTAAAGAACACAACGGCAATAGACCAGCAAGTATTCTAGTACAATTTCCAATTATCAAGACCAGCTCAATTTTCCACTCAACCTTGGACGCCCGTTCTATACCATAACGCCGTTTCGAGTCCAACCCGACTAGAACGAGACGATATGAGCCCGCTACAAAGCATGAAATTAAGAAAGCATTTGAGTGAAAGGGAGGGGGGCGGTGTAGCTAAAGTTTGACTCGTGCGGTGATCCCCTTGCCATGATAGAACACTATATCCCTATAGTGTTGGATCTGAACGCCAACTTGCGCCACGGCGTCCAGTCCGAGAGTGCCTCCTAGGGCTTTCTTCAAGGCGTCATAACCAATGCCGCCGAGGTTCAGGTCGACAGGCAGTCGTGGAGTGACTGAGATCCCCGGAGGCACCGCGAATGGGACCCGATAGTCGATGGTGCCGACCTCTTCGTCCCCTTCATAGTACGCTTTCGCATATACCGAGGTGATATGGATGGTTGTATTGGGGAATGGTGAGGATAAAGTAAATTCGGCCGTCGATGACCAGAGGTGCATCTAGCAGCGCTCACGCAAGTTAGTTATCCTCTTGAACGGAGCGCTCTTCTTGAATAAATGACTTGATGTTCATGGCATATATATATTATATGTGATATTCATGAGAGTGAAGAGAGACGATATCCATGAAAGTAGATAATACCGTAGCTCCTTGAATAAATCCCGTCGAACCATCGTCGGGGTCGCCTCCGGTACCGGGGGCTCGGGGAACGGGCACCCGAGGTATCTGGACCTCGAGCCCGAGCTTAGACAGTGCCTTCCCGAGCTTGGGCAGTCCCGGGATGGTCCCTTCGTGGGTTTGGATCGTGACAGTAGTATTATATCCTGTCATGATGGTTAGACAGAAAGTGGTTAAAGAGGACCTGTAGACTTACCTGAAATATAGTTGGAGAGCAACTCGCGACCAGCAGTGACACCAGTCGAACCATCCAAAGCAAGCGGGCTCCATAGAAGGTCCACCGCAATGCCGTCATTGACGCCGGGAACGATGGTCACGTCTTTCGCAGTTATATGCGCCACTTTCGAGCCATTGAAGAGCAGCAGGAAATCGATCAAAGGTACCGAAGCCGAATATGGCGAGGGATTGGTGGCGTTGACCCGGGCCTTCACAAGAAGAGATGAAGCAGTAGTAGCCCCCAGTTCCACCGATTCAATATGTGGAGTCAACTGGTCCAATGAGCCACCATAAGGAGCTATAAATGATCAGTGGATAGCCGGGAGAATCTGCTCCTCAGAACTTACGCTTCACTACCACTTCCCCCTGTGCTGGTATCTCACGGACTGTAAAAGTGCCGAGTCCCGTGGTGACCTCCGCATCAACACTAGCGGCAACGTCAAGCTTGATTCTTTTTCCTTGAAAAATCAAGTCTTGAAGAACATCAGTCAAGACATCCTCATCCGTCACCTCAAGTGGCGCTTTCTTGATACCAAAGTCGATATACAACGCTGGCGAGCCATCGACATCGTCTAGCATGGTTGAGTTGGCCGGCTGCCATTGGTGCAAATCCAGGATCCCAAGCTTACTGCCACTGTAATACACATCAGCAGTAGCGCGGACTCTGGGAACATCCAACTGAAGACCCAGTTCTTTTGGCAGCCCAATCAACACCTTGACCAGTGCAGACACCGTCGGCTGTGACTCGGGAGAATCGGGATCCGCAAAGGGATCAGGCAGGGTAAAGTGCACGTCCGACATTGTGAAGTTCCGAACAAGGTTATCAAGGGCATGCCCAGTGAAACTCAATGGCACTGTCACGCTTTTGAGGATGTCCACGACCCAGTCAGGGGTAGCTAGGGAGGGTGCGTCCGCCCCACGAACATAGACGGTGGTGCCGAGTCCCTGCATGTAACTCTTGACTAGGAAATCGAGAGGGGAACTCTTTTCCCCGGGGCAAGTTCGAGTCAAGTCATCAGAGAGGCCTCTGACAATTCCAGCGACGTCAACTAATGTCGGCTCACCAGGGATAACTGGGAACTCTTGGGTCGTGGCAGCTGCTACCAAAATCTGCGGGTCCCCCGGAGAGCAATTGGGGACCAAGATCTCGAACCCGAGGGGAGGGATGCTCAGGCCAACCGGCGAATCAAACTGAACCGCGACCGAGGCATCAACCGCCATGGCGCCCTGCTTTCCAGCTTCTTCTGGGTCATGGACATTGAAGTTGGTGATGTTGACAGTGGGTAAGGCAGGAAAGTCGCCTTCTAAAATCGTGTAAGCAGACTATGTGGAACATATGGATGATGGAACTGACCTGTGAAAGTCAAAGAGTCAGAGAGAAACTGCTGGCCCAGGGTCAGCAAGCCCGACTTGAGGTCGACTGTTGTTCTTCCCGTAACTGTCAGATGCTTCAGTCTTCCATCTAACCAGTCCAATGCCACGGCGCGGATGCCTTGAAAATCCCCAGGAGCCAGCTCTGCCAGGAAATCGACATGGTTCACATGGCCGTTCTGAATGTTTACTTTGATGGCGGGCAATGATGCTGTGCCAACGAGGACATTCCCGTACTCTGGAAGCATTACTTCGACTTCTGATTGACCAGTTTCAACTTCCCTTCCGATCCAGGTGACGAAACGACCAATGTCTCGTACAGGTCTGTGCTCTATACGACGTGCATCGAGTACCAGATCCCCCTGAATCCGGGCTTGAAGGCCATCCGCATTTGCCGATTCAATGGAGACACTGGTGGGCGTGAACACCATCGCTTCCTTAGCATACTCCTTCACGGCAGCTGGGGCAATGAAAGCGAAGACGAGGATCACGACCACGGCAGCCACTGAAAGAAGAGCGCAGAACACCGGCCACCGTATGCTTCCTCGTCGTTTCTTCAGTGTTCCATCGGGTGAGAGGGCTCGACGTTGTTCGGAAGAAGGTCGTCTGGGAGCGGTCCCGCCGTATTCCAGTAGATCATCATCCCGACGGACGAGGAGAGGGGTTGACTCGGAAGATAGCTCATACGGATGAGGTTCTGTATCCGGGCGATAGGCAGCCTTGCCAATGGATGTTGATGACCGACGTGTCGAGGGAGCTTGTGGCTCTTCGTCCAGCAGAGGCCTGCTTGTCTCCTCAGCCATGGTGGCTGGCGCTAGGGAGCGGGGACAACGATAAGGGCTGAGGACGACAGGATGATGAGCTCGAGAGAGCAAGATAGATCGCTGTTAGAGGGGCAGAGTGTATCGGTGTGGCTGCTTGGCCAGGATGGGGGGTGGGGGGGGAGATAAATAAGCAGAGCAGAGGCAAGTCGAGGCAATCATGGGTTGAGCTGGTGTCACGGCGAGACCTCGAGACGTGGAGAGCATGGCGGCCAGTCCAGCCTGCTGATCGCCAACGTAAGGCTGGCCCGGGCGGTGTGGGGATCAACTGCCCTGGTGGTCGTCGCCTTCCCCGCCGTTTGCGATGGATGGAATGTTATGCTGGCGTCACTTATCCAGTATTTCCCTGTCAAGTGACTTTTACTGCTGAGCTCAATATGCTCGGCTTTTGGCTGCTGTATGCCTGGAGAATGATGGATTTCCAGGACTTTCGCAGTCGGCCCAATATGCTCCCCGACGGCTAGTGTGACATGCGTGTCTATAAATATATTGTCAACATTAGCCTATTAGTGGTTAAATCTCCCCTCATTGATTAGACAATAGACATAGTACTTATATCACCCCGGCACTAGACAGATTGAAATCAAAATGCATACAAGTGATCTAAGGGATTTGCGTACTTTGTAAGAGTCAAGAATGGCAGACCGTACCGGGAGGATAACCTCTGGTCTTGGCCATCCAGATTTTCCCACCCAACCATTCTTCAGCCCATTTAAGCTTATTGCTAGTTCATCCGTGAGCAAGCTCTGCTCTTAGTCGACTGGAAACCATTTCATCTTTCCCCGTCAACCCGAGAGGGAGGTCATCTCGACTCTCCGCCCTGATTGCCCGCATTTTCACATGCCACCCGCGCACGGACGGAGTCGAGCTCCAGCCGACGGTGGTTCGATCTCCTCCTCCAACCCCGGCGATCACCACGATTTAGTTTAATAACCCATTGCGCCCTCTCTCCATCCTCTTTGGCTGCATAACCTTTTTTGCACGAGACCACTCAGGGACTGTTCATTCCAACGCTCCGCTCCCATGGATGTGAGAAGTTGCATTCCCTACCCCAGATCCACCCACCCACTCACTAACCCTCATCCACAACAGTCTTCACAGTCTCAAAGCGGATTCCAATCTCGCCGGTCATATCCGGCCTTACACCATGTGTCTCTATCGCCTCTGAATCCTCGTTTCCCCATCGACGATGACACCGATGCCCGGGACTACTTCTCTCCCCGTCACGAAACCCCGGGCAGCCCTGGCGCAACCAGGACCTCTTATCTCTCTAGCTTCTCCGTCCCCGGAACCCCAGGCGTGCTATCCCACTCGCACTCCCGTAGCGGGTCCCGCGTTCGACTCAATTCCCGAAGCAAGAGCTCCACTCGCATCCATTCCAGCGACACCAACCTACAATCCCAGGGCGTGGCTAGCCCTCTCCACCACCACAATGAACCCCAACGAAGCAGAACCCCCCGCCATCACCCAACCGACTCTACCAATCATCGCCATCACCCAGACACAGAATGGATGCTCCGAGCTGGCATTGCCCTCGCATCTTCGACCCGCGAAGAAAAAGGCCAAAGCTGGCTCGTGAAACGGCAAAGCTCAACTAGCCTCGTCTCCGATGGTCATCAACTCGACCTAGACAGCCAACAACAGCACTGGTCATCCAGGAGCACCCGCCATCCTCGATCCGGACTATCCACCCCAGCCGCCTACTCTCGTCGAGCATCCCGATCTCGTCCAACCAGTCGCAGATCCAGCAGACCCGATCTCGCCATGACCAGCCTTGACATAACACGGGCAACCACGAGACGAGACGTCCCCACCACCACTACCAGCGGCATCCACACCCCCCTCGAGATAGACTACGCCCGTCATCTACTCCCTGATTTCGTGGACGAGCGCATCCGCGCCGAGATGGCCAACATCCAGCACGACGAAGACGAAGATACCTTCAGCAACTCATCAAGCACCGACTCCATGCTCGCCTCCGAAGACGAAATCGACGAACAAGAGCTTCAACGTCTCACCCGAGAACAAGGCTTCGGCCTAGGCAGCTGGATCGACCGAATGGTCGAATGGACCCTCTTCGGCGTCGACGACTGGCCACTCTCCGCACCACCACCCCAACCCCTTCTCGAACACCACGACCACATCCAAATCCTCACAGATGAACAAGACCACGAACATGAACACCCCACCGAAGAAGCCGACACCATCTCCATCCCCGACTCAGACATCGCTTCCATCCACGAAAAACCAGGAGAACGTGGCGGCTGGGAAGACGCCGGATGGCTATTCCGTATCGTGAGACGAGCACTATCATGAACCTGAACACGAACACGAACAAGTACCCTCATCTCCCCATTCCTCACTCCATAATAATATAACCCAGAACAAGATAACAAACAAGCCATAATACACTCCTCCTCCTCCTCCTCCTCCACCCTCAACAAAACCCAATATATACCTCCATACTCCATACCCCGTAAAAGTAATACAAACACAAACACAAAGCACAAATACAAAGGCAAAGATCCCGCTTACTCACTCAATCACTCATGCACCCTCTTACATAACTAGTACTTTTAATCCTGCTCACTGCTTACCGTGCACCACATCCCAGCACGGACACGTAACCGCATACGTACGCCCAGGACCATCCGTGACCAACCAATCCCTAGCACTACCTTTCTGCAGTCTGCGGATCGATTGTATGATGACTTGATGTGGAGTACCGGGGTTACTTTGTTTAGGTTGGTGCATGGAGTGTATGTGGCTTTCTGTTACTGGTAGTATTTTCTGTTCTGTGTGGAGAACTGGTGAGATGGGTGTGCTGCGTTGGGTTGAGTTGAAGGTGGTTGCTTTTGGATGGTGATGGTGATGGTGATGGTTATTGTGGAAGGCTACTATATCATGCAACGTAAAGGGGAGGCACTGTTGGGCAGGATATATTTCTGCAGTGTGAGGTAGGCACTCAGTTTGTGGAACATTGGGAGTTGGGTGATCGGAACGTAAGGATGAAGCGATGCGCTTGTTATAATGGTATTGACTATCCCGGACAATAATACTCCTTTTTATCTTATGCTTTACTGACATGTAATGTAACCTGACCCACCAAATATGGCAATATATGAGGCCTCCCAAAACCGAAGAATGATCCTGACACCAGTAGTATTAAGGGGAAAAATAGTAAAGGGTATACAAGATACGGTGAAGACAAGGAAATGCAGCTGGGCTGAGAGATTGGTGGTTCCACGGCGCTTTGAGTATGTGTCGTCGAGAGAAAATGGGAAACATGAAGTGAAAGGAAAGATGAAAAGAACGTCGATGAATGAAAGGAGAAACCATGCGGGATTGAAACAATGCAGGAGCATGGTGCAATTCGAAACAGTAGAAAGAAGGACCCTGGGCCTTGATCTGGCAATCTAGAAATAATGGTGTTGGCTTCCAGAAATATGACACAAAAGCGGAAAAGAAAAAAAAAATAATTTGCTTGCACACTGTAAACGCCAAGCTGACCCTCAACTCTAGTTCATGCAGTAGGTAATCGTGATCGTATCATACGTGGACGTGCACGGTCGAGGATTCTTCGGAAAGTAGCTCCGGGGGACGGATAAGAGTGTCTCGAATCTGAGGTAGTATGGTTGGAATCGGGGATAAAGGCGGGTGACGGGTGGCCGCTGGATGACGACTTCACCATGGCCCAACTTTGACGGGGGTACCGAGCCCGTATGTGCCCGACAGGAGCTGCTCCCGAATGGAGCCAAGGTCGTTACCTCCTGGGCTTCCATAGCCTTGGGCATCCGGTCTGTGCATCCACCCCAAACTGGAACCAAGCTCGTTGACGGCTGCCTGCAGTTTACCGCCCGAGTTGTGATTGTGCTTTGCCAACTTCTGATCCCAACCACCGTATTGTAACTGAATTCCGCCGCCGCGCTTCGCTGCCTCCCGGATCACCAGAATCCAGGCCTTGCAGATCTCGTCGTATGCGGAATCCCGTTCGAAATTATTTTGTGGTGTACTCCACCGGGGCAGTGCGTGAATTATGTCGGTCGCACCGTCCAGGTAACTCAAGGAAACAGATGACTGCGTCTCGTGGGGTGGTAGGAAATGTGGTGTGAAGTCACTCAAGGCATCTAGAAGATTCCCCAGCGGTTGTCGGACTCGGTTGTATGCGTAATCAGATGAAGAGTTGCCACCGAGAGGGAACGACGACTGAAGGGCAGATTCGTAGTTTCGAAGGACTTGGAGAGCAGAGGCCACACTCGGCCGAGGTGCGGTTTGGACCACCTCTTCCACCAAACTTGGATGACGCTCACACATGGTCCGAAGGATGCCCCGGAGAGCATCTGTGTCCAAGGTCTCTAGGAGCCGGGGTAGGGCGAGAGGCCGCCCGCTGACATTTGGGCGAGCCCGTTTGGTATTCCGACTAACTGGAAGAGTTCTGGGGGTTAAGGCGGGAGAGTTGGTAGGTGACGCTGACATTCGGCCATCATGATCGTTCTCATCATCGGCTTTCCGTTTGCGGTTGTTGGGAGTGTGAATCGGAGTAGACACTGAGATCAGTCAGCCATCAAAGACCCCGGATGACACACAAACCATGGAAGATGCACTCACTTGGACGAGAAGGGGAGGGACGGGAGTACTCGTAGAAGTGATGAGGAGGCACAGGTGGTGTAGCCACCAAGCTGTTCATGATGGCCACAAACAGCTGGATGGCGAAGGGGGGGAGGTAGGAAGTTGAGGGTGACCGGGGAAAACAAAGATGAGGGACCGAGGGTCAGCGAGGAGCACGAGGAGGTGTCTAAGGGGGGGGGATAAGGAAAGAGATGAAGCAAGGGAAAGACGGAGTGCAGGATGGAGTGATGAAGGGGAGACTTTCTGAGGTGGTGGGGAAAGAGAAAGAGAGCGAGAAGCGGTGGACGGGCGGGTTGCGGGAGGCAACGCGGGCCTCAGATGCATTTACCGCTCCATTTCCTTTTCCTTTTCCTTTTCCCAATCTTTTCCCACTCGGCCATTACATCTTACATTATTACATACAACCTTCCTCCTGATTTGTGGCAAAAAAAACCCTATTATCCAGCCTCTACCCCGGTGGCATCAACCGGCCCTGCACCACTTAGTACTGTGCCCCAAGGCCCGCATGACCACCCATTCATCAAGCGTCAACTTTAAACCCCATCCGATAAACGGAGCAAGTAGCCTTGACGATGACTGAGACAATCAGTCAACTGCCTTGTTCCGCGGCCTGGTCTGGCTGTCTGGAGATCTGAGACCATGATCAGTCTCGTCTCCCCTGATACTAATACTATCGCAACCTTCATCCTGTCATACAAGCCAGCAATACTAACCCCAAAGCATGTCTTTGCATCTAATGTCCACTGACTGATGTTGTGACGCCATCGTAATCATGCCTGCAGTCCCATTTTTTGGCACTCAGATTCACATCCATTTGCGCACATTATTACCCCAGACCAGGAGTTACTCCACAGGCTGTAACCTTGCCAGACCTGCAGAAAACGACATCTGAAGTCTTGTCCTAGTGCAACATAAAGCTGACAATGTCCAGCGACCCTGGTTTCCGGGTGGTCGGGATTATTATTGAAACTTAATTTCATTGCCTGTCCAATGCTCTATATGCGTTTGCATCGTTGCATTTGGCCTATAGACCCAACTACAATCAACACCAACAAGTCTCAAAGTGGTTGAATAGACCAAAATCACGGGAAACCACACACCGGATTCATTGCAGAAATCCGCTTTCCCATGGTCATTACTATCGCCAACATCCGACGAAGACGCTCCCAGCCGAAACATTGTCACATTGGCAAATGATATGATCGTCCAGCCATGCTCCATTGAACTATATCCAAGCCACTCGGGCGACGGATAGGCATTAGCACCAGCATTGACCGTTTGGCTTGCAAGGTTCGCTCGTGATCTCGACTAATGGCCTGGGAGCTACCATCTAACGAATCTGAAACCGCATGAGATCGTAGGGGGTCGGTCCTAGAGCAGTTCTATGGCCCCGTCACTAGCTGCAAAGGAATGACGCAGCGTCGCTCGAGCTGTCGTGTGAGCATAGAATACGGACGACCTCCGACATTCTCCGGCTGAATATCCTCCACCCTATCTTTCACCACTCGACCCGTCACTACTCCTCTCCCAGCACGTACCCAGTGCCAATATTAACCCTTTATCATGACCAAATAAACAAAGAAAAAGAACAACATAAAACGTCCCAAAGAGCAGCATAAAGACCCTACCTAGTACAGCATATATAATTCAACGTAACCCAGCCACCAATGCAGCCCTCCAACGCAACGAATAGATGGGCACATGTATACTCCAACCAGCTTTCTCCCTGGAGCCTCCAACGCAGTGACCTATAACAGCAACATCCGAAACTGCCTAGAAAATACAACCAACCAAGAGAAAGAACGGCCAAACACGGAAAACAATTTCAACCATCCATGTCGTGAATACGATGGGCATACAGTTGTGAAAGGTAAGATTACCGTTGGCTTTAAAACCGAGTTGTCTAAGCACCGACTCCTCGCGTATGCATTGACCGGATCGCCGTTTGCAGAAGCACTGGGATAGGTGTATGAAAGGGAGAGACGTATTCTAAACAGAAGGTGACACTTCGTGTGACGGTGTATTGATTTTGATATCATATTAAGTAGTATGGGTGGTGGTGGTGATGATGGTGGTGATGTCTCAGGTGAGAAGTGAGAGAATTGTAGTTAAAAGCCAATGAGGAATGATGAGACAACCAAACCGAATACGAAACGAAAATAAGTCAAAAGGGCTTGGTGCTGGTGCTTCTGAACTATGTATGTGTCTAGGAATAAGGTGTAGGTGATGGTCACAGATAAGAAAAATAGAAAGGGACACCCCCATTTACAAGTCAAAAGAAGAAGAGATAGAAAGAACAAGCCAAATCCTTTTGGGGAGCCTGACGCCAGAAAAATGCGACCACCCTGACATACCGTGCAATCATCCTACACAACGGATATGACGAAAATACAGACCCAAGGAGATACAAGAAACGATGATGGCAGCACCTTACAGGTACAAGGACTGGGCGGCGACAATGTCCCTGCGCACCTTCGTCAAAGCTGTCTCGAATTTACCCTCCAGTTCTTCGCTGCCCATGACCTTGGCTGCCTGCGCCATCTGTCGGAGACACTCTTCCAGTCGGCGGAAGACGCGAATCAGACTGCCTTCGTAGACATCGGTCATTTTGCTGCACGAGGAAAAGCCCGGTTAGCAATCTAATTCCAGAGTTTGAACGACGGTGAATGGTGGACTCTCAAACTTACCAGATGTCAGCAAACGACTTGCCGTTCGCCCATTCGAAGATGACCTCCATCAGCTCCCAGTGGAAACCTTGCACGTATTCATCCTCGTTGACCGCCAACTTGGACTCCTGCGAGACCTTGGCGACGATCCGAGCCTGCGCTTGGATCTCTCTGAGGGGCTTCGCTAGGTCTTCCCGTGTCAGAGCAGGGGTCTCCTTGGTCTTCTCCTCAAAGACGAAGACGCTCAGGGCCGCAGCCACTTGTTCTGGCGTAAGGTTATTGAAGAAACCGTTGAAGAGGAGCTCGCTGAGCATCAACTCGTCGCCGGTACTAATTTCACAGGCCACACGCGCCTTTAACTGTACCACTTCGGCCTCGTTGATAAATCCGAATCGACGAAGAACTCGCTTACGGCATTTCAGTTCATCGAGCTGCATAATAGCCATGGCCTCCGAGATCTTCTTCTTTGTCTCCTTGATCTTATTTCCGAGTTCCACCTTTTCGGAATATTGATCATATAATTCCGGCAACCGGGGCGAATTGTGAAGGGGATTGGAGAGGAGACGGGACTCAAGAACTTCGATTTTCTGCAACGTGGATTAGTCGACAACATCTCTGTGTCAGAACGGACCGGATCCTTACCCTGAGTGTCTTCTTAAATTCCTCATCCTTGATGCCCATGTTCTCAATAGGGTCCAAGGGAGCAAGGCCATCCGGGAAACGTTTCTTTACCTCGGCTAGGGTGTTCTTCATATTATTCCGCGAGTCTTTCGAGTTCAGGTCTTTGGGAAGGCGGATGCAGACGTGTGCAATGCTTTGAATACAGCTGAGGACAAGCGGTACAACGTCCATGTGGGACTTCTCATCCTCTTTTGGCGGCCTGACACCAGAGGGGAAATCCTCGAACGATTTTGTGCCCACGGAATCTCCGTCAGCAATATTGAGCAGGACGTCAACCACGTGTTTCTGGTGATCAGTGAACTCTTCGTTCGGATTCTTCGGTGGCTTGCGATGCTTCCAATTGACAACGATGCCCCAGCCGAAGTCCACACCCTTGTGCTTGATGTGAACCAAGCGCCCCGGCGTAATGTATGACAGGCAATGTTCGGGATGGCTCATCACCGCTTGCACATCATCGCCGAATCTCTGAAGCTGCTTGCGCAGATCGTAGTATTCACGGATGGTTCCTTCGTCAGGAATGTTCGAATTGGCGCGCTTCTCTTCGAAGCCCTCAAGCTCTGTATCCCAGTTAGTAGACAGCGTTACCTGAATTAGCAAACAAGTACGTACGCTTTTCGAGCTCAGCAACACCAGCTGTGTTCTGGAATTGGTAAAAACATTTCTCGAGCATGAATTCTGGCGAGATGCCCTCCACACGCATGAGATTGAGGATCATGTTGTAACCCAAATGGAAGGCCGAGTTCAGTCGATCCTGTTCACCGCGGACGATTTCTTTAGCGACAGCGGGGTCCATCTCCTCTCCAACCATCATGATAACAATACCGCGATCATCAAGACCTCTTCGACCGGCACGACCAGACATCTGAATGAACTCTGATGGTGTGACCCAACGCTGGCTGAAGCCATCGAACTTCCGGACGCTTGTGAAAACGACGGTCCTCGCGGGCATGTTAAGACCAATGGAGAATGTTTCAGTGGCGAAGAGCACCTTGATCAACCCTTCCTGGAAGAGAATCTCGATAGTTTCCTTGAGAATAGGGAGAAGCCCGGAGTGATGGACACCGATACCTCTGCGAAGCAGAGGGAGGATATTTTGGATCTGAGGCAAGTCCCTGTCCTCTTCAGACAACATCTCAATTGCACTGTCAAAGACCTTTTGAACCATCTCCTTCTCGGAATCGTCATTGAAGGCCAGGTTTTTCATCTGCAGAGCACAGTTTTCACACTCGCGCTTGCTGAAACTGAAAACAATGACTGGGTTCAAGTTCTTGAGCATGACCATCTTCACAATCTTGAAAATGTCGCTCTTGTCTTGATTGCCGCCCTTGTTCAATCTCTTATCCTTGCCCTTTCCTTTCCGCTTAGCCATCGGATCCGATGGATCGTCACCCTTCTTGTCTGCAATGCTGCTCATGGCCTTCTGGAAATTCTCTTCGCGGAAGACACCCTTCTCATCCACGACAAGATGCATACCCTCCGATCCGGCGGGGAAGAAGTAGTGTTGTAGCGGTGTCGGTCGGAAATCGGTATAGACGACATGGCAGGGTTGATTGTGCATCTTTGTTACCCACTCGGCGAATTGCATAGCATTGGGGATGGTGGCGGACAAAAAAACGTATCGAACCTTGTCTGGCAATAAGATAATGGTTTCCTCCCAAACCACACCTCGGACTATAGTATATGTCAGTAATCGGTAGATAATTTTCAGATCGGTAAGACACACTCGCATCACGCATATAGTGGATTTCATCGAAGATGACCCACGCGACTTCACGCATAATTTCAGAACCCCGGTACAGCATAGATCGCAAAATCTCAGTTGTCATGACCAAACAGGTGGCTGTTGGGTTGATGGTGACATCTCCTGTCATCAAGCCCGCATCACCAAATTCCTCAGCAAATTCTCGGTACTTCTGGTTACTCAGGGCCTTGATCGGACTCGTGTAGATAACTCTCTGGTTGTTCTTCAAGCACTGCGCGATAGCATACTCGGCGACCACCGTCTTTCCGGCACTAGTATGGGCTGAAACCAAAACACTCTCTTCTCTCTGAATCGAGGCGATCGCAACCTGTTGGAAGGGATCCAAAGTGAACGGCCACACTCTTGCGGGGGTCTCCGGCGGCTTATGTTCGGATATGGGCACGTAAGGGTACTTGGGTGGGATGGCGACCTGATGCCGCACTTGATGGGACAACCTGACAGATGTAGAGTCGTTGACGCCCTGAAGGCCTGCTGATCCAGCGACTTCGCGCTCCTGCTCCGTCTCAAACGAATCCGCTACCACGGGTTCCGGTTCCTTCTCGAGGCGCGGGCGTTTCGCATCCGGTTGTTCATTGCTGTCCGTGACGGGGCTTCCTTCTTCCTCCTTGACTTCATCTTCTTCGACAGGTGCGTCGGCGGGCGCATCGACAAGTGCAACATCCTCCGCGGTCTCTGTAGCGGCGCCGGCTTCCTTCACGTCACCATTAACCTGTCGCTTCTTGCTCTTGTCTTTCTTTGATCGCTTGGGAGCTCCCTCAGCAGGCCTGGCCGCCTGGGGCTGATCCTCAAAGACGTCGAAAAGCTCATCCATTGTCGACAGTCAGCCACAAAGGAAGCTGGAACGGACACTGGCCTCGACGGTTGTGACGTTCTGCTCCGTCTCACAGATGGGCGATCGCACCGAGAAATTTCAATGAACCCGTTGAGGAAAGCGGCGTGTGATTGGCCCAGACCATATAAGGCGGTGAGTTCATACCGGCGAAACTTGCCGTTCGGAACTCTAAATCACGTGAGCGGACCTCCGGGGAGCCGCCGGGAGTATCGTTCCACTCGTCCTGCTCGCACCTCCGCCTGTTGATATCAGTAGGATTGTCTCGACCGTCGTGCTTTGTTGCCTCTCTCAAAGTGCGTGAACCGTTCCTAACCCCACATCCCCTCTCAATTGTCTCTGACATTGTCCAAGATGTACGCTGCTACCGCCCTCCGCGCCAGAATGGCCACCTCCTTCGTTGCCCGTCGTGGCTTTTCCACCACCCGCGCCCAGCTTGGCAGCCCTTACCACTACGCCGAGGGTCCTCGCTCCAACATCCCCTTCAACCCTCTGACCAAGTACTTCTTCTGGAGATACTGGGCTTTCATGGGTTCGTAGCCCACTGCTGTGTAATCAGATTGGTTCTTGGATGGCTGACTCGCTTACTCTAGTTACCGGTTTCGGTGCTCCCTTCGCCATTGCTGGTACGTTACCGTTCATCCTGCGGAAGCCCACGTTCGCCTATCTAACATATCTATTCCTACAGTCTGGCAGACCTACAAGACCCGCTAAACGCTCTTCCGTGTTGTATCTCCACACGCAATGGCTTGGTTGGGCATTGGGAAATGGTCGAGAACGTATCCTACGTCGGAAGTGCTCGGAAATTGTGTATAAAGCTAGAGAATTTATTGTGCTCTGATTCAGGAGATTCCGGGGCTGGTTTCACCCACATAAAACTTGTAGTTGGGGTAGAAGCGCGGTGTGGTGGTGGTTGTCTGATGCCTTATTAGAATATGAATGAAGTCATTGGTCGATTTTTTGTCAGTAGGAAAATTAAAATCTTTGGCTCGGCATCTGATATGGTATTGTTCGCAATTCCGTTGGCGACGCGCGAAGGAAATAAGCACTACTCGTGCATTTTAATTATCAAGTCTATGAGAGTAAATTAACTCTAGATATTATTTTTGCATTTCCTTTTTCTTACCCTCTCCAGTGAAGCTTCCGTCGATTGATGGCGGCGGGGTAGAACACTACTCTTCAAAAGATGCGCAACCTCAAAACCGTGCGACTCACCGAGGTGCAGCTCCAGAACGAGCTCCCTTTGACATCATCAGCTTGGGATACAGCTTCGGATGCTGTCGTTTGTACATTTGGACCTACCGCGTCTAACCCAGTCATTGAGCTTCGCAGGAAACGTCATGACGCCTATTTTTCAGAGCCCGTAGGAGCGGATGCATTCGAGTGCATTGCATCCTGGGATGCGCCATGCCCACTACCCGACCTGGAATGCGACCGGGTTCTCTCTTTGCACTACTTTGCAGACAACCTCACTGCCTGTCTGGTGTTGGAAGGAGGTGACATTATCATTGTCCGTGAAGAGCCCCTTCCGGGCGAGGACAAGATTGAGATTGTGGGTAGTGTTGATGTTGGCATCACAGCTGCTGCATGGTCTCCGGATGAGGAGCTGCTGGCCTTGACTACCAGAGCCAATACTTTCCTTTATATGACGAGGGAATTTGAGAATGTGGCTGAAATCACTTTCGCGCAAGAGGACCTCCAAGCCTCTCAGCATGTCTCCGTGGGCTGGGGAAAGCGCGAAACCCAGTTCCAGGGTAAACGCGCCAAAGCTCTTCGGGATCCCACTGTCCCAGAGAAGGTGGACGAGGGAAAGCTAAGTAGCAGTGATGACGGAAAGACGACCATCACTTGGCGTGGTGATGGTGCATACGTCGCTGTGAATAGCATCGAGGCTGGCGTCAGACGTGCGATCAGGGTTTACTCAAGAGAGGGAACCCTCGACAGCATCAGCGAGCCTGTGGATGGACTAGAAGGTGCTCTGAGCTGGAGACCTTCTGGCAATCTTATCGCGAGCATTCAGCGACGTGATGACAGGGTTGACGTCGTCTTCTTCGAAAGAAACGGCTTGCGCCATGGAGAGTTCACCTTACGCCTCACCGAAGAAGAACGTTCGACTTGGGCTACGAACATTCATCTAAGCTGGAATGTTGACTCAACGGTACTTGCGGTCCAATTCCACGACAGAATCCAGTTCTGGACAACCGGCAACTATCATTACTACCTCAAGCAAGAAATCCCCATGGTAGTGAACGCCGAGTATCCGTACCCCTTTGTCTTCAAATGGCACCAGGAGAAGGCCCTGCGGTTTATTGCTGGGGCTTTAGGTAAGTGTTGGATTACAATCGACTTCGGGGCCATTCGCTAATGTGTTTCCAGCGTCAATGTTGGATGTGGACTTTGTTTTCGACGTGTCTCAGGGCTCCACCACCAGTTCAGACGATGTCGGTGCTGTTGCTGTCACTGACGGGAGTATGTTCGGTCTTTGATATTTGAGTGAATATTATTCTAACTGGGTGTAGAAACTCTGAAGTTGACCCCCTTGAGGCTGGCGGGAGTCCCTCCCCCAATGGCTCACAATGAGTTGACGCTAGACTCGAACATTATTGATGTGGCGTTCAGCAAGTCAGGAACACGGATGGCTGTTCTTATGAAAGATTGCTTTTCTATCTTCCTTTGGTCTCTCAAAACGAGACCAGTCGTTTCGCCAATCCTCGAGTCGAGCTATCCGCTGTCAGAAACGCCAGACAGCCGACCCCGACAAATCGCCTTCGCAAACGAACATGAAGTTTACATCCTAAAGGACAATGGTCCGAACAATACCCATATTGAACGTACTGCTCTAGAGACTCGTTCGACCCAGATTGTGTATCAGGCAGCGGACTCGGAGCAAATTCTGTCCATTTTCACGTCTCTGGGACACGATGCTCTGTGGTTTTCCCATGTCAAAGCACCTAACCAGCCGATCACTTACTCCTATATCTCGATGCCTTCCTCCGATGAGTTCCAGGTTTTACCCTGGCTCGAAAGCCCGACTGTCGACACCTACTGGGCCAAGGCGGTGCAGGTTTCTGAGGACGAGGTAAATTCCTTCCCAAACGTATGTATACGTCAATGGCTAACTTCTGCAAGAATGTCTTGGTCACCATGGCACGATCAGGAGCTCTGTATGCCAACAAGCGGCTCCTCGCGAAGAATTGCACTTCCTTCCTCGTTACGCAGGCCCACATCCTGTTCACAACATCCCTACACCTTATCAAGTTTGTTCACTTGACTGCAGCGGAAGGTTAGCATTCTTGATAACGCACCCGAGTAAGACTATATCGGCTGACTTTGCATCACAGAGATGGATATACCTCCGGACACTCCTGAGACCGACGAACGCTGCAGAAGCATTGAACGTGGCGGACGTCTAGTGACAGTGATGCCCACAACATTTGCCGTCATCTTGCAGATGCCTCGTGGCAACCTGGAGACCATCTACCCCAGAGCTCTGGTCTTGGCCGGCATTAGAACATTCATTGATCGGAAGAACTACCGGGCTGCATTCTTGACCTGCCGTAGTCAGATGGTGGATATGAATATCATTCACGACTATGCCCCAGAGCAGTTCATGGAGAACATTCAGTTGTTCGTGGATCAGGTGAAAAGGATTGATTTCATTGATGAGTTTATCTCTCGCCTAAGGTAGGCTATTCACCTAGTCCTCAAAAACCTTGACTAATGACTTCAGTGAGGAGGACGTCTCGGAGACTCTCTACAAAGACACCTTGAAGGCGCCCAAGGCAGATATCACGCAACCTGGACTTGTTGCACCAGCACTCAGCAAGGGCAGCAAGGTCAACCGAATTTGCGACGCCTTTTTGTCTACCTTGGAGAAGCGTCTGGATACCAACCTGCACAACTTGATTACCGCGCATGTTTGCAAGTCACCGCCAGATCTTGAGTCCGGTCTGCAACTGGTTGCACGCCTGAGAGGTTCGTACGCCACTCCTGTAATGTCTAATCATAAACTTATCTCCTGCAGAACAAGCACCGGAACAGGCAGACGACGCAATCGAACATATGTGCTTCTTGACAGATGCGAACCAATTGTACGACAACGCACTGGGTCTCTATGACCTTGAGCTCACCTTGCTCGTCGCTCAGCAAGCCCAAAGGGTAAGACCCTCCATAATTAGCCCTCCGAAACCAGACTAACAATACCAGGATCCCCGTGAATATCTGCCCTTCTTGCGCAAGCTGCAGCAGCTTCCGGAACTTCGCCGCTACTTCGAGATCGACAACTACCTGGGACGGACATCCAAGGCTCTCAAGCATCTGCATGCTCTCAGCGCCCATGACGAAATCCGGGCATACACAATCAAGCATGTTCTGTACAAGGATGCCATCGACCTCTACAAGTACCAGGCCGAGCAGCTCCGCGATACCACCCACCTTTACGCCGACTATCTATTCGATCGGTCCCAATACAAGGAAGCCGGTATCGGTAAGTACCCTAGCAAACACCCAAACCACATCCACTACATTAAACTAACCACCCCCTCCCTCCCCAGCCTACGAATCCCTGGAGCTCTACACCGACGCCTACAAATGCTACCACCTAGCCCACCTATGGCGCGAATCCCTCTACTGCGCAATGATGGTCCCTCTCTCCCCCACCGAGCTAGCCAACCACGCAACCACCCTAGCCAGCACCCTCACCGAAGAATCAAAGGACTACATCTCAGCAGCCCAAATCCACGCTGACCATCTCCGCGACATCCCCACCGCCGCCCGGCTCCTCTGCCGCGGCTCGCGGTTCTCAGAAGCGACTCGCCTCCTCGCCCTTAACAACCAGCAAACCCTTATCCCCGAGATCGTCGACTCCGGCCTCGCCGACTCAATGGGCTCAATGACCGATCTCCTCGCCGACTTCCGCTCCCAACTCAACGCCCAAGTGCCCCGGATCCGCGAACTGCGCGTCCGACGCGCCACCGACCCCCTCGCCTACTTCGGAGGCGACCCTACCATGGGCGACGGCACCGGCGTCGACATCCCTGACAACGTCTCACTCGCGCCCACCGATGCATCCACGCTCGCGGGCCGGAGTATGTTCACCCGGTATACCGGGAACACAGGGAAAACCGGGAAGACGAGCTCATCGCGGCATACGTCTAAGACGCGGAGAAAGGAGGAGCGGAAGCGCGCGCGTGGTAAGAAGGGCACTGTCTATGAGGAAGAGTACTTGGTGAACAGTGTGCGACGACTGCTTGAGCGGGCGAATTCGACGGTCGGAGAGGTCGAGGTCCTTGTTGATGCGTTGCTGCGGAGGAACATGCGGGAGCGGGCCGCTGCGATTGAGAAGGCCATGCAGGAGGTGTTGAAATTGTGTGCGGAGAGTCGGGAGGAGGTGTTTGGGGCTTTGGTTCCCGAGGCGGCGAAGGAAGGGGAGGAGGGCGATAGAGAGAATGTTGATGTTGGAGCTGCGGCTGGGGAGGAGTTCCCTGGGGCTGGGGCTCGCGGGGGACAAAGTGTGTTTTGGGATAGTGTGACGGCTACGGCGAATGTTGGGAAGGGTCGTGAGGTCCCGGCCGTTAAAGAGATGAAGGTGTCGGCGCTGTTGAAATGAGGTGACGGAGCAGGGGGGTTGCATTTAATTTTGTTTTATTTTATTTTGCGATAAGTTCATCAAAAGTCATAGATTTGAAATTAAGGGAATCAGGCATCTGATTTTGTTCAATTAAATTCTTATGTGTGGCGTATGGAGTAAGTATTAATAGCCCGAAGGGAAGTAGTATATACGAAATTGAATCTCCTAGAGCTGGCAATGCTAGAAGGGCCAATAACCTGGGAAGTATGCAACAGATGCAAAGCGTGGGTATCTTATCTCAAGACGATCCGTGGTTCACGGACCCTTGACTCGTTAGTTGCGGGTGTTTCCCAGATGAGATGCAGTCTCTATCTAGCAAGAGAGGATATCGCCCTTCTCGCTGACAAGGTGCTCGTCCACCGAGATGGGACCCTCGCCAACACCAGTCAGGATCACGCGGCTCACTCCATCCTTCAGCGACTCCACAGTCCGGGGATCCACCTGGTCCAGGGCCACACCCGGGGCGGTGAGGTTCCTCAGAGGCTCATAGAAAGGACCCTCCCAGCCCTCACCCTTCTCGCCAAGGATAGCCTTGATGGTACCGGCAACAAGCTCAGTATCCTTCTCAAGGTAGTAGATGACAGCGTTCGGGCCAGCATCGAAGGTGTAAGCGCAGACAGTCCGGCCAACTGCGCGGTTGATATCATGCACAAGCCTGACGGCAGCGCGGGAGACGTCGTTCATGTAGAAGATCGGAGGCCAGGAGTCCAAGCAAGTAGCGTGGAAACCATTGGAGTCGCGCATCGTGATCTCTGCAAAGGCGGGGAAATCGCGGTTCTGGATAGCGGTCTCAATGGCAGCCATACGCTCCGGGACAACGGTGTTCGCGCGGGTAGCGAAGAGGTTGGACGTTGCGACGGTCGTCTGCATACCCTCCGTGCTGGGGACGTCCTTCTTCTCAGCGCTGACAACGAGGATGACAGCGCGCATCTCAGGCCAGTGGGCCTGGGGCGCAACCTCCTCTGCCAAGCTGTCGCTACCATCCTCCAGGCTTCCAGCACGCCAAGCAACATAGCCGCCCATCAGGGAACGGCAGGCGGAGCCAGATCCCTGGCGAGCGATGCGGCTAAGATCGCGGGGAGACTGGGGCAGCTTGTAGAGGTCTGCCACGGCACGAACAAGGGCCGCAAAACCGGCAGCCGAGCTGGCGAGACCAGCGGCGGTGGGGAAGTTGTTCTCGGAGACGATGCGCAGAGGGAAGGTGGACAATTTGGGCAGCGAAGAGTCAGCCTCCTCAAGCTCCCGACGAAGAGAGCGCAGACTGGCCAGGCAGGCAAGTGTGCGCTTGGAGGACTGGATGTCTTGGGGGTTGCCGTTCAGGGTCAGCTCGTCCTTGGCGGGGTAGAAGGGTGCGCAGGAGGCGGTCGTGAGGGTACGGAGGGAACGCTGCGAAAGCGTGACGGAGAGAGAGGAGTTCGTAGGCAGGTTGAGGACGGTATCGCGTTTACCCCAGTACCTATTGCATCAAAAGTTAGAATCCACAATGCGTGCTTGCTATGGGGTAATACGGGGTAAGGGTGATAGAGCTTACTTGATGACGGCGATGTTGACGGGGGCCGTAGTAGTGGCCCGGAAGACCTGGTTATCAGCGGGGGCAGCCATTGTGCGCCTCAGGGAATAAAATCTGGGGAGAAAAAAGGAGGTGGAGAGAAGATTGAAGACCTCAGGGGATGCGGAGGACGAGCGATGGAGGGGCGGTGGATTTCCCTGTTGGGAAAGTTCGGCGGTGCTTTTGTTGTTCATCCCCCAAGGCGGTGAGCGCCCAGAATTTGTCCGCCTTTCGCCGGGCCCAATCGATTTGCAATCAAACTTCATTATCAACCCATTCCACTCGCTCCCAAGTGTCGTCGCCAACCTCCCATATCTCTTTGTCAGACAGCCCGATAATCACCTGCACAATGGGAGCCGGTGCGAGCACACCATCTGTGGACCCGCCTGCGGCTGGAGCATGCCCTGTTGACCACAAAACCCGCGAGGCCTGGCTGCAACAACACAAAGCATCCGGCGGTGGTGCTCCTCCTCACCCTCTACCGTCAGAAGATGGGCAATCGACGGGGAAATCCCAACGACCCCTCTCCACCGACCGTGAAGTGAGCAGTATACCGCGAGCCATTGACCCTACATCCCAGCCATCGAATGCCGAGTCTCCGAATGCGCCCGCATCACCATATGCCTCGCCTGCCGCATCGCATGGATCTCCCTCGAATGCCGAAGCCGAAACAGGCCATGACTCAAACACCGGGAACTGGATCTATCCGTCAGAACGACAATTCTTCGAAGCGCTCGTGCGCAAGGGCAACACTCCTAACTCCACGCACTCCGCCTCCGAACTCGCAACCACTGTCGCATCGATTATTCCTATCCACAACGCCGTCAATGAGCGCGCCTGGCAGCAGATCTTGGAGTGGGAAAACCGGGCTCCCATGTCTGACCCTGGTAGTAAAAAGTGTGGCGGCCCAAAGCTGTACGCCTTCCGGGGTCTCGGCGTCGACCCGCAGTTCCTCAGCCCCCGCGCCCGTGTAAACAACTTGATGGGCTACCAGCTCCCCTTCGATCGACACGACTGGGTTGTAGAGAGATGCGGTGGTGAGAGGGTTGAATACGTCATCGACTTCTACCAAGGGAAAACTTCGGGTGGAAACAATGCGGCCGGCCTGGCTGCCAACGCTGGTCCGGGCAAGCTCAGTTTCTACCTAGACGTACGACCCAAGTTGAACTCAGTGGAGGGCTGTCGGATGAGATTCAGCCGTTTCATGGGGCTATAAGGCCCCGTTGAGTCATTCTTGCGATGCATATAGAGGCGAATAAGGAGTTTGGGCACGGTCTTGGGTAATCATCGCAGTGTACAATTGATGTATAAAAGAAGCTATGTATGATATAAGGCATATAAAGATAGAACGACAAATGTAAATAACACATCCTCGCTCCGGATGCGCCTGCGAACCCATAGAGATCGGCATGACAGAAGACAACAAGCCGCCTGCAGTAGTGAAGAAGCACAACCATATGCATAAACGTACATCGAGAGGATATCATCAAAGAGAGGACAGTCGTGACATAATGTGCGACATCGAGTGTCGTGGTTGCGCGATGAAAAAGAACAGGAGATCGACACTCGGTTCTATCCCAGAGTCGCCGCAAGAACAATGATCAGCAGGATAACAGCAAGGATGACAAGCAGGCAGCACGCCTTGTTCCGCGCATTCTTCTGGTATCTGCTGGCGCTTCGGAGTTCGACATTGGCTCCACGGGTATCATCGCCGACCCTTTCAACATTCTCGCTGATAATGTCGAGCTGTCCACCTTGCTCATGAACAATGTGAGCTACATCCCGAAACAGTTCGTTGAGTTCGCCGACGCTCTGCTCGATGTTGCGGATCTCAGCCTCGCGCTCGATAATGAGGGACTCCTGAAAGTCCACTTCATCCTGGTTTGCCAGCCGGGGTTGCTCCTCGAGCAGTTGTTGCTCTTGCTGCAACTCATGATGACCCCCCTCGGCCGTAGTCTCACCGTCTTCCACGGCAGTCCGAGCAGCCACAGCGGATGCGCGCTGCTTCTCCAGGGCCCGACGCTGGACAGTTTGGAACTCTTCTAGTGTAGCCTTAAATTCAGAAGACAACTTCTGCTGCGTCCATTTTTGGGAGGGCTGATAAAGGTATGTCAGCATTGCTTCACAGGTCGCAGCGCAACGGCAGATGTATGGGAGCGTAACTTACATTGACATCCTCCCATGTTTGGACCTTCTTGATTCCCTCTCCGACATCCTTAAATCCCAGGCGAGTCTGCTCCAACAGATTATGGACTCGTTCGCGCACGCGCTCCGTATCCCGCCTTGTGCCTAGCAGGGCGATCTGGTCGGAGAGCCGGGTGATATTGGAGGTCAGGGTAAACAGGCGGTTGGAGAGACTCTCAGTCAAGCGATGGAATTCGGGATCATCTCGATATTGAGGATCGTCAGAGCGACGGAAAGTTGTAGGCTGTGCCTCTAGAGAGTTCAAGCGATCAAACGACATGGCGGAATGAGATGCGACAGTGGATGGATGGAGGTGGGATCACTCGGGTGATGCAACCGGGTCCCTACGTATCGCTACTTATCGCCGTGACGGGCCGATGCGGTTGCCTGGCTGGATGCCATGATTCGCAGGCCGCCATCACCTGATGCATGATGGCTGGTGGGTCCGTCACCTGACTCGGCATTTGTGGCTGGTGTGTTTTGATGCTCGGTCCAAAAAGCTTCACTTTATTGTCGCATCCGCCGCCGCCAGTCCTTGACCAAGCTCCACTTGCGCCCTCGGAGCTTTTTTCCACAGGGCGACTGGACTCCCCAATCTTTCCGTCGACTGATCATGCAGTGAAATTGCTTCGTTTCTTCTCTCCCTAGAGACCTCACAGTCCCTCATCCAACTTGCATCATGGCTGCAGCAGCGCCTCGCCCATATCGGCGCATCTTAACATCTGCGCTGCACAGACGTTTTGTTCATGCTTCTGCACTGGCGCTTCTGGTTTGCTATATAGTAGCCTTCTCTATTGGAGACAAATCGTCGTGTAAGTACAGCACCGGTCGCGTTTGACAAGCTGTGCTGTGACCGCTAACCAGCTGCGATACACCATTAGTCTTATGGGCTTGGTTTCCAATTGGAGGATGTGGAATTCGCACAGTCCTCCTCTTTCTTTGCAGTCTCGTCGTCTTCGTTCTCCGTGTTGGTCAAATGCACATCGGCTCCAGGACGACTACCTCCCCACTTAGCACCTTCAGATACCTCGTTCCCCTCGATGTCTTTCAAACCTTTGGCTGGTACCTTTTCTCCGCATGGTGGTTCAACGAAATCTACAGGTGGTCTTCTCCTAGTAGCGCACACTTGGAATGGGTGAACAGAGCAAAGTATGTGCCTCCCGAAGGTGGGCTTCGGCAGATTCTTTATTTTGTCTAACTCGAAGCCTAGACCCCACGAAAGAGCGAGCTTGAACGAAAGAGCGATCTACCTATACACCTATCACTTCCTCCTGGCGATCTCGCAGTCGGTGGTCCACCTGTACTACGACTATGATCGTGTCCCTCTTCCCGTTGCTAGCCGAGTTGCCGGTTCTGCCGATGAGGATAGCCGGCCAGTACAATCGATCTCCAGGCGCCTTCAAGCGACATTGCCCCAGATCATCAAGGATGGCCTGAGACGGAGCGTTATGGTCGCCTTGATCTGCCCGATAGCATACATTCTCTTCCTACGCCGCCCGGCGTGGAGCACCACCCTGTATTTCGCAAAGCTATTCTGGGATTTCCCAAGATCCGCCGCCGCTGCTCCGGGCATCATCCCCACAATGCATCCCGGAATATACTTTCGAACGGTGATCTCCGGAGCACTCCTGGTCCTCTGCTGGCAGACCGCCAACCTATTCTTCTCCGTGTTCCTCAGCAAAGAGCCCCTCAAACGAGGCCAGCCATTGACGGCCGAAGCCAAAGACCCCAACGGCAGCTTGTTGAACGGCTTGAAGGCGAAGAAGGAGACAGTTCGGGCATTTGCTTTCTGGGAGTTATACTTCATCAGCCAGCAATTCCCTGACCGTCGGAAAGCCATCTTCAACGATATCGACCGCGAGGAAGGACCAGCCTGGTCGCAGATCCTGCAAGCCGCCACGGACGTGATCAAGGGCATCTCCATCCGAATCGACAAGGCAAAGAACCCATCGTCAGGCTCTAAGCCCGCACCAGTCCAACAGTCCTCGCCCGTCCTTCACACCCTGCCCCGGTTAACAGAACCCCCCAAGGAGGACGACATCTTCGCCCCATCTCCCAAGGCGTCATCCCGCCCTCAAAAGTTCGGCGAAGCCTTCAGCTCCACAGCCAAATCTTACGGCAACTCGCCTGACTGGACTCCAACCGCACGTGCCAGAGCCCGCGATGTGCTCGACCGTGCCTCGTCCGCCATGCTAAGCCCCGAGCGCAAGCAGAAATTGCTCGGTTCCTCCCAGGACCTGAAGCTACTCACGGCCCCATCCACCAGCAAGCCCGAGAACCTCCACCCCTTCCTTGCCCAGCTTCTGCGCTCGCCCCTCGGCCGACTCTTCCGCCAAACCTACGCTCGTCGCCTCTCGGGCATCGTCCTCGGCACTCCGCACGCAAACCACTGCTCCATCGTCGACGCCATCGAATCCCTCACCTGCCTCCTCATGAAGAGTCTCCACGAAGACCAATATGGCAAAGTCCAAGCCGACGTAGCCGGCGTCGTCCGCCTCCTAACCGAAACAATCATGACCCTCGAACCTTTCGTCCACGGCGGCCTCGACGCCCACTGGACTGACGTCAACTTCCCCCCCTCGACCAACCCCGAAGCCCAAGCCGCAGCCCGGCGTGTCCCAGACGTCGACCTCGTCCTCGACACCCTGAAGCGTTCCCTCAAAGACCTCCTCTCTTCCTTCAACCCCTACTTCAGGAACATCGGTCTCGTAGCCAAGGACCTCCGATTGGCAAAGGAAGCAGCCGGCATAACAGATGAGGATCTGTGAAGTGCGTGCTTGTACGTATGTATATCCTGAACCTTGGGAGTTGGCGTGTATCGCTGCGATGCCGCGGTGGTTTGTTTGTTCATTACCATCATTCATCCAATTCAGACTTGCTTGTCTTCATCTGTCACGTGTTGTAATGGGGGTACTTACTACTTTTCTTCTCCCTTTTTTGTTTCCATTTCTCATTTTTTATTTCTTGTGTTGCCGGATTTTTTCATAATGCCCTTGGAAAAGTTACGACCTAGACTAGTCGGTTTTTGGCTATGCATTGCTCTGGCGTTACTGGGCAGTGTGACTGTATGTATGTACTAGTGAATTGAAGGGTTCCAGATTTCATCGTTTGATCTCTATATCCATTCGCATATGGAATTTCTTCTAGGTATATACATGTACCCAGCATCAGCTAGGTCAAGTGATATTCTAACATGGACATATTCCAAGAGAGGAGCACTCGTATGGATGTTCGAGGCTCAACAGGGAAGAGAAGATGCAAATCAAAGAAAACAACCAAGCAGACCATTAATGCAAACCCAAACACACGATCAACCACCCCACCAAAGACCATCCGTCCAGGACTCCGAGTTTTGTATCGCCAAATAAACAGATATAAAAAGGATAACAATATAGAATGAAAAGATGCTTCCGTCATGTCACATCAATACCACTGTGCCCCCGGTCCTTTTGAATTCCCCTTTCCCGGTAATTTTGGTACCCAATTCCCCGATATGCTAAACGTGTCGATGATTTAGAATCAAGAAATGACGAATGAAAAGCCCCGTTAACGCCAAGTCCGAACACGGGCGCAGTGATGATATAAAGGTAGGGATAAAGGTGTATATATAAGAAGAGTATATGAAGCATGCTCTGGCTGAGCATCCGAGGCTCCAGGCACCAACATTGGCCTCGTTCAATTAGCCGGCGTGGATGCCATGTATTCTCAGATGAACACATTCTTTGTCAGCAACCACTCAGAACCTCATTGATCTTGTTTGATGTGAGTGTTCCAGTCGAAGTCGAGATAGACCCTCCATTGCCGCCGGCATTTTTCGGCTCTGGGGCCGGTTCTTCCTTCATGCAAGCATTCTCCAAAATATTAGTCCACTTTCCGCTTGTACCGGCGTGACTATGCTTCAGATGCTGCCGGAAATGATCGGCACGGTAGAACTTCTTGGCATTGTTGCACTCCCCGAACTTATGCACTGCAGTAAGATGTTCGAATCTGCGATCCCAGTCTGGTTGTGGGAAATTGGGAAACTCGTCACCACAGTAGCCACAAATGTCGTGAGAAGGTCCGGAATTCGTTTGCGCCGAGGAAGACGAAGGATGGAAAGCTGCTTGGAAACCCGGTAATGCTGCACAAGACCAAGAGTGACGCCGCAAGTGGAGAGAGTTCTGATGGCGTTCGGCCTCATTTTTGTTCTTGAAGCGGTTGTTGCAGTATAAACACGAGTATTGTTTCTCCATCTCATGAGCGCTAAATGAATGCGTTAGATAAAGTCACGTAGAATATATAACTCATAGGTCAGATAAGACTTACCGAAGCTCCTCTGGGCTGTCAAACTTTTTCGGCTTCTTAGGACAGCAGTCACAGATATACAAACCACCAATCTTAGGCCCTGCTGGCTTCGGGATGGCGAGAGTTGTTTGCATAGACACTTTCCGGGCAGTATCTGCACTGGACGGTTCTAGTGTACCCGTACTCGGGATATTTCTCGAGACTGATTGCCCAGTAAGATTCACGGGAGAGCTAGGGTTGAGGATCGACTTGTCATGGAAGGTGTCAAGGTCGGAATTGGGCGAGAGTCCCCCCGGGGAGCGATCATAGCTCGTCATGCTGCTTCCTCCCAAGGAGAAGCCCGCTGATGAGTAAGATCCAGAGGTCCGAAGGCTCAAGGATGAGGCAGCAGAGTGACTTCCATGGCTGGGGGCATAGCCTACATTGACCGACAGAGAATTGGTGAACGGATGGCCGCTTGTCCGCCGCTGGGTAAGATCACCGTTACTCGTGGCAACGTGAAGTGCGTGTCTGTCCCCGTTGATCGGCTCACGGGGAGGAGAAGATGCTCTCCGTTTCATTCCGGGTTTCGAGACTTCCAGATAAGGTGGCGTTGCTTCGCGGACATGGAAAATTCGAGGTGGCAGCGATTCATCGGTCGAAAAATCCCCTTCGATATCAGAAAACACCCCATGATCGTAGCTGCCCCGATTTGATCGACTGGGCAGGCTGATGGTTTCGTCGAACAGGGGAGTCGTTCCACCTCCGCGGCGACGTGACATGTCACGCAAATAAGCTGGTTGATCATAATCGACGGCAGATGACGGGGCGCTGCTCTCAACGCTTGGGCTTCGACCTCCGACATAGTCCCTCCAACCTATCTTTGTCCCAGGCGATATCCCACCCGATTGATAGCTGCCGGGCCACCTAACGTCGAGACTGGAGCCTTCGGAGCCGCCGGGAGACGGTAGGCCTCCAAAATTCCTTGAAGGGATGGTGAGTGTCGACAATAAGCCTTTGTTCTCGCTACCAGCGCTGATAGATTGCCGTGGGGAGAGCGGTTTCCCGATTTTCGACAGGAGGTGTTGGTCGTACGCATCTGAAGAATCTTTCACGCTTCGTCGAGAGAAGTCTCGCTCTCCCTTCAATATCGGACTCGGACTTTTGATAGATATGGCATTTCGGAACCCCTCATCCATCGGGGGCGGGGGCTCGATTCGGATATGAGCCTCGGGGCTCCTGGACAATGGCAAACCAGCCTGTCGGCCATCTAACTCGTCGATAGCCATTCGATCACTTTGTGGTACCGCTTCTGGGCGACGGTGGCCGCCAAACAAGCTTGAATTAGGATTGATCGGGGCGAGCTTGTGGGCTCCTCTCACATTCGCATGCAGCCAGCCCGCATCATAGCCGTCCTCTAGGTCACTAATTCGCGGCGGTGGTGGCAATGGCGGAGGAGCAAGGTTAGTCATTGAATTTGTCGGGATAGGCATGGGTCCATGTGAGGGGAACGATTGCCCGGGCATAGTACACGGGGACCTTGCAGCGAAATTCGGGCGGTCAAAACTGCTGCTATTGAAGTCATACACGTTAATCGCAGGAGGCGCAAGTCGCGGAATGTCCATCGTACACAGAAGGCGAGAAAAAGCTGCTCATGGACAACAGGAAAGACGGGTCGGGAGACAAGTAAGTATGCACTGGCATGTGCGAATTCGATGCCGTGTAAGTCGTTCGGATGCGTATCCTGCGAATCCGTTGCTTAGGAGATATGACGACGAATAGAAATTCTCGATAGAAGATCCTGCTTCTGAGTCCGGCCTCAAGTGCCGCGGAAGATTCGACAAACGAGTGGACAAAGTTAAATAGATGTTCTGCAGCCGCAGAAAGTGGTGGCGACTCGGGAAGAACAAGCTTAAGTATTCAATGGTTAGGTGAACTGGCCGCATACATATATAGCAAGGGCATCCTACCTCGTTGAGACCTATTCTCTTTTCTTCTTGATGAATTGGTTGAAGTTATCAGCGATCAGCTATTTTAGTAATTCTTGGTAACCGTCGCGCACAAGCTTGCGAAACCGTCTGTGTGCCATGAAATTGCCAAGTAGCGGCAACTTAACAACGAACAACGGCGCAAAGACCACAGGACATACTGGAGAGTTGGATTGAGTGATTGGCGTTGGGAGGTGGATGCAAGGTTATATATATATGGTTTGAAGAAGAGATGCAGCAGGAACCGAGTCGGTTATGCAATGTCCGCACCGGAAGGTATAAGTTGATTGATACCGCAGGTATCACCTACTCGTTGATCGAGACTGTTGGCGCAAAGGGGATAGAGCCCGGAGAAGAAGAAAAAAACCAGAAGAAGAAGGAAGGATGCGAGAATGGGATGTTGGCAGGCGACCGGATGTCACATGCACCGATGCTCAGCGACAAGAGAGGCGGCGGGTAGAGGCGCAATGCTAACGGCGGAAGGAACGGTTGAGAGAGGCCGATGGCGGGCGGTGGTGGCAGAGGCAAAACGAGGACCTTCAGACCGGTGAGGTAGTAGTGGTACAGCTGTCGTTGGCGAAGAGACAAGGGCGAGGATAGATGGTGAATATGGGGAGCGACACAAGCAGGGTGAGCAAGTAGATAAATGCGATTGATGCAGATGAAGTGGTGCAGACCCCGGCCTTACTGGTCCCTACAAGGCTCGGGGAAAAGAAAGGACTGTCTGTAATTCCAGGTGGGTTTCCCTGTTTTCGGTCTGTCTCACACTCAAAGGGTCGATTTGACTCGTGCGGTTGGCGCCCGGGAGAACTGGCAGGATTCGAGACGAGGGAGAGTGAGGATGATAGTAGAGTCAGTCGGTAGTAATACGGCCTGGCAGAGAGTTGAAGGAGGAGAACGAGGGAGAAGGGCAAGAAAACCAGGCAAGATTAAGGTCGCCGGCGATGATGATACAACATTGGTATTTGAACATCCGTTTCAACCTGCAGTTTGGTCCGAGTGGGCACCTTGGGCGTTGGGCTGGCCAACGGGAGCAGCGTGCCTTTCCTTCAATGTCACGGCGGTAATGCACGCAGCGCCAGAGGCAAATGAAATTTGCAAGGCCCGAAAATGGGGGACGATGGGGGATGAATGCACCGCCAGGATAAAACAGTGATCGCATTAACTTGGTCTCTTAAGGCCACCGTCTCTCCCCATCCATCCCCTTTTCCACCTCGTTTTCACCCCCCTCCTTTGCCCTTGCCTGGTTGGAACATTGACGGCGAAAACAGCTTGCCGCTCGTCAGATTACCTGCCGGTGGTTTATTGCAGAACAGTGTAAATTACCAGATACATAACATACATACATGACAAGGGCCGGCCTGCACAAAGTCAAAGCAGCCTGAAGGAATCATAACATCCAAGAATCTAATCAGACAACAACCACACCCCCCAGCCGTTCAAGGCAACTAGTACCACGAATAATCAGTGTCAATCCATTTGAGACAGTCTGCCAGGCCCTCGACCTAATCTCTGGGCTCGAGAACCACGCCGTTGCCACAGCCCGCGCGGGATGGCAGGGCTAGAAGGGTAGCCGACCAGTTGAATGGATCGGTCAGGATATTAATTAGTCGGAGGGGCTTTAAAGTAAGTAATCGTAATCGCATGGATCATCCAATATCAACTCTAATGCCTCCATCATATCTTAGACCCCGAGGAATGTTCCCCTCCCTAATCGTGCTTTTCCGCCTTCTATATAACCTACCTTCCTCTTTGGGGGCTGGTAACGAGTCTAATCCGCCTTATGTCTTCAGACCATGCTTTATGCGTGTCCGTATCGACTCTCCACCTTGCATACTGCCATGCAGGCGGGATACCCTACGGCAAGTGCTTCAGGAGGGAAATAATTCGCCCGCTTAAAAGGGGGAGAGAGTGGTGTGTGGACTGTGGACTATGTGGACTGTGGACACTGGACACTGGATTTAGGATTCCTGATACCCCGTATCGCCGATGTGTCCATCTTTACCCGGCTTAATTAAAGGGTGAAGCTGATCAATGCTCCAAGTGATGACAGTTGACGACAGAAGTCAAGAGAGAGGGGGGAGGTTGGATATCACGGACCAAGTATCTCCACGTGTCTGGAACTCTGGATGCTTCTCCTCCACCCGCAAGGCGTCAAGTAGACAAGCGAAATAATACGTAACTGACTCGGTGCGCCCAAGCAGGCATCAGAGTATCCATCTGGAGGGCTGGAAACAGCATGGAGCATGAATGAGGAAGCTTTGGGTGCAACCGACGGAACCGAGTCAGGGAAAAAGCAGTGAAAGCGGCCAGGACTTAA